ACTATACTTAATAATATTATAAGATAGAATAGCTAGTTATCTATAATTAAGTAAGGACTTAAATATAAAGTAACTATATATACGATCTAGTATACTTATAAGTATATAGAGAATACTATTCTTTAGCGATATTATTAGTAGTTTCTTAAAGCGCTTATTAACTTTATAGAACTACTATAAGAGGTAACTAAGCTATATGAAGGTAATAATACTACCCTTAATTAAGTAAGTCTATATTTACTTAAACTATAGATCTAGTTAAATGCCTACCTATTTATAGCTAAAATCTAATACCTAAGAATACTAGCTTATATATAATAGGTACTTATATTAATAGACTTTCTATACTAGTATTATAAGTAGAACTTAGTCTATTATACTTTATCTAATCTAGTCCTTACTTCTACTATCTAGACTAGCTATTTTGCTCTTAATAAGTAGTAAGCTATTAATAATTATACTTCTACCTATACTACTACGCTTCTTTTCTATCTAATATATTATAAAGCCTATCTTATAAAATATTAGCTTCTATTATAGTAAGTACTAGCTATTACTACTATATATACTTTATAGAATATAAAGTATAAAAATAAGATAAAGCTAATTAGAATAATACTATAATTAAAAAAGAAGGAAATAAATAAGCTAGCTAAGTAGTAGGCTTTTCTATAGTATATAAGCTTAACTAATATACTTAAGGAATATATCTACTTTATTAAGAGTCTTATAGTACTTATTAATAATGCTATATAGTAGTAGCTTAAACTAATATAGTAGCTTAACTACTTAAATCTTACTTAAATAGCTATTAATATTCTCTTAATTAATCTAATGTCTACTAAGTTAAAGAGGGTATTTAGTAGTTATAAAAGGATACTATTATAAAATTAAGTAAGACTCTCTACTACTAATCTTAGATATATTAAGTACTTAAAGAACTAGTAAAAGAACCTTTATTTTAAGAAGGTAGATCTACCTATTAACAAAATATAAAAGGATTATATAGAGGGATAGGACGACCTCTTAAAGGAGTAGGGTAACCTTATAGAAGGATAGGGTAATAGTAATAATAATAACGATATTAGAATTAGTATTATTCTACTAGATAATTAACATAGAATAGAATCTTAGCTAGAAGTAGTAGAATGGAATGGAATAGAGCCGATATTCTACCGATTCTATGTATCGTCTACTCTAAAGGTTTTGGGACCGCCGTTAAGGCTCTAAGATCTCTACGACCGAAGAGCCTCAGAAAATATCAATGTCATCGCGTGGTGCACACGCCGAAAATCCGTGCTATTCGTCAAATACGTGCGTGGTATCTTCTCACATCGTAACAGTTTGCAATCTTCGGAGTAGGAAGTAGATCCGACAAGCTCTTGACGCTCTAGGAAGTGACCATTTCGTGCTTTGCCCTAATAAGGACGTGAAGGCTCCATAACGCGATGCTCAACGGCCTTAAGCAGCAGCTTGGGCGCGTCACTATGCAGTCAAGTGGAAACCCGAAGCCAAGAGCAAGGCACGTTGATCCTAGAGGGAATAGTGGAACCGTAGGTACGGTCCGTCAACTCACCATCAAATGACCGTAACACCGTTTGGGCTGCTCTTGACTTGCAAGCTTCTATGATCAGCAAACGCCCTGGCTGGCGGGCTTATAGAGCAAAAAACAAGACACGGTGCCCTTCGGGTGCGAATGATCCTGGTTTGATGACGCTTCAGCTGATCGTCGATTTCCGACCATGCGAACAGCTGAGGTGTTTCCGTGGATAAAAGGTGCAGCCCCCATGTTTCTCGCTCGCGTAGGGCATTGAACATAGCTACTTGAACTCTTCTCACTACACACATCACCAGCTGCCTTAGCTGCCACCAGTCAAGATTTCGAAAAAGAACAAGAACAAGAAAATGGCCGACAAGGTGTACGTTGCGAACTTCCTCACCACCGAGAAGGGTTCCAAAAACTTGAATGCTGATGTGCACAATACGGTAGACAAGACGCAACCGATATCGCAAAGGAGCCACTGCCCACTGGTCGCAACCCGCTCAACAGCAACCCTGGCAACGCATTGAGCCAGCGCAGCCCCACGGACACCAAAGCAGGTGAAGACGACAAGAAGGATGGCAACAGAGATTCCAGCCTAAAGATCAGAATTGAGCTAGATTTGGACGTCGAAGTTCACCTTACTGCGAGAATCAAGGGTGATATTACCATTGGCCTTTTGTAGAGAATGATAATGAATGAAGAATGGAAACTGTACATGGAGGCACAGCGGCTTGTAGATATCACGAACTCTATTTTTGAAGACACCCAACAACTTTGTGCATTACACCACTCGCCAAAAATACAGATCCAGTGATTTTGTGTGACTATACCGGACGAGCTATGAATGCCCATCACGCAAAACCATTGTCAAGCAAATGACATCACGGAGTTTTCGCGGGCACGAAAAACCGTATTTGCGGGTTGACGACTCGAGCAGATACATAAACAGACCTTAGGAAGCTCCACAGTGACAGCTGTCCCTCGACGCCCAGAAGTCGATATCTCCATCTGAATCCATGGTCTTTGGGATTCTCACAGCCGTTGCGGCATGTCCGGCCATCGTCGGCACGACCGAGGCCATACGACAAGGACAACGTCAAAATGCTCGCGAAGAACACCGGGGACGAAAATCGAACCTGACGATCTCTTTGCCGGTCAGGAACTCCTACAGCGAACAGTTTGATGGTGCGATGGTTGTGTTGAAAGACAACAAGTTGTACATCGACACGAACCACAGCAGACTTGGCGTGAATATGGCTCATCCTTTCTCGGGGTATTATCTACCTGTACCGTGGATGGGCGAGGCGTGGAAGAAAGCCGGTTTCAGGAACGGCGAAGGAATGGTCACTACCATTAGCGATGATCCGCCTTTTCTAAACTGGGTGTACCTGGATAAAGACACATACGAGGTCAAATATGGCATACGTGTCGAAGCGGAACCTCATCTTGTCGGCCCCTGGGATTGTACTCCTATCGACCGCAGGCTGACTTTCGAGGGATGGGAAGGTTTCGTAATCGTACAAGAAGACGAAGAAAACGACCTTTGGGCATTGTATTTCGACCGCGACGATGATGGCCTGCGAGGCGAAGGCAAAGTTGGCACTCAAGGCAAGAGGATGCTTCTGGCCGAGGTTTCGAGAAAAGAGATGCGAAGGACCAAATTGACCTCGGACGAGGAAAGAATTACACGGATTCGCGAACAAGCAGATAAAGAAAAGAAGCGAGCGCAAGCAGAACTGGAAGTCACACCAATCGCACCTACTGAGGAAGAGGCACCGCAAAGCTCAGGGTCACAATCTGCAATGAGCACTGCGATCGAGATACCGAAGGCCGAAACCAAAACTCCTGAACGCCATGATGACAATCTAAGCACATCTATCGAACAAGGTCTTTCTAAATCTCTGGACTCATTACACATCGGATACAACAGCAAAATCTCGAGTACAGATACTAGGACGGAGCAACACGAAACTCAAGCCAGAAATGGACTGACAAATCGCCACGACAATAATTCGAGTGAGTCCATCTACCAGGACTCCTTGCAGTCGTCAAGCTCGTTTCACACAGCCAGCTATGAGTTGTCTTCTGAAACTCAAACTACCACTACAACCTGGTGATAAATTGACGACTCGGATTCAAAGGACCATCATTTCCTCGCTCGTGACCGGCCATCAAGCAGGCTGTAGAATGTTACAGTCGCTTAGACATGGCTGATCTCGAGAGAGGATCAGTCACACCGCGATGTCGTTTCATCAAAGCAGAAGTGGCGTTCGGTTTGCAGTAAGTCTCTGGCATGCTCGACTAGAGAGCACTTGCTTCGCCCGACGTATTACATTCTGGAAGAATTGCCAACAGGCCAAATCATTCCCTCTTCAGGTTCGCACCTTCCCAAACCACCTGAAGTAAAATCATTTCATACGTAAAACTTGCGATAAGGCAAGATTTATGTCAAGCGCTACTCGACAATCTATATCAATTTCCACCGTGCGCGGCCACCAAGCTTCATTCGGTGTCCAGCCAAGACGAACTCGTATATAAGACCATACTTGGCTTGGAAACAAGCCTTTGTAATAGTCTAGACCGCTCACTTCTGATAAGAACAAGCGAGATACTTATACCAGAAGATAATCAATAACATATAAAAGCCACTACAACCAACTATCTCCATCTCTTGCTCGCCAACACATTCAAACTTTGCGTGACCACTTTTTCGGATCAAGACTCGAACTCCTTTGTCCGTGTGGATGGATGTGGTTCTTGTGGGCAGAAAGCCATTTTGTATTGGAATTAGGCCACCTTTTCCCGAGTCAAATGTTGCAGCCTTGCCCAACATAAGCGCCCTAGCATCGAGGGTACCGAAGCATGAAGGACTAAACGCCCGAGCGAGTCATTACAAAGAGGCTGAGCTACACGATTAACACAAGCGAAGGAGCATATACTCGCCTGCAAATCTTAGGACCTCTGTAGAAACAGCGATGTGTCGCGATACAGTGAAATTGCAACTTGGCCATCACAAGCCATAGGTTCCAGACAACTTGAAGGTCTTGTCATCTTGGTCCCAGTTGACTTTGACACCGTCGCCTGTCAGTCTCAGGTAGCTATACCTGATCTACACCCAATTCAGCATGCTGTCTACTCAAAGCAGAAGTATAAATCTTACCGAAGCACTGATGTGGTCGATACTGTTTTTCGAAGTCGGCCATGTCAATCTTCTTCTGCTTCCATAGCTTTTTCGGCTTTTCTTCATATTCTTCATCTTCCTGGTCTCCAAGCTGTTCCTCGAGTACTCTGATAGGTCGAAACTCGTCCTCTTCAATTGACCCTTTGAAAGTCATCCTTGTAGATGTCAGCACGCGAAGCATTGGAACGAAAGACAGTGCGCACTTGACCAAGACTTGCGAGCGCTGTGAACCGATCCAAGATCTCGTCTGGCGGTGGCGTTGACATAGTCTGAGTGTGCGAAGGAAGTATAAAGTGTGCGAGAGGATTGGAAGTGGACTGTGTGAGACGTGAAATGCGTATGAAAGGCATCAGTGAATGAATCGAGTCACCACGATCAGATGGTTCACTTGCACGCGCCTTCCTGCAATTATAGACGCAGGACACCATTCTTTCCCTTTGCTTCACTTCGGCTAACATCATGCTCCGAACGCAAGTGTTCACTATAGGAAGGCAAAATTCGTGGTATGGTCATGTTCATCTCGACATCAAGCGGGCCTTGAACAGCTCCCAGAATCTCAGACAAGAACGGTGCATGTTCGTGCCTTCCACCCAAAACTCGCCAAAGCTGTCCTCTACCGCTACATCTACCTTGGCTACTCTCTCTTCACGCTTCAATCCACATAGTGCACAGGCTTGTGTACTCGTGATAGCACCTTCAGAGCCTTTGGCGACACGCACAGGGAGCGCATCTCCCAACTCTGGCACAGTAAGCTTGCTTCCATGCACCGAGGCACCTGTAACTGCAGTCTTGAGTCTGCCTGCTTGTTCGCGCCATACAGACAGTACGACTTGGACTTCGGTATCTTCGCGCCCAGCTTCAGATTTATCAAGACCAGTGAGTTTCATGCCGCCACTGCGACCTGACATGGCTGGTCCGATGCGCATGCTCTGAGCCAAGTGTTTGTCACGCTTCCAGCGGGATTTGCGGCCAGCAATAATGTAGCCAAGGACATTGGCGAGAGTTACATAGGACGCAAGGAAGGTCTTTGTTGCCGCCGTCATCAGGAAGTGTGATTTTTGAGACGAAGGCAGAGCGCTTAGTGGTTGCAGGAACTGGTGTGCCAGAGAAGTCAAGACAGTTGGGAAAATTGTTAGAAGAACCGAGGGAGGTGGGATGTTTGACGGAGCGACGCCAGTTGTCGTAGGTAGAGCGGTAAGATCGCCCAGGACGTCATTGGGCAATCGAATCTGGGCAGTTGGCTCGGGTGTATTTGCTTGTGGTGATGATTGCGAAGGCTGGGAGATCTCGAAGTCGTCCCAAGCATCATCGTTTGAAAGTGCAGATTCTTGTCGAGGTATTGCGGTGGGACGGGCGATCGGAGCTTTGCGAGTCGGCACTGTCGTCTTTGGTGTCTTCGCTGGTCCTGGTGGTGGTTGAGTTGCCCTACTTGGTATCTCGACCGGGTCATCCAGACCTAGAAGATCCACAGTACTTGATGGCAGTGGCCTGGCAGTCCTCGGTTGATTAGTTGGTATTGATGGTTTTGGCGCATTGCTGACAGCCGGCGTCTCGCTGGTCTCAAAATCTCCAAAGTCATCATCGTCGTCATCAGCGCCCCAGGAGCCTGCCACCTCGGCATCTTCAACCTCGTCGTAATCATCTGCATCAAACAGGATATCTGCGTGAGCTGCAAATGGATGGTTGCTTGGGAGCTGACTGGCTTTGGTAGCCTTTTTTAAGATAACTGGTGGGCCAGAAGTCTTCTTTGGTGGTTGCTGAGCAGGTTTCGCGGCAGGTTTCGCAGCAAGTTTTGGTTCAGGCTTAGGATCAGGTTTAGCCTCCTTGACAGGTGCTGTAGGAGCTCGGTTCAGAGATGTCTGAGCGCTTTGCTTTGGTCCTGGTTCGGCTTCCTCGAAATCACCAAAATCGTCATCATCATCCCATAGATTGTCATCCTGATTCGACCCTTGAGTATTCGCTGCTTGCGATTGGAACGTGTTTGAAGCATAATTTGGCTGTGATAATAGGTGAGGTTGCGTTAGAGCTGACGTATAATTTTGAGTGGTGTTGTCTTTAAGGGTGAAGTCCCCAAATTCGGCCAGAAGATCTTGGGACATTGCGACAGGATCCTGTTACGAGTTCATTCGCAAGACCATCGGACAGCCTCCTCTTGCCCACAGCTACTTTCAAAATCGTAAAGAATGTTGTTCTGATGTCCTTTACGGAAGGTTCGGGAGTGCCTCGTGGTTGCTCGGCGTTTGTATCTATCTCGAAAATGTTTGCATTGTTTGCTTGTGACGTCGGCCGACCTCCATCGGTCATGCCCCGTTTGGTCACTCTATCTGTAAACAACAGTACTTACAGGCCATTGCTATTGTCGTCTGAGAGATATGCGGTCCCTTGTAGAAGCGAGAGAGTCATGGCAAATTCTGCAAACGCATAAATCTCTAGCCGACCTTAAAGAGGCTATTCGCAGCGAGAATAAGCTAGACTCACTGACCAAGTCTAGATCGCTATTGTGGAAGGTTAGAATCGCTAGACTGTTTTGATAAAGTGCGAAACTGATGAGTCTGCATAGATTTTTCTCCTATTTGAGGGACTCGATCAATCAGAATGGCTCCAACGATCAGCAGATTCGCGTTCGGCATATGCATCAGTGCGCTCACATCTACTACGAGGCCTTGAACATCCAGAAGAAGTCTTGGGATCAAATCTAGATCCATTGAGTGAAGATTCTGAGGTATACTATGTCACGATTAAAATGACAAACACTTCCTTCTCACTGATGGCTAAGTCTTGAAAGTCTCCCTGGGCCGTCTTACGCAAAGATGAAGCATTACGCGCCGAAATTATGCAAGATGTCGACCGGTGCATGCCCGACAACATATATTTTCGACAACCACAAACTCAAACCATGCTACTGGATGTTTTGTTTGTGTTTTGCAAGTTGAATCCAGACGTTGGATACAGACAGGGTATGCACGAGCTGCTAGCTCCTATCCTCTGGGTTGTGGAAAAGGACGCAGTGTCGAGTAAAGCTACAGATGACTCTGGCTCAGAGGACAAGATGCTGTGCCATATCTTCGATTCTGATTTTGTCGAGCATGACACCTTTACCCTGTTTGGCATTGTCATGCAAGGAGCAAAATCTTTCTATGAACAAGCTGCACATGCTGCCCCCTCGAAACTTACCGCTACGCCGTCGAAACCTGCAGCAACACTGGAAAATCCGATTCTTACACGAATACACAGAATCTTTGACGAGTTCCTACCTCATCTCGATCCAAAACTTGCACGACACCTGCAAGAGATTGATCTGATACCTCAAGTCTTCCTTATGTTAGTCGCCCATGGGTGGCTACATCAGCTCGTTGGCTAACATATAACAGGCGATGGATTCGACTGTTGTTCGGTCGAGAATTTGGATTCGACGATGTCTTAGGCATGTGGGATGCCATATTCGCTGATGACCCTAGCCTTGAGATTGTAGATCTTGTTTGCTTGAACATGCTTCTGAGGTTACACTGGGAACGTAAGCAGACGCCCCATCCATGATTGCGTGGCACGAGAAGACTGATTTGATGACAGTAATGGATGCTGATTACAATACGGCGCTTACACTTTTGTTAAGATATCCCGCTCCAGAGAATGGGGGGTCTCCACAGGAGTTTGTGACAAACGCAGTATACCTGAGAGACAACTTCAACCACGCAGGCGCAAGCACACTCGTCGAGAAATATTCAGGAAGACCTTTGCCCGAACTGACAGAAACCCCCACTAATATGCTACAACCTTCAAAGCCAGGCAAAATTCGAACGCAGATGCCTGCGCGAGCATCAAGCAATTTCGAAGACATGCTTCAGGGAGCAGCAAAAGGCGTACTGCAACGAAGCGAGAAATGGGGCATTAACAAGGCCTTCCGTGATGCCATGGATGAAGTACGCAAAGGTGTGAGAGAAATTCAGGCAGCGCAAACGCCGCAAGCACCATCGAGGCACACACGCGGGCTGTCAAGACAGAGTGGGACGTCGGATAGATCGACCGACCCAAACTTACGACTCACCGTTCTAGAACAACGCAACACAGCACTGTCGCAGATGCTCAAGAAAGCCATCGATGATCTTTGGACATACCACGAGACTGCTGTAGGAGGCAAAGGCTCAGAAGAGGAGTCATTGAAGGGCTTGAGTATGGCGATTGCAAAAGTGCAATTTATCCAAGTCTATCTCGAGGATGCTTCGGTACCACTGGCCATAGAGGAAGACGCGACCGAGATGGCCAAAGAAGAAGCTATCGAGGTCAAAGAAGTTTCGCCGCAAGTGAAAGAGCCGACAAGTGCTCATACTGAGAACAAGCCTACCGCTGAAAACACAAAAGAGCCATCAGACCCAAAAGCAGCCGATGAGGGTCCTGCAGAGACTGCCGATGTGCCAAAGAAAAAGACTGAAGATCCTGCTCCGGCAAAGACCACAAGAACAGCCGACGTACCTCTTGACTTCCACACACCAAGGCCTACACTAGCCCAATCGTCATTTTCATGGATGCTGGGGCAATCTCCAGAGACAAACACAAGCAGCTTTGCTCAAGCGAAAGGGCTTGCACCTTCAGATATACGACGCCGCAGCAAGGGCTTCTTGTTTGGTGACGAGGATGATACCCGAGCGGGAAGTCCTGAGAAAAAGAAAGACAGCAAGAGAGGGAAAGATAGGAAGAAGCAGGTGAAAAAAGAAGTATTGTTTGAGCAGGAGCCCGTCGAGGAGGAATTTGACCTCGGTGCTTTGGAAGAGGAGAAGAGAGCAGGAAAGGAGAAAGACAAGACCGAGGTCGATGGTATCAAGAGCAAGTAGGGAACAAGTGCGTTGTATCAGAATCAAATCATGTCTTTTCATTATGCTTCAACTCATAAGGTGCTGTGTAATAGTGCTTTATAAGCCTAAGCTTGTAACAAAGCTTCGGCCAGGTGCCTCGGTAAGGGCAACGTAACTAAGCTGATGTATGAATGCGTATGGCTTCCTACTTCTTCTTGGGAGCCTTCTTCTGGGCGTTGATGTAATCGTCCCAACCGGGACCAGTGAGCTTAGGCAGGAACTTGCCAACTCTCTGCTGGTAGATCTTGTATTCTGGGTACTTCTCGGCACTCAGCTTCTCGGTGAGCCAAGTGCTAGATTGGAAGAGGATCAAGTATGACATGGCGCCAACACCGGTCCAGTTGTACAAAGAATTGGTCTCAACACATGACCATTGGTACAGGGTGACCCAAACGAGCTGCTCTCCGAGGAAGTTGGGATGTCTCGAGTAGCGGAAGAGGCCAGTGGTGTTGAAGCCTGGCTCAAGGTCCTCGCGTGTCCAACCAGCGGGGACCTTGGCTGTCTTCTGGTAAGCGTGCTTGGCCTTGTGGAAATTCCATTGCGAGCCATCTGCGAAGTATTCGAAGATGACGAGGACCAGGAGAGCGCGGGCGAAAAGGATGTCGGTGGTGTTCATGTTCTGGCCAGAAAGGCGCGATGCAAGCATGAGGACGTAGGTGGGAGTGGTGATCATGAAGAGCAAAACACTCTGGGCGATGCAGATGAATAGGATGTTGAAAACAAAGAAGAGCGGGCGATTGACCCAGCTGCGCACAGTTTCCCAACGGTAGTCTTCAGAGCCAATGCTGTAACCACCGCGACGCCAGTAGTTGAAGGTCAGACGAATGGACCAGCAGACGCTGAAGGCCATGACATTGTCGAGTCTCTGAGTAGGCAGGCCATTCAGGCGAGCCCAGACATCGTAATGAATGTTGTAGACGGTAGGTAACAAGCTCCAGCAGCGGTCGACCTGCGAGTAGTTCCTGTTGATTTCGGAGACGACAAGGAAGATGGGAGTGATTGCCAGCGCAAAGGCAAGACCGGATATCAGAGGATTGGTGGACAAATACAGATGCTTGAGGGCCTGCGTGTCGGCGCCTGCTTGTAGGATTTGCTGAGGCAGAGCATAGAGTTGGTCGACGAAGGGAAGGACGGTCTTGCTGAAGTCCACGGTGTCGGCGAGGGTCTTGACGAGAGGCAGCGCTGTGCCGACCGGGGGAGGAAGCAGCATTTTGGTATCCGAAGAACGAGGTCAATCTGGTGTGAGAATGAAACGTGTAAATGTGGGCTCGACACGCGAATGAAGCTCAAAGCAACAGACCAGGAACCGCGATCGACGACAACATCAACTCGTCATCGCCAAGAACCATCACAGAACGGTCCCTGAAGCTGAAGCTCGGACCGATCCGTCTGGTCATCTTGTCCCGATCAGGCAGCGGCGCGTCTTCCGCCTTCTCCACGCGTTGTGACTTTTTGCTGCACCTCGAGGACTCGATCATTCGCAACACCATGGTCTGAAAAGGCCAATAGTGCCCACAGAGATGGTGACCAAGGTTCTCTGTGTGGCAGAAAAGCCCTCAATCGCCAAAGCCGTCGCTGGCCACCTGTCTGGCGGTTCACACCGAGTTGTAAGCTTCACATATGTTCCGCCACTCTATCCATTCTTTCTTTCATCAACCCTTGTCATGAACCCACGTTGACTAATCTTACAGTCCAATTCACGTACGCCATGGCTCAAAAATTACAACTTCTCATACAACTTCCCAAACTGGGGTCCCTGCGAGGTGGTCATGACTAGTGTAGCTGGCCACTTGCAAAGTACAGACTTCGTGTCCGACTTCAGGGGTTGGAGATCTTGCGATCCCGAGCGCCTCTTCGACGCTCCTTTAGTAACTTACGTAGAAGAGGACAAGAAAGGCATTGCTGCCAATATCGAGACACAGGCTCGTAACGTACAGATTCTTTTCATCTGGACCGATTGCGATAGAGAAGGCGAACACATCGGCAGTGAAATCAGAGAAGTTGCCCTCAGTACTAATCCTCGGTTGAGGCAGCCTGGAAAAGTCGTACGAGCCAGGTTCTCCAACATCGAAAGAGCCCATATCATACAGGCCGCTCGCAACCCTATTCCTCTCGACGAGAACTCGGCCAATGCTGTTGCTGCAAGAATAGAGCTGGATCTTCGTATTGGCGCTAGCTTCACTCGCTGGCAAACGTTAGAGATTGCACAGTATCTCAAGGATCGTGGCGTCTTCTCGTCTGAAGAGAAGAAGATCTTGAGCTATGGTGGCTGTCAATTTCCTACGCTCGGCTTTGTTGTCGACAGGTATTTCATGGTCAAGAATTTCGTTCCCGAGCCTTACTGGGCCATAAAAGTCACACATATCAAAGACGACATCACTGTCAACTTTCGATGGGCTCGCATCAATCTCTTTGATCGAATGGCGGTGATTATACTGTTCGAGAGGTGTCTGACTGCCAAGCATGCCAAAGTCATCAAAGTACAGACCAAGCCGGCTAGCAAGTGGAAGCCCTTGCCATTAACCACTGTCGAACTACAAAAAATGGGAAGCAGATTCTTGCGTATGGACAGTCAGAGAGTCATGAAAGTTGCAGAAGACCTTTACAACAAAGGTTTTATCAGTTATCCAAGAACCGAAACAGATCAATTTGACAGAGGAATGGATCTGAGAGCTCTGGTCCAGAAGCAAACCCAATCACAAAACTGGGGAGCCTTTGCTCAAAAGTAAGACAATCATGCTTTTTCTTTGAGCTCACCATGTGCTAACAGATTGCAGCCTCATGAATGGAGGCTTCAACCAGCCAAGACAAGGCCGCAACAACGACAAGGCCCATCCGCCGATTCATCCAGTTAATTTTGTCACACCAAACGCACTTGATAACCAAGACGAGCGCAAAGTTTACGAGTTCGTAGCCAGAAGATTTCTTGCTTGCTGCAGCGAAGATGCCAAAGGCTCTCGCGATGAGGTCAGCATCTTGTATGGGTCTGAAATCTTCAATGCTTCTGGCTTAACGGTGCTTGCAAGAAATTATCTAGACGTCTATCCCTACGATAAGTGGACTAGCACGCAACAACTTCCACAGTTTCAGGTCGGTGAGACATTTGAGCCGACCGAGGCTAGGATGACTGAAGGCAAGACAAGTCCACCTGGATACTTGACGGAGCCAGATCTCATTGCACTCATGGACGCAAATGGCATTGGTACTGATGCTACAATGGCCGAGCACATTGCGAGAGTCAAGGAACGGGAGTACGTCATGACACGACCTCGAGCTCGGAGAGCGCCTGCAGAAGGTGAAGACGAACGAGAAGAAGGCGAAGCACCGCCCGTCCAGGAAGATGATGATGACGACGACGTTGGAGGCCGAGGTAGAGGCAGAGGACGTGGTCGAGGAAGAGGAAGAGGTGGTCGAGGAGGCAGGGCAGGTGGTGGGCGTGGCGGAGGTCAGCAAGGCGGCGTCCAGGAGTTCATTCCAACGACTCTGGGTGTAGCACTCGTCAAAGGCTACGAGGAGATGGGATTCGAGATGAATTTGAGCAAGCCCTTCCTCAGAAAAGAGGTAAGTTTACAGAGACCAGTTGTCAGAGATCATTGCTAACGACCGAGACAGATGGAGAACAAGATGAGAGCGATTTGCGCAGGCACTACAACCAAAGGTGATGTGGTGCATGAGAGCCTGGACATGTATAGAGATGTCTATATCAGAACGAGACGAGGCATCAACATCTTGAAAGCGGTGAGTAGCATGACAGAAAAAAGCGCAAATGGACAATTGCTGACGAGTAACGGAACAGTCGGTTGACAGATATGTACCGGGTGCAAGTCGCAACAGATGAAGAAGATGTTCCGAGGGCGCCGAAGAGATACTTGAAAGAACAAGCAAATGCACCTGCAGACAATGACACAAGTCGAGGATTGCTTTTGCGAGGTTACGTAGTAAAGATAATGGGTATTGATCAAGTACCTTGTCTTTGTAACCAGCCTCTTATCGCATGGTATGGTATTGACATTGTACTGTGAGTCTTCTTTTGTATAGCCTTGGGACGAGTAATTTGTCAGTGTGAGCGAGGTATTCGGATGAGAGTCTTTCTGCGACCTCGGGCCGCGTAAGGAACCTTCGGGGAAAGCTTCAAAGGTGAACGGTCAATTACGGGAGTGTAAAAACATGACCAAGACCAGAGGAGCAGTCGGTCAAGAGGCGGGTGTACCATGCAGGACATGCGGACGCAATGGACCAAGGCTAGATAAGTTTTAGAGTGTGTTGACATGAGACAGATGGCGCGTGGTGATCGTCGGGTGTTTTGACTCTTGTCGAGACGGTTTCGCGTCGGGACGTTGGACTTTTTAAAAGAGATTCCCCCACATGAAAGGGGAAAGAAGGGTCAATTGCATGTTGATGCAGACGAGAAGTCGACGACTCTTGTATAGACATCCCCTGATTATTTCTTTTTCGAGTCGAGCACGCATCATCGTTGTTGGATTTGCGGAGTCTCAGATCAGGCGGGAGCTGGCACTGATTGATTGATTCATCCGAGATTTCGACTCTGGACCGCAGCCACGACCGCCCACTCTTTGAGCACGAGCCCGAGCCGCAGGTCACACTGACTGCTCTCTCTTGTCGACCCGCTGCTGCTGCTTTGTCGACGCGCGCCCTCGCTGACCAACTGTCTTGTACGAGTACTCCTTGCTCGTCTCTTCCTGACAGTGTCGTCGACCCTCTGCCAATCTCCAGGTCGAGTTGTTGGGGTGGCGGCTCGAGCATGAGTTCGCCAGTATGCAACAACCATGGCAAGTGTGCTGCTTGAAAACTCTCAGATGCTCCGTCTGACTGCCAACAAGGCTTCCAACCATCGCCCAATCAACATGACGAAGAGCTCCGCATCTTGTCGCGCATCCAGAGCACAGGTAGTCTCTTGTCTCTGCCTGCTCGCGGCTCCATATCTGCCGAAGCCCAGCGTCCGAGAATGTCTTTTGACACTGCAGCCCTCGAGGCCGCCGGCCTGCGCAGCATGACCAGGTCAGATTCTGCACGCGCACATGGCTGCCATGCTCTTGCTGATACATCACAAGCTCTCCCACCCTGCCCGAACGTGAAAGTGGTCTGCGCCGCATCAGACAATCCCACAATCGCCAACCTACCTCACCCCAGTTGCAGACCTCCCGCACTCCTTCGCTCAACATCAACATACCTCCACAGCCGCTGCCCGCCTCGCTGCCCTCAGGCCCTTCGTCGCCAGTATTACCCTTTGGCGAGGACCTCAGCCGCTTCCCATCCGAGTCTTTGCATTCCTTCTCCTTCGCACATCAGTCCGAGACGTCGATACACAATCGCCAGATGATACTCAAGAGATCCGTCGACTTCATGAAAGATAGACCAGGGTGGGGTTCTTCAAATCCTGCAATTCTGAACGCTCAAGCAAAAATCACTGGAGATCAGGAAGCACAGAGCATGGTGGAACTGCTACAACGTGCCAACTTGCTAGGTCCAGATGGCAATTCGTTGCAGGCTCCGGGCTTGGGCATAATGGGTGCTCCGCTCAGCGGTCCTGCTGATCCATCGGCAGACAACATTTTCGAGAAGAACTTCGCGCCCCTCAGTGAGAGCCCCAAGGACTTCGACGACGACTTGGTCATGTCGCCCACCTCTCCCAAGTTCATCAAGTCATCTGAAGAGAAGGATACACTGCAACCTGAGCCCAAGCGCATCTCGCTCAAGCGCACCTACACTGACACAAGCGGTCTAAGCTTGCAACATCGTCTTGCCGACGCTCTAGCCACACCCTACCACGCTGCTGATGTGCCCCGCCGAGCAGAGGTTCTCACTCCCAGTCACGTTCCTTCAGTATTGCACACGTCCAAGTCGACCACTTCGCTTGCTGGATCTACCTCCCACGCTCATGGTCACGGTCATGGCAGACAATCTGCTGCTGCCCAAGCTATTTTCACCACCGATGCGCGCGCTCCTTGGACCATCACTGCTGCCAACGATTTGGCATGTCTTGTTTTTGGTGTCACTCGTGCTGAAGTGCGCAAGATGGGTATCATGGAAGTTATTCGTCCCGAGCGACGCAAATGGCTCGAAAACAAGTTGAGACAACCCGACTCGGATCTCTACAACCAAAACAACAAATCTCCTAATCACAGTCCATCATCTTCATCTCTGGCGAAGGGTAGTGGTGTGACGGCCAAGCTCCTAAGCAAACCCCCTGCCCGCCAAACTTACCAGAGTAGACGCTCGAAAACCGTCAACGGAATCGACTCAGCTTCGACAACACGCCGTGCCGCCCCCAATTCCTCACAAAAATCACGTGGTGTGCTACTATGTGGTGATGTTGTTCCTATTCAGAAGCGCAATGGCGACATTGGATCAGCCAGTTTGTGGGTCAAAGAAAAACAGGGCGGCTTGATTTGGGTGCTTGAAGAGATTGCCGAGGATGTTGCTTACATTACAGTTGATGAGATTGGTTGCGTCGAAAAGGGTGTCGGTGCATTAGAGTCCATATGGGGTATCGAGAGAGTGCGTAGGGGCACAGATATTAGGAAATTGGTTCCCGAATTGCCAAAATTGGCCGGTACGAATACTGGTATGCTGGACTTCGATCAGATCGCTTCGTTACGCCGCTACACCGCTCGCACTGCGAACAGCATCAGTGTTCCTATCACTATCGATCAACTCTCTGGCCAACCGACATTGCGCATTTCCAGCTTCCCTCATATTGCTGGCATCCTTGTTCTGAATCCCGATACGCTCGAGATTGCCAGCTCAAATAATGTCTTCTCTGCTTCTCTTTTCGGCTATGATGCCCCCGACGGCCTTCCCATTACAGACTTAATACCCTATTTCGACAGTATACTCCACTTGTTGACCGACGAAGACAAGATTCGCTTGGTCGACGGTCTTGTCATTCCAGAACACAGTTTCAGGAAAGCCCGCGCACTCCTTGCCCTTCGCGAAGGTCGTGCAGATGCAGCTTCCATCTTCCTCAAGCCCAGTGGTCTGCCTGCAAAACATAGAGATGGTTCAGACATCATGATTGATGTTCAGATGCGCGTCGTCAAAAGTGATCGCCACAGCTTTGACAGCATTCCGGAACACAGCCGTATAGATGCAGATTCTTTGCCTGCATCAGAGGTTGTCTACGCCTTGTGGATTACATACTCGAGACAGCTTCATGCTGTCAATCACGGTGTTGGTCCTGTCATTCCGGTAGCGTCCAGGCCTGTCACTCCTCCGCAGCAACCGGCGCCTGCACCATCAAACTCGAGTGGAGATCAGGACAGCGAAGACTCCAGCAGTGAGACCAAGACAAAGGTCGATACTCCTTCACTCATAACTCAACAACTACAACATTCACCAACTCAATCACACTCATCAGGAACGCCATTGCTTACGAGCGAACCTTTCGAACATCCATCTCCTGCTGCTATTGAAGCTGGTGCAACCACTATCAAGAAGAAGACCATCGCTGATTTCCTTATTCTTGAAGAAATGGGTCAAGGAGCGTATGGTCAAGTCAAGCTCGCGAGATACAAAAAAGCAAATGCACAGAAGATGTGTATCAAGTATGTCACAAAACGCCGCATTCTGGTCGACACGTGGACTAGAGATCGACGACTCGGCACAGTGCCGTTGGAGATTCACGTTCTGGACTATCTACGACGTGACGGCTTGCAGCACCCGAATATTGTCGAGATGGCCGATTTCTTCGAAGATGACATCAACTACTACATTGAGATGATTCCACATGGTCTGCCTGGCATGGACCTATTCGACTACATCGAACTTCGTGTTAATATGGAGGAGAAGGAGTGTCGCAAAATTTTCGTACAAGTCGCCAATGCTTTGCATCATTTGCACATCAAAGCCAAGGTCGTACATCGAGACATCAAGGACGAAAACGTCATTCTCGACGGAGATGGTGCTGTCAAGCTTGTCGATTTTGGCAGTGCAGCGTACATCAAGTCAGGCCCCTTTGACGTATTCGTTGGCACCATCGACTATGCGGCGCCTGAGGTTCTGCGCGGCAGCCCTTACCGAGGCAAAGAGCAAGACGTGTGGGCGCTTGGCATCCTTCTATACACAATTGTGTACAAGGAGAACCCATTCTACAGCATCGACGAGATTATGGACCACGATCTAAGAGTGCCGTATATTATGAGCGAAGACTGCATCGACCTCATCCGCAAGATGCTGGACCGTGACGTCGAGAGACGTATCGGCATTCAAGCTGTTATCGATCATCCATGGTGCACACACGTCGACCCAGAGGATGACTAAACGACAAGCAACAATATCCTTCTTTCTTTTTTACTCTCTACGTTCTCTTTGTTGTTTTATTGATATCTCACCATGATTCCCTTATTGTTTTTTTTTTTCTTAGGCTTGGAAGCATTGTCCGTTTTTTCTTCTGACTTGTCTCTTGCAAATACAAAAATCCCTGAATATCACAATGAACGACGAATCAGCATGACGAAAGCAAAACATGGCGGATGGTAGGAAGCAAGATGGGGATTGATGGACGGAATGTGATACAGTGGAGGAGAGCACACAAGAAGACACATGTAAACTGCCGGACACACAAAGTAATGCATAAGGAGGCGAGGATGGATTGTCCTTTTTGTCCTCCATTTATTCGTTTTCTGGTATCTTTTTGATAGACCATCGTTCATCAATCGTCTACCATTCTTGAGTCAAGGGGTGCAGGTGATGTGCATGTATGCCTTTTGATTGCTGGCGGCGATTACTTCCTCAATCGGTGCTTGAATTGCCTGTCGCTTCTCTGAACTGTGAATCGCTTCTTCCCTTCAATGTTTCGTCAGCTGTGCTTTGTTGACGCTCAAGTGTTCTTTCCTGACCTTGAGCTTTGTCCATGGTCTTCCTGAGATCGATCTTGTTGACGACGCACTCAGTTTGTCTTTACACCTTCAGTCGACATCTCCATCTTGCCGTCCTCGTGGACAGCCTTGCCGTCCTCGTTAATAGCCTTGTCTTCTTCGGTGACAACTGGAGCCTTCCACTGGCCAACCTCAGCGATCTTCTCAGGAACGATGCGCTTGATGGGCTTCTTGTTGACAGGCTCGATCTCCATTGTGACCTCTTTGGTGGCGAGATGGGGTTGGTTCGAGTGTTGCTGCACCGAGCTGTTTCCTGGTTTGGTCATGGCTTATCAGTGGTGTTGTTTAAGTAGTGCGATCAGGCGTGTCAAGTGCTCATACCGTGACCGTTGGTGGATGAGGTGTCCATGATGTTGAAGGATATGGCTGTGATGAAGTTGGATTGAGGTACAAAGACGAGGGAGGAAAGTTTAGGATGAGAGGATTAGCTGATGTTTATATGTGAGGTGACATAGAAGTGAAAGTGAGGGTGTAATAGATGGCAACGGAACGTGTTTGGTGATTGCTTGTTTGCTCTTGGTGTTATTTACAGGGAGCTGAAAGTGAAAATTTGTCTTGTTGGTTCGCTTATGACTTCGGTGACAACTTCGAATACATTGTCTCATCTGTTTGATTGTTTTGTACTCGAGTATAGAACACATAACTCCACAGAAAAATCCAATGATCATGAAGAACATAGTAGTATCCATTAGGATATGAAACACGACCGCCTTTCTCTGGCTACGTCTTCCATCGGAGGCAATATGCGCTTTCACGAAGTCGTCTTGCCTCATATCCTCGAGAAGGAGAGGTTGAGAGGCACTTTGGCCATTGTTGTTCATGATTTTCAAGCTCGCAAAGGAGCTTTTATTTTCTCGGTCCTGGCCGCAGACAGCGATCGATCAAGCCTTGTCCCAGTCCTGTTGTGACATGTTTCTTCGACTTGGGAGGATTACGACCAACCTATGTTGATGTGGACTTCTGATCGGCTTGATCCTTCTTAACATCATGTTGCTTCCTTGGCTTGTTGACCTTCTTTGGCTTGGTCCATGATTCTGGAGCTTCCTTCAAGACGGTACCATTTTCAACCAAGACTCCCTGTCCTCCAGTACGATCTTCGACCTTGCTGAAGAAATTCAAGCTGATCACGCCGTTTTCGTCTCCTTCACTCAGAATGACACCGTTCTCAGACTTCCAAAACTTGACTCCAGCTTCCATAGCCTTTTTGATGTCCACATAGATCAGAACTGATGAAGAGTTACGCATGCCAGAGATGACGGGTGCGGCGCTCGCATCCTTGTCCTCGGACTTGAAGCCTGCAGGTAAACCGGAAGCAAAGTGAACATGAGTGCGAGTCATCTTTTTGAGGCCACCAGTAGCTACGATCAGCGGCCAAGCAGCATGAGTTGTTCCATGGACCACTGTGGAAGGGAGGTTATCCTCGGTGATTGGTGTCAAAAGATTCTCAGATGCGATCTCCAAAGAATGTCCTTGGTTTGCACGAATGAGATAGTCGGCAGGATCATCTGATTCTGGCAGTTGACTGGGTATGTCGGAAGTTGTGGATGTTGCTGCATCATCAGCTGGAACACTTGATGCTGAAGCTGCGGCGGACTTGTGAATTAAAGAAAATCGCTGCTTGTCATTCTCAGCCACGATTTGCTTGACTTCAGCAAGTGTGGCTTTGAGACCGCGAATCCTTTGGTTGTTCAACTATTCAGCATCCGAGTCAGAACTTGTAAAGGAATGCATTTGATGTAGAAATGAGAATAGTGGCTCGCTTATTCGAACGCGCAAGCATGTGGTAATCTCTTAGCATCGAAAAAGGGATAGCATGAATCAGACCTACCACATCCTTGAGATTGATGTAACCCGCTGCGTCTAATTGGAGACCTTCCTTCTCAGCGCTGTGACGAAGCAATTTGCTTAACGCTTTTGAGACTTGGACTTCTCGTGGCAGGGGACCACCGCGACCGCGTCCTCCAGGCATCTTGATAAGCTTGCGAAGAATGTTCTATTGGTTTGAGTGGCTTCGGGGGGTAATGAATTTATCAAAATAGAGTTTATCCGTGGTGTTGGACTCAAGAAAAAAAAAATTGGAGATCATCAAAGTCCATGGACTGATTGGTGTCAAAATTGTCAACCTGAAGTCCACTCCAAAGATTCGGAACATCCCCAGATGGCAACGCCATCAGAACGTGTTTCGCAGTTTGCACTTTCAATTCGTCCACGTGTAGAAGTTCTGATCAAATCTAGCAGCCTCGTATCTGTCTTGGAGCCCACAGGTTTGCCAAGTCATCTCCACACAGGTTCACGATTTTGATTGAGTCAGATGGACAAGACACGCCATTCATGGGACTGTTCTCCTGTTGCAACACGGATGACGGAGACATTTTGCTCCGAAGGTCCGTGTAAGGCAAGGGTCTACTGAGTTCCAGCCCTGAAATTGTAGATTTCATCAATCAAGGAGTCAAGATTTTGATATGAAAGAAAGAGACAAGCTTGCGAGGATTCTCTTGGAAGGACTGGGCATGATGCGAATTGCATCAACTGCCGTAGTAGTGCGCCAAGGTCGGACTATCGGACTCGCATTTAGATAGGTAAGTTAGCCAAGTAGTTCGTATAGGGTCGTACTCGAGTGCATGTGGATTTAGGCGCGTGTAAAGTCCGGTGGACGCCGTCCATGACCTAGCAGGCGGTCGAGTGAGCAAAAAGTAAACGGGCGCAGCATCAGTCCTTCTCCAAGGGTCCATCGTTGGTCGCGGCTCATCAGACATCGAATGCGCATACCCCATCAACCGCGCGCCATCTCTCTGTGCCATCGCAGCTCTAGGCGCTTGACTGTGCGCCATATCGCTCTCATCTCGGATGCGTCATGAATCCTCACAATCCCCACCAACCGCAATACCCACCGCTACCTTATGGGGCCACTCCGCCTGGCGCCCCAGCCCATAACCCTTCAATACGTGCTGCTTTTAACAATGCCTACTCGACCACGAACTCGCCCACCAACGCCACCTTCCAGCAAGCTGCTGCCTATCTAGAGGGCAACTACGATGATGACGGAGACGACCGCGCAAATGACCACGACCATGACAATGACCACGATCAGGGTCAGGGCGATCCTAAGCGCCGTCGCATAGCACGCGCATGTGATATGTGTCGCAAGAAGAAGATCAAATGCGATGGCAAAATGCCCAAATGCTCACACTGTCAGAACTACAAGACTGAATGTATCTTCACTCAGGTAGAGAAGAAGCGTCAGCCACCCAAGGGCGCAAAGTACATCGAGGGCTTGGAGAACAGACTTGCGCGTATGGAAGGTCTGCTGAAGATGTCAGGTCTGCTAGGTGAAGATGACGGTGGAAAGACTGATCTCGGCACGCTTGAGAAGCGCCTGGCAGACAGACAAGCTGTTGGCTCTGGGTTCGCGTCCCCAGTCTCGCCCCACGTCGGTGATGGCTCAACCTCTGCCCATCCAACTCCGCCCACTGGTGTCACTAGCCCTCAGTCCGGTGCGGTGCCTCAGAACGGCCAACCGCAGGCTCAAGACAAGGCTGCTGAAGGCCTGGCAGATCAGATGTGTTCGCTCGTCACCAACAATGCTGGAGAGACACGTTATATCGGCTCCTCCTCTGGCTTTTCCATCTTCTCGCCCAAGGGAATACAATGGGTAAACGAAAAGACTGGAGACTCTTCTTTCCGCGACATGATCACACAGGCAGCTACTGACGACAGGGCATGGGCTACCTGGAAACCAGAAATCTTCGACGACATCTTTTCTCGCAAAATCTATAGGCCTCTGCCTCCAAAACCTGAAGCTCTCGCCCTGCTGAAGGACTTCTTCGATAACTTCAACTGCGTGTTTCCCTTGTTTCATGAGCCAACTTTTATGCATCTCGTCGACAAACACTATTCGCTCGACCCATACGAAGGTTCTGGTTGGTGGGCCAGCTTGAACGTTGCGCTTGCCATCTCCCACAGACTTCGGATCATAGGTGAAGATGATGCTCGACTTGAGGATGCAAAGGCTTGGGGTTATCTGAAAAACGCCTTGGCTGTCTTTTCCGAATTGACAATGCGAAACAACGATCTGCTCAGTGTTCAGGCTCTGCTAGGCATGGCCCTCTTCATGCAAGGTACACCCAATCCACAACCTGGCTTCTTCCTCGTCGCAGCAGCAATTCGACTAGCGCATAGCATTGGTCTTCACAAACGTGGGTCTGACTTCAATCTCAATGAGATTGAATCTGAACAGAGGAAACGTGTCTTCTGGATTGGTTACCTTATGGACAAAGACATTTGTCTTCGTTCTGGCAGGCCCCCTATCCAGGATGACGACGACATGAACGTTGAGCTTCCTAGTGAAAACCCACCAGACAACATCGGTGTTGTGTCGTTGGGAGATGGCAAGGGCAAGGTCAATCTTTTCCGGATACAATGTACTTTTGCCTTGATCCAGTCCAAGGTCTACAAGCTACTCTACTCGGTCAAGGCTGCTCGCCAAACAGATGGCGAACTATTGAACACGATTGGGGATCTCGACCAGGAACTAGAAGAGTGGAAAGACTCTATTCCTCTCGAGTTCCGTCCGGAGCATGAGATCAAGATGCCCAGCGAATCACCAATGATGCTGCATATCGTTGTGATGCATTTTGCTTACTACAACTGTCTTACGACCATCCATCGGATGTCGGTTCATCATGGCTACTGGACGTCACGACTATCAAATTATGCCATTGCTGGTCTGAATGCGCGTCCGCTCAATCCACGTGTGTTCATGTCGGCGGCGTTATGTGTGAACGCCGCACGAACATCCATCTCGCTCGTCAAGTTCATTCCTAGTCGGGATCATGCTTGTGTCTGGTAAGTTGAAATAATCACATACATGCTCTTAAGATGGGGTCTTATGCTGACTTGGTCACTAGGCTTCTGGTGTACTATCCCGTATCTGCGCTTGTCACACTGTTCGCCAATATTCTGCAAAATCCACAAGATGCTAGAGCCCGCTCCGATCTTAAGCTTATGAACTCCATGACGGAGTTCTTGCAGATGCTATGCAACGAAGACGGCAATATTCATTGTCGAAGAATGGCCTCGATTTGCAAAGAGTTTGAGCGCATCGCTAGAGTGGTCCTTGACAAGGCTGAAAGAGATATGAAGGGCAGGGGCAAGAGAAAGAACAGAGAGGGCGACCCGGCTGCACAATCTGCTCAACGCTCGACGTCTCAGCCGGCGCAAGCGCAAAGAACACCAAGTTTGCCTGCCTCAGCCCTACCTGGACGAACGTCAACGGCATCTCCATCTTTTGGGCAAATGCAACGCCAACCCGGACATCCCTCATCCATGGGACAAATACCCTTTACAGCATCCTCAAACACATCCCCTTACCAAGCTACCAGCATGGCACCAGAGCCCTGGATGCAGAGTGCTCCACCCGCACCAGGAAACATGTTCACTCAAGCCGACAACCGGTTTGCACAAACATTCCCGCAAGATACCAACTTTGACATGCAAGGCTATGGCATGGGACCTATGGGTTCAGATCTAGGTGGTAGCTTCCAACAGCCCTTTGTACCGCAGGACCTGTGGCAGATGCCTATGACGTTGGAATGGGACTGGGCCGATTTCTTTGGCACGGGGCCTGGCTTTGATCTCAACGATCCCACTGGAGGCGGATCTCGTCGCTGAGTGATGGGTGAGAAATATCTGGTCGGCAAGTCATGTAGTTTTATTCCTGTTCGGCTGGCATATCGATGGGGTTCATTTGGCTTTTATGGTGCTTCATATCTCCACACTCCAATCATTCAGCATCTATAGATATTCATATACATGGGACTGGTGTTCTCAAAAACTGGATTTATGACCATGGCCATCTCTGTCCGAAGGATGACCCGGACAGAAGGGTCAATGCCTCAATGCACGTACTTAGCCTCTAGAGAAAAGAAAGATGTCTCTTCTATTGTGTCAATGTCCACACAGGCTCGATGACGGTATCAAAAGTACGAAGCTGGACTTCCAAGTTTTTGTGCCGTCTCCTCAAAAGAACGTTGTCGGGTATACAAGTCGCGGTCAAAGTCAAAGCATATTCTGTATTCAGACAGAATTCAGAAAGACGGCAGAGACAGGGAGATCTAATTCGCTCGTCATTGGCAGTGACGACCGAGACCAAGACGATCCTTTGGTGGTTCCTGCCTGTATCTCGGTTTTGCATGTGACAGCGAGTGGGGAAGCTTCCTTCCATGGTTGGAGAAAGCAAAGGGAGTGACGCGCTTTCCTCTGAGAGTTCAAATACCAGTCTTCAGCTCTTCTGCCATCCTTCAACCATCAGATAACTACACAACAGGGAAAACACACTTCAAAATGAACTCCGTCCCTATCTCAGCCACTAGGCCTACAACCGGCATCCGCGTTGCTCAGGTCGTTGGCCTCACCGCTTCGGCCTACCTTGCTGGTAAGGTGCAATTGTTCACAGGCCGATAACAGCTTATTTACCGTGACTCTCCCAGGCGCTCTCGGAGGCTTCAGCGTAGTTGCCGGACCGGCTTTGCTTAAAGCGCCTGCTCCTTTGCTTGCCAAACAGTGGCAGACAGTCTACGACAATGGCAAAGTAATGGCTCCACCATTGTCTGTCCTATGCTCTGCCATCTTCGGCTATCTCGCATACAGAGGTTTGTCTACGTGCTCTTGGTGACTATTACCACAATTTTGACCCTCTTTTTAGAGCCCACTGCATCTTCCAGCTTCAAGCTCTATACGGCTGCAGCCATCGTGGTCCCAAGTATGATTCCATACACAGTCTTCTTCATGGGAGGCGTGAACAGCAAGCTTCAAGAGAAAGCTTCATCACTGGCCGATGCCTCTTTGACCGACACGGCGGTCGAGTCAGGTGTGGCTCAGGGCGAAACAGTCCACCAGCTTGTCGACAAGTGGCTCACTCTCAATCTCGCTCGCTCCCTACTTCCTCTCTTCGGAACTCTGGCAGCTGGATGGGCAATCGCCGACAAGTTCGAAGTCCTCGGCCTCGGCGCAGTCCTCAAGACTGGTGCCGACCGTATGGGGTAAGGAGGAACAGCCAAAGAAGATGCACATGAGCGCATGACCTACGAGACAGAGAGCATGTGAGATGGTTGAAAGCAGAATTCATTCTTGACGAAGATGACATGGAATCAAGATAGGCATATCAGTAGCCAACGAACGAACAGGGCAGGACATGATTTTGCTTTGTTTTCTGTGTGCCATGAGTAGAAGTCGCGTGCCATGTCGAGATGGCGGATAGCATGTCGTCCCAGATTGGTGTGTCGACCAGCGATAGGCGTTGCAGGCTGGACCGACAGCGGTTTTGAAGGAACAGGTGAAGTTTGGAGGCGTTGAAACCCACTACGCTCCACCACGTCGAGCTGGCGCGCAGGGCGAGTCGTGTCGGGCTGAGGCTTTCAGCCCGTGTGTGGGGGCTGCTACCGGGCCGGGAGTGGACACGTCCGCGGCTGACGAGTCTTTAGCAGCTTCTTCGATAAAGATATCTCTGATGCACTCTGCTTTGGACTATTTTTCGAGCCAATGCCGATCCATGTTCACCTTGTATGTTCAAAGGATACTTGAACACGATATTTAGCATGGTCAGGCTGGGGGAAGGCGTCTTATCACGCAACGGACAGAGATTCGCGGCGCTCAACGCAGGCTTAAACACAGCCCCGCCGAGACCTGTCCCCCGCTTCCTTGGGGCGATAAGAGGGTTCGGCCTTGGCCAAAAATCGCTCGGACAAGAGCTCGACTCGAACGCAGGACGGACAAATTGAGTACGTACCCAGCACCTGCTGGTTCTTCTGATCTTTTGGCCTCTTGACCTTTGTGCTCCATGTCTTTTGCTGTCATCTGCATGTCTCCGTCCACTCGTTGACCCATCGTTGTCCGCCTGTCTCGTCGCGTGCACATCCCCCGCCTTTGCATCTTGGTCTACTACTCCGCCTTTTTGCTGCTCGCAGATAACGGCCCTTATCCCCATCCAACTTTTTTTCAGGTCAATAACCTCTCTGGAAGAGTGTTGAATCTCGGTCTCGATAGGTCGATCTGAGGACATTACTGCTCAGACACGATGGCTCACGCATCCGTCGAATCTGTGGTCCTGGAGACGACAGCTGCTGGACCACCAGCCTCCGTTTCGCCGGCTGTACCAATTCAGATACAGAAAGTCAAGGGCAAGAAGAGGTTTATACAAACTCTACAGCGCATGTCGTCGTCCCCATCTCTGGCCAAGCTTGGTAGGACACCATCTTCAGGTTACAGAACTGGAGGAAGGGCCTCGGCTTCCTGCATATCACTCTCTTCCGGCTCCGCATCTTATGGCTCGTACGGAAACTCGCTGGCTTCTGAGCTCTCTGTCGGATACTCGACAGCCCCAACCTCAGCCGCCACCACCCCGGGCATTCCCTTTCCCTCCTTCGATGAGAAGATAGCTCGTTCCCGTTACCTTGGTTCTGTGCCCGTGCCCGACTTCAGAACTACCACGAGAATCGCTGAAGAGGAGGACTACTTCTCCATACCCGTACACAAGCCCGTGGAGAAGCCCAAGTCTTCTTTCAACTTCTGGAAGGACCTGCCATCCGAGCTGGCTATGCAGATTCTTTCCTATCTTGAGCCTCGAGAAGTCGTCAGATGTTCAGCTGTCTCCAAACAGTGGCACAGCAGATGTTTCGATGGTCAGCTCTGGTCTATCCTCGACACCTCTGACTTCTATCGTGATATCCCCGCCAATGCACTGATCAACATCGTCACCTCTGCTGGCCCCTTCGTTCGCGACCTTAATCTGAGAGGATGTGTTCAGCTTAGGGAACAATGGCACGCAAAAGGTCTATCCGGAGCTTGCAGTAATCTTGAAAACTTCTCTCTGGAGGGGTGCCGCATTGAGAAGACTGCCATCCATTGCTTCCTTTTGCAGAACCCCAGGCTCGTATACATCAACCTCTCAGGCCTCGCCGGTGCCACAAATTCGGCTATGAAGGTCATTGCCGAAAACTGTCCCAAGCTTGAGCATCTCAACGTTTCTTGGTGCAATAATGTTGACACCAGAGGGTTGAAGAAAGTGGTAGAAGCCTGTCCTGATCTTCGCGACCTTCGTGCTGGTGAGGTACATGGCTGGGACGATGTTGAACTCATGCAGCTTCTCTTTGAACGGAATTCGCTTGAACGTCTTATTCTGATGAATTGCGATTCATTAAATGATGAATCCTTGTCAGTCTTGATGGAGGGACAAGATAGCGAGATGGACTACCTGACTGGCAGACGCATTGCTCCTCCTCGAAAGTTGAAACACCTCGATCTAACCAGGTGCCGTGGAATCAGCCACAGAGGTCTTGAAAAGTGTGTCGACAGGCTTCCAGAGATGGAAGGCTTGCAACTCAACAAGTGCCATAGCATCACTGATGGCGTTCTCTCATCCATGCTGAACGGCATGCCCAAACTTACGCATCTCGACCTGGAGGAGCTTACCGAATTGTCCAACGCAGTACTGCAGTCGCTTGCAACTGCTCCTTGTGCAAAGGTTCTGCGACACATTTCCATCTCATACTGTGAGGAGTTGGGCGATGTCGGTATGTTGCCTGTACTAAAGAATTGCACCAACTTGGAAAGTCTTGACATGGACAACACTCGCGTGTCTGATTTATCCCTCGCCCAAGCAGCAGCCATGGTGCGTGCTCGTGCAACACGAACCACTCAAGCCAAGCAACAGCCTGCTGTCGGTCTACGCCTTGCTGCATACGATTGCCAGAACGTGACATGGACCGGCATCCGCGAGGTACTATCACGAAATGCAGAAGTGATTTGCAAGACAGTAAAGCCCGCGCCAGCATCAAATTCCGACAGTGCAGACGTCTCATCTGGCACGCCTCAACCGCGGACCGTCCGCACCTACCCTACACAAATCATCCAACTCAAGTGCTTCTACAACTATCAGCCCACAGTCGAAGAACATACCAAGCGCGTACTACGGGGTGACTTCTCAGCCGCCACACGTCTTGAGCGCAAGTGGGCTGAGTTCATGATCGCTCAGGAAGAGGCCGGTGCCAGCGGTGCCGGTGCGCGCAGACGCCGTCGTCGCGCTCGCGAAGCTCAAATGATGCATGCAGACGAAGAAGAAGACAGCGGTGCAAACGGTGGAGGCGCCGGTGTTGGTGGAGGTCGCAGACGTAGAGCCAGAAGCGGTGGTTGCGTTGTCATGTAAAGCAGAGAAAGGTCTGCTTTTGATGTTTTTATTCCCTCGTTCAAGCGTTTTCTCTTTCTTCGTTCTCTCTCTTTTGGGTAAGGCAACGGGACCAGGACATCTTTTTGGGTTGTGCGTTCAGCGGTTTTTTTCACGCCACATTTTGCATTCTCCACAACACAGATATCCGTGCCATTTCTCCCTACATCGTTCAAGGGGCATTCCGCTTAGATGATATCTACATTCATCAGTCATCGTACGAAAGCTTTCCATTTCCATCAACTCTTCGATATCTTTGATTGACCTCAGTGGCCACAGACTGAAGATAGGCTGAGCGGGAAAGAGAGACTCTGTCTAGAGAGCAGGAGAAAGCATGAGCAAGCTTTTTGGGAGCAGCAGCCCGAAGGTTCACAAGACTTCGTTAGCAGAACACTACCATTTGAAGTGGCGACAAACAGACTCATAATACTGATGGATTGATCTCAGGAAGAGTTTCTTTAGTCGAGCTTCTCCTCTCGAGCAGATAATTTGAACAACACCTCTACATTCTGACTCCACGCCACGCCCTCAACTTCACAGGCCCTTTGTCTTGCAATACGTTTGTGGGCGTGATGTTCCCTGACATGCTCCTTGGCTCTCGATAATCGGTCCTGGATCTGATCAATTGCAGTTTCCATGGCCACCTGCACGGCACCGACTAAGAACATGTTCTTCAACACCACATCGGCAGGATCGTACCAGCCGCCGCCAGTCCCAAACTCTACAGCTCGCTGAGCCATTGATGGCAGGCCCAGCATTTCCTGTATTCTTTCAATGGGTGCCATAAAGGCCTGATGTGCTTGGCTGAAACCAGGGATGCTTTCCAAGATAGGGGCGATGTGCTCGGAGTGTGCAGAGACAAACTCATGAGTAAGGACAAGAAAGTCGTCATTGTTGAGGGTAATGGCGAGGAAGACGAGTTTGACAGCGATGCCTTCAACAACAGCAACAATAACATCGCGCTTCTGAACTCTCAAGTCATTCTATGCGAGAAACCGTAGATGTTGGTGCAACTTGTAAGCACCAATGCCTAAGCAGAAACCATTGATGGCGGCAGCGATAAGCATCTGTGGTGCTACAGAAGCGAGACCAAGGTTGACAGTCAAGCCTAAGCTGTTTCTGGTCACCACTCTGATCCGATGGCGAGTTTTGCGTCGAAGTTCCTTGAGTTCATTTGCAGTAAAGTCGCGAGGAAGGGGACGAACGTGTTTAAGCTTCGGTTTCTTGCGAAGTTCGGCATTCTGATTATAGATGGCCTGGACGACGGAGCCAAATTCATCATCTACGTGATACTGTGGCAAATTGTCTTCGAGTTGGTCAGCAGAATTGGCGTGGGAACCATAAGGAGGTAGTGTTTCCATCGACTCGGAAATGTCACCAGACAGTGAGAATTCGATGGATCGAGTGAAATCGAATTTGGTAAAGTCAATGTTATCATAGTCTCGTTTGGGAGTGTGAGATGCATGACCATAGTGCCGTGAGACAGGATAGATGGTCCAGTCCTTGGGCAAGCCCAAGCGAGCTTCATCAGAGCGTCCATCGCTGGTACGGCCAGAAGACACTTTTGGCCCGTCTTGTTCTTCGCGAGATGCTACGGCGGGTACGGATGGCGATCGCTTGGAGCTTGTCAATTCCGCGTTCGATCTCATCAGCCGGGAATCGTCGACGGAGCGATGGAAGTGAAGACGATCGGTGTCGTGACCCGCTGGAAGATAAGAAAGGTCTCCCGGATCGCTGAGGAAGGTGAAAGAAGCTTCTACCTCTTGAGGATGGATTGAGTGGCGGCGAAGCATTGGTTGGAACGGGTGCCAGCCAAGGCATAGACATGCTCAGGGAGGTGATTTAGGAATGTGATGAGCTGTGATGTTGGTGGACGAACGATTGTGCAGCTCGAACAGATCATAGACTTTTAATGCTCCTTCCCCGATGTGGGATGTTTTCTTGAATCATTGGCAGCTCAAGCCGTTTCTGAATAAAATAGATGATATGAAGTTGTAGAATGCGGCAAGATCGAGGGAGACGCGCCTGCCCCTGAACCCCCGGTCAAGCATCCGCTTCCCTTCACTCCTCCAAGAAGCACTACAACATCATGATCATACTAGATAGCCATCTTCACATCGAACCGGTGTAATAGCACAGCGATCTAGCTCTCGCGTGTCTCTCGTCTAGTTCCACCGGTTCGATTCTGATCAGTGCCATTAAATTGGTACAGCCATGAGGGGTCCCAGTAGTCCTCGCACGGCAATAATCAAGATGGAAGCTCTGCTTTCTCTGCCCTCCCAAGCAATCACGGCGGCTAGGGGGTTTCTGTTTTATGAGATTGTCCACCTTGGACTTTGTTGTACTCGAGCATATCGATATTTATACAAGAGACCAGGGGCAATGAAGGATTCGCGTGAGATGAACGATATTTGTGTCGTAAAGAATGTTTTCATTAAGCATCTACTCAAGCAACAGCAACATCCTTCTTCTTCCTCAAGAAAGCAACACCCTCAACATGACCAGTCTGAGGGAAGAAATCAAAGCCTCTCAAACTCTCAATCTCATACAAGCCTTTACCTCCATTAATGCCAGCAAGACCTCCAACCAAGACACCCACATCTCTAGCCTGAGTGTGCACGTTGCAACTGACATAGCACACCCTCTCAGGTCCAAACTGCAGCAACTGGCCAAGGAAGTTCTCATCACAACCCTTTCTCGAAGGATCAATGACGACGGCAGTCTCGGCAGCAGGGAACTTGATTTCGGCGAAGATGTTGTTGGCGTCACCAGCGAGGAAGCGCGCAGATGTGGGAGGGATGTTGTTTAGTTTGGCGTTTGTGGAGGCGAACTCGATGGATTTTGTCGAGACATCGATGCCGATGGAGTTCTTGAAGAGAGGTGATAGAGTGACGGTGAAGAGGCCACTGCCAGAATAGGCGTCGATCAGGTTTGTGATCTTGGGTGCATCCGCTGGTTGGTCCTTTGGCAGAATGTTGTCGCGAATGTACTGAGTGAAGCTGGGAAGAATAGAGTTGTTGTTCTGGAAGAAAGAACCGGCAGGGTTGTCGAAGCGGAAGTCGTCGACATACTCTGTCGAAACAGCGTTCTGGTCAGTGACGCATGTCTTGCGATGAATGTGTGCGCCACGGTCCTCGTCAATGTAGTCCTTGGACTCGCTCGCTGGTGCAGCAGCCTGAGTCTCGATAGGTTGCTCTTCAGCAGCACCGCCGTTGGTCTGCTGCCCTTGAGGTAGATCCTTCTTGTCGATACGCTTTGTGCTTTCACGAAGCAGCAATGTGGCACCACGCTGGTACTTTTCCAGTTCGACCTTGACTCTTTCTCTCTCGTTCTTCATACCCATGCGCACAGCATCCGTACCGATAGGGCAATCCTCAATATCCATAGTCTTACGAGTTCCCTTCAGCATGAAACCGATCGGCGGTACCTCCGAGAAGACAGCTTTGACACCTTGACGTCTGTCCCTTCTGCCACCAGGAGGACCATCGAAGTGAGGAGTCAACTTGGTACGGTATCCGTATTGCAGAGGTGAGCCAATTGTGTCGCCAATAGCAGGGACAAGGTGTGCGGGCAGGTTGCAGAAGTTCTTGTAGGCTTTTTCGACGATGCTCTTCTTGTGGTCCAGCTGGTATTGGTAGGGGAGGAATTGGAACTGGCAGCCAGAACACTTGGAGAAGTAGCCGCACTTGGGCAGAGAGTCATCGCGGTGGGTCGAGGGTTCGAGGACCTTGACAAAATCGGTCAAGGTGTAGTTTGTGTCTTGCAGATGCTTGATAATCTTGACAGTAACCTTGTCGCCAGGGGCGGTGAAGGGAACAACAGCAACTTGGGAGGAACCAGGGATGACAGCTAGACCGTCGCCAGTGGACGAGAGTTCTTCAATTGTGACATCGTACTCAGTGAAAGGCTCTGGTAGTTTGGGAGATGAGGCTTGTTCTTCTGGTTGGTCTTCGGCAGGCTTCGAGGCGATCGAGTGCTTCTCGAGTAGGGCGCGGACATCGGCGATCAAGACTTCTTCATTGGAACCCTCCTTGACGGTAGTCTGCTTTTGCTTCTTGTTCTTCTTGAAGTGTCTCTTTCCCTCATTGAATTTCCTTTTCTGAGGCTGGTTGGACTGAGCAGGTGCTGAATCAGCCATGGTCGGTCTGAATGTGGCTGCACGGGACAGCAATGTGGTTCTAGAAGAAAACAGTGAAATAGACCGAGTGGCAGCAAAAAAGTGTCGCGACAGCATTGAGGAACAAAAAAGCGAATGGTCAGCAAAACTGGAGTTCAATGCTGCTGACCAGAGTTATGCACACACTTTTGTGCCAGTTATGCCAGGATTATTCCACCTCCGAGACTCCGCAACCTTCAGGTCTGTTCTTGGCATTCTGAAATTCGTCCCAGTTGCGGGCGTATACCAGTCGTTGCTTTCTGTGTCTGTGTGAAGGCTAGTTGTTTCTCGCCGCTATCCAGGACCATGAAGACGACACGCTGCCTCTTCTGCCGCTTCGCCCCGGCAGCGACACCAAAGTCGCAACCCTCGTCGTCGCGCGCCTTCAGCTCAACGCCAGCAGCATCAGCAAAAGGCAAGCCCGCATACCCAAATGTCAGAGCCGTCGATCTCGGCCTCGTCCAACAGCGCGTCGACTCGGCCGCCCGCACATTCAAGCCCTACACGCCGCGAGAAAAGCAACTGCTGGCTCTGAAATACACTCCTGCCCAGGTGCGCGCCATCGAGGCCGCAGAAGCATCTATCGACCCCAAGGATGTCGTTACCCAAGGCAAGATCCGCCGCGACACTTTCGCTCTCAACTACATCGACGACCTTGCAAAGATCCAACCGCTGGTGGACAAGCCTGTACGCGCTCCCACTGCAGACATTGATCCCGGCATCCGCATGCGCACCGAAGACGAAGTGCTCGAGCGCTTTGCCCAATGGACCGAAGACTTTAATCGCAGACGCCAAGAATACGAGACACGCATGGAGAGCATGGACGGCGATGCACTCGAGCAAGAGCTGCTAATAAAGAGCATTGAAGCTGGCATATACCCCGGCGACAACCTTTCGCCCGACGAGCGCCGCGCCCGCCTGCGCAAGTACGCAGACCACTTCGAAGGCCCCAACGAAGTCGCTGAGTGGAACGCCTTTATCGGAAACGCAAACAACTTTTTCTTCTCGCCCAAGGGCACGTTGGACTCGCAGGCAGACAGCTTGGCTCCTGAGATGCCCAAGATCAAGAGTTTGGGCGTGAAGTTCGAGTCTGAGGATGATGATCCCCATCTTCAGCGTTTGATGCAGCAGACTGGTATGACCAAAGAGGCAATCAGAAAGATCAGATGCAAGAATTTGGTCAACCACCGTGTCGTCAACCAGACCCGCATGGGTAAGATTCAGTCAATGTACTACCTGACCATCGCTGGAAACGAGAACGGCATGTTGGGTATTGGCGAGGGCAAGTCGGGCGAAGACGAAGACGCCATCCGTCAAGCCCAGTATGCTGCCATCAGGAACATGAAGCCCATTCCTCGTTATGAGAACCGCACCATCTTTGGTGAGGTCGAGGGCAAGGTCGGCGCTTCTGTCGTCCAGCTCTCTTCCCGTCCACCAGGTATATTCCTTGCAACACCTACCACTGTTAACAGTCTTCATGCTAACATTTCTACCTCAAGGCTTTGGCAACAGATGCCAACACCTCATCTACGAAATGGCTCGTGCAGCAGGCATCTCAGACCTCAGCGCCCGCTGCCCTCGCAGTCGTAACCCCATGAACATCGTCAAGGCCACCTACGAAGCTCTCATGAAGCAACGCCTACCTGAAGACGTCGCCCGTGCTCGTGGTCGCAAGCTGGTCGATGTGAGAAAAGTCTACTACCAAGGTTTGACTTCATAGACAGTCTCCTTGTCATGTAATTCATTCTGTATTATATCTATTTGCACATGTGCTATGTGTAGCCTTGTATCTTGAGCTACCTTCTGAGCCGCCTCTTACAATACCAAGCAAAGACATGTTTGACTGTTCCATGTTTTCTTTCACTGGCACTGTGTTCATGGTCAGGCTGAGCCATCACCACCAAGCAATTTCCTCTCATGACTCACGACTGAACAGAGGATCCGATTATTACTCGATTCCAAGCAGCTCCTTCAGAGACTCTTTTGGATCCTCAGGGATCTGCATCGAGAAAAAGGCTCTGGCAATATCTTGCTACACGTCAGTCAGCAAGCAATCTCTTGTCTTTTAGTCTCGAGAATTGCATACTGCCTCCTCGAGATCCTTTGTCTCGCTTTCTGACAGTATCGCGCACGCCGCGACTAGATCTTCTCCTCTAGCAGCAAGCAGAATAAGTTCCTCAGCTCTGTTCGTGACCTCTAACGATATACCGTTCAAGGCTGCACAGACTGTGCCGTAACTGTTGTTGCTGCGTCCCTGCTTGTAGCTATGTTGGTGTTAGCAATGATCGATGCTATAACATGAGTATGTGCAGATCTTACTTGTAGAGATAGGTCAACTGCTCGTCAATCTGTTGTGACTGTGGGTCTACACGGACTTCGAAGTGGCCGAAGGCAAGACGCTCATGAGGAAGGAGGAAGCCGCTCTCGAAAATTTCTGTATGAACGTCAGACCAGTGGTTCCGTACTGGAAAAAATCTGTCTTAAAAACATACCATGGAAGTGTGTAGCACCGATGACTTTGGGACATCCGTCTCCTCTCTCGAGCAGATGGTTGAAGACGCCGGCAGCCAGTCCTGCACCATCTGGACAACATGTCAACTACAAACTCAAGAAAGATTGTTTTGGGGCTTACCATGTGAGTCAGTGCCCTTGCCAAACTCATCGATGATCAACAAGCTCCTGTTTGTGGCCAGATTCAATGCCACGGATATCTGCTGCAGATCAATCATAAAGGCACTTTGATTCTGATGAAGTCAGTCTCAGTAGTCCTACGATACGGCTGCAAGACTCACCCTTGAAACGCTCTCTCTAGTTGCCACTCGTGTCATGAGCTTGTCTGTGAGACCGATTTCCGCTTTGGTCGCTGGTACAAAGCTCCCAACGTGTGCCATGAACACGATAATGGCCACTTGCTTGAGGTAGACACTTTTGCCCGAGAAGTTCGGTCCCGTCACCAAGATCATGCTCGGTATTACACTACCGTCCTCTGTGAGATACTGGGGTGCTGCAGATGAGTCTCCTTGATAATCAATCGATGACTCGCCCTCACCGCCCGCCAGGAGAGTGTCATTCGGAATGAAGTTCGACACGACCTTTTCCTGTAGGATATGTCTACCATGATGAGCATTGAGCTTGTGATCATCAATCCTCATACAAACTGACCTTCCGCCTCTGATATCCAGAACATTCGTTTCTGTCAGTCGTGGCCGTACAAGATTATGATTCCTCGCTCCCTGTGCCAGAGCTAGGATGCTGTTTATGAGTTAGTCATTGCAAGGTATCACCGCTTTGGCAGCTCCTACCAATCAATCTCAGCACACACATCAGACGCCGTTGTGAGAAGATCTTCGTACTGCAAAATCTTTTCTGCAAGCTCATGAATGATTTCGATCTCTCTGTCTAAGCATTGTCAGCATGATCCAACACCAGATAAAACTCACTGACCGCAGATGCGTCCATATATGTCTCCGAAGTACGAGTCCATCTCGATGACATTCTCGTTCTTGTAGTAGGCAAAGTCTTCAGTGGTGAACATCTTCTCCCACGGTTCGTTCTCGGGCCCCTCGAAGACTCCGTGACCAGTGATTGGGTCCTGAGGTATCGCGATCAAGAAACCGATTTGAGGGAAGAACACGGCATTGATGTTTGCGTGCAAATCTGCAGGTACTGATTGGGCGACGTGCGAAGCGACCTGGATCAGAAGACTTTCGAGCCCTTCATAGGTCCGTTTGAGCTCATCCAGATCATGATCCACACCTTGTCTAACAACATTGCGACCTTCATCTCGGGAGAGTTCAAAGTCGATCACCTCAGTAATGCTCTTGCCAACTTCAGCAAGTTGAACACCATGGAATTGTTCCATGACTTTGTTTCGAATCGCGAGTCGTTCTCCGCCAATGACTTCCTGAAAACAGTCTTTGATCTGTAAGGCATGGTATGCAAATAGGCGAATGCCACTCCAAATGAAGTTTGGTGGACCTCTTTTGCTTACTCCAGCATCACTGATGCCTTTGCGGAGTTTGATCATAACGGTCCTCATGTTTTTTATCTTGCTCAGATTCTTGATCAGTGTTTCCATTTGTTCTGAATTTTCAGCACGGAGTAGAAAGCTGATGGTGTCAAGGCGCTCGTTGATAACGTCCATGTTTATACTGGGTCGCAAAAAGTACTGTCGCAGCAAGAGCTTGCCCTGCGGAGTACGCGCGAGAGTATGAAACAGACCGTAGACGGAGAAACCTTCCTTGGAACCCGAGTTTGTCTTCGCAGGACCTTGGTTGTGCGAATGTGGGTGCGACTCGGACTGAATTATTTGCAGTGAAAGCAATGTATCCGCGTTGACGAACCTGATCCCTGTCAGTTATCTTGGAAGAAAAAGGTATAGCTTGCCGGAGGGCTTACATAGATCCAGCAAGTGTAAACATCTCGATTGTTGAGATACGGTGCATTGCCTGAGCAGCAACATCGCCAGGCAAGAAGGTCGCTGCCCGTTTGCGATGAATATACGCAAGAATTGCACCAGCACAACCGACAGTCACCCTGCTATCGACATCAATCCAACCAGCCAGCCTGAGCAACTGCCCCTGGCGGCTCTCGACTGCAGCGTCTCCAGCTATGTGTCCTTCGTTGCTCTCAGAAACAAGATCTCCAGGAGTAACAAATGTGATTTTGGGTCCATCCTCATGATCGAGCTTGAGTCCCGCAAGCCTGTTTCTGGCCGATTCATAGGAGAACTCGGATACAGGACGGGGCGAGCACAAAGCCGGCATGCCGTACGCTGTACTATCCCCGTCACTCATATTCCGTCGATCTGGATCAAGCTTGTCCAGTACTGTGTCGTCGAGCTTAGACGACACAAGAATGATGGTAGGTTTGATGAATATTTTCACTGCCTTCTGTTAGTGGCGACAAAGGGCGAGGATTTCTTTGAACACTTACGAGCTTCGATAATGTCTAGACCGCCTAGCTCGATATCTTCCATGAAGTACAACTTCTCTTGTGCAGCAACGTAATATGCACAACCGACGGTACCGCGAGGCTTCCAGTCTACTGCCATAACGATTTCATCAAGAGTCTCGTCACTGGCATTGTCGTCGTAGTCGTCTCGGCGAAGCGAGGGTGTGATTGAGGTTGGTGGTTGTCGAGGTACTTGATGTACCACACTCGGGACGGACGAACCTTGTCTAAAGTTGATGGACGGGTTGGGGGTTGTCAGTCTTGAAGCAGTCAAAGGAGTGACCGATTGCTGTCGTGGTGCTCGAAAAGATGAATTGCGAGAGGTTGCGCCATTGGAGCGATTGTAGTATGATCCACGACCGCGGCCACGTCCACGTCGAACACGGCTAGAGGACGAGGTACCTCGACCACGCCCAGACGAAGATGAGGTTTCACGGCCGCGCCTTGATGAACCACGATGCGGATTCATGGCGACCTTGTTGTGATGAAAATTATTGTTTACGTTGGTTGGTCAGCTAAGGTCGGAATTTTGAAGGTGCAAGGCTGAATCATACATTGGGAAGGAGCGATCTGCCTTTGAGCGCTCCTTCTCACCTGGATGAACTCAACATTGAGTGGTGTCTTCATTATCAGCTGGTATCTTACATATGTACATGTCTTGTTCTGCTAATTCCAAATCAAGCCCATATAATCCTTCCTCTCTAAACTCCTGTGCTATGCGTTACACGTTATTCTTACATTTCCGAAAACAAGTCACTATGAGGACTCAGGTGTGAGAACCTCAAGATGTTCTCCGTCAGAGCCAACGGCAACCTTAGCAACATCTCCGGTCTTGATTTGTCCGCGAATGATCTTGTCGGCCAATCCGTTGCCAATCTCCTTAGAGATGAGGCGGTTGAGAGGGCGGGCACCGTAGCGAGGCTCGTAACCCTTCTCGCAGAGCCAAGCTTTGACGTCGTCTGGTACTTCGAGCTTGATTCTGCGATCATCAAGTCTGGCCTGCAGCTCCTTGAGACGAATGTCGGTAATGTCTCTGAGAGCTTCGCGTGATAGACGCTTGAAGATGATGAACTCATCAACACGATTCAGGAACTCGGGGGCATAAGCCGACTGTACCACATCCATGACATTCTGCTTGACCTCAGCTGAGATCTCGCTGTTGGAGCTCTCATCTGTCAGAAGTGCTTCGGCACCCAGATTTGACGTCAGCACAATCATGGTGTTGCGGAAGTCGATCTTGTGTCCTTGAGCATCAGTGAGGAAGCCTTCGTCAAGAACCTGTAAGAGAAGAGTTGAAATGTCTTTGTGTGCTTTCTCAAACTCGTCAAACAGAAGCACAGCATATGGCTTTCGTCGAACGGCCTCGGTGAGTTGACCAGCGTCCTCGTAGCCTACGTAGCCAGCAGGACTTCCGATCAAACGGCTGACGGTGTGCTTCTCCTGGAACTCACTCATGTCAAATCGAAGAACTGCAGACTCAGTGGAGAAGAGGAACTCGGCCATCTTCTTGCAAAGCTCGGTCTTGCCAACACCGGTAGGTCCTAGGAACATGAAAGATGCCAAAGGACGGTTCTCGCCGTTCAGTCCTGCACGTTGCATGCGAACAGCGTTGGCGACGGCTGTGAGCGCTTCGTCCTGACCACGGACAGATTGACGCAAAGTGTCCTCCATGTGAACGAGCTTTTCAATCTCGCCTGACATCAGCTTGTTTACAGGAATTCCGGTCGTTCGTGCGACAACTGCAGCAATATCGTCTGCGTTGACGGAGTCATGCAAGAGAGTGTTACCATCAGCATCGACTGCCCCCTCTGCACCCTCTTTCGGAAGCTTCTTCTCCAGCTCTGGAATCGTGCTGTAACGTAACTCACTGGCACGAGCCAAATCAGCTGCTCGCTGGGCCTGCTCGAGATCAAGGCGAGCTTGTTCGAGCTTCTCTTTGATACCCTTGGCTTCTTCAATTTCTGCTCGCTCCTTTTCCCACTTCTCAGTGAGCAGGCCGACTTCATCTTGCTTGAGGGTGAGATTCTTCTCGAGCTGCTCTCTGCGTTCTTGGCTGGCGATATCCTTTTCCTTTCGTAGCGACTCGAGCTCAATTTGAATGGTCATGATCTCGCGATCGAGCTTCTGTATCGCATCGGGCTTACTCTCCTGCTGTAGTCGCAAAGCACTACTGGCCTCGTCTACCAGATCAATTGCTTTGTCTGGTAGAAATCTGTCGGTGATGTATCGATTACTGTATGTAGCGGCAGCAACGAGAGCCGAGTCGGTAATGCGGACACCATGATGCACCTCGTAGCGATCCTTGATGCCTCGAAGAATAGAGATTGTATCTTGCACGCTAGGCTCACCAACTAGGATAGGTTGAAAACGTCGAGCAAGAGCAACGTCCTTCTCGATCAATCTGTACTCGTTCAGGGTGGTGGCGCCACAGCACTGTAGCTCACCACGAGATAGAGCAGGCTTGAGTAAGTTGCTAGCATCGATGCTACCTTCGGCTTTACCAAGTCCAAGAAGAGTGTGAAGTTCGTCGACGAATAGGATGACCTTGCCCTCGGCTTTTTGGGTTTCCTCGAGTACCTTCTTCAGACGTTCTTCGAAGTCGCCACGAAACTTTGCGCCAGCAATGAGTGAACCGAGATCCAAGGAGACGACTTTCTTCTCCCTGATGCTCTCGGGAACGTCTCCTCGCACGATTCGTTGCGCGAGACCTTCGAGAATGGCAGTCTTACCAGTACCCGCTGAGCCAATGAGCACTGGGTTATTCTTGGTACGGCGTGACAGGACTTGGATGGTTCGTTGAATCTCAGCATCTCTTCCGATGACGGGATCGAGCTTGCCATCTCTGGCGCGTTGTGTAAGGTCAATACCATACTGTTCCAGGGCGGGCTTTTCTTCTTCACCGCTCATGTTCATGCGGTGGGTGCCGCCCGGCGGGTGTGGTCGACCGCTACCGCTAGCATAAGTACGAGCTTGCGATAATAATGGTTGAAGTGTTCTGGGTGATGGTGGATGTGATATTAGTCGAGTTTTTGAGCGTGCGAGGCCTGTTAGAGAGCTCGCGCGCAATGTGGCAACGCGCGAGACGCATCTGCTTCTTGCCGCGAGCATGGTGAAAGCGACAGATTGTTATGACTTGGTTTGCTGGACAGGAGGGAGTCGCAATATGGCCTACAGCAGCTTGATATACTTAACTGCCTACAAGAACTACTCAAGCGCGATGGCAATTGACGATGCTTCTACGCGATTCTCGAAAATGTCGATGTCACCGACTCCAAGGCAGCGCGTCAAAGCTCCTCGGGCAGCGCCAAGACGGGCTCGAAACAGAAAGAGGGCGAAAGAGAAAGCAAAGCAGAGCTTCTGGTCCAGACGGAAGTAACCGCGCTGTGAGCTGGAAAAATTGCGAGCCCCTCGTCCAACAGTCTGCCTCAACTTCCCCGTATCCTCTTCTTTTTCCTCTTCTCACATTTTTTGACATAGCACAATCACAATGGGTTTCATCGACTTCGTTTCCGACGCTGGCCTCACTCGTACGCTACTCCCGTCATGCTCGCCGCCCTTTGTAGCTAGGCGCTAACCCGACATCAGTCCTTGAGAACTGGACCAAGACCCGTTCCTACATTGTTGGGTATGTTGAAAGAGCTCCCCTCCTCCCACCTACCCCTCCTCTTCGTTTACAGGATGTAAAAAAATTGGTCCGTGTTTCTGAGGCGGCTTAAGACCCCGCTACACGATGTCAAAACAATGCGCTTGTCGCAACACTGATACCTCACCTTCACAACCTTGTCACTCAACCTAGTCCTCGGCGACATCTAGCTGACAGCATCTGTAGATACGGTCCTTCCCAGGCCGATGTCAAGACCTTCCAGGCCCTGAAGGCTTCCCCTGACGTCGCCAAGTACCCCCACGCCTACCGCTGGTACAAGCACATCGCCTCTTTCGAGTCCGAGTTCTCTTCGCTCCCCGGTGACCCAACCAAGGAGTTCACTGCCTACGGCCCTGAGTCCGCTGAGCTCACCGTCAACCCCTCCAAGGCCACTGCCAACGCTGAGGAGGAGGATGATGACGACGTTGACCTCTTCGGCTCTGACGATGAGGAGGAGGATGCTGAGCACGCCCGTATCCGTGAGGAGCGCCTCAAGGAGTACGCCGCAAAGAAGGCCGGCAAGGTCAAGCCCGCTGCCAAGTCTATCGTCACCTTGGACGTCAAGCCCTGGGGTGAGTGCTGCAATATCAACCTGCAAACGACATCTTGTACTGACCAATATTCCAGACGATGAGACCGACATGAAGGAGCTCGAGGCCAACGTCCGTGCCATTGAGAAGGATGGTCTCGTTTGGGGTGCCTCCACCCTTGTCCCCATCGGTTTCGGTATCAAGAAGCTCCAGATCAACTTGGTCGTTGAGGATGACAAGATCTCGCTCGATGAGCTCCAGGAGCAGATCCAGGAGGACGAGGACCACGTCCAGTCCAGCGATATCGCTGCCATGCAGAAGCTGTAAAGTGCTGACACAGCACTGGACGAGTCATCCACGTTGGCGGATCGCCTGTATCTGATCCCAAGTACAGGTGTGAACTGCTTGAGACCTCTGTCGCTCTTCGTTGCAATGATCACTACGAGAGTAACATGTCCTGCAGTAAGTGATGGGTTAATGAGCTTCATGGCATGCATTTAGAAAGCGCAAAAATGAAAAAAGACAAAAACCCAGGGATACATAATGATACCCCACCCACATTTATGTTTCTCCTTCACTGATGCCTCTCGTGACAATCTCTTTGCTGTTTCCCATTGTACACTCCAGCCGAGCACCATACATGGAAAATTTGTGTTGAGCCACCGACCTCTTTCACACGTTGACATGCGCTGACATCTCAAGCTATACCACCACTTGTCACTCTCAACAAACTTCACGAGCATCGCTTGTTACTACAAAGAATCTTCAAGCTGCAAAGCCAACGGCAGTCGAGCACATGGGCTAATTAATCATAGCCTACTACACCACAAGCTTGGCGATGAGGATATGCGATTTCGATACCTTGCGCCGTGGTGCCGAGAGATCGTGAGCTTCGCTACAACTGCACGTGAGTTTCTACAAGCATATGGAACAAACAAGTCATGCGAAATGGTTATTTGGTCAACACTCCTTCCCGTGCCAACTTGGCTGTGAGAAGGGGCTTCATAAACGAACACTCTCGATATTGACATGAAAGTTTAGGGGTGTATATAGCAGCGCTTAGGTACGTTGATGCCAATATGCAGCACGAACGACAAATCGAAGAGGGACCGTTCAGCTGTGAGCTATGCAATTTCAGCTTTGCAACGAAGCTAGAAATATGGGAACGTATCAGCGAGCAGGGTCCATCCAAATAGGGTGATTATATCTCTTATAACTTTTCACAGGTCACTAAGTCAATGCCTCTCTGCACAGTACCAGCGAAACACCTACACCTGAGCCCAACAATGAGAGCGCCCATGATAGTGCCATATACTAGGTCTCATTTATGACAAATGCTTCCAGGTGTGTTGTGGAGAGGGCAAGAGAAGACAAGACTATATGTTCATCTACAGATATAGTGGTCCTACAACAATGAAGACGAACTCATAGAGAGAATCCCTTAGAAGGCTATCTCCATGGTCAGCCCGATATTCAGAACGCAACTGTGCATCTTGACATTTCATAATGCCTTTGTAGAAGAGATCAATCGCATTATCGTGACGGTCTTCAGCACGATGACGGAGTTGTAAGGTGGAGGGAGGAGCTCGACGATTTGTTCAAGAGGAATCAAAGAGCTGCGGATCGGTGCGCCACGAAGAGATCAAAGACCATGCCTGGCGCGAGACACAATCGGGTCTTCAAAGTAGTCGATCAACTACCTCTGAGAATAAGACACGGTTCATGTCAAAGCTAAAAGAAAAGCTCTTGGCTGCCTTTGCATACGGTACATGTCGTTTTTAGTGCATATCAGCCTTTTGGGGTGTCGCAAGTTCTGTGACTGAAGATTGGAACTTGGGAGTGCAAGGGCGTTTGAGACAATTGGGACGCCATACGAGGGGTGGGAGAGATTCTGAATGAAGACAGGAGATTTCGTCAACGGATTGGAGGTTTTGATGTTCGTTAAATAGTAGAGAAGCTAAGAGTACACCGTCGCGCGTGCCCTGTTGCAATCGCTCGCCCAAAGTTCAATTTTGTTGAGTAACATCTTCCATGTTGTTTGGTACGAAAGAAGTGATTTAGTTGGCCATGTAGCTCTTGGAGTCGATACCGCCCTCGGGGAACTCACTAGAGGTGTATTAGCAAACGCACTTAGGATTTGAGAACATTCATGAGGACTTACGGCAAGGCGACTTCGAATCTCTTCTCGATAGTCTTGAGAACCTCCTGGTCTTGCTCGCTGCTGACGAAGGAGATACTGAGACCCTTGGTACCGAAACGACCAGCACGACCGACACGGTGAAGGTAGGAGTCGGCGTCACCAGGAAGATCGTAGTTGATGGCAAGGTTGATACGCTCGATATCGATACCACGACCGAAGACGTCGGTAGCAACACAGATACGCTTGTTGAACTCCTTGAACTCCTTGTAACGCTTGATACTGCGAGGAAGTCAGTTTCTGTCTGTTTTGTCAAAGAGCAAGATACGTACCGTTCCTCCTGAGAGACACCAGAGTGAACAGCGATACTGGGGAAGTTGCACTCGCGCAGAAGCTTGTCGAGCTCGGTGGCACGGAGAGTGCTCTTGACGAAGATGATGACCTGGTTGAATTCCAGCTCGTCGAGGAGGTCGTTGAGCTTGCGGTTCTTCTCGGCCTCGCTAAGCTTGATGTAGTATTGCTGGAGACCGTGGAGAGTGAGCTTGGTCTCGTCATCAACGTAAATCTCCAGAGGATTACGCATGAACTTCTTGCAGATGGGGCGGGTCTCCTGAGAGAGTGTGGCCGAGAACATCATAACCTGCTTCTGAGTTGGGGTAGCACGGAAGATTTCCTGGACATCGCGGCGCATATCTATTCGAGGATTAGCTGTTGAAAATGCCAAAGGCTATAAATGAGCTTACCGATCTGGTCGAGCATCTTGTCGCACTCATCGAGGACGAAGCGCTGGATGTTGCCGAGGCGGAGCTTCTTGTCTCTGACGAGGGCGTTCAGACGACCGGGAGTGGCGACGATGATGTGAGGGTGAGTTTCCTTGTTGGAAAGGAGCTCAATGTCCTTCTGCATGGGAGTACCACCGTAGAAGACGGCGGTCTTGACGTCGGGCATGTATTTTGTGAATCTGGCGTATTCGTTCTTGATCTGGTAGGCGAGCTCACGGGTGTGGCACATAACCAGGACCGAGGTCTCACCCTCGATGGGCTCCATCTGTTGAAGAGTTGCGAGAACGAAGACGGCAGTTTTTCCCAAACCGGACTTGGCCTGGCAGATGACATCGTTACCGAGAATGGCTTGAGGAATGCACTCCTGTTGGACTGGATATCGCAGCTATGTCAGAATCGGTCTTGCCAAGTAGTAATGTGTTCGCGTGAATCAAGCAAGCGTCCGTCCATCTCCTGTCCAGGCTTCGCTAGTAGGCTTGCGATCAATGAAAAAAATCAACTATGCGATCAAAAAGCACTTGTCCAAAAACAGAGGTGCAAAACAAAGCCGGGAGACGGCGCGTCCAGATTGCAAATCAAGAGTTCAATTGGCGCCAGGCACACAAGACTCATTCAGACCAAAGGTCAGACTGCATGACGCGCCTTTTGTCGCATTGCTCGTGTGTTCACGGCATGGCTTCTCCCTCGGAATCCGGCAGCTGTCAAACCAAAGTCGAGTCTGCACCACAGTCGAAATGTAGCGCAGAGCGGACTGGCGACGCGGGATGTGTCCAGGTGGCTGGCAAATGCAAAGAAACGCTGACTGCCTCCTCTTGCTTTCTACCTGATGGAGCTTCGCTTGGAGATGGACGGACGATCGGAGCAATGGAGACGCGCGCTAGATAGGATGATGATGAATGGACTAACCCTCCGAAGGATGCTCGAAACCGCAGTCGGTAATGGCGCGAAGAAGCTCGGGCTTCAACAGGAAGTCACGGAAACCAGTCGAGTGGATACCAACGTAACTGCCCTTGGTGGCAGCGCCTGCAGCAGGTGCGGCGCCATCTGCCTTCTTTGCGTCACCGTTGGCAGCGGCGGCGTCAGTGGTGGTGGCGGTGGGCTCAGTGGTCTGAAGCTCCTCGTCAGAGTAGTCGATGAGATCCTCCTCGGCAGACATATTGCTGGTGATGTGTGGGTGGTGTGAGGGAGTCGGGTGTAAGGTAAGGCGCGTAAGAGCGACGCGATTCGAGGTAAGTTGCGAGTTGTGAGTTGAAAAGGGAAAAAGCGCCTGATGGTCCAATCAAGGGAACAGGTGCTGCTGATGGATCGAAGAAGGGGTGGTGGTCAGAAGTGATGGAGATGGACACGAACGACAGCTGAGATGGACAGGAATGCGATGCGATTGAGCTTGGACCGCCTGCCTATTGTTCGCGCACGTGACTTCACTCCATAGCCGATCCTACCTGAGATGTTACTTCTCACTTTCAACAATGCTAATTGTCGTGTATTACTAAAGTTAATACTCAAATCACTTTCGGCTCAGCATATGACTTGTTTGGGAGGGTGTATGAACATAAAACTTGCGTGTCTATTCCAGGCGATCATTTTCAAGGCCGGCGAGAACACATGGCATGTAGCGAGCTTAGTGAAAGAAATTTGTGTCCTTTCGAAGGTACCATAGCACGATCTTGGTCGTAATCAAAGGATACAGATATACTCCATGTGCTACAGATATGTACCTTTCAAGGCTATGAACACCCCAAAGTACTCAAACCCTTGCTGCCGTGCATTTCAGTATCATGCCAGGGTGCTCCCCTCGACACGCATCACCGTCGAAGCTTACATAAGCCACTGCGCAAGCCAAGCACAGACCTTTTGCAGCTTCTATAAAACTTGCCTGGTCCTCGCCCTCAACTAAGTTTCTTTTTCTATCTATCAGTAGGTGACTAATGTCACTTTGCGCTTCCGCTACGGCGGCTTGCTATGTGTTTTCCTATTCTCTATGGAATTCGTATCGTTCCCTGGCGCATAGAGGGAAGTGAGCCCTCACCTAACATCTGCGTGTAACGCCAAATGTGCGACGGAGGTGTGGGAGGGCTGCGACATCTCTTCAATTTGAAGAAGTTTTTTTCTGGTGTAGATTTTTCTACAGTGACACTTTACAGAGCGTTCGTGCAGAATGCAAATGCTCTCTGGTCTTGGATATTAGCAAGACAAGATTGTGTTTGCGCATTACGCGCTCGCCATTCGTAAAACGTCGTCTGCATTTAGAAGACTTCCGTCTCATCATGCTTGACTAGTCACACATTGAAGTCATGCTGGCGCCAGCTATCTGCTGTCTATGATATAGACGTATCGCAATCTACTCACATCTTCATACCATGTTATGCGTCTAAACCACGAATTGATGAACTTTCGAAGATCTCAAAAAGTAGTGTTGTAATACATGTCACAAAATCACTGACCAGGAAAAGAAACATTTTTGGGTGTTGCAAGTCATCTTGATTTTCATCCGTGCTTGCTAACATTATTGGTACTTTTTTCTTTCCTTCATAAGGAGCACACACCACTAACGAACAAATGAATGTCCTCTAGTAGACGCGCTTGGGGGGAGACATGGAAGCCTTGATGGTCAAGCTTCCAACGTTCTGCCAGCCCTTCTTGAGAAGAGAGACGAGGTAGTTGATGGACAACATGATGTTACCGATCAGCTCATCCTCGGTCATGTCGACGTTGCCGACAGCGACACCCATGCAGAGAACCTTCTTCAGCTGGAACTTGACGGTGGACTTGACCTCGGTGATCTTGCCAGAAAGGTCCTCAGAGTGAGAGACGGGGGTAGGGAACTTGCCGGCTGTTTTGCTTGTTAGTGAATGCTCCGAGTTGTGTAGAAATTGCAGATGCGCTTACCCTTGGAAAGACCGGGGCCCAAGAGACGAGGAATCTGCTTGATCAAAGCCTCGGAAGCGATGAAGGCATCGTACTTGCGAGCGAGCTTCTTGATCAGCTTCTTGTTCTTGTTGAGCTTTCTCAAGTCCTCAGCGGACATGGCGTCAACACCGCCGTGCTTGGCACGGTCGATATCGTGCTGGTCACCGAGAATGCTGTGGTTGTCCGTCAGCCGTCGTGTCCTCCCTTGCTCTTTCAGACTTTCGAATCGTACCAGATGGCCATGTTGGGGCGGGGGACCTTGGGGAGCTTGACGGTACCAGAGAAACGCTTGTCACGCTGGGGGTCGTAGTTCTTGAGGCCGATCTGGAGCTCGACGGTCTCGAGGAAGTTGCGCTTCTTCTCATTGAGGGAGTAGTTGAGGAGCTCCTGCACGTTGGTGCGCACTCCGGCGACAGTGATCTTCGACATGATGCTGGCTGTCTTCCAAGAGAATCGGGTTCTTTTGGTGAGGAATTGTGCGTGACAGGTTCAAGAAGGGAAGCGGCGACGGATTTGCAAGTGTGCGAAAACTCGGCTGCGCTGTGGCATGCCAAGCTTGAGTCCGTGCATTTGCCCTAGACAGGGTTACCCCTCGAGGAACAACAAGCATCCAGCCAGCCAACTTTGCGCTGATGCATGCTTCCTCTTCTCAGTCCATTTCCTGACCGAACGTTTTCCGTTGCTCAATGATTATCCATTTCTTGCTGACTCACAGATGATCCACAAAAGCAATCAAGGTCTTGGGATTGTCAACTTCCCAAGACTGTATTCCGCACTATCCGCACTAACCGCAATGTTCGCCCTGCTTCGTCGCAAGCATGCTCACTTGGTGCTAGGAGTAGATACACAAATGATAGCTGCCAAGCAGTTTCCTCGTAATTGTATTGATAGCTCCATTCTCTAGAAGTTTCCCAAGTATCAATTGTCCGAGAAGGCGTTGGGCGATGGTCTCAACCAGCACATCTCAAACGATATCGGATACGCCCTCTTGACCATTGTTCCAGACTGCTTCGAGCGAATCAAGCATTGACAAGTCGAAGGCATGCACAACTGATGAAGCAGAACAAAGCCAACAATCAATGATAGATCTGCAACTGATAGCGCTGTAAGGAGGATGATCTTCTTCATTGTGTGTACGCAATTTTCACCAACGACTTGCTCGGAGCTCCGATCAGAGTGTTGCTCTAAAAATGCAGACCTTGATGTCGGAGTCAGTTCTTCGGAACCCTTTTAGTCGGGATGTCGTACCGAAGCCGAGCAGATTGCGCCAAACCCGACTTTTCTCCTTTACACCGGTCATCGAACACACAACAGCAACCATGAGGACAGATGCTGGACGCAGTTATCTGAAATGTAGGGATGGTAGTTGCGAAGCAATCATCTTGTTACAAAGCTCGGGACACAACAACGCAGCTGTGATGTGATAAGATGGTGAGCAAGAAAAACAACCATCTTAATCTGGGGTTGGTGAGAGTGGGTCCCTTGGTCTTACGCGCCTCTGACCCGTTACCCTTCGCAGCAATCTCTGACCGAAGGACGACCGCACATTTAGTGGCGCCATGATATATAAGTCTAGGGCACCCAACGATCTGGGGCACCCCAAGACCTCTGTTGTTACACTCGTCATTTCTCACATCGTCCAGAAAAGTTTTGTTTTCCTGTGACACACCCAACCTTCACATACGACCATGCAGTCGTTGCGCCAGTATAAACAACTCAGGCAGGCTGTCCAAAGGCAACTAGAGAGAGACACAGTCAAGGCTAAAGCACTATCCGCATATACTCAACAACATGGACTCGAAAAACGGGAGGAGGCCCAAATCTTTGGTGGTCAACCTCTGGAGGAAGTCGAATCACCCAGCCGCGACGAGGAAGCAAATGATGACGAGGAAGCACTTGACGCAATAGCCGAAGATGAAATGGAAGACTCTTATCCTGAAGCCGACAATCAGAACGAACTTAACAGGATAAACACCAGCAGGAGTCACCACGCAGATCTAACCAAAACCAAGAGTGAGAATGCCGATCTGTCCAGGATACCAACACACCGAACACACTACTCGGAGAGAACTGCCCTAGGATACTCAATGACTGGCATCAATGCGCGCTTGAGAGCCACAAATGAGAGCGAGAACGGCCATGTCTTTGTGGTTGAATGGGAAGGCCCTCATGATCCACTTAAGCCACACAATTGGTCCACGGGCAAGCGACTGTGGGCCACGATTGTCGTGTCTCTGGTGGCTGTCGCGGGTACAGCAGCATCGTCCATCGATGCTGCAGTTTTGCCTCAGTATGCAGACTACTTCCACGTCAGCGAAGTCGCAGGCTCATTGGCCACTGCTATGTACCTGATTGGTTTCGCAGTTGGTTCGCAGTTCGCAGGTCCTTTCTCGGAAACCTTTGGACGAAACATTATCTACATCGTGACAATGTTCATTTATATGCTGTTCTTGCTTGGATGTGCACTCGCTCCGAATTTCGGTGGACACATTGTCCTCCGATTCTTCGCTGGACTATTTGGATCAACACCCTTGACAGTAGCTGGTGGCACTATTGCTGATCTCTGGAACCCTCTTGAGAAGACCTTTGGCTTCCCGGTCTACGCTTTCATTGGATTTTCGGGACCTCTATTTGGACCCGTTATTGGTTCTTACATTGGTCCCAGCGGCATGAGCTGGCGCTGGTGTGAGTGGCTCATGCTCATTTTGGGTGGTATCATCACTACTGTAATTGTTGTCGGCCAGCCAGAGACGTACGGACCGCTGCTTCTTTCTTGGAAAGCCCACCATCTTCGTGTGGAAACAGGCGATGACCGCTACAGATCACCTTTGGAGGTGCGTCGCACTTCTCTCTGGACTCGCCTGAAGATTGCGCTCTGGAGACCCTTCGCTATGATCTGGACAGAGCCCATCATCTTGCTCATGTCGCTCTATCTGACAGTTCTCTACATTGTGCTGTTCACCTTTTTCATCGGCTTCGAGTTCGTTTTCACTGAAACTTATGGCATTTCTCAGGGCATCACAAACATCATCTGGGTGGCTGTCTTTGTTGGTTTCTTCCCTCTGTTCGGCACTCTGCCTCTCATCTACTCCTGGACAGTCAAGGACATAAAGAAGCAAGAGGCAGCTGGTGTCGAGCACCCAGCACCCACACCCGAGTCTCGTCTCTACTTCGCCATGCTCGGTGGCGCACTTGCAGTGCCAATCTCTTTGTTCTGGATGGGCTGGACCGACTATGCTTCTATCTCGATTTGGTCTCCTATCATTGCTTCGGCTCTCTTTGGATACGGTGTCATCACCATCTTCATCTCGGCTTACATGTACATCATCGACTCTTACGCCATCTATGCTGCTAGCGCATTGTCGTTCGTCACTTTCACTCGCTACCTCGCAGCTGGTGGCATGACTGTGGTTGGTGTCCCATGGTATCGCAATCTGGGAGTTCACTACACACTCACCATCCTCGCATGTATCAGTGCACTCATGGTGCCGGTTCCATATGTCTTCTACATCTATGGCGCAAAGATCAGAACCAAGAGTGCTTATGCTGTTCACAAAGCCTGAGCTTTGTATCACATCCTTGCGCAGACTCTTCGCACTGGAATTCATATCTCAATAGAACGACGTGACGGCAGAATTTCACGTTTTTGCTTTTTGTCGATCATACACATTATACCCCTAGACTTAGACTACTTGCAGCGTTTCGCATTACTCATAATACACATGCTTCATAAAATACCCTCGCTTAACAGATCTCTTGTCTTGATGCTTTTCAACCCAAGGACCGTCACAAGCGGGACTCAAAGCTCTCGAAGTCGTAACACTGTGATGCGACAGCAGTTCATTCGTCAAAACTCGAGTTCTCGGTGAATGATGTGAACTTGGCAAGAACGAACGCCACTGTATCACAGCAGAGCCCACAGAAATCATATGGCATTGAGCATTGTTGCCAAAGGAAAGCACGATCGTATTATCTGCAATGTTTTTCAGACTGTGAATTGGAAGTAGACTTGTCTGCCTTTGAGCATTTTCCAGGAAGTTGGTCGGAAGAGGCTCCTCATGATCGGCAAAAAGCATTTTCTATTTTCGGAAAGCGGCATGACTCTACTCAGTATCAGCTCGGCACGTCCACAACCTGTTCTCCTTACACATGATATACCCACAGCATGTTCTGCTTGATGATCGCCAGAATCAACGTCAAGTTCTTCGTTGCACAGGTAGGTCTGCGAACCTTCGACCACAAGTCGTCGCGCGTGAGAGCTCAAACGATCGGCAAAACGGTCCTCTTCAACTATCTTGAGGTTTCCAAGAGAGAACCAACATTCATCAGGCAGATCATGACCACGAGTTTTGCGATGAGACACACATGCATGCACGTCGGTGAACGGTTTCGACGCCCGTCTGCCTAATGACCTTCCACCATGAAGATCTTGCGTAACGTTCTAGGCTTCAACATGTCGTCTCCCTTCGCAACCATTTCTCTTCCTGCACACAAGCCATACTTGCTATTGGCGAGCAGGAGAATAATTTGAGATGCGCCAATTAAAACCTGGATCTGCGATGAGGCGATGCTTGGTACCTGCAGGTCATTCTGGTAGGCACCAATGAGGCAGCTGACCAGCCAACCACAAGACTCGTGCACCGGGTTACCAAAAACCGCCCTAACACCCATTGAATACTCAAGCCTCACATGCACCCCAGACTGTTGCGGCGAAGCGAATTATCCTCGATTCACATGCGTATGTCGGCTGGCTTCGTCATGTCGCGTCCAGTCTGAGGAGTCATAGAGGATGATTGACCTCACGATTCGAAACACATAAGAGCAGGCTGTCTCGCTATTTCTTGACTGAAAATCCGGTTCATATACTATACAGGTGGATAGCGAGATGCAACACGACTTTGCAGACACCTTGCCAGGCATGGAGAGATCTGATTCGGCATACACACATCCAAAGAAGCCCAAATCAGAATCCTCGACCTACGAGCCTCTACCTGACCATCCCACTGGATTCCGAAACTTGGATCTGATCGATGTGCTGGACGACTCAGTACAGCTGATCTGCACTCCAACATCTCGCAACTTCATTGTGGACTTCGGCGATGATGAAGCATGGGTATCCTTTGATCAGCCGGCCGAGACGATTCATGCTTTGCTGGAAACATCGCGTCCATCAACTCTCCACACACGCTGGATCAACATCTGGTACCCTTTCTTGCAACGACCTCTTCTTGAGCTACTTGCTCAGCAGTACGACTTCTCGCCAAGACTATTGGCACTCATGAGCTCCGATCCCAGACGAATGAGACAGTATCCTTCTCAGCCTGTTCCTATCGAGAGGAAGAACGAAGAAGTGCTGAGACGCTCATTTGAGGACATCGAAAAGGGCTTGTCTTCGCCACCGCCTCCTGCCACGGACACCTGCTCTCTCAGCAGTTGCAACCCTGCACGTACTGGAAACTTGTACGATATCGTTGACGGCGTTTGGCACTACACCTCTCTGGATCAAGGACGCAGTTACCTTTGTCTGGGCTTCAACAGCTTGTATAATGTACATGCTGTCGAAACTGGATGTGGTGTGTCGGAAGAAAGTACTGGGACCAAGGATGCGCCTTTGCCTCACATCAAGCGAGTCTGGACATGGCTCCTGATCTGCGCAGACAAGACCGTCATCAGCATCAACGAAGACCTTTACCCCTACAGCGAGGGCCGATTGTCGCATCCTCAGCACCTGATCATGATGGAGACCCGTCGCAATCTCATCAACGTCTTTCGTTCGTTGTCTAAGGTCGAAGACAACAGAGAGGCAAACCCACTTGTTCTCTTGCCCATCAGGAGAAGGCTCGGTGACACAAAAGAAGAGACGGCACATCGCGACAAGGATGCACCTGGTCTGTTGTTCTACTACCTGTTCGAGAATTGGTTTAATAGCTATTCTTTGATCACGCGTAGAGAAAGCAGATACGGTATCGAGTTGGAGAGACTTGTGAGTACTGCGGACATCTCAATTTGAACCATGAATACTGACTCGGAGTAGCAAAAAGAGATGTTCTCAGCACCGAAACTGCACCACATCGACCTCCTGCATGGCATCGGCAACGAGCTTGGGGCACTCAAAAGACACTACAAGAGTTACATCAGACTGGTCGATCGAGTGACTGAGCCACAGTCAAGCACGCTGGCATCAAGGACAGGATCTCGTGTTCCCAGCAAAGCGAGCCAGGAGACATTCGACAAGCTCGCCGTGCAAGGACCACAGTCACTGATGGGTGTCGGATTGACCAGTGCAGCTATCGTTCGCTTCGAGAGACTCCGAGATATGATCTCACTGTATGCTCTGGCGGAATGCAAGGACTACTTGCATCAGAAAGATGGCTTGGTGCAGATGGTGAGTAACACTTGCTAATCACACATCTTATGATGGCTGACATGTCGAGCAGAACTTCCAGCTTGTGGCCATGTCACAGTCTGAAGGAGTGGATCGCCTTACGAGGGTGGCGCTGCTCATCAGCAAAGCGACCATCTTGTTCCTTCCACTGACATTCATGACCGAATACGTGTCGGCTGATCTTGGGGTGACTTACTCTGTCAAGACGTACTGGATCGCATTCGCTATTGTCCTAAGCTTGAGTTGGTTGCTCTTGATGGGCTTTGGCGTGCTGAGTGGCACGATGGAGACGTGGAGTCTCTTCCCACCATTGAAGAGAACCTTCAGCAAGATCAAGAACTGGAAGAGCAAGAGTGATTGAGAGGTGTGCGTTGAGGAGTGATTGGCAGATCAAGCGGTGAGGGACAGTAGGACATAATCACAAGACAACGAGGCAGGACAAAGACAGATTGCATTATACAAGAGAACAGGACAGTGGCAGACATGGAGAAATAGAAGCATGCAGAAAGAGAGGGGTATCATATAATTGTATACAAACACAAGGCTTTTGCTTTCCAGACAACAATGCTACAGCAGTGCAGAAGCGGTGCTTGTGCTCTTCTCTTGCCGCCACTTGTCTAGTGCCTTCTCGCCGTCATACTCGTCATCACAGCATCTTTCCCTGACCATGCCCCATGTCCGAGAACGCACGATACTGTCAACCATCAGTTCACTCCGTACAAGCGCCGCCAAAGCTTCGGTCCTCACTTCCCTCGGAAAGTAACGTCCACTATACGGATCTAATCTCTCATTCACGACTCTTTCTCTGGCCTTTGCATCTTCGACTTCTCTCAGGATATGATCCGGATCATCGGGGTCCGGCGACGTCGCAACGCCACCACAGTATGCGAGGACATCGCTACGGGCCTGCCATGAAGGAAACAAGACATTTTGTTTGAAGGACGTGCACGCAGGTGCGGGGATGGCACGTCTGCCTGTTGGACGAGGTAACCTTTGTGATGTGCTATGGGGGTCCCAAACGTCTTGACTCGGCGATAGTAGTGCGTTTAGGTTTTGAGAGATTGTGTCGTCGACGGCGCTGCGTGATATGCGGAGGAAGTCTGAGGGAGAACATGTCAGATGAGAGGTAGAGTAGCAGACAGCAACATGAAACAAACCTTGCAGAGCAGTCCTGTTGAAGCAGAAGGCGGGAGTGAGTCTGGGGGCGGTCGGTGTGGTGGGTGCTGCCATGGTGGGAATCGGAGCAGGAGAGGAAGGGTGAGGAGTGGGAGTCGTCGATTTCCAGAAGTATCCAGCCAGGTTGAGCGAATGGTTGTTGTTTGCCTCGTTCGGTATACTAGAAAAAGGTTCTTCAAGTCTTGAGGTGATACACAAATGCATCACCAGATTGGCAAGAAGCACTCGGAGTTAAGCTCGGTAGCGCCGTCAGCGTCATCGAAAATCAATTTGGCGCGTGTCGAGGCAGGCGCGCGTGGCTGTCACGTCTCGCAAGCTCCGCTACCTGTGCCTAACCGCTTTGTTCTGCCTTCCAGTCTTCTGCCTTGTTTTCATGTGATCGATGCGGGCATCCTCTAATACTTTACGTCCTTTGAATTCTGTCAAATCATTGTCTTTGCGCCGCTCGCTCTATACATCAATCACAAGCTCGCGACCTCAGCTGTGCTTCAGGATGCCTCCCAAGCAGCAATCCACTCTCGGGTATGTCAGAAATTCGCAAACGACTTTGGGGTGTGCAATGCTATCGAGACCCTGATTTGTCTTCCTCATGCTGCACATGGCTGACCTGTGTAAAAGCAATTTCTTTGGAAAACCCAATGGTTCGAAACCCGCCCCTCAACAATCAAAACTCTCCTTTGCGACGAAGCCAAAGCCAGAATCCAAGAACCCCAAGAACCAAGAAGAGCATGAGGTAGAGGATGGCCCATCTGACAACAAGACTGCTGCAGAGCAGGATAACGTAGAAGACGAGAAGGAAGACACACATGACGACATCACATCATCTGAGCCGACCAAGACTACAAAGAAGAGAGCCGCAGAAGTGAAGGAGGAAGAGGAGGAAGCTGGGGCCTCAGAAGAAGAGCCCCCTACCAAGAGACAGCGCAAGAAGCCCGCCAAATCTGAAAGTCCCAAGAAGGCAAAACAAGAGCCTGTCTCAGACAACGAAGAGCCCGTCAAGAAGGAGAAGGCAGCACCCAAGAAGCCCGCAGCCAAGCCACCAGCACCCGCTAAGGTCCAAGAAGAAGATATCGCAATGCAGGATGGTTCCGAGAGCGATCCCCAGTCCGAGGCCGAGGATGTCGAATCGGACGAAGAAGAACAGCCAGAGAAGGCTGCAAAAGCCCGCGAGAAGGTTCAGAGCACATTCAAGTCAAACACAAAGGATCCCTATCCTGACTGGAAGGCTGGAGACCCGGTACCGTACGCTGCTCTCTGCACTACTTTCTCCAAGATTGAGATGACGACAAAGCGTCTGGAGATCATGGCACATTGCTCCTTGTTCCTCAGACAAGTCCTTCGTCTCACGCCTCAAGATCTGCAACCTACCGTCCTGCTCATGCTTGGAAAGCTTGCCGCAGATTATGCCGGTATTGAACTGGGTATTGGCGAGAGTCTTATCATGAAGGCCATTGGCGAATCAACAGGTCGTTCACTCAAGATCATCAAAGAAGATCAGCAGAAGATTGGTGATCTGGGCCTTGTCGCAGCAAAAAGCAAGGGCAGTCAACCCACCATGTTCAAGCCTAAGCCTCTGACTGTACGCGGCGTACATGAGCAGTTGATGACCATCGCCAAGATTGAGGGTTCTGGTGGTCAAGGTCGCAAGGTTTCTGGCATTCACAAGCTGCTCTCTGCTGCTGATGCCAACCTACCAAAAGGCAAAGGAGTCGACATTGAAGAGAACAAGGGCGGACCCAGCGAAGCAAAGTTCATCGTTCGTACACTCGAAGGCAAGATGCGTCTCGGTCTGGCAGACAAGACTGTTCTTGTTTCACTAGCCCAAGCCATGACTTACCACGATGTCATGACCAAGACGAACAAGGCGCCCACCACCGAGCAGCTGGAGAAGGGCGAGCGCGTTCTGAAGAACGTGTACAAGTACGTGCCCTGTGATTTTCTTTCTGTTGATTGTGAAGCTGACCTCAGCCTAGTGAACTTCCAAGCTACGAGGTCATCATTCCTGCATATCTCGAGAACGGTGTTTTCGACTTGCACGATGCATGCAAGCTCCAACCCGGCGTTCCTCTCAAGCCTATGTTGGCAAAGCCGACGAAGTCAATCACCGAAGTGCTCGACCGCTTCGAGGGCAAGGACTTCACATGCGAGTACAAGTACGATGGAGAAAGAGCACAGATCCACTTTGTTGCTCACGATGCCGAGTTGAATTACGCTACTGCTGCTCCTTCCGCTGGCAAAACTTTCAAGGGTGTTTCAAATATCTTCTCGAGAAACAGCGAAGATCTGTCAAAGAAGTACCCGGATATTCTTGCGAAGTTACCCACATGGGTCAAGGATGGCACCAAGAGTTTCGTCCTGGATTGCGAGACTGTCGCTTGGGATGTGGATGAGAAGAAGGTCCTACCTTTCCAGCAACTTATGACAAGAAAGCGTAAGGACGTCAAGGCTGAAGATATCAAGGTCAAGGTTTGCGTCTTTGCTTTCGATCTGCTGTTCCTGAACGGTGAAGCTCTCGTCAACCAATCGTTCCGCGATCGCAGAGCCAAGCTGTACGAAGCGTTTAAGGAGGTTGAGGGTGAATTTGCCTTTGCTCAGTACGGCAATACTAATGAGCTTGATGCCATTCAAGTCTTGCTTGAGGACTCGATCAAGGCATCGTGCGAAGGTCTGATGGTGAAGATGTTGGACGGACCCGAGTCCTACTACGAACCTTCGCGCCGCTCTCAGAACTGGCTGAAGGTCAAGAAGGACTACCTCGCTGGTGCGGGTGACTCTCTGGATCTGGTTGTGCTCGGTGCCTACTACGGTAGAGGAAAGAGAACAAACGTCTATGGTGCTTTCCTTCTCGCATGCTACAACAACTCATCACAGCAATACGAGTCCGTTTGCAACATTGGTACCGGCTTCTCAGAAGCGCTTCTCGAGTCACTGTACGAGACACTCTCGCCGTTGGTCATCGATCGACCCAAGCCTTTCTACAGCCATTCGACGGGAAACAAAGACCAGCCCGACGTTTGGTTCGAGCCTCGTCTGGTCTGGGAAGTCAAGACTGCTGACTTGACACTATCTCCTCGCTACAAGGCTGCCGCCGACGCGCTGGGTGATCCCAGTGGCAAGGGTGTCAGTCTGCGCTTCCCGCGCTACATCCGCAATCGTGACGACAAGAAGCCTGATGATGCTACCACGGCCAGACAAGTTGCCGAAATGTACAGAAAGCAAGAATCTGTGGGCAAGAACAAGGGACCTGCCGTTGATGATGACTTTGAGTATTGAGAAGGAGAGTTATGCATTGTGGATTTCGTTTTGGGAGTTGCTTCGGATGGATGGATGGATTGTGGGATGTCCTTTCTCATGCTGATTGTCCTGTATTATTATTTATCAAGGAGTGTCGACGCGGAAGCTCTGGTGTCGAACATGCAAGAGTATGCCAAATGTGCAATGCTGCAAAGCTCGTTAGTAACAACGTTGACATCGATTCCTGAATGAAGGCATCCCGAAAGATCATAATCCTCGTACTACACAAGCAAATCTTATGGGTCGTACAACAGTAACCCATCACGATCAGATCAGCATGACAAAATGTCTGACCGAAATGTTTCGGCGATAGTAGATGATTGGAATGCGTGGTATATATGTAACCTTCCAAAATGCTGCTTGTGGCGCGACCCTGTCTCGAGCCTTTTGCCAAGTCAAATCGATGGCATGGGCGGGGCAAGTTTAACCGACACGAACGAACTTTTGATCTTTCTGCAAAATGCGAGCAATTCGATTATATCGAACATAATCTACCATCATATCGCCATACCAAGAGCAGCAGCCACCTCGAGGGAATAATAGGACATTGAACTCGATCTGGTCGATACAAAGATCGAGCCTGCGAGTTGACATATCTATCATTACTCACCCGGAGTAGCAACCACCAAAAAAGTATCCAGCAAACGAGAATATAAGGAAGGATGGAGCCAGCACCAATGGAATACCTGATTCGACTTGCGCAGATGCATGAAACGTTTCGTCGTCCTGAGTTGGAGGCGCTGGCTGTGTTGCACAATGTAGACTTGGAGATTTTGGAATACTCAGATCAGGTAAGAGGAAAAAGACCAAACTTTCGTTCGATTTTTCCCTGTTGGTTCACACTAGAGAGGATATTATGTTTCGATGATGCGATTATGGTTATGAACATGAGTTGTCTCGATACGATCTGGACAAAAAGCTGATGCAATCATACAACAGTCACCATTCTGCATTGCAAGAATCTCATCGGACGAAGACGCAGCAAAACTCATCTCTCGATCCATGTTGACAGGCGCAGTCTACGAGCTCTGGGGTATCGGCAACAACTACGATGAATGCCATACAGACGTCAAGAAACGATCACAGCACCTCTGGCCTCAGTACAAAGACAACGCATCTTTCAGTTTCCAAATCGACAGTTTCCAGGCCAAGCGCACGAACACGGAGAAGAGAGACATTGTCGAATCCTTCTCTTATATGGCTTTTGAGGGACCTATTCGAATGAAGAATCCAGATCTTCCTCTGGTTGTGCTTGAAGAGTATGACCTCGAGGCCAAAGATCCCAAGCGTGTGGCGCTGGGTCGTCTGATTGGTGAGAGTGGAAGGTCCGTGATGAACAAATACGATCTCAAGAAGCGCAAATACATCAGTACGACATCGATGGACTCGCAACTAGCTCTCATCACCGCAAACATGGCTTTGGCAGCACCGGGAAAGATATTCTACGATCCGTTCACTGGCACGGGAAGTTTCCCAATCGCGTGTGCGCACTTTGGCGCGACTGTGGTTGGTAGTGATATCGACCCTCGCAGCATTCGTGGAAAGCCGGATCGGAATGTTATGAGCAACTTCGTGCAATACGGACTAGTACCACAATATCTCGATATGTTTGTGAGCGACCTGACGAACACACCGATCAGGAGGACGAGATGGCTTGATGGCATTGTTTGCGACCCTCCGTATGGTGTTCGTGAGGGCTTGAGAGTGCTAGGCAGTACGAGAGAAGACTTGCAGAAAGAAGTTCTGCTCAAGAGCGGTGTCCCAGCACATCTGGCACCAGGCTACATCCCACCAAAAAAGGCTTACAGTTTCGATGCGATGATGGATGACATCCTCGACTTTGGCTATACCCACATGGTGGATAATGGCAGGCTTAGTATGTGGATGCCGGTGGCTAATGACGAGGACATGGAGATCCCAATTCCCAGCCACCCTGCTATGGAGCTGGTAGCCATGTCGGTGCAGCAATTCAACAGATGTGCGTTCTAGCTTGGTGCTATAATGGAAAGCTCGACGATGCTGACTATTCTCGTAGGGGCCCGCAGACTCATCACTTACCGCCGCGTTCCAGAAGCCCAAGTGGATCAGGAAGCGCTTCAAAACCGCGAGAAGCGCGAAGAGGCAACCGGAGTGACGGCAGATGATCTCAACGCATTCCGTCGGAAGGTATGCATGGGCATGACAAGTCTAACGTGTTTTGTCACAGCTAACAACGCATGGCACAGTACTTCCAAGGCTTCAAAGATCAACAGCAACAAGTCGAGGCGAACGCTGCGGCGTCATCATGAGTCGTGCCGTTTGAAATGGCGGTCATGGTTTTAGGCTGGAGACAAGACTTGAGCGGCTGCAACTGACAGTTGGGCGTTTGTCCTTCGAGTCCAGCTGCTGGTAGAGGCTTAACGTTAGGTCAGCGAGGCGGAGTCGCCGGTCACAGGCCGTGGTGAGCTTCGGTCTATGTCATAGAGGACTGCTGATATCATATGGGCCGGCCACCTGACTTTAGAGCACATGATGCCTGGAGTCGAGTATTGTAAAAGAGGAGATGCACAACAAGCGTAACTCATTGGACCACGAGATCGAGCTCAAAGCACGTGAGAATGTCACGACCTTCTGTATGGTACTTCGTAATGTCGACGGACAGACGGCAGCTGTGAACACGTAACCTGGTGCGCTCCGCCTCAGCACCTGAGCAGACTCATACCGTCCGACTGTTTGCACAGTTGATATCGCAATCTCGGATAGATCGCTTGGGGGTGGTGTTGTTTTGGTGGACATACAAACAGAAACACGAACCTTCGCAACGCCTGTCGCGTCGTTTGGCTCTTTTCCACCGGTGGCTCGGCGCACGGGGAGACCGACTCGAAAGAGTTAATTATATGCAAGCTAGACACAAGGTGGTAGGAAAAGAAGTGGGACTGGGTACTTCGAGACTTGAACATTGGAGGCCGGGAAGAGAGGCGATCTTGTAGATCTGTCCAGGTCAGGGTTCAAAGGAATTGATGGCCCTGAATATCCTTTGTAGATAAGGTCAGGGACCTGAGAGACGGCAGGAGCATTTGACAGAAATGTGTGTCAAGCTGAGACCTGGCATGTTCTATGGCGCAACGTTCCACACGCTTGCTTGTCCACGCAGACTTGCACAACCACAATAGCTGAGCAACGTGTGAGGCTGACTCAAATCGACACGACAGCCCTGTACAAATAGCGGACGACCAAAGAAGGATTGGTCAGTTCTACTGCCTGTGCTCTATTTGCCTAGTAGAGTCCAGTTTCCCAAAGACCTGGATAAGTCGGTTCAAAAGCTTGGTGCATTTTTGCGAATATGGAATGTCTACTGCAAACCCATGCGCCATAGCAAAGCTACTGCAAGAAATCCTTGAGTTTAAGGTCGTTTGTGGACAGTTTCTTGTTCATATCAGGAAAGCAACGGTCAAACGGTGGGGGAAAGGGGCGCGCCTTGGTGGGTCTGGTTGACAGTCAGGGGTCAGCGGCGGTCGTGCGAAGGACTTGTTCGCGAGGTGGGCGTGCGCTTTGGCGAGACTGGCGGCCAAAAAGTGTGGGGACATCGCGACATCCCTGTCAACTCTACTTGCAACACCAGCGAGACAGATGCGCCATCTCTATGAAACTTCATCTGGTAGATCATACTGTGATGGAGATGTGGCATGAGACAAAAGGTGAGATATGAGGTGAGTCTTCCATGTTCATCGCCTTTTTCTTCTTCATTCTCTCTATCTTCTGTTCTCTTCACGCTGCGCGTCTCTAAATTTACATTCCTTCATAACGTTGCTGCAGCGGCTGGAGTCCGCGATCGTTGTGCTTCCCTTACATACTTTTTGCACTTGGTCTTCCCGGAGCCACCGTTGGAATCGATATTTACTCCTTGCCCAAGCCTACCTCCTTTGCAACGACAGTCGCGTAGTACTTAAGAACCCAGTGTCGACGAGGTTGGGATCTTCAAAATCATATCCACTCCTTTGGTTCATCACCATAACCACATTCTTTAACTGCCTTGCCTTTCAAAAGCAATTCCACACTCGCTACTACTACAAAACAATCTTCTCGGCATCTCTTCTTGCAGTATCTTTCAGATCAACACCACAACAACATCATCACAATGCCTTCTCGCTCCAACCGCAACATTGCCTCCGGCTCTCTTCGCCGTCTCAAGACTGTCTTCTCATCTTCTCAGACTCACATTCCCGGTGCTCCTCTGTCGCCTGTCTCAGAGAACTCTGACAGCTGCTACACTGCCAGCAGATCATCGACTGGCAGCCGCTTCAGCCAACTCGTCTCATCAGTATCATCATACTCAATTGGCAACTTCAGCATCCGCCGCAGCCCTAGTCAACTAGAGCTTGAGCAAGCAGAGGAGATCATCGAGACTCCAGAGGAGCTTCTCAGCCTGATCGAGCCTCGTCCCTTTGCAGGTACCGCCGTGGGCGGCTTCGAGGATGTCCTCTTCGGCCGTCTGTGAACAACAATTACAGTCAACACGTCAACATCAACAACACCCGAACTTTAATGATCAACGCCTTCTTCTTTTAACCAAAATTCTACCACGACGCGACGCATCATCATCATCAACAACAACAACAACAGCCACGTTGGCGTTTCATCCCCCACTGTCGCGCGCAACGGCTCCCGACGGTTGGAGGCTTGCTTAACGGTTGCATATGATCCTCTCGACCATTCAGTTGGACATCAAGTGATGAGGACATTGGGATAAGATCTCCCAATCATTCCTGCACGCCGTTCAACGAGAAAGTTGACTTTTCCAACTTCTCGCTTTTCTTGAACATTTCTCATTCCCATTCGCTTCTTGACGATACCAGGTGCCGATGACTCGGTGGCCGCTTTGATTACCTTTTTTTCAACTTCTTGTACTCCTATGGAATTTTCTGTATGGAGTGGCTCTAGTTCAGGCTTTTCTGGCTGGGCCTTTCTTCTTTTACTAGATCCTTTTGAGAATGAATAAACGATTCTACACTACAAATTTGCCTTACCGTGCCTATGCTCTCGCATTGTGACAGATCGCCGATCCACATCCACAAAATTTCTGCCATTGAACGTCTTCGGTATCGCCGTAGCTGAGAGCTGGAAAGACAAAGATCTCGCCGACTTCACGTTCTTCGTCGGAGATGAACGAATAACCGTCACCTATTCGTTTGTTCGTATAGACGCATGGCATTCCGGAGTCTGTGTATCCTTGCAGCAGATTCAGATCTCGGAAATAATCGATGTGGGGAGGAATAGATTGATGCTTGAGTCTAATTATGCACGAATGGTATACAGCTGTGCTGTGCAGCAAAGCAGCCACCGCATGTCATGGAAGCACAGAAAGTATTCCAAGCGTCATGCTCATGCGTGTTTGCGATGCAGCGATCCAGGCAGGTGGCACCAAAGAATGCTTGGGTGTGGTGAGTGATTGGTCCCTTCCCAGTTTGTAGTGACTGCCTGTCTGGATATGGCTTGCTTTGTGTGTTTGCTTGCTTCTGAGGTCTGAACTTCCAATCATTCTCTTCGTCTCATTTACTATTTCCTGCTGCTGACCACTCCTCGGTGCCTCTTCTGCACGGCGGGTCCTGCTTGAGAACCGCTTTCCTTCATTATCTCTCACCAAACCTCAATCATCCCTTTGCTTCGACATCTATTTACTTTGGCTCTCACAAAATCAACGATGCGCACAACAACCCTAATCTTAGGTCTTGTCCTGGTCCTGTCTCCGCTTCTCGTCTCAGCTGTTGGAACTTTGGGATTCGCATTGGGAGACAAAAAAGCAGATGGATCATGCAAGTTCCAGGCCGACTACGAAGCCGACTTCGATGCCATCAAGGCCAACTCTGGCAGCACCATCGTACGAATCTATGCTGCCAGCGACTGCAACACAGCTCAGCAGATCCTTCCCGCTGCACAGTCCAAAGGTCTCATGGTCATCCTTGGTGTCTGGCCTGACGTGGATTCGAGTCTCCAAGCAGACAAGCAGGCCCTGCAGACATATGTCCCTCAATACCGCAATCAAGTCTACGGCGTGACGGTCGGTTCAGAGACACTTCATCGCAAGACCTTCGACGGCTCTCAATTGTTAGAGAAGATCAACGACGTCAAGTCAGTGTTGCCTCAGGGCATCAAGGTCGGCACGGCAGACAGCTGGAACAAATTCGCTGATGGCACAGCCGATGCTGTCATCAAGGGAGGAGTCGACTTCTTGCTGGCTAATGGCTTTGCATATTGGCAAGGATCGCCCATCTCCAATGCCACTTACACTTTCTTCGACGACGTCCAACAAGCTCTTGGCCATATCCAGGGTGTCTCAGGCTCTCTGAACGCGATTGAGTTCTGGGTTGGAGAAACTGGTTGGCCTTCTGATGGTAAGTTTCAATAGTCAAATTTCGTGAGATGAATACTAACCTTTCTGCAGGAGGATCCAACTACGGCGCCGCCATTGCGGGCACGAAGAACGCACAAACATACTTTGACGATGCCATCTGCGGAATGATCTCATGGGGTGTCAACGTCTTTGTTTTCGAGGCATTTGATGAGCCCTGGAAGCCTCAATCTATCGGTGATAGCGGAGCTGCTGAAGATGAGACTCACTGGGGCGCCATGAATGTCGACCGCAGCACAAAATACCCGCTGACCTGCTAGTTACTTTTGATGGCTGAAGGATGTGGCACAACGACTTGACGACAGCATCATGTAACTGCACGAACTTGAGATGGGATGGGCAAAGGTCCGAGGGCCTCGCATATCGAGGAGTTTCGTGGGTATTGTTCTTCCTGAGCTTCAGAAACGCTATGATATTCAGCTCAAATGCAAAGTTTGATCTTCCTTCCCCTTATGCTTTTCCGTGAACGCCTTACGCCTTGCTTGTGTGCCTGTGAGAGTCGCATCTTCCTGCGGCCGTGCCCAACTTCAGGTTCGAGAGGCTGTATTGCTCCTCTGCGAGCAATCTACGGAAGCAGCTGCATATCAGCAGCGATGCGCAGTAATAAGCATCGAATTGTCCTCTGGCCGTGGACAGCGGCAGAATCTTTTCCAGCAATATCAACATGCTGAAAGGTCTCAATCGTCAAAGCCGCCAAACTCCTCATCTTCATCCTCCTCATCATCGAGCTCTTCCTCGGCCTCACTCAACTCCTCGTCATCCTCCTCCTCAATGCCCAACCACTCCTTTGCTCTTTCATCATCCAAAGCCTCTTCGACCTTCTTCCTCACACTCTTAAGCACAGCCTTCTCTCCCAGCTCCACCAACGGTGCCATCAACTCCTCATACGGCGCCTTGTCATCCCCCACCTTCTCCAACTCATCAACATAGACATCAATGACATGGTACTTCAATCCATTCGGCACCTTGGGATCCCTAGGATTCAACGGAATCTCCCTCAACAAATCCAAATACTCTTTTCTCGTCTCTGTATCTTTCCAGTTGTTTTTGGCGCAATACGCAAAACCAGCGTTCACATAGCTTCTAATCATGAACAGAAACTTGTCCATGCGCAAGGAATCAATACCGGTGTATTCGCGAGAAATGGTTTGCCAGAATGCGCGCATGAAGCCGAGGAAGTTTTGACGGGTGGAGAGGAGGGAGACGAGGGCGGAGAGATCGAGGGCGAGACGGCGTTGAGGAGCGGGTTTGTCGCAGGACCACATGCAGTAGAAGAGGCCTTTCCAGAGTTTTAGAAAGTCGAGGGAACTGAAGGGCGTGTTGCGGGAGAGGAATGTGCGGAGAGAGGCTACGGCTTTGTCGCGAACTTGACGGTCTGGGAAAGTGACTGTCAGATGGGATATTATCCAGAGGAGAGATGGAGCAGGAGTATACCATTGTGGACGAGTTGCTTGATGAAGGGGTTGTTGGGCGCTGCTGATTGCGCCATCTTGTGCGGTAATGTGAAAGAGGCGATATGTGTCTTGGCGAGAGTATCGAGAGCGATAGAAAGATTGAATATAGATGTCTCGGCGTGCAATGTTGATCTACGCGAGATTTCGTTTGAGAGAGGTTGCTTATCGCAAAAAGTGGTTTCTCGAAAAGTCCTTGGCAAAGAAAAAAGTCGATGGAGAGTCGCGCCAGCGTTTGCTTCGCGCGGCTTTGATCCGCGACCCGAACTGCGTCTGGGGTTGATTGGAACACAAAGGTGAGCGATGGCATCCTCTCCGATGCATACTTGATGCCTTCCCATCCAGTTGTACTCAATACACATGCCCAACCACACTGTGAGAAGCACTTTGATCCAAGCCATTGCAAGAACAGAGACTCAACCGACCGATTCAGATGTGCTTTTGGTACGTTATGATATGCTACCTTCTCGAGTATGTATGCTGATCAAGATGATTGCGTCTGAAAGCACCCCAGTCCATTCATTGCAACAAAAGAAAAGAGAAAACCCCGAATAGGCTCCTAGCTTTTGCGTTCAACGCTCTTCGAATGACACAAGAACCACGTATCGAGACGTGTCGCACAAGAATTGCGCGCCGAGCCATCTCACATCCACAACTTGCCTCTGCAGTTCTTCGCACCACAGAGACAGTCAACAGCAACACCGCCTTCGTCCATGTCATCGTTTGCCGCTTGACCTGCTTCTCCCTCTTCCGGATCCATGTAGTCGAACGTAAGTTCAGTGCCAGCAGGAATGTTCTCCAGCGCAAAGAAGGCCAGATCGTAGATTCTTCGGTCAAATCGGTTGTAGCTCACGGTGAACAGGCGGCAATTGGGGTCGCAACTGTGGTTGATAAACCGAGTTGGACCTCCCATCTTCTCTCCATCAGCCACGTAGCAATCACTCCTATGGAGCTCGCCAGGTGTATCCTCGTCTCCAGCGAACTTGTCGAGCCAGAACATGTAAGAAGCCTTGTTAAAGTCGCCAGCTTCCTCGCGAGCATCGGCCTCGCTGTCGGTAATGAGTTCGCCGAGATACCTGTCGATGTATTGACCTCTTTTGAGATCGATAGGACAGCGAAGACCGAATCCTCGCTTTCGTGTCTTGAAGATTTCGAGTGGCACCTTTCGCCCTTTTTGAACTAATCTGTTCTTGCATCCTGGGCCGCACCTGCACAGCTCGTTGCATTCATAGATTGCGTTTCTGCTGTCCAGATAGAAAGAGTCCAACACGAAGAGGTTGTTTACGTGATCTCTCCTGTAGGGGAATCGCTTGGGTAGGCCTTCCGAATCTGCCTCTCCACTTCTCCACGCTGCGTAGTGTTCCCTCTGCTCGTCGTCCTTGCAACGCGACTCATCAGGCGCGGCGAACTCCAGGCAGTCACATTTTCCAGTGTATTCGCATCCTTTGTTGCCTCCCATATCCGGCCGGCATTTCTTGCAACCCATCTTCACTGCGTCCGCATCATCTCGAGACACCCCTTCGCCAAGCACATAGTCCTGGATGTAGGTGAAATCAAGAGAGGGTGTCTCTTTATTTACTTCGTTGACGAATGTAACCGGAGGACCTGGGATGCGTGCCAGCTGTTCCAGAAATTGCCGGCGGATGAACTTGCGACCTTGCTTGACACCATCGACAAGATGAGCCTTTGCGGTAGAGAGCATTGCTGGTGTGGGCACCGTGGTTGCGTCTATATGATCAATACCAGAAGCCAGGGAATGCGGATAAATATCTCCAGACTTCTTAAGCAGGACACCATTCCAGACTTCTGACTGTGAGGTGAGTGGCGTCGGGATTGACGATGAGGTGGAGGTGGAAGTATCCAGAGACGATGCGCGGCTTGAAGGACTCTCATCGTGGGGGCTCTTACGCTTCAATGAGGAAACTTCGGCAGGAGGCAGTTGTAGTGAACCATTGCCGTATCCTGATTTGAGATTCACAACGAAGTTGTTGATGTAAACCTGCAGTGAATCTGCAATGGACGCCAAATCGTTGAGGTAATGCCATGATACGACGGCTTGTGATGGAACGTCATGCTTCCATTTGATCAGGTATTGCTCAAACTGCGATGTAGGAAGTGATTAGTTGCTTGAAGGTTGAATGTCATATGTGAACGTCGAGCGTTGGAGGAAGGACAGGGTCACTTACCCCTGCCTCATCAAGGCGATGTGCGCAGATCTCATCGACCTACAGGTAGTCAAGTCAGCATCATGCAATAGTGAAGTCGATGTTTATCGACTGGAAGAAAGACCCAAGCAAAGGCGCAAGCGACGGCGCGTGGAAGGAAGGGGAAACGCGTAGAGAGTTGATATTTATACTAGTAAAGGAGCCCACATACTAGCGATTTCTTGACCAAGTTACGGGCCACCGGACGCGGCATTGCGCATGCGCTCCTTTTTGAGATCTAGCCATGTCAGCTACGACCAACCGAAGGAATGAAGTAAGAGAGAAGGCGCGTGTGAAGAAGAGCGTGTTATGCCGCATGCGGACACTAGCATAACACGTAGTTCTAAGCGTACTAAGTGGATAGTAATAGTGATTCCAGATACTAGAAGGATTTTAGTACTGACCTAAATAGAAACCTTAATCTAGAGGCTATAAGATGCCTTAGAAGAAGTAAAAATAGTAAAAGTAGTAGTAAAAACCGTGATTAGTAGAGTTAAAGAGGTAAAGAATAGTAAAGTAGCTAGGTTAGACTTGCATATGCCGGCATGCCAAGAAATCGGAGTTTAGCCGGAGATATATAAATTTCCTAGTTAGGTTAGTATAATTATTTATCCTATCATTTAATTTATTATTAACTATTTATAAGTCTATTAATACTATTATAAAGCTAGTAAATTTATTATCTTAGATACTATAAAGAACCTAGACTAGGTATATAGCTAGTAAAAAAGTAGTATAGAAAAGTATACTATATAAGCTAGAAAACCGGCAGATTTACCTACTAAAAGTCATGGTAATGATCTCTATACTAGACTTAATAGGTATATATTAGTAGTAGTAATGCCTCTATATTGTGTGTATAGCAATCATGAATAGCATGAAATACAATGTTATATGTAGACCTAAAGCAACATCGTAAAAGATACGAAAACGCCGGTTTTAATGCATGGTCGGAGAACCGCTAACTATTAACAAAGATCCATAACCCCCTGACCTTTCCAAACGCCTCGCTGGTTAATGTAGTGAACTAAGCATTTGTTTTCAGTCCGCCGTCTTGCACGTTCTGTGCTTCTGCAGCAGGGTCCTTCTCTCTTTCAGCTTCTAATGTGCGATGGCCTTCAACGGCAGATCCTGCAACGCGCTCTTTCTCGTCGTCATCATCATCGGGCTCATCCTCATCGATATCTTGGAGACCATCTTCACCACTTCCCTTGCTCTTTGCATAGTCTTCGCGATGTTGTGGTACGTAGGCGATGACCTTCCTCTTGTCAAACCAGCGACCATTGAAAGCTTCGGCACAAAGCGCAGCGGAGTCTGCTTCCTTGAAGCGTACAGTAACGACGCCTTGGGGTTCGAGGTCATACAGGACAGTGTTGGTGACTTCGCCGTATTTGGAAGCTTCGTCACGAATGTCGGCTTTGATATCAATCAGAGCGCCAGCGTCTTCTTCTAGTTCCTCAAGGGTGAACATATGCTTGAGAACAACCAGCTTGGCGTACTTTGAGGGGTTCGGCGGAGGAGCGACAACACTGGGGTCATCATCATCCCAGTCTGCTAGGCGGCTGTGTGGAATATCAGTACAATGTTCAAAAAACAGATTGCTCAGGAGTATTGGACTCACGCATTCATCTGTCTTGTCTTCTCAATGGCCAAGTAGCGGTCTTGCTTGGGACGTCTCTTCTTGATGTTCTCGACTGACACTTCCTTCTGCTCTTTCTTGTCCGCTTGATCCTTGTTCCGGTTGGAGTAGGAATCATCGACCAGTTCGACGTGTAGATCTCCGTCTCCAGGTTTGCGGAAGTCGGTGCCATCCAACATGGTAATGGCCAAACTGACACTCTGGGGCTTGAAGTATATGACCTTTGCCTCGCCCTTGAAGTTGCCTTCTTCATCTGCGTACATGCGAATCTTGGGCAGATTTGTGTGGATGTCCTCCTCGATGATGCCGTACTTCTTGAAAACGTCGTGGATCTCATCAATGCTTGCGTCCAATGGAATGCCTGTTACGTAGACGGCGCTATTGGGGCGATCGAGTTTGGGCTTCTTGTCCTGTTTGGCGGCCTTGATGTCTGCTTTGCGCTTCTTGTTGTCGATTGCTGGAGCGGTCTCGTCGACGTCCTTCATGGCATAGATGGACGCTTGCTGTTGCATGAGAGCCTCGTCGACCGAAGGTACCCATTTTTGATATTGCGGGTTCCACTCGTACTCGTCGCCGTTGTCCTCTTCCAGAACCCACTTGTTGCTGAGCTTGTCGAATGAGACGCGAATGTCGTTCTTGAATTCTTCTTCAGAAGTCGGAAAGACAACGCGCACAGCTGATAGTCCGTCGTTGGGCGGAGGCACTCCGCGACCTGGAATCTCTGATTCTGCCATTGTCTGCCGATTACAAGTTTGGTATAGCGAATGTCTGAGTGTCGAAGTAGCTTTTCGAGAAGAAGTTCAGAAGCGCGAATCTTCGGCGCCGTCGCTTTGACACTGCGTCATGCGGGGAGAGCTTGGACCACCCATATCGGGCCCGATTCACAGCTGGGAATCACCTCTCATCCATCTTCACCCATCGAGGATCGGGTTGAGAAATTCTATTGAACAACACCTTGATTTGTAGCGCTCTATGTGCTTTAGAAAGCAGTGCGTTGCTCATGCTACATGCAAGCCGACTACCCACGATTCGCAAGTCATCACCAAGACTGTCCACCCATCGAGGCTGTAATAGCTCAATCGTTCCACGTCCCACAGACCGAGGCCAAGTATTGTCACCAACCATGTCATACACACGATCCTGTTCTTCATATCCTCTGTAGACATGGTCTATACGAGATCAGAAGGTAGATCATTATCATTAAGGAAGACCGTCTCATCCATGTACATGAGGAACCAACATTCCACAGCAGTCCATCACCATGTCAACCCGAGGGAATGGAAAAAGATAAGCCAGTGAGCGTGATAGTATCCTTGTTTCCAGGATCAGATGTAATGTATTTACCCTTAATAAGTGTGGTGGATGACTGCATGCGTAAGCTGCACCTCTCTTTATCCGCTCCCTCGAGTCTACCAATCACTTTTCTGTCACATACTCTCAAAAGTCCTTTGTTACAAGGGCAAGTCCACTCTTTGTTTGCAATCCGTTCACTCGCAACAATCGCCTTAGTTTAGTTCAACATTGGTAGTTTCACTCGTGCGAGCTTGTACGCTTGTGATCACTCACTTGGCTTTCGATAATAAGCGCGCGAGTCACTGCGGAACCGACTTTCACAACACCTCGAAACTCTCGGAGACAGCGAAACAAGCGAGTGCGCACTTCCAGAATATTTTCGTTGCCAACGAGACACTGACATCGAATGGCAGAATCGGAACCGCATTATCATCAGCCTTTCTACACCATCATGAGCGGCACCGGTCCTGGCGAGTCGGACACCAACTACGTCCCTCTCGTCCCCTACAATGGCACCACCGCAACTGGCGGCGACTCGCTGCATGTCAACCTGAACATCTACTATGAGGTGCGCAGCCATACAAAGCCATGTCGTTGAGATCGGTGCTGACGTCCGTGAAGAGCGGTGACATTGGTTACATGATCATCTGCACCGCCTTGGTCTTCTTGATGATTCCAGGCGTGGGGCATGTTTATCCTTCAATACCTTGAGCACAGTATGCTGACAACAACCGCAGATTCTTCTACTCTGGCCTGGCCAGACGCAAGTCGGCCCTCTCTCTCATTTGGCTTTCGATTATGGCGACCGCTGTCATCTCCTTCCAGTGGTTCTTCTGGGGCTACTCTCTCGCCTTCTCCCACCAGGCCGGTAAATTCATGGGCGCTCTCGACAACTTCGGCTTCATGAACGTCCTTGCTCAGCCCTCGGTGGGAAGCAACAGAATCCCGGATCTTCTGTACGCCGTGTACCAGGGAATGTTCGCAGCCATTACGTGAGTATTCTGATCACTAGCAAGCCTTGGACAAGACAAGAGACTGACCGACACAGCGTTGCTCTTGGTGTTGGCGCTGTTGCTGAGCGTGGCCGCCTCTTTCCTTGCGTTATCTTTATGTTCATCTGGAGCACCGTCATCTACGATGCCATCGCTTGCTGGACCTGGAACCCTTCAGGCTGGCTCTACATTCTTGGATACCTGGATTTTGCCGGCGGCACCCCTGTGCACATTTCCTCTGGCTGCGCTGCACTGGCATACTCGTTTGCGTTGGGCCATCGTAAAGGCCACGGCACACACGAACTCAACTACCGCCCTCACAACGTCACACACATTGTGATCGGTACAGTCTTTCTCTGGTTCGGCTGGGTTGGATTCAACGCTGGTTCAGCACTGGCAGCCAACATGCGTGCTGTCATGGCGCTTGTTGTTACCAACCTAGCTGCTTCTGTTGGTGGTATCACTTGGTGTCTCTTGGACTTTCGTCTTGAGCGTAAGTGGTCGACTGTTGGATTCTGCAGTGGTGCTGTGGCCGGATTGGTCGCCATCACTCCAGGCTCTGGTTATGTCCCTGCTTGGGCAGCTGTTGTTTTTGGCGTGGTTGCGGGAATTGGATGCAACTACGCAACCAAGCTGAAGTACCTCATGAACTGCGATGATGCTCTGGATATCTTTGCCGTGCACGCTGTTGGCGGTTTCATCGGTGATGTACTTACTGGCTTGTTTGCTGCGTAAGTGATCCAAAGTAAGAGCCGATGCTCATTTACTGATAACTTACAGGGATTACATCGCTCATCTTGACGGCGTCACCGTCATCCCTGGCGGCTGGCTCAACCACCACTATCGTCAGCTTGGCATTCAGTTGGCTGGCGGCGTCACGGGTGGTGCCTACTCTTTCTTCGGCTCCCTCATCATACTCTACGCCATGGACTTCATCGGCAAGTACTTGACTGCGTTCAGACTCCGTGCCTCCCCTGAAGAGGAGGACTTGGGTATCGACGACGTTGAGATTGGAGAGTTTGCGGTATGTCTAGCATTCACTTGTTCAATGGAACTCGACTAACAGGTATCATAGTACGACTACGTAGAGGTGATGCGCGACGTGCAGCACGGCGATGTTCGTAGCCTCTCAAGCGACGAACACGAGAAGGCGTCGACTCCCACCAAGGTTGGTTCGCCGGTCAAGCGCTTCGACGAGGGCATGGCACGCGGACAGCACACACCTCTTGGAGCCAACCCTCCTGTCAAGTACACGGTTGAATCTGCCAACTCTCCCGGCAACTTTGTGTAAAGCTGTATAGGGCAATATTGGTCGAAGTCTTGATTCAAGAGTAGGACGTTTGTTCTTGAAATCTTTGCTGCTTTGGCAGGCACTGTTGATGGTTCTGAGACGAAGTTTGTATTCTAGAACAGCACGTAATGAAAAGACGATTGCTCTGTTGGCACTCCATTACTCCATGATGGAGAAGAACAAGAAGTGTCAAATGGACCTCCGAGCATTTGCGTGATCTGGAAATAATGACGGGATGTGTGGCTGATGCAGTGGAGCCTCGTGGCACAGACACAACCTGTTTGGGTAAATCCTATTGGTGGGTGTGGCGGCGCCTATAAGGAAACCGCTTGTTGAGGCGAGATCATCTCCAGCGAGATATTCTGACGAGACTGAGACGAGCATCGCTTCAAAGCGAAGAGCAGCAAGTAGCAGTAGGTAGTGACGGCTCAGAGTCCAGGAAAACCGATCTACCGCGCACAACCTGCAGGATCTCGCCTCTTCTTGGCGTTGAACATGGTTCAGATGGACTCGTCGGCTCCAGCTCCTGCTCCTGCCTCAGCACTTCCTCTGGTATCGCCCATTATGGAGGAAAATGAACGCCCCGACCTCGTGCGTGCCATGGACTCGTCAGGTACCGACGTGACGGATGTCTCAGAAGACTACGAAACCGAGACGGACAACGACGTGACAGGCCCGGACGATGTTGACGTTCAGAGGATGCATTTCCAACCCGCCCATCCCATGGCCGACGGACAGATGACTCCTGCCTCACAGTTTGGCTGGAGTGTGTCGAGCCACTCGCGCGCAAGGAACGGCTCTGGTGGTACTAACGGTCCTCCAAACATCAACACGGTTATGAGCCCCGAGGCAGCATATCCGGCGCCTCCTCAGCTTCTGTCTACCCACCCCATACCACCGCAGTCAGCTCGCCCTGCACGCCCGCCGAATGTCCGTCAGCCCTCGAACGCCTATGCTCCCGCTCGCCGCCCTCATCAATATTCCTATAACAACACTGCTCAACGTGCACGCACTACATCTACGAATCGTGTCCGTCGCAACCCCAACGCCGAATACCGCGCTCAAGAGAAGGCATACGTCCAGCGCTTGCGTCAAGATGCTCCGCCTGATGACTTCTTCGTTGGCGAGCCGCGAACACCCAGTCTTGATTATAGCGACGGCTCAGAACCCGACGACGAGTCACCTGCTGCTGGAGAGGTACTTGAACACGAACATGACGAAGAGACGTTATTATACTACGGCAACGAAGATATGCAACCATCGATCGAAGAATTGAAAATACCAGAGAACCGCGAGCGATTGGAATGGCACTCTATGCTGGCCAACGTGCTCACCGGAGATGTTGTCAAGCAAGAAAAGAAGCGTTTGATTGGTGGCCAGGATCCTCAGAGCGACAGATCATTGATCATGGAGGTCTGGACTGGAGTCAGAGCAAAGGTCTGCGGTCGTTCTTTGGCTGCTCAACGGCGCATGATTGAAGACGGACGCAGCAAGATCAAGTCTGTCATTGAAGAGATCATTGCCTTCGAAATCAAGGGCGAGGCTGAGGCAGGCAAGATTCCACTGGAGCAAGTTCGGGATGTTGTGCAAAAGATTGAAAAGATCGAAGGATTATACCCTACACGCATGTCTTTTGTCCAAGCCAATCCGCGCGCCGCATCAGACGCCTATATCAACAGCTGCGATGCTGTCATGTCATGGCACAACACAACCGATCTGATCAACACCCAACTCGGCATTCTGCAGGCTTGGGTCGGTAACCAAGAGCTGTCATTCGACAAGCCACGCCAACGTGGTCTTCAAGACACTCACGGTCACATCATTGACGAGAGTACCTTTATTGACCGCATCCTGAAGGAAGACGGTCTTCGCTCACTGTGGGACGAAGAAAAAGAGGTCAAGGAAAACAAACCCAATGGTCTCTTCCACGTCGTCAACACTGTCATCGACAAGGCGAAGTCGACTCTCATATCCAATGCCGAGTCATTCGCAGATCGCCACTTGCCTCCATACATTGAGGAGTTGTTGACTTTGATCAATTTCCCTTCACGTCTGGTCCAAGAGATCATCAAGGTCCGTATAGGTTATGCCAAGAAGATGAAGGATCCTGCTCAACAAGGTGTCATGATGGCCGAGCAAATGATCTTACAATTCCAAAGTCTTCTAAAGCTAGCCGTCAAGGTCAAGGAGGCATACCTTCTTGCTGCTCACCCTGAGCCTGGCTGGGATCTGCCGCCTTGCATTGACGAAAACTTTGATCGTATCGTTCTCGAAGCTGTTCGCTTTTACTTCCGCATGCTGAACTGGAAGTTGATGGCCAACAAGAACACTTTCAAAGAGGCCGAAATTCTCGAACAGGAATGGGGTTTCTGCAACGAGTTGGGTAGGCACCTCGAAGGTGGTGATGTCGAGGTTGCTGAGCAGTTCAGGTTTGTCAACATTATTTTCTCCTTCCTACAATTTCTCACTGATCATGATATAGTTCCTTGACGTCCAAGTCGCTCACCAGATTGACGTTGCACTTTGAACGTGAGTTGCAGAAACGGCCCGACGAAGTTGCTGGTGCCGAAATGGACAAGAGATATAAGAACATTCTCGACTCTGTTCGTGTGCGCCAACGTAAAATCTTCCGATTCTCTCGTTTGTTGAGTCAACGCTTCGAGAATTCTACTGAGTACAGTCTCAATATGAACTCGGTCCACATGCAGGACTTGATTGATGCACTTATTGGCTCTGGTCATTTCCTCATTGATACAGATTCGGAGAAGACTGGCTTGTACTTCATCGCTTGTCCAGCCTTAGACGGTCGCCTCAAGGAGATCGAGACTTTGCTCCGTACCTGCTACCACCCTGAAGAATCCATCGAAGATCTCACCAACCCTTACGTCCTCATACTCAAGCCCGAGAACCCCATCGCGTGGGATGGTGCCATACTTGAGAGATCCGGATTTACGCCACCCCACATCGACCTTCGTACTGGATTCATGCGTCTTGTCGCTGATGGTCCACAAGAAAGACTTGGAGATGCCAACACCGCTTTTGCTTCCAATATCAACCTTGATCTCAATGTCGTAGTGCCACAACGTGCGAACATGACACGAGTCAACCAGGAACTTCAGAAGATCAGACGCACTACCTACAAGCTCAGCAACACCATCATGGACAGTGTTGAGATCGTGCGCAAGCAGACTGAAGGACTTCAGTGCCAAGAACTTATTCAGACATGTTTTGCTTTCGCCACTGAGTTCGGACAGCGTTCAGTGCTTTACATGGACCCCAACCGTCGTGCTTACCACAACCTAATGATGACAAGACTTGCGCTGGACTGGGTCAGCTTCGTCGCAGACGATTGTATTCCCTCAGACCGCAAGACTTTCCGCTGGGCTGTCGTAGCACTTGAATTTGCCATGGTGATGACACGAGGACAAAACATCCTGTCCATCAGCATGACCGAGTACGATAAGCTGCGAGCAAAGGTGGCTGGATGCATGTCTTTGCTGATCAGTCACTTTGATATTATGGGCGCTCGTTCAAACGTTGCTGCCGAAGCAGAGAAGCAGCGACTAGAGAGTATGGCTGGCAAGCTACGTCTGGACGTCAGCAAGCTGAAGGACGACGAGGAGAGCTCCAGACTTGTCCAGCAGCAATGGGTCGAGCAACTTCAACAAATTGACGAGTTCCGCAAGGAGCGTGAAGCTGAACGCCAAGCACTGGGACGCGTTCTTGAAGACAGCAACGAAGCCGATCGTGCTTTGACATACCTTTCTGCCTCAGCAGGAAACGTTGTATTACGTTGGCAGCAAGGTCAATTTGTTGGTGGTGGTACCTTTGGTTCCGTCTACGCTGCCATCAACCTTGACAGTGGTCATCTTATGGCCGTCAAGGAAATTCGACTCCAAGATCCTCAACTTATTCCCACGATCGTATCACAGATTCGCGATGAAATGGGTGTTCTACAAGTCCTCGATCACCCTAACGTTGTCAGTTACTACGGTATCGAGCCTCACAGAGACAAGGTTTACATCTTCATGGAGTACTGTTCAGGCGGAAGTTTGGCAGGTCTTCTTGAGCATGGCCGTATCGAAGACGAGACTGTCATCCAAGTATATGGTCTTCAGATGTTGGAGGGTCTTGCCTATCTTCACGAAGCAGGCGTGGTCCACCGCGACATCAAGCCCGAAAACATTCTGCTCGACCACAATGGTGTCATCAAATACGTCGATTTCGGCGCCGCAAAGGTCATCGCCAAGCAAGGCAAAACACTCGTAGCTGACCCTACCGGCCGCGGTGGACGTCAAAACTCCATGACCGGCACACCAATGTACATGTCCCCAGAAGTCATCAAAGGCGGCGCACCAGTCAACTCCCGCCACGGCGCCGTCGACATCTGGTCCCTCGGCTGCGTCATCCTCGAAATGGCAACAGGACGTCGTCCCTGGGCATCTCTTGACAACGAATGGGCCATCATGTACAACATTGCCCAAGGCAACCCGCCTCAACTTCCCTCACCCGACCAGCTTTCCGAGCTTGGTCTCGACTTTTTGAAAAAGTGCTTTGAGCGTGATCCGGCGAGACGATCTTCGGCTGCTGAACTGTTGCAGCATGACTGGATCATGCAGTTGAGGAATCAGTTGAGTCTGGAGCCTGGTACGCCTCAGACACCGGCTTCGGAGGCGAGCTTTGGGAGTATGAGTAGGCATGAGAGTACGAACGGGTCTTATAACTCATCATAGGCTCAGAAATGGATGACGAGGATGTTTTCTTTGGACGGGTTGGTTCATTCTTACTCCCTAGGCATTTGGGCGTTTTCTGTTGGCGTGGCGTGGCATGGCTTTACTTTCACTTACATCTTCCTGCATACACAAATTTCGTTCGGCTTCTTTGATTCATGTCATGTCTGGGTGTTTTTTGTAATGTGCCGCGTGATCCGAATCAGGGCTACAACTTCACGAGAGACAATATCACGTTGCCAGGCCGTTGTCAGATATGAAACAGACACTTGGATAGACCAACCAATTCTGAACTATGTTTCATTACTTATTGGAGCTTGAGCTCAATAGCCTTGCCATCAGCTTCACCACTCTTGATCATAGACTCGAGCTATTCATACAAGTCAGTAAAGGGACTAGCAAACGATCAATTGTCAGATAGCGACTTACCACTTCCAGATCTGCCAAAGCCTCTTGAGGAGTCTGCAGAGGATCGGCCTTGCCTCGCGAAATACTCTCGCCCCAAGCCTTGAGCTCTTGCCTCACACCATTCTTATCCTCTGGGAAGTCCTTTGACGACTCTTTGCCATCTTTCTTGACGATGGTCTTGTCAAAGCCAACATCGACGGTACCTTTTTGGCAGGCGACTACGTATTCAGCGCCGGAGAAGGTGGTGCCGAAACTAACGCTGAAAGTACCAGAACGGCCGTTTGCGAGCTTGACGGTGGCGTTGATAGTATCGATGGGAGGAAGGTGTGGTTGAAGTTGAGCTGTAAAGGCGGCGACTTGTGACATTTTGGCCTCTTGGCCTAGGAGTTGTCTCATGGCGGCGATGAAATGGACACCTCCATCGAGGAGGAATCCTCCCTGTATTTATCAATCAGCACTGAATTTTGCTGAAAGAGGATGGGGTCATTCTTACTTGGTACTCTGGTTTCTTGCGCCACTCAGTCTCGTAGTACTTGGCTCCAGGCCCGACAGAAGCATGCATACGAAGACGGAAGCCCAAAACATCTCCCAGCTCTTTGACTTGCTCAGCACCATACTGGAAACGACCAAGATAGCGGAAGTGCTCGGCAACAGCCCAGATGGTCTTCTTAGTATCGATGTTCTTGTTGTACCAATCGATCAACTCATGCGCAGTTGCCAGATCTTTTGCGATGGGCTTTTCAGAGAGCACATGCTTGCCAGCAGACAAGGCTTTCTTGATGAAATTGGGTTGAGCGAGGATGGGCAGGGCAATGACTACAGCCTCGATATCTGAGCGTTCTAGGAGTTTGGCGTATGATTTGTCTGAGCCAGCATCTTCGGCGTAGAGATCGGGGATGGAGGATTCGACTGCTTTGGAGAGCTTCTGGGCTGAGGATAGGCTGCGGGAGTAGGTGGCCTTGAGGGAGAAGAGGTCACCGTTGGCTTTGATGCCAGGCTGTCACACTGGTCAGGCTGTGGTGTCGTTATGTGGGATGAGAAACATACGAGGTGAGCTTCTTGGACAAAGATGCCTGTTCACATGCGGTTTGTTCTCAGCCGACGGTTCGTTCCTGCCATGTGTTGTAATAGCCTACCGCTACCGATGACTGCGATTCCAATAGTCATTTTGAAGTAGGAAAGTGGCTTTTCTGTTCTTGCCTCAAAAGTCTTGCGGCTCTCAGAAACTCGTTGAAGCCTTTCAGCTTTATTTACACTGCGTCACTCTGAGCCCCACCATCGCGCTTGCCCCGCGTTTTTCGAGCCTCCCCGCTCCTGCTCGTCTCTGTTTAGCCTATACCGCTATACATGTTTAGCCTGCGGAAGAAGAATAGAGAGTAAGGATGTTGTGTGAGTACAGAGTGCTTCTTCTCAAGGAGTTTGACCCAGAGTTAAACAGTCTATTTCGGCCTTTCTATACAGTATGGTGTAGGATCTAACATCTATGCCTGCACACATATAATCATGGTGGCAGCTTCTTCCTTTATTTGGTTTCCGTTCCTTCTGCTGCGAGTCCCAGCTTGCTAAGATCAATGGCCAAAGGATCAGACTCTTCTGTCGATTCTGTTGGACCACTGTACCCGGCAGGTGGAAGCGCCCATTCAGGCAATTCCGTCTCGTACGACCACCTGCCGTCTCCAGCAGCATACTTGCGAGCATGCAGGTAGATACCAAGTTCATGCGGCCCCGGATCACTATACAGATCTGTTCCACAGAGTTCGCACTTCTCGCCAGTGAGTTTCTCTCCTTTGCTCTTCTTGTAGCGATCCATCATCTCATCGTGGTAGGCGACAGCATCTGCTGTTTCGTCTTTGCCCATGCGGGCTAGACGTGACATGATGTCTTCGTCGTTGTCGGCCTCTGACTCACCCTTGCCCAAATTGAGGCCCCAAACACGCTGATTGGCGTAGATGGGGTCGTTTGAAATGGGATGGCCTAGGAATTGCAGGTGTACACGCAGTTGATGCGTGCGCCCTGTGAGAGGCCGACAGCGCACAATCGAGTATCCCTCCTTTTGCTTCCACTCCATGCCAGGAGTGACTACGCCTTTCTCAGTCCCTTCATCTCCAGCTCCAGGGTAGTATGCTAGTCTCTTGAAGACTGTTCTTGCGTCCTTGCCGTCGGCGCGTACTCGGTTCAGACCGAGCTTAGGGCTGATTTGCATGATGGGTTGCTCGCAGACGATCTCTCCTTCTGGAAACTCGCCCATGACGCGGGCAACGTATTCTTTCTTGACAGTACGGGCCATGATTTGCTCGGTGAGGTCGTCGGCAGCCTTACGGTGTTTGGCAATGAACATGACGCCACTAGTCAGACGATCGAGACGGTTGCAGGGCATAGGGTTGAAACCGTGGCCACGCTCTGCACGCATGACCTCAGTCACGCTGTTGTAATTGTAGCGGCCTGATGGATGTACGGGAATACCAGCAGGCTTGTTGATCACAATCATGTCTTCGTCTTCGTGGACAATACCAATCTCTTGCTGGGTGACAGGCGGTTCGTGGCGGTGAAGGGTATGTGAAACAAGGTCGCCATTCTTAACTCTGTGGTCGGCACCAGTCGCAGGCTTACCGTTGATAAGCACAGCACCTGTCTTGACGGCGTTGGTATAGTATTCGATTGGGCGATCGCGAAACTCGTCGGCAAAGATCTCGAGGATTTCTCGGCCTCGCCATCGTTGCTTGCACCATGTGTTGTATGTGTAGTGGTATGGCGCAACCCGTCGCAGGCCGCCCTCGAGGTAGTAAGGCCGCGGCCAGGGATCGCAGGGTGTGATGATGACGTCCGGTGGTTCTTCCATGGTGTTTGGCTTTGTCGCAGGCTTGACACCTTTGTCGACGGTCGTCAAGGCCATGGTTGTTGGCAGTTTACCGCGCCGCGCCAGGAACGCTACAATTCGGGGGGAGGGAGCCACGTCTAGTTGTTGTACTCGCGCTCGTCTTTTTCCACCTCTTGACCCTCGGGTCGGTCTACGCGAAACGTTGGTATTTTATCTGTTTGTTTGTTGGAGCCAGAAAAAATTATTGTATGCCCGCATTAGAGTTGATCGGCGGATCCGCGTAGACCTTCTCTTCTTGGCCAAACCCTTTCCTCGCCTATCTTATCGTCGTATATGTTGGCCATGCGTCCATTCAAGCTCTTTCATCTTCCTCTCCAGACCAGTATACTATCAAGATGCCTGTTGAAATAACCCGCATGGTCGAGAGCGACATAGATGGCGCTGTCGACTGTATCCAAAAAGCCTTCGCGGAAGATCCCTACTTCGCTTGGGTATTCCCTGAAAATGTAAGAGGATATATACATTGAGTCTCCATTTTATTATCCGTTCCTAGTTACACGATCCGCATCGCCTTGACACTGTTTGCTCTATTCTAACATTACTGTCACTGTCAAGTTCTCGCCGACACGAAACCGCGTCTCGCTTAGTATTCGCTGTAGATGGGGTCTTGAACACGCTCTGTTCTACGTAGCCAAAGACCCTTCATCTTCTACCCCTTCGCGTATCCTCGGTGTTGCCTGTTGGCTACCTCCTACCAATTCTGCCGCGCCGCAATCTTGGAAGAGCTGGTTAGGAGATTGGTCGCTGTGGTTGAACCAAGTCTGGATGAATGCTGTGTATGGTCGAGGCGGCCTGAATGTGCGCCGCTACTACATCTGGTTTGTGTATCCTGGATAGTGGGGTTGTATAACTCGCTCTAATAATTGAGTCTGTAGGAAAGCTGCTCAAAGCGACGCGCAGCGTCAGCTCTGGACGGATGACCAAGGGTACTACTTCTGTAATATTGTAACTGTGCTGCCAGAGTGCCAAGGATTGGGTATAGGAAAAGGACTTTTCGAAGTCGTGATGCGTCAAGCAGATGCCGAGGGCCGGAAGTGTTATCTCGAGAGTTCGAGAGCGGTGCCAAATATGGCTATATACCAAAAGATGGGCTTCGAATTGGCAAAAGAAATGGTGTGTGATGATCAGGGGACTGCCATTACGCTGTACTGTATGATGAGGGATCCGAAGCCGATATAGGTGGCTTGTCGCAGCGAGGGAATGTATTAGTGCTGATAACCAAAGCGTACAGTCGTCAAAGGAGTGTTTGGGGTATAATGAGGCAAAGGAGCGTGAGGTCGTTCAAGGAGGATCGGCATACATTCAGCCGCGGAAGACCGACTTCCAGGGAGCTGACTTGGATTTGGGCGGTACCCTTGGTGGCAAATAGCCAGTGCCACCTGTTTCCAAGAACTCTTGGGCTTTGCCAGGTACTCCACCTCTAGGCACAGAATTTGATCTCGGCAGCACAGGTGAGAGGCTGTCTTCTTTTATCGAGGTCAACTGGTAGTCGTTGCCGAATCCGACGGGCTTGTAACTTGGAACGAGGGATCCATTCGATGTTCTTTTTCGTTCAATGTTCAAGCGGGGCGTTGATGGTGCCTCTGAGTTCGTCCAGCTCCAGCGGGTCGGTTGATGCGCCGATGACACTGGTGATATGGGCTCGTCTCCAACACTACGCACCGAAATGCTCGGAACATTTGATGCTTGAGACTTCTTGGTACCAGCACGATTGAGATATTTTTTATCTGAGCTCTTCAGGTACGCCATGTGTGGTTCCATGAGCATACTAGGAGGCTTGTTGCTCATCTGGGCCCCTGCTTGAGTTACAGGTGCTGGTAGACCTGGAAGATTCTTGCTCGATCTGGCCTTGCTTTTGAGCGACAAAGGATACCGCGACGATCGCACTGAATACCTCTGCTCATAGTAGATAGGATACTCCTCTGGACGGGCCATGTAGGGAGATGCGTGACTACGACGGCGAAGCTTGAGAACGTCGACTAATGCAGCACCTCTTCGCATTTGGCGTATCACATATGCGACGAAGCATAATAATAGCACTCCACCTGTTCATTGTTAAAAATAAATCAGGTTCTTTTGCCATGCAGATGACGTACCTATTGAACAGGTGATGATGATCAAGAGTCTGGAGCCCTGAGGTAATTCGCTCTCTTGTGACGAGTCTTGACTCGGTTGTGAGTAAGGTGTTGAGCCAGAGAGGTCCATTTTTGGTGTGGGTAGCAGACAGAGCAACCTCTAGCCAGAATACAGAAGCTTCCAGGACACAAAACAACTTGAAGAGGGTGGTTGAAGTGGTGGAGCAATGGCAGCCAGCCGCCTTGAAATTGTTGCAAGAGACGAATGTATAATCGAACGAGTGTGATGGTTCTGCCCAGCAGAATAGTGTATCACTGTACCTTGATCGAAGACCGGAGTAGAGGGAAACAACAGAAGAAGGAAATCCTTACAAGGATTGCGAGGCCTCGTGATACTGATATAGCAACTGGGGTAATAAGGCTGCTCTCGTTTCGGCCCAAAGAACTTACCTCTGTGTTCATCTGGGGCCCTTGATCCTGCAAGCAGCCCTCGATGAACAGAATCGTGCGCAAGGTCCGCATGAAGACGTGGTCAGACACCGTGCTTCTGTCATGAATAAGAATCTGATCGATTTTGAGACAGATTACTCCAGATGTGATCAAACTCAGGGTGTTTGGCATTGACGGCGTCGAGCAAAAAAATCTTGTGCGGGTCAAAGATGGTGAAACAGGCTTTTCGGTGCTTCGAAGCCTGTGCGGCAACCAACATGACGGAGCAGTTCCTTCGCTGAAACGTGATGCGACGGTGCCTTTGAATCGCGGGTGACCTGCAGTAGTCAAGAAGATCCTAGCTGGTCTCGACTGGAGAGATACGGTTAAGCATACTCGAATTTGAATATGCACGACGAAAGTCAAAGAAGGATTGTTCAGCCTAGACTTTGTCGGTCTGTACTGAACGACACCACCACAACGATCAACTTTGAAGTTGTACTCGATGAAACTCAGCCGTGTTCGACCGTAAGTATGCTCTAAGGAAGAGATCGAACAATGTCACGTCCAGGGTATCTCGGTAGAAGGATCATTCTGGGTAAACAATCGCGAATCCTTTGTGATCAAGTAGATGAGATAGATATGTCTGAGACCCCCAAGACCAATCTCACTGCTGCATTGAAAGGAGTATGGAGCAATCTCCAGAAGTGTAGGTGTGTAAGCGCTGCTAAAGTGCACGATACTGGTATTCTGACAGAGCGCAGTGTGGTGCACGTTGGAAGGAAACCCTGAAACTTCAGCCACGGCCGGCAGCAAATTACGGCGGCAATGTGGGCTCCCTCGGAACGCGCACTCAGTGGGGTGTCATTATTTTGTCCAGTGGATATTGCTGCAAGACAGACCTTTCTATTCCAGTACACTTGGTCGTCGCCCTGCTGAAAAAACAATATCAGGTGATCCTTCTCTAGCGCTCGAAGACTGCATATCTTGGGATGAGGCTGTGTAGCTGGACACCGCCACAAGGCTTCGCCAACGGATATAGCTTTAAGGTATGCTCTGCCACCAGGCGACTGCGCCTTTCCGACCTCTGACGAATGTTGTCTGGCTTATGCTGTTCTTCATGCTGACAAAGGCCATACAAGCGCAATGTGTAAAGGATCGTATAAGCCATCGTATGCGTATCCATGAATTGCTGCCACGTCATGTGCCAAGGGCGTGTGGGCGACCCTTCCCGAGCTACCCATCTGACCTCTTCCCATGTATATATTTGAACTCAGCTTGATTCACATCGAAACGCTTTCCCTTGCACACACCTATACTTCGAACCATAACATATCATCTCCCACACATCATGTCAGACCCTTACGGATATCAAAACCAGGGCCAGTATGGCTACCAACCCCCGCAGCAAGGTTATGGAGGTTACCAGCAGGGTCCTCCCCCGCCTCAGTACGGCGACAACCAGCAACACCATTATGGCGGCAACCAGTACGGTGATAACCAGTACAACCAACAATACGGCGCTCCAGCCCACGGTGGATTCCAGCACGGTCAATATGGTGGACCCGAATATGGCGGACCTGCCCCGCCACAACAGCAAGCATAGTCAGTGATCCCTCGTCTCAATTATATTGTATAGTGAGCTGATCATAACGCAGTGGTCAATACCCACCTAACGATCCATCTCACCAGTTCCCTCAACAAGGAGCTTACAACCAGAACCCCCCACCTCAAGACCCCAACAACCCTTACGCCCATCAGCAAAACCAGTATGGCCCCACCGATCCTGCTGCAGGCCAAGAGGGCGATCGTGGTCTTATGGGAGCAGTAGCCGGTGGACTCGGCGGCGGTGTGCTTGGACACAAGGCTGGCCATGGCATCATCGGAACACTTGCCGGCGCTTTCCTGGGCTCGAAGGTGAGTTGACGGCAAGATCACACAATGGTATTCTGTTGCTGACTTGGATGGACCAGGCAGAAGACAAGTTTAAAGAACACCGCCAGGAGTCGCAGTACCAGCAGCAGTACGGTGGCCCACCTCAGGGCCAACACCATGGCCATCACCACCACCACCACGAACAGAAGTGGTAGAGCCGTCCGCACGGTTACTCGGAGTGCTCCGATATTTGATTTCTTCATGGTTGCTTTTAGGAGTTCTGGCTAGGCTACATACGCCATGTGGGGGATCTTCCTACCTTTCAAACTCGGCCGAGCGTGAGCGTAAGCGTGGATGGTCACGGCGGCCGCGCGCTCTCTGTCCCTGTTGATCCTCACCTTTTTTCGACGACAAGCGATATGAATTACTCTTGTTTAATTCGAGTCAGCATTGCCTATTTAGAGCATTCTTCGAACAGCGTGGCATGTGGATGGTCAGAGTGTTTGACAGCAAGATCGGCACACTTGACTTGTTCTATGTGACATGACATCTCCACTTCCTAAAACGCTGGATCGGAAGCCAGATTGGGAATACAAGGTTGAAGGAACTACTGTTTTGAGAATCGAGCTCGCACGGCTCTAGGCAACGAATGCAAGCTCTGTGCTTGGAAAAAGATGTCGGCTCAGACCATTTGGACGATCACAGATCCGTGAAACAACCGCTACGAACCATTGATGGGCTGAACTCCGAGTATTATACTTGATGTGAATAGGCGCTCAAAGAGTCTGTCGATTCGAAAAGCAGTAGGTCTGACTCGAGGCACACATTTGAAATAGTGATATACCAAAGGAAAGGATGAAACAGGGATTTGTTTAGAACAGGCGGTTGTACCCAATTGGGATAAATCAGTGTTCACCCAGTCACATGATTTCGTGCCTTCCCTAATGCGTCTTCTCGGAATTAGAGTTCGCTCCATCAACAATCAACTCGGAACAGACGACGACCAAGATATGACATGAACAACAACTCAACGTGGCAGGCAGCGCCCATTCACAATGCCAAATACTTCTTTGCCTCGCCCACCTACAACAAATGGGTGAAGCTATCAGCGGCTGATGTGCACGCTCTGCGCGAAGTGCCTGGATTTGAAGGTAGCCATTCCCCTTTCATTCTTCAAGTCTTTGCCTTGAGAACTGAGCTGACCAATGTCTTCTTCTTCGCCTTTACAGGTCAAAATGTCTACTTCTGTCTGAACCACCCCATCCGCTTTGTCTACCTCGTTGCTCCTGTCGTCGCCATTCAAGAGATCCCACATACAAGATATCTCATCTTGACTCTCGACGACAGCAGTGGTGCCTGCATAGACGTCAAGATCGAACGTAAAGACCCCGCTAAAATCGATCCTGACAGCACCTCAAACACAACAGTCGCAAATATAGACATCGACACTCCATTCGACGGCCCCACGGAAATCAAGGTTGACGGCCAGGTCGTGGATATTGCGACTGTGCTGAAGGTCAAGTGCACGATTGGTAGTTTCAGAGGTGTCAAGCAGTTGGAGTTGAAGAGGTGTAATGTGATCAGGGATACGACTGAGGAGGTTGCGGCTTGGGAAGCTATGGCGCTGTTCAAGAGGGATGTGCTGGCCAAACCGTGGATGTTGAGTGCTGCCGATCGAGCCACTCTGGACGCACAACTTCAGCAAGAAGCCCTACGCGAGCAAGAGGAAGAGCGAAGGGAGCGGCGCAGTCAGAGGGCACATCAGAAGCGAGAGGAACATCGAGCCGAGAAACGAAGGGCCCGAGAAGAAGAGAAGGAACAGAGACGGCTCGCTGCTGAAAAGAAGTACAATCAAGGTGCTCTGATCTAAAACATGGCTGGATTACACATTCTAAGCGATGTATCAAAAAGAAACGCCTTGCTATGCGTGGCAGCGAGGAGAAATAAGAGAAACAGATGAGAAAATCAACCTTGCTGATATGATCAGTCATCGTCATCGTCCTCTTCCTTGGACTTCTTGCGCTTCTTTCCCTCCTCGTCTTCGTCATCCTTGGCCATCTGCTTCTTCTTACGCTCGTTGCGCAATGCTTTGGCCACCTTTTCATCTCCTGCCTCCTTGGCTTCGTCCCAGTCGACATCGTACTCCTCAGCAACCATCTTGATTTCTCTTCTCAGACGATTGCCTTCTTCAACGAGACCATCCCACTTGGACACATCAAAGCCTTTCAGCTGGTACAGCTTGTCCTGTCTCTTGCTGACGGTAAAGTTCATAGCGGAACGATAGCTGACTTCGCGGTTGTGGTAGAGGAACCACATGTAACCACCAATCAGTGTCGACAGACCAACAAGGTAGGTAACAGGCTCCATGACGTCCCAGCCCAAATCAGTCTGGAAAGTGAGGACATAGACACTACCCCACCAACCCACTAGCACAGCAAAACCTCCTTGAGCAACACGCTGAGCACTCCTATGGGCCAGCTTGTCGCACTCGGCCTTGATGTCTGCCAGGGCGGAAATCTGTCTGGCTGTCTTGCGCAGACGCATGCGCAGGTAGTAGGTACGGTCGGCGAATGACGGAACAGCGACATAGATGGGCTCAGGGGCACCCTCGATATCAACACTGAACTCCTTTCCTCTTGCAGCATCTCTGATGAAGTCGCCAATTTCAGTACTCGGCGACCAGCGCACAAAGTTTGGGTGTTCTGGATCGGGTTCTCTGGCGGGATTTACTGGCTTTGGTGCCGTAACCTCGCCTGACTCGTTGAGCTTACCAGTGCGTTCTGTCTTGCCATCAATCTTGAAATCATCCGAGTGTTCGAAGTTGTAGTCTTCTGTTTCCTCATCGCGTCCGTGGTGATCAGGATCAATTGCTTCTTCTCCCAGATCTTGTGCGCGGAAGTGGACGGCAGGGATTTTGTCATTTCCATTCTCGTTCTTGATAACGGGGAGTTCGGATTGGATCAAGCGTTCGAGGTAGCTGAGGGGTTGTTGAGGATGCACAAGGAGAGCCAAAGGTTCCACATCCTTGCGATCTTTGTTGACATCTTTGGTGGTTAGGGGAAGGATAAGCTTGAGCATGCGAGAAGGCGTTGTTAGGAGTTTGCCTATACCTCTTTGTCAGTATGAGACTCAAATAATCCTCAGATCAGATCATCACACCTTTCACCATTGCACCAGCCGACCTCAGACGCGCAACAGGCGGCTTATCGCTACCCTCACGCATCCACGGCGACCGCATCTGACTCTGCTTGCTGTGCTCAACGACCCTTTCGTAGTGTTCCTTCTCTTCCTTGCCCACATCCTGACTCAGATTTGCCGCAGGCTGTCCTTGCGATGTCGAGTTCTCAGCCGTCACGCCTTTGGTCTGCTCTCTTAGACGCAATCGCGTGCTCTGTCCGAATGCCCTGGTACATTGATGGTTGAGACGCGTGATTGGCCAGCACCTATTGCTGCTGCGTCCAGCAAAGGCCAAGCCTCGAAGTATTGATGGTTTCATTGTGTGACTGGGGAAGATCTTGCTACCGTGCCAGCATGTTATATTTTGTCTTTTGCAAGGGTGTGATGATAGCAGGGTTGAGTGTTTGATGCCACAACATGTAATGGCGATGACATCACTCTCCTTTTTGTTTTTGCACAGCCACATCTTTGAGGTCCCGGTTCCTTGATGTCGTGTGCCCTTGAATCTTGACTTGAATTTGCTCTTTCCTTGCTGGGCAGTTGCATAAACGAGACGAATCACTGCGGCAGTCATACTAGGACAGGGTTTTTGCAGCCATCAAGCAATAGCTGCTCACGAGTCACCCTGTCCATTGCAAAAGCGGTTGACCATTATTGACCAGGTATATATAAAACACGGCCTTCGAGTCATGCTGCACAGCTCTCTCTATATTCGACATCAGAACCTCTGAAATGATTTGAGATACCTTGGACTGGTATGTCATTCAAACGAGTCATCGAACGAGTCAGTGACCAAGGCGGTAAGCAGCCACTCGTCGCAGATGTGCATGCCCTTGATACAACTCATGAACTATAAGGAGCCTGCTATGTCCGGGTTCTTGCATGACTCTGCTCGTGTTGCAGATGTGTCTGTGATTGAAAGTCAAAGGGAACCCAATCCCTGGTTCAGCAATGACCTCTGAACAAGTGCATTTGCCCTCTTCGACACGCAGCGATCTCCATGCTTCCACTACTGCGTCCAGAATAGCATCCGGTCTCCGCTTTCTGGCTCTGGCATCCAAGCTCTTGACTCGAATAATTCATACGCCAATGTTGTATCGGGGTTCGCTCCGCCTGAACTTGCCGCACGTGGCACGCAATCAGCGGCTGCAGAGCATGAGATGGCCATTGTCGAGGGTAGGTAATCCCAGGCGCAAGAAAGCGGTAGTTCATCTGTGATCTGTTGTGCAAACACAGCATTTCGACTGCAATTTTGGTTTGCGAACACTACTACTGCCTTTCAATGGCTCAATTCGTACATGTCGAATATATGTGATAGACCGGTACGCTTGATCAACTCCATGTCGTTTGCGTGGTCTGAACCTGTTCTCGATACCTGATGAAGACGACTGCGTTAGCATCCACATGAATAAGATTCCTGATGCGTGGGTAGGACACTTACAGGCAAGGATTTACGGTTCTTTTCCATCCAACTCCAGGGACGGAAAGCACTTGCTTGCCGCTCATTGAAATGACCACCTATGCGTGTAGCATATTTCTCGAGCACTTGATCGGCCAAAATGTTTCGTTCGAAATCGTGGAAGCCTAGCTGTTCTAGCATAGGCAACTGTCGCACGATAATGTCGATAATTCGGTCTACTTGTACTGAGAGAGCGGTACTTGATGCTCTTTAGATATGTCAGTAGATATTCAAGATTCTCGACAGGTCGTATCACCTTGTGCGTCCTCGCAAGTTTGGTGCGTCCATTGCGAGTCTTCTTAACTCTGGAAAGATTGGTGGCCCGGACCTCGCCCAGTCGTCGAGGTCGAAAGTCCCATACAAATCACAGCAATACATTCTGGGATGTGTCTCGCTCAAAGAAGTAATTGATTTGAGCGTGATGTTGCATTCGACCTGGAATGCCAGGCTTTGGATTTTTGGCAGGCCCGACATGAACTCAGCAAACTGTTCATCTCCCAACCATGGAGCTCTGATGTTGTGGTAGTGGGCGCGCCCCTTGGTCCAAGTGCGAATTAGAAGAACTTCCAGTTCTGGTAAGGTTCCGAGAGATGCGATGCCCGTCTTTGACAGTTCAATCCCTCGAGATAGGTTGTGATACTCGATTTCGAGGTGGACTAACTTCTTCATAGGTTCAAGAGCTTGGAGCACATCATGTTCGGAATCTTGAGCTTCAAGAAATAGTGTATCGACAGTGGTAGCAGCAGCCGCAGCCAATAACCCGATAGACTCAGAATGAAGTCGGATATGGAGTATGTGAATATTCTTGAATGTGTTTGGTGGATCAAAGACCTTTCGCGCCCGATGCGGCCTCAGGAACGGCACTAGGTCTAATCTTTCTAGATGTTCTAGAGTCAAGACATGTGCAAGTACTTCTGGTGGAAGCGAATACTCCCAGCCTCTGCCAAACTCAACGTTCCTGAGTGATGTGCGATTTGTCAGAAACTTCTTCAACTTTTCTGGGTCAACCACCAGCTCGAGAGGTTCCATCAGATGAAGATCATGTAACCGAGGACACTCGGTTTCCAAGCGTTCAAGCGCATCTTCGCACGGGTGACCACCCCAGTACGAAAACGATTCCAGTCGAGGTCCAATATACTGGCTCAAATGCAGCTTCTGATTCTTCCGTAGACGCACCATATCAAGTCCGATGCACTTTAACCTTGGAAACTTGAGATTCTTGTACTGGGCATGGAATTTGGCTTCGTCAACATTTCTAAAGTACAACTCGGAAATTTTGTTTGCATAGGACTGTCGACGCTTGTATGAGATCTTGGACAGAGCTATTGGAGGCACGTCTCTCCAGAGGATATCTGTGGCTGGTTCGAACCATTCCTGGCATACTAGAGCTGCTGATAAGAGTGTTTTGTCATGGCCTTCGAGCAACCGAAAAATGGAAAGAAGGATCTCCGGCGGGAGATGTGGTGTTAGAATGGGTTGCTCCATAGCACAAAAGCAGTAAAGATGAGCAAGTTGTATTGGGAATGTTGTGCAAGGTTGTCAACCAGTCCAAGTAGAGCACAAGATGTCGGCAGGCGCAACGCTCTCTTCCGAGCTGTGGAGTCTCTTCTCCAAGCGCCATCCACCTGTCGCGCCTTCCATCCACACAAACAGTAGAAATCTCCGTATCCTCAACAAGAGGTCACGATAGCGATGGCTGCTGCTGCCGCCGCCACGGTCAATCAAGAGGTAGGGCACAAGACTAGCAAGTGCGGCTACAGCGGCGGCCACACAAAGCCCTACGAATGCCCGTTACTCATTCTCGAATGGCTTTAACCTTTGGAGGCAAGTCGACGCGCCATGGTCAAGTACAACACTTCCCACGCCCTATCAACGACAACTAGGACTCTGATTTGCGCGTGTAACTTTGCTTCGTGACTCAAAGTCTCTACACTAATCCCGCAGGAAATACATATACCCCCTGTACTAAGCAAAGAGCAGGCGAGCATCGATCCCCAACCAGCAAACCATCTCCAGTCTTCCAAGCTGCATCTCGCCAACAATGTATCTACGCGCCGTCCATGCCGAACCCTCCATCCCAGCCTTGAAAGCTTTCCTCTCCGCCAACCCCCTCGGCCTCCTTACCACCGCCCTACGCTCTTCAGACCCATCAATCCACTACCTTCAAACCAGCCACATCCCCTGGGTAATCGACGACCCCAATCCCTCAGACTCCTCCCTACCTACTCTACGCGGTCACATAGCACGCCAGAACCCCCACGCCAAAGTGTTTATCGAACATGCCTCTGCATCTCCCACCTCAACCCCATTCCAATTCCAACAAGAAGTAATGGTGTTATTCAATGCACCACACCATTCCTACGTAACTCCTAAATTCTACACAAAGACAAAACCAGAAAGTGGGAAAGTGGTGCCGACATGGAACTATGCGGCTGCACAAGTATATGGAACAGCTACTGTCTATGTGGATTCAAAGGCAGACTCGACAATCGAGTTTCTGGACAAGCAGATTAGGGATCTGAGTAACAAGGCTGAGGAAGAGATTATGGGACATCAGAAGCCGTGGCAGGTGGATGATGCGCCGGAGAAGTATATCGAGCTTCTGAGGAAGAATATCATTGGGATTGAGATAAAGGTCACGAGCTTAGGCGGAAAGTACAAGATGAGTCAAGAGATGGGTGTTGAGGACAGAGAAGGTGTTGCCAAAGGGTTCGAGGACATGAAAACTGAAGCTGGAGACTGGATAGCAAAGACGGTTAGAGAACGTGGACAGACCAAGTAGCCATTCGTCGTTGAAATCACATATCACTGTACACGTTTGGAATCTCTTGCGCTGAAAAAGTAATTGTGCAAAATAATTGGTATCGTATTCGCCGTTTCATTCTATGTATCAATTACCCCGAGTGTAGAAAAGGGGGGCGTACATTTTGAGAAGCATAAAGGAAAAAGTCATGTCAACACGCGGCCGTAACCACAGCATTCATCCGCTTAGATGAGCTGGAGGAAGGCACGGTTGATGGGGGAGCGAAGGGGCTTGACGTCCTTGTAGAAGTCGACAGTCTTCTTGGCACGGCTGGCAATGCCCTCGGGGGTGAACTCGAACTTCTTGTAGACGTCCTTGTAGGCACCCGAAGCACCGAATCTGTTGAGACCGAACTGCTCGTGAGAGTACTTCTCCCAGCCGAGAGTCGACATGACCTCAACCGACATGGTGGGGATACCGTCGGGGATGACCGACAGGCGGTAGTCCTTGTCTTGTGCGTCAAAGACCTCCATGCAGGGCATGGAGACGACACGAGCGGTAAGGTTGTGCTCGTCCTTGAGGGTCTTGACAGCCTCGAGACAGATGGCGACCTCGGAACCGGTGGAAACGAGGGTGACATCGGCCTTCTCCTGCTCGAGAGCGACGTAACCACCCTTGGAGGCCTTCTCGATGGTGGAGCCCTCAAGCTGGGGCAGGTTCTGACGGGTAAGGGCGAGGAGAGAAGGAGTCTCACGGCTGGTCAGGGCAACGTAGTAGGCAGCAGAGCACTCGTTACCGTCAGCAGGGCGCCAGACCATGATGTTGGGAAGGGCACGGAAGTGAGCAAGAGTCTCAATAGGCTGGTGGGTAGGACCGTCCTCACCAAGACCGATGGAGTCGTGGGTGGCGATGTAGAGAACGCGCTGGTGAGACAGGGCGGAAAGACGGACGGCACCGGCGGCGTATGAAACGAAGTTGAGGAAAGTACCACCAGCGGGGATGAGGGTACCGTAGGCGGAGAGACCGTTCATGATAGCGGCCATGGCGTGCTCACGGACACCGTAACGCATGTAGCGACCGCTCCACTCACCAATACCGGTGCTGGGGGGCTGGAAGTCGACGGCCTTCTTCCAGCGGGTGTTGTTGGAGCCAGTCAAATCGGCGGAACCAGAGACCAGCTCGGGAACAGCCTCGTAGATAGCCTCGAGAACGGACTCGGAAAGCTTTCTGGAAGCGATAGCAGCATCGTCGGGCTTGTAGGTGGGGAGGGACTTCTGCCAGCCCTCGGGGAGCTTGCCGGTAAGACGGCGGGCAAGGTCGGCGTGGGCCTCCTTGTGCTCAGAACCGTACTTCTCGAAGAGCTTGTTCCACTCAGCCTCGGCGGCGGCACCGGCGTCGGCGGTCTTGTGGTACATGTCGTAGACCTCCTGGGGAACGACGAAGGACTTCTCGGGGTCGAAGCCGAACTGCTTCTTGACGTGCTTGATGTCGTCGGCCTTGAGGGGGTTACCGTGGACACCGCCGGTACCCTGGAGCTGGGAACCGAAACCAATGGTGGTGGTGAGCTTGATGACTGAGGGCTTGTCCTTGACTTCACGGCATCTCTTGATGGCATCCTCGATACCCTGGAGGTCAGTGTCACCCTTCTCAACGTACTCGCAGTGCCAGCCGTAGGCCTCGAAACGCTTCATGACATCCTCAGTGAAGGCGCACTTGGTGTCACCGTCTGATTCGTTGTTAGTTGAAATTTTGTTGATCAGATTCGGAAAAGCCACTCACCAATGGAAATGTGGTTGTCATCGTAGATGGCGATGAGGTTGCCAAGCTGCAAGTGTCCGGCAGTGGAAGCGGCCTCAGAGGCAATACCCTCCATGGCGCAACCGTCACCGAAGAAGCAGTAGGTGTAGTTGTTGATGAGCTCGAAGCCGGGCTTGTTGAAGGTACCGGCGGTCTGGGCCTGAGCCATGGCAAGACCAACAGCGTTGGCGAAACCCTGACCAAGAGGGCCAGTGGTGACCTCGACACCGGGGGTGTCGTGAGCCTCGGGGTGACCGGGGGTGATGCTGTCAATGGTCTGATTTCATGTTAGAAAGATGATTTCCGTGTTTTGTGGCCGGCAAAAACTCACTCTGAAAGCCTTGAGGTCGTCCATGCTCACAGCGTAGCCGAACAAGTGGAGGAGAGCATACTGGAGCATGCAACCGTGACCGTTCCTGTGAACCGATTCTGTTAGACATGTTCGTCGGTTCAAATTTGAGCTGTTATCGGCCTTTGAAGGCGGGCTGCGGGCTGCGGAGAAGCTGCCCCGCCGGCTTCCATGATAACAAAAAACAACCATTGTATCATGTACAACTCGACAGCCAGCTCAATCAATGGATGCGATGTGACTTACGAGAGAACGAATCTGTCTCTGTTGACCCAGTCGGGGTTCTTGGGGTTGAAACGCATGAACTTGTTGAAAAGAACGTGCGAGACAGGGGCCATACCCATGGGTGCACCGGGGTGACCCGAGTTGGCTTTGGCGGTCGCATCGACCTGTGAGAGCATCTTATGTCAGTAAAGTCCGTCATTGACTACCCCCTGACAGAAGACTCGAGGTGGATGTGGCGACTCAACAAGCGGTCACAGCTCCTCGAAGCTCATGGAGGGGTAGATAGCTATGCGGTGAGTGAAGAACTTACTGCGAGCAGTCTGATGGTGTTGATGGCAGTCTGGTCAACTTCTCCGTAACCCATTTTGAATGATATGACAGAGGGATGTGATGAGTGAAAGGAAAGAAAGTTGTAGATCTGGCCGACTCAGAGAAAAGATGCACGTTGTTGAGCCCGCAATCCGCTCCCGGCCCAAAGCCGACGTCACATTGAAAGACCCTCACTAAGCAACCGCAAAGAAGCCGATCCTGTGACGAACGGGTAATATCTGTGCACCCCCCTCCTTAGCTACCTTATGCTATGGTCACCGCCATCCTTCTTCGTTTCAGGCTTTTCTGTTTGTTTGACTTCTCGGTCGTACTCAGCAGGCGATGCTAGCAGCTCGGGAGAATTGAACACATTTCTCGACATTATTTTGCATAACCCCATATGTAACTAATTTCAATTGTCTTTTGCCAAAAGACTGCGCTATCGGCGCTGGGCAGCCTCAATCTCTCAAGGAGCCGGTGGAGAAGCAAGCATCTCCGGCTTCTGCTATTCTTCCGGGCGGGTATCAAATCTGATAGCCGCGCGACTGCTCGTACGGCTATGTGTGTCTTGTTTACTTCAAGACTCCTTTTTCAAACTTCGGGCGCAACGAGTCTCCCAACGGACCACGTTCCGCTGAGTGAGAACCATGTGTTTCTCCACGGTCAATTAGGCAATAATGGTAGGCAGCTTAGACACAGTGGAGCTTGACATGGTCATGGATAAGAATATGTTGCTAAGATATATTTTTACCTCAAAAGAATGACTGCGTTGAATAAAATGCTGCTGAGAAAAATAAACCCCCTAGGAAGTAACGCCTTCGCTATGCATACAAATCAGGGTATCTTGCTTTGCTTTGCGTGCTTCCAACCAAGCAGAAAGAGATGAGAAAAAGAAGAGTCCAAACTGAACAATGAATGCATCTCTCTTCTCAACGTCACTTCAATTCTACCGAAAGATACAAATCGTCGCCTCTTCTGCTGGGCGTAAGTTTGGGCTCCCAAAGGGGACTCTTCAACGCCATCTGAGGTGTCTGGTGATTCTTCTTCTGGTTTCTGCGACTGTAGTTTCTCAAAGGCGATTCAGGCGCTTCCCTGATCTTCGTGATTGGCATATCGCGAACCAGATCCAGTGATAGGTCTTCACCACGTCTCTTTGCTGCTAGAGTTACCTTGCGACTCGATGTAGTCGAAGGAGGAGAACGAGGTATAGCTTGATTAGAAGGACGAGGTACCTTGGGATACGAAACTGGAGACAGCTGTTTGTCGACTTCGTTCTCTGGTGTTGTTTCATCGGGATCGACGGATTCGAATGTCGTTGCTGAAGCCCAGGAGCTGCGTACACCGCGCGGCATCAATGGCAATGGTGCAAAGCCGGGTTGACTGAAGCGTTCGTGGTCGCTGGGACTCCACTTTGGTGCAACGGGTGTGCGGCTGTCGGAGCTGGTATAGTAGGCTGGGAGATAGCTTGCTGCGCTACTGGGTGGCATGGACAGATGATCGTTTCTTGAAGCGCCTGTGTTCAAAGAGATGCCGTTGGGCAGGGAACTATCATCGCTTCTCACAGACTTGCGAGGGATCTGGAGCATCAAGCCTGACTTGGCTATCTCTTCTGGAGAAGCGGTGTATTGATCTGCGAAGCTTGGTCCTGATGGAGGATGAATCGGCGACAGAAAGATTGCCTTGGGAAGTGCGGGTGGACGCGGTAGTACCGGTTCATGTGTGAGTACCTTGCTGTCCTCCTCGAACACTGTCCATCGAGTAGCAGCGCTGTCGGGTCTGAGTTGCTTGCTTGCCTTTTTCACGTTGACCGTGATGTTGGTGATGGGAGTGGAAAGTCTGAGAGATCTCGTCTCGCTGCGTGAAGGTGAAGAAATACTGGCTCTGTGTGACTTCAAGCCGTTAGGGACCTGGCGGATATCAGGTTGAGAGGTTTGCTTCCACCATTCTAGTTGAGGTCGTAGCGAGGGCCTGAAGCGACGCTGATTGATCACCTCAGGTGATTTAGTGAAGCTGCTCATTGAGGAGCGAGGCGATCTGTTGGGACTCGCTGGAAAAGACCTTGGCGGTCTGACAGGGCCAGATCTGGTGATGTTCTTGGAAGGGAACTTGGACCCAGTGGGAGAAGATTGATCCTGGAAGTCTAGACGGTGGCTGGATCTGAACCACTTTCTTGATGGAACTCCAGACTTCTTTTGCTTCTCTTCCTTCTTACGACGTCTCACACAACAACAGCAGAAGAAACACAGACCGAAGATAAGGGCAGCAATCGCGATAGAGGCGACAGAGATACCGACGGTTTGACCAGTTGTCAAAGGTTTAGCTGGTTGAGTCGATGTTGCTGAGAGACCAGTGGTTGAAGCTGAGAATGAATGAGAGAAGTTCGAGGTAGTCACGCTGATAACACTGTTCGAAGTCGATGTCGTAAGTGCTGTGGCGTCGGTAGGTACTGCGCTAGGCCGAGTAGTCTGAGATGACAGTATCGATGTTGTCGGTTGATATGACGTTGTCATAGTCAGCACAGAATGTGTGGGTGTCACCGCATTGCTGTATGTAGAGCACAAGCTATAAGCTTGGCGTCCAGATGCGTTCACAATGTCTTCAGGGCAGTGTTCGATCATGCAGCCGAGCACAAACTCTCCGAAGGTGAATCCAGATGTGCTGTAGTGCGAGCAGAGGCACGCAGCATCATTCGAATCGCTGCATTCTGATGGCACCAAGCCCCCCGTAACCGCCGAGGAAACACAGGACTGAGCGCAGGTAGGAATAGAGGGTAGAAGCTTTGCCGGCAAAGCATCTGTACCTCGCAGATAAAGAGCGAAAGGTTGACTGAAGCGTGGTGCCATAATGTGTTGGAGTTGTTATGTATGCTTTGAGGTTGGTGTTAGGACGTGAGGTCAAGAAGAGCTGAGAAGGATCGTGGACAGTGTCTGATGTGTTCTGGTAGAGATCATACCTTCAATAGAGTTTATTGGTAAGAAGTGGGAACGATTACTATTGTGGCGAGCTCATAATAGAAGAATTAGAAGAAGAGAATCCGACCAGCGGGTTGATTAGATGAAGACGGAACAAGAAGACAAGATGAATAGGAAAAATAATAGAGACAATGGCAGAAGGAGATGTCGAGAACCTACGAGCACCCGCGCGGGCGAGGTCTTGTACGCTTTTCTATTCGTGTCTTCAGCAGCCGCCCAGCCATCGTCATCATACACATGGGTGGCAGGTATTGTTACCCAAAGGCGCCAGAAGAATACTAGGGGCCCAAAGGCATAGGCCGCAGAGACATCTTGCAGAAGAGTCGGCGCTTAGCACAACCTCGAAGACAGTCGACTCACGCACAGACCACATGGCAGTGAGTGAGAGTGTTTACTACAGTCGATCATTTGTCGACCCGGGAGACAATTCAAAGACAGTCATGATGATGTTCTGAAACAATGATCGATTGGTTCCTGTCTAAAGACATAAGCATCATACTGCGCCTCTGCTGTTGTACGTTGGGGGGTATCCATCGAGAAAACATGTAACAAGAAAAAGCAACCTTGAATTCGCAATACTCCGGCCCAATGCTCCAAAATGCAGTGTTTGCGAAAAAGCCCAAGCACGCGTTTCGAGCGCCCAAAACTACCCAATATACCTTGTCCTCCCTGTGCCGGTTCCGTAGACAAAAGTCAAAACTCCATGGTAACCCACACCGAGGATGCCGCTGACATATAAGAAATAAAATAGTCTCGTTTAGAAAGCAAAAGGGGCGTTCTCCTTGAGATCCTGGACGAGCTCGTTGACGTTGCTCAGATACTGGCCAAGCAGGCGTTGTTTTTCGTCAGTCGTCTTTGAAAAGCCGGTACTCTCGTTTGTGTTGATTCGCTTGCTGTGCTTCTTCTGCGGACCAGCCGAGGAAGAGTTGGCAGAAGGAGATTCGGGCATGAGATAGAAGTAGAGGAACTCGACGACCTTCAACTTGACTTCTCTGGAGGTGCTGCGTGACTTGAACAAGCTGGCGATTGTGAGGAGGCCATCCATTTTCTCGAAGGTGCGAGTGCTTTCGGGAGTTGCAAGGAGAGCTGTAACGAGAACAAGGAGAGCCTGCGACTGGACGACGGGCGGATTTGCGGCATCGAGAAGATCGAGAAGAAGGTCCATATAACTCTCGCGGCGGAAAAGAGCGCGTGAAGGAGGATGGAGGAGAAGGACTCCTTGGAGGATGTCGAGGGCGGAGAGGATGATTGCATTGGACTGGGTTGCTGGAAGAAGTTAGGACAGAATTACTCGTGACTGAGATGTGTATAGTTACCATTGGGCATTCCCAGCAATGTCTCGAGACAGGTCATCAGGCGAGAAGCAACTAGAGGAACTGTCAGTATACTAGATGAGTCGCATTGGATAAAAGTCGCACCATTCCATTCAAAGCCCTCTTGCAGGCGAAAGAACTCTCTGTAGGCAGGATCCTGGCACAAGGTGCTCAATTGCCTAGGCGGAAGGAGCGTGTCGCCAGACAGGCGAGAAGACGATGGCCGGCGCTTTTGCTGGGAACATGATGGAGGGATGCAGATCTGAGCCAGCAGACCTTCAATCTGGCGCAAGCCTTTGCGGATCTTGGAAATGTCTTTGGAAGACGTGTTGTCGAAGGAGAGAGACAGTAGTGCTTCCATGGTGCAGTGCGTGTGCGAGTCGGCACAAAAGCAGCACAGGCTCTCTGACAGGCACTAGGAAGACACAAATCCAGACTGCAAGAGCATGTGGCATGCACTGCGACCAGACTAGGTATATATGACCCTTGGTCCAGCGACTGAGCCGGCGTTTCGTCAACACAAGCCCCTGTTTTTGGCCAGGCAACCAGCCTGCCCAAGTCAGTTGCGCTAACGTCCAACCCAACTGCCACCACCATCATCACCGCATCTGTTCTTACACCTGCGCAATCTATCAATGATCTGCGAGACGGCCAAGTCCTGAGCTTCTCTGATCGTTCCAGCACAAATCAAGGCTGTTTGGGCTGTCACTGCCATCACCACCCCGGCCACCTCCCAGCCATCTCGCTTGATTGATCAACATCGTCATCTGGAGCATGCAATTTTAGAAAGTAGCTCTTCAGCCCGACTCTCTCCTCTCACGTGCCCGTCGCAACGCCTATAGCACTTCGTTATCGACGGTTCTATCGGCAATAGTCTATGGTCAGGAGCCTCGTCCAGGCTCCATCAAGGGCTACCTGACATGGTACCTTGACGCCGCAATCTAGGTCGACTGCACAGCCTTCACACACCACCCACCATGCTGTTCCTCGTCTCGCGGTGCTCGCCTCGCTTCCGTTCCTCTTATACACCCACCATCTGCATCTCTAATCTGCTCGTTAGCCGCTTCTCCATCGCCTATCGCCGCTCCGAACCTAGTTCTGCAGCTTCTGCAACCAACCCTTCAAAACATGATCCACAGCACAAAGACCGACGTGAGGCTCTTAGGCTCAGATATGCCAACGACCATGAGTATCGCGAAAAAATAAGGGCCCGAGTCAAGGCGCGATACGCCAACGACTCTGAGTATCGCGAGAAGATCAAGGCCCGAAACTGTGCTTTGCTAAAAGCTCGCTATGCTAGCGACTTCGATTACCGCGAGCACTTGTTAACTCGATCCGGTGCTCGATACAGGTCCAATACCCAAGCACGTGAAGCCCAGAAAGCTCGATGCGCAACTTTGCGAGCGAAGCAGAGTCCTGCCGCACGCCAAAAACTTCGTCAGCAGATTAGACTTGCTGTGTCACAACAGTATCACAACGACTTCATACATAGGCAGCGGCTTCGTCTTCGTGCTTGGATCTGTTACAATCTTGTTAAGCAGGAGCTGACGTGGAAGACACACGAGGTCGAATTGAATGCAACTGAGGTAATGCATACATGTTCCGGGCCAAACTGTGGTTATGAGAGGAAGTTGAAGCTATGGATGAAGCGCAAAGAATCTGATCCTCCTCTGTATGACTGCTTCAAATGCTTTACATCAGAGTGGGTGCCAGGGAAGGTCCTGCCAATCGGCTACGAGCACGTGGTCTTTGGATCTGGCGAGAAGATAGAACCTCGCCGGGTCTGACGAGGCGATGTGGACACCGAGACTCACAGAGACGCAGGAGCTTACAGCGTCATAGATATCACTGGCAAAGCACGGTGAGTTCTTGTTTTATGTGCGAGGATATACAGGGTTAGGCAGCGAACGACAGGGTAGACATTCATTCATATATGCCTTGATAGAGTTATCAAGAGGAATACCTTCAACAATCATATATCCTTCACCACCTCGATCGATGCGCGAGTAGGTGACAAGCAGTATATAGATCACGTGCGGCAACAGGGCTGCTTTCCAACATGGTTCTGGGCTTCGCTCATTGTAAACTCGTAACACCACAAACCACATTTTTGAAACACCATGGCCAATACAATGGCGCCTTTTCCCCGGATCTTCTTCCGCTACGTTGAGCCCATGATGATCACTTTCGGCAGTGTCAATCTCATGTTCAGTGGTGCTGCTGGAGCCTCAACATATCTCTCACAATCACCTCACCCAACAATGGCAACCGAGCACTTCTTGGCCTTGCAAGGAGGCAACATGATGCTTTTGGCCGCCATGCTCCTCATCACCGTCATGTGGACAAGCAATGAAATCAAGACCATCAGATTTACAATTATGGCTCTTGCGATATCCGACATCCCACACTGGATCTTCGGGCTTTGGTGTTTGGGACCGCTTGCTTTTGAGCCAAGCAGCTGGAGCACTGAGATGATGGGCTATATGGGAGTACCTGCTGTGACTTTCTTGATCAAGGTTGCATATTTGCTGGGATGGTTGGGTAACGATCAAGTTACCGAGAAGGTCAAGAAGGAGCTGTAGAAGATTCTCATGTACGACTTGGACAGGGGTTCTCTAGTCATTTTTATGCAAGCTGCATTTCGACCTGTCGAGTCTGGACAGTGGTTCATGTGCACAATCATAATATGTAGATAAAAATAGTACTCGTTGCATGGATCAAAGTCTTGATTGGGGGTGTCGAATTTCAAAGCTTCATCTGCAATTTCCTATGACACATCTCCTCTGGACACGCTCCAGACGGATCTCGATCGGCAACAACTTGTACCCAGTGATCAGTGTTATCGATAAATTCGATCTTTGGACATGAAAACATTTGTTGGACCCTCTGCGTTCATGCAGCCTGCCTGTCGAGACGACGGTTGTGATGTCGAACTCCGAAAAATGGCTGCTCGCTTGCCGGGACCGTTTCATCTGACTGACGCCTTTGCCGACGGTGCAAGCGCCCAGCGCTTTGCCTCCTCGAGTCCTCCATCATCTCTCGAAACCTGGAAAGCAGAGACGCGGTCGGGCCGTCAAATGTCAAGGACGGCACACCAAGTTCTGGAACTGAAATGTACCGAAGTCCTCAAGCTCCACGGAACCTACTGCAGTCAAACAGGTTGTGCCGTCAAGCTATGGCTCAATCATGATCCTGGTCTTCGCTGCTATTGCACAACTACAGCCGAGTAAGTTCCGCTTAACATCATTACAAGTTCTCTCTTGCGACATGTCGCATGGTTCTCCGACCCCAAGCCAAGTGTACCTGCAGATCACGGTCCTGCAGCGCAGAGAGCGAGTCAAGGCTCTTTTTAACGATTATCCAATCTGGGCCTTGCAGATGTGGATCATGGATCCGCCCATATAAAACAATTTCTTTCAGGCACACCCAAGTCTTGCCAGTGTAACTCTAGTGTTGCTTAAGAGGTCAGTTCAGACCTTCTTTTTGGTTATTGCTCTCTTCTCTACCTGCCCACGCTCGTTTCAAATTATCCATTCGATTCTTGCCCTCTTTTTCATAAACAGTCACTTCAACCTAGACACTCTTTATTACACGTCAATCATGTCTCTCCAACGTCTCGGTTTCGCTGCTTGCGCTCTGTTCCTCGGTGCCAGAGCGATCGACACCATTACTGTTCCGAATGTCATCACTGCTGATGTCCCATTCACTCTCACCGTCACGCCCAAGGATGATACTCCAGGAAACTACAGAATCTACCTTGATACTACACCGCCCGGCTATGCCGGTGGTCAATCTTGTATGTTTCAACAGTTTTAGAGGCATATACAACATTTGACTAATCGCAACTAGGCTACCTTAAAAACATGACTTCCACAGACATCACAGCAGTCAACCTGACCATTCCCGCTAACTTTGGACCCAACGGCGACTTCTACTCCATCTCAACCCGCGATCTTTCCGACTCGGACACTGATGCCAGTTACGTCTTCAGCAATGCCTTCAATCTCACTGGCGCAAGCGGAAACTACTCGGAGTACGAGAACAAACTGAACGGCGCCCCTCTCTGGGATGCCAACAGTCTTCCCTGCACTGCCTACAACTGCGCCCGTAACTGTGCTCAAGACTCTTACCCTAAGGACATGATCCCTGGCTCTGATGCTTTCAACACTATGCGCGCTTGCATCATGAAGTGTCCTGGTGTGGAGGCAGAGACAAAGACTTCTTCGGCAACCTCTAGCACTGCTACTAGCACCAAATCTGGCTCTGGCTCATCTGCTTCCGCTTCTGCTACTGGTACCTCCACTTCTAACGATGCTTCTTCTGCTTCTGGAAGCTCTGGTGCTGCTGCCACTTCTTCTGGTGCTGCTGTTTTGAACACGGTTCCTGCTTCTTTTGTCGCTGTTGGAGGACTTGCCGCTTTCTTTTTGTAAAAGCAATGCATTACATGAACCTTATAACGTATGGACATGGGTCATGATATGCGATCATGGAAGGAGATTATACCATACATAAACACTAATCTACAAAATTTATGCATTCTATTCTCGACCCTATCAGCCCTCCAAATCTGGAGTTCTGCTTGCTACCAGAGGATGAAGAAGTTCAATGGCGGATCGGATCGCCCTTTGCTGATCAGCGTTCAACTGATGTTGTATGTTGCGCTACGCATAAGGTTCGTAAAGGTGTTTTGGCATCAAGTCGTTTAGTCCGAAAGCATTATTCGTTGTTTGAGCCCAGGTTCTTGGAGAAGTTTGGAGACAGGGTGACCCTGCTGATGGTGGAGTGACCCTGGTTTCGTGAGTCGATCTTTTCACATCTTGTCCTTCGAGTCACAAGCGTAAATAGTTACTGTTCTTGTGGCTACTGAAGGGCTTTGTTTGATATATCCGTGTTACCCATTGGAGTATCCTTGTTTTGAGTCCATGTTGAATTGAATCAACCTGACCTTACTTTTTGCAACGGCCGGAATGCACCGCAATCAAAAAACATTCGAGCAAAGATCATCTGCGTGGTCCAGGTTCCAAGATGATAACAGAGACGGTCATGACGACTCTCTTAGCTAGTCTAAGCCGCACTATCCTCCAAGCTGCATATATCTATATCAAACGTGCAAGTACACAACATATCTCAAATCCTCACCAACCTCTTCATCACCAATATCCATATAAGTACCTTGAGACTTTGATATTCTCATTCCAAAGTCCAACACAAAGTCTGATGTCCAAGCTGCATTGGTCCATGGAGAACCAGGCAAGAACATGGCAGCTTTCTTGACGCGATCGAGGTACTCTGCTGCTTCTTCGTCGGCCTCCTCATCAGCTTCCCCGGCTGTGAGCTCGGGTTCGCCGTATTCGTTGATTAGTGACTGCATCCATCTGCTTATGAGTCCAGGGGTTTCTGTGGCAGGCTGGGATGTGTAGGCGAGGTAGATGAAGCAGAGAAGGATCGTCCAGAGGTATTCTTCGTGTTCCGAGCCACGCAATTTGCGCAGTTTTGTGGTGCCTGTTACGTACTTGACGCCAGACATGAAGGACTTGTGGGCAGCAGGCATCTCCATTTCTAGAAGTTCAAGAGCGTCTTCCAAGGTCCAAATCGCGGAGCCAGCAGAGGATGCAACGGTTTCTGGTTGTAGGTCTTTGAGGTATGAAGCCATGCGCTCTTGAACCGTGTTGATGACTTCATATTGCATGTCTCTGTAGATCTTGACGGATGCCTGGCGGTGGTTTGTCGGCTGAGTGGGAAGCCTCTCATTGGCTTCTTCTAGCTTGCTGGTTTTGGGGATGAGAGACATCATGATGTAGAGTGCGATACGAGGCAAGTAGCGTTTGCCATTGCCGTGGTAGAGATATTCTTCTGCATCCTCGATAGGAGCTACATCGACACCTCTCTCCAATTTTACAACATAACAGAAAAGTTCGGCTAGAGGTGCAGGAACACATCCCCACGCTTGGTCGAAAGGGCTAGCATTGCTTGTTTCCTGCAACTTTGCTCGTAGCAGACGGAATGTTGCAGCCTCAGAATTCCACTCTCCTGAAGTCTTGAAGTACTGAAAATGTGTGATACTCAGCATTTGTTGTAGTGGTGGTGGTGGAGGTCTCATGGCCAGGAGTAGTCCGTCGTAAGGATTGTTCGGTGCACAGAAACCATAACCCATCAGCAGCTCCTCGCTTGATTTGGGACCATAGTTGTTGTAGATTTGCGAGCCGGATTGGACAGCTTCAGAGATGGTCAGACTGAAGCTATCAGGGTCGTAAGCCCAGTCTACACGAGCATTTGGGTTGTGATTCCCGGTGTCCATGCCTGGGAAGAGGACAGAAAATGTCTTCCAGTCCTCAGGGTAGTCGTTCTGGTTCAGGAGGACGGTTTGGGTACCACTCGAGGTATGTTTGTAGGCGGTCCAGGATTGACCATCTTTCGGCGTAACGGTCGAGCCATTGAAACTGCGTGATGAATACACTGTGGCAGCCCATCTAAAAAGTTCCCTGCGTTCAAGTCAGGCACAATGACGTTGCGTGAGGAGTCGAGCTAAGGATGTTGGCATCGAGAGCCGCAAACTCAGTGTCCTCGCCGTGGAGCACGATGTTGAATGCTCTATGCACTGGCAGACTATGCACTTACCACGTATAATCTGTTACGTCCATGCTAGCAGATTGCATAACCTGCAATCCATCCTCCCAATACTTCTTCCAAGCAGCCTCTCTACCAAGCACGGATGCGTGGAGATCTGTGCCTTCCAGCCATTGCCGATCGTCTTCACCATAGAACATAGGAGTTTCGAAACCTTGTTCAGGAGAGGGCAGAATGTCCAGATAAGGCTTCCAGAAAGACTTGTCCTTGTTCAGCCACTGCGCCATCAAATAGAAGAAGCCAAGACTTTGCACAGTGAATTTCTGCGCGTGGGTTCTGAAAACGGGGAAATCATCGTCCACCTGGGCATTCAGATTCGACAATGCCAGATTATGAGGTACTGTGAGAATGTGTGTACTAGGCGCAATGCTTGCGGTGGCTCGGAAATGAGAGCCGTGTTCAGCATCTTGGGCAAACTGGACTGATGGATGTAGGTAGCCACCATTCTCTCTGAACCACTTCTCAAAAGCGTCCATAATAATGGCAGACCTTGTGATTTCGAAGTTGTCTTGTTGGACTTGGAAATATTTTTTGAAAGTCTAGATAGAGGGACGTCATTGGGTGGAAGCTTGGACCAGGTTTTGGTTTCCTGCCAGCCATCCCTCTCCATTCAGATCGTTACTGCCTCTTCTGCTAACGCAACAATACACTGCAGTGACTGCAGTCCATCTCTCACAGCTGTACACACATCAGTGAGCATATCTGTTGCATTCGGATGCACTATGAGCCGTAAGACGGCCCACCGGTCCTCCTATTGCCGGTCCGTCCTAACACCGTTAACGCCGATTTAGAGGTGATGTAACGGACATGATATAAACTCTCAGATGCCTCTACTGTCCTAGAGCCTTCTCTGCAGAACATCTAGTCTTACCAAGCAGCCAAGATGACTTCAGCACAGAAAACAAACATCAATGTGGTCTTCGGAGCTATGACCTTCGGCAAAGAAGGTTCAGAACAAGCCAGAGTACATGACCTTGAAACCGCTGGCAAGATTCTCGACATCTTCCAATCTCATGGCCACAATGAGATTGACACCGCCCGAGCGTACTGTGATGGCACGTCAGAAACGATGCTCGGTGACCTGGAGTGGCAGAAGAGAGGTCTCGTCATGGAGACCAAGTACTACCCGACCGCTGGAAAGCCCATTCCTTCTTCGTGGAACAGCAACTTAAGACATACTCCGGAGGACCTTCGCGAGAACCTCATGAAGTCGCTGAAAGAATTGAAGACCGACAAAATCGATATGTGGTACCTCCACGGTGTAAGCTTTATCCAACCTTCAGCCATTTGACTCTCGAGCTAACATACTGTTATAGCCCGACCGAACGACCCCGTACGAAGTTACTTTCAAAGCCGTGAATGATCTATACAAGGAAGGTCACTTCAAGAGACTGGGAATCTCCAACTATATGGCATGGGAAGTGGCACAGATCTGCGAGCTCTGCCGCAACAACGGTTGGCTTCAGCCAAGCGTCTACCAAGGTGTCTACAACGCTCTTCACCGCTCAGTCGAGCCAGAACTCTTCCCTTGCCTTCGTTACTACGGCATTGCCTTTTACAACTACAACCCTCTGGCTGGTGGCTACCTCACAGACAGATATACCAGGGAGGCTGCTGACAAGGATATTGAGAGCGGTTCACGATTTGACCCCAACAAGTGGCAGGGTAAGATGTACCGCATGCGCTACTGGAACGAAGAGTATTTCAACGCCCTTGATCTGCTCCGTCCTGTTGCCAAGAAGCATGGCCTGACTGAAGCCGAGTGTGCCCTTCGTTGGATGCAGAACCACAGTCAATTGAAGCGTGAGCTGGGTGATGCTATCATTATTGGTGCATCCTCCCCTCACCACATCGAACAGAACCTGAAGGATATGGAGAAGGGTCCTCTTCCAGATGACGTTATCGAAGCTTTGAACAAGGGCTGGGAAGGCTGTAAGGGTATCAGCATTAGATACTACCATTGAGCGTCGGTGACATAGTGCTTCACTCAATAAAATGCCACTGTTCATGAACGACCCTTCATATCAATTTGCAAACACTCAAGTATGCTGTTGTGATATCATCTTCCACAATTGCCGTGTCGCGACGAATCGAGCCAATCAGTCTTCCAATGTTGGGGTCAACGGTTCTCCATACTCTAGTCGCCAGAGTTTGTCAAGAACGAATTGAAAAGGAAGCTGCGTGTCTGTCAGCATGAACGTTGTGCCATCGAAGATCGTTGAAGCTGCAGAGTGAAGGCGGTGACCGGCGGCGTCTCCGGCAGTTCACCCCTCACCCTATCCTCGACTCCTGGTCTGTTGTCACGGAAGGACAGCAACAACTCATCATCTTTTCTTTTATCTTTGAGGGTAGGTAATGGGGAAGGGCGGCATGTATACAAGAGTAGAAGACGCGTCCGAAAGTAGAGAGGGATTGACACTGCCTCTTGCCTCACAGAAGCAACGTCTAACGAGACGCTCTCTGCATGGTCTCCAAATACTGCTGTTCATTGGCGCCGTCACGTTCTTTGTTATGTTATACAAGTCTTTCGCTTTCGGTGCCGTTGTTGGTTGCGTTGGTGGTCCTGTTGCCTCTTCCAAGATCTCTCCGAACAAGCATGTTCCTCAGTACTTCCAAACCAAGCCTGAGATCTTCGCCGGTCAGCACGTACGTTGAACATTGCTTGCTCTGATACTGATATTTTGAAGGTCCGACTCCAACTGGTGCCGCTCCGTTCTTAGCACAAACCAACCTTGCCCCATTCGCGGGTACATCATATATCCCAAATAGTCCTCTGGAGACCCAAGTGCCAATCGCTGGCAACAAAAATGACTCGAACATATTCCAAAACATGGGACAACTTTCTCCATACTTCCCTAATCCTAGCGGCTTTGGCGTGGACGAATATCCGTTGCCTCCTGGTGCTGAGATCGTCCAATTAAACATGCTGTCACGTCATGGTTCGAGGTATCCTACTACTGGATCCGGAGCTCACAAGTTTGGCCTCAAGCACAAGAACATGACCGATGCGAAGTACACTGGCGAGCTCTCGTTTCTCAATGATTGGAGCTATCAGTTGGGTGCAGAAATTCTTGTACCTATCGGCAAGCAGGAGCTCTTTAATTCTGGCACTCTGCACTATTACCAATATGGTCATCTCTATCCCAACAATGGCTCCAAGATCATTGCTAGAAGCACGACTCAAGATCGCATGACCAAGTCTGCAGAGTATTTCCTAGCAGGCTTCTTTGGCCTCGAGTGGACTAGTAATGCTACATTAATGCTCGCTATCGAAGACCGCACTGGTGTATGGAACAATACGCTTGCTGGGTAAGTTCGCTTTCTTGTTCACATACCACATCTTGCTCATATGATTCATCAGATACTACAATTGTGACAACAGCAACAACTTCCGCAGCGCAGGCGGCAACAACGCCACGGTCGAATGGTATACAAAATACCTTGCTGATGCTACCAAACGTCTGCAGAAGCTGGCGCCAGGCTTTGACTGGACAGTAGAGGATTCATACAATGCACAATCCCTGTGTGCGTACGAGACCGTAGCATATGGTTTCTCTCAATTCTGTAGTCTATTCACCTACGAGGAGTGGGAAGGATACGAGTACAGTATCGACATTCAATTTGCGGGTGGTAACGGCTTCCAATCGCCCACCGGTCGTGCTATCGGCATCGGATATGTGCAGGAGATCCTTGCTCGTCTTCAACACCATACGATCGACTCTCCTATCGCACAAATCAACGTTACTCTGGATAACAACACGATCACATTTCCTCTCGACCAGAGTCTCAACTTTGATTTCTCCCACGACACAAACATCATGAGCATCTTGACGGCCTTTGGTTTCACTCAGTTTGCGCAGTTCCTTCCGGCTGATCGGATCGTGCCTCGCGATTTGATAGTGTCACACTTGGTAAGCGTCAACAAGCGAGAATCTAATTTAATCGAGACTAATAACCCTAGGAACCATTCGCTGCACGTCTCGACATTGAGATCATCAACGCTCCCGCTCCAGTAAAGACATCACGCAAGAATGATAATCTCTATGAAGAAGGTATGTTGTTCTCACCAGCAACAAGCGAGCCGCACTAACGGCTTAACAGGAAAAGCAACCAAGTACATCCACTTCATACTAAACCAGCGCACTATCCCTCTACATCGCAGCTTCCCCGAGTGTGTAGAGCGTGATGATGGTTGGTGCGAGCTCGACACTTTCCTCGCTGTGCAAAGCAAGAGTTATGAGATCTCCCAGTATGACTGGAGTTGCAATGGCGATTATCCTGCTGTTCCTTATGGCGAGGTTACTAATGGTGTGCCGACTCAACCCAGTCCGTAAGGGTTGACAAAGCATGAACGGGAAGCTGCATGTTGTATTACTCGTTGTTTCCTCCGATACTCTAAATCCTTATATCATCGTTGTGTTGAATACAAACTTTGCGATGTTCTTGAAAACACGTTGACAGACGGGCACTGAACTTCAATGCGCTATGATCATCATTGTACAGGTACCATATTTGACCCACGGCAGCCAAAGAAGACAAACAGCTCGAAAATAGCCAGAGCAGAGCGCCTAACTGCCGGTTCCATGCTTAGAACTCGGCAATGTGCGTGCCGATGCCACGCTCACGAGCTATCCTGACCACTTCATTGCCAACGACCACATCCATAAGGCCCAATCCAACAATCTTTGCAACAACATTGCCCTTACAGAGCCATTCCTTCAGCCCTGAGGTATCAGATACCTGGATGCCTGCGCCTTTGTTGTCATCGTCTCCCTTCTTTGCTGCCTCGGCTGCTGCTTTCTCGGCCTCGCGTCTCAACATCACGAGTTCGCCAATCTCGACGACCTGATCGGGTTGTACGTTTGCTTGAATGAGCTCGCCGGCTTCCTGCAAGCATGCTTCGACACTATCGACGATGATCGCGCCACCCTCTTGTTGATGCTTGTGGAAGTGGCGATGTTCGTGGTGAGGTGCGACAGCATTCTTGATGACATCTGGGTGCAGCTCAATCATGTGAGGTTTGTATGACCCGATCAGTGCAATATAGCGGCCCTTCTTGCGACCCTCGGGATTCAACAAATAGCTTGCAGGGAACAATGGCTGCGTGCTTGGTGTAGTACAAAAGATGACATTTGCACTTCGAACGTATTCCTTGAGCAAACGTATGTACTCGGTATGACCTGTGGTAAGGATACTGGTTTTTGTCCTGCTTCCATATTTAAAGCCCAATGGGTTCTCAAACTCCGGATCATCAGGGAAAGGGTTGTACAGCTTCATCAGCATTTCTCGTGCTCTGTCGAAGGAGCGGTTGATAACATTAACATGATGGATCTCTGAACCGCGGAGAAGCAGAGCCAGGCGAATGTGCCAGTAGGCTTGTTTTCCTGCACCAAAGACGGTCAAATCGTGCACCTTGTGTCTCCTCTTGAGAAGTATACAGCTAGTCAAAGCTGTTCGGAACGCAGTGAGCTCTTCGGCATTGATGAGGGCACTAGGATTTCCCTGGTCGTCGAACAATGTCAGAGATCCGCGAGGTGCGGTAGGTGGCTTTATATCGTTCGAGGTTGAGGGGTTACGACTAGGACCAGACATGGAAGTAGGTCGAGACTTAGAACCACTAGTAGAAGTCGAATGTGTCGACTTTGTCGAGCCAATAGACAGGCGCTTGAGATCCGGAGTGATTTCTGGTTTCTTGACTGAATCGAGAGTGATGACCTTGACACCCATGCCAGAGCTGCTAGATGCTGGCATGAACAAGCTCGTCGCTCCATCGGTACGATTCATATGGATTCGTTGAGGTTGATAAGCCGAACAGCAGCCATCTTCCTCTCCAGCGGTAGAGTACTGATGCAGAGCATCGGCGAGAGATTGCTGGATATCATTGATATCTTGACTGGTAAGAGAGTGTAGTACCTTCTGTACATCGTGGTCCGAGAGCACTGTGACAGGCATCTTGAGGTGTTGATATGCGAGGCGACCAGTGCTGAAGATTGGGAAGAATAGATGAGCGTGATGTTTGTGGCCCGATAGTATATCTGAGAGTAGAGATAAGGCGAGATATATGTGTGCGGTCACCAAAACCCCGTCAAGACACGATCGTTAGCGTGGTCCTTGTACACAGGCTAAAACCGAGATTTGTGTATTCTTGAGTGTCCAAAATGTTTGCAGTATTCGGTTACACGGTACTGCGCTGGATGCACAGTATGTAGTGATCGTGCTTGTATCAGGATGTAAGGTAGCCTGTAGGTGAGCAATTCGTGAAGCACGGCCAAGAGGTTGGGACGCCGAGTTCAACCAGTTTTTCGTTAGTTGCCTACGCTCGAGAAGCCAAAGATATTGCTAGCGATGCGGACTGCGATGTATGGAATGGATTGATAAACACGACTATGGTTTTCAAGATTGCTTACATCTCATTGGCGGATTCACTTCGACTCGACGAGTTCACCGCTGGCCTTCGTAGATCGCTCTTGGTGGACAGATGCTTGGCAGAAGAAAACATGGACGGTATACCGCGGTAATGCCACAGCGAACGCTGAACATATTACGCTTAGTGATCGTATCACAGCAGTATTTAGTGCTCACTGATAGATAATTATTGAAGTCCAGGAGGGAAAAAAGCAACATGTGCTGCTGAAGTTGCAGAGCGATGCTTACCCAAAGAGGAAGGGGGAAGTGATTGGCTGGATTTGCCGAGAATGCGGCGGGCCCTAGCGCCGGGCGCACACGAGCTTTTTCTTCTGCTTCATCGTGCGAACTTCTGCTTTTCTTCTCCAGCCGCGACAGAACCAAGTCAACCACCGACGTCCAGTTCGACAATCATTCAAAATGGTAAGCTCGCACCACATTACACGACCTTGAAACGCTGTCGTCTCTGCAGTGCAATGCGCCGATGCGCCTTGCAAGTCTCGCTTGCCTGCGAGCGCAGCAATTCAAGATGATGTTCGACATCAACATCTATCTATTGTAGTCGTTTCTTCCTGGAATACGGAAGACGGCAATGACCAATGGCTTGGGCTGTGACTGGCGTAGTAGAAATACTCGCCAGCGCAGCCCTTTAGAGTCAAAAGCAATGAGCATTGTGCTGATTTGCTTTTCTCAATGAAGGCTCCTAAGTCTGGAAAGAAAGTTGCCGCCGCCCCCTTCCCCCAGGGCAAGGCCGGTGTCTCCAAGAAGAACGCCAAGGTGAGTTTGACAGTATCCTTCCTGCTAACCCTCAACCTTGAGTGCTAACATGTCTGTCAGAACCCTCTCATTGAGAGACGTCCCCGCAACTTCGGTATTGGCCAGGACATCCAGCCCCGTCGCAACCTCTCGCGCATGGTGCGCTGGCCCGAGTATGTCCGCCTTCAGCGCCAGCGCAAGATCCTCAACATGCGCCTGAAGGTTCCCCCGGCCATTGCCCAGTTCTCCCAGGTTCTGGACCGCAACACCGCCGCCCAGGCCTTCAAGCTCCTCAACAAGTACCGCCCTGAGACCAAGGCTGAGAAGAAGGAGCGCCTGACTAAGGAGGCCACCGCCGTCTCCGAGGGCAAGAAGAAGGAGGATGTCTCCAAGAAGCCCTACACCGTCAAGTACGGTCTCAACCACGTTGTTGGCCTCATTGAGAACAAGAAGGCTTCTCTTGTCCTCATCCCCAACGATGTCGACCCCATCGAGCTCGTTGTCTTCCTTCCCGCTCTCTGCAAGAAGATGGGTGTCCCATACGCCATTGTCAAGGGCAAGGCTCGTCTCGGAACGGTCGTCCACAAGAAGGTGAGCATTTCTCTCAAGGTCTATCCGCTTGCACAATATACTAACATTCCACTAAGACCGCTGCCGTCCTCGCTTTCACCGAGGTCCGCTCCGAGGACAACTCTGAGCTCTCCAAGCTCGTCTCCGCTGTCAAGGACGGCTACATGGCCAAGACTGAGGAGTCCAAGCGCCACTGGGGCGGTGGTATCATGGGTGCTAAGGCTGTTGCCAAGCAGCAGAAGAAGCAGAAGGCCCTTGACAACGCCATCAAGATCTAAGTGCCTTGATTGTCACTTTTTCTCTGGCGTTGGCTGCGGACTGGGGTTCTGGTGGGAAACAAAAGCTTTTCGAGTTATCTTCCGGCACCAGAATGACAGTTTTGTCGTGCTGCAAAAAATTTCTTTAACGACCCTTTTGAATGATACCCAAACTTTCCATTTTGTCAACAAGTGATCCACCACCTGCACGCGCAATGACTTTGGTGAAGTGTCGGCGCTGTGAAGAACATGGTGATAAACAAAGCTTCTGCTCCTTCGAACTTCTACTGTAATGCTGCCTCTCGATTTCCTATCGTCGTTCAACCTTTGTCTGCTTCGCAACCCTCTGTTTCCCCTGAGTTCTCTTCTGATATGTCTTGGTCTGTAGCGGTATGTTAGCCTTGCATGGTACTGAGAACTCTGGGGTGCTACAAGTCATGGCTGATGTGGGTTGACCTGAGGCTCGTCGCGGCTCCGTATTCTTGGAGCTGCGCGCGGAGTTTGATGTCCTGACTCAAAGACTCTTTTTGGTTCAGATGTGATGTTCCTCATAGCAACATCAAGAATTCTGAGCCGTCTCTAACCACTTCTTCACTGCATGGGTGCTATCATGGGCGGCGCGGAATACTGCAGGACATATAGATTAACCTCTAGAAGGACCGTCTTGGGTTGGGCATCAACACTTACATTGTCGCTCGGTTTCATCCAAGCCCCTCGCAAAGTCAGCACCTTCGCCCAATGCACTTCGTGAGTTTAGCGCTTGGTCTGAGATCTCAGCTGCACGTTGCTTGAATGTCTGCTCATACGAGAAATTAAATTATGATCATTCGTGAGAGGGCCTGGTTGACTACTCACATTTGTCAAGATATCAACCATTTCTTCCTCTTCAAACAGCTCGAGCATGCGTGCACCGATATTGTAGAAATGTTGTGCCTGAGCTCGTATATCTACTGTTTTTGGGTCTGCTTTGAGTGCATTCATGACGCGTTGGGAGAGTGCTTGAGGTAGATCCAATGTCGCCAGCGATGAATTGCCAGAAGGGTTGCTTACTGCCAGCATTTCGGCTAACCAGAGTGGTAATTCTACTTTAGATCCTTGTTTTATCTGAGACAAGATTTAGCAGGTCAAGAGCATGAGATGATGGAAAGAAGGATACGCACGTCTTCGCCTGGGTTGCCCTGCAGATATCCCATGTTGGGAACTGTGAGTTCGAATGTGCAAGGGACTTTCTGATAGGCAGTGAGTGCCACGGTTTGCATCATGTGTCTTGTGTTTTTCATACCTGAGCATCTGTCAGGATGGCATCAATGTTGTAATATGAGCCCATGATTGCTGTCTTATTGTTCAAAGATGAGTGGAACAAAAAGACAGAAAATATGACCAGATCGAAAGAGACGTTCTCAAAATACGGGACCAGATCCGGAAGTTGTATGTCCTGTGTTTGAGGATTCTAGATAAACAGTGGTGGAAAAAGTGTATGCACGGAGGCTGCGTGCGTAGTCGTGTTACTGCCTGGAAGGATGAGCAGGATTTAAGTCGAGCGTTTCCTCAGCAAACACAGTCGTCCTTTATGTTCTGAGCTTTTGACAGCTTTCTGATCGGTTTTTCAAAAGATTTAGAAGATCGTGTGTTAACCAAATATCATCGTTAGGTGTGTTGTCCATGTTCCTGCGTGGACGCGTTTACGCGCCTCGAGATCTTGGTGATCAACGGAGATTAGACAAAAGCCGGCAAACTGACTCTGTGCTAGGCCAGAGCTCCGCTTCAGCATCGGGCAACGAAACAACCCAAGACAAGTGCACAACATCGCATCCATCAAAGGGGCGACTTCATTATCATTTCTAGACACTGGTTACACAAGCAAATTCCCTGCAGAGAGAGGCTAGACCACTTCATACAAGACTTCTCTTCCCTCACGACTTTTGTATACGTCTCCGGGTCGTGTGAGCATTCCGTCGACATCGACGTCAGCTTCGTAGCGTTTCGCCCTCCAATGAAGTGGTAGACAGCCCGCCGAATCACTCAACATGGTCACCAACACCGGTCCAGGCCATCACGCCCACAACAAGCCATCTGGCAGAGATCTGGATATGCTCGATGTCAACAATGACAGCAACCACCCTTCCAGCGCCGACATGTCAAGAACCACAACGCCCGATGGTCTTGACAATAGATCGAGTCGAACTCGCCCTCGCGTTTTCCCTTACACCAAATACCTGCCCTACGAGACCGAAACGGCGGACCAAAGACAGCAAGATGTGGATGAGATGATCAAGCACCTATACATTGCAGTTGGTTCAGGCGACTTCGTGCCGGGGGCGGTGCACTGGACAAAAGAGATTCGCGGCTGGCTGTCGCTCAAGTTCGACCTCAGTCGTCAACAGCGCATCAGTTTGACAAAGCTCTACTATGAACTTGCTCTAGCGCCAGGCCTTGAGTACACAGTCGCTGAGCGCTTTGCCAGCATGTTTATGGTCTTGACCAAGCGCCGCCACTACCTGAAGCCGATAGACGACCTAGTACTTGACTGGAGGCCATTATACCAAGAGATCAAGGTCTTCGTGCTACCTGGCGAGTTCGCGACACCTAACACCTTCTCTAGCAAGCGCAGCATCCGAACACTCACAAAGATCTGCACATTCGCCCAGCTCTTCTTCGACCCGAAAGAAATCCCCGCCATCCTCGATGAACTCCTCCCTTTCTTCTCTATGTCGCCTTCAGAAAGCGCCTTCGTTGTGCTCGGCCTGCTCAACCTCTTCTTTCCCACTCACGCCCCTCCGCCGAACCAACCTGAGCTTCAACCTCAACATTACCTACCAACATTCTTCCACATGTGGTCAATAATCAACCGCTCGACATTCACAGACCAACGCTTCCTCGACATGTTCTCTAGACTGTCGCGCGACTGTCTCACCGTCGAACACGTACCATTCAGTGAACACGGCATATACACCGCTGAGCAGACATCGATGGTCTTCACGTCCATCCTAAGATTGCTCGAGATCCCCGTTGGCCAGGCTTCGTCACCGTACCACATCAATATTGATCTTGGTGCAGGTCTGTCTGCGCTTCTGGAGCGTGATCCTCGCAAGCATCCTGCTTCTAGGAGCATTGCAAGATGGATTATCATGTCCCTTTCACCGGCCTGTCTTGACGTAAAAGACGGGAGATCCATCCTACACCAACTCGAGGGTCTTATTCAGGGCATCGAGACGTTCTTCCATCCCTCAAATACGGGCGCCTGGACAAAGACGCTTTCACAACTCGTCTACTATCTCGCAGACTTTTTCGTAATGCGTTGGAATAGAGAAGAGAGTGGCGAATACAAGATGCCTGCTGACCGCAGGCTGACACCTGAGTTACGGAAGCGGTTTGTCTTGTGCTTGAGAGAAGTCGTTTTCATGAACATCTACTCCAAGAGCGGTACTGCTGTCAACTACGCACTTTCCACATTGCAATGTCTGGCTTTCCTTGAACCTAATCTGATTCTTCCTGGTGCTCTCCAAAGAATCTATCCTGCTATGCAAGGTCTGGTTGAGGTGCACAGAACCACTTCGTCTATCCGTGCTCTTCAAATGCTGTCTAGAATCATCGCTCGTACAAAGGGTTTCAGATGTCATCTTACCACTCTACTCGGCCTCGCTCTTCCTGGTATTGATGCAAATGACCTTGACAAGACCATGAATTCTCTTTCTTTCGTTCAGGCTGTTTGTTACAACATACCACTACACGACCTCACCAAAAGTGCTCAAACGGATTCAGACGGCGAGCCTATGTCAGGAAGTACAGCTACTGCAGTCGAATGGATCACGCAGCAAGTCGATCGCTTCGAGACTGAAGGCTCTAAGATTGAGTTGGATTATGAGAACGAGCTTACCGACGAAGATGAGGAAATCATTCTTCGATCATCAACTGCTGGCTTCGCTGAGTTCCTGATCGCTTTCCTTGGTCGTGTGTTCACTTTACTCCAGAATCTGCCCGATGCTTCTCGCGTCAAGAGCGGATCACCTGAAGAGAATGTTGTCAACACTCTGCCAGCTGCATTTGCCCCTTTGCTTGCGGCTTTGTCGCCTGAACTTTACGACATTGCTTTGCAGCAAATTGCCAAGTTTGTCACAAACCATGTCGTGCACCAAGCTCGTGATGCTATGGCGTTCATCTGCAATACTTTGGTCAAGGTCTCTCCCAAGAAGGCTTTGAGCCGACTTCTGCCTGACTTGATCTCGAGCATCAGGACAGAGATCGACGAGAACGGTGCTGGTTCGAGCAGAACTTCTGGTTCCGAGATTCTTCCTCGCGATCGTGCTCTTGTATGGAACATCAGTCTGCTGAGCATGTGTGTAGTTCACGTGGGCTCCGACGTGCTTGACTTCCAGGATGAACTGTTCGACATTGCAAGTTACATGCAGGACAAGTGCAAGGGTATCCCTCTCGTTCATGTTTCTAACTTTGTCCACCATTTGCTGCTCAACTTGACTGTCACCTACACTACCGACTACTCTTTGTACGATCAGGCAGATCTGAAGAAGGGGTTGCAGCCGAGTGATTGGGCCAAGCTACCAGACCCAAAGAATTTGAAAGTCCAGTGGCATGTGCCTAAGGAAGCTGAGATAGACTTCGCCGTGAGAATCTTCGAGTACCAAGGCAAGCGATCGATTGATGCGCTCAATGCTCTGACTAGTGACGATTCGCCTGTGAAGAGGGATGGCACCGGCAAGGATTGGTCAGATGAGGTTTCTCGTAACCTGGTCCTCCTGCGCTTGCTCATCTCGGGAATATCCTGCTTTTTCCGTTCAGATGACGAGTCCGTCACTCCTGTTAGTGGTCACGACACCGAAGTGAATGGCAGTATCTCGCCCAAAGAGGAGGTGCAGCAGAGCCCGAATGATCTGGCTGAGCCCGACGATGACAAGATTCGCAAGACTTTCATCTATCCTACTGGCTATCCACTCCAGACTAGCAGCCCTCATTACGAAGCAGTGCACAAGTTACGTCGTCTTACTGGCGAGACACTACATCGTGTGCACGAGTTCCTGACTCAACACCAGCAAGACGATGTCCTCTGCTTCAACGCACTTTACACAGCCTATCGCTCATGGTTCATCGATATTGGTATTGAGAGATCTGCTCACGTCTTAGACAGACTTAGTCGTCTTCTTTCGGCAGACATTCACCCTTATAAGTTCAGTGGTACGCGCAAGGCCTACCCACGACCTCTTCTTGCCAGACGTGCCAACTTGTACCATTTCCAAAGATTGAGGTACAACGAGTCTCCTCGCGCAGCATCAGACCTTGACAAGGTACTCCTACTCGATTTGGCTCAGTCTAGTGTGTCTGTCTACACAGATATCCGACGCACAGCTCAGACCGCATCCGAGTCGGCTGTTCAGTGTATCATTGGTGCCAAACCTCTCATCATCCCTCCCCTCCTGGATGCTCTGGAGGATGCTGTCAACAAGACGGACTTCTCACGCATCAAGGGTGCCGTCTTCTCTCTGCTCTTTGGCAGTCTAGCTCGTCCCATTGAGCGCAACTGGAAATTTACTCCAAGACTCATCAGATTGTTTATTCGTGTAGGAGAGACGGACAAGCCGAGTATCCAGAAGCTCGTTAGCAACGCCAACTTCCAGGTACACTCGATGTGCAGAGCCTTAGATCGCATGGTCATCTTGGACGAGAAGACTGTTGACAATATTTGGCCAGCTGAGAGCAACACTCAGCCTTCTGACAAGTCTAAGATGGTTGCGACTTCTTTGGAAGATGCCAAGGCGCTGCTTCCTCCTAAGCAGGACCGCATCCGTCAACGCAGAATGCTGATTGAAGGAAAGAAGTCTGAGCTTTCTTCAGAGTTGGTTGTAATGATCAAAGACTCACATTGGCGCAAGGCTCAGCGTGTCGCAGCCCTTGTGATTGGCCTCGACTATCGATACGAGACTATTGCCTCGGATGGCATGCTTGACTTGGTGGTGAAAGGTGTGATTGATTCGCATCCTTCTTTGCGTGTACTCTTCGCAAACGCGCTGCTTGCTATCTGCAGTCTCATCCAGACCAGATCCATGACCGAACACAAATACGAGAACTACCTTCTCGACAAGCAATTCCCACCCGATCGTATGATTGTCAAGACTAATCCGGATGATCCCAACTGGACCCAGCAGTACCTAGACGCCTTCTCACGCCCAGAGGCTGAGTACTATGTTGATGCTGAGTACCCCGGTTGGCTGGTATGGGACAAGGTGATGCGCGTCTCCAAAAACCATGCTGTCGAGCTTGATTATGATGAGGTGGAAGTTGAAACACGCAAACGCATCGGCAAGCACATCGATCGCCAATGGATATCAGTCTTCTTTGACTATATGAAGCAAGAACCCCGCGATGCTCAAGATCGCTTCCGCACAACAAACTGCACAGTCATGTCTTGGGTTTTGGACCTGGTCATGGTTGGTCTCACACCGGCAACATTCGATGATGTAGTCGACCTTACAAAAGCCACCTTTGGCGACGGAAGTGACAAACACCAACATCGTGCCACTGCAGAGATCATGGGTGCTCTCATTAACGCTGCAGAGGACTGTCAACCCAAGGTGAAGGAGAAGGTCTGGGAATTTGTGTTCCCTCTTCTTCAGCGTGTCTTCCAGGACGGTCTCACTCCAGAGAACTTGTCATACTGGAGCAGTTTTTTGACTCTTACTGGGTGTGCAAGGGATCCCCGAAGATGTTGGCCTCTCGTCGACTACTTCTCCAGCTTCAGACTTGATATGTCAACCAATGCTGCCTTCAAAGAGAGTTCCAAGATAACTCTTCTGCAGCTTGTCATCGGGACCTTTGGCTGGCATTTCCAAAAGGAAAAGCCAATTCTCGAGGACTTCTTGAAACACCTCGACCACCCCTACAAGGGCGTTCGCGAAAACATTGGTAATACCCTGTCATCGATATACCGTAGTCGCTACTACGAGGGATACAAGGATGTCAAGACACTCATGGAAACACAGAAGGCTGCATCGTCCATTGGTACACGGCCTTTCCAAGCAACGGACGAGTTCCATGCAACTATCAAGGATGTCTTTGAGAGACTTGAGAAATGGCGTCAAGAACGACCTCCTGGTATTCAGACTCCGACACCATACACACAGGCTAGCAAGACCGTGCTATATTGGCTGGAGTCCACAGTCAATAACTACGACTGTACTTCATTGATAGAGTTCTTGCCCGATCCTTTCATGCAACAACTACTCAACATGATGGATGTCAAGGAGGATCCTGAGCTGCAATCACATGCATGGAGTGTCTTCAAGCAATTCCCCAACATTCCTCATCGGAAGGGTGAGGATGAGGCTCTTGCAAAGAGTCTCGTCGAGATTGGCAGAACCAGCCCTGCATGGCACCAGCGTCTGCGTACACTGATCAATATTCAGGTGCTTTACTTCCGCTATCTGTTCATCATGGAGTCTTCACGCCGCGAGTACCTTCTCAAGAGTGTTAGAGACATGCTGCATGATACACAGCTTGAAGTCCGCCTTGGGGCAGCTCAGACTATCTCTGGCATGATTCGTTGTTCACCTGTTGAGTTCCGTGACAAAGCTGTGACAGAGTTGAAGGCACACTTCACAGAGCTGCTTGCCAACAACCCTCTGCCGAAGCGTGGCAGAAATGCAGGACCTCCAGGTACCCCTACGCCCGAACAGAACCGCCTCGTCATTACTCGCCACGCTGCCGTCCTTGGTCTCGGCTCGCTCGTACAAGCCTTCCCCTACGCCAGTCCACCTCCCCAGTGGCTGCCCGAAGCTTTGGCTACACTTGCTATGAGGGCAGCAAACGACCCTGGGGTTGTAGGCAAAGCTGTAAAGACTATTTTGAGTGAGTTCAGGAAGGTGCGACAAGATACCTGGCACGTGGATCTCAAGGTAAGCAATGATACTTGTTACTTAGGGTCGAGCCAGCAGATTGCTAACGTTACTTGCGCAGGTATTCCAACCCGAACAACTGGAAGACTTGGAGGGTGTGTTGTGGAAGAGTTACTTTGCATAGATCAAGAAACTTATAGGAGAAAAGTAATGTCTTGTGTCTTGTCGACTGGTCTGTAGTTTGCATTTTATTCCCTTTTGCGTGCATGCTTGCATCAATCATCGCATGGTGTTTCTGCTTGTTTTGCATGAGAGTACGGCTACTCGATCTAGATCATGTTTCCGAATCAAAAAACAGTTTACAAATGGAAATTCATCTGCGAGTAATTAGATTGCTGGTCGATGTTGATATGGCCGTCAAATGTAGTCATCTAGAGATCGGACCCGCCACCGAAGGAATATAATCTGCTCAGTACTTTATGGACGCAGATCAGTTCGAAGACAGCTGCATGCGTGTCCACAGCTGGCTTCGTGCTCAACAAATTTGTGTATACAAGGAGATACTCGAAGTTGAAACGCTTGGTCGAGACAGGGTCACAGTTTACACTAGTCCTCTTCGTGACACCGCAGCATCGGCTCGAGAGATAAGGGATAAGACCGCCACCAAGGTTTCCCTTTCAGGACACAGGAAGCGAAGTGTGGGCAGGATAGCATTTGTTCTATGGTACACTTGATCATACATCATAATGCTCAAAACCACGTCAGCCATTTGCCCAGAGTGATGCCTTGCCATAGACTGATAGGCACAGGCCATACGCGCCAGTAGCCTAGATTGCGACCTGCTTCTCCCAAGAAAGGAAGAACGAAACAACACCATGCTGCAAACCACAAAATGTTCAAAATGGTATAGATTGGCTTGGGTGTGCTCATGCGACGCAAACCCACTGATACAGCCGTCTCGAATGCAAAGCCTACTGGTTGCAACCAGAAGAATAACAAGATGAGCCAGCGAATTTGGTTCGCGGATTTGATTGCAAACATAGGGTCTGGTGGTACCAGACCGATATGCACGATACCAGAAAAGAAGAATGTAGTTGCGCTGATGAGCATGTAGCGACTATGACTACGACGAGGTAAGTGCAACAAACCTGCAAGCCACATTCCTGGGCCTGAACAGTAGTATCTCAAGGTTTGATGCCAGTAGCGTCCCCAGAAGTTGCGCACTGCACCGAGGTTGGAGGTTGAGAACATTGCTCTGAAGCTGCCAAAGAAGGTTGGCCAAAGATGTGGGCTCCACGCATCTGGAAGATAGCCCATCCAGTGCAAAGCTACTGGCAGAGTGCATGGTAGTTGGAACTGCTGACCAACCGTTGCCCATACTTGAAGTGCCATGATTGTGCACCTGATCAAACGTGGTGGCAACAAGCCTAAGAGGTCATGTTGTGGCAAAGGCGAATCGACACTTACGCCAAAAGTCTTAAAGTATGGATCTTGTTGCGTCCAGGCAGACGTCAGATCCATCACGACGTAACCACTTAGCGTGCGCAAGATAGCTATGAGTATGAAGCGCGAATGACTTGGCGGAATCGGACATCGATCTGGCTGTCTAGAGTCATGCGACGGTGAACCAATCTTCCAGTCCACGAAACGCATCGAAATGAGCAGTGTTCCAATCCAAGGCAGCCTCTCGCTCCACTTGGCAGGATAGGCCTGTTCGACATATTGCGGTGTTGTTGACTCATCCTTGCCATCGCGACTGGCTAGCTCCGGTGTCCCAGTCTTCTCTGCGGTGGCTGGTCTCGCGAGTATCCTACGGAAGTGCCGGCGCGGGTCATTGAAGAGGAGCAGGTGATAGCTGTGAAGCAGCATGTCAAATGAAATGACGTCCATACCGCCCATGACAGTCCAGGCGTGTACGAGAGAGGCGGTGATTAGAGGCAAGGCAACAGCGCATAGCGCCTGTTTCGACGCAATCCATGGTGGTATGGAGAAGGCGATTGGCAGTATCACCAGAGGTACGAAATAGCTCAAGCTCTGAGGCCCAGGCACGATCCGGTTGACCAGCTTATCATATGTAAGCGCTATTGTCGCTTGGCTCATGATTTCAAGATGGTCAGTATGCTAGCCATCATGAATGGTGGCTTGAAATTTTGTGCGGTGGTCGTGAGGCCTTGATATCATGTCGTCATGGAATCTATTTAGAAAATGCATACAGACATTTTCAAGGTGACTGTTGTCTATGGAGGAAACAACCCATTTTGTTCTTGCTGGAGGCACGCAGAGGTGTCTTTGTTGTGAATGAAATTATTGAGTGGTACGAACTACTAAACAGCCTGCAGATGGAATCATCGAGCAGCTTGCTGCGATATTCACCATGCCTCAGGTTCGAGACTTACGTAAAGATGAGCCAGCCACGTGGGACACAGTGCGTTGATTGGCTGATTACTGTGCACGGACGCGAAGCTCAATACATACACGACATTTCCGGAATAGGAGCCTGCTCCGTAGTCTTCGGGGGCCTGGAAACAAGACGACGAGCGAACGAGGCCTTGGAAAGGCGAGCGAGCAAGGTACGAGCAAGCGAGTCTGAAAGAGATGAAGGGGCGATACTGGTTGCGCCTGCGCCACTCGAATTCCAGCGCAAGTTGCGACTCCGTCCAGCGATCGCATTACTCAACAACGACTTCTTCATGCAGAGGGCACAAAGAGGGTTCTTGTCTTTGCCAACAAAATCACGGTGATGGTACAAACTTCCATACTCGACTCCGAGAGCATGATATATCTAGAGGCCATCACCGGTATCGAGGCCTACTGCATGGCGACAGCCGGCAAACAACGAGTGTTCTGCGAGTGAGCCTCGACGATTCAGCGAACAGAACGAAGAACGGCAAAGCATTAAATTTGTGACTCAAAAAAAGCTTCGAGACTTCTTCCAGCGGGCTTCTACATTTGAGTTTACAACGTTGCAATGATACGGAGGTGGTACCCTCCGTGACGAGCGGCTTCCCTACTTTGCAGACTGCGTGATCTCAAATGATGCCCGAAAACGGATAGGCGCACCCCCGCCATATGCCGTCGGCTGACCTTTGACGCGACGTTTGTAGGGCAGGCAACCGTGATCGATCATGATCAAGAGGAAGCTGACGGCAAGGCTGCCTAGATATTCGGTCCGCCTCAAGACCTACCCAGTTGGTACGAAATTGGTAATGACAGAGAACAGAAGATGGTGGGCATCATGTTCGCTCAACAAGTGGAAGGCGAACTGCAGGTGTGCATCCAGCATCGAGGATGGACAGGGTCAGCAAGGTCGAGATTTGGAGTCTTGAGATTGCTGAAGCGTCATGTCTTGGCCAGAGAGGCGCAAGTGGCGGAATCGAGCGCCTTCGGAGCGAAAGAAACGTGGAGGCTTCGAAGAGTCACACCTGCCCAGGCTTCTGACCCAGGTCATCGCAGCTCTTCCCTTTACAACTCACCGCAAGAATAATGAAGGACCAAATCAACAAGAACGCTCGTGTCGTTGCACGCGAGTAGAGGGTTGACTAGACACGTCGAGTCACCACGCAGACAAAGAACCAATTTTGGAATCGTTTGTCGCGCGTGAGTAATTGCGTTGTCTTTGCTTTCAGGCAGTTGTTGCTTCCTCCGCTTCTCGCTCCTGCCTGCTCATATCGCCACTCGCCTCTTGAGTCACTTTTCTTGTTCACACCTTGGTTGATCATTCCACTTATATCCTGTTTGTTTCCACCCCTTGCTACCATCCATCACCTACTCCGATATTTGTCGTGAGTGGTCTTGGTTGTGTTTTCTCTACATTTGCCTAGTCATCTCTTTGAGCCCTTCTCCGCCCGCGCTCTCCACCACCCTAGGCTTCACCTGCCTACACCTACCTTATCGCCGCTTAAACCCTCAACTCACAACAACAACCAATACACGTCACTGCAATAACACATTTGTCATACTGGCTGTGACTCTGGCGCGCACAAGTTAAATCTCTCTCGTTGTCGCCTCTTTCGCCGCTCAAGGCAGCTATGCTTATTGGATCCTCGCTTGCTATCACTCCAGTCGCTTCTTACTCGAAATACGTTATCAAGATTCAAGAGATGGGCTCGTACATGTGGTAAAGCCCCGACAGGGCCAACCGCTGTCTACTCCTGTTGCACTTTCTGCCTAGACGGAAACAAGTGCACTAGGAGTCATCATTTGAATCTGGTGCCTTCGCGTACTGCTGCTGACTGGAAGACTGGTCTTCTGTCATATCATAACGGTTTACTCTCTCCGGACACCTCTACAATTCATTCAAACACCAAACACACTACCTACCTCACAACATGGACTTCGGTCATGCATCATTCTGTGGTCGTTCGATCTCCTCCCAGCTCGACAGACTACACACACTTTCCTCCACAAGTGGTCGATCGATCTCGTCTCAGGTCGAAAAGCTACACACATACTCTTCCACTACACTTCCTTCGTCGCACAGCGGCTCCAACGCTGTACCTCCTGAACAACGTCGCCATCCTCGCCGTAGTCAGGGACATGTTTTGCAAAAGCCTCCAACTCTCGTACGGCAAGAAGAGCGCAAGGCTACCTTTGTCGATGGCCTTGTCGGTATGTCTTAACCTTCACTCTCACTCTGTTCAAACCAGGCTAACTATCATAGACTCTGCCGCTCAAATGGTAGAAGTCATCTGGCCCTTGTCGGTCGCCCCATGCAAGCCTCAGGCTGGTGGTGTCTTGTCCTTGCGCAGGTATATCGAGGAGACACTTCGCAGATCCAGAACAAGTTACTCTACCTTGCAGGTGGCTTTGTACTATCTTGTCCTGATCATGCCTTGTGTTCCCAAGTCTGATTTTACCATGCAGCAGTCGGTCGATTCGCCGTCGGTTCGTGCCCTGCAATGTGGTCGCCGCATGTTCCTTGCCGCTCTGATCCTCGCGTCCAAGTACTTGCAGGATCGCAACTACTCTGCCAAGGCATGGAGCAAGATGTCGGGACTCAAGGTTGCTGAGATCAACCTTAACGAACGCGCCTTCCTCGAGGCGGTTAACTGGAAGCTACACCTCCCTGAGCCCCTGTTCAAGCGTTGGACTGAAGTTGTCTTGCGCTACACCCCTGGCCAGGCTCCTCCACCAGCTGGACAGAGTCGAGTCACTGACTCTCCCAACGAGGACGCTTTGACATGGAAGGACATTATCCCTCGACTCACACCTGACTTGGAACTTGTTGCGCCTGCTGCAACAGAGATTGTTGATCGCAAACGATCGGAGTCACCAGTTGCAACGCACAACACGTTGCCATCATACCTCGAACCTCAACCAGAAGTCAGACCTCCCACTCCCGTTTTGGGCGTCAGCTACTTGCCAACTCCTCGTTCTACGCCTCCACCTGCCCTGGCTCCTGCAGCGAGTATTGGCAGTGTCGAGATGTGCAACATAGTCGGCAAGCTCAGCCGTCGTTCATCGTTCGGCAGCCAGGTCTCTTCTGTGTCTAGCCCTGCCTCGATGTTGTCGGAAGTATCTCGCTTGTCACCTGCTTCGTCAGTGACTTCAGTGGGCTCCTACAACTCCTACACGCAGGACCGCATGGTCAAAATTTCCGTCGAGGAATCAAATACTGCTTTTTCAGTTTCTAAGCAACAATTAACCGCGTATGACGCTCAGCCCCAGGCCAGCCGAGCGGTCAAACGTAGCCAAGAGCTTATCTCTGGTTCGGAGGAGGAAGAACGACGAGATCGCCTCCAGATGAGAACAAGCTCGCTGCTCAATAAGCACGAAGGTACCAAGGCAATGCCAATTATCCTGGACGATGAGGACTGCACCAGCAACAGCATGGCAGCAGAAGTCGCCAGTCTACAGGCAAAGACCTGGACCACATATAACAATGTCGCCTCCAATGGAGAAGAAAGGAAGCGTCGGCGCGTAGCATATGGCTGTGAAGAGCCATGGGCTGACCGGGCACTCGATTGCGGCGCAGTAGTCGTCAATTGAGAAAGACATCGGATCTGAGCCACTTATCATTTTTAACCCTTAACAAAAGCGCGTCTTTGACAAAAGCTTTGATGAAATCATTTTTTCTGCTTGATACCACATGGGATCGGGGGAGGATTGGGCAAGCTCGATATGAGCAGGCGAAGTTAGGCGCATAACTATAGCTAGCTGTAGCTAAATACTGAATGTACAGAGAGTACTTTTTTCTCTTTCATTGATGCACCTTCTCCATTGAAAAGTGTAATCATACAATCATCGACGCTGGTCGTTGCAAATCTGTCACGCGAAGGCGACTCCTTCTCTGGCTTCAACTATAGTAGAGGACCGAGTCTCCCCATTCCATGTGCTGGTACTCGATATAGCATGTGAATCTTTCCCTCGAGCATAGCACGCGATCACTCTTCCCTGGCCTCTCTCTTGCCAAAAATGTATGCAAGACCACCACTGGCAACGTTTGCAGCACAGAGACCCAGCGTAAGACCTCTGATAGCACCTCTAGCGCCAAATTTGCTGGAAAAGGCCTGCTTTCTCCTTCTGGCGACAACCAAGTATGCAGCGCTCCAAGCAGAAGTCACACCAGCCGAGTCTACCGGGAAGCCGTTCAAGTTCAGGTATGAGGAGAAGAGAAGGACGGGGACAAAGAGCATGGGCAGCTTTTGGAAGGGGCGGAAGTGTTGGGCTGTAATAAGGGTTGCGAGGGCGGTGGGAGGTACGGAGGATTCTAGTGGAAGAGTGGGTCAGTATGGTGGGATTGGTAGAGGATGGGAGAGAGGACGTACCGCCCCATGCGCGCATGTAGGTGAGGACACCCTCTTTGGTGTCAGGGACTTTGTCGGCTCCTGGCATAGGCATGTTGAGACGTGTGTGAATTGGTATGTTTGTTGTAAAGAAGAGTGCTTGAGATGGTCTAGGAATATCAAAGCTGGAAATGCCGTCATGGTCGAGGCAGGCCAATCACATCCAAGACCTGAAGAGTGACCCTGTCCTCGCTCCGTGTTGCGCCAGTTTGGCCCGCAATCGCAACGCAGCGCTGCTGATTGAGGCCAATTATCCACTTTCACGCCCTTCAGGACACCAACTCACTCCCGCCAGTCGATCAGAGTCTCCGATACACCCTCGGGGGTACTCGCCTCTCCTACTCCTTTCCACAACATCACAATGTCATCGGAAAAGTCGCGCGAGCACCACGACGGCAGCAGCGGCCGCGCCTTTACTGCAGACCAAAAGGCCGCCGTCGTGCGCGTCCGCAAATGCAATCCCACCGCCTTCTACGATATCCTGGGCCTCGAATCCGTAAAAACAACAGCCACAGAATCAGAAATCAAAAAAGCATATCGCAAACTCAGTCTGCTTACGCACCCGGACAAGAATGGCTACACTGGTGCAGATGAGGCTTTCAAAATGGTTGCTCGCGCTTTTGCTGTGCTGAGTGATTCGGATAAGAAAGCAAAGTATGACCGCTTTGGAGGGGATCCTGATAGCAGGTTCCAGGGTGCGAGTGCTAGTTCGGCAAGTCCCTTTTCTGGCGGTGGTGCTACGAGGAGGGGTCCTGGTGGTGGTGGCATGTTTGATGATGAGATTAGTCCAGAAGATCTGTTCCGTCAATTCTTCGGCGGCGGTGGCATGGGTATGGGTGGTGGTGGGTTCGGAGGTCCATTTGGTATGTCTATTTCTGGCGTTCTCCAGAAGTCAACCACTAACCAAAACAACAGGAGGTGGCCTTTTCGACGGCCCAGGCTTTGTCTTCAACATGGGCGGAGGCCCTGGAGTACGTGTTCATCAATTCGGCGGCGGCGCACCGCGACGACGACCCCAAGCAGCCAGAGATCCCAACCAACCGCCTCCATCCCTTCTTCAATCACTACAGTCCCTCCTCCCGCTACTCCTCCTCTTCATCTTCCCTCTTCTCTCAGGTCTCTTCTCTGGCAACGGTACACCCTCAGGTCCTTCCGTACGCTTAGAGCCCTCACCGCCATACACCCAACACCACACCAGCTCTGGTTTCGGAGTTTCATACTATGTCGACCCGCGCGAGGTAGCGGATATCTCGGCGCGGAAGTGGAAAGAGCTGGATAAGAAAGCAGACACGACATATGTGCACACTTTGTCCAGCGAATGTGAGTTCCAGCAACGGAAGAGGCAGGACATGTACCAGCAGGCTTCAGGCTTCTTCTTTACCGATCAGGTGAAGTTACAGGAAGCCAGGAACTACAAAATGCCTTCTTGTAAGAGGCTGAACGAATTGGGCTACAGGACTTCATGAGAGGAGCTATTCCTGTTGGTTTTTGTTTTCGTCAAGCGAATATTAGAGAAAGAGCCTTTCTTCTTGTATATCCATCTTTCTTCTCCTTTTGCATGGCGTTGTCTTGATTTGGAAAGGCAGGACTATTCCTTGCATAATTGCATTCTTCTCCTTTCTTCTCTTTACTCACCCGCCCCTTCAATGGCATGCCTTCCCCCATCTCCTCAATTGATAGTAGTTCCAGGGTAATGGTACCAAATAACCAGCAACCACACTCAGCATAGCAGCGCCCCAGAACTTTGGATCTTGTAATGCTACAACTCCACCCGTTAGATGAAAGTCCACAGCATTTTCCGCTAGTTCCATGGCTAGCATGGAGATGAAACTCATGCCCATTGCCGTGTTGAAGGCTGTGTTGAGAGGTAGCCTGTCCTTGCCCCAATACAAAAGAGCTGTTTCTAGGATAATGGAGGTGCTCAGACCCGATGTCACTGAAGAGTTCTAGATTAGCAGTTGGAAGGGTGTGGAGGAGAGGACGTAAATGAGATGACTTACTCGACAGAGCCATAATACTGCCCATACCTAGATCCGGCGTGTATGTTTGCAGGGCCCACAGTGCAGAAAAATCTCCAAGCGTGCATCCCACGAGGCATCGAAACGTGTTGATGCCTGCTCTTTTCCAGGTTCCTCGACAAGTCCAGAAAGCATGTTTGGGTAATGCTGATGATGATGTAGGGTTTGTAGAGACAGCACTGCTATAGAGTCTACAATCTCTCTCTGAAGTATGCATCTGATGCAGCTTGAGGGTAAAAGGTATCAGTGGTGAGATTGCCCTCGATCGTAGAAGATTAGTGGTGAGGTGAATACATTTAAGCCTCTGTGCATGCTGGAGTTGTGATGGTGTGACGCGATGCATGCTGCTCAGAGAAAACATGGTAGAGAGTGTTAGTCATTAGCGGAAAGCAAAGATTGATCTTTTTATGTTGTTGAGTAGTCGCCGACTTTGTAAGCAGGACCGCAAAAACCACGCATTCTGTGACACACGACAGTAGAACGTTCCTACCCGAGAGCGATGGCTACGAGTATATCATTGAGGTCTACCTCATTAGTGCAGGTTTCTTATGACTGATGGAAATCGCGACGTATTGGCCTTGGAGTCATGTCATGGCAAAGAAGACTATCAATCCAAAAAAGGAAGTGACAGCCCGTTGGACGGCGAAAGTGTCAGTGCGGTGTCGACTACTACTACAACACCACAAATCGACCTGCTCTTCTACCTGACAAGACAATCAACAAATACCACAATTCAATTCTCATTCAATATGCCTCCTAACTCAAAATCCACAAACACCAAATCTCGAAGACTGAAGATTCTCATGTTGCATGGTCAGAAACTATGCACATCACATCCATAACAAGAATGCAATTCTAACTTGATACCAAAACCAGGCTACACACAATCTGGCCCTCTTTTCCAAGCAAAAACCCAACGCATCAAAAAACTACTTGAGAAATCTCTTGCCGGTTTACCCATCAAAATTGAAGTTCCCATCAATGGCATCGACCTCTTTTATCCCACCGGTCCTTTCAAAGTCTCTTCTGCAGATCTCAACGGAGCAGAAGTCAGAGAAGACGCAAACGGATGGTGGAAACTGCGAGAACGCGGTCAACTTCAAGAAGGTGTAGATGTCGGTATCGACCAAGTGGCAAAAGTGCTTAAAGAATTTGGTCCTATGGATGGAGTTATGGGGTTCAGTCAAGGTGCTGCTCTGGCTGCTATGGTGGTTTCTCTGCTTGAACCTGGCCGAGAAGAGGCATTTGGGAAGGTGCAAGGAGGTATGAAATACCCGCAGGAGATCAAGGAGTTGCAACATCCACCGTTGAGGTTTGGGGTTTGCTTTTCGGGGTTGTTGAATAAGCATGAGGCGTATACTGCGTTTTACGAGCCGAAGATTCATACGCCGATACTGCATGTTCTGGGCAGTATGGATACTATTGTGGAGGAGAGTGAGTCGTTGGCGCTTGCGGAACGATGTGCTGATGGTGGGAAGGGCATGGTTATCAGACATGCTGGCACGCATACTGTGCCAACAAGTGATAGGGACATTGCAGCTGTTATACAGTTCATCCGCAATGCGTTTCCCATTGAGGATGCAACTGCGAAGAAAGACGAGGAAGACGTTTTGGACATGGATATGCCTTTTTAGAATAGATCATTCCTGCGTGAGTAAACATAGATCTTAGAGGAATCGCATAGGTCTATCGGAATCTCGAACTATCTGATCAATCTTTTGTAATTCGTGAGACGTCGTAACTAGAAACCAGTATCCAAAAAAAAAAAAAAAAAAAAAAGATCAGACCGTATCCGTGCAACCTCTTCCAAATGACAGACATTATATGATTGGAAAAAAAAAAAGACGTATGCATCTAAGAAGAAAAATGAAGAAGTGAAGAAAGTAACGCACACGCGTGAACCAGCAGCCTGCACCAATCGAAAGTGGTGTGTCATGCAAACACGAAAATGGCACTTAGTGCTCATCGTATCTGGCAGAATGGTAGTAAGAATAATCGCCATCGATTGCCTGAGCCCAAGCATCGCGAATATGATCCTTGTCTCCACTCAACAGCATCTCGGCAATCTCTGTCAGCAGCTCTCTACTGACATCAGGGACAAAATTCTGCAGCACGTCCGAGTGACTCCAGAGTACGATAAATGTTTCAACCACCAAGCCTCTTCCAATAGAGTCAGGTGGAAGTGATGGGTAGAGTAATTCGATAAGTGGCCGTACGATATTTTCAGACGAAGATGCCGAAGGAAGATCGTCCTTGTTGTCAGTGAGAGCCGACGCCTTTGGCGATTTGCCATTGTGCATGTTGCCAATACATTGCAAAATGCGATTCATGACTTCATTCTGGAAGTCGGAGTTTTGCACTTTCTCGCCAAAGATGTATGCTTGCAGTAAATCGATATATGTGTCGTAAGCGGCGGATCGTGAGTCCAGAGCTGCGTTGGAAGCGGTAAGGTCCAGAGATGTGATGCTCTTCTTATCGTAAATATAGTGGGCATATAGTTGGAAGACTATCGGGTCGTCTTCGAGTAGCTCTAGAGGTGCATCTTCTTCAATCTGCTTATCTAGGAGCTCGGCGAAGTAGGGCGACGAGGCAGCGAGGCGGGCGGCATGGATATGAAAGTCTTGACTGCTTGTTAAGCTGCCGACACGAACGAGGATGGGTTTTGAGAATGTGCTGAGAGGCATAGATGAATTAGCTTCATTGTTGTAGCATCAGAACGCACGCGATTTTTGATGTCATGATACACATCCTTCGGGGTAGGCGCCGTCCCCTTCCAATACTGATAAGACTAGAAAGATGCACAAGAAAACAAGCACACGTTCGCGCTTACCTTTTCTTGATCTGATCGGTCATGGCCAAAGAAAGCGCACTTTCACGTCCGCGACAGATGCGCTTGTATGGCCTTCCAAGGTCCTCATCGTCCACAGCTTCCTCCTCGTCCATTTCCAAGTCGTCGGCCGAGTCCATGAGCGCATTCTCTTCCAAAGCAACAAGCTCGGCGATCTGTTTCTCGCTGGGGCTATCGACCTTTAAGATCGCCTCGTCTCCACTGTTGTTGCTACGCGGGCTGACGGGCATCTGAGCGCCCTCGTTCGTCTCGTCGGCTGATCTCTTTGGCGCCATCTGTGTTTGCTCTGTCTCAAAGGTCGAGAAATAGGTGCCGTCGTCCGCAAAGGTCACAAGAATCTTGACAGATGTGCAGAGAAGACAAGAAATGTCAGACCTTAATCAAAATAACAAACACGGACGGACACGGGCAGTCACGTCAGACGCTCGCGCGCCTTGCGCATATTAATCCTTGTCAAAGTGGCAGAAAACGCTTACGCTTACGCCCTCCTCCCACCCAAAAAGATGCAGAGGACGGTTGGTGCTCTGCCGCGTCAACCACAACAATCGTGGGGAACCGAGCGCTGCCATTCGTGCATGTTGCATTGTACTTGCATGCGATACATCCTTGTCTAGCATGCGCTATCATGCTTGGAAGCCCAGACATGGGCTGTTCACGAGACTCGATGTCATATACGTACTCTCCCTACCTTTGATGCCCATCACTGTTGGTTGAACTCGCCCTCTACCGAATGTGACGCAAGCCTAGATCTCTAAATGTCGTGCAGACTTGCGGTCTGAAACGTCCGTCCACCTGGGCGAACTCCGGAGCGGTTGGGGTTTCATCGCTAAGGTTCAGCATCGCTTAAACTGTATCTTCAAACGTCCGCCTAAAGTGCTTCTTTTCTGCCCCGCCGGCTAACTGTCCATGTGGCTGTTCACGCGGAAACGACTGACTATTTTACAAACTCTACCTCTGTAACTTTAACTACATTACATCCATCACTATGGCCACTCGACCCCGTCTAGTACACACAACATGGGTATAAAGCGACAAATCTTTAGATGGCTGGGGCATCCCAAGCTTCACGCCGGATCTTCATCAGATTCGACTGCTTGTGCGGGAAGCTAATCTCGCGCTCTTTGAAGAAGCCAACTTCTTCGCAATACTGCTTTACTCTGTGGTTTTAACGTCAGTTTTTGATCTTCGAGGTGCGTGTATCCACACGAGAACTCACTTTGCATTGTCGACTCTTGGTTCCAACATGACTGTCTCGGTTCTAGGATCGGCGAGGAAACAGTAATGAATCAACGCGCTCAACCAAACCTTGACACGATGAGAACCCCTGAATCTTTGCTCACCAACCAGGAGGTGCAACCCACGGTCATAGTCAGACACCTGATAACCTAGGTAGGAGCCCAGTCTATCTTCTTTGACCCAGTAGATCTCAAAATAGCCGAATGGTTTGCCGTCAAAGCAACCAATTACTGGCATGGAGTGCTTGTTGGTCAAACCAGCTTTCAAGAACTCTTCCTGGTGGGACATAGGGCCTTGTTCGCCCCACGAGTACGCAACGCGCTCGTCATTCATCCATTTATGGAGGATTTCAGTATCACTCATTTCATGATCCATGGTGCCAATGGTTGGGACCTGCGAGTCGCTTACACTTGCGGAGGCGCGGAGCGGAGAAGCCCCAGGAGCTGGATCCGACACTGGTCCAATGTGTTGCACGGGACGCTTAGATAAAGACGCAACACGGAACGAGAGATACTCGCCAAGACTGGGAATGAATCTTGTATAGAAGGTTTCGCCTTGTCGAGGAGGCTTGGGACGGACGGGATGGCGGACGTTGTCAGTGAAGATGTATTGGGTTGGTGCAGGTGGATAATAGGTAGGCATGTGCGAGGACGACTTGAACTGGCCGGGAGGCGCCCACAAACCATGATTGCCACCAGTAGGGACCACTGGACCAGCATTATCGACGATCGAGTCAGGTCTACTGCTAGAAACACCAAGTGCAGGAGAGTCCGGTCTCGAATCGACGTGAGTGTGTGAGACCAAGGCAGAGTTGACCTGAGGATTGCTGGTGAAGAGGTAGATACGAGGGTCGAGCTGCCAGAAATGACGGCGAGATACAAACATGGCAGACCAGCCTTCAGAAGTATTGGGGTCCAAGGAAGTCCCGACCGTAGAGTCTTCGCTTGCAATCAGACCCATGCGCTCCAGCTTCTGCATCAACTGCTTGCCTCTGAAGACGCCTTCGCGGTTAATGTTGATACGCCATTCACCCCTTGGTCTTCCTGCTTCGGCTGTTCCCTGAGAAGTGGTATTGGTGATCTTTGGATCAGGTTCAGGTTGATGGAAATACCAGTACAAGGTGGCCCACAGCATCATGGCAATCTGGCGAGTAGGAGAGGATGCAGGGAATTGTGAAGGAGTGCGCTCATTAGGTGGGTTGGAAATGCTAGAGATGAACAGGTGATCGCCTCGGAGAGAGGGTTGTTTGTAGCTGTGAACGCGATATCTTGGAGCGTCATCAGTGCTAGGAGTAGCGGGAGTATCATTGTCCTCGCTCTCAATGGTGATAGTCCAGCCGGGAGGAAAAATGTTGTGATGGCTGTGAGCGTCAACAGACTTGAAGTACAGACCGCCAAAAACAGGCGTGACAGAGAGATTGTGGCCATTGGGCAGATGCACAATGGAGGGCGCCATGATTGGGTTGTGGGTTGGCGTGGAAAGAAGATGGTCTGCACGCGGCTGATCTGATGTTGCTGACCAACAACGACGCGGACAGCAACGGCTTTGACTCGTGATGATGTGAATTGGAGATAAGAATCACTCAGCCTTGGATCAACGAGGCTTCACAACGGCGGTAGCAGAGCCTTGCTCTTCACGGAACAGAAGATAATTAGTTCGTGTGTACAGTCTGTAGTTAGTGCACAGTATGCACGGGTCAGGCGATGGAAAAAGAGTCGAATGCTCGTGCATATCGAGGGCAGACGCGACTCGTGCTCGCGAGTCAACGAGTGACGAAATGACAAAGCTCGGGCCGGTTCGAATCGAGGTCGGGTGTGGCTTGATCAACAGCGGGTGCTTTGATCCAATGAGCGACTCACTCTCTCATCTCGTTTGCTGGCCGACGGACAAGGACCTTTGTGTTTTGGTTGCAGAACCTAGCAACCGTGTCGCGCGTACCGTCGTCTCGAGTCTTGTACAGTCGAGTTGAGCAGGACAGTGCTTGTAGTGACGCGAAGAGAGGAATATCCTAAAGTCAATTCGCGAAAGCCGTCTTGCAAATAATTACCGTGTTACGGGAGTGCTGAAACAGAGGCCCGCGGTCCTGCAAAAGCTTGTGTGTTTGATACCCGGGCCATCCATCATCTTTTGTCGCTACTATCCCATCAGACATCATGTCTGACAAGACTACAGCGACTGAGACCAACTAGAACGCCTTGTCGACCGAGTCCCGCGCAGCACTGCAAGACGGATACTCGACGCTGCCCATCACTCGAGAATGGGCTCATATTTTGGTCGAAACCAGTCGCCCAAGCCGTCCAACGAGCGTGTGCATTCCTCCTATCCCTATCCGCACGCCCACTCCTCGTCATCGCCCGTCTCGCAAACAGCGCCTGTCCTTCCACCCATCCCGAGCTTCTCTGATGGCCCCGACGATGCGCCACCCACGGGACTGGGCCTCGATGCCACTTTCACCTTCGATCCGAGTCCGCAACAGTCCGCGCCCTCGTCGTCTTCGAACCTCTCTACGCCATCACCACTCCGCGATGCCGCTCCCACAGTCTCTCCTGCTGCGCGCCCGCAGAACTTGCAGAAAGGCAGAGCTGTAACAAGTCCCGTAGGCACCTTACCTAGCTTTCAGCAACCAAACTTGTCACCAGCCTCTCCTCTGGCTGCCCTCTCGGTACCTTACACCTCAACCACCGCCCAGGCCAAACCTCGTGCAGGAAACCGCCCACTCCCTGCCGAATTATCCATCAATGGAGTTCCTCAGCATGCGAAGACGTCCAAGCAGAGGCCGGAACTGCATTCAAACAAGTCGTCTAAGGGCAAGTTCAATCTGCTCAATCCAGTCAATCTGCTTATGCGCAGACGTTCCGCACAAGCTGTCGAAACGCTCGAGAAGACTACATCCAAGAACTTGGCCATACCGCCTATGGACCTTCCAGATGATTACGATCCGCGAATCAGGGGCAACGTTGTACACGACTTCAGCGCTCCCAGAACTCGACGCACCCCGTCATATGATCCGAGTCTAGGAGAAGCTTCAACAAAACCTTCAACAGCAAATGAATCCATCAAATCACAGCAAGAATCGGTGGATCGTGATTCCAAGAGGCAATCGGTCCAGCACACTCCCATATTCGTTGAGCACATTGACAGCGAACCCGATGCAGACCGTGTTCATGCTGAGACATTGGCGAACAATGACTTTGTCGCTCGCAATTCATGGCAGCAGAGTGGAGACTCGCTCAACATGCCTCCATTTGGCCGCCGGAGTCAGCTTCTTGAAGACTACTCCCAGTCTGAGCCTGCTTCTGATTCTCCACATTCTGCAATGAGCGCTATGAGTGGCCCTGGGTGGCAGTATCACGAACCCGAGCGTGTCTACTCTCCTGTATCACCCGAGCCTGCTCCCGAGACAATCCTCGAGCACGGCGAGCTCAAAGCTGAAAGAAACGAGCCCGACTCACTATCAGCTCAGCCGTTACCTCAACCATCGCCGGATCTCCTGCCGAATCCCTCATCAACATTACCTAGGCATATGGCTAGTACAGCTTCGCGTTTCAGTTTCCAAATAGCAAACGACTCGATAGCAGAAGAGAAGCTGCTCGAAGAGAGACATAAGCTTCGCCAGTCAAACGCTGCTCAAGATCCCTCTACATTTGAGCATTATGAATACGAAGACGACGAAGAGGATGACTTTGATGAGGATGCTATGTATGACCATGACGAGATGGAAGACGCTCCTGCCAATGGCCTTTATGAACATGCTAATTCTGGTCTTCATGAACGCCTCTCCAACATGACTCTAGACTCCGGTCAAGGCCACCTGTCTGTGGCCTCTTCAAGCACTTTGTACTCCACCACTGCCCCTCCAACGATACAACCAGCTTTGCATAATCCACTACGCTCGAACCCACCACCAATCTCATTGCAACAACAGCCATCAGGCCCTTCACTTGGGACATCGTCAACTTCGTTCCAGCAGCAACCGGCTAGACCATCTTCCGCCAACTCTTTCTATTTCGATGACGGCATGATTGAACAACTTGATGACGTGCGCGAAGAAGACGAAGAGAATGATGATGAGACCTTTGATGAAAACAAATTCGACGATCCTTCCTATCTCAAAAGACCTAACCAACCACCACATCTTCACGAATCCGCATCTGCTTCATCAGGCTATTTCCCTCAAGACGCGCCTGTTCATAATGTTAATGGTTATCCGTTCCTCATTCAGAATCCTGGAACTGGCGATTTCTCTGCTGAATCACCGTTCTCCGAGAGCTCTTCTCAACCTAGTGCTAGTGAGCAACAACGAGAAGCCCAGGATGAAGCAGCGCGACACGATTCGCAACAAGGCCCACCTGATTGTCATAGCCTGTCTGCATACCACAGCGCTTTGGCAGAAGCCGCACATCGGGCCGCTGCGGATGGGAAATTCACAAGACAAAACAGTATAACGGCTTCTGATTCTGTCTACTCAGAGGACTACGAACAAGACGAAAACAACGACTCGCAACAATCACAGTATTCGCAGGCGCAAATGCACATGCCCATGCCCATGCCTGCCGCTATGCAGATGGAGATCCCACCTTACTCGCAGATGCAGATGCCACAACAATCGCCGTACCAAATGCAGTTGCAGATGCAAATGCAGATGCAGATGCAGCCTCAGATGCGCCAGAGTTACATGTCTGCCTCGACGCACGCTTCTCATGGCTCTTACTCGGCGTTCGACTTCGGCTTCAGTGATGGTGCAACCATAGAGGATACTTTTTCTTCTCCAGAGTTCCCTAACGACAACGATGATTTCGCCTTCGATGATTCGGACTTAATCTCTGCTGCGAATTCGGAAGCACTTGCAAATGATGATGAAGGGTTCTATAGCCAAGAGTTTGGTTTCTATGCCAGAGCACGTCCCGGAGGCGATCCTGATGCAGTCGAGGCCATCAACGGTGGCTACTTTGGCGCACCTGGAATCGAGATCGTACGACAGAAGAGTGTGAAAGAGCCTAATCTGACTCCCATCACCGAGCGCAGCGAATTCAGCACGCGTAACTCATACATCGGCCCATTCAGCCCTCTTGCCGCTGCTCTCCCATCGCCCGGTTTTCCACCTGCGCATATGGCAGCAGCGCGCATGAGCCCTCTCGCTTGGCAACATCTACAAGAAGATGAGATGACACTTGCAGATCTCCGAAGGCTCAAGCAAGGTGCATTTGGCAGCAGCAGCAACAGTGTCAACTCTTTGTCCTCGTCTTTCGGCGTACCAGCTCCTTACAGTCCCACCATGGCCGCACAGAATATGCCTGGCGGTTATTTCATGCCGCGCGCTAGCGGCAGTGTCCCAATGGCCTGGCAACGTAGCAGCGACAGCAACTCCAACTACAATCCATCTAATCATTCTTCAAGCCCTGCTCCTACATCGCCAATCCACACGTCGATGCCCAACGGCATCACCAACAGTCAGCCACACAACTCACCCCTGCAACCTTCATTTGCATCCTTCGTAGCAGACAACGTCTCAACTCCTAAGAAGAGCTCATCCGGTCTAACCGAATTGCCAGGGACGCCTGTGACCGCGAAAAAGGCTGCAGCCAAGGATACAGCTACAGCTCCAGAACGGCAATCATATCAAACACACTCACGATCTGGTAGTGGTGCAGACAACATCACTTATGTTCGCGAGGAGGATTCCACAGGTGGCAAGCGATGGGTGCTCGAAAGGCGGCGTACGAGTGAGGCTGGTCTTCTGGAGCTTATCGGCAGAGAAGTTGTCGAAGGTGGCCGCATTTGATTTGCAGTATCTTTAATGTCTTTATCTCGCTTCCTGCCTCTCGATGGCATTTGGTGGCTGATCTCTTTTCCGGGTGCATACCATGTTCCGGCGATACCTTGTAATATCCTTCTTTCTGTTTCAAATACCCCATCATCTGACTTTAGTACAAGCCAAATATACAGCTCCTCGTAAGCCTCAGATTGTCATAACTTCATCATCTAACACATTCTTCGAGCCGATAAATGGCAACAGTACAGCCCATCAAGATGCGAAGTCACTTCCGAAGATCAGATGTGGCCCTGAACTGCCCGAAACTAATGTTCCTCCATGGATTACTCATGCTTCCAGCGGGGTTATCATGCTTTTCTGTAGCTAGGTCCATCGAAAGGAAGAGGAATATTCCTTGCCTGGGACACTGTTTCTGGAAGGCGAGAAGAAGCTGTCACAAAGTGAGGTGCTCTAGGTGCCAAGGCTTCACCGCAGCATTCACCCCGTGTCACCTCAGTCGCTCTTCCCTCCTCCTGACACAGACTTCTTCGAAACTTGCGGAGAAAAGGTTTACAGTCTTCTAGTACCGCTCAGATGGTAATAGCGCTTTCCGAAATTCAGAAAGGCTATTTGCGTCCATCTTAGCGTCTCCAGACCTTTCTAAGCGCCCATGCTGGGCACTTTCTAGCCCTGATGCAGGTGTCACGACCAGATGCGAATCTCGGATTAGAATAGCACCCGTAAGCGCCCAGCGGTTACCTTTATGCAGGCGACCAATCAAGGATTGTCTCCAAAACAATGGCTTGCCATACGTCGCGTAGGTCTTGTAGACAAGCATCGAATTGGTCATTATTGGGCTTCTCAAAGCGATTGTGGCTTGTCTGGATCACGGACTTCTTATGAACTACTGGCTGTCGCATATCGTGACTCTTTCTCCTTTTCTGCAACTTTCACGACGTACTGAAAATTGACATCCTCCACAGCATGCACTGAGGAGATGATAAAGAATGAACGAACAGTATGGTGGGTATCCATCATCTGGACAGTTTCATCCGACTCTACAGTATCATGCTTCCAGTCGATCACAAGAGTCACCTCGAGACAATGGTTCCTCTTTGAGCACTCCACTTAGTCCCATGTTCTGTCCTCTCGGGAGCGGACATTTGACTCACAGTACTCTGACTATGGCGGCGTCTAGACCATATAACCCCCAGCAGTGGGGACAGAACAGTGTATCGCATTTGGCGTTCTCTCCCACTCGGCGAGTTACTAGAGACACGACTGGCATGGAAAGTAAGTAGAATCTTTTGCATCGCATTAAACACAATCACTATCTTGGTCGGCAAGTTTCGCATGCACGTTTCGATAACCAGATTCTAGCATTAATGCCTTCTCCACCACCACCATATACACCTCCGCCTGACAGTACCTCTCGCTCGATGCGGTCGGTTCCTGCCACAGGCTTTATCCATTCTCCTCTATCGGTGGAATCATCGTCAGTCAATACAACAAGTCATCACTCGACTCCACCAAGCGGACCCTCAGCACATTTCCCGCCACCTCCAACCTCTTCTCGTGACCGCTCGAGTTCAAGAATTAGTGGAGATTCTCAACGTTCGAGATTTAGTATCTCCGGACTTGCTGCCCGTGTCAAACGATCTGATAGCTCTGATCAGATATCTACCCTAAGTTCTCTACATAGTCAAGTACCTGTAGTATCTGCAGGTCCCAATGCACGACCCCCAGCCTCTCGTCGTGCCGCTTCCACAGGGGCTATCATAACACAGGCTCCTCAGCAGACTGTTACTGGCAGGCAGTCACCAGAGTCATCACGTTGGGAACCTGGAATGCCACTTCCTCCTCCCCCACCAGGACCTCCACCAGAGAATAGATCTCAGAGTCTCAATCGATATGCGAGGCGAACTTCAGAAGTTTCCGCTGCCGCGACTTCTTCGAGTGTGGTCCAGCATCCCCTACCTCCGCCGGTCAGAAAAAGGCATGAGAACACTCTGGGAGAGATTCCTCCGACGCCTTCGGATTGGAACCCTGACTCGGACAACATTCCTGGCTTTATTGAACTGCGTGTGAATACTGTACAATCCGCAGAAGGCCATAGCACTGAGAGTAACAGTGGACGTGCAGCAGACAGAGAAACTATCACGGATAGTATACGTGAGCGAAGGTCAAGAAGTCGAGCTAAGAGGGAGGGTCAAGATATCCTCCAGGAAGATCAACTGAGCCACAATGTCTCGAGTAACATCACGCCGAATTTTGCAAGACCTGTTAATCTCACTCTGGCTACTACTGAGAATTTCTTGCAAGCAAGACGTACCGCGGCTGTTGAGTCATCCTCATCTCAGTCTAGCCCCGCTCAACCTTCATCGCCCGAGTATACACGCCGCTCGGGACATGGACGTAAAGATCTGACGATATTGACGCCTCCCTATACGCCCTCTATCGCTGCACCGCATAAGGGAATTCTGCATCATATTACTACTCCCAGCGAGCAGAGCTCCAACCAATCAACCCACACGGGCGATACACAGCCCACAACCAACGAGTCTCGTAGCGGGTTTGTAAGCGATACAACCCCCTCAAAGTCAATCGATCTTTCAAAATTTGCCCAATCCAGTCTGGAACGATATCAAGTATTTATGGGTCAGGAAGTTGCTGCCCAGAATGATCGAGAGCGATTGGAGCTCTTCGCAAGTTTCATGGTTCAAGAGTCAAGATTACGAAGAGGACTTTACTCGGAAGCCTTCAACACTATGGCTGGAGACATCATGGAGTTGACGCGTGATATGTGGCGGCCGTTGCCTGTCACAGCTGAGCATGATACTACTAGATTCATGAGTCGAAACGCGAGTCCAGAAAGTGCAAATATCATGATCGAAATGGATGGCAGCTTCAACACATCTATGGCTTCTACTGCGGAACTCACGCCAGCTACTGATACAGAGTCGCTGGCCGACGAGAGCCAGGATGGTGAGGACAAAAAACCTCCTAATCCATGGGGCGACAAATTTAAGCCGTGCCTTTCGCCAATTCCTAGCATGGCTGTCAGTACTGTGCCGGATGAAGAAAGCTCTAGAGGGAGATCGGCCAGCCGATGGTGGGAAGATAGCGTGGATGGCTCGTTTGGTAACGGAGGTAGAAGACTCGAGCGAACCAAGCGAGAGACAAAGTACATGAGTCTGCATCCTCAGGAGTTGATTATTGCTGCACAGCCTTCACCCAATCAGAGCACACCGACACCTGGTACCAGCAAGCAGACCTTCCAGTATGGACCTGACGAATACCCTCAAGAGAAGTTTGGGTGGCATGAAGAGGATGATTTGTACACTCCTTCGAATCCGCCCTCGGCAACTGTACTCTCGCCTCGCAACAAAGCACCTGTTGGTCGTCCAACAGGCAGATCAGCTCTGGATGTTACAAGACTTATCACACTCCCTCCACCATATCCGCGCCACTATCCGGCTGTCAATAACAGCCATCCTGCATTGAGCACACTCAGGGCGAACCATCGTGCCGTAGCAGACCTCTCGAGCATTCGCGAACTTATCCAAGCTCACGAAGCCATCGAAATCAGCCGCCGCCAGTCATGGCGAACGTCAGCCGGAGAACGACTTCGTCACTTCCGCTCGCAGACACAAGCGTCCATCAATTCAGGAAAGATATCGTACAATGATGTCAGTCAACTTGAGCTCACTTTTCGTCAGGCCGAGGCCGCGAATGCACTGCGTCAGGCCGAAACACAGTGTCAAGACTTCCGGCAGCGAGTTCATGCGCCCGTGTGTCAAATGCTTATAGAGCATGCACGAAGTTGTGACGACTATATCGATCAACTCACAAAGGCACTCGACGCAGAGGCTGAATGCGACCAAAACTTGCTAGCTCAGACTGAGGGAGATGAGAGGCCTGAGCTTGTTGAGCAGCTCACGCTTCTGAAGTGGTTGTTTGAGAGCAGGGAGCATGTTCACAAGGAACGATTCGATGTTGACACTGCCCTCCTCGCGAGAGAATCTGCGTCTGTCTTGACAAACTATCGGCAGAACGCGAGCGAAGTACAATTGCGCCAGGCCGAAGGCTACTTCGAAGGTGACCGCCAGAGACGACAACTTCGTAATGCACAAGAAACGAATGAAAGATACGACCACTTACGCAAGACCGTGGAGAGACACATCTCGAGAGGAGTTGAAATCCAGCTGTCTGCGTTTTGGGACATCGCACCAGGTCTGGTCGAAGTTGTGCACAAAGTGCCCGACAACCTGGACGGATTTGAGATTGTAGTGCCTCCTAACGAGCTCGCGGAGAACATGTCCTATCACGAGTTCCCTCTGCAATACGTGTATACCATTCTGGTACATGCCAAGAAATCAGCATATCAGTTCATCGAGGCGCAGACAAACTTGCTTTGTCTCTTGCACGAGATACATAATGCGACCGAAGCGGCTGCTCTACGATTGCAAGAGATTGAGCGCACTGCAGCAGGTGAAAGTGCGAGTCAGGTACAGGCAGAAATGGCGCATTTCAAGAAGCAGAAGGAACAGGAATTGACTGGAGACTTGCAAGGCAAGGTGCACGAGGTGGAAGGTCAGTGGAGAGAGGCTTTGGGAGCATCGATTGAAGATTGTATTGGAAGAGTCAGAACATGGCTGGAACACAGTGGCGGCTGGGAGGAGAGTCTGGAAATCTAAAGTAGCAAATAACAAGTTCAGATAGTGAGTCAGGTAAGCGAGGGTCTATCAACTGAGCAAGCATGATTGGACATGTGACGATTGTTGATGTGTAGCGCTTGTTTGAATAGCCGGGGCGACAAACATGGATGGCAGGAAGCGAGTGAATATGAATGGAAGGAAGCAGACGAACAATGCCGGATGCGGACACAGAGTTTGATTTGGAAGTGACGATAGAAGAAAGAAGTGATGATGGACGCACAAAGAGGGGCTCACATGACAGAAGCGGGTCTTGCCGAGCAGACAACGATTTGGCAGAGAAGCAAAAATCATCCTTTGAAGAACTCTTTCACCCGCAACCATCACCACCCAAACCCCTCCGTGCTCTCGCACTTCCTTTCATAAAGACTCGTCCACTGGTACCAAAAAAATTTGAAAATCCCAAAAAAGCCCATATCGCGCCTTCCCAGCGTCTAGTTGCGAAGGTTCATCCATCCCACACGAGTCTATCGAAAGGAATACTTTTTTTCGTCTCTTCAAAAGAAAAAGGTGCGCATACACTGCCTCTGCCTTTGCGCAATATCGCCCAAGCCCGCTTCGCCTCTACGCCTGCATCCACACGTTTCCGGTCGCTGCGAAAGTTGTTCGACGTAGAGAGCCCTCAGTCGCATATCCAGAACGGCAGCTGCAAACAAGCGTCTTCCACTTCTAGATACACTCCTGCGACTTCCCTACCAGCTCTCTTCTCTCACTGCTTTCTTGCGCCTCGTGCTGGACGACAACACCCCGCGACGCAGATTTTCGACAGAACCAATCCATTGTGTGGAGACAAGCACTGACGTATCGCTGTACAGAAAATCGCAAAAGTCGAACAACATGTCTGACGTCCAAGCTACTTCTCCCTCCGGCGCTGCCGCTCAGCCCGCCTCTCCCTCTGCCGATGTCAACGGTGCCAACGCCCCTGCTGATGTCGCCGCTCCTCCTCAGCACCAGAACCAGGCCTCAAACTCCGCTTCCCTCTACGTTGGTGAGCTCGACCCCTCCGTCACCGAGGCCATGCTCTTCGAGCTCTTCTCCTCCATCGGTCAGGTCGCTTCCATCCGTGTCTGCCGTGATGCCGTCACTCGCCGCTCGCTCGGTTACGCCTACGTCAACTACAACAGCAGCGACGATGGTGAGCGCGCTCTCGAGGAGCTGAACTACACCCTCATCAAGGGCAAGCCCTGCCGTATCATGTGGTCTCAGCGTGACCCCGCCCTCCGCAAGACTGGTCAGGGCAACGTCTTCATCAAGAACCTCGATGTCGCCATTGACAACAAGGCTCTTCACGACACTTTCGCTGCTTTCGGCAACATTCTTTCCTGCAAGGTCGCCCAGGACGAGCACGGCAACTCCAAGGGCTACGGTTTCGTCCACTACGAGACTGCTGAGGCTGCCAACGCTGCTATCAAGAGCGTCAACGGCATGCTTTTGAACGAGAAGAAGGTCTTTGTCGGTCACCACATCCCCAAGAAGGACCGTATGAGCAAGTTCGAGGAAATGAAGGCCAACTTCACCAACGTCTATGTCAAGAACATCGACACCGGCGTCACCGACGACGAGTTCCGCGTTCTTTTCGAGAAGTACGGCGATATCACCTCCGCTTCGCTCGCTCACGACAACGAGGGCAAGAGCCGCGGTTTCGGTTTCGTCAACTTCTCCAGACACGAGGACGCCTCCAAGGCCGTTGACGAGCTCCACGAGTCTGACTTCCACGGACAGAAGCTGTATGTCGGCCGCGCCCAGAAGAAGCACGAGCGCGAGGAGGAGCTCCGCCGCCAGTACGAGGCCGCTCGCCAGGAGAAGGTCAACAAGTACCAGGGCGTCAACCTCTACGTCAAGAACCTTGCTGACGACATCGATGACGAGGAGCTCCGCAAGATCTTCGAGCCCTTCGGTTCCATCACCTCCGCCAAGGTTATGCGTGACACCCAGCCCGCTAAGGACGAGACCAAGGAGGGTGAGGAGACCAAGGAGGAGTCAACCGAGGAGAAGAAGGAGGAGGAGTCCGCTGAGGCCGAGAAGAAGGAGGAGGAGGGTGTTGACTCCGTCACCAAGGACCTCGAGAAGGTTAAGATTGGCGGCGAGCTCAAGATCCTCGGTAAGAGCAAGGGTTTCGGTTTCGTCTGCTTCAGCAACCCCGACGAGGCCACCAAGGCTGTCACCGAGCTCAACCAGAAGATGGTGCATAACAAGCCCCTCTACGTTGCTCTTGCCCAGCGCAAGGATGTCCGCAAGAGCCAGCTCGAGGCCAGCATCCAGGCCCGCAACCAGGTCCGCATGCAGCAGCAGGCCGCCGCCGCTGGTGGTATCCCCGCTCAGTTCATGCAGCCTCAGATGTTCTTCGGCCCCAACGGCCAGCCCATCATGCCCGCCCGTGGCCAGATGCCCTTCATGCAGGGTATGCCCCAGGGCCAGCGTGGTGCCTTCCCTCAGCAGGGTGGTCGCGGCGGTCCCAACGGCCAGCCCCCTATGGGCTACCCCGTTCCTCCCATGCAGGGCTTCCCTCCCGGTGCTTACGGCAACCCTGCCTTTGCTAACCAGATGATGATGGGCGGTCGTGGTGCCGGCCGTGGTGGTCCCATGCCTATGATGCCCGGCATGCCCCCTAACATGATGGGCCCCAACATGGGTGGTCGCGGTCAGCAGTTCGGCCGTGGCGGTCCTCGCCAGATGGGTGGCTTCCCTCAGCAGCGCCCTCAGGCTCCTTCCGCCTCCCCTGCTCTTGACGTCAACGCCCTCAACGCTGCTCCCCCTGCTCAGCAGAAGCAGATGCTCGGTGAGGCTCTCTACCCCAAGATCCACGAGCAGCAGCCCGAGCTTGCCGGCAAGATCACCGGTATGCTCCTCGAGATGGACAACGCTGAACTCCTTGACCTGACCACCGACGACGCCGCTCTCCGCAACAAGGTTGACGAGGCCATGCGTGTCTACAACGACTACCTCAAGTCCCAGGGTGGTGAGGAGGGTGCTCCTGCTGCCAACGGCTCCGAGAACGTTGCTCCTGCTGCCGAGGCCGCCACCGAGGAGAAGGCTTAAGCGACTTAACTCGCCTTACACGATTCCGCCTTTCTTTTCCAAAAAGTTTTCATGACACGCGCTGCATACGATTTGGGCGCTCGGCGTCTTGATTCTTCAGCTTCTTTCACCCGGATACCCCACCTTAATGAAACGACTTTTTACTCTTTGTGACCATCTCTATTCTCTTTCCTATCCATCACTGTGCACCAGATTCTTTACTCGCTCCGCCGTTGCTACCAGGCTATCTCAATTCGGGCCTTGTGCGATACGGCTCTTCTCCAAGCCCGTTCGTGATAGGTCATGGCCTCAGGGCTTCAGTCGAGGATATCGAACCCGCGAGCTTCTAGAGGACAACAGTATTGAATTAGAGAGAGCGGCAACGCAGACCGCACGCAACTCTTTTTGTTTCGCAGATCATATTCCAGTGTGGACATGAATGGATGGATTGTCTTTTTGAGGGGCTGTATCTTTTTTTTCTCTTCTTCCTTTTTTTTTTCTCTCCTGGCGATCGGCGAAAGAGGAGGTTGCAAACGAAGGGCAGGGTTTGTTGCAGACGGATGGCGCATATGGATATTTTTTATAGCCGCCAATTCACATTGTGTCTTATTTCAACTTTTGTTTTTGAGCTTGTCCTGTGCAGTGATCTAGCCTCAACATGTTTAACACATGTAAGAGCTTAGTGGCTATGGTCATCTTGTGGTAGGATATGCAGGCCATGATTGCCTGTTGTGCATGCAGTGAATCAAGATATCTTTCTGTTGTAGATGCGCAAAAAGTGCTGGAAGAGCATAACTCAGCAACTACAGCCTTGATCAAGCAAAAATAACCACAGAACATGAGACACAATATAGTCATTCCCTCAGATAACTCAGAGCCACGGGATCGATCCTTGTAAGGCAGCAATGTCGTCGTTCCTGATTGTAGACCTTGCTATAAGTACGACCCTGACCCGGAGCATGACCCCACACACTTCGCGACCATATCCTTAAAATGATGATTGTGAATGAAACCTCGATTGAGGTGTGTGTGCCTTTTTTTAATAGTTGAATAGTTTGTTCATATCTGTGTATATGCCCGTGAGTTGTGGTACAAGCAAAGAAAAGCCCATCAGTGTAATAAAGTTTATATTTCTGCAAGTTGTCATGCTGTCCACACCGCAAATGACGAAGTCGACTACGCCTTTTGGCAGAACAGCGGGGCATAATATGTGGGGATGGCATTAGGTGGTTCAACCATGTGGCCAACCCTCAACTGCACTTGAAAGACACCACTTGCCTCTATAACTATCACAAATCATAAACATGTCCGTCAACAAGCAGCGTTGGTGGAAAGAGGCAATCGTGTACCAGGTACGTTTTTTCTTTTTGACAGAATTGGATGGTCAATTGGATGAAGGCGAATACTGATGTCTGAACAGGTGTACCCTGCTTCGTTCCTAGACTCTGGAGCGGGCAATAAGCCTGGCTGGGGCGATATTCCTGGTATCACGTCAAAACTGGACTATCTGAAGCATCTTGGTGTTGATGTGCTATGGCTTTCGCCGAGTAAGTGGTTTTGTTTGCTTAGGATATGAGTGTATATGCTGATTGTTTCCTGTAGTTTACAAGAGCCCCCAGGCTGATATGGGCTATGATATCGCCGACTACAAAGACATTGATCCAGTGTATGGCAGTCTTGAGGATGTTGACAACCTGATCAGCGAGCTCAAGAAGAGAGACATGAAGTTGATGATGGATTTGGTTGTCAACCACACCTCAGATCAGCACGCCTGGTTCCTCGACTCTCGCTCTTCGAAGCAGTCCAGCAAGCGTGACTGGTATATCTGGAAGCCTGCCAAGTATGACAAAGATGGCAATCGCCAACCTCCCAACAACTGGTCTAGAATTTTGGGAGAGGAGAACAGTGCTTGGACGTATGACGAGAAGACTGACGAGTACTTTTTGTCTCTCTTCACTGCTGAGCAGCCTGACTTGAACTGGGAGAACCCAGACGTTCGTGAGGCAGTTCACGATGTGCTGCGTTTCTGGTTGGACCGCGGATGCTCGGGCTTCCGTATGGATGTCATCAACCATATCTCCAAGGTCCAGACCTTCCCAGATGCAGATGTTATCGCTCCTGATCACAAGTATCAGCCAGGCTTCAAGTACTACTGTAATGGACCTCGTTTGCACGAATGGCTCAAGAACATGAGAGCAGAGGTTCTCGACAAGTACGACACCATCACAGTTGGCGAAATGCCGTTTGTCAGGGACGAAGATGAAATCCTCAAGATTGTACGCGAGGATGAGAAGGAGCTGAACATGATCTTCATCTTTGAGCAGGTCGATATTGACAACGAACCTGGCAAGTACAGAATGACGCTGCGTGACTGGGATGCCGACGAAATCCGCAAGATCTTCAGTCACTGGCAGCGTTTGATGATTGACAAGGACGGATGGAACAGCTTGTTCGTTGAGAACCATGACAACCCTCGCTCTGTGTCAAGATACTGCAACGACAGCGACGAGTTCCGCGAGTTGAGCGCGAAACTGCTTTGTCTGATGATGACCACACTTGCTGGTACATTGTACGTCTACCAGGGTCAAGAGCTTGGTATGCGTAACGTGCCAATTGAGTGGTCGCCTGACGAGTACAAGGATGTTGAGTCCATCAACTATTGGAACAAGATGAACAACATGTACCCTGGCAACAAGGAAAAGCTGGACTTTGCTCACCACCTGTTGCAGAGAAAGGCTCGCGATCACGCACGCACTCCGGTCCAGTGGTCTGCAGAGCCCAATGCTGGATTCTGCAAGGCAGACGTTACTCCTTGGATGCGCGTCAACGACGACTACAAGGAGGTCAATGCAGAAGCTCAGCGCAAGCAGAATGATTCCGACAAGCTTTCTGTGCTTCAATTCTGGAAGAGAGGTCTTGCCAACAGGAAAGAACACAAGGACGTTTTCGTCTATGGCGACTTCCAGGTGCTCGATGAGAATGACAAGAAGGTGTTTGCATACAAGCGTGCGAGCGAGAAGGAGGCATTCGTTCTTGCCTTGAACTTCTCCAAGGACGAAGTCAAGTGGCAGATTCCTGAGGCTGCCAAGGTTAAGAAATGGGTTGCTGGCAACTATACAGCAGGCCAGCCTGATAAGCCGACGAGCGGCACGATTACACTCAGACCATTCGAGGGTGTTCTGGGAACCTCAGAAGTTTAGAATATCTGACAGTCAATATATATAGAGATGGCATAGAATTATTAAATTGTTCGACGAGGACAAAAAGAAAAAAAACAGTTCCGACGCTCAAAATTGCCAAGACAAGATGAAGTTGGTCCGGGCGGAGAGTCATCGGTTCCGGCTCGAACCTCGCTGCGAGCGACGAGGGTCAGCAACAACTCTTGCATTGAGCAACAAACAAGCACACACATCTCTCGTCGCCATGCCCCTGCTACGACCAACTGCCTTCACGAGCCGCGCCGTCCAGTCGGCCCTCGCCTCGACTCCTCGTACCATCGTCGCGCGCCGAGCTCTTTCCACCACACAACAACTGCGCGGCGGCGCCTCACACGACGACCACTTCGACCCTCCGGGCGGTATCCTCTTCGGCGTCAAGCCCGGTGAGAAGTACCAGGATGAGGGCTGGGAGAAGATTTTCTACTGGGGCTTCTTTGGCAGTCTGGCCTTTGGCGTTATCGGCTACGCATACAAGCCCGACACCAGGTTTGTTCTTTCGAGTTCATTTTGCCCGGGATACAGCAGTGATGCTGACAGTAATTCACCAGCATTCAAACATGGGCTCTTGAGGAGGCCAGAAGAAGACTCGAGGCCGAGGGTATCCTCGCCGACCCCGAAGACGAGTAGACGCACATACCCCTTCAGCATACGCAATCCGAATTCCTTTACCAATGCTTCCTCCTCAGACCGAATACAGCTGTGATATATGATCGAAACACAGCAACTTCTCGGGAATATCTCTTCACATGGTGGGCCGCTTCTCTCGAACGACGCAGCCGGTCTGTACATAAAACCATACCAGGGGAATTGGCTGCACGATAGACACTTCTTGATTCCTTTTCTGCTCGCATATCGGTCCTTACTAAACCTCTACCACCAAGATATCCAAACGAGGACGTATTCTGCCTTTTTTTCACTTTCATCTAAAGACTCGTGCCTGGTTTTGAACTACATGTAAATGTCTCGATAAGCCTCTGTTGCATGACGTGTGTTACGAAATCATGCTGCGTTGATGCGGCTGCTCGATATGACTCTAGAAGAGGGTCGCCATATGTGTGTTTGTTAATACTATATTTTGCAATTCCGCCTCTCTCAGTTCAGCCGTGGACTACTCGAGTATGTGTCTTTTGTTCGGCAACCACTTTAGCGGGATCCATGCTAGAAAGAGTTTACCAGGAAAGACATTGCCATGAAGGAGAAGGAGCTTTTCAAGGGAGTCTGTATGGACTTCTTGCCATCTGTTTCAGTATGGATGGGAGAAGCACCAGTCTCAACGGAATTCAGTTGAACAGATAATTGTACTCAGAGAAAGAAAATCACGAATTGAACTTCGTCCACTTGTGTCCAATCATTGCCTGATGCCTCAAATGAATGCGAATCTCATCCTGCATGTACTCTTGAGAAGTACTGCGGGAAGTTATCCATCGCTGCCAAAAAAGAGATGCCGGGCAGCCTCGCGCCAGCCTTGTCCAGATTAATCGCCGTCCGGGGACCATGTAAAGCCCGACGAAAACTATCGCCCTTCAACATGTCGCCTACGCACCGTTTACGGCCGCTTGTACATTCTGCGACTGTGCGACATCGATCCAAAAACACTCAAACAGACACGAGCCTCCAGAAGATCAAGCCTTGCCAAACATGGCTGGATCTGACGACACCTTGACAGCTCGGCCTTCTCCTTTGGCCTGCGACGCCTGCAGACAAAAGCATCTGAAATGCGATGCTGCAAAACCCGTTTGCACGCGCTGTGTCACTGCGGGTATGCCCTGCAACTACACACCATCAAGGCGTGGATATCGCGGAACCAAGCGGATCCGTGACTGCAATGACAGCCAGCCACCCACTGTCGAATATGTTCCAATGTATTACCATCAGGGCACGAGCGCAACCACGTTACCCAGCCAAGAATCTGTTTGGACCTCGCCTACGGTCCCCAGTTTGGCGGGCTCGAGCGTTCATGATGGCTCGAGTGGTGGGTTCACCAATACGTACGGTATGACACCTGCGCTATCGCCAGATCAACAGCACCTAGTTTCATCTTATCAACACTCTCCAGTCAGTGAGAGTATAGACGATGATGAATTGGTCAATCTCTTCTATTCCAACTTCTTTTCTGCCCATCCAATTCTGGTTCCAGCATACTTCTACCATGTTCAGCCATATCCCGAGTACTTGAGACAAGTGGTTCGATTCATTGGCAGCCACTACTCGTCATCAGTATCGAGTGATATCCTTCGGACGAGTATTGATCTCACTGCACCTGGAGGCGTGATCGACAAATCCCCGTCCATGGTACAAGCACGGCTGTTATTTGCAATTGCTCTGCATGCGCGTGGTGAAGCTATGGAAGCTGCATGTATGATGCAGTCAGCCGTGGAGCTAGCCATCGAGCTCAAGATGAACCTGAGAAACTTCGCAGCAGTGAATGGCGGCGGCAGTCCTATCCTAGAGGAGAGCCTTAGAAGAACGTGGTGGGAGCTCTACGTGATGGATGGCTATATGGCTGCTCTTCATAAACAGCCTTCTTTCAGGAGCAATACGGTCCCTTCAGATGTTTTGCTGCCCTGTGAAGAAGCAGTGTATGCAAGTGCAGGTTGCTTGCCACCGCCGCATTCCCTCGAGCAATTCGATATGCGACTCTTTGCAGACGAGGACTTACAGTTCTCATCGTTCGCATACCGCATTGAAGCTGCTCGAATACTGGCCAGAGTATTGTCAGTCTCAGGGACTCACAACGAAGACCAGGTCCAAGTGGTCGACAATGCATTGGCTGGATGGATGCACAATCTACCACAGTCTAAAACAGATGTGGTCAACGTCTACAATATGGTGGATGAGATGCTTTTCCAGGGACACATGATCATCCACTGCGCTACGATCTATCTTCATCTCCCTCGCAGTGATCTGCTTAACACACTTCCGGTCACGGCCAATATTGTATGCGCGGAAAGGGGTAGACACATGACTCCTGCATCTACACAACACTCACACTCCGTCAAGGCAACCAATGCATCTAAGGAGCTCTCAAACTTGGCTGCTGTCCGCGTTCCAGTTCAGAAGCATACTCCATTCTTCGTATGTGGGCTTGTTCTTGGCGCGATCGTTCAATTGTCCGCCTGCAGTGCCAATGCAGGCACTGAGCAGCATCGCGACCGAGTCACCCTCATCATTGGACTACTCAAGTCGCTGAGCCGAAATTGGGCCATCTCCGGCCATGTGCTCCAGCAAGTCAAGAAGGTGGCTTCAGAAGTGCTGCGTACAAGCACTCTCGCATCACCAGACGTCAGCCAACACAAGAACGGAACAGAGTACGACAGTGGTATCAGCATGAAAAACAGCTCCGAAAACACCTCATGGCTAGCCATGCTGAACATGGTTGAGAATCAAGAATTCCACGGTCTCATGCACGTCGAGCCGATCTACCCTGGCTCGGTCTAGCTTTATGCATAATTTCATGCACAACCCCTTTTATGCATTCAATGTGCCAGGTACCAGGGAATATCTTCCTAACCAAAGGAAGGTTTAGGCGATCCATATCCTTTTGCTGCAGCCAACGACACTAAGAAGTATTGGACGGCGACCTAATTCTCCCTACACCAAATGGGTAGAGGGCACTGCAACCAAGAACCGTTTGGCTATAAGCATGCAATGCACATACCCCTTGACAGGACATTTGGCGGTTTCAAAGGATCCCTGCTTTAAGCCATCGCTTCCCCCCACCTCTCATTTCTGTATCCGACCTCCTTCTCTCTGACAGCTTCCGCCCGTTTCCTGTCATAAGCCATCATGTGCATGCGAGCCGATTGCCCTAAGTGCAGTGAGTCCAGCCCATCTGTGGCTTCTTGAAGCATTGATTGTTAACACTGTCTGTGCAGAGAAAGTGTCATGGTGGGGATGCGGAAAGCATATACCTTCTGTCATGGACAAGGTCCCTAGAGAGCAACGGTGCACATGCGGACCTGCCCTGGAAGTCGACGGGAAGATGTATCCTCCCAAACCTCCAGGCTTGTTCACCGATTGCTCCGTCTCATGATCACCATATTGTCCCTACCACGACTATACGGACTACGATTGCCTTTCCTTGACTATATTTCTTCTGCACTCCTTTGTCAGAGATACTTATACTCCCTCTCAATACTGGGCTGGATATCGACTTGTGTTCTGCGACTAATATACCAATGTCAATTCTTTTTTTCGTCTATACCAAGCAAGCGAGAATTGGATTGTCGGATAAGGAAATTGGGTATCACTGTATAAAACCGGAAACCGCGCCAAAATTGCAAAGAACCACAACTCTCCTGGATTTCCATCTCATCTCAAGGTGGCAGTCAAGACACCAGCAGCGAACATGCTACCGACCGAGACCAGGCTGGCCCACGAGAACGTTGCAAGACCGCTTATGCCATGTCCCGATGTGCAACCGCCTGCCAATCTCGAACCGAAAGCCATGACCACGCCGCCGATTACTGCAGTGGATCGCGATACCAGATGCGACGATGCTTGTGCGGAAGCAGCAGGCAGCAAGAAGCGGGCAAGTAAGGCGCTTGCAGAAACAATGCCAGAGTCGAACAAGACAGATGCAGTGATGGGACCCTTCGATGGATCGCCAGAAATCACGTTGCGCAGCCAGCGACCAACATCTTCGAACCCACCAGAAGTACCGACAGTGTGGCGAGTCAGAGCGACGGCACAAGCTTGTGCGGCGCCGATGAGAAGACCTCCGAAAACAGGTGACACAACACCTTGTGTTCCTGTGGCAGGGCCCTTGAGATCGGAAAGGAGCTGCAGCATGCCGAAGCACATAATCTCCCACATGGCAAGAACGACCCATGGACTTACGCCGAAGCTCTTCGGGATAGTCAGCTCCGACTTTACCTTGCTGCTTCCTCTGCTTTCACGAAGTCTTGCGATGCTGGGTTGAGCAGAGACGAAAAGCAGTCCGCCGAGGATGCCACCACCAAGAACGTACATGCCGCTGGGAAGGCCCGCGCCCGCTTGAACGAAAACGGTACCAGGACAAGCACCGGTCAACGCCATGCCTACTCCGATCATACTGCCGCCAATGATGTTGCCGTCGTAAGGGAAGAAGCCAATAGATTGGGGAGTGCGAGGTTTCATTGCTGCGAGTTTCGTAGAGTCGGCTAGGTGGACGACTAGGCTATTGCTGATGTCAGTGTACGACCTTGAAGAAATCGTAGTTCAACACGTTCGAAGTCCCGATATAATCTCGAGTATCAAAACTTTTCCACCACAACAAACCAGATGTGATTCTTTAGATTGAAAGCATAGGAAAGAGTCAACTTACGCGCTTGTAGCACTTGCACCGAGCATTGCTCTGACCATGGTATAGTCGTCCAGCCTCATCTGCGCGATGATTGTGCTAGGCGCAAAGACTCCAGCCGCGAAGAGCGCAGCACCAAACAGCGTGCCGGCCGCATACTCTGAAACCAGTGATGGCATTGTTTTGTTGTTCCGAAAAGTTGAAGGTGGGGTATTTTAGGGGTGTGGATCAAGAAAGATTCCACGTGCGTGTAGTTGAACAAAGAGAGAGGGAATGCTGATGTCGAGAAGGTGATGTTGAAAGACGTGATGAGAAGAGGCGATTGCGATATTTATCCTTCGTTCTCCGTATGCAATTTTCTGGTTCGACAACGGTTTTGGCGGGGACAGAGTTTAAGATGAAGGCCGAGGAGTGAATACACGAGTCAAGTTGATACTGGTCGGCGACGTTCACTAGAGTGAGAATTTCATATTCCTTGGTGAATATAACGATACGAGAGAGAGCGAGGTTTTCACATGCATATAGGGAAAAACTAGTTGTGGACTATCTAATTTGCCTTGGACTTGGTGTACTCTACACTGCAGCAGACTATTTGATTATGCGAGAGACCAACAGAACCTAGTTCTCTTTCCATGCGGTATACTGCATGTAAGAGATGACCTGTTGCATGATAGTGTCACAGTGTGGTTGTTGGTCATGTTGGATGCCTTGCCGATTGTTTCGTCCCTTGCAAAGTAAAGACTGCTAGCAAGTACGGAGATAAAACGGCCGAGGCTCAATAACACGTCGGGCTCTGCGGCACAACGTTGCCAAGCCCGATCGACGACAAGGTTCCCGACTAGCTTCGCAAACTCACCGAGGGTCAAGAGCGCGACCACTTTGACATCACTTCGTGTTTGTGAAGCCCGAGATTGATTATGATGAGTGCGATCAGGATAAGTATATGATAGGACGAGGAAGTCCATGCTTGTACAATGCGATGGCTGCTCCTGACTCGAGTGCGCTGAGATGCCAAGATGATTCTGTATGGGCGATCTCGTGTGAAACCGGCATACCAAGCCTCTTTCATCAGCAGGCAGCTGGTCTTACACTATATTGTTCCATCGATATAGCATCGAGCTGCTTCTTCATGCTATCACCAGAAGAGTGCGCCTCAAGAGTAGCTTCTGCCATCTCAGCCTAGACCCAAGAAGTGAAGCCAATTCAAGAGCAGAGACGAACACGCTTCCAGATGGAAAGAACGACTTGCACTTCCGCAGTGAATACAACCAACCACGTGCATCGCCAAGCAGGGAGATAGGACTTTAACAATGGCCAAAACCTGCTTGCAGGTCTCCCTCTCACTCGGTGCAACCTCTAATGCCGGTTATCCCCGAGAAGGATCGCAACTTCCCAACCTCCTTGCTGTTAAATAAACACTTGGTGACTCTATCGCGCATCCTGTCCCATCGTTCTTCGGACTTTTGAATTCGCGATGGCTACCCCTTCTCCTTCGTTGGCCCAGGCCGTGACCAAAAAGAACCCTGAGGGTATCGACCTTTATGCTCGCTTTGCGCTTGCTGGCGCCCTGGGTTGCTCCATCACACATGGAGGTTTCACTCCTGTCGATGTGTAAGCGCAATGTTGATGTCCATCATGTTTTCGTAACTCATCCATCGCAGCGTCAAGACTAAGATCCAGCTTGATCCCGTAACCTACAACCGCGGCACCATCGCTACCTTCCGTCAAGTCGTCGCCAATGAGGGTGCCGGTGCTCTCTTGACTGGTGTCGGCCCCACCTTTGCTGGTTACTTCGTCCAGGGTGCCTTCAAGTTCGGAGGTTACGAGTTCTTCAAGAAGCAGTCGATCGACTACCTTGGTCTTGAGACTGCAAGAGCCAACCGTGGTATGGTCTACGCCGTCTCTGCTGCCAGTGCCGAGTTCTTTGCTTCCGTTGCTTTATGTCCTCTCGAAGCTACCCGCATTCGTCTCGTCTCTACTCCCGGATTTGCCAATGGTTTGGTTGGTGGTTTCAGCAGAATTCTGAGAACTGAGGGTCCTGGTGCCTTCTACTCAGGTTTCGGCCCCATCCTGTTCAAGCAGTAAGAAACGCTTCCAATTATTACCTACATCCGCGTGTAAGACAAGCTGACAAAACAACAGAATCCCTTACACCGTCACCAAGTTCCTCGCCTTTGAAAAGTTCTCCGAAGCAATCTTCCACTCGTTGGGCGACAAGTCATCTCTGAGCCCCGGCACGGTCACAAGCGTCAACCTCGGTGCTGGTCTCCTCGCTGGTTTCGCCGCTGCCATCGTCTCTCAACCCGCTGATACCATGCTCTCCAAGATCAACAAGACCAAGGGTCTGCCTGGTGAGAGTACTGCCTCGCGCCTGGTCAAGATTGCCGGCGAGTTGGGTCTTCGTGGTTCCTTTGCTGGTTTGCCTACCAGATTGGTCATGGTCGGTGGTTTGACTGCCGGTCAGTTCGCCATCTACGGTGATATCAAGAAGGCTCTTGGTAAGTTTTGATTATGCGTTGTGCTTGCTGTTGTATTATCAGAGCTGACAGTGTGTCTGAAATAGGTGCCACCAACGGTGTCGAAATTGCAAAGTAGAATGCTAGTTCTAGCACTGAGGAAGCGCTGATACCAGATTCCAGAGGAAAGGCTCAAGTAATGACATGCATAGAAGTCGATTAAGCGTGCTTGCAGAAATACAACCCAGTTCTGATGTTTCGCCTTTACGATGTTTTTGAGCTACGAGTCAAAATGTCCTTTTGTCTCGAAATCTACTGGCTGGCATCATTGACACACTTTTGTCATGGTCGAGCCTCTAAGATGTTTTACTGGGTTTCCATGGCTGGGGAACTAACCGTATCTTCGAGCTCACTCCGTCATACCTGCTGTTATTGGTAATAAGACAGCATATTGAGAATAAAAGAGCGTAGCAGATACACTGTAAAGTTGCAAGTCAGACGACTTGTAGGGCATGCATGATTAATTTTTGTTTTTTCAACTAGACCTAGGCTCAACCAATATTACATCAATAACCTCTCGAGATTGTTGATTCAAACCGTCGACGTGAACTAAATGAATGTTCGTTTAGTAGCGAGGAGGCGGGGGAGGGGCTCCATAGCCTTGCTGCTGGCCATAGCCGCCTTGCTGAGGAGGGTAGCCACCCTGTTGCTGAGGTGGAGCTCCGTATCCACCCTGCTGCTGAGGAGGGTAGCCCTGCTGTTGACCGTAACCGCCTTGTTGCTGGCCATAGCCTTGAGGAGCGCCTGGAGGAGGAGGGTATTGTCCTTGACCACCGTAGCCACCTTGCTGAGGAGGAGGAGCGCCGTATCCAGGAGGTCCACCCTGAGGGCGGTTCGACTTTTCGTCCTTGGTGTCGTACGAGGGGTCGATTGCGCCGAGAATCAGCTTGAGAATCTAGGGCGGACAAATTAGTCACAACTTTCGTCTTCCTCGAACTTTTCATGCTTACCCAAAGATCGGGAGTGAGATCGACAGGGGGGTTAGCGCGTGCCATCTCGGCCGACTCGTTCTCGAAGTCTGAACATCATTAGTAAATGCTCGCGAGTATACATGAAACAACACATACTGGAAGTACAGTCGACCATCTGTCCAACGACGGGGTCGTCATCGAGCTTGCCAAGGAACTCGCGAGCCTTCTCGTCGTTTCCAACCTGGGCAAACTGGAAGGCGACAGCTCCACGGCCGTATTGCGAGTTGCTAGCCTCCTGGACGGCATAGCGAACAGTGTCGAAGACGGCAGTAGTAGGCTCTCCTGCGGGCTGGCCATCCGTGATGGTAATAACCAAAATGGGCTTGCGCATCTGTCTGCTACGGATGGCGGGTGTAATAATACCATCAACAACCTTCTTGCGGAGTTCGGTACCCATAGGGGTAAGACCGCTGAACTTGTGGCCAGACACGAGTTGAGAGATCTGTTGCTCAGTCTTAATGTGCTCGACCATGTGCTGGGGAGGGTTGTCGTTCATGAAGCGAACAGAGATGCCATCGTCATCGAAGAGAGTAGCAGCGGTTGCGACACGCTCAAGGATAAGCTGAAGATCCTTGATGCGCTCGCCGTTCTCCTCAAACTTCATTGAGCCACTGTCGTCAATGTAGAGGACAACATCGTACAAGGCCAGCTTGACAATGTCGTTGCCGATCTCCTTGTTGATACGCCACTGCTGACACAGGCGGTCGACTTGCATGGATGCCTTGTTGGCGATCTGGTCGAGCATGGGCGAGTTAGGGGGATAGAAAGCCTGGAGACCCTTTTCCTGGATAGTTTGCTGGAGCGACTGCTTGTATGCCTGGATTTCAGCAGGGCCGGCGGGCTGCGAAGGAGGGGCACCGTAGCCGCCCTGAGGACCTCCGGGCTGCTGTCCGGGGTAGCCACCTTGCTGAGGCTGAGGAGGGTAACCGCCTTGTTGCTGAGGGGGTGCACCATAGCCGCCTTGCTGTTGAGGAGGTGCGCCGTAGCCACCTTGTTGCTGCTGAGGAGGTTGACCCTGAAGATATTCATGTCAGTAAACGGTTCACTGAAGTGTGCGCGAAACAAAGAAAAACACGATGTCGCAAAGATGCCACGAACATATCCAGGAGGCCCGCCACCATATTGCTGTTGCTGTGAGCCGTATGGTGGTTGGTTCTGTCCGTATGGTGGTTGGTTCTGTCCATAGGGAGGCTGAGATTGACCATAGGGTGGTTGCGGAGCCGAGCCGTAAGAAGGCTGGCTCTGACCGTAAGGTGCAGGAGATTGTGGAGGGTAGCCTTGGTTCTGACCGTACTGGCTCTGGCCATACTGCGGCTGCTGCCCTGGAGGCGGTGGAGGAGGCCTGTTATAGCCTTGAGAGGGAGGCTGGCCGTATGGTTGCTGCGACGATTGAGGATATTGCTGAGGCGGGTAGGGGGGCGGCTGAGATTGACCATAGGGAGCAGGGGAAGAATAACCGCCAGTGTTCTGAGGGGGTTGCGACTGGAAGGGCGAGTTGGCAAAAGGTCGTTGCGGTGGAGGCGGGGGAGCGCCGTAGGCCGAGGCGCCCGGGCGGCCAGGATATGGTTGGTAGCCCGACATTGTTCCAGAGTGACAAAGATGCGACAGGTGGATCAGGAGAGGCAAGGAAACAGACGACGACTCACTTGAGGTTGATAAGCTTGGTACTGTGCTTGGCCGGGCTATTTTGCACGTCAACGTCAGCCGACTGATTCGTCATCAAAGCTTGGTGGGGCAGGTCGTATCCAACTCACATAGCCACCTGGCTTGGGTGCTCCCTGTTGTTGCTGCTGCTGGTACGAAGCTGGTGGAGGAGCGCCGCCGTACGCTCCGCCAGGGGGAGCGCCGCCCTGGGATGCTGCGAGCTTGCTTGCCAAACTATACACAAGAATCAGCTATACGTTCATGCTGCCAATGACGTGCCAGGTGTCCGCGGGGTATGCGTCTTGTTCATGGCACCGCTGGGCATTCCACGCACCCCATGTTGTTTTTAGAATATGAAAAGTTGAAGTAGTTCGTAGAGAGTAGAAGGTGTAGACAGCAGAAGATGAAAGAGTGAGCCAAGAGAAGAAAGAGGGAGTGACGAACGTGAGCTGCTTGATTTAATGTCAGGTAACTGCCAAGCCCCATGTGTGGCAGTGACCCTCAGTGACCCTCAGCCACAACAGTCCTTGCTCATCACGAACAATTATTCGTCCACGGTGCGTCTTTGACTTTCACGGCGCTTACTCGCAACTTTGGGAAGGATCGCAAGGATTGATCCTCGTCTCAATTGCGCCTTGTCGTCTCGGCCTTCACAGCTCAGAATTGCCTCGGACCCTATCGTACCGATGGCTGCTGTGTCGAGTGATTGGTAGGCGTGTCCATCTCTTGAGGAGCTTCATTATGTCCAGTGTATCGTCCAGTTTATAGGCTTATAGCTGCTGTCCGCAGTGTGTCCAAAGTGAAGCGGACTTCGTTGCAACTTGCGGATCTCATCACCGCAATACCCGAAGCTTTCGGCTCCAACCCCGCGTCGTGCCGGAAGGCATTGGAGAGCGACCCGAGTATATACTTGTTCAATCGCAACACTTCTACCTGAGGACTGGTTGTTGTGTCTTACTGCCATTTTTGCTCATCAATTGACCAATCGTGAACCCAACCATGCCGCACGCAAATGGTGACAACCACTCTAGTGGCCAGGACCTCGGATCAGAGCTCTGGAGGCACCCGGCGCCAGAGACTACACAAATGTGGAAATTCTTACAGACAGTAAACAAACAGAAAAGTCTGGAATTGAAAAACTACAACGATCTCTACGACTGGAGCATAAACCAGACAGCCGACTTTTGGGACGTTGTCTGGCATTTCACCGGCATCAAGGCTTCAGCCCCTTACGACGAAGTAGGCGGACCTCTGAATCGATTTTGTGGATATGAGCATGCATTGACATAGACCAGGTGCTACAAAAAGATGCTCCAATGTTTCCTAGACCATCCTTCTTCCGCGGAGCCAAGCTGAACTTTGCTGAAAATCTACTTTTCCCACCTCAGGCACCTAGCTCTAACAGTCCAGCCATCATTGCTGCCACAGAGACTGATAGAGAGATTGTGACATGGGCTGAACTACGTGAGAAAGTCCGCCTGTGCCAGTCTGGCATGCTTGCTACCGGCATCAAGCAGGGAGACAGGGTTGCAGGTTATGTTGCAAACCACACGAATGCACTGGTTGCCATGTTGGCTGCCACATCACTTGGAGCCATCTGGACGGCGATCAGTCCTGATACAGGCGTGACTGCAGTCCTGGACCGTCTGAAGCAGATTGAGCCTGTCATCTTATTTGCAGACAATGCCAGCTTGTACAATGGCAAGACCCATCCTACTCTGCCCAAAGTTCAAGAGATCGGCTCTTCTCTGCCTAGTCTGCGAGCACTGGTCATTTTTCCCACGGTCCCATCAGTATCGGCACAGATCGATGTAACCTCCTTAGCAGGAATTGTAGTTTCGTACGACAGCTTTGTCAAGAAGGAGTTGGCGCCGCAAGAGATCGTCTTCACTCAGCTGCCGCCCGATCATCCAGTATACATTCTCTACAGCTCTGGCACGACGGGTGCACCAAAATGCATTGTCCATGGCGCAATCGGAACTTTGATTCAGCACAAAAAGGAACACATCCTACAGTGTGATATTCTACCAGGGGACAGGCTGTTCTACTTCACAACATGTACATGGATGATGTGGCACTGGTTGGTCTCGGGTCTTGCTAGTGGTGCAACATTGGTACTGTACGACGGCTCTCCTTTCAGATATGTTTCCGATGGCAAGTCCGTTGCGGATGACCTGGCCATGGCGAAATTGATCGATGAGCTGAACATCACGCACTTCGGCACCTCAGCAAAGTACCTTTCAGTGTTGGAACAGAAGTCCATCATGCCTAAGGAGCAGGGTGTGTCACTGAAGACACTCAAAGCGATCTATAGCACTGGCTCTCCTCTTGCACCTTCGACTTTCCAATACGTCTATCAAGCGTTTGGCTCCGTAAACCTAGGAAGTATCACAGGCGGCACAGGTAACCATCATCCATACTCCATCATACAACTCAATGCTGATCCACCCTCTTAGACATCATCTCCCTATTCGGCGCTCCTTGCCCCTTAACTCCTGTCTACACCGGCGAAATCCAAGTCCTCGGTCTGGGCATGGCTGTACGCGCCTGGGACTATCAGGGCGCCGACGTGACATCCATAGGCGACGCCGGCGACCTGGTCTGCACAAAGCCCTTCCCCTGCCAACCCGTCCAATTCTGGGGTCCCACCGGCGAATCCAAATACCAAAGCTCTTACTTCGAAACCTTCCCCGGTGTATGGCATCACGGCGATTTCATCCGTTTCAACCCAAAGACTGGAGGACTCTATATGCTTGGACGCAGTGATGGTATTCTCAAACCCTCGGGTGTGAGATTTGGAAGTGCGGAGATTTACAATATCCTGCTTAAACATTTCCCCGAGAAGGTTGAGGATGCGCTGTGCATTGGCCGCCGACGCGAAACTGATGACGATGAGACAGTCGTCTTGTTCCTCAAGATGAAAGAAGGAGAGAAATTCGATGATGAGTTGGTCAAGAGCATTCAAAAAGTCATCCGATTGGAGCTCAGCGCCCGTCACGTTCCTGGTATTGTGGACGAGACACCTGAGATTCCGGTCACGACGAACGGAAAGAAGATTGAAGCTGCGGTCAAGCAAATTCTGTGTGGCATGAATGTCAAGACATCGGCATCGGTGGCCAACGCTGGTTGTCTTGATTGGTACAGGGAGTGGTCAAGCAAACATTAGAAAAATTAAAGAGCTCATGGGTATAATAGACAATAGTGTTCTGAATCGCTTCTGTATTAAAACCGCTATCTGAACCCTAGAAGAAGAAGAGCCATAGAAGCATCTACAACAACCATGTATATCATGTACTTTTGAGGATGCATAGCCAAGACGAACAGCCCCAGCCAACTACACACCGTGTTGCTTGAAGAAGTCCGTGAAAGTAAACATGGAAGCCTTGGGTGTCCTAGCAAAGGTGGTGTAGTTGACGTATTGCAAACCAAATCTCGTGCTCAATCCACTGCTCCACTCGAAGTTGTCAAAAATACCCCAGGCAATGGCGCCAGTAATATTGACATTGTCCTCGACCTTGGCAGCCAACAAGTTGTTCAGGTAACCAGCAAAGTAGTCGACTCTCAACTGATCGTAGGTGGCATCTTGAAGAGTAGTGAAGTTGTTCTCGCCAGGCTCAGCAAAGCCAAATTCAGAGAGGACAATGTCTTTGCCCTTGGGTCCGGTGTATGTCTTTTGTAGGTAGTTGAGGAAGGTGCGAAGACCAGTAGGGTCCGACTTGAGCCAGGAGGCGCCGAGATCGGCAGCAAATCCAACATCCCAACCAGAAGCTGTGACTTGAGACTGGGTAACGCAAGTCGGGTAGTTAGGGTCGCTAGAGTTAGAAGCACAGGCAGCGGTCCCCTCAGGCAAGGCAGCGATCACATCGGTCGTGTATCCGTCGATGGCGAAGAAGTCGCAAGAGCCAAGAATCATTGCGCTTTGGGCAGCAGTGAAGTGAGGAAGCAAGTCACCTAGAGTGTCTCTCAGCGAAGCTGGGTAGTCTCCGGTCTGCCAAACGGGGGAGTTGAACCAGCCCAACTGGAAATCGTTTCCGCGAGCAACAGCGGCGGTGTCGGCAGCAGACGTGGTGTTACCGATGTAGTTGTTTGCCGAGTTCTTGAAGGTGATACGGCCAGTACCCTTGAATTCATTTCTGTACCAGTCCACGACTGCTGCGTGAGACAATAGCACATTGTGACCACAGTAGTACTGTGCACGCAGGCCAGTGACACCATGTTGTGGCCAATAGCCTGAGGGGAAACCAGGGTACTCATCGCCGCAGAAGACCTGAGGTTCGTTCACTGTGATCCAGATAGGAACGTACTTGTCATAACGACTGATGACGAGTTGTGCATATGCCAAAAAGTCTGCCTGAATCTCTTCAGACACCCAACCGTTGTAGTCGTTCATAAGAGCAAGGGGAGTGTCCCAATGGAACAGAGTGATGATTGGCTTAATGCCTGCTTCAACAAGTCTCTGAATGACATCGTCGTAGTGAGCAAGTCCTTGTTCGTTGACATAACCACGACCGAAGGGGAAAATTCTGCTCCAAGAGATGGAGAAAGAATAGTATGGGATGTTAAAAGCCTTAAGACGCAGGATATCCTGGGGATACAAGTAGTAGTCCAGATCCGTAATGTCGCCGGTTTCGTGATCCGCAACATAACCCGGGACGCGATGAGATAGAAGATCCCAGATTGAGGGACCTCGTCCTTCGGCCATCGCGGCACCCTCAACTTGGTAGGCAGCGCTAGCAACTCCCCACACGAAATCAGAAGGGAGTTGGTAAGAGCTCAAATTGCCCGTGGTGACCTGAGATGAGAAGCCATACGGAGGAGGTACTGGAGTTGCCTCGGGCGTAGGTGAAACAGTGTAGTTTATGGAGGCTGTAGATACAGGGCCGACCTGATCCCAGCTGACAGAAGCACAATCTGGTTAGCCAGAAGGTCAGAGAGCAATGCTAGAGTCTAACTTACAGCATCGACCATGCTTGTTCAGAATAGTCAGTCGGAATGGACTGCCCACTCGTGGTAGGAGTGGCCGTCTGTGAGGGATAACTGGTGTATGTATAGTTCGAAAGTGACGAGAGGCCCAGAGTGATGGCCTCAGAAGAGAGGCTCGGAGCACGAGAGGTCGTGTTGACAGACGAGCCCGGAGCGGCAGCTGCCAATCCAAGGAAGAGTGCTAGTTCCAACATGGCTTGCGTCTTGATTGATAGTCAGAGAATCTGCAACAAGGCAAGACCTTACAGTGGTATTTATACCCAGTCTCCGGTTAAAAGCCATACCCTGTAAGCCCAGCATTGACATACATATTGAAGTCAATGCTATGATATGGCGAGCTTCATTGCACCAGCCTGTGGGTTAGTGTCGATCTACGAAGATGTCGTGACGGATGTGGAAGGCGCTCATACCTAAGACGGCATCAAAATCGGCTTCTCGAGCCGCAACTCCGCTACTGTCTTCAGCCATCCCGTATACCCATGCATCCTGCCTTCCTTCTGACAGACTGTTCAAGGACTTGTATCATTGGTATCTACCTCTACGATGTGGCATTGAAATGTAGAAAAGTGAAATAGAACGCTTCCTCAAGCAATTGAACTCAGGCTGCGGCATTGCCTTTTTTGACCTTAAATATTGTGGCAGGAGAGCAACTTAATTTAGATGATCTCCCTCTGTTGTCCCGGGGTAAACGGCTATGGCGGACGGATGAATGCAAGCCTGTTGACCGTCAGTTCTTGCAGGCACGACCAATATCAAACATGTCAGCAAGACTCGGTATCCCTGTACGATGTCGGCTCGAGGTGCGGGGAGGCTGGTGCGGATGACACTAGTCATCAAGCGACACCGCACAATTCATATGATGGGAAAGTAAAAATCAATGGCGTTTGTCGATGGTTTCGAGAGGTTGGTTGTCGATGCCGAGACTTGTCAAAATCAATTCAAGCTTTTTGAAAAGCTTCGTCAGATCTGTACCACCAGAAGCGACTCTTTTGCTTTCCTAAGAGCAGGAAGTTGGAATACAAAAAAAGAAAGGAAAAGAGGTTAAGACGACACAAAAAGAGAGGCAAATGCAAAACATACAGCAGCAGGGATTCCCACGTGGTCACCCACCGTAGTACTAATCTGCCGTTCAACTGCTTATGTATGGCAGAGCGGACGGGATGCCCAGTTTTCAGCTGACTGTGGCCGTATGTGCTCGAGAAGTTAGATTAAAACAATATATAGACTTGATCAAGGCAAGCCATGTCGTGTCGTCCTGATCCCCAATGAGGATCTTGCGAACCGTAGATGTAGCAATCGACTGCCAATTGACATAGTGCGAAGAGAACAGCAAAGCCTCCAGAAGAGTTATATAGCAAGCGCCGAATCCGCAAACTCCAAGGCAGCACGCTTAACATCATAAGCTCTCCAAGCCACCATAGCATGCTCGCCATTCCATTTCTCGCACAAAGGCAAGGTTTTCGTCACCAATTCGCCAGTTTTCGAGTTGACTTGACTATGAGCAGACCTGCATGGCTCAGCCTGCACAAATAGAATTCCACTTTCTTCTACGAAGTCATGTTTGTCGATCAAAGCGAAGAGTCTGGCGTGACTTGTTTGTGCGTTAGAGATTTGGAGTGCGTGAAATGCTTTGAGACATGCATCGATACGAGGTTCAGGAGGGTGAATTAGAAGGTCGAGTGCCGTGCCGGGAGGTAGGAAAGGTGTGAGAGAGTCCAGAAGTGAGTGTCCCAGTCGAGTGCTATCAAGCTCTGCAGACTCGAGGTGAAAGACGTGGTATACAGACTTTGTCTCCTTCGGAGCGGCTTCATATTTTCTGAGCTTTACGCAAATGATGTCGTTATCCTGTCTCTCCACGGTGCCTTTGATACCTTTGTGGTCAACTTTTGGGACAGTCGTGATCCTTGGCTCCTCGGGTGAGTTTGGATTTGAATGTTGTTCGCTTGCTTCCAATTTCCATGCTTCACGCTGTGCATCAAAAACCCAGTCCTGAATAGCTTGATACATGGCGACATCGCGATCAATGTTATCTACTGCGCTGATACCTAAGTCCAGCTCGTAAGGACATTGTTCGGGTACCTTGTCTCTAGCAGCAAAACTCGCCAAAATGATAGGCTTTTCGTTCCAATCAGGTGGGTCTAGGACAATAATTCTCGCCCTATAAGCTTTTTTATCATAGAGGTGAATCGGACCACCTCCAAGACCAAATCGAGTTGTATTGCTTCGATAAGCGATTTCTCTCTTGTGGTGAGCGATGCAAGCGTACACATCATGTAAAGGTTGTTTGTACACATCGATGCGCCATGAAATACCCGCATCGCGTGGCTCCCACTCGAAAGCCCGGAAAGACCTTCGACCATAGCGTACAATTGGGGAAAGAAACTCCGAAAGGTCGTCACTCAGAGGTTTGACAGTGTAGACTTGGATAGCAAAAATCGGCCATGGTTTCGAAAAGTCTCGAGGACCTTTGAATATCACACTGCCATCTTCGTTTTGCTGCTGTGTTGCATGCTGAGGGTCGAAAGGCCAGATACTGACCGCATCTTCTCCTAAGTGATCCTTGAACTCATGAAATGACGGTGCCCTGACCTGGGAATCTGGATCGTCGAGTTTGAGTCTTCTGTGATCCCCTTCAAGACGACGTCTTTCTCTTTGGCGCGGCATTCTTTTGTGTAAGAGCGGATCTATGGTGATGAATGTCAGGTATCAACGATGGTCGATGTGATCTGATGTTCGTATGGGGTCGAAGCACGGCCGCGAAAATGTAGAAACATCACAGTGCTTTGAGCGCCTGTGTACATCACTGTTTGATAAATATCTAGCACGTTCCTACAACGCATAAGAAAAGAATTTCGGGTGCTGAGAATCGATTCGAATATTGTATCTAACCCTTCCAAGCGCCACCAAATCTTCGCCAATCTTCCCAGATGCCTCTCAAGACGGCACGATCGGCATTGCCCATGCTTGAGCTCAATGCCTTGACACCACGGCTATCGTCTGCGCCAATCTCGGCGACATCGATGACTGCCCACATACCTGGAATAAGTGCATCGCGCATGCCTTCGCCTAGTTTGCCATTCAGGATGAGAGTGCAGTAATAGTGAAGGATGTGGGGAGCATGTTGAGCGACATGCATGCGAGCTTTGCGTGTTTCGTCGACGAGTTCAGCTGCTTTTCCTCGATTTCCTGCAACATTGAGCTGTGGAGGATTGCAAAGGTTTTCGAGAAGCCTCGAAAACTTTTGTGCGTGCTTCAAAGTTAATGATGCGTTCGTTGGATCAAGCCATGCTGGATGTTTGAATCTGTTAACAGTACCCGCATCTCTGCTACTAGGCATGAAAAGGCAAGCAAGAAGTCTTTGCATCAACGGGACCAGAAGATGGAAACGACCACCCAGACTGGGGCGGTGGAATTGCAAAAGGCTTTGAGTGATTGTACAAAGGCCCTCAAACATGAGCGACACTTGCTTGACGCTCTTGATTGGTGACGAGGGAGATGCAAGTGTGGTCACTGTAGCGATAGTCATCTCCGCAGAGTATTGTGTGACAAGATTGGGCTAAACAGGTTGTTAGTGGAAAGAGTAAGAGATATTGAACTTCTTACACATACCTGTTCCCTCAATACCGCTGTAACACATGCGACCAATTGCTGATGAACATTGTACTCGGAGCAAGCATTCAGCAATTCTAGCAAGCGCACAAGAACAGATACTGAGCCAGTTTCAGAAATGGCGACCCCATGCTTGCGAGAGACATGCATGGCACTGATGATGCATCTAACCAACATGACTTTTTCCGCAGTGCACTGCTGAACTGAGGTAGGCAGAAGCCGTTCTATCAACGAGAGCTTTTCGTCCTCGGAGATACTCTGGACAGCTTTCATGACAGAATCGGTGATGGTCCAATATTGGCCGGCATCGGTTTCTTGCCTTAGCAGATGCTCGGCAGTTGTGCATATATCAATAGGATCAGCCTTGGACGCAGCCGAAGATAGCTGCTGGAAGCATCGCACCAAAATCGGTACAGGGACGCCATCGGATTTTTCGACCATACTTCGTAGCTTCTTAGCGAAACGTTTTGTATCTAGAAATTGTTAGCTTGGCTGTGTGAACTCGTCGATCCGTTTCTCGCGTGCTTACATTTCTCGGTCGAGGATCCGCCGGAGGACAAAACCGATGCCGGCATGCCAGTGTACACCTGGACAGCGATAAGAGCTTTGTCCAAAGCGTCACCACTAAGCTCACCATCTGTTGAGCTTGAAAACATCTCCCATAAACGCTTGACAAATGTGTCGATGGTAGAAGATGAGCGGTGAGGGAGATTTGACAGCTCCTCCTGGGTGAGACGAACCTCAGATGCCTCGAAAAGTGCCTTGACCAACAAGACTCTGCCTGGTGTTGAAGGTAAGCCTAAATCTTTCTGTTTGCTGACAAAACTCGATATTAGTCCGGAAAGCTGTTCTAGGTACGATTTGCTTCGGTCCTGTTCTTTCGTATCAATTATGTGACCGAGAAGATGTTGACATATGTCTTCGAAGGCGTTGAGCTCGGTGCTGTTGTAAGGTACTCCAGCAAGATCCCATAGCACTACAGGCTCCACTGAGATCTTGGCTGTTGCATTTGGAAGCTCGAGTAGTTCTGCAATGAGATCGAGTGCTTGCTGCTTGGTCTGTCCCTCAAACATCTCTTTGGTTGCTGATGATACAATAACATCCAAGATCTTCTCGCGTTGTGAACGTGAGAACCCCTTCAATGGCCACTGTAGGAGCATATCAAGCCATGATCCCGATACATCAGAACCATCCATGGCTTCATAGACGACAGTGAAAAGGTCGTCTTTGGTGGCCAAATCGCTGGTTGCGAATACCGCGTCTAAGAACTCGACAAGCACAGAATGTGATTGCGGAGAATCAAAGAAAAAGCTGCTGAACAAAGTCTTGAACAGTTGGATTCTCTCAGTCGCAGGGACACAAGTCAGAAGTCGAGGGAAGTCAGTGAGAACAGTCAAGAATGCGGCAGGTCGTTGTGCAGCATAACTGCTAGACTTTTCTCCTCCTGCAGGGGGCAAAGCCGCACGACAGAAAAGATGCGCGTAGTCGGATTCATGGCCAGTCGATTGCCTCTGCATGTCGCATATCGAGGCGATGATGACAAACGCTGAATCAACTTCTGATATCGTGCCTGTGGAGGCGCCAGATTTTGGCTTGGAGCCGCTCTGAATCTTTTCCATGGCAAATTTGGTGACCGGTCCATCCAGAAGTGCTGCGTTTCTCATCTCAACATTCTCACTCGAATTGGAAGTCGACCAGATTGGGTACCATAGCAGATAGACTCGTGAACACAGGCCGAGGATATGGGCAGAAAGAGGCCCACCGATGTCTGAAGCCTGGAGGACAGCACTGTCCACTGCAGAAAGCAACGACTCTAAGTACGGCATAAGGGTGTCAATGGTAGCGTCAGTCTTCACAGCACCAACGACGGCGTTGAGCAAGACGATGTTCGCGAAGGCTTGAGCGCTTGCAATAGAAGAAGATGAAGTTGACTGACTCAATGCATTCTGACGAGAGTCCAGGAGTTCCGATATTTGTACGGGTGTCAGTGACGTTTCCAGCACGTCCCTCAATGCTTCTTCCAAGGACAAATCTGCCCAGAGAAGCCATTTGGACGTCTTTTTTGAAGAGATCTGAGTGCTGAGACAGGAGGACCACTGTTCTAGGAAAGCAGGGAGATTGCGGGTACGAGCATAAGCGTGAATCAGAGGCACTACAATCTTGTAGCAAACGGTTCGAGGATTTGACCAGTCATCGCTAGATTGCAGACTTGTGATCGCGGATGCTTTAGCTTCTCCATTGCTTGTCAGTGCCTCGAACAAAGCCTTCGCCGGAGTAGCGCTTATATCTGTGAACATGCTAGCGTTCATGTGGAGAATCTTAGCAACAAGCGGGAAGTCAGGATGAGATGTCGACAGATTGCATCGCTGATCCAGAATTTCGCCGAGTACATCTGCATCAAGTATTAGGCTTTTACTTGACAGTACGTTGAACATTTCATTCAAATTTTGGTTGACAATCGAAACGTCCGAAGCTTTGGCAGAGGAAGTCATGGTATCTAGTAAGGACTTGAAAACGAGATGGATCCATGGGGCCTCGACTATCCTTTGCTTGGGGCTGGCAATAGGCGCGCAACGGACAGCCAAATCCAGTAACAATGGTACACATCCATATGCAGAGGAAAGTTGACCTTGCTTCACGGAGATAGAAGCATCTTCGTCGAGAAGAGCTTTGATGTGTGAGCGCAAAGGTTCTAGTCTTTGCACCAGTCCAGGAACTTCTACTTGTTGGCGTTTCTTTTGTACAACGGCCTTTGAGCTATAGAAAGCAACTCTTGCTGGTACGAAGAGGTGTGTGGCCAGTAAACGGTCGAGCGATCGAATGGCATGTTGTTGAGAAGCGCCGTCTGAAGTCGAATCCGCATGCAAGGATTGTAGGATAAGAGCGGCTGGCCATAAGCAATCGGTGCAGAAGGAGATGTCCAGAGGATCGACTGAAGCGTTCGGCTGGAGAATTGCTAGGTCTTGAATGAGGGCCAACGAGGATGCGATAAGAGAAGCTGGAATGTTGGGCGAGTTTTGTAAATTCAGCAAGGCATGGAGAGTATATTTGACAAAGCGGATCAAATCTGCATGATCGAGGCGTAGAAGAGCATGGACACGATTCTCTGAGGAGGCATCTTTCGCAGAAGGAGATTGGGTGGAACGAGTGATCAAGAGGCGAATTGAAGCCATGACTTGGGTAAAAATGAGAGCATGGTGATCAGATGTCGTGTCATTGGCGGCGCTTTGCCTCTTTCTCTTTTTCGTGGATTTGTGGGCGTCATCTGCGGTATCCGGAGCTGCAGAGGTGGAAGGGAAGATTTGAGCGAGAGCGTTCGAGCAGGTGTTGAGCGGACTGGCGACAGACAGGGACTTGGCCAGAGCAGCAGAGGGCATGCGCTCAAGGATTTGACGCAGGAGGATCCATGATTGGAGACATTGGCAGGTATCTGGCTGGACAGAGAGCTTGTCAAGCAGCCAGCGCAGTACAAAGTCCAGACGAGCAGTATGTGAGAGTGAGGAAGGAGCAGGCGATTTGTGTTCGGATGTGGGATCTAAAGAGATGTCAAGAATTCGAGCAGCTTCTTGAACGCGCTGTTCAAGAGAATCGAAGGATTTGTCGAGGGAAAGAAGGCGTTGCAACGACGACTAGAAGAGTTAGCAGTTGCATCGGGAAAGAGGACAGTCGCGACGCACCTTTGAGCCGTCGACACTGGCAGCCATGACCGGCTCGAGCAGACTGTTGCAAAAAAGTTGACGCTCTTTCCTCGAATGATGGAGTTTGCATGTGAAGCTGGTCCAAGCTCATCGTCTGCTCTGCGGCTGCGGGAAAGCGCGAACGACTCTCGGAGCTGGCAGGGTAGAGCACGCCGGCCTCATCGCGACCACCGACGACGACATACAAAGCCTGACCTTCTTCCTACCGTCCAATCCACCAACAATCAATTCACAATGTCCGACTCCGTTGCTCCCTCATCGCCTCAGGCCCCTGGCTCCCTGCGCTCTAACAGACCTATGAGCGAAGCTCTGCTCAATGAGAAGGCATGCGACCATCTGCCTCGATCAATTGCTTTCCGTCTGCTGACTCTGCCATGTTAGTGGGACCACTGCCTGAGCACCATGCTCATCCGCTCTACTCTCGGTGCCTCGTTCGGTGTCATCTTCTCCGTCCTCCTTTTCAAGCGTCGCGCATGGCCTGCCTTTGTCGGTTTCGGTTTCGGCGCCGGTAGAGCCTGGGAGGAGTGCGACAACGTACGTCCACCGATCTCCCTTTTAACACGTCTTCTGACCATATCCAGAGCTTCAAGCGCGCTGCTGCCCCCACCAGAGACGGTCTGAGAACCATGAGACAATAAACGCTTACACGAAGCAACCCCCCTTTCTTCTTACGCCTGTGTTTACTACTCAAAATCGAACACCTTTCCTACACTTCATCATTGTGTAACACACCTCAACATGCTCATCGCAAATCTTATTGGCATTGTTATGAAATACAGAACCCAAGAAACACTGTGTAGACGCTGCGGCTAGGATCCTCCAGGACCAATTCATTGTGGAACCAGTCTAATTATGAACTTTCTGCTCCTAGACTCCTACCAGACTTAATCACCTCAGTCTTTTTCTTTTATCGCCATACCCTTGAAAGACCCTATGAAAGATATTGCGGTTGTGGATCACTGTGCTCTGCCAACCTCGTGCCCCTCCAACTCTGCCAATGGGTAACCTTGTGTGATGTTTTCGTCCCTGTACTTTGACTGAGGGAGGCTAGATGGTGGCTGTCCACTGGCAGAGTAGACCGAAGATGGTGTGTATGCAACGTACTGTGATGGTACTCTAGGCGTTCCCATTCCAGGCGTCATCCACAGTGACGAGTTAGATGGAGTTGGGCTTGTCATGGCAATGCTAGGCGAGGACCAAGGAGGACTGTTGGACGGTGCTTCTGCTGCTCCGCGAATATCTTCTGGTGAGTACGGCTGAGCACCAGGGGTGTTATGGGCAGGAAGCTCTACGCCTTTGGCAGCATCGTGAGCATTTATAAATCCAGGCGCGTCATTCGTTGAGCGACTTGACTGCTCTTCTAGCTCTGCTGGACCCTTTGGGCTCAGCAATCCGTTCACCACGTCGTGTTGATCGTTGGTGTGCTCTGTGATGCTGTCTTCGCCTGAACCCAGAGAGTAAGCAGCCTTGTTCGATTTGCCCTTGGATGTGCTCCCAGGACCATATCTGCGACGTTTCCAACACTTCCAGACGATGAAAGCAAGTACCAACAAGAGCACCGAACCAGCAGCTGCTCCAATCACAACACCAACGATGAGTCCGCGAGAGCTGGCCATAGAGCCAGTCTGAGCTGGGTCGGGTGTAGAAGTATTTGTAGTCTTGCTTGCAGATGATGGCGGTGAAGCTGCTGACACAGATACTGCCATCAATGTCGAAGGTGAAGACGTTTCGATGCTACTAGAGCTGGTCTGCGTAGGCTGCGCATCGGTCGTAGGAGCAGCCGAGGGCGTAGCAAATCCATCCGTAGGCGCAAGAAGCGGACTTACGGTTGCGGTGTCAGCGTAAGTGGTGGTCAATGGTGCGGTACCGCAGCTGAAGACATAGTTGTTGTGTCTGTATGCCTTGACGCAGAACGGAAGACTAGGCTCGGAACTGGATCAGATGAGTCAGTGTTGTGTTTCAAGTATATAGACATATCAGATTGCTTACCAGTAGACGCATCCTCCAGTGACATAGTCACAAGAAGCTGTGATGCCCGATGTATAATCGATGCACCTTGTACGAGGAGCGCAAGTGGTGCCAATAGCTGTGCAGCAGCCAATGTATCTACACGATTCAGTCAGCGATCATGAACACGTGAGGACAGGAAGCACGCGCACCCATCACTTCCAGAGACGCAAGCAGCTGGTTGGTAGCAGTAGACTAGATGACGATGAGCTATCTTGAAATGATTCTGGAAATATAGTCGGCTTACACTTGCTGCTCGAATCACAGTATGTTCTAATGTCACGCTTCTGCACCAGCAGTCCAAGCTGCGAGTACCAGGGGTCTGCTTGAGCTGGACAGGAGGGCGCTGCTGTAATTTGACCAACCGTGTTGGTAGCAAGGAACAACCAGAAGAGAAGAAAGTGTATGATAACCATGTTAGCCGCGCGATGACGAGGCAACAACATGGTCTGGTTTTGAATGTGCGCGTGAATGCAGAAAGCAGAGTCCGAGAAAGGACTGCGTTTGTTGTGGATGGTGCGGACCTGGGAAACTCGTCGGGTGCATGCGAACGCCTGGGTGCGAACAGACTACACTCTCGACGATACGAATGATAGAGACATGCCTTACAATCAGACTTAACTTGCCAGTCTATTCAACAATCTTGCCTTTTGAATCATCCTTCACTCCTTGATGTCATCCAAGAAGGAGTTCGCATGCTACTTTGTACATAACACGACAGAAAGTACTACCACTTTACCTTGATGTTGAGAGAACAATGTATGGATAATCAGAGAAAACGAGGCTCTTGTCAGACGGAATTTTGCCGTGTTTTTACTTTAATTCCACAACACGCTGCGATAGTAGTCTTATCTTTTGACAGTCGAGAGACAAGGTAACAAAGACCAGTGTTTGGTTGACACGCCGGAGTTGTTACCTACTCGAATAGTTTGAGATATCAGATGATGTTGTTAATGTTGATGCTCTAAATCCCTATTCAACCAGAGCTCTTGATGATGCCGAAAAGTGCGATGGAGCCTGATCTCGAAGCCGATCACATTCCCTCTCAACACTCGTACATGACAGCTCCTAGGGTAAAGTTTCCAGGGAGGTTGTTGTTTGGAGATCAAGGGACGACGGATACGGGCAGAAATGATCATCAGCAAAAGACGTTCTTGTGGTCATTTGTTCTGGGCCGAAATGCTTGGCTCGCTCAGGGCAAAATTCGACCATGGGAACTTAGCAAGGGACAAATGTGGAGCATGCGCAGACTTCGCTGTGCCTCGTGCAGACCTAGATGCATGACGAACGGCAGTCTCGGAGCGTCTTTTGATTGTTATTTTGTTTGTTGGGTTTCGTGCATGCCCATCCTTTGATTTATCGTTTTTGAGGGGCAGACGTCGTAGCCTGTAGGATTTCAGAACGCGCAGCTGAGAGTCTGAGACACTTTGCGCTTGTTGACAAGACTCGTGGACAGGGACGCATGTGCCGATGATCCTTTAGTCTACGGTGCAGAGTTTACTCCCTTCCCACGTTGCAGCTGCTCTCGCAAGCGAAGGCGGCCAATCGCTTGCATAGCCAGCATAGGGGTGACAATTTTCGTGCGCCTGCAGTCAACACCGAGCAAGACTTTTTCCTTCTTGCTGCAACAGGCCCCTCGGTGTATCCACTATCCACTACTTCGGAGAGAAAGTCAGACACTTCTCGGCAGGGTGCCTACAAGCGAACCGGAAGCAAACGGTCGTCACCCACCCACGTCACACTTTATGGAGCAAGTGGAACTCGGAACGCGCGACGGCGGCCAGTTGAAGTCTGTTGATACCATGGACAACAAGAGTGCGCAACCACGCCCGGATGCGCCGCGCCGAACGACGCATCCTGCTGCAGTATTGAAGAAGCCGTCTGTTCCTGCGGCCCTCACCAGCGACTCTCCCAGCTATCCTCGCCCAACTATCAACAATCCCAGCAGCGCCAGTAGCAGCAGCAGTCCTGCCAGCTACAGCTCCAACAGCCTGCCCCTGCGACCGCGCAACCAGGTTCCCTATACAAGGCCTCATCTACGTTCCAGATCACACGCTTCTGCGCTTGCTCCTCCCATGGCGCCGCGAGCACATTCGCTTCCTTCGGTGCATTCGGCCGGCCACCAATATCCTTCTTCTCCTTCAGCATCGCCTTTGTTGCGGCCTTCGAGCCCCATGTCCTCTTTGTCGCCGCGCCAGCCATATTCACCAAAAATGCGACCATCTTCTCCTTTCCGTCCTCGCTCGCCCTTACCTCTAGACGAATCAACCTATATCCAACAACCTTCTTCCTACGACGGAGCCTTCCAAAGCATCTCCGAGGATGCTGAGCTCAACATAACCCCAAGATCTCATCTCGACAACCCGTCACACACGACTCCGACATTTGGACGCTCACAATCTCTGCGCCGACAACGACCATCTTCACCTCTGCATTCACTCACTCCTTCGGCTGCTACATCCCGTTCGGCATCCGCAACTTCTTCACCCTCAGTCACAACTCGCTTCAACGAAAATTTTCCTCCGCTACATCACTACTCCAGCAATTCTTCCTTTTCAAGCATCTCTACCACACCATCCTCTGCTCGCTCCCGATCTCCCAGTATTTCGTCCCTCGAGACAATTGAAGACAACCCTGATCTAGAATGGGAAGCTATCGAGGCCGACCGCGCGGCCAAGCAACGCGCCGCAGAAGAAGCTGAAGAACAAGGCGATGACAACGAACCAAGACGAAGGGGCAGTTTGGATCTTCCAGGCCACAGAAGTGTTGGTTTCGGATTCGGCAGAAGGGGAGGAGATGCGAATCGAAAGAGATGGAGTATTTGTGGTGGTGAGAGGACCGTTGATTTGGACCTCGAGACCATCTGGGAAGATTGACGAGACCCTGCAACATTCTTAGCGACGCTGTGGCTCGCTGCGTTTTACAGCGCGCTACCTATTTCTTTTTGCTTTCCTGGTTGACTCTCTTTACGCTACACGAAGGAACTTCATGTTTTTGGTTTGGTGGAAGGTCAAAGACTGCTGAATTTGTCTGTTTCTTCATTTCACGCTACGATACCCCTATCGCGACTCCGGTCTAGGTAGACATATATGCATTAATGCCTCTGATACTCTTTTTTCACCAGTCTTTTCCCAAACATCTTCCAATCCTGATATAGAGATAAGCACCAACACTTTGACGAGCACAAGCTCAATCACAGATTACGACCACGAGATGCTGTCATCCTTGTCAGTATTTCTTTTCTCAAGAAGATATGAGTAGGGGTCCAAGCTTACGCAATCATAATGCCGGCACCAGCGGCAATAGCAATCAGCTGAGTAATAATCTTCTTGATCTCGGCAACTTTGTTGGGACCAGTCTCCATGAGCTCAGGAACGACACTCATGCCTACGAACATGAAGGTGCCTGCAGTCCAAGGCAACAGCAGATCACCCCAGTGGAGACTGGTGCCGAAGAGTCCGGGAGTTGGGATTGCGTCAACGCTGTTGCCGCCGTACTCCTGGACTGCAATGCCCATGAGTGCTCCAGTGAGGGCACCTGCTGCGGTCAAGAATTGCGCGCAAATAGCTGCACGCTTGGAGAATCCGGATTGGATGAGAAGAGCAAAGTCGCCGACCTCGTGAGGAACCTGTGGTTGACTTAGCCGGAGATTTTGACGTACATAGACTCGGAGAGACTACTGACCTCGTGGAAGAAGACTGCGGTGGTTGTCAATGCTCCCACAGTGGGAGAAGCATAGAATGAAGATGCCATAGCAAGACCATCAGTAATGTTGTGAGTGAAGTCTGCAATGATGTTCAAGTAACCTCTGTTAGAGCTTGGTCCACTTTCCTGTTGCTCTACAGGTACAGAATTCTTTGTACTTGACTTCTCGGCGTTACGCTGACGGAGACCATCAGTTTGAGCACCGCTATCAGATCCAGAGGCTTTGGCAGAAGCGGCTGCCTTGTCACCTCCCTCGATCTTGCCGTGGGCGTGACCGTGAGAGTGGCCATGTCCCTCGTCACCTCCAGAAGCAATACGGATAGCCTTGTCGAGAATGACAAAACTGACAAAGCCAACCATGATAGCAATTCCGAGCAGAATGTTCTTGTTACCATCGGCAACCACGAGAGTCACATGCTCTGGGCTGTCCTCGCCAACAAAGATCTCGGGGAGAAGATGGAAGAGAGTGTCGCCCATGAGTCCGCCAAAAGCAAATGCAACCATGGTGTTCAGAGATGCCGGATCAATGTCTGAGGGGCATAGGGCCAGCAAGAAGTTGGGAGGTCCAGAAATGTAGAGTACGCTCCTGCAAATTGATCAGTATATGTTAGGTCACTCGTGGAGGGCATAACCGAACAAAAGTGTGTTAACAGCAGGCGATCCTGGGAACAATACGGCGAATGCTCTTGCTGTGAAGCCTGTAGCAGTCTCATGCGCTGTTGAAGCCTTGTGGGCATTGAGAGACTGAATGATGTGACATTGCTGAATAGATCAGCATACTGTTCGAGATACAATCCGTGACAACGGACAAGAATGGACCAACCTGGATTTGTTCTTCGATCTCTGCAGACGAGAGGTCACCGATGGGGGTCTTCTCAGACTGTGCAGCAATGACTTGGCACAAGACGACAAGAACAACCAACAAAATGGCATATACACGGCTCATGATAGCCATCTTTGTTCAACTTGTCTAATGAACCTTCCTTAGATTGTGTAAGGTCAAGTTGTCACCTGTACTCTACTTGTACTCGAAGGGGAAGGCGCGAGGTGGAGCGATAAGATAAGAAAGAGTGCAAACATGGGGAAGCCGCGAAGGTGTTTGCATCCAAATTTTCGGGGTCCGACTTTCTCGATGGCGGTTTGCCGATAACATTTTTTTTTCTAGACTACCATACACAAAGATCAAACAAGATGGGTCGCGAATTGCAAAAGAAGAAGAACCGCTCCTCGGTTTCGAAAGTGACCCAAAAGGCAAAATCCAAGAAGAAGTTGTTGCAGAACCCCATCATCGCAGCCAACTGGTAAGCCCGCCGCATCGCGCTTTCGTACGCATAAAGACTTACGGATTGTTAGGAACCAAAAGGAGACGCTCAGCCAGAATTACCGCCGCCTCGGACTTGTTTCCAAGTTGAACCACCCGACCGGTGGAGTTGAAAAGACATCCAAGACCTTAGTCGAGGCTGAAAGTGGCCTTGCGCCTGAGCCCACTCCCGACAATCTCAACATCAGCACAAAACTGCCTACCACCATCAACATCTCAGAAGTGAAGATCAAGAGAGACCCTAAGACTGGCGCCATTCTGGAAGTCCTGGACCAGAAAAAGGCCAACCCACTGAACGACCCATTGAACGACATCGAGGACAGCGACGACGAAGGCTGGCAAGGATTCGTGAATGAGCACGGTGTTCTGGACGGAGCAAGACAGGGAGGTAACGCAAAGACCGACGTGGTCCGTCAACTCGAAGAGCAAGCTGCTCGCCCGATCAAGAAGGCTCCCAGAAAGCAGAGTGAGCGCGAAGAAGAATGGATTGAGCGACTAGTCCAGAAGCACGGCGACGACTACCTTGCCATGGCCCGCGACATGAAGCTCAACCCCATGCAGCAGAGCGTCGGTGACCTCAAGAAGAGAGTCAAGAAGTGGAACGCCAAGCAACAATCATAAGGGACTAGATTGGGTGCTATATTTGATTTGCATAGCGACGGCGTTGGCAGGCACTGGATCAATATCATACACTTCGAGGACAGGAGACACATGGACGATTGGTCGTTAAGTACGGTACAAGAATTGAAGGTCGTTGATCATGTTCAATATTTAGGCGCCCTTTCCGCCTCTCTCATCCTGCATTCCGATGACAACGTCTGGCGATTCGGGGTTCTCCTGCTTAGCCTTTGCGGTGCTGTTGTTGGAATCTCTGCGCTGAGTGGCGGTACCGCCCTCGTCACGGCTCTTGGACCTAGAAAAAAGCAGGGTCAGTACAAGGTTGATGGGAACAAGAGAGGAGAGAGTAGTTACTTTTGGCCCTCGGCAGCATTGGCGCTTTGAACGTCCAGCTTGTCCTTCTTGTTGGTGGCATGCTCGCTGTCGGGGTAGGCCTCGGTTGCGACGCTGTCGTCGGTGCTGAGCTTACCACCGCTGCTGTAACGGCATGTTGACGAAACAAAGGTGCGACGAGGAGAAGCTGGTACAAGGCGAGACTGTCTCAGGGTGCTGAGGCGGGCAGTACGGCGGTAGAAGGTCAGGAACTCGGAAGGCGAAGCCATGCTGAAGGAGTCAATTGATGAGGATAGGTAAAAGGACGATGGAGAAGAGCAGCAGTTGTGTTTGTGTAGAAGATGAACGAGTTCCAGTAACCTCGGACCTTTGATGGAAATGATCATGCAACGAACGCTTGGTTACGTCACAGAGTATGCCAAGCATCGAGCTTGATCGATGCGAATTGGAAAGATTCGACGAGCGACGATGCGGGGACCAAAAGACAAACATCCATTTTCTGTCACACTCACCATGGCCGCTTCTGACGAGTTTCCGTGTATTTTGTGAGCTTCACCATCTTAGACACACCCATGGAATGAACTGCGAAGCTCATGCGCCTGGCGTAGAACCATCGATGCACCCTTCCCTTCCCACCGCTTAGCCAGCGCCGCCATTCGTTCTCTCTCGGTCGACCAGGAACTCTCGCCTCTGGTCCGTCGTGACTTCTCGCTCTACCGTCCATCAGATGCTCCTCCAAATGCAGTAGAGGGTGATCCCCTTCGCGCCTCTCTTTTGACCAATGCCGCCCCGACCACTTCGCTAGACGCGATTCAAACCACACAACCAACCTCCGACGAGGAAGATGCCACCGTGCTCCGCACTGTCTATCGTGCGACTACCAATCGCATGCTTCGTGTCTCTGTGAACGGTTTCTTTGAGAGTCTGAATGTCGTGTTACAGGTCATGCAAGAACTAGACGTCGACGTCCTGCAAGACAAGGGTCTCGAAGATCTTGAAGGCGCTCAGGGTGTCGAGCAAGGAATGATTGGCACCACAAAGACTGGTGCTTGAGCAGGACATATCTGCCTAGTGTGTCTGAGAAAGGCCAACAGGCAGCTTCCTATGCGCGTGTTTCGTCGCTATGCCCGCGCGTCCGAACCACAAACCATACCACACAAGACTGGGTATAGGGAACAATATCCTGAAGCTATTCAAAACATGGACCCGCCATTCTGAGCGGGAATAAGAGCCATGTCCGATGTTTCTGACTACAAAACACCTGTGGAGAAATTTCTTGCGAGAGGGAACCTGTATTAGGTATCAGGGCAGGAAACAGCAGATTGGAACGGTACCTGGTGAATAGCGCACCAGTGTCGCTCGTCACAGTCAATGCAGAAATTAATGCATTGTATCTGAGCGTCAATGATCTCGTTATGATAATTATATGGGAGGCCTGATTACACATAGCCTGTGATTAATCTGCGATTATGAACAATGATGCTTCGTCGGGTTCCCGGTCGAATCGAATCTCCTACAACGTCTCCTCTCGTAACGATGAATGTGCTGTATACAGTAATTGTTGATCTGCTCAAGATCGAACCCACTATTTTGTCTCCCGTGCACACATGCCGAAGCAGATTGTCGTCACCTCCGGCTATTCACATTGAACCTGTATTGAGCATCAAATCCTTACACTGCCTGCTTCGTTTCATTTCGTTCAAAATGCAGCTGCGACACCTCAAATACTGGGCCTTACTCGTTGCGTCAACTGCAATCATCGCTCATGGTCAAGAGCAGTTTGATCCACGTGAGGCCACAATAGCTTCTGTTCACAACGCGCTATATTCTGGCGAGAGCTGTCGCAGCATTGTTTCTGCCTTCTTGTCACGTATTGAGGCCTTGGACCATGAAAACATCAATTCTATAATATCTCTGGATCCGGATTCTCTTTCAATTGCATCAGAACAAGACGCACTGTTCGCTTCCAAGAATGCCACAACAGGACCGCTGTTCTGCGTGCCCGTGCTTGTGAAGGACAATCTTGACACTGCGTCTCTGCCAACTACCAGCGGAAGTCTTGCCCTGGCTGACTCGAGGCCTTCAGTCGATGCTGCGGTTGTCAAGGCGCTCAAAGATGCAGGTGCCATCATTCTAGGCAAAACAAATCTCCAAGAACTCGCCTTGGAAGGAATATCCGTCTCCTCTCTTGGTGGTCAGACCATCAACCCCTACGATGCCGACAGAACTCCGGGAGGATCGTCAGGAGGCAGTGGTGCCAGCATTGCTGCATCTTTCGCCGTCTTCTCCCTGGGTACGGATACGATCAACAGTGTACGTAGTCCAGCAAGCGCAAACAGCCTCTTCGGGCTACGTCCGACCAGAGGCCTCGTTTCAAGGGCTGGAGTCGTTCCAAACTCCCATACACAAGACGCCGTTGGGCCCATCGCTCGATGCGTTGAGGATCTTGCTATCGCTCTTTCGGCAATTGCAAGCACGCAGTTAGACCCTGAAGACAACAGTACTGCACTTGTACCTGAAGGTATTCGTGGAACGGATTACTACAGGGATCTTGCTTCGAGCTCTCTTAGTGGTAAGACGATCGGAGTTCTTGAGACATTCTTTGACCGTACTCAGACCAATGAAACCGAACCTGTCAATGAGGCCTTGGACTCAATGATCGTGAGATTGCAAGAAGCAGGTGCCACTGTTGTACAAATCGAGGACCCCAAGTATCGCGTAAACGCTATACTCGCGTCATGTGAAACTCAAAGATTCGAATTGAGGCAAGAAGTGGACCAGTATCTGGCAAGGGCAAGCCTCAAGGGGCAACACCCTGCCACTCTCCAAGACCTGTATAGCGAGGGCAATTCTTTTCTTGTGCTGCCTCAACAGTACGATTTCATCAAGGCTGTTTTGAAGGGCAGTACACAGGATCCCGAGTATGAGGCGGTCTTGAACAATATCCAAGATCTGACCATGCATCTGCACGAAACCTTCAAAACAAACCATTTGGATGCAATTATTTACCCGCAGCAAAAGAACCTCCCAGTGAGGATTGGAGCCGCAAACCAACATGGACGCAATGGAATTTTGGCTGGGGTGACTGGTTTCCCATCACTGGCGCTTCCCGCAGGCTTCAGTCCAGCTACTGACACAGCCGCGGTCGGCATCCCTATTGGTCTCGAGCTGATGGGCTTACCATGGACAGAAGCCAAACTGCTACAGATCGCGCACGAAATCCATGCTCTGACGCAGGTCAGGAAGCCTCCTGTGTGGGCTGGTCGGCACATACCTGTTCGAGACTATGCAACTGTACCTAGCGTCATGCCCAAGGGTACCAACAGTATCCCGTCGGCTTATCCGCTTGGGGTTCTGCTGTAGATAGCACAACGCACATGCGTCGGCGCAGCATTCCGCGCAAACCAATAGACTTGCAATGATCTGTTAGAGACCCTGCTTGAAGTGCGGACCCTGCTTGAGGCACAATGTCCAAAAACAGCTTATCAGCAACTCAGCGGCGCCAGCTTTATCGCTAGACGAGATCGGCAGAATCGTATATGACTCTGTACATCCGATTAGGTGTTGGTGAGGTAAAGATGGTAAGTCTACGACCCGCTGCAAGTCTTCTTGCGTGTGCACTCGGGTTGCGACATCTCATACAGTGTACATGAAGTCACGAGTACTGTACATGCACGCAACATGTGAAAATGGGCTCGAGCTCGTGTTGGTCTGTATTCGTGTGCATACTCAATCGAGTAGCCCAAAGAGTGCTTGCAACAATGCTAAGCATGCAGCTGCAAGTCAGAAACTCGCAGGCGCCGCGGAAGTGTTCGGCCAAGGTCTCGAGTACAAGCACAAGAACCAAAGTACCGCCTTCGAGAAGCAGAATCCGGACAGATGGAAGCTGAATCAGAACCGAAACGCCTTGCGTAAGACTTTGCCTCTGCGATTCAGGAAACCAACATTCGAGGCCGCAAAGACTTTTTGCTCGTCGAGAGATTCGCTATGGTTTAATTGCGGGGCCTGTCGATCACCTGTGGCCTTGTGGGGAAGGGTCTATCCTGAAACAATCAACATGACTGGTCGGTTGACGCGTGGAGACAAGACGTGTTGAGTCCGAGTGCAGCAGATGCGGATGTGCTTGCGGGATGGATGCCAGAGTAACAAGTAGAGAGCGACTCCAGGAATAGACAATGACATAGCCAAGTACAACAGACTTGGACAGTTGCCATAGTTCACGATAACAAACGGCCTCACTATTGACAAAGAGCAGCGCGATTGGCGACGCGGTATCATGGCAACGAGATAAGAAGACAGGAACGTATGGCCTGAGAGCTGTGTCTGTCGTGATGCATACTTAGACACAGTAGTGGCATCATTAGCGGCACTGCTCGTACTGCCTGTCCAAGCTGGGAAGCAAGGCAGACAGCGAACAGCAAAAATATATTGACATTTTATTGCCCGGCAACGATCCAAAGCGACCAGGGCGTTCCCGAGTCGCCGCCGTCATCCGCTGCTCACCATCATTGTGTGCAATCTACGATAGGCAATGTGGGGAGGGTTGCATGGCGACAACAGAGAATAATCACTACGTTCGTGTCGATAACTACTGAAGGATGCACCGTTTGGGCGTCGCGTGAGAACAGAGAGCGAGCAGTTTGGCGGGTCGTTATTTCCCATGGCATGCGAAATGGAGCCCTCTGGGATTGGATTGGATTTGGGAAACGGTTCACTCGCAACGCTCTCGTAAACGCTTCGATTATTTCTGCCCTAGCGTTTTGGCCCGAGCGCGGCGCAGCCAAGGCCGACCGAGCCTGAGCCTGCTGTTACCAACTTGGTACATGCATCTGCATCCGCCGGGCTTTACCTTTCTCTCTGCTCCTCTCTCTCTTCCCGCGACCCCTCCTCCTCGACCTCTGTTCAACACCCTCTTTCTGTAGGATCTTCTCGGACGACTTCTTCACGAGTTGTCTGTAGTTGAGACTGCGTCCATTCCTTTTTTAATTCGACATACTGCTTGCTTTGATTATTTGTTGTTTGCGCCTTCCTTCTTCCGTGACAAAGTGATTTAGCTCTGCGAGCGTCCCATGTTTCTAGTTTGGTATCTTCCAACATCAAATCTCTGGTGTTAGGCCACGACCACTGACATTGTTCTCAGATTAATATTCTTTTGCTCCTGTCAACTTTCTGGCGACATAACAACGACATCATCGTGCGCGCGCAAACGCCGACAACTCACCTCACCATCTTACCTCACTTTAATATCACTGCCGCTCCTTCACACGAGTCCTTCTTTGGATGCTATGGCCACGACTATGTCCTTCCACCATTCCATGAACGACCAGCACTACAGATCCATCAACATGGACCAGGAAACCTTGCAGCTTGTGCCAGACTTTGTCTTTCCTCCTCGACCCACAACAGAGCAGCCTGCCATGTCGAATTCTAGACGACCCGTATCAATGAATCTGGCTCCCACTTCACACCATGGTCGTTCTCGATCAGCGCGACAGTCCACATCCGCGCTGCCAACCTTCAGCTTCAACTCGTCTGACACTTCCGGCCGTCTAGACAACCAACCTTCGTCACCCACAACTCCGACGCCTCCTACTAGCCCACCAAAGAGCGCCGGACACCGTAGAGGAGCCAGTGAATTGGTTGGCGGAGATAGTCGAATGGGCTTGATGCTGGGTCCCAGCCCTTCAAAACATCTTGGATCTCTGCCTGTGCCAGACCTCAGTGGTTCGCCCTCCAAAAGACGCGGACACGCTCACCGGAGATCAACTGCCATCTCGGGTCATGACCTCAACAGCATTCTTCAACCAAGAGACGCCAACGTACGACCCCAGAGCCCGGACCCACAAACGCCTACTATTGAGTCTGTCAACCAACCACAATATCCTTCGCCGGCCAAATCAGTGAATGAGGAACGCAAATCTAGCGAAAGTGTTTTGGCCGTGCTATCTCCCTCTGGATCAGTTGCGGAAGAGCCAATCGCACGCCCGCCTTCTAGGCCTCGTGTTGGTTTCTCGGAGAAGATCGAGTTTATCCCCCGGCCACTTTCAACTGTTTCTGCAGACACTACCAGCTCCGCATCTACTGTCCGTGGTCATTCAGTAGGAAACAGTTTGTCTTCGGTCATCAGTCTCGGTGGTATTGGAAATCCCTCTCCTAGAAGGACAATGATAACAATCCCCGACCTTTCTTCTGAAGTATCGCCTAGAACGGTATCAAATATGGCATCCGACGCCATGATCAATGCCGAAACGCCTGTCCTAAGCCCTCCTCCAACCTTCAAGCTTCCTAATAATAGCCTGACCTTCGCTCCGGAACCTACTAGCGATGTTCCTCGACTTTCCAAGAAGAAGAACTTCTTGAAACTCGATCGCCGCCGCAGCGAGCCATTGATTTCGCTTACCGCATCAGCGGATATCGGAACTTCGACCATCTCACTGCAAGAGCCTGTGGTTTGTGATGACTCTCAAATCCCCGCGAGGAGATCCAACACTGCCGGCCAAGGTCTGCACCGCGAGTCTTCCCGAAAGAGAGTCAAGAAGTGGGCAACGTCAATTCTTGGTCGTAAAGCCAAGGATGGAAAGAAAACAAAGCAAACAGCCGATACTTCGGAGGAGAGTGAGAATGGTGAACAGACACCTGATCTCGGACCCCAGGTAACAGACCTCTTTGGTGAGGAGCCCGATCTTGATGCTTTGTTTGGTCAAGATCCTTTCACCGATGCCGACGATATCACAAGCCCCTCAATACTCTCACCGCGGTCGGAAATGTCGGACTCATTCTTCCCTTTCCTTTCGCCTTCATCAGCAGGAGGCGATGACACGAGTCCCGTCATCGATCTGGACGCTGCTCTAGGACCTTACGGAACCCCCACAATGAGCTGGGAAGAGTCGCGCCCTGCTACCAAGAGAAGACAGCTTCACAGCAGCAGGCTAAACAGAGACTTCACTGGACCAGGCATGCATTACCACCGTAGAACCGAAAGTGCCCCTGCTTTGGTCCCCTTCGAATTTGCTGGCAGAGCCAGCTCTCCAGCACAATCTCCAATGGACGATGTTTTCGAAGAAGAGGAAGAGGAATTAGACGTCGAAGCTGTCAAAGAACCGAGCATTGGTGAAGCATCGAGTCAGGCAGACGAGGAAATCGGTACTGGCATCCAGGTTGTCGACGCTGCCAACGCACAGCTTGAGCCAAACTTTGACTGGAGCTTCGAAGATGGTCTCGGAATCGAGTCTCAAGGCTCATTGAGGAGTGCTCAAACTTCTGATTATCTCCAGCGTCAGTCTACCCCACCACGCACGTCAGTGGTCGAGGATACCATTGTAGAGGAACCGACACTCTCAGAAACGGCTGCAGACTACGATGAGCCTCGAGCCTCTTCTGTCACAAAATCGTCAGAGTCTAGTGGTGCTCGCACTATTCTAGCAGAGGACAATGGTCTTGGTCTTCCTACTCCAAACAATGCTCCCCTCACACCTACCTCCAATGTCGCCTCAACCTTCTCATCTCCGGATCTTGCGCGCAATCAGGGATCTTTCGACGCCTTACGTCTTGGTACATCAGCGTCTTCAATCGCTGATACTCGTACCATGAGCTCTTTCACTACTGCAGAGCCAACGCCCGAGCTATACATGTCGGCTGATGATGTTCCCTCTTTGACTAGCAGTCGTTCGACCATGATCAGTACCATGTACCAAACAAGCCCCCGTCGCGAGACTATGGATCGACCTGTGTCGGTGGCATGTGGCAATGGTCAGGCAGACATGCAAGCTTCTGAACGCCGTCGCAAGCGCTCAAGCATTCAAAGCTTGAGCATGCTCTTAGGTGGCCCCTTTGGTGAGAGCAGGCACAGTCTCAGAACCGAACAACGTCCTCAAACGGCCATTCCTCCGTCTGTTCACCAAGAGAACAAGAGGAAGAAGGAGAACCGTCTGAGCAAGCTGATGTTCTGGCGATCTAAAAGCGATTCACGTACCAACCCTTTCCAAACCAAGTGAAAGCTATGGTGAGGATTTGGGCATGATTTTTCTTTTTCTTTTCTTTTCTTTTCTTATTCTACATCACCCATTTTCCTTCGTTTCTACTCGCATGTTGCAGGGCCGGTGCATGAGATATTCTACACGTCATGCGGCGCAACTTTTAGGGGTACATTGCTTTTTTATTATGGGCATTATTTTCGGAGTATCACAAGATGGCTGGAGATTGGGGAAGGCTGGGATGATTTTCGATTATGGCTGTGCAGCGCAAAGTGGTGGAGGGGTGGGCACAAGCGAGATTAGAGATTAGCATAGAAAGAGAAATGTATGACGGGCTTTCTTGGCCGAGCCGACACAAACCTCCGAAAGAACGCGCACGCACTGTCAGAGAGTTGCAGGTCAACATATGCGGGAGGTGGCCTACGTGACGATCAAGGCCAAGGATTGCTGATCACAAGTTTACAACTGTAAGATGGTGGCGTTTCAAAAGCTCCAGAAGTGTAATTCTAGGCAATTTTGTGGCCTCTGGGGGAATACGGGGTGAGGCAATCCAAGGGAACGGTCATCTCAGACTTGAGAGTAACAACAGAATGTGCATCGTCTGCTGGACGGTCAGAGGTGGATCAAAGGTTCTTCCTTGCACGAAGTCAGGAACAGATTTTTCGCAGTGATGGTTTGCCTTGTCAAAACAGTCAGCGCCGATCAAACAGGCACAAAAACGCGAAAGTTTTGTTAGGAGGCGCCGCGGATGATCAAACGCACTGCGGACGGCTGAGGCGTGAGCCCGTGCGAGGATATGCTGGGCCAAACAAAATGCACTACCATCCCTCCCCCTGCTTCGTTCCATCATCTTTCCTGCCACTCTCGTTGTGCAGTCTTGCTTAGTCCGCCTTTTCTAATACTCGACTTCTTGAACACTCCCGTCACTCTTTTATCGGGAGCTTTTTTGTTTTCCTTGTCTTACTAGACTTCTCGACTTTTAACTTGATATCTTCCATTTTCCATATTTGCACACAATGAAGGCTTCATTCGCTGCTGCTTCGGTCGCCTTGAGCGCCTCTCTGGCCATTGCCTCTCCTACCCTCGAGGCCAGAGCCTCTGGCACTTCTTCGGGCAGCCTTCCTACCGTTACCGTCAAGGGCAACGCCTTCTTCGCCGGCAACGACCGCTTCTACATCCGTGGTGTCGACTACCAGCCCGGTGGCTCTTCTGACGCTAAGGACCCTCTGGCCGACGAGGCTGGTTGCCAGCGTGACATCAAGTACTTCAAGCAGCTTGGCATCAACACCATCCGTGTCTACACTGTTGACAACAGCGTCAACCACGACACTTGCATGAACGCTCTTGCCGAGGCTGGAATCTACGTTGCTCTCGATGTCAACACTCCCCTGTACTCGATCAGACGCGATAAGCCCGCCATCTCGTACAACGCTGTCTACTTGCAGAGCCTCTTCGCCACTGTTGATGCCTTTGCCAACTACACCAACACCCTTCTTTTCTTCTCCGGTAACGAGGTCATCAACGACGGCAACACTACCGACTGTGCTCCTTACATCAAGGCCGTCACTCGTGATCTCAAGCAGTACCGCAACAACAGAGGCTACCGTGCCATTCCTATTGGCTACTCCGCTGCCGATGTCAGCTCGAACCGCTACGAGACTGCCCAGTACATGAACTGCGGAACCGATGACCAGCGCAGCGACTTCTTTGCATTCAACGACTACTCGTGGTGCGACCCCTCGTCCTTCACCATCTCTGGTTGGGACCAAAAGGTTCAGACCTACAGCAACTACAGTCTGCCTCTCTTCCTTTCCGAATACGGCTGCAACAAGAACACTCGCAAGTTCGAGGAAGTTTCGGCTCTCTACAACCAGGAGATGACTGGCGTCTACAGTGGTGGTCTCGTCTACGAGTACTCTGAGGAGGACTCTGGCTACGGTCTTGTCACCATCTCTGGTTCTTCTGTTACCCCCAACGACGATTTCACCTACCTCCAGAATGCACTCGCTAACAACACTGCTCCTTCTGGCGATGGCGGTTACCACTCTGACGGTACTCCTTCCACCTGCCCTCCCTCTAGCGACACCTGGAACACCGGCAACTTCCAAGGCGAGGACCTCCCTGCTATGCCCAGTGACGCCAAGAAGTACATGACCTCTGGTGCTGGCACTGGTCCCGGTCTTTCTGGCCCCGGTTCTCAGGATGCTGGTACGGACAACGTTGCTACCGCCTCTGCTGGAAGCGGTTCCGCCACCCGCACTGCCTCCGGTTCTGCATCCACTGGTTCTGGCGCCAGCTCCAGTGCCACACACTCTGGTGCTGCCTCGCGCGTCAACATGGGCGAGGTTTCCTTCGCTCCTCTTATCATGACTGGCCTCGTTGCCTTGTCCACTCTGTTGGGTGCCACCCTTCTCTAAGCAAATCTTTTCACTCGCTTCTTCTTCTCTTTCTGTTTTGTCCTCATCTGCATTCCCCGGTGTTTTGGGTCACCATGCGTTTTCTATCATGTTTCTAGAAACCATCAAAGGCTCAATTAGACTCAAGAGCCTGGAGATTTTGTATCGCTGAGGTCTGATTAATTCCAGTATATATTTTTGACAAAATTCTTTCTTACACATGCTACATTTGGCCGGTCTCAAGTCCTAGTGTGATTTTTCATCTTTTTCGTACAGTGTCAGCGAAGATGGCAATTATGTTCCGTGAGCAGATGCCCTATCGAGAGACAGATAATTCCACGTCCTGATACCACTTTGGACAAGTTGATACACCAACCTGTCTTTCAGCATCAGAAATGGCAAGCTAACATGATTCATCCATGAACACAGTCAGACCTTACTATATCTGGACGTAGGGATTGTCAGCACTCATAGCAGGCACGGATTTTGAATGTTGCAAGATGTCCGACGCAGGATTTTGATTTACGACAGCACTGGGAAACTTAGATTTGTATATTGGAACGACTTTGACAACGCAAAAGAGTAGTGTGAACCGATTCTGTTCATCTTGAGACTGAGGATCTCTGCATGTCGCAAGTCTTGCGATCGTAATATGGTTATGTTGGTTTAAACTGTCAGTGATCAGGGAAACCCTGTCTTTTGAGGAAGTGCCAGCCGAGAACAAAAGGATCCGTCCGCTTGGGCTTGAACCTTGATGGGCACTTGAATAGGGCTACATACGTGGCATAAGCATATGTACGGTTTAACAGGTTAATCTGTTCGCAATGATTATGACAACAGCCTGTGTTGCGATGCCACGAAATCCTGCAGGCTTCTTGCTGAATGGCAAGGAGTGAGTATGGTCAAGACGAGGATGTTAATGATTCATTATGTCGAGCAGAAAAATACTCGTATCAGGGCAAAGATTCATGTTCCAGAAAGTCAAAGAAGGTTTGATTACACTATCAAAGAGCTCAGCCAAGGCCAATGGAGGGCGTGAGAAAGCCACAAACGGGAGAGTTGACTCAGTTGAGTGGTTGCAGCTCCAAGGATTGAAGGATTCTTGGGGCCGTATCAGACCAACCAATAGCGTCGATGGATTGAAGGAGCTTGATGAGGACGACTTGAGTGCTGCCTAGCTGCCTCGCCGTATCTCCTGTCGCCAGACCCAGGCGCTTTGTTTCGATATTCAGTAACACGATCAAGCAGCAGACTTGTGGAAGCGACCATGCCGTCACCAGACGAAGCCGTGACCGACGGCTACTTCAATGACCTCAGCCAACAACTCCCCGACCAGCCCACCCAAGCGCAACCACCCAAATCCAAGCGAGTAGCATGTGTGCTGTGTCGCAAACGCAAGCTTCGATGCGACGGAGCAAAACCCTCGTGCGCGACATGTACTCGGCTTTCGCACAACTGCGCCTACGATGAGGTTCGCAAGAAGAGCGGCCCCAAGAGGGGTTACGTGAAAGAACTCGAAGCTCGTTTGGCCCAAGTCGAGACACTCCTCAACAACCATGCTGGCGTCGAGATGCCACTCAATGCCATTGACCAATCTGTCGTCAACGGCGATGACTTGCCAGACATGGGTGGTATTGATCCCGACCAAGGACGTTTGATGCAGGAAATGCGTGTAGGCCAGTCTCCACCTCCAGCCAGTACCAGTGATTCGAATCCTGCTACACGTCAGCAGTCAATGTCTGAGGCCTATGATACCAGACAGCCCGCCTTCTGGGAGGGCGAAATCAAATCACATCCGTGGGGCCCCAACTTGTCAATGCTTGCTACCGGCATGGACGAACCTCTGCCCCCTCCAGATGTCTGTGCCGAGCTGACCGCTCTCTACTTTGAACGTGTTCATGCCTCTGCTCCTATCTTGCACCGAGTCCGCTATCTCATGGCCATGCAAAACACATCACCTGCTCTGCGCCCTCGTCTATCCCTTCAGTATGCCGTTTGGACCTTGGCTGCCAGCGCTCATCCAAAGTATGAAAACATGGTCGACACCTTGTACCGCCGTGCCCGTCACTACCTCGAGCGTGATGAGATGTCTGGCGTAGGCGAAAAGATGATTAACTTGGCCACAGTCCAGGCTTGGCAGTGCATAGCAGCTTACGAGTTCAAGATGATGTACTTCCCGAGAGCATGGCTCAGCACTGGAAGGGCTGCCCGATTAGCCCTCATGATGGGTCTGCACCGTGTCGATGGTCCTAATGTTGATGTCAAGCAATGCCTTCCCCCACCCAAAGACTGGATAGAGAGGGAGGAGCGAAGACGCTCGTTCTGGATGATCTTCGCTGGTGACCGCTATGCGAGCATCGGTACTGGCTGGCCTATGACTATTGACGAGTCGGACATTTGCACAGATCTGCCAGCCTCGGATGAGGCCTTTGACGCTGGCACACCTGAGCCTTCTGTATCCTTAAAAGATGCCCTCACGCCTGGGGGTGCTGATGGCTTATCATCCATGGGTGCGGTTGGTGTCATTTCTGCTCTCTTTGGCCGCAACTTGTTGCATCTACACCGGCACACACCAGATCAAAATGACGGCGACATCAACGGCGTATTTTGGAAGCGCCATCGACAAATGGACGGCACCATTCTTTCTTTATTGCTTGGCCTACCGGAGTCACTGCGGCTGCCCCTCGCCGTCTCCGATCCCAAGGTTGTCTTCATGAACATGTGCATCCACACTTCCGTGATATGTCTTCATCAAGCTGCCATCTTCAAGGTAGAGAAACACTCGCTGCCAGCCAAACTCGCCACCGAATCCAAGATGCGTTGCTTGACCGCCGCCGCCGAAATCTCAAGCTTAATGAAAATGTCCAGTCATCTCGACATGGCTCAAGCTAATCCGTTCATGGCCTTCTCCTTATACGTCGCCGCCAGAGTATTTGTGCAGTATCTCAAATCACGACCTCGTGACGATACGGCTCGAGGCTCACTCCACTTCCTTCTATCCGCTCTTCAAGCCATGAAGAAAACAAACCCACTCGCTGAATCATTCATAGCGCAGCTAGATGTCGACCTTGAAGTAGCAGGCCTTGAGGAACTTCGCAGCTTGCGCGTTCGTGCAGCTCGAGCAGCTCAGGCCCAAGCACGAGAGTCCATGCAATGCCCTTATGCCGATGGAGATGGCAGCCGCCCTACATTCGGAGATAACGGCCTGGCCCAACACTCCAACCCAAAGACAAGCCGAGGAGGCAACCACCCTTCAGGCGGTACCTTCCCACCCGAGGTCGCAGAAATCTTGGCTCAACCACCCCAAGGCAACTTCAAAGGCATCTTCCCTGTACGAGTGAATCTTTCCTCGGACAATTCTACAGCCCATACTTCGCCGCAAACGCTCGGATCCAGTGAGGCAGACGTGATGGAGTTGTGCAACACAAATGGAGTTTCTCCCTCTGATTCATCTTCCTCATCCTCAGGCCCTGCAAACCAATCTACGCTGATTTTCAGACAATCGTCTAACAACTGGCAAACCTTGCAACAATCACAGCAACAATCGCCTGAGATGATGTATGTCCACCAGGTCCCGCAACAAGTCCCTCCACAACCTCCACAACAACAATTCTCGCAATACCAGCAGCAAACGATGCAAGATACACCCATGTCAACACTCTTACCACACATGTCCGATTTCTCCACCACCGAGTTCTCCGCAACGGAGTTTATGAACTTTACCAAGACGGGGGCTTGACTACGACAACGGTGTTGGAACTGGGTGCTGTGGATGAGGGACAACTGTTCCAACTCAGTGATGCCGAGTGGGGACAAGTGATGGGAGAGTTTGGCGATGGGGGAGAGTTTTCTGTCGAGAACAATCTTTTGCAGTGATGAGTTGGAATATTGGGTACGGGAAAGTGGTGAAAAAAGAACGGTTGATGATTTTGGTTTAGGGATTGAGTGGGCTTGCTCAATTAGAAGGGAGCCAAACAAAAATTGTACCAACAAGAATTAGGAGGATGAACAATGGTTTGGGCGGAATATATGAAGAGGCGTTCTGGATGGATTACCGAACTCTACTCGAACAACGTAGTACTGAGTTTCTACGAACTTGACGATCACTATGAATACTATTCTCATCTCTTGATTTTATACTCTTATCTCTTTTTTTATAGCAAGCACTTTTGGAAACGTTCTGATGGAGAGGATTCGAGGAATTTCAGTTCATTTTCATTCGCTGTTTACGAGGCGCTCTGGGCTCTCTTTGCTGTCTCATCTATCCTAACAAGATGCTAAAAATGGTTCATGTCCTATGATGCTTGCTCTCCTTCTCGTTTCGTTTGTAATCTTCTTGCACACCACTCCATACCCTGCACCAATCTCGTCTCATAAAGAAACCCTTCTTACATATCAGCCATACTGATATCGCCGTCACTCTCTTGATTGGCATTAGGGGGCATCTTCTTGACAGGAACACTACCAACGCCAAGCGAAGTCTCTACACCTTCAACACCCTCGGGTGGCGCTGCAGGCATAGAAGGCATGAAGATAGCGGGGCTCGGGCTCAACGCCGTAATAGGTGGCACCACTGGAGTTTCAGCCATGCTGTCTCGGGACACAGGGCGTGGTGTATCGTGTTTGGTAGGAATAAGAGGTGTGTTGCCTGCAGGAAGAGGTGGCAAAGGCGAGCTCTGCATGTGAGGACCGGCGCGGAGGATGTTTGTTGCTGCTGAGGCGGGTGTTACAGTAGAGGTGTTTTGATAAGTGTAGGGTGTAGCGTTGGCGGCAGGTGTGTGAAAAGATTGAGGGTGTGAGGGTGAGGAGCTGGGTTGTTTAGTTGGGGAGTGGGCGGCGGCACGTTGTTGTTGCTGTGGTAGAGCGGGAGGAGGGAAGGAGGTATTGGGACTCTGGAAGAGGCGTCGACCAGAAGGCGAGAGGCTGTTTCTGGATGGTTGGTGATGGTGAGGAGTCGCTGAGCCATTCGTGCGGTGTTCTGAGAGTCCATGAGATGATGACGGTCGAGAGCCTTTGGTGGGCGAGGGCGGACCCATTTGCAAACCACTGGGCTGCAAAACCGGAGGATGTATCGAGTGTGCTGACATGGCGCCGGCATGAGCTTGAGCGTGTAGCGCAGAGAGGTCATTATCGTTAGTGTTTTTTGCGGGAGGTGGAGGAGAACTGCCGTAGTTGGAAGAAGGACGAGCAGGTGGAGGTAAGGCAGTGCCGTTCCATGCTTGCTGAGGGATACCAACTGGTGGAGGACCAGCTGGACGATGGTAGCCTGGTGGACCAGGGCTTTGGCCTGATGGCGAAAGCGAAGGGCCATCGAGAAGGTTGTAGCGTCGGGCGGCCGAACGAGGAGTCGAAGTTATCTCGACAGCCTCGAGCTGGGGACCGCGAGGGGCGTCTTGTGCAGCAGCTTCCTTTTGTTTCAAGTGCAGGTGTAGCTTTGGCTTCTTTTGGCAGCCGGTGCAAATGAAATGGAAATCATCCTTCTCTGCGTCCTTCTCATCGATGCCGTGGCATTTCGAGTGTTGCCAGGTGTTGCACCTTTCGCAAGCAATCGAGTGAGTACCGTCATCGTAATTCTGACCGTGCTTGCCACAAACTGCACAATCGAACATCCATTCGTCATCCTCTTCAGCCAGCGCGTCCAACTCTTTCTGTCTTCTCTCCATCTCGGCCTTCAGGTGACGCTCAGACAGGCGACCTTCAGTTTCATCGCCATTCTCTAAACTCTTCTGGTTCTCTTCGAGCTTGCGAAGCTCTTCCTCATGCAAGATGCGCTTGACTTCGCGCTCCTTGAGCCTCTGTTCTCTGGTGAGCATGCGCGACTCGCGTGCCTGCGTCTTGTTAGTCGTCCTGTCCTTTGCTTGTCCACATTCGCGACTCACATCTTCCATCTTGCTTTGTTTCAGCTGCTCCTTGCGAGCCATCTCAAGCTCAGCCTGTCGTTTCCTCTCTGCTTCGGCTGCCTCCTCTTCGGCCTTGCGCTGTTCTGCCTTGCCAGCAAGTCTGCTTGATCTCTTTGCTGTGGCCATCTTCTGCAAGTTCTCCAATTCCCGTTGCTTTTTGAGCATTTTCTGACGTTGTGCTTCAACACGCTTTTCTAGAGTGGGCATGATCTGTTCGTTGATGCGCTTGACAAGAGCCTTCTCGTTCGGATCCCGACTTTTGCGAAGTGACTCCAGGAAGATTGTGTAGTCCTCGTATGTGACAGCGATACACTCCCATTTCATGCCGCCAAAGCCGTCATCTTCAGTCGTTTCGTCGTTCTTGACTTCCATCTCGGTGGTTTCCTGCTCTTCTCCCTCGGCTTCACTCTCTTGGGCCGAAGTGTCCAGCTTTATGCGTTTACTAGCACGGGAGCCGCGAGACCGGCGTGGCTTGGCCTTTGCTTTGGGTTTGGGAGCGGGAGCGGGTGGTAGCGGTGCGTCGGTGCGGCGATACAAGCGGTCATCGTCCAGTACGAAGTAGGAGCGATCCTGAGAATCCCAACCAAGTTCTTCGATGCGCTGTTCATGTTGTTAGTTTCGGTTTGAGCGGTTCGTTTGGTATGGATTAGTCGCACCCATTGAGTCTGTTCGCTATCCTTCTCTTCCATCAAGCCACGCATACGCTCTGCATTCCAGAGGGTCCATGTCGAAAGTTGATGCAGGACGCGGATTTTTGTGAAGACGTCAAAGTCAGCAAATTTGTTGGGGATCTCATCAGTGCCGTATGGATTGCGCTGTGGTGCTTTGGCGACAAATTGGCGGCGTGTGTATTCGTCAAAGTTGTCGAAGCTGATATGGGTTAGTGGGATGTTTCTGGGTCTGTGGCTGGCTGAACGCACTTGAGTCCTCTATGCGAGGAGACGAATTTGAGCAGGGTGAGGCCAATCTCGGCCAGCTTCTCTGATGATTCGGGTCTTAGACATTCATGCTCTAGATCCTGTCATAGCATTAGCAGTTGATCCGGGGGACTATAGGGCTGGGCGCATACCTCCATGTCGAATTCGGGATCGATCTTGACGGGTTTGCCGAAGAGGTACATGTATTGCATGAGAGCGGCAAACTGCCACATGTTCCGTAGACGGACCAGGGTTTCATTGTGAGGTTGTGCCTTCTCTACGGCGACAATGCTGTTGTCTAGTTCGGCCTCCTGGCGGGCGCGCTTTCTGGCGGGCATCTTTTCTACACAGGGGCCAAGCCCTTGATCCGGTTGTGTCGTTAGGATGATTCGGAGGATGGATGGTAGGTAGATTCCGCCTGAAAGATTTCGAGGAGACGGGCAAACAATAATGAACAAAAGATTGTCGATTCAGAGGTTTGCGCAATTGGATTGTGCGAAGATAGTGAATGCCGCTCGTAGGAACGCAACGCGCATTCGACGTGAAGCTGCACTGTCGAGTGACGGAGTGCCAAGACATGCAGAATCCACCACCAGGGTCTTTCCCGCTTTAATTCTCCTTTATTCCCTTTTTTTTCTCTTTTGCCCATCGGTCCACTTTTACTTTGGCCCAAGGTCCTGAGTACGAGGCTCTTTCCTTCCTCATATCGTCTCTGACATGTCTTGAAACGAATCACAGTCTTTCCAGATGCTTCCTTGATCCAGCCGCCATCATGTCTAATTCTAGTTTGCCCTCATATCACGTCCGCAGCAAGCTCTATATCTCACACTTCCTCTCAACATGGAATTCTCGGTTGTTTGAATTTGGTGCTGTCCTGTTTATCTCTACCATATTTCCCGGTACCTTGTTCCCTGCCTCTATCTATGCCTTGACTCGCTCTGCCTCTGTCGTCGTCTTTTCGACCTTTATCGGTCATCTGGTTGATCGTTCTGAACGCATGCATCTCATTCGTCTGTCAATCAGTAAGTAATCTAGCCTTGTTAATGCTAAATCCTTTCTTTCATCTTGTGTTTGTCCCATGTGGTGGCTGTTCAGGCTTCTTGCTCATCCTCTGTCTTCCCTCCCGTTCGATCAATCGCATTGACCACTTGCAGTCGGACAAAGGGCGGCAACCGCAGCATCATGCATCTTGCTGTGGCTCTTACTAAACTCTGGCTATACCTCACTTGACTCATGGTCTGCGAAACTCGCATTGGTATTCCTGTCCTTTCTTGCTTGTATGGAGAAGCTCTCTTCTGTCGTCAACACCATTTCAATTGAACGGGACTGGGTGGTTGTCATCTCCCAGAAGAACACAGATGACCTGCAAGGTAATTTGTCACTTCTTCATCCAGTGGCTATAGCTGAGAATTAGCAGAGCTCAACTCCCAGATGCGCCGGATCGACCTTTTCTGCAAACTCATCGGTCCCCTGTGCATCGCATTGATCGCTGGCGTTTCCACTAACGTAGCCATTCTCGTTACCTTTGGCATGACGGCTGTGTCTGTCTTCGTCGAATACTATGCCATCGCAAGAGTGTACTACGAAGTAGAGGATCTGCAGCTGCGCTCTGAGCCCTTTCAAGACTCGCAGCCGATCGACGGCCCAGTCGCCTCTCCAGCTGTCGGCAGCCATGCTCGTCAATCATTTCGAAGTTGCATCTCATACATCCAGCATCCGGCTTTTCTCCCGTCCTTCTCATTGTCTCTGCTGTATCTTACGGTCTTGACTTTTGGTGGCCAGATGGTCACGTACCTCCTCTCCGTGGGCTTCAATTCCATCTCTATTGGTCTTTTGCGTACTTTATCCACCATATTTGAGCTCTCGTCGACATGGCTTGCACCCAAGGCCATGCACAAAATTGGAGCCATCAGATGTGGAATATGGTTTCTCAACTGGCAAATTATTTGGGTTGTCATTGCAGTCACTATGCTTTGGATTGAGGTGCCTCAAAAGTATGCCGTCTTGGGTTTGCTTGCCGGTACTATTGCGAGCCGAGTCGGATTGTGGGGCTTTGATCTGTCTGCACAGGTCATCGTTCAAGAGGTACGTCAAGCCCGACTGTTTCATAAAATGATACTGACGTGACACAGGCTGTCGAATCTGACCAGCGAGGCTCTTTTTCTGCGATGGAAGCATCCGTACAGAACACATTCGAGCTATTATCCTTCGCATCCACCACCATCTTTGCTCGACCTGACCAGTTCAAGATCCCCGCCGCTATCAGTGCTGCAGCTGTTGTGCTAGCTGGGCTGATGTATGCTTTCTTCGTCCGCCAGCGAAGGGGCCATCTGTTCCATGCTTCAAAGTGCATGCAGCGAAAAGGTCGACCTACGTGGCAGCCTCTTGCCCAAGACGAGGAAGTTGAGTTGAGTTAATGCAAGTTTATCTCCATGACGGCACAAAAGGATTTTGAGAAGCATGCATTCATTTTCTCCTTGAATGGTTACATCTGCCAAGTACGACCACTCAGAGAGGTGCTTTGGTATCCTCTTTGTCTTCATCCTTGGTCTTCCACGCCAATCTCCTCCACGTCAAACCCTGTCCAGCTCAAAAGTTTTCCGGCATGAAGTCCTTGAACGCGAATGCAGCACCATCAAACTCAAAGATTCTTCCTGGATGACTCTCGCCTTCGGTCAGATCCTTGTGGAGGTCGATCAACTTTTCGTGTGTCTCTCTGGCAAGGCTCTCAGTGAAGTACTCCAGCTCTTTCTTGTTCAAGGGCTTCAACGAGCATTTTGCGAACTGGGCTTCTGGTGTGTCGATAGGCAGTCTGGCTTTGTAAGTGGCCGTCGCATGCCATTCGCCATTTTCTGCGAAAAGTTTGATATCCTCATGATTAGCCATAGCGAAGAGGTCGTGACGGTTGATGATCATAGAATCCTCGTCATGGACATACGATCTCTTAGATGGAAGAAAACGGAGTGCGTGCGTTTTGTCTTGAATGCAGTCCCTGACAATCATCATTTCGTCATACTCTCTTTCTGACCACGTCCAGTCAGGACGACGATGTATTCTCATTGGCGAGATGATTTGAATGCTGCTGGCATGCGGAAAGCGACCTTGGCTGTATGCTTGCTGAAAGGCTTTGGCCAAGCGAATGGTTCCTGACTCGTCGTTCAATCCGAGAGGATGATCGTTGGGCATCTGCGATGCGCTATTGAAGTGAACCCTTCTGCAGACGTTACGAGCGTACATCAAGTCGAACCAATAAGGAACGTTTCTGGGTACGAAGGAGATCGCCAAGCTTTTCAGATGAGGCGCGTGGACGTATTCGGGATCTTTGCCTTTCTCGTGCGACTCAATCAACATGGACTCGCAGACGTACGACACTCTGAGCGACAGATGGCGCAGTTTTGGCATCCTGTCTCGAAGTAGAAGACACATGCGTGGTGATACTGCGCCAAACTGAATCTCACGGCCATTGGTGTCGAGCATGATGCTCACGCAAGACTTTGGCAACGACTTCACAAGTTCAAGAAAGACTCGGGCATCGAAGAAGCCTGGCGAGTGTGTCTCCAGCTCATGTTTATCTTTGTGATACACCTCCTTTGTGAAGAGTGAGAAGGTATCAAGCACAGGAAAATGACTCGGAAGCATGCTTGCCAATCTCATCAGTTGCAGATCTAGCGGAGTCAGTTTGCCGCCCTGTCTGTTAAGCTCCTCATATCGGGTGTTGCCAGACCCCTCGGGCTTGACGTTGAGGGTCAAAGAATGGACTTTCTCCCACGTTCTTTTTCGATTGCGGATGTACCTCTTACCACGTCTAGACTTCAGCTCTTCGACGGAGGGCAGAGGCTTTGCGAACATGTTCTTCGCTTCGTCGAACGTGCTTGACGCCTCTCTCAAACAGTGTCTGTGACCGTAACACGTAAGCTCGTGTAGTTGTGAAGTTATGGCCCAAAAATTGACGTACGGTTCGATGTGGCTCTCAAGGAAACGACTGATGTTGTTATTGTAAAGCACGACGTGTTCGTAGAGCACAGAGGTGCCTGCGTCGTTCCAGAGGTGGGAGACACGGAGTGCCATCTTCAGAGCACCATAACCACCTTGCTCACGAACTTGCACCAAGATGTGCTTGAGAACCTCATTGGGGATATCTTTGATGGTGGTGGGCATGATTGCGTTGACAGTGTTTGATGTTGTTAGATGAAAGATTGATGAAAGAAGTAAGCAGGTGTGGTTTCCTTTGCGAGACAGCTGCACGATTCGAAAAAAGCGCTGATGTTGAGGAAAGAAAGAAGGAGACCGGGTTGACTTTTCTTTTGTTGCTTGCAAGAACCTTCCGGAATCTCGCTGCCTACTCTCGTCGTTCAATGAGTCGTTAGAGGCTGTGATCGTCTTGTGACAATGGCTTGTCTGGTCGTCGTTGCCTTGTCGATGCCTGATATCAAATCTTGAATCTCTTTCCAAGATCGCTGCCTGCCCTCAGAATCGTTTTCGAGGCCTCAAAAAAGTCGATGATATTGTCCGATGGCTCATTCGACACTGGTGTTTTCTCGTGAAAATGGAGCTTCTAGTCGTCGTTGCCTTGCCGATGCCTGATTATCGACTCCAAGATTGCTCTCCTCAGATCGCTGACTGCCGTCTCCCTCGATAATTATGTTGGACGTCTAATTAAATCCTCACCGTTGTTTCCAGCTAGTCATGATGTCTGCTTGAAATTTGCTGTTGTGTTTGAGACTGGTCTTCTTGAGCATCAAGGAAGGATCAACTCTTTTGCAATATTCTACCCCTTCCTGTTGGTTCTGCTTACGACTCGTAGTGCTTCGACTATTGTTTGATGATAGAACTGTCCCACACGTCTGATCATGGAAATTGGTGTCTTGGAGTGAGCACCTGGTCTCGACACTCAAGGCTGAAGTTGCATTCCTTGTTGTAGCACAGACACGTGACATGTGATATCCCATGCATGTTGTCGGGCATGTGATTTCATGCTTCCGACAAAGGCAACGACTTGATACGTGCTTTTCACGATGATACCCATAACGAGTTAAGAGAACTTATGGAAGAAAAAAAATCTGTACTTTTTGCTATGTTCGTGCCATCATGATCAAGTAGTGCTATCGTTGTTCTTCGTGAACCATGAACCATCACCTATCAATTGTGTATCTACACCTCTTCTCCACCCTAGTACTCCACTCTGTCCTTCCAGATGGGAGCCTTTCTCACATCGTCTTCATCCCACTCAATCTTGCCCTTCTCGTTGAAGCGAGCACCCTCATCAGAAATATCGATAACTTTTTTGGTCTCCTTGATTTCTTGAGTAGAGACACCGAGCTCGTCTTTGACGATCCAAAGCTTGGGTGGCTTGGCTGTGATAGCAGGGTGGTGGTAAGCATGCTTCAGAGTCTCTTCAGGAATAGCGGGAGCGGGTTGACCTGGAAAGGCATCCCAAAGTTGGCGACGTAGGGCTGGATAGTTACTCTTGGATCCGTTAAAGAGGAAGGGAGCAAAGAGACCGCCTCGCTTGAAGTGTTCGACGAAAGCATTGGCGGCTTTGTTGTTAGAGTAGGGCGCAATCTGTTTGGGTTGCACACCATTGCCGCCCATATCGATTGGTGCGGTTGCACCTTCTTCATCTGCTTGCACCAGTGCTTCTTCTTCGTTCTCGGCCATAAGTTTGTCCGACAGCGTATTTGTCAGAGGGGCCAGAATCATGTTGAGGTAGGTCTGGTAGATGGCAGTAAGAACAAGAAGAACCACCATCAATTTGGCTGGACCATCTGCTCCACGCGCACCCATGAGACCAATCAAGCAGATCTCTGCAAGGTAGATGCCCACACTAAGGTGCTGTAGAGCTCGACCATATGCATCGCCCTTGGTATCAAGAGCCATTGTCAAGACGTAGAAGACGTTGTAGCGGAAAGCCAAATACAGGAAGTAAATACCAAGCATGGCAAATCCAAGGACCAGCGGAGCGATGCATGAGTAAGAAATCGCAATGACGGCGAAGAGCGTGAATTTGGGATAGGTGTCTCCCCAGCTGAGTCCAGTGAGAGTGACGAATCGTTCGAATTTTCTTCGTGGTGTTGTGTCTAGGAAGGGTGCCAGAACATTGAATATAAGGAACGGCACTATCTGGAAGATTGTCGAAGCAGTGACGGCAACACCCTGTAGGATGAAGAAAGATAAATAGAACGTGCTGGCAGTTGGCAAGTTGTCAGCAAGAAGCTTGGGTGCTTGACCAGGGTTGTTCCAGATTTGTTCTGCGGGGGAAGCATTAGCTTGCTTGGATAGTTACAAAACACAAAACACTTACTAGCAACTGTCGAGGCACCCGAACTGAAAGTCGTGATAAGAAAGACCTGTACAACTTGGAAGGCAAAGTACCATCCTTGCGTACGCAGCTCGATCTGAGCAAGCGTGATGGATCCAGCCTTTCTAGCAGTGACTGCATATATTTTAGCGCAAGACCTCAGTATACAATGGGTTTAAACTTACAGCGACAGATGATAGGAACAAGAGCTAGGATTGCAGAAATCAAAAGGGTGGGAAGCAGACCACCAATGGCGCCCTTTGTCGAGGACGGAAGCTTGTTAACAAAACCAAGTGGTGGGAAAGTTTGAGCAAGATTGTCGATATCGGCAAGAGAGCCAACGAGACCAACAGGGACGGACCAGAAGACAATCAACAATATGACGATGGTGTTTGCGATGATTGTGCGCGCCCAACGCTCAGGCTTGCCAATTGCCAGATTTGGCCAGACGATTTCATTGGGGCTTGAGATACCAATGGTCGCTGCTTCCATCTTCCCTGGCTGTTTCCAGAAGGGGTCCGAGTAGGCAAGCTGTGCGGCACGCTGGGTTTCGAACTCGACAAAAGCTGCAGGAAGGAGTTTCTCGTAACCTTGTACATGCCGTTTTTGAAGAGCTTCGACCTTAGGAATGACTGCTTTCAACTGCTCACGGTACATCTCGATAGCATCCAGTCTTCTGCCAACCATTGCGATGCGCTTCGAGGGCCTTTCTTTGGCGGCAATCCATTGCTGTGTAGCAGTACCTGCTCTCTCGGGGTCATTTGCGAAATGATTCTCCCCTTTCAGATGCTTCTTCGTGGCGATGGTAGACAACTGGATCTCCGACTCCTCGAGCGCAATGGCAGTATCATTCATGTTGTTGACCAGCTTCTCGAGCTCAGTACAATCCGTAGCTAACCAGACACGCTTGACACCGAAAAAGTCTGCTTTGATCCACTTCTCATGACGCATGTCAGGTGGCACACCTGTGAACAGCACTACACGAGTAGACATGCGAGTGGCGTTACGAGGAGTTGTGAGGTATGCCTGACGGAGGTTGATGTAGTAAAGCGTCTCCTTGGTGATGACAAACATGACGAACCCAAGGAAGAGCCATGCACATACAGCATGCCAATAGAGCTTGTTGGGATCTGAAACATTGCTGAAGGTGAACATGTCAAGCTCAGATTGACTGCCGCCACCATTGTAGTTTACCCGAAGCAGAAAGACCCATGTGATGATGGTACCAACAAGACAGATGTAGGTGAGCATGCGGAAGTAACGTATGAAGAGATAGTTGTCCAATGTTTGATGGTTCAAAACGTATTGATCAGGGAGTTTTCTGAAAGCCGAGATCCAGTTGAACATGCCATATGCTGGCTTGGGTGTTTTCTCCCTGTTTCTGTCAGTACGACTCCTTTCCCTTAAGTTAGCTATATTGTAAGACTTCTTACTCTTCTTCCAATGTATTCAAGAAAGTTCGGGGTGCATAGATGCGATGTTGCTTTTGCCGAAGATACAAGAATGCTAGTACCATGGGAATAGCAACGATAAGCAAAGGCACGACGGTGAAAACCAGCTTGTTGTATGAAGAGGAGCCTCCACGATTGTCTCCTTCGCCCATGATTTCTAGTTGACAAAGTCAGCACGCTATGATCATGATTGTATGCAGATGGCGATCGGCGAAAGATGAATGCCGGAGCTGCATACCAATCATGTCGCCGAGCACGTCCGTCTTCAACACACGCTGATCGTTGAAGACCATCTTAGGCGCTGCTGTTGTTCAGCGTCACTATCGAGTGCGATGTATAGATTAAACTCAACACTCTTGATGGTTTGACAAGAAGGTTCGTGTTTCAACTTTCGTGGCTGGCGAGTCGTGACGAGCGCTGACGCAATCCCAGCCTTCTTTGCGGAGCTGCAACCAGCAAACTGGGACAGTGACATGTTCTCTCCTTTTTTTCCGTCCTATATTTCACATAGTCATAACACCTCCAACACAGGTTAGTTGAACATGACAGATGGCAGGTTGTCCTAGCTTCAATATAAAGCAAACAAATACGAGTACATCAAATTCTTCCAAGGCATGGCCCATATCTCTGTCATTGTCATGGTTCGACCGATAGTTCATTCTTGATTCCAGCTTGATACAATATTTCTACTCGAGTAGCGCTAGCCTTCCTGCAAGCAAAAAAAAAAACCCACCAAGCAAGACACAGAATCCGTTTAAGGGAAAAACTCATCATGGTGGCCATTGGCCGCGCGCCCATGCAAGCCAATGGCCACCTCGACTCATGACAAACCGACCACAACCACTCCTACCCGCAGCATCAACCCATAATAAAACTGTTTCTCAGCGACAGTTTTCCTTCAAATCTTTGGCCACACTTTCTTGCCTTCTGGAGTCCGGCTAAGTACTTTGCCAGATTCAGCTTTGAATCGAAGAAGCCCCTCTCCTGCAAATTGGGGCGGCAATGGCAGAACTTGATATTTCGAGACGTCTTCGTTCCAGAAAACGCAAAACGTGTTGGAATTGGCGCACGTCTTGCATGCGTATTGACGCGGCCCTTCGATAGTCCAAAGAGAGGTCTTGGTAAAAAGCTGGCATTTCACACATTTTCCTTTTCTGTTCGCAAACCTCCAGTGACCGCGGGGACATGTGGTTTTGGTGGAAAGCTCGTCCATCTGTTGTCTGAAATCGGCTTGAATGTCTTCGGAAAGGGGTTCGCCATCCTCATTGACAATCTCGTTCATGTGGCTCACAAAGAATTTTGGGATGCTCACATCCGCGGCTTGGCTGACGCCTGCTGCCTTGGGTTGCACAGCAGGCTTGGGCTCCCTACGAGGTCTCTTCGCTGCGCTTGTGTTCTCGACGACAACCTTGGTCCATTTTTTCCTCTTCTTCTTGGATGCTGGCTGTGGGACTTCAGCGTTGTCATTTTCGATGACTTGCGGACCAGTCTCTGGATCAGCTGTGACATCGTCTGGGGTCGTGGTATCGTCCTTTGGGTAGTCTTTGGACGTAGATACCAATAGGTCATCAGTGTTGATAACTTCGCGGGGCTTCTTTGTTGCTGGCGTTGGTGTGTTGTGCTGAGGGCTCGTGTTTTGACGGGTCACTCTTTCCGAACCATTGCCTGTCATATCCCTGATATTCCTGATTGTCTGTCTCTCGGTGTTCAGATCTTGTTGCAGTCGCCGATTTGTGCCGTGCAGGGCAGCAACCTTAGCATGTAGGGCGTCGATCTCAAGTTGCTTGTTGGCGATGATGTGCCAGCAGCCTGAGTTGGCATTCCTGAGCTGCTTGTTGATTGTAATGGCAGAGTCTCTTTCACTGCAGATCTTGTTGAAACGTATCTGGACGAGGTGGTTGTATTGTTGGTCGTAATGCTCTTTCCATGACAAGGGAGGTGTATTGGCTGCCATGGTAGAGGTGATAAACGAAATTGAAAATGGTTGAAATGAAAGTGTTGCGCAAATGAAACAGATGTTGTGTTGATCCAGAGTTGAGAGGAAAGCCCGCTTCACATGTTGTCCTGCTGATTTGCATCTAGGAAAGCGCAACAGCTCAACCACCGCTCTTTCTGAAAGAGCAGCGAAACACACAACACTCAATTCGATGACCTAACTAAGCTTCATCAGACTAATGCCGCCTTGCGTGCACTTCAACTCTAAGCACTTTATTTCCTCTTTATTGCGATGAATCGACATCTCAAGTTTATGCACAGATCGTGAGAAAACAGAGAAACATCAAATCTGAAAACTGTCGCTCAGAAACAGTTCCGGTAGAGTTGCGATAGGCAACAGCGAACATGGACCAAACACGCCGAAGCATTGAGAGCCTAAGATGAGAAGTTTCATACACTAGAATGCCATCAAGACCGTAAGAAGAAAGACATCAATTGGTTTACGCCCGCACAAAAGTGAGTTTTCACATTCTCTGGCCTGTCAATATAGTCTTTTCCCGTGTCCGTCCACAATTTGGAGGCCTCTGATCAGACCTTACACTTGACACCGGCTTTCTGACACATCTCAATCAATTGAGTGCGAGCAGCGGACCATGAGATTCGATCGATGTCAAAGTTCTCTGATGACTCGGTACTGTTCGAACAATGCCCGGCGAGATCCTCCTTCTCAACAAGCTCAACATATCGCAGTTGAGGAAAGTATCGGAAGCCGTCTTGTTCCACAAACCTCGATAAAGTGGTTGTGAACGTGACATCAATGTCGCGTATAACCAGACTTTCCAACGAACTCGGCAGCAAATCTAATAATTCTGTTCTCTGGGAACTGAACTCAGGGATGATTATGTCCTGGCTTATTTCCAAGAAAACGAGCTGCGAGAGTCCTCGAAGGTCAAATTGGCTGATAGAGTCAACCATGCCGTCCGAATAGTAATCGGTGTAATACAAAATCAACTGCAGTCGTTTGAGAGTGTTGGCCCTTTTTTCCAGAACGTCAAGCCACTTCTGATCAAGTCTAGCTTCGAGAAAGGAAAACCCCGTTGACACATACTCGAGCGAATTTAAGTTGCTGCAGTTTCCAATGAGCGTGACCAGCCCAGGTGAGCAGGATTCGACGCCTTCAACTCGCAAGTGTTGTACATTCCCCAACGGTGGCATCTGATAGTTGGCCGCATTGTCTTTGAAAAATTCCCATGTGTTGATGAGGTTGAGAGACTTAAGCGTGGGGATGTAGAAGAGGGGCATATACACTATATCAACATTCGAATGCCTCCAGTTCTGTTTACGAAGAAACAAACATTCCAGCTGCCAGATAAATGGAAGATATGCCTTTGGACGCGGTGCAGAAGTAACAAGTTTGAAGCTCGGGACACTGGCTGTAGAACTACTTTCGTCTTTGACCCACGAAGCAATGCCGAGAGATTGCTTTACCAGCACGCCAAAATGTCGATTGAACGTCATGCGGAAAGACTTGATGTCTAGATGCTTGAGATTGGGCACTAATGTTAGGAGAAGAGCTATTATTGCGTCATCCCTGCCTTTCGCCAAATCAGAGCACCATGTGTCGTGCCAATCATAATTCTCTGATCCTGGATCAAAAGCAGGTATCCTTTGTGTAGACTCAAGACATTTACTCAACAAAGTCTCGTCCAGTGCTCGAGTATCCTCTTCGGGCGTGTCAGATTTTTCGTAATCTTCAAATGTCAAGCAATCTCCCAACGTCTCGAGGCAATTAATGCAACAGCAACGTGAATCCTGTTCGGAGCTACTGTCATCTTCTCATTTCTCGTCTTCTCTTTCCTGCAGACAAATGTACCAGACTAGGTCTGCCAGGCTAGGTCGATCCAACAAGGTACGTATGAATAGCTCCAGTGTTTTGGTTGCTTTCACTCCAATATCAGAACCGACCACTCCATGTATGTCTGGTTCTGAGCCTTTCGACAGTCTGACAAAAGTTCGATAGAGTAGTGGTTGTGCGAGTGCGCACATTCCTCTTGAAGTCAAGCATAGGCTCGAAAGAGTTTTGGTAGCAGTTTTCCAGGCATTGTGTTGTTCTGGCGCTTTGAATGTTTCAGTGGAAAAATACCCCACGATGCAGAGCTGAATATCTTGTGGAAGATGCAGCATCTCGCAAATGGCGATGGTTGCTGGTAATGGGTATTCCAAGAAGTGGCGGTTTAGGACCGAAAGAACGGTGTCTAGAGGTGAGTTCGGACTGGAAGAAGATTAGTACGTGGGTTCGATTAGACACGTGGTTATAGGCCTGAGATTGCGATTGCCTAATACTGTAGAGTAGATTAACAAACGCCTTACATGAGCTTCGACCACCAAATTGTGCATGTTTGGTGATAGGGTTGCATAAATACGATATGCGTTCGTGAATTGCACCAAAGAAACAGGCTTTGATAGAAGAGTAGAAACGTGTTGTTCTTTATTTTTCTCGACTTTGCTTCTCCTCTGCTGAAAAAATAGGTCTAAAAGAGTGGGTGACAGCGAGAGCAAACTTTTACATAGGAAATCCATGCCTAGTTGAGAGGCTCTCCCAAGACTTGTTTCGAGTCAGAACATAGAGTTGAGTGCTACGTCTAGACGATATAGTGTTTTCGAGCTGTCATGCACACTTACTGTCACCAATAGTCAGTAGGTGCTCATTGATATATGAAACTGGGTTCTCATTATCATAGCACCTATCCAAGGGAGTCTACATCGCGAAGGCGATCCCATAGAGCCTCGTGGAGCTCACCCTAGGATACCTCCTACAAATGCTCTGCCGGCAAGTGCTGAGTGCATTGCTGATCAAAAGCGATCGCTTGAAGCAAGTCTGCAGCCAACTCAACAAAGCATTTGCATGAAGTCTCCTGAAATGAACCTCACAAGACACTCTGGGATCACCTTCGTCCGAGTCGCCACATGTTAAGGTGGCTCATGGATTGAAACCGTTAGTCAGGGCGGAGAGGAGAAAACACTACCACTTGGAGAATGCCCAGAGTCTTCATGGCCGATTTTACTCTCTCCATGTCGTAACCTGAGTCAACATATACGGCACCAATGACGGCTTCGAGAAACGTCGCGGCTTGCTTGTCTGAGCAAGGGAGGCCTTCAGACATTACGCAGGCGGCAAGACCTGTCGCACGTGTAACTCTGGTAAGGTTGATATTGCCTAGCAGGTTCTCGCGCATTGTGGTCCAGTTCTCTGAGAGATGTTAGCAGCTATGTGAAGACTGTATCGAAGGCAACAGAAACTGACTTCTGGGTGTATTACCGAGATACCATTCATCTACCATGGCAGAACCCATCTTGCAATCACCAACGACAGCAAGTCTGTAGTTCCCGCCTGGGACACAAAGTGTCAATGCCTCTGTGATATATTTGTTTGAACGGAACCGGTAGCCGATCAGTTCTTCGGTTCGTTGCTGTTGTCGTCGTTGTTCTTGTTGCTGAAAAGAATCCATGTTGGTAATTTTGGTATGCCAGATCGAACTTCGAATGTCGCTGCTGAGCAAACAGAAAAGGGCATTGCAAGACATGTATATGTACTATGAGGAGGTTGGAATAGGTGGCTGGGGATTGCACCCTGTGCACAAGCTTCACCGCCTTGGCCTACCTTGCATTCAGCGAACCACATCGACACATCTTCAATCCAATATTCATGATAGGTCCAAGGGTCACACCATATCACTTAATTTACAATTAGATATCATTCTCCTAAACCAGTAAGATGCTACACACGGCCCGGAATCTATTTCATAGTGCAGTGGAGATCATTACTATACAGTGCTTCTGATATATTGCGCATCTAACACGTGAAGTGCTCAACAAACCACAATGTCGCACAAGCAATATCAGAATATTGCACTGCATATACATACTTGCTATTTCCAGCAGGTCGACTGGAATATATCCCCAAGATCTTCACTGCAAGCCGATAGCACTCGGTTGAGATTTTCAAGAGGCACTTTTGCTCAAAGGGGAGCGCGTGGCTGCTTTCAACATGGCAGCAATGCACACGCACCATGTCGGTGTTCAATACCAATTGTTCGCTGCCTGATCCAGGCTCAAACTTCGTCGAAAGTCCTAATGTTCGAGGTACTCTTGACATTCTATGGAGCTGTCTGAGTGTGCTTCTTCTGTGCACTTGGTCGATTCAGCATTTGAAGATTCCACACCAATGTCGTCCTCGGAGTATACGTCAGCAAACCAACAAGTTCGTGGTTCAGCTAGGTAGCAAGGTGCGATGGATGTTGGTTACTCTTATTGCGCCAGAGTTGTTGTGCGGTGTAGCTGCTGAAGAGTGGTTGACCGCTTGCAAGACTGCCAGATTCATTGCTGAAAGAGCAAAAGACGATGGAATTGATTGGACATCAAGTCATGGTTTCTTCGCGCAGATGGAAGGGTTCCGACTACGTTTTCGCAACCTTGAATCTCAGGAATCTCAGGAACATCAGAGGACATCCATCGTCGCAAAGGAACCGTCACTGGAGAAGCACAGTATCGCAGCACCCTCTCAGGAGCCTTTACTTGGTCGACTCAGTTTTCCGCATGCCAATTGCTGGGGTTATGTCTCCGAGACTTCTCCAAGAATCGAATCGCGGCCAGATCTACTCTCGAAACCCGTGGATGTTGCTATCCGCGAAAAGAGTTTCAAATCAATCCCCTGGGACCTGACTGTTATGTCCAAACAACATGATGCATTGTCAGTATCGTTCGGGCCCGTTGATTGGAGTCCAGACGTTCAAAATGGGGCACTCATCGAGCGAATGATATGCCAACACCAGAACGATCCCAGGGCAGGCGATGTTGCGCTGACCGCCATTAGAATGACTACTGATATATGGACTCTGAGCCTCGAACAGATCCAGCTTGCTCGAAAGTATGGGATCATAGAGACCTTTCCCGATATGGGAAAAGAGGATCTGGATGCAATCAGCAATAGTGATGGCCTGGCCAAAGCACTGGCTGTGTGTCAAGTCCTTTGGCTCATCATCCAAATGATATCGCGCGCTGCATCATCTCTCGCTGTCTGCCAGTTGGAGGTTGCAACTGGAGCTTTCGCAATCACCACATTTCTAACCTACATGTTTTTGTGGCAGAAGCCGCAAGGCGTCTCGAGACCAATTTACTTGGAGGCCGTGCGGAGACCCACAGTCGCTGAGGCGTGGGAGCTGGCGCAATGCGGTCTAGAAGAGACGAGCTCACTTCTCTATCGTGCCAGAAGCTGGAGGCAGTCTCGCGAGCATCTGAAAGCTAGAGCCTTCTCCAATACAATCATGCTGATTTGTGCGACAGCCCTTGGAGCGGTGCATTGTGCTGCGTGGAACTTCGAATTTCCTAGCAGAGTTGAAATGTGGGCATGGAGAGGTTGCGCGTTGGGCTCTACAATCATACCGCTTTTCCTGCTGTTGTGGCATGAGCTATATCTGCGCTTCGCCTTTACGAAGCATATGGTATTCTCGATTGTCATCCTAGTTGGGTTCATGCTGTACGGGTTTACCAGGTTGTTTATCATGGTTGAGATGATTCGCTGCTTGTTTTTTCTGCCAGTGGAGGCGTTTGTAACGACATGGACGATAAATTTGCCGGGCATCTCATGAGGTCATGAAGAGGTATGCAAGCATGTAGCATAAATATTAGCACAGAGCATGTTAGCATGATATTGAGTGTGCCATTCGTGTGAGCAGAGATCTGAAGACCACTCTAGCTGTCTAGAATAGGTGTGTCCTCTGAAATTTTCTATGGTGGAAAGAAAGACGTTTATTGAGATGAGATTGAGGTGAGGAGACTGACGGCATTCATTAGAGAAGGCGCCAAGAGTGGACAAGATTGGGAAGGCGCTGGTGCTAGCGCGTAACGGCGGAGTGGGCAGGAACGACGACCAGAGTGGAAGTGAATGATACAAACACAAGCAGCACACACAGCAACCACATCCGAGCGACGGATGCTGTGAGAGTGAAAAAAAGAGACGACTGCGCATTGGCTTCTCTAATCGAAAGCGACCGTTCTTCTATATCGACCACACGCTCATTTACCACCCAAGGCCCGTCCAACTCGGCCCACGTCCACGCCCACGCCAGCGACAACAAGCACGAGCTTGCATCACCACCACCACCACCCGCAACCCGCCATCACATCCAATCACTCCCGGTCCTTTCCAAAGTCGAGCCAGAAGAAGAAACACAAGATCCTCCGCCATTTGCGTCGCACAACTTCCCGTCACTCTATTTCCCGCCCGAGCCTCAACTCGACGTCCAGCCTGCGCCGCCGCCGCCCGACTTCGAAGAAGGCCCATCGTCATCAGCCTCGTCGCCCTTCTCGTCTGTTGTTCAGGACACCAAGGCTGCCCTTCCACAAGACACCAAGCCTCGCTCTGACAAAGCCCCCGACGACAGCGAACCTCCACCGCCCTACACCGAAGGCACCAGCCCGCTCGACGGCTTCACTTACCTCATGGCCCAAGCCGGAGGTGCTGCGAGCATCATCACCCAGGTCTCTCAGGGTGGTCCTGCTCCCATCAACACAAACACCTTTCACACTTCTCCCGATGAGCACATCAACATCGACCTGAGGTATCCCCCTCGCGCGACCCATTCGCCAACAACCACAGCTGACACTTAACAGAGGCACCCGCTTCACTCTCTCCCGCGATGAGCTCCTCACTCTCCCCGAGTTTGTGCTTTTGTCGCTCTTCCCTAATGGACTCCTCCCCGAAGGTCACATGAACTCGTTCCACGAGCCTGACGTTTATCCCGTCGATGTTAGTGCCGCTCCGCGCCTCATTTCCTCCTTCCATCCTCAAGACATTGCTGCTCTTCAAAACGTCCTCCAAAACCATGATGTATATTTATCTGACTCGATCTATCTTTCCCAGTATGACCCCACTTCTCTGCAATACATGCTAGAATTCTTCCGATCCGTCGCTCAAACAATCCCCACTTCCCCCACCGAAGACTCCCCATCTCCCTTCTCGGGCGATCAAGCCCCTGTGCCCATTGAGCCCATGCAAGGTAATGCTAGAGATATGCTGCAGGACAGAGCTGGCATCATCGTCTTGCGTGAAGATCTCGACTTTTACGTAATTCCTCCAAGGCGCGACATTAGTCACCCTGAGATGGTCCAGGTCAAGCGTGCTGCTGGTCGCGCTCTGTTGAAGCAGGGTGGTATCTTCAGTGGCCTTCGTAAGAGCGAGGAGCCTGGCACCACCGAGCAACATCTTATCGAGATGTTGACCGCTGGGTGAGTTTGATCACTGCATTTATCTTCCATTTCCTCTGCTGACGTTTAACTTCCAGCGGCTTCAACCACGACGATACCTGGGGTCACCGTGCTGGAGAGCCCAACAAGGCCGTAATTTGCAGTATCGCTCTGGCTCGTCTTCGCACTGACGTTCGTGGAGACGCCAACTCTAATGCTGTTGGCATGGCACAGAAGCTACTATTGTTCTGGCGCAAACCCGCACGACGATGCTGGTGGGAGGGTGTTGATCTTGAAAATGTCGAGGGCATTGACGGCACACTCAAAGTTTGGATCCGCAGAGTCTGGACCCTTGAGATGGTGAGACTTGTATCATGATCCTACAATTCTCAATGTGTACTGACAGTTGACTCCAGAGCGTTATTGGTCTCCGCTAAGAGGAGCTGGAACTACACCTTTTATTTTCCTTTCTTGTCCAATTTCCTACCTTCGATTCGACTACTCATACCCCGATAAGACCGAACTTCTTTTTATTCTTGTTTTTTTCGTCGCCTCCACCTTCTCCTCCAGTTTCTCTTGTCTGCTCGGCATACGGGCGTACCACAGCACAATCTGGATCCAACAACGCATTTCTCTCATCTGGGTATCATGGAATCACGGACGCGTCTCGTTTTCAAAACTTTTCTTGTTCTCAGAATGGCATCACCGTGGCACGGTGGATTGCATCGGCAATTGTTTCTTTTCGATCTCGATTTGCGCTTCATCTTTTTCGTCTTGTTCTTGTCTTGTTCCAGGGAGTTACTCTGTCACTCTATCGATTGTCTTTCTTGTCTCTTTGTTCTTCCTTTACTGATATCGGAAATAATATCTTTACTCTTCAATTTGTCGTGTCCATCGTTGAATCTCGTGATAGAGATGGCCATTGGTGTTGCTATCTTGGCGATAGTTCTGTCGCTAGACTGGACTTCGAGAAGCATAACGGCTGATCGTGAACAATTGTGTTGATTACTTATCGGCTTCTCGGCTGAGCTACAGCATGGCAGACGACGAAGATGTTTTTAGTTGTCTTGGTTTGGTCGAAGCTCAATGTTAAGTAGGTAGTTTACACCGTCAGCCTGGAGCGACAGAGGACAATGTCGTTTCAAAGCAATCGATCTTCACACTTGTGACTTTTTGCATCGATCCTGCACTTCTCCTTTCTGATCTTGACTGCTCTGACTAGTTGCAATCGTCGGGCTTGATTTCAAATATGGCTCGGCTTATTATTATTTTGGTAGGTTTGTTTGTTGGAAGTTGCTAGCTATCAACTCATGTGGTTCATGGCTGATGAAGCTTTCCAAAGACTTCGAAAACACATATCTCGAGATATCTCATGAACGACGTGCCTTGAAGTCAGACTACGATTTTATGTCAAGCATTATAGTTCAATCTATCTATAGCATATATCAAAAGCGACAGAAAATGTTGTTGACGCTTGCAATGTTGTTGTTGATGCTTGGAGACGCTGTCGAGGGTATCACCCTGGCTGTGAGATGTGCTTTGGTAGCACAACTTTGTCCAGTCTGTGCACAAATTATGCATAGGCTCCATGAACTTGAACTCGACCTGAAATGATGATTGTCCTTACACGTCTCTCACCGTGGTGCAATGGGCATAGTTGTAACCGGGTAGACAAACAGAAGATGGTAAGAAATGCAGAGTTAAAATTTGATACTCGAGGCCAAACAAAGAAAAAAGAAGTAAGGGAATACAGAAGCGCATATGGGTGGTGTGGGTTCTTGACTCTTGTTTCATCGCAGCCGTAATCGTGGTTCATTGCAAAAGTAGGAAAAAGCTGCCAGAGCCTTTCTCTCTCTTGTTCTCAATCCAGTCACCATCAACTAAACATTTCGACAGTGCAAAAAGGGTGGGTGTGTGGTGACGAGGTAAAGGAAAATGGGTAATCGATTGATAAGAAAAAAACGAAACAACAGGGGAATCCACCATTAGAAACGCCGAGTATTTATGCACAAAGGTTCTCATAGCCCAACGCGAGAAAGAACATAAAAGACACAGAAATTGGTTGCGTGAAAGCGTCTGGTGAGACGCAAAAGGAAAAGGTCAAAGCGGGACAGTACTGCGGAAGTATGCCAGCACATTTGACAAGGTTGCTGGAAAGAGGTGGGTATCTCGAAGACAAAAGACATAACGATCACAAAATCAGACAAGCCTTTCTCTTCTTCTTCTTGCTGGGAGCAATCATTGGGGTGGGATTGTCCGAAGGTCTGCTGGAGGTCTGGGGGCGTTTCTGTTGAGGTTGTTGCGAGGATGAGTTTCCAGCAGTGAGACTACCACGGCTGGCAGGAGGACTGGGATTCAGACCCTCAGCCTCGGCGACGACGGTGTTGATGGCGGCTTCGAAGATCTCATGCACACCGGTCATTTCTTTACTACTGCACTCCATGTAAAGGGCACCCATCTTCTTGGCGACAGCCTGGCCTTGGTGGGTCGTGACGGGAGTAAGTCCTTGGGTCTTGAGGAGGTCGATACAGGTGCGCTTGTTGCGCAAGTCGGACTTGAGACCAAGCAGGATAATGGGAGTGGTCGGGCAGAAGTGGAGAACTTCAGGGTACCACTGGGTCTGTGTTAGTTGAAGCTAGGAGATGCAGAGAGAGCGGTCGAATACCTTGTCCATAACATTCTCAAGCGAGTTTGGGCAATCGATGGCGAAGCAAACGAAGAGCAAGTCGGTCTCGGGGTACGAGAGAGGGCGCAGTCTATCATACTCTTCTTGTCCAGCCGTGTCCCAGAGGGCGAGTTCGACAATCTTGCCCGAGGGCTTGTGTTCGCAGTGGGTGATGTAGTTTTCGAAGACTGTGGGGACGTATTTCTGGAGGCCATGTCAGTTGCGATTCGAGGAGACTCATGGCAGGGAAACACACCTCAGGGAAGACACCCTGGCTGTAGCTGATCAACAGACAAGTCTTGCCGCAGCCGCCGTCACCGACGACAACAAATTTCTTGGAGTAGGCAGGCGGCTCGGTCAGACCGGTGCCGATGGACTCGCGGCCTGAAGATGTGACTGAGCCATCGCTGCGACGGCCGCTGTCTCTTCTTTGGGGACCACGACGGAGAGATGTGACCGAAGCATTTTGGAGTCTTGAGTTGTGTCGGTGTGTGGCCGACATGGTGGTGTGCGGGTGGTGTTTGGTGGTCGAGGAAGTTAGTTTGCCGTGGACCAGTTATGCCGAGGAATGTGCTGGCGGTTGTGTATAAATCTGGCTGGATGTGGATGGATATGGATTGTGGATTGTGGATGGAGGGAGTGGAACGAGAGACTTGAGCGTTTAACACGAGGTCAAAGGGCGGCGGCCTCTTTCAATCATGGTCGACTTTTGTCTGGAGAGGCGCTGCACGCTGTTTACACACGGATCCCGCGTTGCCAGGGCACCGTCCAACTCGCTGCTGCCAAGCCCTGCCGCACAAGCCTCCCCACCACCGCCGGCTCCAGCAGCAAGCATCATGGCTGCCAAACTCAGCACTAACCGATCGCTATCGTAGATTGTCCCTGCTATATCGTCGTTTCCATATCGGGTCTTGCAACTGCTTCGTCCGTCGAGGCTTGCCATTGTCGATTGCGAGATAGACCAAAATCCCCTGGAGTCTAGGTCCAGCACATGGAGTCGAGTTCCCCACACTCAATCTTGCTCCCTTAATAATAGACGGCCGTCCATAAGCGTTTCCTATTTTCTCACCTCTCGTCATTTTCCGCGCCAGAGGTCCTAGCCCATCTTGTTCTTGCCGCGCGCTGTGCTTGCTAGCTGCTCCAACTAGCCTCGCTCCGACAAAATCCTCCGACACTGGTCATTCGTCACCGCCTCGACAACATCAACAACATGTCCAATGTCGCCGTCTCTACCCCGCCTGACCATCCGCTTCAACAAGCTCGTGCCTTGTCCAAAAACTTGCCAGATGCTGGTTTGCTAGGACTTGACCATTGTGCGTCAACGCTCAACCCACTTTCTGTAATCCTCCTCCTAATTGCTAATTTTCCAAAGATTCTCGTAAACTCCCAAAATGGCGGTATCGTCTAAGGCAGTCCCTCCTTCCTATCGTCCGATGGGAAACGCCCTATCTGGCCAAGGTTCAACAGACCTGCCGAACTCCCTTCCTTGATTCTTACTTTGCCATGACGGCGAATCTCGGTACCCACACCTTCTTTATGGCAGCCCTACCCGTATGCTTTTGGTGTGGTTATACCGGCGTCGGTAGAGCGTATGACCATCATGACTCTTTCCAATGCTACAACAGACTAATTTGTCCCTAGCTTGGTGCACATGCTTGCATTAGGTGTCTTCCTGAGCGGTTGGATCAAGGATCTGGTATGCTTACCAAGACCTCTGTCTCCTCCTCTGCAAAGAATAACCATGTCTGGTTCTGCTGCCCTCGAATATGGCTTCCCGTCTACGCATTCGACAAATGCCGTATCTGTAGCCTTCTACTTCCTATACCAGCTGCATACCTCCGCTTATGAGGTTGCTGAACCTCAGAGGACGCTTGGCTTGTGTCTTGGATACTTTTATGCCATTTCCATCGTGCTTGGCCGCATGTACTGTGGTATGCATGGCTTCTTCGACGTGATCGTAGGTAGCACTCTTGGTGCATTGATTGCTGTACTCCAACTGGCGTATGGCACGTCATTCGATGACTGGATAGCTGCTGGATCGTGGACTCATCCTGCGATAGTCTTTGCGATCGTCCTTCTTGCGGTGCGCTTCCACCCAGAGCCTGCGGATAACTGCCCTTGTTATGACGACAGTGTGGCTTTTGCTGCTGTAGTGCTAGGTTGCCAGTTGGGACACTGGCATTTTGCAGGAACCAGCGTCGCAATGGTCGGTGAGGCTCCGGCCACTGTCTTCTTCAGCCTGGAGAAGCTTGGGTGGTTCAAGACTTTGGCGCGTGTCGTTGGCGGCGTTGTCATTGTCTTTCTCTGGAGAGCTATGATGAAGCCACTACTTCTCAGATATCTTCCTCCACTCTTCCGCTTCCTCGAGACTAGTGGCGCAACTCTGCCTCGGCGATTCTTCACACGGGCAAGGTAAGAACTGCTTCACGCTCAGAAGTAGCCAAGTCTGACGTGCAGCAGCGAGTACAAACGAGTACCACCTCTACGACAGGACGACAACGTTATCCCGTCCGCTTCGGATATTCCAGGCATGCTGTCTAATCTTCGCCATCCTCGCAAACGCGGTATCTCGGTCGGACCACAATCGGAGGCAGATGCTCGCGAATTCATCGCCAACCGGGAACGAAAACGTAGAGAAAGTCGTTCGTCCGCGGATGGCAATGATTCTCGACCTCAGCTGATCAAGCCATCGGGCGGATCTTTGGAGCTAGAGTCCACAAAGCAGAAGCGTCGTGAGGATGAATTGGATTCATTCGGAGTAGCCACGCCACTAGCAACGCCTGGCCAGAAAGGCGATCTACTTAGGCCTAATCCATTCACTGCCTTGCCTTTGACACCGCCAGCAAGCGATAGTGGCAACGGGAGTGACATGGGGAGAGAGGACAAAGAAGATAGGGAGGATGCAGAACAAGATCACCAGATGTTCCTCGCGTTGGCAAAGCCGCGAGTACGGTACGATGTCGAAGTTGTGACCAAGCTGGTCATCTATGCAGGTACGAAGTATTTTCTTAGCCAAAGTGAGGTCGACTAACACGCTCACAGGTATTGCTTGGCTTGCTGTAGAAGGCAACCCATTGCTCTTCGAGTTCACCGGGGTTGGTAAGCGCAGTGTACTTTGATTGTTTCAAAAAGCGGAAAGTGCATGAAGATGATGATTGTACAAAAGGACACATGGACCCGATAGATAATGTTTAAATGGCAGGTGCGAGTGGATTATGTAAATTTCTCAGCAATACCACGGTAAACCGGACTGTTCCTGAAAACAAAAGAAGGTGCGGTGAAGACGTTGGATGCTTCGAAAACATGAAACACGCGCGGAGAGTGAAGTGTGGCGGTGTGGCTCAATTCTGTGGCGGAGGAGATTCAGGGCGCGTCAAACACCAGCGAGCTACAATTCCATAGGCAGTCTACCAATCCATTCACGTCCATACCTCGATACGGCAGTCGCAAACAGGAAGCGACATAGCAACAGCCAGCTTGCGCCCTTTCCTAAACTTCTACATCTACGGCAACAATCCATTTTCACCATCGCACTTTCCGCGCACAGCACTATCCCATAAACGGCCGGTCTCTCATGTCGGATTTCCTGTCAACAGCACACAACTAAGATGGAGGACCCTTTGGTCCCGGCCACGAATGGTGCGGCCATTGGACGATCTGTATCACCAGCTCCGCCGCCCACTTCAACGATAGATCCACAGTTGATCATCTCGTACCTGGAGTCCGTCCTCCAAGTCACCCTAGGCGCATCGAGAGAGGAGCTACAAGCCAACAACAGTTTTTTGAGTCCGGACAACTTGCCAGAAACACTTGCGCGATGCCAAAGGTTCGCTTCCGAAGCTCAGGTTGCCATATACGTGCAGCAAGAGGCCCTGGATACTGCAGATGGCGTCCAGGGCGATGGCGACGCTCGTGAGTAACCGTCTCGCTTATTGAAAGCCTGCTCGTTGCTGACTGACTGCATCTAGTTGTGTCAACGCAATCCACTTATCTCCTTGATTCAAAGCTTACCTACACGCCATCAACCGCTTCGTGCGTTGCCATACTCAAGCGACCGGTGCCCATCCTACCAACCGTCCCCATCAGCAGCCAACTGTCTGTGATTAACCTGCCTGGCGCAGGTGCCTCCTTGTCCACCAACCCTAATGCTGGCTCTTCCACATCGCCATTTGAAGCTCTCCACTCCCTTGTACATTTTGCCTTAGCTCCCTACTTCGACGCCTGCACAAAAAGCCAAGAATCAAATCATGCGTATACCAAACACACGGATGCCGAGTCTCGTACTGGTATCCCTGGAGCAAAGAGGAGGATTGCCGAGCTTGAACTCAGTCTGCGGAATCTACAACAGAACATCGATGTGCCCGATCTGCATCTACCTATACACCCCGTAATTCAAGCTGCCGTCGACGAAGCTGCTGCTCGTGGCGAGAAGCCCACCTCAGCACACCTGCCACAGTCTTTGCTCACTGATGCTCACTTTTTGAACAACCTACAAGCAGCCGTCAATGGCTGGATCAAGGCTATCCAGGAAAGTACTCAGCGCTCCCGCGACCCTAGCACTGGTACGGCCATGCAGGAAAAGAATTTCTGGTTATCCATGGAATCTGCTCTGGACAGCATCGAACGTCAGCAGAATAGTGATCCGGTACGCCTGTCTCTTGACGTGCTCAGCCAGGCCAAACGTCATGCGACTGCTGTCAGTTTCCATGCGGATACTGGTTTCAAGGAGGCTGCCGACAAGGTGATCAAATACAACCAACTAATGCGAGAGCTTCCATTAGAAGAACTGCTTGCCGCTGCTACTCTGGTCAAGATCCAGGAAGCACTTGACCAGGTCTTTCAGCATATCAACAAGAAGCTGCGAGTGTGTGCATACCCCATTCGTCGTGCTTTACCCTTGGTCGAAGCCATTTCTGGTGACCTGGACACCAGACTTCATGAACTGCTCCATGGACGTAGTCTTATGCATCTCGACTTCCAGGAGTTCCAAGAACTGATGGCGGCGACAGATAAGATTTGGGACATCTGGGAGGAGAACTTCAAGGAGTTCGCCAATGCTGCAAGAGAAGTCATCCGACGCAGGGGCGAAAAATTCATCCCCATCAAGATCGATCCACGACACAAGCAGACCAAGGATCGCTTGAAATACATCAACACTTTCCGTGTCAACCACGAGCAGCTCCGTGACACTATCGCGAACGTTCTAGGCGAGGAACAGGACAGCGTCCACAACGATGGTGTTTCTGGCCCAGTCATCATCGAGGAGATGGGTGACGTCGATGCAATTGATGAAATCTCACAAGCGTATTCCGTCCTGAAGGATGTGGATGTTCTTGACGTTTCTGAGGAGGGTACTCGCATTTGGGTGCGTGCAGAAGCCACATACAATGAACGCACAGCACGCGTTGAGAATTCGATCATTGCTCGTTTGAGAGACCGTCTAGCACTTGCCAAGAACTCAAACGAGATGTTCCGTGTCTTCTCAAAGTTCAATGCTCTCTTTGTCCGACCAAAAATTCGATCTGCCATTTCTGAGTACCAAACGCAGCTGATCGGAAATGTGAAAAACGACATTGCCGCGCTACAGGAGCGTTTCATGCATCCGTATGGTCACACTGAGACACATGCTATGGCTCAGCTGCGTGACCTGCCACCTGTCTCTGGTGCCATCATCCGCACTCGTCAGATAGAGAGACAGCTAAATGCATATATGAGCAAAGTTGAGGACGTTCTGGGCAAGGACTGGGCTCTTCACGTTGAAGGTCAGAAGCTTCAAACTGAGAGCAACATGTTCAGGAAGAAGCTCGACGTCAAGCCTGTGTTCGATGAGTGGTTGAGAGATGTCAACCGCCGCCAACTCTCAGTTTCTGGCCGCCTGTTCGCTATCAGTCGCAATCGAGCCAGCGGCAACATCCTCGAACTGAGTGTAAGCTTTGATGCCCAGGTCATCACCCTTTTCAAGGAAGTCCGCAATCTGCAGTGGCAGAAGTTCACAATTCCTCACGCCATCAACAACACTTCGAAGGAAGCAAGACGTGTCTATCCTTATGCCGTCAGCCTGATGGAGAGTGTCAATACTTACGCTCAGACCATTAACGTGATTGACAGCATGCCTGAAGTTTCGATGCTTGTCAATGGCATTCGAAGTGAAGTGCAAGGCCTCATCGCGAAAGGCACTCCTCTGAAGTGGGACAGTTTGTCGGGTGCTTACGAAGTCAACGTTCGTCAAATACCTACTGGCTCCTCGGATCAAACGGAAAGTAAGCACGTCAAGTTCATCAGAGATTTTGCCAAGGCAATTCGTGATTTACAAGAGAAGACATCTCTGGTATCTTCAATCAACATCGCTGTACAAGCTGCGCTCACTGAGCTCGAAACATGTCCATACACCCAAGAAGCATTCAAACAACAGATTGATATCATCCAGAAGTCCGTCGATCAACTGAACTTAAAGAACTTCTCAAATCTCGCCCTTTGGGTCGCTGAGACCAACCAGAAGATCCAAGTTGTGTTGTTATCTCGTTTGCAACACGCTTTGAGGCAATGGATTGCCATTTTTGCCGCACTGAAGGACGATGATGAAGATACTGAGGACGTCGAGCAAGAACGTGATGTACCTCACTTCGAGCCCTGCATGCACGAGATGGCCATGCGCAATCAATCAATTTATCTCGATCCACCGCTCGAGAGTGCAAGAGCTACCTGGCTTCAGCACCTTCATGACTGGCTCAGTATCGTCTGCGGTTTGCCGAAGATTAAAGCCGAAAGATTTGAGATTCTTGGCTTCAATCAAAACCCTGTCGCTGCCACTTTCTCTGACCTGCCATTGCTATGTGTTGAACCTCTTTCGAACGCATATAATGCAGTGGAAGACAAAATCTCCGTGATCGGCGGTTATGTAGACCAATGGCTTCAATTCCAGTCTTTATGGGATCTACAGTCTGAGCAGGTGTACGAGTATCTAGGAGAAGACCTTGCAATGTGGTTGCAGCTTTTGCTCGAAATTCGTAAGAAGCGCGAGACCTTCGACACAACTGAGACCGTTCGCTCCTTCGACCATCTCACGATTGAATACGAACAGGTACAACTCAAAGTCAACGCCAAGTATGATCAGTGGCAACATGAGTTACGTACACAGTTCGCCCAAAGACTTGGCAACCGCATGTCTGAGGTGTTTGCTGCACTTCAGAAGGCCAGACAGGAGTTGGAAGGACAGTCGTTGGAAGCCAGCTCTACCGCCCAGGCTGTAACGTTCATCACCACCGTTCAACAATGCAAGCGTAAGGTTAAGGCATGGGAGCCTGAGATCAGCACTTTCCGCGACGGCCAAAAGACACTAATCAGACAACGATACCAATTCCCTAATGATTGGTTGTATGTCGAGCAGATCGATGGTGAATGGACAGCCCTCAATCAAGTTCTCGACCGCAAGAGCAAAGTCATTGAGGATCAAACCGATGCTCTCAAAGCCAAGATTGTCGCAGAAGACAGAGTTGTGGCTGGGCGTATCACTGAGATGACTGCCTCCTGGAACGACAGCAAGCCCGTGTCTGGTACCATACCACCCGAGGAAGCAGTATCAACGCTTGCAGAATTTGAGACTGGTTTCGCACAGTTGAATGAGCAATCAGAGATGGTCGCCAGAGCCAAGGAAGCGCTCAACCTACCGCCTAGTGCCGATTACGGTCTCGTATCACTCCTGGAGGAAGTTCAAGACTTCAAGTCTGTATGGGCAAACCTGAAGATGGTTTGGGATGGATTGAATGAGCTCCGCGAGCAACTGTGGTCTAGCATTCAGCCCAGAAAGCTTCGTCAATCTCTCGAGAAGCTCATACAGATGACCAAGGAGATGCCTAGCAGAATGCGCCAATATGCAGCATTCGAGCATGTGCTCGGTGTCCTTCGTGGGCTTCTCAAGGTTAACCCCATCCTTTCAGATCTGAGATCAGATGCCGTCAAGGAAAGACATTGGATCAAGATATTCAAAGCTCTCAAGCCATCTCAGCGTTACTCGTCTATTTCGATGACACTGGGCGATATATGGGACTTGCAACTTGGGCCTAGTGAGGTTATCATCAGAGATGTCATCACCCAAGCTCAGGGAGAGATGGCGCTCGAAGAATTCTTGCGTCAAGTCAAGGATACATGGCAAAGCTACACACTCGAGTTGGTAAACTACCAAAACCGTTGCAGGCTCATCCGTGGCTGGGATGATCTCTTTGCCAAGTGCAGTGAACATCTTAACTCTCTACAGGCCATGCGCCACTCGCCGTATTACAAGGTCTTCGAGGAAGACGCATCTACCTGGGAGGAGCGTCTCAACCGCGTTCATCTTCTGTTCGATGTGTGGATTGATGTGCAGCGTCAGTGGGTGTACCTTGAAGGAGTCTTCACTGGCAACGTTGACATCAAGACTCTTCTTCCGATGGAGTCTAATCGCTTCAACAATATCAACACCGAATTCCTGGCTGTCTTGAAGAAGGTCTACAAGTCACCTTTGGTGCTTGACGTACTCAATATTCCTGGTGTACAAAAGTCTCTTGAACGTCTCGCCGATCAGCTGAACAGGATCCAGAAGGCTCTCGGAGAATACCTTGAACGCGAGAGAGTTTCATTCCCTCGCTTCTACTTCGTTGGTGATGAGGACTTACTCGAGATTATTGGCAACAGCAATGACACTTTGCGCATTGCTAAGCATCTCAAGAAAATGTTTGCTGGTATCTCTGGGGTCGTTACCGACGAAGAGGCCAACATTACTGGTATCACATCACGAGAAGGAGAACAGGTCATGCTCAAGAAGATTGTCTCCCTCTCCAAGACACCCAGGGTCAATGAATGGCTAGGTGCACTTGAGACAAACATGAAGGAAACTCTTGCAGAGTCTTTCACCGACGCATTTGCTGCCTTTGACGGGCTTGCTGGCCAAGCCAACATCGATGGCTCTGCTTTGGAAGCTTTCATTAATGAGTACCCTGGTCAGATTGTTGTACTTGCTACTCAGGCGTGCTGGACAAAGTGGGTTAGCACCGCGCTCAGCGAAGGCGGTGCTTCATTGCCACAGCTGTTTGATCGGTTGGTGGAGGTCTTGCGCCTGCTCGCTGCTTCAGTCCTGGGCGACTTGGATGCTCTCTACAGGAAGAAGTGTGAGCATCTGATCACAGAATTCGTGCACCAGAGAGACACGGTGGAAAAGCTTATCAAAGCTGGTGCTGACTCTCCTACTCACCACCTTTGGCTGCTCTCGATGCGCTACGAATACCAGCCTGAAGCTGAACTGCTCGACCGCGTCCAGATCAAAATGGCGAATGCCGTTCTCGCGTATGGCTTTGAATACCTTGGTGTACCTGACCGCCTTGTTCGTACGCCATTAACAGATCGCTGTTTCCTCACCCTCACACAGGCCCTTTGCCAAAGACTTGGTGGTTCGCCATACGGACCCGCAGGTACTGGTAAGACCGAATCAGTCAAGGCTCTAGGTGTTCAGCTCGGTCGCTTCACTCTGGTCTTCAATTGTGATGACACTTTTGACTACCAAGCCATGGGCAGAATCTTCCTCGGTATATCGCAAGTCGGTGCCTGGGGATGTTTCGATGAATTCAACAGACTGGAAGAGCGTATCTTGTCTGCTGTCTCGCAACAAATTCAAAACATTCAGCTTGGTCTGCGCAAGAGCACTGGTGAACAAAAGGCACAGATTGAGCTTATCGGACGCCAACTTATCGTACATCAAAACACTGGTCTGTTCATCACCATGAACCCTGGCTACGCAGGTCGTTCGAATCTGCCCGACAACTTGAAGAAGTTGTTCCGCAGTGTTGCCATGTCCAAGCCAGACAAGGAGTTGATCGCCGAAGTCATGCTTTACTCTCAAGGTTTCTCACAGGCCAAGCCTCTCTCAAGACAAGTCGTTCCCTTCTTCGACCGCTGCGGTGCTGGTCTCTCGAAACAACCTCACTACGATTTCGGCCTTCGTGCCTTGAAAAGTGTCCTCGTCAGCTCTGGCGGCCTCAAGAGATCACGTCTTGTGGACAATGCTGGAGAGACACTCTCTGAGGAGATCGTGGAGCCTCAAATCATTGTACAGAGTCTCCGCGAAACCATCGCACCTAAGCTTGTGCGACCCGATGTCGATATAATGCGCCAAGTTGAGGATGAAGTCTTCCCTGGCGTACAATATGTGCCAGCTGAACTGGCCGACCTTAAGCAGGCAATCAGAGACATCGCTGCTGAGAACAAGTTGATTGCAACTGATTCATGGATGACCAAGGTTCTCCAGCTTTACCAGATCCAAAACATTCATCACGGTGTCATGACTGTCGGAAGCTCAGGCACTGGTAAATCTACCGCCTGGAAGACTTTGCTTGCTGCCTTGCAACGTGTCGACGGTACCGAAGGTATTTGTCACATCATCGACCCCAAGGTCATGTCAAAGGAAAGCCTTTATGGCAGTCTTGATGCAACTACACGCGAGTGGACCGACGGTCTTTTCACTAGCATCCTCAGAAAGATTGTTGACAATTTGAGAGGCGAAGACAGCAAGCGTCACTGGATCATCTTCGATGGCGATGTCGATCCTGAGTGGGTAGAGAACTTGAACAGTGTTCTCGATGACAACAAGCTGCTCACATTGCCCAATGGCGAGCGTCTAAATCTTCCTCCAAACGTTCGCATCATGTTCGAAGTTGAGACACTCAAATATGCCACTCTTGCTACTGTCAGTCGTTGTGGTATGGTCTGGTTCAGTGACGACACTGTAACCACTGAGCTCATGATCTCAAACCACCTTGCTGAGCTCCGCAGTGCCAGCTTCGATGATCTTGACGAGGACTCTATCCTCACTTCTCAGGCTGCTGCCGCAGTGGAAGCTGTGCAAAACCAAGTCGCTGATTTGCTTCAAGAACGTCTTGCATCAAATAACTTCTGTGCCCAAGCCCTCAGCGAAGCCAAGGGCTACAACCACATCATGGAATTCACAGAGATCAGAGCTCTCACCACGTTATTCTCTCTTCTACGCAAGGCCTGCAGGTCAATCATTGAGTATAACGTACAACACCCCGACTTCCCCCTGGAGCTCGAACAAATCGAGTCTTTCATGTCGAAAAAGCTTGTCCTTGGCCTTATTTGGTCTTTCGTGGGAGACTGCCCTCTGACCGACCGCAAGACTTTCGGCGATTTTGTTGCCAGTCTTGCCTCCATTGATCTACCACCCTTGGTAGACCAAGGATCAATGATCGACTATGATGTCGTTCTTCCCGAATCGCAGTGGGTTCCATGGTCGAACCAGGTTCCTTCCATTGAGGTCAACACTCATTCCATCACCCAGACTGACGTTGTCATTCCAACTGTTGATACTGTGCGCCACGAAGATGTGCTCTACTCATGGCTTGCCGAGCACAAGCCTCTCCTACTCTGCGGTCCTCCCGGATCCGGTAAGACTATGACTCTTTTCAGCGCTTTGAGGAAGTTGCCTACTCTTGAAGTCGTTGGCCTCAATTTCTCCAGCGCCACCAGCCCCGAGCTTCTAGTCAAGACACTCGAACAATACTGCGAGTACAGAAAGACACTGAACGGCACAACTCTTGCACCTACACAGATCGGTCGTTGGCTTGTATTATTCTGCGATGAGATCAACTTGCCCGCTCCCGACAGATATGGCACCCAAAGAGTTATTTCGTTCCTCCGCCAGATGGTTGAACACGGTGGCTTCTGGCGTACTGCCACAAAGACTTGGGTCAGCCTCGAGCGTATTCAATTCGTCGGTGCTTGCAATCCTCCCACTGATGCTGGCCGTACGCCTCTTGGTCTGAGATTCTTGAGACACGCTCCACTCATCATGGTCGACTACCCTGGTGAACTGTCTCTCACTCAGATCTACGGTACATTCAATAGCGCTGTGCTCAAGATAATCCCTTCGCTCCGTGGGTACTCAGATGCCCTGACAAAGGCCATGATTCAGCTGTACTCTGAATCGCAAAAGCGTTTCACTGCAGACATTCAACCTCACTATGTCTACTCACCTCGTGAGTTGACTCGCTGGGTACGTGCTGTGTACGAGGCGATCAAGCCTCTTGAAGCTCTCAGCTTGGAGGGACTAGTCAGAATCTGGGCTCACGAGGCCTTGCGACTCTTCTCTGATAGACTGATCGCCGAAAATGAAAGACAGTGGACTGAAGAAGCAGTCGACAGGATTGCACTCGAGCACTTCCCCAATGTTGATGAAGTCGCTGCTCTGCAACGCCCCATACTCTACTCTACCTGGATGTCCAAACATTATGAGCCTGTCGATCGCGAGCAACTCAGAGACTACTTACGCATCCGTCTTCGCCAATTCTGCGAGGAAGAGCTTGATGTGCCTCTCATCCTCTTCAACGATGTTCTTGATCATATCCTTCGCATCGACAGAGTCTTTAGACAGCCTCAAGGACATCTCATCCTCATTGGTGTCAGTGGAAGTGGCAAGACCACGCTTTCCCGCTTTGTTGCCTGGTCAAGTGGTCTGAAGGTCTTCCAGATCAAGGTCCATGGCAAGTACACGGCTGAAGACTTTGATGACGATCTGAGAAATGTTCTCAGAAGGTGTGGTGTTAAGGGCGAGAAGATTTGCTTCATCATGGATGAATCCAACGTTCTAGACTCTGGTTTCTTGGAACGTATGAACACTCTTCTTGCCAATGGTGAGGTCCCCGGACTCTTTGAGGGCGATGAATTTGCTTCTCTTATGACTGCGTGTAAGGAGGCTGCCCAGAGCAAGGGCCAGCTTTTGGACTCTCAAGAGGAGCTTTACAAATGGTTTACGCAACAGATTGTGCAAAACCTTCACGTTGTCTTCACCATGAATCCTCCTACTGAAGGTCTATCTTCGAAGGCAGCCACAAGTCCTGCTTTGTTCAACAGATGCGTACTCAACTGGTTCGGCGACTGGTCCGATCAAGCACTCTTCCAAGTCGGCTATGAGCTTACCCAATCTGTTGATCTCGACCGATCATCTTACGTCTCACCTGACAGCATCCCTGTCGCCTACCGCCAGCTGCAACTTCCTGCTTCTCATCGTGACGCTGTGGTCAACTCCATGGTTCATGTACACCACTCGATGCACAAGTTCAACGCTAGACTTCTGCGTCAACAGAACAAGACGACCTATCTGACTCCTCGTCACTTCCTCGACTTCTTGTCTCAGTTCGTCAAACTCTACAATGAGAAGCGTGATGACTTGGAAGAACAGCAACGTCATCTCAATATCGGTCTGGACAAGTTGCATGAGACCACCGTACAGGTCTCTGACATGTCGAAGAGTTTGACTGAGAAGAACGTGGAGCTGCAGACCAAGGATGCCGAAGCCAACGAGAAGCTGCAACGTATGATTGCTGATCAACGTGAGGCTGAAACTCGCCGTGCTGCATCACTAGAGGTTCAGAATGCGCTGGTCGAACAGGAGAGAATCGTCGCAGAGAGAAGAGAGGTGGTCCTTCACGATCTTGCCCAGGCCGAGCCTGCCGTTATTGAAGCACAGAAGAGCGTCAGCAACATCAAGAAACAACATCTGACCGAAGTGCGTTCCATGCAGAACCCACCTTCGGGTGTCAAGCTCGCTCTCGAATCTGTTTGCACTTTGCTCGGCCACAAGGCACCAGACTGGAAGACTATTGTGTCGATTGTTCGTCGTGATGACTTCATTGCCAGTATTGTCAACTACGACAACGAGAAACAGATGACCAGCAGTCACCGTATCAAGATGCAAAGGGAGTTCTTGTCCAAGGACGATTTCAGCTTCGAGCGTGTCAACCGTGCCAGTAAGGCCTGTGGACCTCTTGTCCAATGGGTTGAAGCCCAAGTAAACTATTCAGCCATCCTTGACCGTGTTGGTCCTCTCAGAGAAGAAGTCACTCAGCTCGAGGAGGAGGCCCTGCAGACCAAGGCCAACGCACAAGCAATCTTTGCCGAGATCAAAAAGCTCGACAACAACATTGCCACTTACAAGACGGAATATGCAGCTCTTGTCAGTCAAGTCGAAGCGATCAAGAGCGAGATGGCTCGGGTCCAAAGTAAGGTCGATCGCAGTTCGCGCTTGATCAGCAATCTGTCTTCCGAGCGCGAGAGATGGGAGAACTCCAGCAAGTCTTTCGACGCACAGATGGATACAATTGTCGGTGACGTCTTCCTTGCCGCTGCTTTCCTTGCCTATGGTGGATTGTACGATCAGCAGTACCGTAAGGCTATGCTTGAGGATTGGGCTTTCCAACTCGCGGCTTCTAGCATTCACCACAAGCCTCACAACCCAATGTCTGAGTATCTCTCTACCGCAGATGACAGATTGCAATGGCAGCAAAACTCGTTGCCTGTTGATGACCTCTGCACGGAGAATGCCATCATGCTTCAGCGCTTCAACAGATATCCTCTGATCATCGATCCCTCAGGTCGTACTGTTGAGTTCTTGCAGAACGAGTGCAAGGATCGTAGATTGACCGTCACAAGTTTCCTTGACAGTTCTTTCACCAAACAATTGGAGAGTTCGTTGCGTTTCGGCAATCCTATTCTTATCCAGGATGCTGAACACCTGGATCCTATTCTCAACCACGTTCTCAACAAGGAGTACCAAAAGACTGGTGGTCGTGTACTCATCCAACTTGGAAGACAAGAGATCGACTTTTCGCCTGCGTTCCGACTGTACCTTACCACTAGAGATCCTTCGGCAACCTTTGCACCAGACATCTGCAGTAGAACCACTTTCGTCAACTTCACGGTTACTCAGAGCAGTCTGCGCACCCAAGCCCTCAATGATGTACTCAAGTCGGAACGTCCTGATGTTGATGAGAGACGCACCAACCTCGTCAAAACCCAAGGTGAATTCAGACTGCGTCTTCGTCATCTCGAGAAGCAGCTTCTTCGCGCTCTCAATGAATCACAGGGAAATATTCTCGACGATGACAAGGTCATTCAAACGCTTGAGACACTCAAGAAGGAAGCCAGTGAGATTGCGGTCAAGGCTGCCGAGACTGACGGTGTCATGACAGAAGTGGAACGTATCACTATGTCTTACGATGTGATTGCGCAGTCGTGTTCTGCAATTTTCGCTGTGCTCGATCAGTTGCACCACATCAACCACTTCTACCAATTCTCGTTGCAATACTTTGTGGATATCTTCCACGCTGTACTCCGCACATCTAAGAGCAGACCTGCTGGAAGCCACGAGAATAGGGTTGACGCCATCATCAAGGAGATATTCATCAGTACCTACCGAAGCACGGCTCTTACTCTGCTGCAGAAGGATCGCATCACCTTTGCCATGCTTCTCGCACAAGCCTCACCCTTGAAGATGGACAAGTCTTTGATTGACAAGGTGTTGGATGAGGACCTGAAGGGCGTCGACTTATCGACCAATCCTGAGCTCAGAGATGAAGCCATGGCACGTGCATCATCCATCAGACAGTTCAAGGACAGTCTTAGTCAAGTACCTGAAGACGGGTGGAGCACTTTCTTCTCCGCCGAGTTTCCTGAGAAGAACGTGCCTGTGCTTGGACAGACAGACAACGAGCTCGACCGGAGACTTCTCAATCTCTTGCTCACCAAGATCTTGCGTGTCGATCGTCTTGTTCCTGCTGCTGAAGTATTCATTACATCTCTCTTCGGTGCTGCTATGCTTGACGTCAGTGATGATCTCAGCCGTATTGTCAAGGAAGTCACAGCTCACACACCCATCGCGCTTTCCTCATCACCCGGCTTTGACGCAAGTTACAAGGTCGATCAGCTTGTGGAGCGCACAGCTTCTCGTTGTGCGAACGTTGCCATGGGTTCTAACGAGTCACTGGCCAACGCTGATGCTGCTCTTGCCAACGCCGCAGCAACCGGCTCATGGGTTATGGTGAAGAACGTGCATTTGGCTGCCCATTGGCTACAAAATCTGGAGAAGAGGATCGATAGTCTCAAACCCCACCCTGACTTCAGACTCTTCCTGTCAATGGAAAGCTCCCCTAAGATCCCTGTCAATCTCTTGAGAGCATCAAGAGTCCTGAGTTACGAGCAACCCGCGGGTATCAGAGCCAACATGCGTGATTCAATGGCTTCACTCAAGGAAGCTGGATCTCAACAGCCTGTCGAGAAGGCCAGAGTGTATTTCTTGCTCGCCTTCTTGCACGCCGTTGTTCAAGAGCGTCTGAGATACGCACCTCGTCTTGGTTGGAGTGGCTTCTGGGAGTTCAACGACAGTGACTTTGAGTGCTCGATCTTTATCATCGATACCTGGATGACTACAGTCGCAGGCAACCGCTCCAACATTGCCCCTAACGCAATTCCTTGGTCTCTTCTGCGCATCATGGTCACTGAAACATACGGCGGCAAGATTGATAATGCCTCTGACTTCTCAGTCTTGTCACAGTTGGTATCATCGGTGCTTACTCCTGCTGCCTTTGAAGAGAACTTTGCTCTTCAGCAAGGTCTTACCGTGCCTAACGGTACCACGAAGAGAGACTTTGAGGCATGGATCAAGGGTCTGCCTGAGCGTGAGCCGCCTACCTACCTTGGTCTCGAGGCCAACGCCGAGAAGCTGTTGCTTGTCGCACATGCAGATGAGATGTGTGAAGGCTTGCGTCGTGTTATGGAAGTGTTGGATGAGGGTGAAGCGATCATGGCAGAGGCTGCCGAGGTGGGTGAAGTGGAGTAGATGGTGTAGCTCAAAGGGAGCGCTTTTTCTTTCATGTTGGTAGCTTTTTTCTGCTACCAAGTTGGTTTTGTATTTACTGTTCTCTATTTGCATTGCATCGGAGTTTTTGAGGGTTAGCGGTATCACAAATGTTCTTGAATTTCAATCCTTGTTCTTTCGAGATGTGCGCAGACAGTTGTGACATGTTTAGCAGTCATATGTTTCCGTCCCTCCTCCGGTATGCCGGAAAGGAGTATCTAGCCAATTCGTCTCTCACTCACAAGGATCGGTCAGAGATGGTGGAGCATGGAGGCAGAGATAGAGTTTGAGGTCTACAGCTGCACTGGATCAGTGACGAAAGAAATGTTGGCAAAGCGTCGCTGATACTACATTACAAGATACTAACCACCATGCCTATGCATGCCCGATGATGTGTACAAGAAAAATAATTGCAGCTAACGATATCTCGTAAGCCTTCCATACCATCTTCTGATTCTCCATTTATCTAATCAAAACTTCCTCTTTCTCTTTGCTGGGGTTCTCTTCGATGCAACATTGGCTGTTGCTGCACTGCCAGACTCTGACTTGACCTTGGTAGTTTGAGAAGTCAGATTTTCAATCTGAACGCTGAGCTGGGTGATCTGCGCTCCTTTCTTGCTTTTCTGGTTTTCGAGTTCCTTCTCCAAGCTCTTGTAGTCATACGGGATATCGATTTCGCCATTGTTTAGCTCAAGCGCAGATGCGGCTTCATCTTTTGCCGACTGATGCTTTCGTTCGAGCGTTGCGATTTCTCGCTCAAGGCGTTGAACATCATCCTTGAGTTTCTGCGCGTCTGCTCCTGCCTCGATCTTGATAGTCACATTGCTGTTGTCTGACGCTCTGGCCTTTGACTTGAGTGAGTCTGCCTTTCTCGTATGCATCACTTCCCGAGGAGCAGTCGTTGGAAGACCGGGAGAGGATATTCGCGTTGCTGAGATCTGTTCTCTGCCGGAATGATAGCTGCTAGCTTCTAACTCGGACTCGACCGTCTCGGGGACGAAGAACGCCTCGTTAGACTTGCACACGTGTGCAAACTTGTCTCTGCGAAATAGTCAGTGCTGAAAACCAAGAATGAAGTTATGACTTACGCATCCAAGTCTTTGAATTTAGCTCGGGTATTCATGTGATCGATGGTCTCCAAAAATCCATCGAAACTGGCCGTCGTAGCAAACTCAAGCCAGACTCGACCAATTGAGAAGGTATCTGTAGACCCACACAAGATGACAGCAGTCGAGCTCGATGCACTGCAGTAGACAGTCTGCGCGTGTTTACTGTCGAGTTGGATCGTAGAGCCTTGCTGCAAAAGAGCCTCATCATTCTTCAAGAACTGAATAGCTTTGTATTCCCACGAGTAGACGAGGTGTAGCTCTTTCCAGTTGCCGGCTTTCATGCGAAGTGAGGACAGAGGGATTGTGATGTCATCTCGGAATCCGACCTTTCTACGTCCCTTGATGAAATGTGTAGAAACGATGTGGTTTGGGGACGGTGATCTCTGCGTTGAGGCGTGTTTCGATCTTTCAATCGGTGGGGCAGCGGATCTCTCATCGGCTGCGGTCTGTTTTGCGCGCAATTCTTCTCTCAGTTGGACGATGGTTTCGTGCGAGGCGTCGAGTTGCTCCTGGAGTTGACGAGATCTTGTCCTCTCTGCATCCAAGTCACGTTGGGTCTTCTGCTGCACGGCCTGCAGTTCGTTGAGGGAGGCAAGCAAATGAGTTGTCAACGATGACGAAGGATCGTGATGGGCCATGTCGGGGTTGTTGCGTGATGGCGAAAAGAAGATTGTCTCCGAGAGTTGGAAGCCTTGGTGTTTGTTGATCGTGAGAAGGGAAGGAGGGAAGGGACGGCTGGGCTCACAAGTTAGAAGTGGCAGTCGCATTGCAGCACTAAAGCGAGTATCACAACCATTGCTCCTTCCTCCTTCCCTGACAAACTCCGAGGCTATGCCAAGGCCGTCACTTACAGTGAACCCAGACTTCTCATTTTTTGTACATATTTGTTGCCGTCGAGTAGAATATGACGCCAGCCATTGCTATCACGACACCGAGTACACTGTAGCTACTAATAGCACTACCCGTCCAGATCCAACCCAAAGTCACGATAGTCACAGTCTTGGAATGGCCTACCACAGTGCTGGCTACCGGTCCTGCTCCAGCAATGATAGCGAACTGTGAGAGATTGAGAAGACATGCGCAAAGACCGCTCTGTTCAGGTTAGCTAATGCGGAGAAGATGTCAACAGGGCCTTGCCTACCATTATGATCATGATCCATCGATGGAGCGACACTTCGCTGAACACCGGCAAAGTGTCTACGAATGGTATCAGGTAGATAAGCAATATTCCTCCGATCAATGACTGATTGTGCAGTAGTTGTAAGCTTGTCATTTGAAGCTTCTGGTGATAGTGACTGATCCAACATGTGTAGATACCGCTCATAAGCACGCCAGTCATCGCAAAAATGACACCATAGAAGCTTGTTCCCTTGGTCGTGGCTCCAGGCCGGACGTCAAAGTATGTCACCATAGCCACACCAGCGCATACAGGAACCAGAGCACACACAGCTTTCCTTGGGACGGTCTTCTGGTACAGAACGTAGTTCAAGAATGCAGTGATAGGCGTCAGCAAAACCCTGGCGGTCTGGTAAAAGGTGATGGACGAATACGCGAGCGAGAGGTTGGGAAGAATAACGTTCAAGCACATGGCGGCAGCAAGCGGGAGGATGTCTCGAAGTGCTGCCCGCTTACGATCGAAGAAGCCGAATCTTGCTGAAGATACGGTATGCAGAGTAGCGAACGTAACGAGGAAGTGGAAGGTTGCGAAGGATACCTGGGCTCCACGGAAAGAAGGGTCGTCGAAAATGGACTTGTTGATGAAGACGATGGCTGTCGTGGCGATGATGTTGACGGCGATCCAGAACAACAGCTTCGACGGCTGTTTTGCTGGAGCAGGCGCGTCCTTGCCTTCTTCGTCGAATTGCTCCTTCTCGTCCAGCAGTCCATCGGTTTCCTGGTTGTCCATCTCAATATCGTTCTGCTGTTCAAAAAATGTCGGGTCCTCTATCTTGACGGGCTCAGCCGCCATCTCGTGTGTAGTGGCCATGGTTTGTATAGTCTCACGAAACAGAATCAGTTGGACAACGAGTATACTTATAAATGATGCTAAAACGCCATGGCGATAGAAACACGAGGACGTTGGTAATTGCAGCACATGTTTGGACCTACAAAGGGAGAAGTACGAGGTACAACATCTGGATTGTGGAATTTAGACTCCGAAAAATGCCTCACAAATCAAGACAGCCACGCCAGACATGTGCAAAGGAGTCGCGTACAGTCGAAGCAGGGGCTTTTAGAGGTCGCGTGGTAGAGCTGAATCGTAATCTCCCCAGGGGCTTGTCTTCGCACAGACCGCTTGCTCTTCCGACCACCGAGCGGTCGCGCCCGCCTTCCTTCCAGATGTCACCACAAACACGGCGGCGATCATGCAAAACGTCAGAGCGTGCGGTCTCGCCGTTTGCCGTTTTCTCTTTGGTTTCAGTATAAGCTTCTACAAGCTTCTGTCCTTTACTCTATGAACGATGGTGACGAAAACGGTTCTCGCATAGCTTCGGTCCACTATGATGAGAACAATATCGCGCTCCCCGCAGAAAATCATCCACACTGATTGTCATCATGCGAGCCTGCCTACACTTGCTTCCATGCCTCACAGGGGTGCATGTGCTCATAGAAGAGATTCCTTACACACCGACCCATGTACGATGAATTCCTTTGACCTTCACCATATGCAAGGAGTGCTATACTCCCAATCATTCATATCACCATGTCTGCTTGTCCAGACCTTCCTGTCTCTGTGCGCCTTTACCTTAGTTGAATATGCCCTGCTCAATCCCATCAAAATGTGGGTTGGACCACGTTGACAGGAGACATTCTAGCTGACCATGTTCCAGCGTTGAAGGACCATGCCTCCATATGGGAAGATGCCCCCTTTCTTCAAGGGTCGACTCGGTTCGAGCCTCAAGCCGAAATCAACAACATCATGATAACAGGCGGTGCTGGTTTCATGTGGGTAGCTGACCGTTTTCGTCTACAGATAGCCTCAGACCACGCTAAACTATTCTATTAGCGCCTCGTGGGTTGTACGACACCTGACCAAAATTTATCATGGCCACTACAACATAATCTCGTTTGACAAGTTGGACTACTGTGCGACACTCAATAACACTGCACAACTAGACAAGGAGCCAAATTTCACCTTCTACAAAGGTGACATTACCAGACACGATGATGTTATGGACTGCTTGCGAAAATATGATATCGACACAGTGATGCATTTTGCCGCTCAGACGCACGTTGACCTATCTTTCGGCAATTCCAACGATTTCACAAACACTAATGTCGTCGGCACACATGTCCTTCTTGAGTGTGTGAAGTCACACGGAGTCCAGAAATTTATCCATGTGTCCACCGACGAAGTGTACGGCGAGGTAAAGGACGACGGCAAAGATCTTCTGGAAGATGCTCTCCTTCTGCCGACGAACCCTTATGCAGCATCGAAGGCAGCGGCAGAGATGTATGTGGAAGCCTATCGTAAGAGTTTCCAGATCCCCGCTATTGTTGTGCGTAGCAACAATGTTTACGGGCCACATCAATTTCCTGAAAAGGTCATCCCCAAGTTCTCCATGCTCCTACAGCGCAACCAGAAATTGTCACTCCACGGCGACGGGACACACACCAGAAGATATCTCTACGCCGGAGATGCGGCTGATGCATTTGACACGATCCTCCACAAAGGTCGAATCGGTCATATTTACAACGTTGGCTCTTCGGATGAGATTTCCAACTTTACCCTCTGCTCTATGCTGTTAGGGGAGTTTGGATTGTCCAACGAAAGCAAAGATGAAGTCTACAAGCATGTGGTACACTGCGAAGATCGTCCGTTCAATGACCATCGTTACGCTGTAGATGGCTCGAAGCTCAAGCAGTTAGGATGGCAGCAGAAGACGCCATTCAAGGAAGGTCTTCGTACCACAGTCGACTGGTACAGAAAATATGGTGGAACCTGGTGGGGCGACATCTCCGACCGACTGACTCCCTTCCCTACAATTCCACCAGAAGAGCAGACTGATCGAGCAAGAGACACAGAACTGGCAAGCTCTCCCATGAGGCACAAGAAGAATGGCAAGCGTGAGCTTGACGAGGTCGATGGATCACCAGACGTGAAAAGACGCAAAGAAAACATGGATTCAGTTCTTGGTGCAGTCAAGGTATGACGGGTAGCTACTCTCTGATAAAGGGCGCATAAGCTTGTACGTCAAGGAATTAAAAGCCTTTCTCTCATCAATAATCAACTCAGGCAAATTTACTGCTATCCCATCTGCGACTGTAGGCTGAAAATTATCTATAAAAATGCATGAATATTATCAAAACGAAGATGCCACCAGAGAGAGCAATGACTTAGTCAAACTTTTGATGCTATATGGTAGGGTAGATGCTATCCCCGCTAGATCAGTAGGCTGGGATTCATCTATAAAAAGGCAGAAATGTATTCGGAATGGGGATACGTCCAGAGAGAGCGTTGACTTCTCCAAAATGTTACACAAATACTATACGTGCCAGGGGCTAATTCATAAGTTTGATGCTATCCCACGTCTGGATACAGGCTAAAAGTTATCTATAAAAAGGCAGAAATGCATCCAGGATTATGATAACACCACAGAGAGCGTTGACTTAGTCAGAAACTCACACAAATACTACACGTGCCAGGGGCTAATTGGCGCGACAGATGTTATCCCCGCTGCATCAACAGGTTAAAAGTTACCTATAAAAAGGCACAAACTTATTCAAAACGGAGATATGTCCAGAGAGAGCGTTTACTTAGTCAAATATTTTGGGGGTACAGTATTTTTTTTGTGGTTTTTGCTATATAAATTCGAGAAATGGCTAAATGTACAACTCAAAATCTGCTTATTCAGAAGCAGAACCTTCATCTTCGTCCTCACTGTCGGGATCCTCAAGCATTTCAAGAAGTCTCTGCTTCTTTGTAGTGTACTTTTTGTTGACCATTGAAATCTCTGCAGTCTTGCGCTTCTTGATGTCTTGAAGTTTCTTGTCAATCGATTTGCGGATGATGAGGCTGACAAACTCGGTCTCTTTTGTCTGGCCAATGCGGAGGACTCTTGCAAAGGACTGTTGTTCTCCAGCATCGTTCCAGTATGGGTCAACTAGCAGAACGTATCTAGCTTCGGTCAAGTTCAAACCCTGGCCGCCTGTCTTCATTGTGGCGAGCAAGATTCTCACGTCGGGGTTGGTCTTGAATGCGGCGATATTGGCGCCTCGTTGCTTGTGGCTCAACTTTCCGTGAAGGGTTTTGTACCCCCATTTTTCGCTCTCGCAGATGCAACCAAGGATTCTCAAAAATGAAACCCACTGTGTAAACACAATAATTTTTGCCGAAGGGTCTCCAGAATACTCATCCAGCCAGGCCATAACCTGGGCCTTGAAAGCGATAGTCTTGGTCGAAGGCAGAATTGTCTTATTGAGAGACCATTTTGGAGTATCTGTAGCCTCGACATCGGCATTTTTGTTGAGCTTCTGGCCACATTTCTTGCCATTACCCATCTCCTGGACACACTTGACACGCTTCAGTCCCTTGGCTGTAGTTGCGTGGAACAGGTCGTCCAGATGTGATGTGCAGTAATAATGACCGCAAGGAGCAACTTTCGGGAGAAGAGCAGGTCTTCCGCAATAGCTACACTTGATACGTTGCTTCATGACCTCGGGGTTCGTGCTGGATTTGAGCTTTGTTAAGAAGGCCGCGTAGTCGACATTCTTGCCATGAGGCCCGCCGGTATCGTTCTCGTTGAAGGTTTCGTGGTCGATCGCAGATAGATCCAGCTCCTGCATGTCATCTTCGCCCTCGTCCAGATTATCGATGTTTGGAGTTGGATTGATATAGTTTTGTGTAGGGTCTTCGGCTCGAGTTTGAGCTTTGGTGCGTCCGACCTGCACAATAGCTCTGAGGTTTTGTAAGGCAGCCTTTCCGGTGTCGCCTAAGCTCATTTCATCCTCAATCACCTTCTCAAGCTTGTCAAAATCTTCAGGCTCCAACATGTCAGAGATTTTCGACTGGAGCATCAAGGGATGGGCTGTCATCTGGCGCAGTAAAGTGATCAAAGCAAGAATGTTCATGCAGGCGGTGCTCGACTCCCCATCTTCGGAGAAGATATTGGCTCTGTGCTTGCATCTGTAATGAACCACGTTGTAGATAGCCTTTTCGACAGGAGAAAATTCCAACTTGAGTTTTCTGCTGCGAGACTTAGGAAGTGTTACCAAGCGGCGGCCGAAGAGTGATTGGTTATGCGTGAATCGGGCCATTGTCTTCAGCAGATCGTCGGTCAGCAAATCCCAGCTCATCAAGTCTCTTTCGTTGCAAAAGGTTGTCTTGAAAGACTCAAAATCCATGTGCTTGACTGTCGGGTGTCTGATGAAGCTGAATAGAGAATACAGATCGTGAGCACCGTTGACCATCGTAGTGCCCGTCAAAACCCATCGAAAATGGGCGATAAGTTGGATGCAAGCTTCAGTAGTGCGAGCTGTGGGTGTACGAATCTTGTGGCCTTCGTCAAGAACGATTCTGAGCCATCGGTATTGGTGAAGGGGTCCGCGCTTGGGATAAACCTCTTCCTGGAAGTATTCTTCACGCTGATCCTCTGGCAAACCCTCCGGCCACTCGAATTTGGGCCAGCTCAACATGACATCATGGTAAGTGGTCAGAACAATGTCAATATTCTCGAAGTCTTCGTGGCGCCAGCCTTTGGACATGTTCTCTCGGTAAACCTTGACTCGGCCGATTCCCCATTCTGTGCGAGTTTCTTCTACCACGCAGTGCGTCGAGATCTGTTCCTCCCACTGATCAAGCAGTGCATTTGGAACAACAATCAGAGTCGAATATCTGTTGTCCGGACCTTCACCCTGGCGAGGTCTTCCGTTAACGATGTTGGTCAGGCATGTCAAGGTTTTGCCCAAACCCATTTGATCGGCTATGATGCCTCCTCTGGGTTTCTCCAATCCGTTTTCGCGGCCACGCATGAAGCCAGAGTTGATGATCTGATAGTTTTTCAAACTTGTGTGCATACCGCGGACAGACCAGTGTCCATTGGCGGCTGGCTTCACAGTCTCGCGACCTATGAAGTTCTTGATAGCTTGATTAACTCTTCTTGAGTCGATGGCGGCAGCAGAGCCCCGAGGAGCATCTCCTCTAAGAGCTTTCAATGCATCCTCCCTTCTGTTGGACGCCTCGAAAGTGGGTTCTTCAGCCATGTTTGCCGCAGCCTCGGCATCTTCGAAAAGATCACCTTGGTCCAGATTGACATGTTCGCCCTTGCGTTTCCTCGATGTCTTGGCCTTGCTCTGTGACTTTGAAGTTCGAGCTCTCTTCTTCGGCGCTTCAGGCTCGAACAGTGGATCCTCAATTTCGTCCAAGAGAGCTTGAAAATGGCGCTTCTTCTTGGTGTACGCAGACTCCTTTCTCATGAAGTGCAGTTCTTCGTCTGGAGTGATTTTTCCCTTCCGCTTCTTCTCAAGATATTTCTTCTGGTCTTGCAGAAATCCTGATTCGAACGCGAGTGGGTTTTCGATGTCTTCTTCAGGCTCCGAGTAATTCTGCTGGTCTTCTTCGTTATGCTGAGGAGCCATATATTGCGAGTAAAGGGACTGCTGGAATGCGTGGAGTTCGTCTGCGGTCATCGAGTCTAGATCTGATACGGCCTGCTTTGGTTGAAGAATGCTGTCGCCGAGATCGACAGTTGTGTTTGTTTCGGGCGTAGATTCAATCTTGACCTTTACTTCTTCCTGGTCGGAGTCCGCAAAGTTGTAATGATCCGGTTCATTGTCCAGATCGATGAGAAGGGCATCATCGGGGAGCCTGAAAGCCGGAGCATTGGAATCGCGCGTAATCATGGTTCTGTCTGAAGTTAGCTCCACGAGCGTTGTATGAATTTTAATGTATCCATAAGAATGCACAGTAACTTTCGGGAACGGAGCAGAGTCCACTGAGAGCCCTAAGTTCAGGGGCTCTCTCTGGACACGCGCCAATCTCGGAAAAAACTGTGCATTTTTATAGTGTACTCAATGTCCCTCCACTGTATCGGGAGGACTGGGAGATCCCCAAGAAGTGGTGTTGGGCGGAACGGGAGGAGTACTTACGATGATGTGGAATGTAGAGTATTGGGTGGTGGTATGTGTTATACTGTAAGATGTGTAAGATATATGGATGGGTGTTGATGAGGAGAAGTGGATGTTGGATGGTGGATGTTGATGTTGAGGTAAAGGAGAAGGTGGAATGGAAGAGGATTTATATAGCCCTCCACACAGTGCAAGTGAAAATGAGGTGAGAGTTCGGAAGTGACGAAGGAGCCTTGTGAAGATCTGTGGTGAAGTGACACTGATGATCGAGAGGAGCTATGGAAGTATGTTGAGGAAGTTGGTGTTGTGGTGGAGGAGTAGAAGGTTGAAAAGAAGGTTTAGATAGGATAGAAGAGCTCGAGCTAGTGAAAATTGGCTTACCTGAGCTTGGATGTGAGCTGTGATGGCAGCTGAATAGTACGAGTGAGTTGAAAGATGGTTACAGAAGGATGGAAGTGCTGTTGTGGGAAGGTGGAAGTCGAAGAAGGAGGTTGATGTTGAGGTGGTGGAAGAGGTGGTAGGGAAGAGGGTTTATATAGGCTAGCCAGGCGTGAGATGTGAGGGAAAGCTTACCTGTAGTGAACGAGCTCTGTGGATATGATTGAACTTGTGCTTGTTTGAGAGATATGTACTAAGTAGACTTTGTTATAGATAACGCAGGGGTGTTGATGTTTAGGTGCAGAGTAGGAAGAGGTGGAGAATGTTCTATATAGTGCAGTAGGCTCCGAGTAGTGAACGAGGTATGACGGAGAAATCAGTAGACTTTTGTGATCTCAACCAATGCAAATGACCAGAACGCCTGTTGACAAGGAGATATGATGCCCTAATAACTTCTGTAAAGGAAAGAAAGGTATTGGAAGAATAGATCAGGGTATCAAGGAAATAGTAGTGGTACATTGAAATGCCGGAAGATGAATGCTAGTTCCCGTTGCGCCGGCTCAGAAACCCAAAGTATGCAGTAAACAGAAGCGAACATGTTCACCCAACCAGATCTCCTGCTGCTGGGTAGAACCACGCGCTGACAGCGATGATAATATATACCGCCATCAATAGGACCCCCTCAAGCCAGTGACTCTCACCGTCTTGAATGAGGTAGTTGACCAAAAGAACAGCGATGAAGAGTACTGCGACTTGGAAGCCGTCGAAGTCGAGAGTCATGGCGTCGTGTCCCAATCCAATCCAGCTGATGACGACCATAAGAGGAAGGACGAGGAGGGCGATTTGCATACTCGAGCCAACAGCGACACCGATCGCGAGGTCCATCTTGTCCTTGATGGCGACGGTGACAGCAGTCGCGTGTTCTGATGCTTAGTTTAGTCTTTTGCAAAGTCGTTGCGGGAATGCGGCACAACTTACCTGCAGCATTGCCAACAATGGGGACCAAAATGAGACCAACAAACTCCTCGGAAATGTGTCCAGTTTCCACAATATAGTCAATGCCACTAACCATGAACTCGGAGTTGAAGGCGATTAGGACTGTCGCAATAGTCAAAGTGACGAGAGCACCAACGATAGTCAGGGATGGTGTTTCTTCCTCATCGTCCTCGTTATAAACGAGGTTGGACTGGTTGACTTGACCACCAGCTGAAGCAGCAGTACCAGCACCAATGCGAGCAATTCCCATCAGAGTCTCACCCTTCTCTCGGGCCGAGCCCTTCTTCTTCTCTGATTTTTGGCTAGGAGTGTTGTAGATCTCGACATGGGTCTTGAGCTGGAAGATGAGGTAGGCAAAGTAAACAAGAAGCAAGATGATAGCTGTTCCTCGTGAGATGGGAGCGACGCCGCCAGCAGGGTTGTTGCCGAACTTTTGGAAAGCGGTGGGGATGATCAACGAGCCAATCGAGACAGCAAGCATACTGGAAGCTGTTTGAGCGACAGTGATGTTGAAGTGCTGAACGACGCGGTTGATGCCACCAAAGAAGAAACACATGCCCAGTACCAGTAACAAGTTGGATAGCATACTGCCGATCAAAGAAGTCTGGACGATAAGGATCTTGTTCTGTGCCAGAGCGATGATACCAACGATGAGTTCGGTAGCGTTACCAAAACTGGCATTGAGCAGACCTCCCAATGTCTCACCAACATACATGGCGAGCTCTTCAGTAGCAAAGGAAAGCATGGCAGCAAGGGGAATGATGGCAACGAAGTTGACGACGAAGATAGCAATTCCGTTTGAGTGAGCATACCGGAGAGCGAAGCCGACTGGAACACAAACCAGAAGAACATTGACCCATGAGCCGAGAAGAGTAGCCTTGAGCTGACTGACAACGCTGATCTTTGGTCGCCTCTTCTTCTTGGTGTCATTGGTGTCGGCAGTGTCGGAGCGTTCGAGGTCACGATCATCGTCCTTGGTGCGGTCTGGTGCACCGATCATGTTCATGAGTGCCAGACGCTTCCGTGGTTTGTGCTCGGGCTCTGTCTCATTCTTCTCTGATATGGAACGAGAGTTGTCCCTGTCGAGTGGTAGGCTGTCCTTCTCCCTGGATGGTTTGATATCAGATTGACCAACAAGAGGTCCATTGGATGTGGGTGAGTCGAAAGAAGAACTAGACTCGGGAGGCGCTGTGTTGGCATGGGGCGGGTAGGCGAAGTCGGCGTTGTCTATACTGCGCGCATCATTACGCCTAGCAGCGCTATCCGACATGACCTGGTCTGCTGTATGGCGACGCTGCAGGTTGTTCTCGACGTCTTCCAGTCGTCCGGCATAGGACCGCGAGCGCCTGGCGAAGGGGTTGTAGTTGGCCTCGCCGTCGTTGTGCCTCCAGGCAATGTTTCGAGCCTGGTGCTTAATCGAATCTTCAAGAGGCTTGTCAGTGGTGCCAAACTTGACAAGATGGACAAGAATCTAGGCTTACGCATTTCAATGCTTAGACGGAAAAGCCGCCAAGGATTAGAGTCTCGTGATGAAGTTACCGAGGCGCAGATAAGGCAGAGCGAGAGAGAAAAAGAAAAGGAACCGGGAATTACAAAGTAGTTGAGAGGAAGGCCTTGTACCTTGAATGCAGAGTGATGTTAGCGCTGGGAGCTTGGAAGTCAGGACGAAAGGCGCCGCCAGCGGCAAAATGGTCTCAAGAATCAAGCTGGAGATTGGACTTCAATCCAACGTGCGAGGCGCGAAACAACATTTCCAGAGGGCAGTCCTTGCGTAGGTGATTTTCGCCTGCACTCAGGGACGGGCATGCTCTCTGATGTGATGAGCGTGGCTGTGCCCACGAGAAGCTGGGGAAGAAGTGGGTCGCGTGAAACACAATACATACCGAAAAGTGACGATGCGTGAGTTCGCTTTGACGACTGAGCAACGATCTGTCCAGCCTTCTGCAGCTGGCGGGGCGATTATGGTACGGAGTAGGTATGTCTTAGGGAAGGAAAGAAGGGAAGAAGGTCAATGGCAGAGGTAATCACCCTACGTCGGTGGTAGTGCAAACGAGCTCTTGCAACTCATTTCCTTGCTCGACGCCAAACTCACAAGTTGCATCGCAACCGCAGACTCCTGTCTTGGCAAGCCTCTAATCGTCACCGTCACCTGGGTTCGTTATTGGCTTTTTTCGTTTGCGGCTTGCGCTTTCTTCTTCCTATGAACGTACCGTCAACCCTGAATCAAGCTTCATGACATCAAGGCACAGCCACGCCGCCGACTGTCTCGAAGGCGATCAGATTTGAGTAGTATGGTTGGCGAGCGACGAGCGTCACATTATGAGGCTGCCTGATGTGCTGTAAACTTGCTGTAAGCATTGTCGGCCAGCGCATCGCTAGATGAGACGCTGAGAAACCGCCTCGAGCGCTTGAGCAACAACAACCAACACCTGGCGCGCCGTGTAAGGACCAGCCGCCAAGACCATCGGAAGATCATCATCTACAGGAAACAAAACATCTTCTCCCTGTAACATGACAAGAGCACGATCCTTTCAAGGAGGCTCTATCTCCTTCGTACCACGACTGGCACGTTGAGGACAGAGTCGGACACCGTATTGTGCGCGCCCGATTGCTGCAATATTGCTCGGCCTGTTTGCATCGAATCAATTCCACTAGCACACGCGACAGACAGCATCATCGCCTTCAAGAACATGTCTCACAGCTATAACACAAGAGAATATGGAAGAAGAAAAGCACACGGCCCGAAATGGACCCCAGCATTAACACGCGCTTGATGTAGATTCATGTATGATCTGAGTAGAATTCAGAAACTCGCTGCAAGCAAAGGACGTTCTCACGTATGAGGGTAATGACGCCGATAGCTCATTCCATCTCCCGCGCTAAGAGGTATAACCGAGAGCAGATTTATGGTAGACCTATGCATATCATATTGACTGCTCCAAGGTGTTGCTTGAAGACCGTGCACTGTATGTAAGACAGGGGACACACCCTGACTCTCGCGATAAAACCGCATAACCCATGCCAACAATGATAACTTAACAGGCCAATAGTCGTCGCCTGTGAGACTGCTCTTCGTACTGACAGACAGTCTGTTGTTGGTGTAAGATTTTATAGCCCGAAAGGCCTGTTCATGATCCCTGTAACACACCCAGTGCAATATGATATGCTGCTCTGGAAACTACTGACAGATATGATGAGAGAAGAGAACTGAGCTCATTGGTGCATACACTCTGCTATCAGAGCACAGTAGCACAATCGCACCTACACACTTGCAACTTTGACCGAGCTTTACACGGCTTTACGAGTGCTTTTTGATCGATCTAGAATTTCTCAAGCAAGCCTTGCGAAGGCTTCGTTTCGTTCGCCCTCAGCTTGGAGGCAGCCTGGGTTTGCTTCGCAATCTACAGTGGGAACCATCCCTGAGCAATGACGATATAGGTTCATGGTGAGGATGAGCCTACGGTCGCAGATATCGTGCGTCCACCGTCTTGACCCGGATATCGTCGCTCAGACATGTCAGATGAATGCTCAACGAGACAGCACGCCACCATCAAATTCACGTATGCATTCCCACAGCGCGCGCACGGTGAACAACGATACAACCATGACACCACTCTCTGTTCATGCAGCTGTACCAGTTGAGGAACTTATCAGCATGACCAGGTTCTTGGGCCAGAGAAACTTCACGTTGGAAGCATCGCTCCTTTCTCGAAACGAACGTGCAACCATCGCAAGGGTTTGATCAGTCGTCTTTCCTCTTCTTGCTTTAAGCGATACAGCCGCACGGCACACCCGCTGTTACGCAAGCCATTTTGCAGTATTTTCGAGACTAGATCGTGGATGGATGCAGTCTAATGCATGACAGGTGCTTCGCCAGCCATGCTAACCCCTGAGAAACGGCGGCGTGGGCAAAATTCTAGAGATTGAGTTGCATCAGGCTTCTTGCATGCAGAGAAACCACGCACAGTTGCATGCAAACAACCATTGTCGACAAATAACACAATGCATACGGTGACACACACTCGCATGGAAAATTGAAGGACTTTGACGAACAGAAGAAGATGTCAGAAAGATGGTCTCTATCGCTTGATCGAAGCTATCGCCAGAACGGGTTAGAAAACGTCGGGAGCAGCGAATCATGTCGATCGATGGATTTTCTGTTTGTGGGGTTAGACAGGGGTGGTTGGGTTTCTGACTTCGATCTCGTCCTGGTATCTTTCAGCCAAGGCCTCCCGTATTTCAACCATGGCGGCATGTAGAGAGCATCTCAAATCAACCCGCCCTTGCTCGGGACTGCAGGCCGTTGGCCAGCACAACCGTCCGGGATGATTGCGGATACAGGAGAGCAAGAAAAGTAACGTCTTCGATTTACCTTATGATGTCTCTCTATCGCTCTCCATGTTTTGACTCTTTTACTCTGTTTGCTTTGATAGCCTTTGTCGAAATCGTTGCTATATCACCGCTAGCCGTTTGACTGCCCTCCACTCGCTACAGTGTCTATATCTCTGCTCAACATCGAGCATCAGAATGTTGCTTATGAACAGACTTCGCCTCCTCGCTGTGGCTTCCTTGCTTTTGAGAGCTATTTCTGCTCAGACTTGCTATTACCCTGATGGCCTGACCATCTCGAACGACGTTCCATGTAACAGCAATGCAGAAGTCTCGTCATGCTGCCCTACTGGATCCTTCTGTATGGACAACGGATTATGCTTTGGAGGTGGTGTTGTATCTCGATCTTCCTGTACAGACCAAGCATGGACATCGCCACAGTGTGCACACTATTGCACCGAAGGTATCATTGGTCCCTTGTCCAGATATAGACCTTTTCTGACAGATCTGCTAGTAAATGAGTCAAGTGCTGTTGGCCTGACAGCCTGCGATGCAAACTCACGGACGTTCGCTTGCGGGCTCAACAATACCGGGTGTCAAAATACACACTCTACCTTTACCATGGCCGAGGGGAACGCCTTGGTTCTACGTCCAGCACAGATTCAAGCTCTTACATCCAACGACTCTGCGTCTTCTGATAACGGCCACCAGTACGGTGTAGGATCGATGGTTGGTCTTGCTCTGGGTATCGGCCTTCCTCTGGCATTTGCTTTGCTTATGGCTTTGTTGGTTTTGAGAAAGGAGAGACAGAGATATGCTCTTCAAAACATCTTTGAGGGACCTCTGGAACCAATGACGCCCTCTGGAAAATACAGAAGACGGTCGTTCTCCACTCTTTCCAAGTCTGGAACAATGACAACAATCGCATCGACTTCAACCTATGCACCTCAACAACCCAAAGCTTCTTTGCAAAAGTTTGGTTACCACAAGGGATACTATGCCAACGATGGCGATCTCAGCATACCTGTCTTCGAACTGCCCTCAAACCCTCTTGAGAGACACGAGAGGGTCGAAGCACCATGATTTTATGTTGCAGTTTTATCTCCTTTGTTTCTTTTGTTTGGTTCACCTGGGTCATCGGAGTTTGGATCAATCTCGGGCAAGACCCCTCAGGAATGAAAAGGTCGGCAGGATGTTCGTTTATACCCACGTTACAGTTCATGAAAGTTTCTTGTTCATTCTTCCTTCTTATGTCAAATCATTCATAATCTTCTCTGAATTACTTTCTATATGCAACAAGACCAAGGCTCATGATTGGGTGAGATGTAGAAAGCACGAAAGAACTTGGTGGTGGTGCTTTCTCTTTTGGTCATGGCAGCAGTTGCCCTGACATGCTGACGACGCCGCACCTCAAGCCGCCTTTTGTTCGACATCGACAGAACCTTCGCCAGCATCAATCGCATTCAAACAATCACGCATTTCCTTCCACTGCCTATCTTCGAATAACATGACTTTGTTCCTTGTCTTCTTAATTTGTATATCGCATGTGGCTAAATGCCTTCCTCTCAACTCTCCATTGCTGGACTCGTACGACTACATTGGTAAGCCCAGAGCCACACGAATACAGTCATGATGATGAGCTGACTCCACAGTTGTCGGCGGCGGTCCAAGTGGACTCACAGTCGCAAATCGTCTCTCCGAGAACTCCGCCGTCAACGTGCTTCTGCTTGAAGCAGGTCCAGCTGACGACAATGAGCCTTGGATCCAAATACCATTCTTTGCGGGACAAGGAGTTGGTAGTTCCTTAGATTGGAACCTCATGACTGTGCCTCAGACGTACCTGGACGGTAGAGTTCGCGCACTGCCTCAAGGGAGAGTTCTTGGTGGTGGTACTGTGCTCAACGCTATGCTGTAGAACAGAGGCGGTATTGGCGATTATGATGACTGGGTCGCTCTCGGCAACCCTGGATGGAGTTTCTGGGATCTGCTTCCCTATTTTTGCAAGGTAAGTCACCTCAGGGTACTTGGAGCAATCCTGATGCTAAAACAGAACCATTTAGAGCGAGACTTTCACGCCTCATACACAGAGCGTCGATGCTAATGCCGTTGGCATCAACCAGAATCCACTTGTCCACGGCAACAGTGGGCCCGTCAACGTCAGCTTCTCGAACTACATTTACAATGAGACGGTCAACTTCTTTTCGGCACTTGAAGAGCTTCAGATGCCAGTTTCCTACGATCCGAATGACGGTACGACAGCTGGTGCATCCTTTCTGCCCTTGTCTCTCAACCCAACAAACCAGACAAGGTGCGATGCTCGTTCAGCATATTTCGAGCCATACGCTGCGAGGCCTAACCTTTGGATTGCGACAAATCAGTACGTTACCCGCATCTTGTTCGAGGGAGGATCTGGTGACCCAAATACAACGATACCTACTCCTGGCGATGCGGGTACGGGCCAAGGCAGCTCATTTTCAAGACCCGATGGTCTATTTCCCAACATCACCCAGAACGCTGTCACCACCAAACATCGAAGATCGTGGCCTGGTCACCACATCCTGAAGGCTATCATGGATTGTATCTTCCTGCAAAAACGAGAGCCAACCAACACACCTGTGACTTCTGTTGAGGGCCTCATCAGAGCTAATGGAGTTGAGGTCAGTACATGATGATGTTTACCAATTGAGTGTGAGCTTTAAAGAGTGCTGACTTTTCTTTAGTTCGCATCGGGAGCGTCCATTCCAAGAAAGAATGTCACAGCCGTCAGAGAAGTCATCACAGCTGCAGGAGCAATACATACTCCTCAACTTCTCAAGCTTTCTGGGCTCGGTCCCTCAAGCGAGCTACAGCCGCTCCAGATACCTGTCTTGGTCGATCTCCCAGGTGTTGGCATGAACCTGCAGGATCATGTGCTAGTCGGAGTCTTTTGTAAGAAAACAACACACTGTCCCAGATCAGCTCTAATAATTTTACCAGACCCCTACCAGAAACCCACGTCTTTGACGAGTGTACAAATTGCAAGCAACTACACACTGATGAGCCAATTCGGTGCCGTCTATCAAGCAAACAGAACCGGACCTTGGACAGCTGGGCCTCCAGACGGAAACGCATTTCCCTCCCTCTCAATCTTGACCAACAGGTCCTTCTCGATTGTTACCAAAGCCCAGACTCAGAAAGCGATGGACTACCTACCAGAAGACGTCCATCCGAACGTACTCGCAGGCTTTGATGCCCAACGTCAGCTCTTGATCAAAGCATTGCAGGACCCAAGGAGAGCGGCGTATGAGTTGCTGAATTTCAACTACGGTGCCTTCTCGAACGTGAATATGAGGCCGTTCTCTCGTGGCTCTGTCAAAGTAAGTTGCAGATGTCCTGATTTGGTCCATTGACTTAAACTCATAGCTTGTGCAGCTGAACTCATCACGTCCCTTCGATCCTCCGCTCATCGACCCCCGATATGGCTCCAATCCAGTGGATCTTGACGTCTTGCTGGCCTCGATCGTGTACAACCGTCAAGTGCTCGCCACCACCTCAATGAGGTCGCTGCAGCCCCTGCAACTCAACCCTACTCCGAATGCTACCGACCAGGAAATTTTGGAGTTCATCAAGGCCAACCTGCAAACTGAGTTTCATCCAAGTGGTAGTTGTGCCATGTTACCTCTTGATCTAGGAGGAGTTGTAGATCCACAGCTGCTCGTATATGGGACTCAAAATCTGAGAATAGTTGACGCTTCGATCATGCCTGTCATCCCGGCAAGTCATCTCCAAGCTGTAGTATACGGCATTGCTGAGAAGGTTAGAATCTCTGACACACATCCCTTACCACACAACGCTGACGATTCAGTAGGCCGCAGACATCATCAAGAACGCAACTTCGGGAGCGCCATCTGCAAGACAGCTGCCTACATCACCCACTGCTATGCAGAGTATATCGCAAGGTGCCGCATCGATAGTTCAATCAGCACCTGGATCATTGGTGGCTTCTTCGTCTTCATCTTGGACATCATCACTGGCGTTGATCTCGTCGTCGGCATCACCATGCTCTTCTCCGACGTCCAAAGTGTCACTTTCAAGACCATCACAGCCGAACCTGTCCCAGGCATCGATTTCGTCCTCATCGGGGCCACAGACGTCGTCCTCGCTGCGACTGTCAACATTGTCTTCATCGCAGTCATCGAGTTTTTCTACAGTCAGTTCGTTGCCACCTGGCGCCATCCCATTGTTCTCAATCGCAACAACGACATCTTGCCCACATGCATCGACGTCTTCATGCGCGTGTTCATCTGTCTGTACGTGTGTATCAGTATGCACATGCGGAGCCACATTAGCGCCAGCTTCCTCTAAGCCTACCACTACAGCACCAACTCTCTCGGTCTTGTTGTCCATGTCCTCGCCAAACCCTTCTTCTTCCCAGAGCTTGAGTCCCGTGTCTGCGTCAGTTACAACAACTCCATCGACTACAGCTTTCACTTACGCGCCCATATCGTCTTCGTCATCGAGCTTTAGCTCAACGCTGTCAGCCTCATTGTCGACCATAACCATAACGCAGACTTTGACATCCTCCTCGGCATCATCTTCTACGATCTTATCGCTTCTGTCTTCTGTACAGTCTCGAAGCTCTTCCTCGAAACGTTCCACAAGCTCGTCTTCTAGGCGTTCGTCTAGTAGCTCTTCTGGACGATCATTATCTTCAGGGCAAACAACGATATCCTATTCTGCGAGTCAGTCAAGAACCTCATCCTACCTGTCATCGTCTTCTTTTGCCAGCAGTTCTAGCTCGTCGGCTACCACACTCTGGGTGACAATGTATGCAGATGAGTCTGTTCCTTTTTCATCGACACAATAATGCTGACACAACTTTCAGATGTCGTACAGTGCCGATTCTCTAAGACGGGACTGTCAGGCAAGAGAGCCTACCGAGAGCAATTTCGAGCAAGGGAGGTCTGGAGCCGGCTCCAGATGAACAGTCCTTTGATGCTGTCGTCCTGTGGACCCTAGAGGCTATTCTTGTTCTTAGGCAATTTTTCTGAAAATATACATAGTAACCAGTTTGATGGTTTATCCTAGTACAAAGACAGAACGTGATGGCACGTCAGCACAGACCATGCGTGGGCGACGCGAGAGGTCATCATCCAACAACACGCGTTATTATCCTTCCTCCCTCGTTGATGTCATACACCTCCGTGGCCTTGACAGACACGATAGTCTACAGCAGACCGACAGAACAGGATTGCAGTATCAGAAAGATCTCAGGAAGTTTGCGCGTGACATTCCTGTTTCAATACACTCGAGCCATGGCCTCTTATCTTGCTTGTTCGTGACGCATACTCATCGAAACAGTATGAGACGAGCTCAATGATAATTTCAATGCGGCTCACAACCTAATGGCTAGTACTACAGTGATTCCTCGCGGCTTGATCTGTCAGCATTGCTCTGTCAGCTCCGCATTAGTTGTGGAATGCACTTGTCTTTGTTGATATTCTGGATGCTTCCTTCCTGAGCTTCCTTTGTTGCGAGCTGACATGTGCCACTTTGTGACACCGATCGACTCACGCAACGGCATACCCGTACTCTTCACAATGAGCCGATGAGCTTCTATCCCTCTATTTTGCCGTGAGAACTTCAGTCGAGTCTTGGTTGAAATACTTCCCACGCCTTTCCTAGCGGCATGGATGGTTTGTTCCCAAAGCATCGTGTTCTTTGTTGCCCGCTGATTGCAGTTGATGTCACTGCAATCAGCCGCCATCCATGGCGGTAGGAGTCATGAAAGGATCAATCGCAAGCCACTAGAACAATCAAGGATCATTTCCTATGCCGGACGCATATGATTGAGAGCCTCTGGACATCGCCAAGCCAAACTTGTCTTTGAATATTGGCCTCGATGAACACTGTGGACGAGGTGCGAAACAACCATTCCTCTTGATCGCATCAAAAAATCTCGACGCAGCAGCACATACATTGTACCGTCAAATCTAGAACTCCTATCCGCTAACAGATTCGGGCCAAAAGTGATTTGGCATCGACAACAGCTGCTCTTTCTCGAATGGCGTACCAGGGCTCATATTACCTTCTCTGGACACAGCAGACTCACCTCTTCAATGAGATTGATCTGCTCAAGTATCACATTGCAGATATAGAGCGACAGTTACTGAAAGGGCACGAGACACTCAATCATCCAGACACGAAACGACTTGAGAGGAGAAAAGCGAAATGGGCAGCTAATTCACAACGGAAGTACCTCACACACCTAGAGCGCGCCCTACACTCGCTCTTACGATCTCTATCGGCTTGCCAGGCACAAATCGCTCGCATACACTCTGAAGTCTCCTGGCAAACAGATAAACATGCCAATCCTTGGACCATGTACCACGGTCTTCAGGACAGTGACACAATACCTACACTAGAAACACATCAGCCTAGAGTCCGCTCATCTAGTCCCGACTCTGGATTCTCAGAGCCAGCTTTGTATGCTCAACCATTCGACCTTGACTTGACTGAAGATCAAACCACCCACGTCTTCTCCCACGAGCTTCAACATCCACTACCCTTGACGATAAGAACGCAAGTAATGGAGCAACTGTCTACACCCGTACGAAAAACACATTTGAGTCCCTCAGCGGACGACTTCACCCCAACGCCAAAGGCATCTCACAAAGCCATAAGCCCACTCGCTGTCCCGTTCAGTCCCTTTGTCTTTGCCAAAACCAACCCACCAGGGCCGAATTCGCCTATAAATGCAAGACCATTGTTTACACAACCAATTTGGACCTCTTCATTCGATTGGAGCGAGCAGATTGACGATGAGATGACGCCTGTGTCGCCCCGAGCAAAGACAGAAGAGCAGGACGCAAAGAAGAGACCTGAGAAACGGTATTCTATTGCTGCGATTGAGTTGATTGAGAGTCGTCTGAAGCACAAGAGACAGATTAGTGAGGTGTCGAGGCGCTTGATGGCGCAAGGCTGATTTGTTGATTGGGACATTCATCTTTGTTGCAGATTATAGATTATGTTTCGTTTCCCTATTCATATGTACCTGAGTCGATACATAACACTGTTTCATCGTTACACTGCCACTCGAATTGATATTTGAAAAGGTTTATTCAATTTTCATACTTCAGAAATCTTCGTCACGGTTGCACTCACAATCAAAGTGACATATTCTCCCTTGGCACGGCAGGACATTCCTCCGAACCGATTCAAACAGAAACGGTATGCAGGGCGGCAAATCGATTCTGTGATGGTGCTCGCTGAATGCTTCCGCTTTGAGTTACGTTAGCGCAGCCAAGAACTGTATATAATTACACGGACATCATACCGCACGGTTATCATTGGCCGAGGAACACGTAGAGGTATGTTTTACATTGAAATGGTCCCTTATGCTTTCTTTATATTTCTTCGCTTGTCGCCCATGCTTTTGCGCGAAGAATTTCTGTATTACCCATAACTACGACCGGACTCGAAAAAACATGCAAACTGGATTCTGGATCTGTCTGCGAAGAAATGGTTCTCATCTTTGAATGGCCGCCTGTTTGGCAGTGATCCAGTCCTGATACTTCTCATCTGCATAACGTTTCGCAGTGATGAGCCAGGCATGCAGCAAAATGGATCCAAGTACACGGCCTTGAGCGAAATGTACATATCTACAGAGTTGCTCCGCTTGCTCGCGACACTCCTGGATGTACTCTTCTTTTCCTGGCAAACCACACTGGATCAGGACTGAGTTTAGCTGGATAATTGTCGAGCAGTGTTGCGACATGAATCCGTGCACGGCCAAATTGTTGAAATAATAAACCATCGGGAAGAGCTCGTCCTCGCCTGGAATTTCAATCGGCATGTTGTTGCTGGCTTTCAGAGCTGGTATCCACTCGTCGTATAATCGTTTGACGGCCGTCCGTAGTTCTATGGTCTTCTTTACCAGCTCGGAAGCGTCGTATTGTCCGGTAGCGGTCCTTTGAGCATTGCGAATCAATCCTGGTATCTGGACGTGGATTCGAAACATGGACTCTCGAATATCTCCCTCTTCTGAATCAGGATCGTGGGCCAACTCGTTCCACGCTGGATCGTCGAGGAAGCAAGCTTTGCGCTTGTAGAAGGCTTCCATAACCTAGTGTCCAATCAGTTTCTGTCAAGTATCTCTGGACTCACGACACTCACGATGGAGTACCTGCATACGAGATACATGGAGTAATCGAAGCTCTTCCTGTTCGCGTATGCTCTCGGACCTCGCATCCGCATCATCTCGACCGAGCCACCAGAGTGTCGTATCCATTCATCCTCCTTTCTATTTGACATGAGCTAGGAGGGCGATCAGCTCATGGAATCTCACAGACAAACCTCAATCTTTACCTCATAAAACGTGAGCAGCATCACGGTGCTTTGCAGCTCTGGTTGTCCTGTAGTCGGCGTTACGAGAGCCTTGCGCAAGGTCTGGAGTGCGCCTCCATAATATGTGCGACTGATATTGATCGATCGTGTGTCCTTGTTCCGCAAACCAAATTGCATGCAAGCGACTGATCGCATTGCAAGATCTAAGGGGGTCATGGACCCTATACGGTAATACACGAAGGACAACCACTCTCTGATCATGGAAGGGCCTTGTTTGGGTTCTGCTGAGGGCGGCGCAAACCCGTCTATCAAAGCAGCCATGAGCTGAAGCTGTTCCGTCCGAGGCATTTGCAGCGAATTTACAGCTGGCTCGGGAGGAGTTGTCACAACAGCAGAATCTCTGCGTACATCCACCGAGCTGCTACTGCTAGTACTCGAATCTGTAGGTGAAGCTGTAGATCTCGAACTGATGATTACTGCTCGTTGACGATTCGACACGACTGTCATCGTTTTGTTTCTAAACTGAAGCTCGCGGGAGTAGCCTGGACATTGACGTCCTGACTTTGCGCATTTCTGACATGTTGGCCGTCCTTCATCGCACTGTCATGTTCGGACCAGGGTTAGATGCGAAGAATGCCGGTAGGTTCCTAGAGGGTGATGCTGTACCTTGATGCGTCTCGACACACATGTCGCACATCCTGTACTCCTGGGCACGCCCACCATGATCTAGACGGCGCGCAAGAGATTGTGACGCGACAGAAGAAAGTAAGAAGGGGATATCACGTTTGGAGATGAAGAAAGCAAATTACAAGTCACCCAATTCTCTGGACGTCTCTCTTTGCAGAATTAGAGTTTAGTTGCTGCTGAGAGCCAAGGCGGGGGTCGCAGAGGCAGGCAGAGCAGACAAAAGAGCAGTGGTTGACGCTTCTGCCCCGCGAGCCACGACGAGGAAGAAACAGGCGCTCGAGCCACCGGATCACTTTCCGCGTTGCTGTTCTTATTTAATCATACCTTATAGTACTCCGAGTACTAATTCGTGGTTCATGAAGAACTAGCAGTAAGGTACACTATGAGAATATAACCGACTATGATTCTTCAACAGAGTGTTGGCTATAAGAGAGCACCAGGAGATGCTGCAACCAGTCGGTCGATCTGAGTCTATTGGATGCAGCCAAGCACGCCTATTTTAAGGTCAGTGGGACTATCGAAAAGCGAATCTGGTTGCTACAGAGCTTGGGTTGCTCTTCATCTGTGTAGAAACCTCGCATATCAAGTGTGCAACTGCATGAACTTTGGTGTATACGCATGCGGAGGACTTGAGAAGGTTGAAAATGCCTTTTCATGATTGAAAGAACTGTAGAAACCCGCGGCCACCGATGCCCTTCATGCCAAGACTCGCCATCCCCAAAGCGCTAGGTCAATCCGCTTTTGATGAGAAAAAGAACAAGACCATCGCTGTGAGGCCAGTCGGAACGTTCTCTCTTTCCAGCCCTTATCGTAAAAGGTACTTGAGGCGTCATATCACATCGCAACGACATTCTGCGTTGTCCTGCTTTAGTAATGTCCTGTGAGTATGAGTAACTTGCTCGGTGGTTTCAAGCATTCTATATATTGGTAAGCTCGTTGAGGTGTTGCGACTCGCTTCTTTTGTATGTGGCGGTACTGTTCTTCATCTTTTCTTCTCTTTTAAAGACGGTCCCTATCTCCTAGCACTTGGACCATTTTAAATCGCATTTGGGCATACAAAGCACCATGAAAGACGAATCGCGACTTCGTGATCAGGTACCTCCTCCTACCTTCGACGTCGAGGAGGAATCAGAAGAAGCTCGATGGGAGAGACAAGGACGAGAAAAGCCCGAAAAGTTCCAGACAACAGCACAAGAAGTCGGCTTCATATTTGCCGTGATCATGGCACAGCTCATGTCCGAGTTCTATGTTTCTGGCTTCATTGTTCTCATACCAACACTGGCCACTGAACTTGATATTCCGCCTGAATCGACAACATGGCCAGCAGGGGCTTTCTCGCTCGTTGTATCGACATTTCTACTGCCACTCGGGCGGATTGCCGACATGTATGGAGCATATCCTGTCTATGTCGGCGGGATCGCTTGGACGGTGATATGGTCCATCGTCGCGGGATTTTCGACTAATGAAATCATGCTGGATGTCTGTCGCGCATTTCAAGGATTTGGCCCAGCTGCATTCCTTCCAGCATCTATGGCTTTGCTCGGCAGCATATACAGACCAGGGCCCAGGAAGAATCTTGTCTTCTCCATCTACGGTGCTATGGCGCCTCTGGGATTCTTCGCGGGCATCTTCTTTGCAGGTATCTCAGCTCAATTTGCTAACTGGAGATGGTACTTCTGGATTGGTGCCATCATCAGTGCATTCAGCGGATTAGCAGGGCTTCTGACTATCCCCTCGGATATTGCTGAACGGCGAGCAATGAATGTCAAGATGGACTGGCTAGGTACTTTCACCATCTCTGTTGGTATCGTCTTGGTCGTCTTTGCTTTGACAGGATCTTCTGGCGCACCGCACGAATGGGCGACAGACTATATCATTGCAACCATGGTCATTGGTGTAGTCTTCCTTGGCCTTTCTGTGTATGTGGAAGGATGGGTCGCCGAAGCACCTCTTCTCCCACCAGAGCTGTTCAAGATCAAGTACATGAAACCTCTTGTCTTAGCCTTGCTGCTCACTTATGGCGGCTGCGGCATCTACTTGTTGTACGCAACGAACTACATGAGCGAAATTATGAGTGGCACTCCTATGCAGCTTGTAGCCTGGTGGTCTCCGGCCGCAGTTGGAGGCTGTATCATCGCGACTGTAGGCGGCTTTGTGTTGCATTTGCTCCCTGGCACCATACTCATTGGCATTGCCTCAATCGCATGGATCATAGCACCATTACTTTTTGCTCTCGTTCCTGTAGGTGGACAGAACTTCTGGCCATGGGTGTTCCCAGCGATGGTATGCTGCACGATTGGAATTGACATCACATTCAATGTTACCAACATCTTCATCACGACAAGTCTGCCGACTCGCCAACAAGGACTTGCAGGGGCACTCATCAACAGTCTGCTCCAATTGGGCATCGCAGTTGCTCTTGGTATAGCAGACATAACGGTTTCCCAGACAGCGGACCAAGGAGTAGCACAGAAGTACAAGAACGCGTTCTGGCTTGAAGTTGGATTGGCTGGTGCGGCACTTGTAGTCTTCCTCGGATTTGTCAAAGTCGACAAGGCAAAGAGTCAAGCGACAGCAGACGAAAAGATGCAGCAAACATGATCAGCTGTTAGAGATGACCAAGTTGAGGATGTAGATGTGTATGTAATGTTTTGATAGCCATGCCTTGGAAAATAATGTTTTGCATGTGATGACGCGATAAGAACAGATTGGCGCAATCTCATTCACAACCACATTTGGAGCTACAAAGCGTTGAAGTCAAGCCTACAAAGCATTGCAATATGATGGGAAGTCGAGGTGGCAGTGAAGCGGATCAGCAAAAGAGTCGGAGAAAAACACTACGTGTTGCGAAGATTAAATTGTGGATCAAGTAGGGATGTTGGATGCAAAGATTGGTACGGGGCCACGAATCCAGTTTGAGAAGTGACTTCTGCGATCATGGACTTGGACCAAGGGGGACTGCCCGTCAGTGAAAACAGGGAGATGGAAGGTGTTGCTTGGCGTTGCACGTGACAAAGCCTAAGCCTCTCAACCGCAACTTCCAAAGCTGGAGATGTCTTGTTATTGCCCCCTTGACTGTCCATACAAAGACTCTGTGCTTCTATTATCGACGGCCAGTGTCATTTCCCCGTAAGTCGCTCCACGAACAGTCCCAGAACCACCCCGAACTGCATCGCTGGTGCGTACCGGCCCTGTCGCTCGAGTGCGCATCATTAGGGGTGTCATGTCTTGTGGACAAGTTGCGCTTCATCCATTGCGAAGTTGCTGCCTGTCTGCCATTCACTTTCACCTGCCCGCAGTACAAAGAGCTGCCGCGCTCGACCACCGACCTCCTTTCAGAATTGTTCGCTGACCATCACCCGTTCCCTGCAATAGGCTGCTCCATTATCCCCAAACAACCACCACCCACACGACACCTCCATCAACACAGCCAACATGGGTCTCACATTCTCGCGTCTGTTCGACCGTCTTTGGGGAAAGAAGGAGATGAGAATTCTCATGGTTGGTCTCGATGCCGCCGGAAAGACCACTATCCTCTACAAGTTGAAGCTCGGTGAAATCGTCACCACCATTCCCACAATCGGTCCGTGCCTTCGTCCATCCTCCTCCGACGAACTCGAGAAGCTGACTTGAGTGCTCGCCTGCAGGTTTCAACGTCGAGACTGTCGAGTACAAGAACATTCAGTTCACCGTCTGGGATGTCGGCGGTCAGGACAAGATCCGTCCTCTGTGGAGACATTACTTCCAGAACACCCAGGGTATCATCTTCGTCGTCGACAGCAACGATCGTGACCGTGTTGTCGAGGCTCGTGAGGAGCTGCAGCGCATGCTCAACGAGGACGAGCTGAGAGATGCTCTCCTCCTGGTCTTCGCCAACAAGCAGGATCTTCCTGTAAGTTTCTATTTCCTGCATATCACAAACTCAACGCTGACATTGTCCTGCCAGAACGCCATGAACGCTGCCGAGATCACCGACAAGCTCGGCCTGCACAGCTTGAGACAGCGCGCCTGGGTAAGTCCAAAGTCATCCTTCTGTCAATGGCCTCCCTCTAACAAGAATCTACAGTACATCCAATCCACCTGCGCCACTTCGGGAGACGGTCTTTACGAGGGTCTGGAATGGTTGAGCAACTCGCTCCGCAAGGCTGGTCACCAGTAGACAATATCCCCAGCTTGAACCTTGTGTCCGTTTTTGCCGCGCCTCAATTCATGTCTCTCAACCTTTCCTCTCCGTCTTTACGATCGTGGAACCTCATATCCTCCGACCTTACTTTCCCCACGTGCGACTACCAATTCGATACCACCAAATACCAACAGAAAAGCGATTCAAAGAATGGGATGATGAGAACAAGAAGAAAGAGCATCATGACTTGAAGACCGACTCTGATCTGGCTTCTTCTGCCCTTTGCTTGTCGGAAATCGAAGGTAAAGGGAGGGGTGAAGGATGTGAGCGGGACAACACCCAACCCAGAAGTTGAATGTTCTCATTTTGGCGGAGGGGTGGCGTTTTCGTTGTGCTTCTCTTTTTTCTTGCTCTGTTGCTTGCTGAATATGCATAACTTTCCCTTTTTTTGGTCAGAACTCGAATGTTTTACGGCTCCTTATACTTTACACTTTTCGACCATGACCATGATTATTGTGACAATTTTGATGCCTGTGACACTGGCAGAGTGCTTCGAAATGATAGATTAATGCTCTTGCACACAAAGTGGACTGTTCTATTGACAAGATACACAAGGCTTTCCAAGCACAGTGTTAAAGCCTCCCTCACTTCTTTGGCTATCTGCTGAAGATACGTCTTGCTCCCAACAACGACTCTGGTTCTGACCAAACACCTCGAAATATGCCTGCTGTAGAAAACTCCTGTCTCCCCCAAAAAACTCCCCTGCCAGCAAGAAGAAGACATGAATAGTGTGCAATGATGCTGTTACAAGAGGTTCAGATTGGTCTCAGATGTTGGGTATGCAGAGACGATGGTGCAAGCTTTGTTTCCACCTTTTCCATTCTAGGCGTTCATGGACTGTTGCTGCTGCTGCTGTTGTTGTTGTTGCTGCTGCTGAGGTGGGTTGGCCGATTTTGTGCTGAGACCGCCCGAGCTGGTGGGACGAGGAGCCATCCAGCCCTTCTCCAGCCAGATGTCAAGAAGAGGAGCCATTGGCTCCAGCTCCTTGTCGCCCAACAGTCCAAACAACCTACCCACATTTACAAAATGGATGAAGCAGGTGTTGAGCTCCTTGTAGGCACCCAGATGCCAGAATTCAAGCCAATGGGCGTGGTAGATGTGAGCGTAGCAGCGCAGCATCTGTCTGTAAATGTTGCGGATGTCGTTTGCAAACTGAGGAGGGAAACCTGATGCCTTACCTAGCCAGTTGTTGGGATCTGAGGAGGACAGCGCCGGTGGAGCACTGATGAAGGTATCTGTTGGGAAGATGCTGGGGTCTGTGATTTTGCCAGCGATCCATTTTTGGACGTATGAGATGTATTGAGGGGCAGGGACGCGGACGCTTTCGCGTTTGGCATCGAGCCAGGTGTAAGTCATGGCGCCAGCGCTCATGGCGGGACAGCTTTGCTGGTTGCAGATTGGGACACCTGTGTTGCGGTCGGCTTCTTGAATGATCTTGAGCATGCCGTCTAGTAGGCGGTTCTGTTCGACGACTGTTGGCGCAAGACATCAGTATGGACTTTGGCGACTTTTATTGCGCGCTGGATCTCACTCTGATGTGCCAGCCATTCACCCTCCTCAATAAGTACGGGCTTGGCTGCGAGGGTCATGAAGTTGCCCTTGACGATGAGGTTGGCGTATTGCTCGCGGAAGAAGAATGGTGGTCGCTGGTTACTGAGGTTCTCGGCGCTGGGATCTCTGTTCTCAAAGGACATGGCAGTGGCTGAAAGGCCTGGCGACAGAGGCATTTGTTGCGAGGAACCAGGAGTCAGGCTGGCTGGACTCTGCATGGTTGGTGAAGGGGTGCTGGCCTTGTTTTGTTGTGTCTTGTTGTTCTGGCGGCCAAAGCCACGCCTAGAGTTCACGTGTTAGCTTTGTTTACAGACGATTGGATAGGCACGTAAGGGGATCTTGGGAATTGAGGGGAAGTGATGGTACCGAAACGAGATGGAGAAGCAAGGCATTCTCGGCCTCTGTCTTGAACGAAAGACTTGGGAGAAGGAAAGAATGAAGGGCAATCGACTCGAGTGACACAAGAAAGCATTCCGGCATGATGGGACAAGTAGCACTCACATATTGGAGATCCAGGAAGCCATGGTTGCGGTGAAGCCCTCTCAAAGGGCGCTTTCACAAAAGTGAAGAGTGAACAAGACACAGGTTGTCTCACTGAGCTATCGCAGACAGCTGGGAGAGAGAGAGATGCGGATTAGGAGTGGACAGAAGATAGCAAGCAGGCTGTGTTAGGGTCGAGATGTCAGGTTGCTCTCTCTACTGGGCCGTCTCGTCTCGAATCGCTCCCTGCTTGCCCCTTCTTGTTTCACATGCGAGAGCTGCCCGCGCCTGGACCACCACGGCAGCACAGCACACTGAGCACAGCGAGCACAACCAGCACAGCGTCGTTTGCACAATTATCAAACACATCTCGTCCATGCAACTCACTATTACTGCACGCGTCGCAACACTCATCGCTACTCGTCTATTCCATCTGCCTCGCTGCCCAGTTCTTGTCGCTTTGACTCGGCGCATGCCTTAATTGCCCTTCGCCCCGTCTTGTCCAACTCCACACTCGACCGCACAACCACGTCGCAACGAGTCACCAACATGTCGGACCAAGTACCTACAGACCCTAGCGATCAAGCACCTCTAGACCTCCCCGGCGCAGTCACCAGCGCTATCTTGCCAGCTGATGACCCCGTTCCAAACGACTTGAGCGAAGATGAAGACGACATTATTCCCAGAAAGAGACCGCTTGGCGACCTGGTCAACACAAAGATCGATGAGGATGAGGGCTCCAACATGGGAGATGATGATGATTTGTTCGGAGACGGCGGTGACGATGATGAACAAGAACAAGCTGCTCCGTATGCTCCACCTTAATGCGCTCGCCAAACATGCCGCGACTAACAAGACTCAGCGAACCCCTTCGCACTCTCGAGGATGAAGAACTGGACTCTGGAGATGACGAGGGCCGCCATGATCGCATGCCCTCGGAACAGTATGATCAGGAGACACAGAATGTCGTTATCCAAGAGTCGAGCATGAGCAGGCAACCACTCCCTGAACCCACCGACGGCGAGGTATATATTGTCGCATATCCAACTCGAAACATTCGCTGACACGACTAGATGTACCTGACTAAAATTCCCAAATTCTTGTCTGTCGAACCTCGAAGATGGCACCACACCACCTACCAGCCACCCACTACCGATCACCACTCACATGAAGCTGCTCCTGGCTTCTCTGCCTACAACACCGCTATCAGCACTGTCCATTGGAGACGCTCACCCTCTAACCCCAAGAATATACAATCCAATGCACGTATCTTGCGCTGGTCCGACGGCAGCTTGACATTACAACTCGCCTCGAATCCTACCCAGCAGTACGAGATTGAGGGCAATCCTCTTGCTCCTCGTCAGCGCAACCCTGCCAAACCTACCCCCACAAGCCAGAAGCCCGGCAGAAAAGATCACAGCAATGATTCGTACACCTACCTGACTGTCCCGGACCCTTCTAACGGTCTCCTCCGTGTCACTCACAAGATCACTGCTGGCCTGTCAATTCTACCATCAGCTGCCACTACCGATGATGCGCTCGAGAAGCTACAGAACTCGCTGGCCGCTATTTCCCAGGGCAAGAACAAAAGCAGTGCTGGTGGTATCGAGTTTGTTAAGATCGACGAGGACCCTGAGCTGGCTAAGAAGAAGGCAGAGGTTGCAGAAAGAGAAAAAGATCGTGCACGAAAGCGAAGAGAGGCTGCAGAGACCCGGGAGCGCGAGAGAAATGGTCGCGCACTGGGTCGTGCTGGTCTCGGCTCAAGAGGCTATGGTGGTGGTCTTACCGCCGGTATGCTTGAAGATGATGAGCTTGGCGGTGGTGGTCGCCAGAGAGCCAGAGCAAAGCCCGCGAGACGCCAACGCCGCAACAGCGAGTACAGCGAAGACGAAGACTTTGGTCGCAAAAAGAGCAACTTTGGCAACGACGAATATGATGAAGAGGATGACTTCATTGCTGGTAGTGACGAAGAAGAGGCCGTCGAAGACGACGAGGATGAAGACGATGGCATTGTCGAGGAGAGAAGACCCAAGGAGCGTGCGCCCAAGCGTGCAAGCCCTGATGAAGACGACGAGGATGCCGAAGGCGAAGACGACGATATTCCTCAGGCTACCAGAACCAAGAGAAGGAGGGTTATCGACGAGGACGATGACGACGAGTAATCTTGACTGCAAAATTACACAGCATCTTTTCCTCAGCATCTACCTTCTCTCTAAGATCACGACGAGGACTGGTTGTTCACCAATCACCCACCTTTCTGCTGAACTGTTTCTTTAGCAATTTTCCCAACAATTCAGCGGACAGTAGCATGCGATTGGTGGCAGACAAATCGGCTTTCTAAGGGTTGCATGTATAAAGGACAGAAGGTTTGAAGCACCAAGCATTATCAAAACCTAGATGCCAGACTTGAGAATCTGTCGACGAATGATTGTTACAGAAAAGGGTTCGTCTTGGACATTGAGTTCAGATCCCCACAAAATTGATCGGCAGATCCGGCAGCGGCTGAAAGTGAAGCTCTGACCTCGAATGACGTTGATAAAGAACGAGCCTCTCCAGCCGCGACGGCACTGAGTATTGATCTTTCTTTGACCTTACAAAACCATCTATCACTGTACCTTTTTCTCGAAGCCTAACATCTGATCCTCTATTTTTTCCACAATGTCAGCTCAAGCACCAGGATTCACTACTGCACCTTCGGACAAAGAGACACCACAGCAAGATCGCGGCCTGTTCCATCACGAAGGCAAGAAGCATGAGTGCCACCACTACGCACGCATGTACGGTGGCCAAGCTATGAACGCAGTCATGTGGGGGTTCGGCGCAACCCTGGGCGCAGACGCTGCAAATGCCATGGTGGGAGACATGAAGGTATGCTCTGTTTCGTCTCTGATACTGGTCTTGCAATGCTGATTACGTCGAAAAGCAATGGTGGAGACACTGAGCAACAAGCGTTGCAGTTGCTATGGAATGACATGATCTTACGAACAAAATAGGCCCTGGTTCACATACGGGTGGATGTATACGAATGTGTCAAAGTTTGGGCTGAAATAGACGCCAACTACCCAAGGCCGTCAATACATCTGCTACAACATCAAGCAAACATACTATCCATGATCGCATAATTTTCCAAGGCAATCCTCGGACATGTTTCTTTGTATCAAAACGTCTTTGAGACAAGATGTGATAGGAATTCTCTAGTGTCTGATCGAGCTGACGACAAAGTGGGCGAGCTTGGAAATGGTAGGTACGCGGTTGGGTCACGGCAGCCTGAGGCCAAAAGCTCTTTCCTAAACTCACGACACAAGATTCTGCTGCCTGGACCCCAAGCCGCACCTTCAGAACGCGACGATTTCGTCCAGTACACATCTTCCACAGCAAACACTTTCCGCCTTGCACAAATATCACCGACCCATCTCCTTTCTGATTGATTGCTAGCTCGGCCGAACTCTGCCTCAAGATCCATCACGATGCCTCCCAAACGTAGCAAGAAAATCCCAGCAGCCTGCAAGGTACAAGGCAAACTCAACTTCCAACGCGTGCAGAAGCCACACACCACTGTCTCTCCTCTCGTTCAGATCCTGTCGCAATACGAGCTCATGATCATGGTCACCGACCAGCTCTCTTCGGCCGACATCATCCATCTCACCGCTACCTGCAAGGAGATCAAGACGTACCTTACCGATGACAAGACCATCTACGCCACCATCACAGAACGCGCCAATTGCGACGGTAAAGGCATCGAAGCCAGAGCAAAGTGCTTCGGTCATTGGAAGGGAGATGTTACCAACGCAGACGTCCGTTGCGGAGGTTCAGACTGCCAACCTTGTGAGGACTGTCATGCCATGGTCTGCAATGTAAGTGCCTCTGGGTCTTTCCCGACATGGGCATCCACTCACATTCATCAGGAGTGCCGCTACCACATCAACTACATGAGCAAGTCGCCTTGCTGCAGGGCTGATCCACCGCATTGGGAAAGCCACGAAGCCGACTTCGCAGAAGACCTCGAAGACATGAAAGACTGCCATGGTGATTGTATCAATTGTACGACATGCTCACTTCTCAGACCCTATGGCGACATCTTGCTGAGTGTAATTTCAGGTCCTGCATTCCATTCGGGCCGCTTCCCCATCGAAAGCATTCGAGCTGCTCTGCTGGCTGGCAAGCCTCGCGAACGCCACTACTGTTCGGATTGCAAGCCACATTTGTGCGACAACGAAGGTACACCAAGTCTGGAGGCCATCTTTGACATCATCAGCGAACACGACGACGATAGCGACTGGTGTTTCTGCACTTTGGCCGACAAGTTCATCGGAGACCACTGGCTTTGCATTCCATGCTTCATCAAACAAGAGGCCGAAGCTTACAGCCGTCGTCAAAAGCGAGAGATCTACAAGTGGGAGAAAGAAGATGAAGAATGGACTCGAAAGCTTGTCAAGACTGTAATGCATCCCTTGATACCACAGCCGTACTGCCGCTGACTGTTGCCAGGAACACTTCTGCGATTGTGGCCGTGTCGCTGACATCGAATATCTGGTTTCTTGCAGATGGTGTGATGAATACATGCTGACTCCTGAAGTCAGCGATGTGCTCTTTTAGTAGTGGTTGTGGATTCTCGATCGCTGGCAATTGGCCGTTTGCGAGCTTTCGCTACGTGTGGCATGACTTATAATACCAGGGAAGGAAACGAAGACCATGCTCAAGTATGAACTTATGATGTCTCGAGCAACAAAAACAACACTCCAGAGCATATCCCAAGCTAAACATAGATAATTATACATATGTTTCTATCCACTTCCACTATAGTGCTCGTGTAAGAGACTGGTTAATATAAAGCTGTCATCATTCGAATACAGCCCACGACCTTTTGAGCATTGGAATCAACACTGTCTTGAGAGCAGTTTGGAGGGCATCAGAGTTTCTGTCCTCGACTCAGAACTTCTCGAGCACTTTCGTGTCTCTTGTTTGAGATGATTTTTCAAAATTGGTACATCTAGTTAGCATCTGAGCGTGTCTGAACGACCTGAACGACCTGAACTCAATGTGGTCACGCTATAGATGAGAACTACTCGAGCCGTGTCGTAGGACGATGCGTGAGGAAGTGTAAACAAGTGTAGCATTTGGGAGAGTCGACGAGACTCTCAGATATAAGGCGCGGGCAGGAAAAGGAGATGGATGAAAAAACGCAAAAAGTAAACAAGTTGATGCAGAAGAAAAGAGAAAAGCACCACTAGAACACCAAGAACCCCCGACTTCCCCTTTTGCCTTTTTCTTCTTTTGTGAATTATCAGCCAGCATCCAACATGGGCGTGATCAGCCTGCACTTCCAATCTTAGCACCGCCTTCATCTGCTGTGACAGCGGCCGTTCGTCTTGCGGCTCCTTTCCGTCTTTCGTCCTTGCCGGCTCCTTTCAGGGGCTCCTCCTCATCTTGTGCTTCCTCGTCTTCGTCATCCTCGTCTTCTTCGTCCATTAATTCATCATCTTCCCTCGGCTGACTGGAGTTCCCCCGTTCCCAGATGGCGACTTCGTCTAGCTCGTTCAGGTCAACGGGCTTCTCGCGCAGCCACTTCATCCTGGGACCGCTCTTTGCAAACTCGCTGACGCGGAAGCCGTAGATGCGAGGTTCGTAAATGTTGGACTTGCCCAGACCAGGAGCCATATTTTCTGCGGCAAAGCCGTTGATGGTGGCGGGTTGTGTGGGCAGAGGAGAGGGTTGTGCGGCGACTGGAGGGGCAGAGCTGAAGGTATCCGAGACGTTTGTGAGGCTGCTGCGGCGTTTGCGATGCGTGGTGGTGGTTGAGGCGAAGTCGGAGATTTGTTCAGGGGTAGGGCCGTAGGAAATGGATGCGCCGCCGACGCGCAGTTCGGGGAAAGTCATGAAGAAGAGGCAGCCGAAGGTTGTACCGAAGAAGGCACCGTCGACGGATTGGAAGCGACTGTTGGGCGGCGTGTAGACATCGAGACAGCTGGGACAGAACAGCTTGACAGTCTCCTGACCAGGAATGTCGCTGCAGCCGACGGGCAGGACCTTTGCTTGACCGCAGTAGACGCGTGGACAGGCACCGAAATGGCCAGCTTCGTACTTCTCGGCCATCTGCTGGATGCCCTGGCGCGAGGTGATGTAGCGTTGGTGAATGAGACCGTACAGCATCTCGGCGCTGCTCTCCATGACGGACAGATCCGAAGCCATACGCATGTGTCTTCTCTCCTGGCGTCTGTAGGCGGCTGCGTCCCTCATGTCCTCATCGTCGTCATCGAGATCCTCATCTTCGTCTTCGTCCTCCTCGTCACTGTAGTCGTCTTCGGGTTCAACGTCCAGGATCATCTCCAGGGCTTCCTTGTACATGGGTACCTGGCTCTGCAGACCGGTCAGATTGAAGTCGTCCTCGACAAAGTCCTCGGAAACCTCAGCAAAGTACTCGTGGCCGACCAGGCTGCAGAAGGCACTGATCCATGACTCGGCTACTTGGCTGCTGGAAGACATGTCGCTCTCCTCGTCTGGGCCAACATGGCCAGCGTATGCGCGGGACTCCACGATTGCGGTTGGTGCGAGGGAGGTTTCAAAGGGCTATGTTGACAGTTGGCGCGAGGGGGTTGAGCTGGTCTCGAAGTGACGGCGCAGGTGCAAGCGCAATCAGAGCTTTGCGCCAGATGAGGCTCTGGGCTTTAAGGAAAGGTGCGCAACACCGCGTCGGAAGGTGCGAGTTTGTCGGCCTAGCACAGTCGTCTTGGTGCTATCGAGTAAATGCAGATTAGTGACCAAGATGCGCCTGCTGAAGCCCAATGATCACGAGTGAAGCTGTCCCTGGAGCAATATCTGCTTCTTCTCTTCTGTAATCTTTGTTGATACAGCTGTTTTGCTATCAAAGTGGGATGTTTCCTGGAAGCCAATTGCCAAGCCCCACGACTTGATGCCGTGGCGCAGAGCCGCATCACGTGGAGTTCGTCTTCATGCTCTGCTTGACCTACATTCTGCATCATCTCATCTAGCTAACCGAACAAGCAACGCCAGCAATGCTTCCTTGACCTCTTTGCTCAGAACAGATCCCGCAGAATTCTGCTCAACTCATCCTCGCCACCGAACCCACTTTCATCCATTTGATGCACCCCTGCCCCGAAGCCGCTCCCAAATCCATTCGTGTATCCTCCGGCCGCCTCAAATAAATTGGTCAAGTCATGTACCATCCCGTCAGGCGAGCATGAAGATGCACTTCCCATGTTGTTCCATCCTCCAGAGTTCAGAAATGCTCCCTCGTCAACCTTGTGTCCCGCAAGTCCGGCCATGGCGACCGCTGCTGAATGGTTGGGGTCGCTCTGCACATTGCTCGTCACCAATCCGAGCTTCGGCCCTACCTCCTTCAGCGACCGAATTGTTTTCCACAACCTCTTGCTGACCCAACTCCCCTTTGATATACCGCGTACTAGATCTAGCGCCATGTAGAATTCCTCACGCACCTGCCCTGCATATGTCTCGGGCATGTGTGAAACTGCGAGGAACAACACCGCCAAAGCTGTCGTAAGGAACGCATTGAACAAGCTCTGCGAAGCTCGATACATCCTGCTCGTCCGGTTGATGTGCGTCAAGATGCGGATCGTGTCTTTGGCGATGTCTACAGCTGTCTGTGCTTGTATGGGATTGCTCACAATTGACGCTGTCGAATGTAGCACGGGCCGATGAATCATGACGCGCATAACGTTCGCTCGCAAGTAGAGGATGACTCGGAGGCGTTGTTGTCCAGCTGAAACGTCTCCATCTGTCTGGCTCCAGGACTCTCTATCCCAATGTAGCTGCTGAGGGAGATTTCTGTGCCAGTTGACAATCTGGAAGTCGAGATAACTCACATCCTCCTTGCTGACCTGTTTCCTGCTCGAATCAGAGTATATCAGATGTCTCACCTTGCTGGCTATGGCAAAATGTTCGATCATGGCAGTCAAATAAAGTGATTTCTCGCCCTGCAAAGGTTCAGCTTGGATAATATTGTCAGAAAAACTATAGCTTACCGGTCTTGGTAGATTTGGATCAATATCAGAGTCCTGTAGAGCAAAAGGCATTCCAGTGCCGAAACTCCACCTCCTGTCAAGACAGTAGACAGACCAAAAGGTAAGCATGGCTATGGTGCGCTGCTCTTCATCCATGCGATCGTATGTCTCTTTACGGTGTAAGCCAAGCTCGATGCAGAAACGAGCAGCCAAGCCTATAATGCGCCATGATATGCCTTCGTTGTCACAGTGAAACTGGTATGTAGCCTAGGCACCAAAGTCAGAAAGCTGCAGTAGACGAATATCTTGGATTATCGTACCGCGAGAGCAAGCAATTGGACACCTCTCAAGCTAGTATCACCAAGAAAAAGAGCGTCAATCGAGGGTTGCACGTAGTCGTACATGGCACGGCCGAGCTCGCTTCTCCCCGAACCCTCGACAACCATGGCAGTAGCCATTACGATCTTGAGTATGTTCGTCTCTTCGTCATCGATGGAATCGGCTCCAGGAGCAGATCTCATCATAAGGCCCGTCCTTTGAGCAGATTCCATGAAAGTGAAGAGCTTGTTGACGTAGGCAACGAGTTCTGGTATGGAGAGTAGAGGATACATGATATGCATATCGTCCTGATAGACACGTATAAGGCGGAGAGCCTCGTCGCGATTGACATTCCAGATGGGATCCTTGGTGGCATGTAGCGGAGCAGAAGTCAGGATATGTGCGCTTGGCGACTCTTCGCGCAATAGCTCGTCTTCAGGGCCAGCGGGGGCAATGCCTATAGTCTCGAGATGATTCTTGGCCACGCCAAGGTTGAACTCGGTACTCGTGGGGCCTCTGAAGGCTGGTCGTGCTGACATACTCTTTCTTCGAGAAAGATCGGTGGAAGCAGCATGTTCGTGTGACATGATGGGTTGATGTTGCAAAAAAGGATCGATAGGTGGTTGTTGGTGAGCGAGGTCTGCGCGCAGAGTGTTCATGCTGGCAAAGAGAGCATTGACTTGATCTTGAAGAGAGGCAATCTGGTTGGACATATTTCGAAACTCGTCGGTATCCTTGAAGTTGGAGGTGCAGCAGTTGGGAGCATAGACGCAGTCCAGGGCGAGGTTGCCGCATCGCTGGCATGGAGTCTGGCCGTTGCATTTGATCTTTCGTCGCTTACATTCGTTGCTTTAAGAGTCAGCGGCATGGTCGCGTGTGGTGTGGCTTGGGGGTCAAGGTGTACCAAGCTATAGAGATGTAGCGATTTCGCTTCTGCTTCTGCTGCTGCTGAGGGTCGTCACTCTTGCGCTTCCCAGTGTTGGAGCCATTGCCACCCCCGTCCTGGTTCGATGCGGGCGACTCGTCGTCAAGGGCCATGGTCGCTGTTTGTCGAGAAAGCGCTTTGTCCTTGTCTCTTGCGGGCAGCTCATGCGCTGGTGGCCGAGGCTGCCCCTGCTGCTTAGCACACGATCGTCACTGTCTTGCGGGGAAAGGGACCCGCGCGGATTTTCTGCGCACTTTCTGCGCACCGGGTGGCCGCGCCGTACAGCATACGAAGATCCTGCCGAACGAAGCCTAAAATGACGCTCGCCAACAATCATTTCCTACGCAGGAATGCACACAGCTCTCCTTGTGGAACACGAGCCTCTTACCTCAGCTCATTGCCACACTGCACACTCCTTGCTCTTGCATCTTCCGGTGTCTCATCAGCTTCATGTCTGCATTGCGCGTTGTGTAGCGACTCAGTGAGGCTTGGACCGACTGACGAAGCTCAACCAAGATCAGATCCCTTCATGCCTGTTTGGGACTGTGCCATGCCTCTTCAGGACTGGGCCACGATTCAAACCCTCTTCCGCCAGTTTGCCCGCTGCGTAGCCTGCTTTCACCTTACTCAGTGCCTGAACCTGCCCACTCTCTTGCTAAATGTGCACACAAATCGTCTTGCGTGCTGCTTTCTGGCTATTCGACCATATTAGTCAACCGATTTGCTTGCTGGCTGAAACGATTTCCGATGCCTAACCTAAACATTATTCCTAATCCCATTGATTTTGAGCCTCATCTCTCAGCTCTTCAAGTTCGCATGACGTCCGTCGTCTTCAATCTGCTTCATTTTCTCCGGCTCTCCAGTCGTGTCTGAAATATCTTGTCCATGCAATTGCACCCCACTCGTAATCAATCTATTTTTCAAGTCCGGACCATGTTTTAGGCTGAACGAGGCTGATATGACCTCGCAACGCTTCACCTTTGTCAATGTTACTGCTCCTGAGGATGCAGTGAGCGAAGGAAACAAGAAACGAATCCGCTCTGCCGCTGCTGCATCGGGATGGGCCCAGGGTGCTGGTCGCCCCAGAAATCATCCAAAGTCTTCTAGCTCTCCAGAAAATCCTCGCTTCTCTCATCCCGTCGACCTGAAGAATTTGCTCGAAGCGCCAGAACAGTCCAAAGGCTCAAACGACTCGGACCCAGTCCTCAAACGGAATCCTTCTACCATCTCGGATCGCAAATTCATCTGGGAGTCGACTAACGCTCGGGAAACTTCCACTGCCGAGTCTGGACCAACAGAATTGTCGGATGAAGTGATACGATCAAACATCAAAAGAAAGCGAACTCCACGGAGTAGTCAAGCGTCAGGTTCTCGAAAACGGGTACTCGCAAGCTCTTCTTCTGCCTCGGTGTCTTCACAATCATATGTCGCAAGTCCTAATACGGCTGTCTCGGCATGGATATCCTCGATAGGGACACCAGATGCTACTTCAACTACACCGCACTCGGAGCTGGTGAGCCCTCACGATCTAGGTAGCGGCAGTTACGATGCTTTCAATTGCTACCCTGTGCACACTAAGCCATGGCATGACAGAGTATTACATCACAGTAAGAAGCAGCTTCTGTGTGCGCCTAAGTTGCTCAGCCGCTGACATAATTCTCAGTGATGACAGTGTTTGCTCCCCGTGGCTGGCCTGCGTTGGGAATCACTCGCGAAGAGGGGCTCAAATGGGAACGATTTATGACCCAACACGCCCTCGCAGATACTGCTTTATTCAATGTCCGATTGCTCTTTGCGTCCGGTGACTTGATACGACTGAATGTCTTGCCACCCGAGACAGCACTTTGGTTACGAGAACAAGCAGTCAGATCCATCAACGAAGCTCTCGATGATCCTGTTCGCGCGATCAGTGATCCAATAATCCTGGCCGTTGGTCGCATTGCTCTTCACGAGTCAATGTATGGAGATAAAAGTGCCGCCAATCTCATACATCGCCCTGCGCAACATCGAATGATCATGATGAGGGGTGGCATGGGTGCCCTTGGATTCCCAGAGCTTGTCAAGAGACTAATGAGGTGGGCCGACAAGGTCATGGCCTTGCAGAGCGATACACCACGCTTCTTGCCGGACGGAACCGATCAGGCCTTTTCAATGAATCAGAGTGTTGAGGTGCTGGAGAAGTGGGTGCCTCAGGAAGGCGTTTCTTTACGAAACAAGGTCAGAACCTAGATGGCTGAACCTGTTTAGCATTACGCATCATGTTTTTGTGCTGTTTTCTAGCGTAGCGGTTTGTCGGCCTGCACAAAAGTCTGTCCAATGCTACATGCAGAGGAGTTCGTCCTGCCTCATTTCGTACTTCCTACCAAAAATGCGACTTCTTGCGAACCGGTCCCATATTAACTCTTCCGGTGTCATGGAACATGTGTCTTTGGACTGCTGCATGCAGCATAAGCATCTGGCAAGGGAGGTGACTTGAGCAAAAGCAAAAGAGTTGTCGCAGCCGTGAATCGAACACGGGGCTCGTGCATGGCAAGCACGAATTTTACCACTAAACCACTGCGACTATTTGATGAGACGAGTCCAACCAATTGAAGATATATCACTCACAACACCGAGCCCCAGACCTGAACTGATTGAACAGCTTGATTTCTACCGTCTGTTGTCTCATATTTGCGACTGTATCACCTGCTGCTTCGTCAAGGATTCCGAGAACATACGCCCATGGAGCCACTATATCTCCCGAACCTCGAGGAACGGACACTGGCCAGATTCGATGATCTCGCCAAAAAAGAAAAGATATTCTACAAGGAAGCCATCTCCGAATTGATCACAGTCAGCGGATTTCATGTGAGCACACTTTTGTTTTTTCCAGCATCGCTCTAAATCATTTTCCTGTCTCAATTAACGAATTTTGCGTGTGACTATCCAAGCCCTTACCTCCAACGGGAAAAATGGACAGATGTCAACGACGGATAACCGAGACAATTTGCTGATCACTCCTCCGCCAGTTTCAATTCATCGTCGCCGGTATACTGAAAAGGAAACCAATCCTTCCTGCCAATGCGCCCAGTAGATCAAAAGTTGGCGGTCCGTTTGTGAATCCAGATCCAGAGGAAGTTGTGACGGACCTGGGTTCCACTCATCGTCTGCTAGTGAACAAGTATGGCATCTTTCGGCCAATGACTGTTATACCGACTAGACACTATGCCCTTCAGACGGATGATCTTGATCTTTCGGATATCAATGCGGCATGGTCTGTCTTGAAGGCATTCCAGACTCCATCTTTGATTATTTACAATTGCGGTATCAACGCCGGATCGTCTCAAGGTCACAAGCATACTCAGGTGTTTCCCTTGCCCACTCATCCACTGTGGCCTTTGGAAGCTGCGTCCTGTGACGGTAAGATTTCTCTTTCTTTCCCCTATAATGACAAGCTGACAGAAACAGCCATCTCCACTGATATCAAGCATGTGCCTTTCAAGCACTATGTTCTTCGGCTACCAGCACATGCCGATGCAAACACTGTCTACGAGGCATACCTTCGCCTTCTCAGATCATCTCGCGAAGCACTAGTGAGATCAGGCGAAGGCAGTCGAGATTACAATGTAGCCATAACTGCAGACTGGATTGCCGTTATACCTCGTCGGACCAGCGATGGACCTTACGGAGCTAATGCTGCCGGCATGCTGGGCATTATATATCTACCCGACAGGGAAGAAAGAGACAAATGGTCTCAGCTCGGTTATACAAAGCAACTCGTGGCCTTTGGTATACCGATTGATGCGTGAGGATACCATATCTCTGCCTCAACGGTGATCCCTTGCATGTGTCGTCGCATCTAGCGTCACCTCTCGAACAGCGTGTATACCTCTGATCACTACAATGCCTCAAAATTCAGTTTTGATATGAGAATTCTATAATCCTTGTCTTCTTGGATCAGACAGGGTCAGGTTGAACATCTCCCCGATATTGAAAGACTACCCGACACACCTCTCTTTCCCCTCAACCACATTCATCTCTTGAATCTGAACAACCCGCACCCTCCGGTCACACATGTATAATACACGACCCCGACTCTATTATAATTAACCCTCGAGGGTTGTCCACAAAGACAAACCGGATTGTGAGCATCATAGCCAAGTAAATCCGCGTAGCAAGAGAAATTGTCTTTATGCTTGACCACACAGCGATAGAAAGGCCTCCCATCATCATTCAAGCTCAGAACTGTTTTGTTGCCGCATTTTCTGCATTTTGGCCGCTCAAAGTGGCGATCGCCGTTGATGATGTGGTTGATGTTGTGGTTGAATAAAAATGCCCACAGATGTAGTTGAGTTTGCCCAGATAGGACACAAGATGTGTCAAGGTTTGCAGGCGTAAGAGGGCTCCCAAAGATCAAGTCATTGGTGTCTTCACGATGGAACAAACTGATAGATGAGCCGCTGCTGCCCGTGGGAGATATGTTGCTTGTGGGGGTGGGCGGGATGCCGCTGTAGTTGACTCTGAAATCTTGCATTGAGATATGAGAGAAATATATAAATGGTAGAAGCAGTCAAGATACTGGAAACCGAGGTTCCCCATGCCTCTTTTATCTTCTCATCGTTGCATTGTTTGTTGTAAATATCGTTGACTATCCATAGCTATCAAAACCCTCGGCATACAACATCAGGCACGTTATTGAGGGGATTTTGGATCCGTGATGCTCTCTGTAGGCTTTCGATCCACAAAGGAGGCGTAGTTGGTGATGGTGAGCTGTATCTGGAGTACGGATCGATGTTCCACTCAAAGGTTGATATCCAAGCACGACTCAGCCGAGCTCGGTCTTGAGTTGTTGGTGAGGAAGTCTATCACTATGGAAAAGAGCAAGTTTTGACATCATCCTACGCAGACAGACTTGGCTGACGAGAGTATACAACGTCAAGTATCAAGATGAACCCAGAGACTTGCACATGGAGTTTTGGTCAGTCTTTGAGGATCAATTCGAGACTATGTTGAATTTTGATAAAACTTTTGCCCTTAAGCTGCATTTGGAAAATGGTGTGCTCTTGACTCCACGAGGGCTTACGAATGCTTCTGAACATGTGCCTGATTCTTGAAAATGAAGCCTGAAGTCCTCTTGTCGGCGCCTGTGCGCTTGCTGATCTTTCCGTCATTTGCAAAGACCAAGACCAGGAGACCAAAACCGCCCAACGCCATATGCACCAATGAACCAGCGATCAGGGTTCCAGAGAGCTGAGCAGAAGTGCCAGAAACGTACATCAGAATACCGGTTGCGAAGTGGTAGAGCAAGGTTGCGATGGTGGTGGATGATGAGTCTGATAGGTGTTAGCAGTTGCTTCATGAAAGCTAAGCGGTATCTGTATGTGTATCGTACAAGGAGACGCAGCAGTAGCCGAGGCGCTGGGAACGTTGTCGGCATCATCCCACAAACGATGCAGTTCGCCTGAGAAGAGTAGGGAGAGGAAAGAACAAAGCAGCAAAGCGAAGCCCAGTTCGCGAGCAACCAGCGTCTCGAATGCCGTAACGGTCTTGGGTTCTGACGAGGCCATCCAAGCGGCCATACTGGGGCTTAGAAGGAGCGGAGCGGCTTCGAGGGCGAGTAAGGCAGCTGTGGCCTGGTTGTAGATGCGGAAGTTCTGTGGCCGGATCAGTATCCTGTTGCCTTCACGTCGCTGTGCTTGCACCCACATCCATGACTGATGCTTGTGTGTTTTGTTGTTGTGGGTGCTGTAAATCGGTTCGGTAGGTGAAAGAGGATAGAGCAAGCTCGAAGTACTAGGCAGGCTCCTGGCGATGCTTGCTCGTCCGTCGCTGTTTCCCTGATTTATCGAGTAGCTTGCGGGAGCTGGCCCCGGAACTGCATGACGTACCTACCTATTTTATCCGTCGCATTTGACTACACCACGAGCTATGCTATCTCGCAGCATCGCTAGAATGTTCTGCAGAGAATCAAAGTAGCCAGATCTGCTCATCTATAGTCTCTATACATATTCCATAGCTGCATGTCTTTTGACAATCGAAAGGTTACCCTTGTCGTCGCTGTTGAAACAACCACTTGATCAATTGTTCGGTACACGATTCGTCATTTTGCGGGGTTCGACTATCGTCATCGCATGCTCACCTCAACTCGCAATATATGTATGCTCATGGCTATATCCTGACCTTTTCGAGGCATTGTTGCAGTCCATGTCAAAACTACTACTTAGAGCAAGACCTGCCCTGAGATCTTTCCATAGTTCAAAACCGAACCTCTTTTCCCACAAATCATTCTATATTCGTTGTTTCAGTATGGATGCCAACCAGAACAACGATCCTACAAAGAAGACCTACCACAAGAAAGCTACTGGCAAAGCACTTGAGACGGTAGAGAAACATTCACAGGATCATGAACTCAAACTCTTTGGAAGTTGCTTTTGGTGAGTTGTTATTATCAATCTCTGGATGCACGAAAACGCAGTGTAGAGTCTTGAGGGATGCCCGGACAAGTCCAATCACGAACACCACTCGCACTTCATACCATCTACCCGTCTTTCAGCTTGCAAAGTAGACGCTAACGCGAACGATCACACAGTCCCTTCGTTCAGAGAGTATGGATTTCCCTTGAGATGAAGGGGCTTGATTATCAATACATTGAGGTAAGCCTCTTGAGCCCCGAGTGGTGAATACGTGGGTAGGGCTGGGACAGCCTGCCGCAAGCCTGCCTCCATTCTATCAACGTGGCAGCCTAGATCATGGTCTCTTTAGGCACTCTTCCCGGGTCGCTGGCGGCGACTAGTCGCGGCATCGGCATATTCTTGACCATAGCCCTACCCCCACAAATGCCCTACAACGACAATACGCTAGCGGCAGACCAGATAGGCTCACATTCAATGTTGTACAGGTCGATCCTTACAAAAAGCCACAACAATTGCTCGAAGTCAACCCTCGGGGTCTAGTCCCAGCCCTTCGACATGGCGACTGGGGTTGCTACGAGTCAACTGTCTTGATGGAATATGTTGAGACTGCCCCTATCCCTCAGAGACCGGCGTGCACTGATCAAATCCTAGCTTGAAGACTTGCAGAAGGGTGAGGCACTGTTGCCCAGCGATCCAAAGTTGAGAGCACATTCTCGTTTATGGTCTGATCATGTAAGATTGGCAACCACTTGCCGATAGTCGATGGTTTGAGTTCATTGAGTCGCACAGGTCAACCGTCATATTGTCCCCGGGTTCTATCGCTACCTGCAAGCCCAAGATGAAAAGTCCCAGATCGAGCATGGAGAAGAGCTCAAGGAGCAGATATCGAAGCTTGTTGATGCTGCCGACAAGTCTGGTCCTTTCTTCTTGGGAGACAAAATGACCTTTGTCGATGTCCAGGTAGGAATCCCTACGCATTCAGCCATACAGGCTAGAAGCTGATTAATCTCAGATGGCCCCATGGGTCATTCGTCTTCGTAGAGTCCTCCAGCCGTACAGGGGCTGGCCTGAGCCCGAGTCTGGCACGAGATGGGCAGCCTGGGTAAACGCCATCGAACAAGCCAATGCTGTGAGAGCTACAACGAGCACAGATGTTTTGTACAGAGAGAGCTATCAAAGGTACGCCGAAAACCGCCCAAACACATCTCAGGTACAACAGGCCATCAACTCTGGCCGGGGGCTTCCCTGAGGCTCTGTAACTAGCGGATGTTTCGTGTGCTCTTGGTCGGACATGGCCGAAGTGGCTGTTGACCGTTATTGCGACACCTGACTCAGCGGAGCGGCAGCGGAAGCGGCAGGGTTCCCGGATCGATGTGCCTGAGGCTCATTCTGACGCTTCGCGACGAGATGCCTTGGATCGACACTGTGCAAGACAAGATTTAACTTCCTCCAACTGTTAAAGAGCCATCAAACACACGCTGCAGAGTTCAAGATGTGAGATGTTTCTTTGAGCAATTAGAGATTGTCGATAAGGTTATAAAGGCCCGAGAGATGCATGACAATTTATCACAAACTCAGAGCTTGGAACTTTATACTGAACCGAGACCGAAAGTGAATTTACTGGCATGTACTCGATACTGTGGAGTGCTAGACCTTGTGTATGTCATGTTACGCAGTAGTACTAGGGATCTCAAGTTCGTTGCAAAGTCTGCAATCAGTACAAGACCAGATAGACTTGTTGATACAGAAGCTAGTACGAGGCGCTGAAGTACAGAACGAACCTCGACGCAGAGCCGGGCAAAGAGTCGATCAGGTTCATAAAGAGTTCCTGCCGACCCTGAGGCGCAATACTCACCCGCTGTCCTCCGAACAAAAACTGGAGGCTGTACGGGGAACGACGACATCAACAGGGTTCGGTCCTATTTGCTCATAGGACCCCAGCTTAGTTGAGACGATAGTGCGGAGAGCAAATGTACCCTCCGAGGACCGACTCAAGAGTAGATCTTAGGCTAGAGCCTCATGAGCCAACATCCAGGTCAGGGCCAGACAATAGAGCAAAAGGTAAGGCAGTGAGCCATCAACTCTAACTCACAAAGATAGAGAGTTACACATACGTGCAAGTATGCTGTCACTATGGCAGCGTGGACCCGTAATTTTCAAATTGCTTCAGAGCGCTCTCCCCAAACAGGCCCATGCAATTCTGACAAGGTTGCGGGTCCCATCACTGAGCAGAAGGATTTCGGCGGAGACGGAGACGGAGACGGAGACGACTTCCTGATGATCCCAAATTTGACGCTGGACGAATTGATACAACAAGTGCGAGTTGTGGAGTAAGACCAGAGGCTTACACTATGAATTTGTGTGGCCGCTAAAGAGGTAGGCGATCCGCGAAGGATCAAGCCATCGACAGCATACCAGGATCCGCTTCCGAGTATTTGGACGATACTTTATAGCGGGATATATTGGCCGCAGCACTGGTCGTCCTCAATATATCGAGCGAGTCATTGCAGAGTGACGCGGTTCTTTGAAGTCTCAAACCTATGGTCTTGACTGAGCCGGGTAAACGTGTTCATGGACGATTTAGCAGGCGAGTGACTCCGACGAGTACAATAGCACAGGCAACACCCAGGGTCTTGGTGGGGTCAGGACGAGCGCGGCTCAATCGAGGCTCGGAGCCGTGTCCGTAATGTCGCGGTCTCACGCCGTCGACAAGGGATTCCGATGCTCGCTACTGGTTTGAGTGCTCACTGGCTTCATGGGAAAAGGCCTTCTTGCATCAGGGCGCCCTGCAGCAAATTGGATATGCAGTAACAATGACGCGCTGCTACAAGGTAACGGCCCTGGGTCCGCAGGTGGGTCGCTAGGGTTCAGCTGAGGAGATGTCGGACTCTGCAGGGATATCCAAGTACCGAAAAGGTACTTCGCAAGTACGACAGCTCCGTGAACTGCGCAATTGGTGATTGGCATCAAGTCAATAAGATCGACTAGTGAACCCTGGCATTGACGAGGTTTCTTGATACGTCCTTCCCATAGAGCTGATTGTTTATGCTTCTGGTTGAGCCCTGTGGCTTGAGAAGAACGGCCTGGACGCGCTTGACCAGACATAGACACGCAACTGCCAACCAGATTCTATTGCATATACATTATTTGGTTGGAGGCTGATATTCTCATGAACACAACGCGTACGGGCGTAAGTTGAAAGTCCTCAAGGATGTGTCGCCGCAACGTCGGACATCCTACCGTTGAATGAACATGCATTGGTACGAAACGCCATCCGCTTGCAGCTGCTATGCTCGAGTCGGTCGCTTGCTTTTACGGAGCGCTTCATGAATCCGTTGCCTGCCTTTCAAGCCACAACTGTGTCATCAGAAGCATCGATCTGGCGCTGCCCTCACAACATCGGTTTTGATCTGTCTGTGTCGGACTTCATCATGACAACAAGATCGACAGATATCACAGAGGCAGATTCACTTTATTTGTGCGCAGCACAGTCACGAGTAGACGGAAGAAGAGAGGTTGGAAGAGAATGTTTAATGATTCGTATTCGTTCGGTTCTAGTACATTGTACCATACCATTATGGCTCTGAAAAAGCCACTCTTCGATCCTCTTTCCCCAATAGTGGGGCAGCAAGTGCTGTTTGCACTTGAACCAACTGCATTATACATCATTTGTCATGTGTGACGTGCCCTTGAATAATTAGGAACCAGAAACCTCGAACGCCAGTATGATGCTTTTAGTGATACATGGGACCAGGCATTCAAGTCACTGTAGCTTGGAAATGCGGTCAACCTTTTTCAGAAACAGAATCCTCCTCAGCCAGCAGTAGGAGGAAAAGAATGCGGCAGAATCGAAACAGGGTATATGTGCTTGCAGGAAAGACGTAAAAAACAGAACATGAAAGAAGCCGTGCCGACATTGATTGTTCGTAAGAAGGATCATCGAGACCATGAGGTGAAAGATGATTTCTAGCAAGAGTCTTCGCCTGACATGCGACGGTGGTCGCTGGCAGCCAAAGCGAGCGTGTCAAGACCGTTGGAAAGACCAGGCGACGGGTAGCTGTAGTGGAGGTCGGGGTCTTGAACCAGACTGGCCTGAGCAGGGAGATAATCAAGAGAGCTCGGGTAGTTTGAGCGATGGTAGAGAGGAGGCCTTGTGTTGAACTCAGACAAGATTGGTTGAGGAAGAGGCTGGATAGGGTCGGGATTGATGTAGTAAGGGCTGGTCGACATGATGGGCTGTTGACTTGATTGGAACTGGTGTTGAGGAAGTTGTTGCTGTTGCGCTGGGTGGTCTTCGAGCTGGGCAACAGCAGCAGCTTCCAATGGTCCACTGACAGACTTGCGCGGTACAGGCTTGGTAGACTTCTTCACACGGCCATCGGTAGACTTGGAGGGACCACGAACGTTCTGGTGGGTGCGACGGTGTTGCTCCATGTTGTCTTTGCGAGTGAAAGCCTTGTTGCACTCAGGACAGAAGGCATCCTTCTTGCCGGTGTGCTTCTTGGCGTGACGAGCGGCATGTCCGGATGTGGTGAAATAGTCGCTGCAGTTGTAGACCTTAGCTAGAGGGCAGGGATACTGGTTCTTCTTGGTCGAAGCCTTGTTGGCGGCAGGGGCGGCACGCGAGGATTCCGAGACAGGAGAGTTGGAGTTGCGATAGGCGGGCGCCATGGGTTGCGACATGACTGGGGCGGTTGATGATGCGACCTGCGAGGCAGGCATTGGGTAAGGCGCCACAGCCTGGGCTTCCGGGACCGGTGGGTAGACGGACGGCGTTGACTCATCCATTTTGGCGAACGAAGCGGGTCCGATGAAGAAGTGAGAGTGGGCCGACTTTGCGTGATGCAGACGGTCAAAGGATGTTGGGGGTGGTGTGAGAGGTGAAGGTGGGAGGCCGCGAGAGTCCGACGACTCGCTTCTCACCAATCGGGGAGTCTGTGGGGAAACGCTGGGCGTCGAAGCCAAACTTGGCGAGGGCGAGTGTGTGGGCCGGTAGTAGACGCTCAGCGGCGGCAGACGGGGCAGCACGGCAGCAGTGTGCGAGTCGTCGTTGAGCAGTGATACCTTCCTTCCAATGCTGTTTCTACCGTCCATCATGAGGAATACAGTCTTGGGCCAGTCTGCGGAAAGCGAGCCGCAGAAGATATAAAACTGGTACGACTTTACAAAAGCCTAGCTAGGCTTGAAGGACTGACAGGGTGGGTGAGAGGTTGTTGTTTGTTGAAACAAGAGTTTGTGTAAAGGTATCCGTGTAAAATGGTAGGATGGTAGTGACAGGTATGAAGCAGAATGTATCTTAGAAGGACTGAACACTTTCCACGCTTGCGCTGGGTGAGGGACTGGGTACTTTATGAAGGGGGAGCACCGCGCACGGCGCACGAGGGGATGCCGCAAAAGCTTCCCACTCGTCTCTACTCGCTCGTGGAGCACTTTGACCACGGTCGGATCCTGTGATGGCAAAGCCGGGATGGCCAACCCAATTACTACCCTGGAAAGCCACGAACGGCCGAGTTATCCCATGGACGGGATCGTCATATACGCCGCGGACGGCCAGCGCCATCCACCGTCTGCGCTGGGAGACATGCATGCTTGAACGCAACCTTATCGCGACAAGTGCCCGTTCACACACCAGCCCTGGCTGCAGAAGAGCGGGGCCCTGGATGAACAATCGTCGATTTGACGGAGGCGCTCTCCTGCGTCTCTGCTACTCGACCGCATCGTCTCACCCAACCAAGCCCCTAGGTAAGCCCGACCCTTGCCAGCCGCTGAGATTACTCTCGCACGATTCCTTCTGCAGCCAGCCGCCAGCGAACCCGCCAGCTGCCAAACAGTGATCTCACTGTAAAGTTGTCCCCCGAAGCTAGGAGACCCCTCCTACACAGACACACGCGAATGTCCCAAGACTGACTCGCTCCCCTCAAAGCCCACTTGCTGCTGCACTGCTTCTTCCACACATGCACCCATGCGACGTCTGCATGTAAGTATCGGATTCATCACAGTACGAACAGCCTTTTCAGATCGTCTCGTACCATCAGTCCATATGCGTGCTATCAACCGTTCGGATACCGGCGGAATTATCCTCTTGATACGGACTTTTTCTACTGATGAGCTCGCATTCGCATCGGCAATCTTGGTTGTGATTATTGGCATTCCTCCACTGCTCTGCTGTGCAGCTGTTCACTTTTGGTAGGCTCCCGCCATTATGCCACATCGGGTAGGCGCATGGTCAGGATACAATATTTACATCACAGGGTGCGGGCAAAGCTGGTCTGCCCTTCAGTCGGTCTTACCATTTTTAGTCAAGTGCCCTTCACCGTCCCTGTCAATCCTGCCCCCACTTTCTGTCATCCAGCGTCGATGTCTACGAATTCTCGATCCCCTCTTCAGGTCATCTCTTTCTAGCTGGTTTTTCTTGTAACATAGAATAATTCCTTGACTAGCACCGGCACAACCGCTCGACAATTCTTGCTGCATCGCCACCTACCAAGATTCATTTGCATTCACCGTCGCTTGATCGAACGCACTTGGAATCCTTCACTCTCATGTCGCTGCTATCACTATTTGACTTCGCTGCTGTGGAAACCGAGCCTTCCTTGATTTGTGCGTGTTCATGTTCGTCGGAGACTCGCAGGGTCTGCGGCTCTGCCCAGTGCCTGCACAACACACACCAAGGTTTCACCCTAGCGTCGTCGTTCGTCGGTCCCCTGCTTGCACGTTCGTGGACACATGTCGCAGCCAGCCGACTATTGATCTTTTGATAGTTATCACCTAATAATTACCCAAGCTATGACCATGTCGTGACGTTGGTTGTCTCTCGTCTCGCGCGTTAATAAGCCTCAGGGTCAAGACGGTGGTGCCAGAATCTGTGCTCCATAGCCTTGGGTTGGTCAAGTTGATTGATCTCCGTCAAGGCGCAACCGACCTGCTGGTATCTCCGGGGACCACGCCTGCCCACGTTGGTAAGACAGATCTGCTTGATCAAATCTACCCTTTTGCTTTTTCCGTTTCTCCCATCGGCGCGCTCGGGATGGCGGAGTTCGGACCCTTAAGAGCCTCAATCTGAGTTCTGTACAATTCACACCAGATCATCTGTTGTTTTCTATATCTTCATTTCGAGTTGGCTTGTTCATAACGCGTGGCCACTGCGAATATTGCTGTGATCTATATATGACGTCGTTGTCGCTTCTTTACGTCTCAGAATTCCAGAAAATTTGATGTCAATGCCCGCAGAGCCGCGAGCGCCCAACTGTGCGCACGGGGTCAGGGACCCTCTTCGACCATCGTCGATGTTCGTGAGATCGGCGCTGTCAGTAAGGGTCCCTGAAAAATCCCTGCTTTCGCTCTTCCCAGTTCCATCGTCCCGAGGTCAATTTCACTGTCCAACTGAGACCGACTCAGCCCCCATAGAGCTGCTCGCTCGATCGATCTCCTGCTCTGCCGGTGCACGGAATGGATGTTACAGATCTTGCAACCACGACTTGTCGCTTGATACATCTCGCATCAATCAGTTCACATAAATTTTCTATTTGCATATCAATCCTCACGATCGAATCCTGGACGAAAAAGGTGCAAAAACATCGCTAAGCAAGCACGATAACACTAGCTTGCCCGAATCGCTTACAATAACACGCTTTGTGGAAGATGGCTTCGAGCTCTCCGCACGTGGGTCAGGGCTCCTATGCTAACAACTTGCATAACCGCGCCGGCTACTAGTCCCATTGGTAAGTTCATCCTACCGGTGCTACGATTTCTCAGGAAACAGATCTCGATGGCATGCAGTAAAACTCTGCAGAGTCGATTCAGAGGTTTCCGATCTCGAATTTGATCACCTTCCGGTTTGGTGGGTTGTTTGCGCTTGTTTACCTATATTGTTATCTCCGATAGTTAGGAGACATTCTTACAAATTGCCCTTCTTGGATACACTAGGGGATGCAGTCCGCATTTCTTCGAAGTTTGTCGATACAAGTCCAGCGTATGTATCATGGCGATCCTAAGTCTGCAGCGGACTTCTGTGCGCCTTTAACCAGTCTCCTACTCGAGTACAGCACAGCTTCACGAAGAGAGATCTGCATAAGATTGTACTGCGTCAGTGTCTACGTCGAAGTCGATAAACTATCTTCATTGCATGAGGCCTATGATTGATGTCATGCGGTTGCGACGACCGCAATGCTTAGCCCGCCACTTTAACCTCACGTCAAAAACTCTCTTGCATGTCACCACCGTCGTGTTGTGAGTGCGCCCCTAACTTTTAGTGCTTGGATTTTGTTCAGGAGAGCGCTTAGCAACGGACAGTCTCCACAGTCTTCGGACTGCGAAAGAAGAAGCTAAGGTACCGTTGCGCACACACGTTCGGATTATTCGGTCTCGGCTTAAGAAGATGTTCTTTGGAGCCAGATTCATAGTGGACTAGCCTCGCCTCTAGGAGACTGATTCCCCACGGCAAACACTCGTGCGAGAGAGAACCGACCCTTGAAGGTTGAAATCGTAATATCCTGATGGTCGTTATAGCTTGGTAGCTACAATTTGGCTTCTTCGATGGTCGAGAACATCTGCCGTTCTTCTCCATTGAGTAATCACTGACCAGAATCAACCGCCTAGGCGAAACAATTAATTTGCAAAGACGAAGGGATAAATAAACATGCGGCCCTAAAAATTGTCTGGATTCGAGGGCTTTCCAGAGTCGGTGACGCTTGGGTACGTACAAACAATGTTGTATTCTACTCAGAGTACATGTTCATCGAGCTTGTTCACAGCTGTATAGACCCACCATGACGCAAGGGTTTGGTTCACGGAGTCGGTTCCGTCCGTGGACACATGTCTCCATGCGTGCCCACCCTGTAACGACACGCGTGGTATCGTCGTGCCCTATTATCACTAATCAGACCTCGTGTCGTGCGGAACACCTATGGTATCCCGTGTACCAGCATGCCTCGCTACCGCTGAAGCAAGCAAGACACTTTCGGGGGAACACATGGTTTGGCAATCCTCTTCTACCTCTCCTCACGGCTTATCTGGACCGGGGCCACGTCCGCTGTTTCCTCTTCTACATCTTTTCACGGTTTGTTTAAATCGGAGTCACGTCCACCATTCCCTCATGTCAAAGTAAGGATCCGCATAATGCAGAATGTACAAGGATCCACCAATCTGCCTGCACATTGGTAAAGTGGCTGCGAAACTGCAGCTGTTGACAGGAGAAATCTCACGTTCGAATCCTGGGTCGCAGGACTCGTACATGCATGGTGGCTGTCGCCAAATTGTCGACTACAATGCTGCATGTTATGACCGTTGTCTCAGCCGCATACACCACGTTCTATGGGGTTGGCTAAAGGAGAATACCGAACTGATGCATAGCCAATTCCTGGCTCTAAAATTGGATGGTGCATTTGAAATAATGCGCCATGAAGTGCTGCCAACGGAAGTGCGTCCAACAAGCAAGCTAGACCACAGCCACATAACTTGTCGTCCGCTAAAGTCCTCGACTGCATGGTTAGCCTGAATGGGATGTCTAGCGGTCAAGCGGGATGGCCGCATTCCTCATTCAGGACTGATTGACGGCCGCTTGCGACTTGTCTGATTTTCACGCTAAGAGACTGTTCGGTTCACGGGCGATAGCATACATAAGCGCAATCAATCTACTCGAGTACCTATGCCCTACGCATGTCAATATGGGGCTAGAACCATGTTCTACGGCTCTCACTGTGACCCTGAAGCTCTGGCATACCTCACCTCCTGAGTTGTTTACGGCTCGCGACTTGCGGTGACCAAGTTACAGTGCTCAGCTGCAATGACAGGTGGGCTCTCTGCAGGAAGGCAGACGAGGCGTCGTCGCCGACGGCGGGATGCCTTGCTTTTGCCCTCGCTAGCTGCCGACGGCGAACAGATTAGCAACATGGTCAAACTTTGAATTCGCATGACAATATGGGTAAGGACTGGTACCAGTACCATGGACAGTCTCCTCCTTCGAATCAAGACGGACGTCGTTTCCGACAAACGTTACGAATTTGCCATGAGGCTCTGCGGAGCAGGAAATGTCAGCTGGTCACTTTGGCAGCAGCTAAGCGAGCGTAGAGCTACGATACACGACCATGCAACAACATGAGGTCAAGTCACGGCAATTTGCATGGCAGTTGCAGCAAGTTCTCCGCATGGTCTGGCTAGTGGATCAAAGACGGATCAGGAATCAGGATGTCAGCAAGCAGCATGGGATAATAAATTAGCATGACGACGGCATGTCATACAAGGCGAAATTTAGCCGCGGAGCTCGCGCGGTATCGTATGTGTGCTCTCATATGGTTGGTAATTAAGCATGCGACCTGCTTCTTGGTGAACATGTCGTTGCAAAGATGACACAAAACAACAGTCTCAGCTATCATGATGCACGTTAAAGACAGAAGAGCGCGAGAAGCAAGATGGCTTGAGAGAGGGACAAGTTTTCGGCGATAGGTAGGTAAGGTAGCGTAGCAATAGGTAGCCAAGGTATGCAGTTACCGTGAAAGGGAAGCTGCACTGACCATGAGGGCGTCATTTGCGACTTTCCCAAGCAGCCAAGTCAAGCAAGCCCTTGAACTTTTTGAACCATCGCCTTGACTCAACATCATGGGTCTCGAAGATTTTGAAAAGGAACTAGCAGCCAACAAGACCAAAGAGTCTGGCAGCCAGCGACACAGCAGTAGAGACGACGAGCGACGACGTCACAGACATCACCACCGCTCGTCGCGCCATGACGACCACGGCCACGACTCCAGACATAAGCGCCGCCATCACCGCGACAGGGATGATGAAGACGACCGCCGCGACCGTCACTCCAAGCGCAGGCGCAGTCGCTCGCCTCGTCCGACGCGCCCGCAGGACGACGTTGAGGACGAAGATGACTGGGTAGAGAAGGAAGCCATGACTGCACCACCAACTGACGACATTCTCGACGAGCAACTGGAAGCCGCCGCCAACAGGAACCTCAAGCGCGACACTTGGATGGAAGCTCCATCGTCACTCAACATCGACTATGTCCAGCGACAACGTCCCAAGTCTCCACCCTCACAATTCGTCTCCGCAAAAGATCAACTGGATCGTAAGATACACCAGCAGGACCTAGAACAACTAGCAAGAGATCTGGAAGAAGGCGATCAGGAGGAACAGGATCCACCACTTGCTGAAGATGAACCTATACACCACGACGTATCCTACACTTTTGGCGACCAAGGTTCCCAATGGCGTATGACAAAGCTAAATGCCGTCTACCGTCAGGCCAAAGAATCCGGCCGCTCTGAGGATGAGGTCGCCTTGGAACGCTTCGGCTCTTTAAGGGACTATGATGATGCTCGTGAAGAAGAACGTGAGTTAGACCGCCGTCAGATGTATGGAAAGGACTACGTCGGTCTCGAAAAGCCAAGCGGTGAGTTGTATGCTGAGCGGAAACGAAAAGCTGGTCTGCATCGCCAATCACCCGAGCCTGCTGCCAATCTTCCTGTGCCGCAACATGCCAACCCAAATCAGGGTCAAGTCATACATGAGGCTGCTCCACCAGCAACCACTGTAGCTCTGGATCAAACCGCTCTGAACAAACTAAAAGCCCAGTTGATGAAGGCAAAATTGCGCAACGCTCCCAATGCCGCTGCTCTCGAGGCCGAATATGAAGCCGCTGCTACTGCTGCGGCTGCCAACAACAAGCAGTCAGATGTAGTCGTATTGAGCGCAGTCGAGAACCGCATGCTTGCTGGAGGTCGTGGTAATGAGGTGAAAAATGTTGATAATAAACGTGGCCGTGAGCGTGGCCATGTTGAGGAGAACGAGGACATGACCATTGAAGACATGGTGCGTCAAGAAAGGCGCACTCGTGGAATGGCTGGTGGTGAGGGCAAAGCTTTCGCAGAGCGCATTGCGAAAGACGCAAAGTTTACTGATGATCTTGATTACATGGATGAAAACGCCAGCAAGCTTGCCAAACGAGTGGGAAAATCCGAGATCAACCTGCGCAATACTGCTATCGGAGACTTCCAAAAGATGCAGAGAATTCTGGACTCGTGTCCGCTGTGCCACCACGAAGATACGAATACACCTCCGGCAGCGCCCATACTGTCTTTAGCCACCAGGGTATACATGACTTTGCAAACAGAACCCGAGCTTTCGACAGGCGGCGCCGTCATTGTGCCCATCCAGCACCGTCTGAATTTGTTGGAATGCGACGATGACGAATGGGAAGAGATACGCAACTTCATGAAGAGTCTAACTCGCATGTACTACGAACGAGAAAAGGGAGTCATCTTTTACGAAAATGCAGCACACATGCATAGTCGACGTGGCCACGCAGCGCTCTTTGCCGTGCCTGTACCTCTCCATCTCGCCGACAACGCGCCTGCTTTCTTCAAGGAGGCAATTCTGAGTGCCGATGAGGAGTGGAGTCAACACAAAAAAATCATTGACACTCTTGCGAATTCACAGCGTGCAGGATATGGCAAACAAGCATTCAGAAAGAGTCTGGTCAAGGAGATGCCCTACTTCCACGTCTGGTTCAATCTGGACGGAGGATTGGGCCATGTCATTGAAGATGAGCGAAGATGGCCCAAGGGTGATCTTTTTGCAAGAGAGGTCATTGGAGGCATGCTGCGGAAGGGGCCCGAGATCATAAAGAAGCAGGGAAGGTGGATTAGACAAGACCCTAGAGTCGAAAGCTTCAGAAAACGCTGGGAGAAGTTCGACTGGACAAGCGTGCTGATGGGTTGAGTAGGTTTTGTAAATTCGAAAACGAAACAATGATCTTTGTCAATACATCACTTTTATGATGCTCGACCGTGCACGCAGCTATCACTATATGATTTACACGTCATTGACAAAGCGATTGTGATTCATGTTTCGAACCAACTTAGCTATGAACGACAGAGCACCATCACATGATGAGTGATCGATTCGCTCTTCTTCCTGTGCTCGTCGTACAATCAAGGACTCAAAAAGGGTTGCTGTGCAATCTCGGAATTTGAATGATGGAAGGGCCAGCTTGCTTGTTGGCCAGGAGACCCTGGTTGCTTTCTTCGAGAATTGAAAAAACAACACCCATGACCTTTTATGTTCAAGATCATGGATGTTTCTAACGGAGAAAAATGGTGCATCGCATACTCTAACATACACTCTGAGTGGTACGTATAAAGGTATACGAAAAACGCCTTCACGTGAACCTGCTTATCACATTTTCGTGAATTTTTGTAGTAAAGGGAACCCAAAATGAGTAAGAGCAGGTTGAGACCACAAGTCAATATCACGAACCATCACCATCTTTGCCATAAGTGCTACTCCAAGGGGTCGGAATCGCTGCCCAAGGGATATGCAGGCGTGAAAATCTTGAGCGAGATGAAGGCACCAAAAGAAGGGCTTAGTCATAGGCCGTGGTGTATACCTTGTACGTCTGCGACGGAATCATTTTCACCAGTCTTATATCACCAAGATGCACCAGAACCCGAGAGGCATAGAGAAAAGAACCTTTATTAGAAGAAAATTACGGACCAAAGCCGAGAACTAATTTGTATATGGAAAAGGAGAAAAAATAAAAAGAACGAAATCAGACACCTAAGACACGTAAAGCTGTACATCCTCGACACCGGCGGCGATCGCCTGCGCGCCGCCATAACACCTGATCATAATATCAAAGACGCCACTGAAACCATTATTTACCGAACCACTGCCAGTGATGCTCTGGTAGGCTGCATCACCATAAGTGTACGTCGTCTGAGCGAACGAGATACCAAAACCATTGGAATCGACAAAGTAGACTTGCACGCTGCAAGAAGAGCCATCGTTGGCAAGTCCCGACGGGTAGTTGAGCAAAAGACCCATCGAGGCAGTGTATGTCGTGCCAGACGTTGCGTTTGCGGGTTGCTGCAGCAGGGCAGCTTGGGAATTAGAGTCACCGCCAGCGGGGAAAGTAATAACCGAGACATAAGCATTGGGGTTGCCTTGAATGGCGAAGGTAGGATCGCCCAGACGATATAGGGCCCAGCCCGAAAAGTCGCCTGTGCCAAAGTCGCCATTGGTCAGCATGTTGGCCCCGGTCGTGCTTGCACTTGCAGCAGAAGATGTCGTCGAAGAAGGAGTCGAGGTGCTAGTGGTCACAGCAGCGTTTGCGGTTGCAGCGGTCGATGTAGCACTTCCGGCATCTGCAACAAGAAGCTGAATGTTGCCAAAGCCCAGAGCGAAGCTTGCCGCCGAAGAGCTGGCGCTGTTGCAGTAGGTATCTATCTGGAATCGGCCAGTGAAAGCCTGCAATAGTGTGCCAGAAGCAGAATCAGACAAAACAGCACCGCTTGTGGAAGCAACACCATACTGCTTGAGAATGATGCTGTCACTTCCAAGACTGTATTTGACAACGCAAGCCACGCCTGCAGGAAGACCGCTGGGGTAGTTGAGATAGACATCGGCACTTAGCTGCCAGGCTGAATTTGCTGGGATAGTGACGTTCTGGTATAGTTGGCCACTTGCATTGTCATCGGCAGCCAGTGCGTACTTGACAAGTGCTTCGTAGTTCGAATCGCCAGCGAGCGAAGCTACGGCGAACTTGGTACCAAAGGCGCGAGCACCGTGCCAGCCGGTGGTAGAGCCCTGGCTAAAGATTCCATTGGCTATGACATTACTGCCATTGGAGAGATCCTTGGTGTTGGCAGAAGCCGCAGTCGTCGCACTTGAAGCGACAGTGCTGGACGACGTTTGAATGCTAGACGACGATCGCGTCGAGACACCTGTGGGGGCCTTTTGGTTGGTGACGACGCCAGTGACCGCATCCATGGGAATGGCAACTGCAGAGAAAGTGGTAGAGGACACGGATGAGGTTGCTGAAGAAGCGGAAGATGAAAGGTGAGATTGGGCCGAAGTAGAACTTGTGAAGGAGCTTGACGAGCTCTTAATCGTTGATGAAGGCATACTGCTGGTCTTGCTAGAGCTGCTGCTGCTCTGCTTAGTCGACACAGAAGTCCATGTTGACTTCTTACTTGCAACACTCGTTGATGTAGCAGTAGACTTTTGGGATGTCGAACTTTTTGAGGATGTAGACTGCTTCGAGGTGGTTGACTGCTTGCTTGAGGTACTTGTCTTCTTAGTCGAGGTTGAGCTCTTGGTCGCAGAGGATGCTCTGGTTGAGATTGGGGCCTCTTTCAATGTTGACTTGATGGAAGTTGTGATCTTTGTGGACGAGGTGGCCTTTTTGGTAGTAGAGGAAGTCACTTTCTTAGTGGACGAAGGCTTCTTTGTGGAACTTGTTGTCTTCTTTGCTGCTGCCGCAGATGAGGATGAAGCGGAAGCCTCAACGCATTTACATGCATTGCTGATCTGGGCGACAGTCAAGCCCTTGACGGTAGACTTTGATTGTTTGGTGGCGAGCCATGACTTGCAGTAGGCTACTGGCTGCTTGTTGCTGCTGTTCACAGTCTTGATATCATTGTTATTGCATGCTGTTTTTGATCAGTAAGTGCCCTCTCGCTCTTTGTCTCGAGACAACGCACTTGTAGCAGCTCTAGGCTGCAAATTTTCATTAAGAGGAATGGCAGATGCGTAGGGAAGGGCGAGAAGAGAAAGGCAAAAGAGAGACTGAGCAGATGGGATATACATTTTGAAAGAGCCCGACCAGGAGAATGGGCTGGAGGTATGGGAGATAGCGAGAGAGGATAAAGGGAGTACTTAGGTAGGAATTCCACGTGTTGAGGCGGCGCCATGTCTTGTAACGACCCGCGGTGAACACATTATTTTCAGGACGTTTTTTGCCGAGTATTTGGAGGTAAGCAAATCTGGAGCAAAGCAAGCGGGAATGGTACAAAAAGGGACTGGAACGTGTAAAGCGTTATGAACGTTAGATGGACGGCAATTGAACTCAAGACACAGGGTCAAATACACAGATGACCAATTAGTCAAGATACTTTATTACCGCCGAATATCGATAAAGACTGATTTTTAAGAGCAGGCGGGGTTTCGATGATGGTCCAAGTTTGATTGATGGACATGTCGAGCGTGAAGAAGAAGGGAAAGTGCAGCAAGCGCATGTGAGGTAAGGAAGGTGCAGCTCTCAAGAAAGCTTGGCAGAGCAGGTCGTCACTTATTGGCGTCCGGATGCCTCTTGTGTCTCAACGCAGGCCATTCCCAGCAGCAACGGTTTTTGGATGTACAGAACCAGACTCGGCTACGACTCAGAAGAACCGGCACTCGCCATACCTGCCGCCCTCGCTCGCCCAGTCAAGCCCTGACCGTTTGCACAGCTCCCAAGCAGCTTCGCCAACTCGGCTACACCATCGTCTCTCAATTCTCAATTTATCCACACTCGTCATGGCTCTCCTGTCTAGCGCTCTCAACATCTTTGGCGCTGTGCTACTGGCACATGCGTACGTTTTACATCTCACACTCGGACTCGTCCATTGTCACACAACTGACTCGGTTTGCAGCGTCTACAGTGCCTATGAACACTCAACCCTAGCCACCATTGCCGGCAGTCTTCCCGTCTCACCAGTCCACTCATACATCATCCCAACAATCGACCTGCCGCTCGACATCACGCTGGAGACACTGACGGCTGTCCTCCTGCTCTGCATCGGCATCGTGGTAGGCAGTCCGGAATTGAAGCCCATCCAATGGCGCGTATGGGCTGGCAAGCTGGAGAAGGACAAGAGTGCAAAGACCGAGAGCATCAACGGCGATCCACTAGGTCCCAGGGGAAATCCATACGCAGCTTTGGAGCAGAGACAGGGCTTCCTTGACATCAGAAGTCAGCGCAACGAGTTTGCTGATTGGGTCAAGAGTGGCAGCAGTAAGAAGTGATGGTTCAGAATATCTATATACCCACCAACACGTTCAATCCGTCATGAATGACGGTTGTTTCAAGCAGGACGACTCTGTACATCCTCTTGATATGCTTGAACCGAATCCATATGAGGACGTCTCGTGTGATTCGTCTCTTTTGTCCTCATGTACATGTCATGAACAGATCATGTCGGTCTTGCCCAGCTGTAGGCTCTGAAGCGGCCTGTCTTCTCTGTACACAGAGGGTATGGTTTGATTGTGTGTGCTTGTCGTGCTCTCTTGGTGACAGCTGACTCTTTCTCTCAACCTCCTTTTGACATGATTGCTGTATCTTGGACGTCTTCGGAGTCGTTGTATTCCCTCAGGGCGTTATGTACCGGTTGTGGCATCTCCAGCCAGTCATTCCAGATAGCGACGACCTTGCCCTTGATCAAGGCTAGAGGGACTGGGCCATACATCCTTGAGTCGCGTGAGGCTGCCAGGTTGTCTCCGACCGTCCAACAGTGACCGACAGGAACCTGTTATCGATCGTGTAAGCAAGACGGTCAACAGGCGATTCAACAAGACATGCTAACCTGTATCATGGTACCGTCTCCCTTGCCGGGCGTGTCTCTGAGCACAAAATCGCCGGGCATGCCGATGACTCTTTTGATGGTCGTCATCTCGCCCTGTATGGGATGCTTGTACGAGATTATGTCGCCAACTTGAATGCCACGACCGCGGCGATACCATTTGGAGACAATGACGCTTGTACCGCTGGCGTTTAGAGTAGGAAGCATTGAAGGTCCCCAAGTACCACTCCAGCTGTAGCCATGGTCGAAGAAGATGTGTATACTGAGAAGGATAGCAATGCCGATACCTAAGCCTTCGCCAGCACCGCCAAAGAGGCCCTTCCTTTGGCTCCCCGCTGGTCGAGGCTGCTTGATATGTTTTGGCGTTCCCGAGATCGTATATCCAAAGATTGAAGTTGAGATATTCCGCCGACGGAGCCCAATTATGGGCGTTCTGTTGGAGATAGCACCTCGTTGCGCGAGCAAAAGTCGTCGCAACATATCAATCTGATCAGCACTCGGTACAATAAATCTAGTGTCGTGTGAAATGCGATCATGCATCAAGCCGACATGCATGCATCGTCACAAGCTCGGACCACTATCCCGACTTTTTTCCTATCCACCATCCAGTTCAACTTGCATTTTGATCGCAACAACTTGCAGATCGAATTGGAGAAAGACATGACACAGTCAAGCACTCAAGACCAAGCGACTAAGCTAGATAATGCTGTTCGGGAACTCATCACAACCTACGATGAGCTTAATCCAAGTCTGGTCGATGAATTATGGGAAGAGCCAAGTGCTCTTGAGTTCATGCAATATGTTGCGAGGAATCGGCCGTTTGTCGTAAGAAAAGGTGCCCAAGACTGGACTGCGGTCCAAAAATGGGACTCCCACTATCTTCTCAATGTTCTTGGAGACACTCTCGTCAATGTAGCAATCACTCCTTTCGGGTAGGTGCTATCAAGTTGTCCCTTCCTCTCATCCTTCCCCTTGCTAGTCCTCATTCCGTTACAAACTCTTTTCTCTATTCTCTCTACTCCACACAACACATCATCCTGGTATTGACACGCAACAAGCAACGCAGATGCAGTGCTGAAAGAAGGTGATGGCTCACTATCCTACGTCAAACCACTCGAACGGCTTGAGCCTTTCGACAAGGTCATCCGCTACATCGCAGAGCAGGAATCAAATCGGTCAGAACCTTCACCTGTCAAGTATGCTCAGACCCGTACGTTTTTGCCTCGTCTCCTCGGGACAAGATGTGATATTGAAAGATGCCAGAAAATGACAACCTCCGCAACGAGTATTCCTCTCTCTTCGACGATGTGCCTTCCGATATACCGTTCGCACGCATTGCCCTTCGCAAAACACCAGAAGCTGTAAACTTTTGGCTGGGCAACAGTCTTTCCACTACTTCACTCCACAAAGACAATTACGAGAACCTCTACGTCCAGGTGCGCGGTCAGAAGCACTTTGTCATTATGCCTCCCACAGCTGCCGCTGCCGTTAACGAGCAGAGTGTTAGTGGTACGACATATGTCTCTACTAACAAGGACGAGACGGCGGAGTTGAAAGTGCAGGATCTAAAGCATGTGCTTGATGAGCCTGAGCTCATTGTCCCAGTACCCACTTGGGACCCAGATTTCCCTGATGTTAGACCAACGCCGTACTCTAAGCTTGTCAGACCTTTGCGAGTCACGCTCAATGAAGGTGATATGCTATATCTACCTGCCATGTGGTATCACAAAGTCGGGCAGAGCTGTGGCGACGAAGGCTACTGCTGTGCTGTCAACTACTGGTAAGTCACATCTGTTCTTGTTGAATGAATAAGGAACGTGGCTGATCGTTTCTCTCTGCTTTAGGTATGACATGGAGTTTGGTGGATCCTTCTGGGCTTCCAACGCCTTTGCGCGCGATGTTGCGAGAGTTGTCAATAATTGACTCGCGTGACTGGAGATTTGCAAGCATCGCCAAAGAAGACTGCGTTAGATGCAAGAACTCGAAAATAGCACAAACGTCCCAACGCAGGCTGCAACAGTGATACGACGATCTCCAACGACGACTGAATCTAAGAAGCGCGCGACACCGCCACCAACCCTACCACTATCTCCGGTAGCCACTTAGATGTCCAATAGAAGCCATCCGAGGATAGCACAGAGTAGCTTCATATGACCATGGCAGGATCCGAAAGTGAAGACAACTACAATGAAGATTTCATTGAAGTATGCACTATAAAGAGGCACAGCTATCTTAGAAAGCAGAGACGTGTCCACAGAGAGCCGTTCAGTTGTCGCTTCTCAGTGGCATCGTTCAGTTTTCTAATAGCATTGTGCATTCTTATAACTACACGTGGGACTCAGCTTAGCACAAGGGAAGGTAGGATTGAATTTGGCAGATATTCTTGTCTTGGGTTCGTGTAAGAACAGCGAAAGGGTTGAATGACATGAAAAACATCTCACGACAGACGTTACGTTGGATAAGAAGAAGAAGAAAGGAAGAAAAGAGGTTGGTAGAGGTTGAGGTTTATATAGGTCGATAAAACCATGAATGAGAGTGCGGAAAAGTGAAAGTGACGCTGGCTCGATGCCGAACGTGAAGTTTGTCGTGTGAAGTGACTTAAAGACCTAGCGAATGTCAATAGAACAAATAGTGAAGGCTCTGAAGTATGTGTTTACATATCTCAATGAAACAAGCACGATGGAGAACTGCATTGTGCATTGCGATGGCTAGAAGATGGGTCAGAGAGCGAGTATGGAGCATCGGACATTGGAAGATCAGGTCTCTGACCCGATGAAGTAGTGAACGGTTCAAAATGAGAAGGAGCGATCCGACTGGCACTGGTTGCTACGTGACCTTTGGTTGTCTGCAAGTTCAAGGAAGCTGCTATCCATCGACCGCATATAGATAGTTTGGACTGTGGAAGGTGCACAAATCTGTTACCCCTCGTGGACTCATGAAGTTCCTGTCGTGCATTTTGTAGGGAAACCAACGCTTGAATACCTACAGAAAAAGCAGCGTCAACATCACCCGCAGCAAAGAACAAAAAAAAAAAAAAAATACAGAAAACATCTCAAAGATTCAGGCTTAATGCTGCGCCACTTTCCAACCTTCCTTAATCATCGATTTGATAAAGTACGACATACCAAGCAAAACACCACAACCGGCGAGAGCAAGGCCAGTGTAGAAGGCGCATCGTACACCCCATATCGTGTCTGCGAGCGTACCGTCATGAGTCATGACCGATACCTCTACTGTTCCAGCAATACCCAAGGCCAACGAAATTGAGTAGTTGACCATCGTGTTGACCAACGATGCAGCGAGACCTTGATGCTCGCGAGGCATGTGGTTGGAGAGGATAACAGTAGCGGCAGGGAAAGACATGTCCATACCGAAGGGCATGATAAGGATGGAAACAAACATCTGCGGCCAGTAGGATTGATGGACAGGCATGAAGGCCGAGATTGCTTGTCCGGCGCAGAAGGCCAGCATAGCGATCAACATCGTGAAGGACACAGGAGTGTGCGTAAGCATGAAGCCCGTGGCACCTGCGGCGATGAGCCCACAGATCAGGGCGGGAGTGAATTGTGCAGAGACATTGAGTGGTGTCAGATGGCGGAACTCTTCAAGGAAACGCCATGAGTAGTAAATCCAAACACCAAAGCTGCCCCAACCGATGCCGATCAAGGCCATGGTGTAAGTGACTGTTCCGTTGAAGGCAGAAACAGGTAAGAGCGGCGACTCAGCCCGACGTTCGACCCACAGGAATGCTACCAGTACAAGTAGTCCGATGATAAGAACAAAGTACACGTGAGGCGTAGACCATCCGTACAGGGGTCCATTGTTGAAGGCGATGTTGACAAGTACCAGGCCAATGACCCCCAGCGCACAACCCGTCCAGTCGAACCCAGGTACGTCGGTGACACCAGCGAATTGGGCCTCCTTGGCTAATTGTTTAGGCACGACGAGCAATGAGAATGCTGACAGGGCAAATGCTGCGACACCATAGCTCCAGAAAGTCCAGGGCCACCACGTGGTCTGCGAAAAGAGAGCTCCGAAGAGTGCACCGATTACAAATCCCCATGGTGCCATGGCGCCAAAGAGTGCAAAGGTAAGATTTTTTTTAATGCCTGGAGGATACGCACGGCCAAGCAATGCAAGAGCATTGGGAGCCAGTAGCGCACTGCCAATGCCTTGCATACCTCTGCAAACGTCAAAGAAGATCTGCCTACCGACGTAAGCACTGAACCCGGCAAATCCGGACCAGATTCCTAGAAACAGGTACCCGAACACAAACACGCGTTTGTGACCGAGAATGTCACCTAATCGGCCGGCAATGAGGATAAAGGTACCAGTGGTGAGACTGTACGCGGCCGAGAACCACGCTTCCTGACCAGGGTTCTTGACACCTAGACCAGAGGCTATAATCTTGACTGGCGCGATTGCTTGACCCAGACCTGCAAGACACATGAATTGGGCCATGACAACGACACCAATGAATAGAGCCTGTTTGAATGTTAGCGAAGGAAAATCACAAGAATTTGTCTAACTGACCTCGTGGAAACCGCCAATTCTGAGTTTCTGGTGCTGTTGACCTGGTGTCGCTGGACGCGGAGCCATGTGCTCTACAGATACGTTCCCAAGAGCCTCGTAGGGTTCCAGTTTCCCTGCCGCTTGGAGCAAGAGAGAATTTGTTGAGTTACGGCGTCCATTGGTGTAGATGGCAGGGATCTGTGGAACTTTCTCCATGCTCTGGGCAAGCCAGCTCTCGGTAGCCAGTAATTCGGTGTGAGAGTTCACGGAGATGTGTTTTGAATTATGGCGGGAGGATGACGCGGAAGGTGCTACAGGTGTGTCCAGAGGTGATACCCGGCCATTGTTGGATTCGTCATACGTTACACTAATGACGGCGTCTTTGGTATCTCGGTTGTCCTTCAGAAAGAATGGAAACTCTTCTGTAGGTGATGGTACTTTGGTGGAGGTTGTCGAAGGCTATGATGAATCAGCAAACAGCCTTGGCAGCAATGTTTTGTTGGAGAGATCCTACCATAGCGAGGAAGCCTGGCTCAGGACTGAATCTACTCATGTGCACCGGTTCACGTCTTGGTGGATTGGAGGTGGAATGTCACTTCGTAGTAAACAGTGGAGTTCGAGAAATGTGATGACGGGAAGAGTTTGGGAGAACAGAAAACACGGATCGAGGCAACATATAGAGATAGAAAGGTCCAAGGCGTGCCCCTCTTTTCTGCCCACAGTCCCACTGTTTCCTTCTGAAGTAGCACACCTACGCATGCGTATCTTACTTACATGAGTTCATCATAGGTGCAGTTCAGTTGACCGCATCAGCATGAAAACTCGATTTGGAAGCGGGTTGCTGCCGGCTGAAGGCATCTCGACCCTCATCCACGATTCGTTGGGTCCATGCAAAGGATGCAAGGAGCGTCACGTAACTGCAAATTCCAGAAAATAGGCATCTGGAGGAGGAGAGCCGAAGTTCAAGAACGAGCAGCTGGGATGCCACGTCCCAAACCCGTACAAAGAAGAGCCAAGGGCGTCGAAGAAAACCGAAGGAATAGATCGCTTCCAAGCTTTTGATACAGACATGCATATGCGGCGTGCCTTGGCACGATCCCAAATTGGACCTGGTACGGGTAGACATTACAAAACATGCTTTCGTCTCTACTGACCTCTCTTTGTGGGCTGCAAGTCCTAGAGCCTGGGCAGCCACGAGGCGAAGACTCGACAAGCCAAGCTGAGAACCCGTCAGCCGGAACAAGACATACAGTATCACCAAGCTGAACCGTAGTCGAAAAGTCTCCACATGGCCAACGGTGAAAACCAAATTGCTTGTGGGAGGTAGGAAGGTCGTTCTTGACATGTTGACACTAATGCCTTGACCCACACAGACAAGCACAGCCCAGATAGCGGTGCATGTCTTCCGCTGTTGCTGAAGGCAAGATATGCAGCGCGGTGACACAGAACGGGGCATCTATACGCCGAAGACGTCGGTGTGAGATGTGCCTTGAGTCTTCGATGCCTGTTCTGGCTCGCTTCTCTTCCCCTTTGGGCGGAAGCCCATCAAATTTAGGCTTCGCGGCGCTGACTACGCGCCAAGAGTCCGAAAAGCCCCAGCTCCTCCTCTCAAAATATGGAACAAGAGGAGCTGAGAAGTTAATCATCAAGCTTCTATATTTGAAATGCTTCTTGCTACGAGGTACTCGAATACAATTGAGTATACACCGAACCCTTCACACGAGCTCTCGTGGCCATTTACGGCAGCAAGAGGTTATTTGGCTCATGCTCGCGGTTCGTGACGGGAAGCCGAAGGTCCGCGAGTGGACCAAGAATGTTCCGATCCCAGTACACCTGCATGGTATTTTGCCAATAGCTCCGGACGTGTGCTTATGTTAGATAGTGCTTGCTTTTTGGCGTTCTCACAGACGAGCTTCAGGACGCTCCAATCTTCCTTGCACTGTCCACATCGAGCATCGCAAGCCTAGCAGTCAGCAAACATCCCGGTAACGAACTCAGAGTGAATTGCCACGATCGTGCACCTCACTCAATTGCCTTGCAGTGATTGTGTTGTCTCTTGTCTGCAGCAACGGACGAAGGAGCCTTGTAATATCGAGGTCAGATATGAAAGTAGATTCGATAGGCAGGGTCACCGGTCTTCTCTTGGGACCATCATCCTTTATCGACTGCAGGGTCACCGCCCTCAACGACGCCAGTCATGTTAACACCATGACGGAGCTCGTAACGGACGTCAAACACGATGATATGCAATAGAAACAACAGTAAGTGGAAAGTGATTAACTTGAAAATACTAGAATACAAAAATCAGGAAAGCCCCCGAAATAATTTTCTGTGTCAAGGGCCAAACACACTTCATCCACCGTCATTAATAGTGCCCCTCGTACTGCTATGTTACTGGCTGGGTATAACGTATCTTCTCGTGCTCTCATCCTTCTTCGCTACTGTCGTGCGGCAGTGGTATCATGACGGTCAAAAGCATTGCGGAACAGAATAACCAAGGAAAGAAAGCGTCATGCATGATGCTTAAACCTGACCCTGGAAGACTGGGTTGTTCTTGCCAAAGAAGGTGTGCTTGCCATCATCACCCTGGACACCAGTGGCAGTGCCGGTGGTTCCAGCAGTGGATCCAGTGGTGGTCTCCTGGAAGGCACGGTCAACCTCACCTCCAAAGTTGCTAGCACCAGTGGAGCCTAGGGGGCCCTCACCAGCACCGTAGTGAGATGAACCCTGGTGGTATCCGGTGGTGTTGGTGGTGTTCTGATCGTAGCCAGATCCGACGGTGTTGCCGCTGCGAACGGGGACCTGGCCGGTCAAGCCAGCAGTGTTGGAACCGCCGTGGTAGCCGGTGGTCTGGGAGCCGTAACCAGTGTTGCTCGAACTGTTGAAACCACCGCTAGGACCAGTGTCAGAAGAGCCGTCGAATCCGGCGCCGTACTGGTTGGTGCCGAGGTTGTTGGGACCACGGATACCCTCCTTGTTGACACGGTGAGGCTTGCGGGTGATGGCGGCCATCTTGGGCAAGTTGGAGGTCTCCTTAGCAGATCCAATGCTGAAGATGGGGGACTCCCACTTGTCACCCTTGGCAGCAAGCTCCTTGTACTCAGTAGCCTTGGTGCTGATGCCACCGGGAAGAGAGATGTTCTTGAAGATGCTGTCGTGCTGGGTGACAGCCATGTTGACCTTCTTGTCGGCAGCGACCTCATCCTTCTTTTGCTTACCCTTAGTGAACTTTTGCTGGGCAGCGGTTGCGTAGCGCTGGTAGATGTTCTGGACATTCTCGGGGTCGGGGTTGTTCTTGGCCTGCTGCTCAGCCTTCTTGGCCTCCTGGTGGATACCGTAGAGTATCTCATCGAGCTGGTGGATGTTGTCGCGAATCTGCTTCTCAGCGACCTTCTGAATGGCAGGACGCATGACCTTAAGAAGAAGAGGCTTGAAGATGTTGAAGAGAAGCTTGTGGTTGGACTGCTTCAGCTTGATGTTCATGTTCTTGATGTCAACGTGAACAGTGTTGACCTTGAAGAAGTGCTTGCTGTCAGTCTTGTCTGCAGTCTCCATAGCGACCTTGAAGCTCAGACCAGTACCACCAAGGAAGATATCCATGACACCCTTATCAGTAATACCGGGGAAGCCCTCCTTCTTCTTGATGTAGTAGCTGACATCGCGAAGGTCGCACTGGACGCCAGAGACGGAAAGCATGACCTTGTTCTTGTTCTTGCTGGTGATGGACTTGCGGCCCCAGCGCCAGTAATTGTCGCTGCCAAACTCCAAGACGTTAGGAGCGAGGTTGTCACCCTCGAGAACGAGGTTCTCGACAATGGCATCCATCATGGGATCAGAGTACTCGATACGAGGAATAGGAACGTAACGAATGGACTCGAAGATACCGGGGAGAATGACATCGGTCAAGTCCTTGACAAGATGAGGCTTGAACTCAGCCTCTCCGTTCTCGTTCTGACCAAGGTCGAGGAAGAGCTTCTGAACAGCATCGCCGAAGGCAACGTTCTGCTTGTCCTGGTTGAACTGGTCAATGTAGAATTGGAACTCATCGGCAATTCTGTCGGTGTGGTTGCGGTAGCGGTCGCGGAGGAGGAACTCGCCCTGGTCGTAGAGCTTGTTCCACTCCTCGGTGGACTCGTCCTGAAGAACGTAGCCCTGCTCCTTGAGACACTTGCGAATGTACTTGTTCATGTGAGTGAACCAACCCTTGAGCTCAGGGTCGTTGTCCGCATCGCGGTAGATGACGTTGATAGAGTCGAACATGTCGTCGAGGGAGGTGCCGTTGGCGAAGCGCTCGATGAGGGTCTTGAGGTCTGTCAGCATCTGTTGATTGTTCTTTGTGAATTCTAGAAATACCTTGAGGTCAGCTTCAGCCATCTGCAGACTGTCGTCCTTGTGGGCACCTTTAACGGTTCCCTGGCTCTGGTTGGCCAGGTTCTTAGTGTGGCCGGAGTACTGCTCAGCAAGGCGCAAGAGGGTATCAATGGCCTCGTGGTCTGGTAGAAAGAGTCAGTGGTTGCACCTTGAGGTAAGGTTAACGTCGACGACTTACAGTCCTGATGGCCCTGGATCTCGACGATCATCTTCTTCAGGCGGTAAATGCCCTGCTCGCGGCGCTCCTTGGGAAGCTTCTCCTTCAAGTAGTTGTTGGTGCGCTCTCTGGTCTCGCGAGCACGATCCTGGGTCTCTTGGGGAACGTTCTCACGAGCCTTCTGCTGAAGACTGTCAGCACCCTCCATGGCACCCTTGGTGGCATCAACACCAGAGTTGCCGCCCTGTTGCTGATCGCGGCGGGCAAGGTCGGCAGCATCGGCAGGGTCACGAGAGCCGCTGGGGTGAGCAGCTTGAGTGGCGTCACCAAGAGCACCCTTGGCCTCGTCTCTGCTGAAGGGCTTCTGCTCGTTGTACTTGGCCTTAGCCTGGTTCTTGAGGTTATCCTTGGAAAGGTCAGGGACATCGTGCCAAGTGTTGTCTTCGGCGGGCTCATCGATCTGGTTGAGTTCATCTTCTGAAGGGTTGACCTTGTTGGCGGCCTTCTGAGCGGCATCGCCAGCCATGTCTCTGAAGAGAATGCTGGCATCACTCACTTGGTGATTGTTAGCTAGTTTTGTGACCGAAGATAGATCGTTTACTTACAGAGCTTGCGGAATTGACCGTTGGACAGGATGAGCGTGCCGAGGGTGCGAAGGCCATCAAGGGCCTCGTTACCGTGCTGCTTGGCGGTGTCCTTATCGACAGGGGCGTTAGGGGTGCCAGCATCGGCGCCGGAGATCTGCTGAGTTTGCCAAATGAAGTCCTGGAGGAGGTTGCCCTCGTTCTTGGTCAGGAGCAGGAGCTTGGCCTGCTCAATAACCTCGCGCAAGTCGCCAACGAGCTTCTGACCCTCAGCCGAGAGCTTCTTGGAAGGGTTTGAGATTGGTCGCGATGCGAGAGCGCTGTTCATAGCAATATCAATCTGCTTGTTTGATGGAACCTTGCCATTGGAGAAGGCTGAGGCAGGCGCGCGTTAGCAACGTGAATGGAAGGTGAAAAGATGTCGGCGCATCGATCGAGACTTACCAGAGAAGATTCCATAGAGCTGGAGCTTGTTGTTGACATCCTGCTCCTTGATCTTGGTGTTGGTGGGAACGTTGACTGACGCAGAGGGCGCCATGATGATATTACTGTGATGGTTGTAAGGTAGGTATCTGGGATGTATCTGGGGTATCTGGATGTGAGAGGGAGGTCGTGATCGTCAATCAGGTCAAATTAACAAGTAACGTGGCGGGTATCGTGGAAGGGGGTATCTAAACTGCAAAGGAGAAAAGACGTGGAATTAGGATGGTGTTTCGCTGCAAGGAAACACGATGGGTTTTGAGAGAAGGGCGAGCTGCTCGCACACTGCATTACATCATGCTTGGTTGCGCCTTCCCAAAAGCGGGCTCGATGATCGATTTACCTCTCCTGCCGTTGATCTGCGTCACTTCTCATCACTCGTTTCCCCAGATACGTCGTTCGGCCAACTTGCCAAATTCCAATTGTCTCCAGTCTAGCAAAAAGATGTGAGCTCCTTGCTACCTGTGTCCTGCCTGTCACTTTTCACTGTTCTGCTGTACAAGCGGGTCGCGCTCTGTTTTGGTCCTGCTCATTATGCAAGACAAAGGGGATTTACCAGGTCACTTGCATGCGTGAAGACTAGGGACAACAGCCACTCACTATCGACCCAAGCTGGCGCCACGTCCATCATCAAATCCCCCCGCTTCACTATTTTCCTTGTTCGTTGAACAACAACAAGATGAAGAAGGCACGTGAACTGAACGGCCAAGGTACAGAGTATTCGTTATCAAGTGGGCTGCAGTTTTACCAGTGGCCAACGCACTACATTCCGCTATTTGCAAATTTGAAAACAAGCAGCTCTCGCAGCATGGCCAGATTGTCGTCCACCAGAGGAGCATGGACCTCGATCTATCCTCTAGATCAATTCTGCTTCCCGCCGTCCCACAATAATCGCCATACAGGGATGATTGGATCAGGCAATCTCGGACTGAATGAGGATGCTCATGATCTTCTTGCCTTGCCAAAGTGAGCCCACACCGCTGTGGACAATCAAAGTCCAGCCACAAGGGCAAGAGAAAACGTGGTGGAGCTGTGGCTTTTGCGGCTCTTTCCTTTCCCCAAGATCGAACTCCAGGTCCACTGTTTATGACGTGGTTCTCACATCAAAATATTCGATGCATCGCGTGAATGTCTCAGCGATACAAGTCTTTTTCCGCTGTCAGTCTGCTTGGCTCGCGTAATGCAGCATTCATTTTACACGCGGCCCCTGGATCATATTGGCATGGTTCGTCGATGGTGCCAGATTTTGCCTTGGATGTGCCTTGGAAGAGCACCCGCGAATCCTTGATTGTCCACCCCCTTGATTTTTGGGGTCATCCCGCGGACGCAGGGCTTGTGCATGATCACCACGGGAGAAAAAGCATATCATATCGCAAAAGTTTATTACATGTGGCAGTATCCACTTTCTGGCACAACCATCACACCACCAGATGGTCTGATACTCTATGTTGCCGTCAATTCACAAAGGATATCAAGAGATGTTCGTATCATCTAGATCACAACGAGGTTCTCATGGTCACACATGCTGGCGTGGTCCAACCAATTGTCCACCTCACTGAGCCCATGATGACTATCATGAGACAAAGGCCGGCGACCACGCTCGCCGCGCCATACACATAGGCGTGTCGCCGCCGCAAAGATTGCAACTCTGCGACCCATGTACTGACAGTAGTCGTAGTGCCGCAGAAGCCATCCATGACACCTTGCAAGACCTGACAGCCGACCCTGCCTCCACCGATCAGCGCACCAGCAGTTGAAGTGATTGGCACGTGCTGGATGGAGTAGCACATGGCCTCTACTGCGCATCCGAATACATTGACAGCGAAAGTTCCCAGGGGAAAGGACGCAGTGATGGGGTTGAGTTTAAGCGACGCATAGTAGCGAAGAAGACAACCTACGGGCGCGAAGACTAGCGCGAACAAGACTTCGCCGCGCCAGACTTCGTTCGCCCAGCTGCCGCGGCTAGATGGACCGGACGGCCTATCCGGTGGCCAGATAGACAAGAACATGGCACCAAGCCAACAGCCCCAAGCGAGCACAACGACAAGCGGATCGAGAAATTTACGAGTAAGTCTGAAAGGCAAGGTAGGCGTAAAGCGATCGAGAGCGAGAGCCAGGTGCGCGCCGACATTGAGAGCAGCCAGAGAAAGCGCGACAGTGTATATGATGATGGCAAGCAGAGCCATGAATGAATAGCCACCATTGCGATGTATGGTCGACGTGAATGACGGCACGGTCGCATATGGATGGTTGACAGGAGTTGGAAGATTGTTCGACAGAGCCAAGGAGACATCACGCATAAAAGACGAAAACGAGGTAAAGGAACCGCAGAAGCCTGTGGCCAGACCAATGTACAGCGGTATCGTCTTCTTCGTCTTTGCGTGCGCCTTTTTGGCAGCAGCAGGATCAGACTGTTCTTGTTCCAGCGCTTTCTCTCTTGTATGAGTATCCATGTTGTCGAGACCCCACTCTTCACGAAACAATCGTCTGTCTTCTGACAGGAAGCCCATGACGAACGAGCCGCCAACGTTGGCCCAGAGCACAGGGGTCACAAGCGGAGCACCCGGGTAGAAGGTAAGCCATTGCATACCCAGTCGAGCGAGGGTGCCCCATATCGAGAGGAAGACGAGATGCGAAACGATATAGAGTTGAGTCGCGAGTGGAGATGGAGAATCCCTCGGCGGAGATGGTGGTGACGATGAAGGCCGAGTGCGAAATGACGGAGGCGTGGGAGCCGAGTCGAGAGATTCGTCTTCGTCTTCAAGGTGTGTCTGTCGATGCCAGGCAGAATCATCTTGTCTGTTTTGCACAGGCTCGGGAGCGTCGACCTCGTTCAAAGAGTGGCGGCTGTGCGGCGAGGCTTCAGGCCTGTTGCGAGCAGATTTCGAGGCATGGCGCTGGGGAATGCGATCATGATAGTCGAGATACGTGGGCTCACGCGATTGCGATGCAGCCTGACTCATGCCGTGTCACGACGGAGAGATGGGAGGAAGGTCGTCCATGCTTGTCAACAGGTACCGACGCAAACTTGCAATCAAGCAGGCGGGCCGTGCCTGTTCGGTATGATCGGCTTGCAGCCCTGCCAGTCTGTGCGCTGAGCGTCAACAATGACCCCGCCATTGATAGCGGAGCACCGTCAGTCGTGCTGCTCGGTCACGCCCGCCCTATCAAGCCATCACATGCCTCTGTTGGCCTTCTTATCGGAGTCCGTGTGAGCAAACATTGACACTCTACGAGTCTGCTCTTCTTGTGAATTGACCTTCTTGAGACCGTGACTGCCTCTCTACACTACAGCGTGCTCCCTCTTTATTGACTGTCCTCGTCCTCGTCTTCGTCCTCTCTGCCCGTTGACCTCCGAATATACCTAGGCGACCATGTCTTCCCTACCGTCTAATGTTCACGTAGCTCAACACCCCTGCCTACGGGCCAAGGTCTCACAACTGCGATCGCAACAGACCAGCGCTCGTGATGCTAAGCGTTTGATCAATGACATTGCGACCATGCTGGGATACGAAGCTCTTGGTTCTGCTCTGAAGTCTACACAGCAAGGCACAGTAGGGGGTCCTACTCTCTGACGACTTGACATCACTCTGATCACACTCTCTGCACTTGTAGGACCAATCACCGTTAGGCTACGACTTTCCAATTGACTCCATCTCGCCGTCCCACGTCTCGCTCGTGCCTATCCTGCGATCTGGTCTATCAATGGTCGACGGTACGTCCCGAGTAGACACGTCCACCAACCAACCCCTCTGACATGAGAACCCCAAAGCTCTACTCTCCGTCCTACCAGACCCAGTCCCAGTTTTCCACCTAGGCATGTACCGCGAAAAGACCACACTCCAACCCGTCGAATACTACAACAACCTGCCATACCACTCCGCCACAAACACCTCAAAACAAACCACACCTTCAGATCTAGCCATCCTGCTTGACCCCATCATTGCTACTGGCGCTACAGCGAGTGCTGCCATCGACACGCTAAAAGATTGGGGTGTCAAACGTATAGTCGTCTGTAGTGTGCTGGCCAGTCACGAGGGTTTGGAGAAGGTCAGTCGTGTCTGGGAAGAAGGCGTACAGATCTGGGTTGGTGCTGTAGATCCGGGCACAGATACAAGAGGCATGATCAAACCTGGTCTTGGAGATGTTGGCGATAGACTTTTCCTCACGATTGGCAAATGAAACAAGACGATACTTTTGTTGAGCTTTTGAGTGCACTTTTCTGGATTTTTTCTTCTTCTTCTTTGTTTTCTGTATTTTCTGCCATCATTTGGCTGTGCTGCTCTTGGTACGAGCGATGCCTCACTTTCTCTCCGACAGCCACACATCAGCTTCCTCCCACACCTTCTTGTCCTTGGCTGACACCAAAGTTTCAGGGGCGCTTGCAACGGCAGCGTAGACCTGTTCATCGTATTAGCAAAGTCCTCCGTGTTCGTTATGTCAAGACTTGCCGAATCCCACAAGGCGAACGCCCTCTGCAAGTCACCCTGGAAGTCGGTAGCGTGTGGGAACCATTCGTTGGCTCCCTTTGTCTTGACAGCCTGGCGCGACGCCTCTGAAGTGGGCTCGCTCTGTGCAGACAGCTCATCCAGATACGACTTGACCGCAATGCCGAGAGCGCAGTCTAGGTCGTTCAAGAAAGGCAGGCTGACATGTCATTAGTAGCTGCATATTTTTTTATTCATGAACACCATCATACCTGTAGCTTATTTGAGCCAACACACTAGGGCGCATATCGCGGTCCACGTGATGATTGGCCAGCAAACCGAAGAGACTCATCTCAACCACATTGCGCAAATTGCCGCGCACTGCAGAAACCATCGAAGTGTAAGCAAGCAGATGTCTGCTCAAAGGTCCAGTGAATCCGATGCTCTTGTGACGAAGTCCTGCAAAGCATGCAACTCTACTGACCAGCAGCGTGTTGCGCTTGTCTGTCTCAGATCCACGCTGGGGAGAACCATTGTAGGGGAACATGTTGTTCGAGTTGAGCAGGTTCAGGCGCAACATTTCGAAAGCAAGAAGTGTCGGCTCTTCCAAGTCCTGTTGGTTGTGGCGGGAGAAAGCGGTTTGCAGGCATTGGCCAAGGGTACTGAGTTGATGATCTTGCTGAATGTAGCCACGCAGCTGGAGGAATCTCCATAGCGCATTGGATTGCACCTCTTCTGTAGAGCTGAGCGGCTTCTGTCCATTGGACTTCGGTGTGACAGTAGTTTTGGCAAAGTCGGCGTCTTGCAAGCTGCTTACTGCAAAGGCCAGAGAAGAAACATCACGTTCAAGTTTGGTTGCCTTTGCTGTGATCTGTTCGAGTCGAACGTTCCATCCAGCAATCGTCGTCCTGGGGTCTGTAGTATCTGCAACGTTCAAGGTCTTTGGTGTGTTAGGGTCGAACCAGCATCTCAGGTATATAGCTCTGTGCTGGTAGAAGCGATGAAACGAGTACGTGAGGAGTGATAGAGCAGATGTCCGCAGAGGAGTAAGTCCGTCAGATACCAGACGACGGTAGGCATCAGCTTCGCCTCCATCAAGGGGTGGGCGCTCGATGATCTCGTTGGACGCTATCCAGCTGAGCACTTCAGGACTGATGATGCCATGCGAAAGATAACCAAATGCCTCCTCTGGCAGGCGGTGACCCATGATGTTGTTTAGGTCGCTAGGTGCTGAAGCTCCATCAACCGATTCAATCTTGCCGTTGGGTCGAATGCAAACGTAATGCTTGATGTACAGGCTTGCCTTGCGATAGCGGTCTAGGTAGTTCAAAGCAATCATAGCCGGGTCGTCCTGATATTGTAGACAGAGAGCGTTACCGTTAGTTTGGCTTCTCTTGAGAAGATCAGCGGCAGCTCTGATCTTTGGAGTCCTGGGAGACGCAGTCATATCATTCTCCAACTGAGGAAGAGTGGGTAGGATCGAGCAGCCAGAAAGGAGACAAGCATCGACAAACATGGCTGTGGAAGGAGCGCCAAGAGCCTCCATGCATTCGCGACGAGTCACCCACGAGAATTGAGCCTGCTCGAAGTCAAGTTTGGTGATAAGCTGATCGATCTCATACATAAGAATGTCGCTGGATCCTGCCACGGCATCGCAAAACTCGGTTCCAGCGATCGAGGCAAGCTAATTCCGGGGTCAGTTTTATGGTGCATCTGAAGCAATTGTTCTGCCTACCTGAGCACATGCGCTATGCGGCGCAACGAGAAAATCTACATCGTGCTTGCGCAAGATATTTTGAACGAAACGGTAGATGTTGTCGACGTTAATAGTACCGGCTATCCAAGCAGGTCAGTCTCAGTCTAGTCAGTTATCAAAGAAGCCAATGCTTACACAAAGTACCGAACTCAGCAACGGCACGTTCAGGTTCGGATGCACCGTACAACTCCCAAGCATTTGCGATGCTCTTGGTGGCACGAGTTGCAGCCTGAAGTCTCTCTTCCTGGCCATTTGAAGTCACTCCGTTAAAGATGAAGTAAGGTTGGCAACCATAGCTCCTGAGAACGCCAACGTGATTTGTGATAGTCTCTTCGAGAGCAAAAGGAAGACCGCCAAGAGCTGGAAGTAGGGGTTCTTTTGTGGGAGAAGTTGTGAGTATGTTGGCAATGAAATCTTCGGCTTCAATTCCGAGACGACGTTCGTTCAGCTCTGCAAATGAATCGGTATGGCCCAGTTGGGCTGATGCTGCCCATTCGTTGAATCCGGATATCATTGTTTATTGGATGACGGCTCTAGTGGCAGGGTGTTATAGCGAGAGGATGATCTTATGGCTAAAATGGCGTGAGCAACGCTCGATTGGTCTCAACAGGAAATGTGTTCGTGGTTCAAAGTAAGGTGTGAACATAAGGAGTCTTTGATGTCTGGACTGAGGTTGACATGTGAGAAGGTCCGAGCGCCAAGCTCCACTTTGAAACAGAAGAGCGTCTGTCTGCGCGTCTTCTTTCTTTCACGAGCTCAATGCACAAACAACACGAGTGAGCAGAGCCTTAAAGTGAAAGCGCGTAACAAAGCAAAGAAGTATTATTCGTCTCTATCGGGGTATCTCTTGGCGCCTTCGCCGCAGGTCATCTCTGTATCTGGACTGTTTCCTCGCCATCCATCCTCATATCATCTAATCTAAACATGAAATTACCAAATTACTATTGCGTATCCTCCAAATTTCCAAATTGCCATTGATATGACTGGTAAAATGCAAAAGCGAATAAAGCAACCACGATGGTCCTGAGGAGGCTTGCAGACTTGGTCTCAGTCCGTGGTGCGACATCCTGTGGTAGAGCAGCCCGGGTCGGCTTCATCTTGAGGTGCGAGTTTCCATGCTTGGCCTCTCGAGCAGCCAGCGTCTTGACGAGTTCGAGGTCCGTCATGAGCTGCTTGTCGAGACCTTCGACAATCGCAACACACTGTTCAAAGATGAATTGAGCCTCATCGATGATGTCCTTGCGCTCGTGTGCTGTCAAGAGCTCCTCGGCTTTCTCTAGCCTAGTCTTGAAGTCCGTCTTGATGTCCTCTCCATCTCTTGTTCCTGAGAAGCAAAACAGGGTGAAGCCTGGCCTTAGAGTTCCATGGATCCAATACGCAGTCTTGTCCGACTCGTGAGCAACGCCCCAAAACTCTGGCCCGGATTCTGTCAGCTGCTCCCTGATCCAACGACCACCAGAGAATATGGCCATGTACATAATCCAGGCATAGGCAACCAAGACATGGGGCTTTTCTCGAGTCTGGCGATATATATGCGCCGTGAAAGAGCGAAGCTGTTCGTTTGATACAGCCTCTAAGTCAGCACCGGTGACTGTCTCCAAGTATTCTAAGTCTTTCTTGATGGCATCGGAGCGCCAGAGACCAGGTGGGACTAGTTGAGAAAGCCATTGGCGCAGATTTGTGTCGTGCGAGGAAACATTTGCGTTGGGCTTGTCGACCTCTGCGATAAGGACGCGCCAGCAGTTCTCGAAGACAAGGTAGATGTCGCCAAAGGTGTTGATACCGTGAGCGTATAGTTCGGGAGTTTTGGCTATCGGTGGAAGGGCAAGAGGTAGGCGCGAGACGATAAGCTTGTTCAGTCGTGTATGAACCGATCTTGGATCATGTCAGCGACTGTAGCAGGACTCTGCAGAGAGAGCTCGTAGGAAGCGCACCGTGTGGCCGTGTTGATGTCGGTGGACAGATTCTGCGGGGCAGGAGAAGGCGGAGGCGAGAGAAGTTGAGGGGGAGTTTGCAACGACGCCATGCTGACGGCAAGAGGATCCAGAAATGATGATGTTCTCCTTGTTTTTGTGCTTGCCGCGAGATTTCAACGACTACCTTCAGATCAACTTGGTCACGGACTTTGAATCATCACATGGCCGCCATCCGAAAGCACATGGACGAGGCAGGGCGGCAAAGGGCCTGGACCTGTCCCCGTCTGTGCTCTTTCTCGATGCGATCGCTTTCTCGGCCCGTTTGTAATGGCGACATCGACATTATTTTTCTTCCTTTTCCATTTCTTTTTTTGTCCCTGTCGCATGCACATCCAGGGGCACACGACCACAGCGAGCATGTCATGCCCTTACACATTCCTTTTGTTTTACATAGCTTTGCTACATCTGTATCCTGAACTTGCAGCAGTCTCTTGACACCATCGTCGGATCGTCCACTCATAGTACATTCTTTGCCGTCCGCTGGCGTCCACGTACTCGAGCTCCAACGCCAGTACTGTCACTTTCATCCACGTCGCGCACCAGTCCTGGGCTCTCTACTCGAGTACCGATACTATCGTCCATGAGTCTCGTGCCCATTTTCTTACTCATCTTAGCTCGATATTCTTGAGCCTCTGGCGTCTCGTACGTGACCTGTTGACTCGGTGCAGGTACTTCATTCTCCATCATGCTTGCCAGTGCACCTGAGTTGGCTACATCCATGTTTGGGTGTTGACGGAACGAGACAGATGTCGATGAGTTTGATGTGTATGATGGAGCGCGACCAAGTCTCTTATCTTTCCTCCACCTCCCCTTAGCTGGTTGTTCGACTGTAGATGATCCCGAGTGAGAGTGTTGTCGCTCAAGCAACGACCTGATTTCTCCGCTCAGTCGCACTTGGTTCGCAATTGCATCGGCGTTTTCGTCACTTCCTGGTCTTGCTTGTTGTACATCTTTTTGTGCTGACGAAGAGGTCGAGCGAATCTCCATGTCCCCTAAAAGCAATGATTTCGATTGTCTCCGGGTGGCGTTCACCTCTGGTGGGATGTTTTGTAATGGCTGCGCAATGTCCGTTCCAAGCATGTAGTCATCAGCTGCAACTGGGGCTAGGTCGTGAGAAGGTGCATTATGCTTCGTGACTAGTCCTTGGGCCGGGTGACTTCTTTCGTCTGGCATCTCCTCTTCCTCGTCTTCTTCGATGAATGGGCCTCTCCTTTTAGAGTTTGCAGGTTGTTGTTGTGCTGGTTGAACAGGGCCTGACTGATAAAGGTGCAGCGAAGTAGCTACATTTCGCTTTCTGACGGCGGAGAGACGTTGAGCGGGTAGGATGTCTTTTCTATGTACCTCATCAGCCTGTCTCTCACTAGCTGAACCAGTTCAATACTACCTCTTGTCTTGTGGAGGAGCGATACTGGCTTCTCGAGACGGATGGTCAAGATATTGCCGGTCGAGCATCTGCTTTGGCCCACCAGCCACCATGTAATCGTTCATTGGCATTTTCCGTGCGTGTTGTAGGCTAGAATAAAGCCATGTATCTGAGACGACGGGAATCTTGTGCTTTGCAGCATATGCTATCTTTTCTGGATTTGTCGCTGTGCCAGGAACCACTAGGATAGATGTCTTCGGCAACAATACTTCGTCGTAGGATGCGCCTGCAAGTCTGACCACCTTCGAAATGTGTAAGACGTCGTGGCCCATGCCAGAAGTCGCTATTCTCAGACCTTCAAAGCCTAAAGTTGTTAGCTGATAGCAATATCCAAGGATGAGATTGAGACATACCATCGATTGGTAGACTGAGATGCGGTTGACTAAGGATATCATGATCAGGATCGACAATCGTCTTGTGCTTGATACATCTCTCCAACCACCACTCCGTCGCGAGCCATGTTTCAGGAGAAACCTCGGGAAATGAGCCTATGTTCGTGGACGTCCATTCACTTGGGAGTATGAGGACTTTGCGTTGGCTCGAAGCGCCATTTTGAGTTGCGCAAAAGGCTTCAACATGACGAGTTACTTGACCTCCATTTGAACCTATGATGTCGTCAATCTTGGCTGCCTATTCACAAAGGTTAAGTAGATCATTTGATTATGAGGACGATTCAAAGCTTACCTTTTTCTCGTCATGACCGTGCACAAGACACGAGATACCCGAGAAGAGTCCTGGCTCTTCTTCATGGGGTACAGGACCCGTATCCCATGATGGAGGCCGAGAGATGTTGGTGGATCGACGGGGAGGACTGAGGCTTCGTGGCGGCGTTGTAACTTGTGGGTTCTCTGTCCACTGATCGTTTGTGACTTCGGATGACTCTTCGCCTCCAAGCGATAAGAAACTGGTCATCATGTTTTGACTGTGATCTGCCAACTTAGCACTTGCAGTGCGTCGCATCTTCCGCTTGCCAATTTCTTCTTTTGGTGCAACAGCAGATTCTTCACGCTGTCTTTTTCCAAGCACAGGAGGCCGCTGATAACCACGTACAAAAGCGCCTTTACCCTGATCCTCGAGGGACATTAGAGGATGGTATAATGACTCGTCGACAGCCATGCCTCTGTCAAGACTTTCTTCGAGCCATTTCAGGGAAATGGTCTTGATGTTCCAAGACTGTGCACGCTCGTACTTTGCACCCTTTGGTTTGGCGACAATCAGGTGGGTGACTTCTCTGGTAAGATCTCCATGATAATGAGCGCCATTGTTTCTGATCTTTTCTATGATGTGCTGTCTTTCTTCAACTGTGTGCAGTATTAGTATGTGATGAATGAGAGCAGCTGATAGTATGCGTACTGTCTTCGAAGCCCGTGACAGATATGTGCAAGTTGTAGAAAACGGGTAGGCGGTGTTCTTGGACCAAGGCGCCAAGGTCGATATCTTGATCTTCCATGTAGGCTTTGCGTATGGCATGAATCCATTCGGGCTTGAGAACGTGTATGTCGGGTCTTTCTTTGGCGGTATGTCTGCATTTGGGTGTATCGATGTTGCCGACTATCAAATGTGTCACGTCGGCGGTGAGGTCGAGACGGTGGATGGCACCCATGCTTCTTGCAAGATCATTGAGCTTGTCCTGTGAGGCAGAATGCATAAGTACATATAGTTTGGACTGTGTGATTGTGGATTACTGACTCTAAGATCCTGCGAGAGCGAGGTGCTGCAAAGCACGAGACCTCGAAGAAGTGCATTGTTGGCTGTGGAAAATGTCAGTCGCTTCTGCAAGATGGTTCAGTAGCACTCGCGAGGACTCTACCATCTTCTGCATCGTCGGGCATGATGGATGCACACAGTCCTCGCACACAGGGCCTGCCTCTGTTCGCTTGCTTTGCCTCGAGTCGAGAGGACGCGATTTCTCCAGGCCTGTTTGGAACGGCCCGCGTCATTCGCGTGTTAAAGCCGAACTCCAATTTAACCCCGCTTCCACAGTAAAGTACCGGGCAGTGCAGCCAAAATTGGGGAACGCGGCATCGCCGGTGCAGCAGCAGTTGTCATCATCCACTCAGACGCGCCCATCTACCATGCACTTCCTCGGATCTGTTCCCGCGCTATTGTATGTCTGCATGGCAATCAAGAATTGTTTTGTCCAGCCTCTGCGAGATTCTCGATGGCAGCGGCATGCAATAATCTAATCTGTCCTGCCATCTCAGAGTAGGTTACCTAGTCAAGAACAGTCGATGGTCACTGCTCCGGCCCTCCACGATCTGCCAAAAGGTATTACATCAACAGAAGTTGCGGATCGCGCTTCCGGCACACGTAACGTCCAGCTAAGGCACGACCACTTCGACAAGGGACCCGCATACGAATGCAATATCCCCGACTGCACTCGAACATCCCCGGGGTCGGAGGGTGCGGAGGGTGAGTGATATATCCACCCGGAAGACTCGGATCAGCTCGCTCTCGTGTCAGGTGCCGTTGAACAATCTGGCTTGTCTTGTCTCTGAAGAGTGCCCAAAGGTCAGCGTCCACTTTTGCCTTTGGGCACCCGCCAAATACAGACTGGGGAACAAGACTAATGCATACAGTCAAAGCTTGTCGTCTGCCCCAAAGCCAATCACGGAGACATCGGATGCTCGTCACTCTGCCAGCTGCGAGCAGGAGCCGCGCAACCAGGCAAGACAAGGCCGCGGCAGATGGTCCTTAAAAAATAATGACGAAAGTCAAAAAAACGCCCGTTCATGTAGTAGTTCACCAGCCATAGCCCATAGATAACTCAAACCCTTGTTGCTGTGATTTCTCATAGTGTTTCACCGCGCCCCGAGCCCACAGCCAAAACTCGTCTCACCGCCGCCTCTACATATTCAGCACCGGTTCGAGGTTGATCGGCGAGCATCCCTCTTCGTCCTCCTCCCCAGATCGGATATCGAGTGCTACAAACAGAGACAGTCGATTTGGCTTTGTGCGACAAGTTGGCTTGGACGGCCTCAACCCACACTCGGGCTACACCCACAATTCGCAGAGCGCTACACGTGCAGAGACGTCGATACTCACTCAATCCATTTTCGTGACCTCATCTCTAACCTTGCACCACCGCCGCCTTGCGCATATACTGCTCAGAGGTCAGGTCACGCTGTACGTACGCCCGTAGCTGCGATTTGCGTCTCTGAAACACGCTTGATTCGGTGAGTCTCTTTCTTGCACTTGCTCATGCACATGCACATGGTTCATCAAGCCTGCACATGCTGGCCTGCAATTTTGGGCTCCCATTCCTTGTTTTGGCATGCACGACGGGTTCTGCACGACCTTGATCGGCGACATCGCAACTTTTAATTATCCCCATGCATCTCGCTTCTCACTCGCTGCAAAGTGCCTGTCGATATCCGTGGCTAACATACAATGGCAGAGGTCCACTTGTCTCATCACCGCAATAGTTGGGCTCATTTTTGTCCTAGCAGCTTTCTCGAACGCTCCGATCGCTCTGGTTACTTCGAGCCCCGCAGATATAGAAGGGGTTCAATTCGCATCAAGAGTGTTCACGAAACATACGACCCTCCAACAAATATCGACAGACTACGACCCCATCCCAGTCACTTTCTGTACAGGCTCTCATCCTCTACAGACACCGCTAAACGCTTCATTCGCTCAATTGTATCTACCCGCTCCGTACCTACACGCAACCCTTCAGACGTTCCGCACTGGTCCGCGTATAGCCTAAGAGGCGCAACTGCAGAAGGAGGACAGAAACCGGCTTTATCTGGCAACATGAGGGCGAATATTCGTGGTTCAATTGGCGGTCCCGTTAGCGGCATGGTTCCGCGTCCTTCGTTGTCAGAAGACGTGAGAGCTGCTTCAGACGCTACAGCCCGAGCACAACATATGAACACCGTAATGCCCGGCACAGATCCGCATGACAAACCGCTCGTGTCTGGCAGCGGCGTGAATGTTTCGATCAACCTGGCCGAGCCAGTACTTTTCTTGCAGGGCTTCGAACAAAACGACATGGCCAGCGGCAACACCGCCATGTTGAGAGGAACACTTCACCTTCGCGTCACAAAGGCCGCCAAAATCAAGGCAGTCACACTCAAATTCAAAGGCAGAGCAACCACAAAATGGCCTGAAGGTGATTTCCTTTTGTCCGACCCGCCGAGACATACGACTAACGACTTCCAGGCATTCCTCCTCGCAAAGTCGATTTCGAAGAAGTTGACAATATCATGAGCCACACTTGGCCTTTCTTCAATGCTCAATTCCCAACAGCCGAAGCAGGCCCTTGCGCAGATCACGTAGAACTCTTCAAGACCGGTGCATCTCACACCAGCTCATCTTTCGGTATTGGAAAGTCGCCCAACATCTCAACTACCAATCTTAGCACGAAGGATCAAAGAAGGCTGTCACTCCAAGTCAACCAGTCACGCAGTTTTGGCAAAGGTGAATCTGCTACCGGTGGCCCTACAGTAGCACAAAAGGGCTACCGCACCTTCAACCCAGGAGACTACGTATACAACTTCGAGCTCCCTCTTGACAGCAGACTGCCCGAGACAATCGACGTGGATCTAGGCTCGGTCAAGTACGAGCTTGAAGCAGTCATAGAACGTGCTGGAGCTTTCAGAGCTAACCTTGTTGGAGTTCGTGAGGTTCAATTGATCAGAGCCCCAGCCGAAGGTTCTCTGGAACAAGTCGAGCCCATTGCCATCAGCAGAAACTGGGAAGATCAGCTCCATTACGACATTGTAATTTCTGGAAAATCTTTCCCACTGGGGTCACAGGTTCCAATTGCATTCAAACTCACTCCGCTAGCCAAGGTACAATGTCACCGCATCAAAGTGCTTGTGACCGAGAATATCGAGTATTTCTGCAGTAACAAGCGCGTTCATCGTATGGAGCCTACAAGGAAGGTGCAGCTTTTCGAGAAGCGAGCGGACACGGCGCCGACAAGCACCTTCCCTGGTAGCTCGATGCGTGTCACCTCAGGAGGTGGTGTTCCGTATGACCAACGTGCGCGTGCCGCCGCTGGTGAGACGGTGCAGACCTCAGATCCCACCAATCTTCTCGGCAACCTGGAAGGCGAAAATGTCGGACCTACCGAAATGGAGTTCAACGTACAGCTGCCAAGTTGCACGTCAAACCGTGAAAGGGAAAGAGCGACTAGATTGCACTTCGACACTACATACCAAAACATCCAGGTGCATCATTGGATCAAGGTACGTGGATGCTGATATCTAGAGCATATTCAAGCCACTTACTGACACTACTCAGATCGTGATGCGTCTTTCCAAACCCGATGCGGAGAACCCAGGCAAGCGCAGACATTTCGAAATCTCCATCGACTCACCCTTCCACATCCTCTCCTGCCGCGCAACGCAGGCAAACACATCATTACCCGCTTATAGCAGCCCCCAGTCGGCTTCCAATGGAAGCTCGCTGTACGAATGCGGTTGTCCCAATGCACCGCGCCGTCGCAACTCTCCCACTTCGTACGTGCCCACGCTCAATGCCCTGAACGGCATGAGAGAAGCCACCGTGCCTCCCACAATCACTACACCCAGTCTGGCTCGTCCACAAGCCGCACATCTGACAGGCAATGCACCTTCGAATCAAGTCGACCGACCTATCCACTTGTTGCGCGCTCCGTCGTTCAATCCACCAGCGTTCGAAGATGAAGAGCCTCCGCCGCCACTCATCACTCCTCCTCCGCAATACGACAGTATTGCAAGTCCAACTTCGGGACTGGCCGACTACTTTGCTCGCTTGTCAGACGCGTATGACGATGACGAAGACAGCGACGACGCTTCCAGCAGGGGTGGTCGCGTTGACGTGCCATTGACACCTGGCGCCAGAGTCAACAGAAGTATGGACGTCTCCAGAAGTTGGATACCCCTCGGTGCTCAACTACATGGTTAGAAGCCAGATCGAGCGAGAGGAGAATAGGACATGACGAAGGACAATTAGGGAAAAGACGCGAGTTCTACGACAATCATTTTGACGAATGAAGCTTTTTGCATAGCGGAACAGATGCATGGAAAAAGGACGCTTTGACGATCTGACTAGCTGGGAATATATATGGAGAGGGGCTTGGAGTATGATAGGAGAGGATTTTTGTCAATATACAGATTTACAAAAAAAAAGCTATTTACAAACATGTCTTGGATTCATTGCCTGTTTTATCGTGCGGCACGATAGTTAGTGAACAGGTTCGAGTTGCAAGAACTCAGTCAGGGTCTTCGCTCCTTCTCGTCTCAGGGTCTGGAGATGATCATGTTTGGGGATCATTTTCTCGTCAAGCAGCAAGTGTGATCGGCAGCGAAGTAAAACCCGCTTGATACCAGATCTACTGATCAAGAGTCGGGACTGTCATGTTGAGTTGAGGAATTGTGAAGTTACTAGGACCAGCAATCATGTTGCCCAAGAACTTCCTCGTCGCGTTTCCCTGCACAAGATCCAGATCTGCTTGCACGACAGGTGTATTGGTGATCAGCTTCAACACAACCCAGACGGCACTAGGGCCAACAAAGAAGATAATCTCTGCAAACAGCAAAGTCCAGAAGGCATATTGGGCAAGCTCTTGAAGGATGTGAAGCTTGAATTGAAGTTTGACCAGGCGAATAAAGGTCTTTTTGTCGATTGTGCGTGCAGCTTCCATGAAGCTGAGCGGTTGTGTTTGTTGCTGTAGGATACCGCCGGATTGAGGACGACCTTGGAAGCTGCGATCCATGGGTATAACGGGGTCTTCGTCGTCAGGGAGCATCGAAGCATAGACACGGGTCTCGACTGCCTTGAACGGTCTTTCAAGCACCAGGCGTATCAAAGGCTTGATCTGGGCACGCACCATAGACTTGATGCAAGCCCAGAGAATGAAGGCGACACTTAGCTTGACAATAGGCCCTTCCTTAAGTTGGAATGGCTTGTTGCTCGTGTTGATCGTGATAGTGGTCTCTGAATCAGGCTTGGAAGCAGGTGTCAGGTAGTAAAAGGCTGCGTCAATAATGTCGCCAGATAGACCATTGACCAGTATAGCGAGCCAAGCGGTGCGCAACACCTTGAACCATGTCATTGGCATACGACGGAACCAGAACTTGTAGCGAGGTTTCGAGATGCACACGTGCAGGATCGCTGCGGTTATTTGACATGCAATGAGCTCTACAACTTGGTGCGAGAAAGCCTCGGCGATGCGGTTGCTTTTCTTGAGCAATGGAAGTCTGTGGGAGATGAACTCAGAGAGAAGATACACGGGCATGACCACCAGAACTGCCACTGATGATGATCCAATGCCACGGAACATGCTCAGGTCTCCTGCCTCGGCGTTCAGGTGTCGGATGGTCGCACGGATGCTTGAAGTTATGTAGGCAGACTTGATAGGTGATGAACTTCGCTTTTTGTCCTTGTATTTGTCTTCTTCAAGCAGTCCATACTTTTCAGAGCCCGTGTCTTGCGAGTCAACACCGCCAGGGACTGGTGTCTCGACTTCAGACAACTCTGTCATTAAAAAGACGAAATGGTGTATCTATGCATTGTCAGTCATCAGCATGAACAAAGTAGATGTTAGGTGTCCCTACTAAGTAACTTCCAATGAGACCTAGGCCTACAGTGAGCATGGGCAAGAGGCCCTTCAGGACCATCGACCAACTGATTCCTGAGTTGCTATTGGCAGCATGGCTTGTCTGATTTGTCGAAGCTTGCATTGCTTCATTTGCAAAGGTCAGCAGAGCCCACTGGTCTGGGGCATGTACCTCGCTCATTTTGAGGGTGTTACGAGTGAGTTGTAGTCGATGGTCGAAAGAGGTTCAGGTTTTGTGCGAGCGAAAAACCCGCAATAGGAACGGTATCTCTAGTTCTCGAGGCAAGTCGGACCTTTATAGGCTCGGTCAAATGTAGCACGTTATAAGATCACCAAGCTCTATGGGCCAAGCCGGGTTGCTGGTAATAGAAAATGAGGCTAAGCGATAGCTTGAGAATCCTTCTGAGGCTGGCTGATGCCTGGACTCATAAGGCTGAGAGGTGTTCTCGGCAGCAGAGGGCGATCATTTCATCAGGCAGTTTGGAAATTGACTCGTGACTGCGTACAGATGTTATTTCCGCAAGAGGATTCGAGTATACGAGACTACGAGTAGGGCAACGAAAGCTTCGTAGCGATTGTGGTTCAATAAGCTCGAGATGGAAAGGGCTACGGCCACAAGACCGGTTCTGTCGGAACAGCCACAAGAGGTTCGTTATCTAAGTTGACGCATAGCCTCGAAAGGATGCCAGTGGTCTGGTAGACACAATGAGGAAGTGGCCATTGTGCAGCAGTAAATAATGAATGCTTGATGGAGCCTCGGCAAGGCAGCCGGCGGTTTGACGGGGTTGGCCAGAGCGCCCTCAGCGGGGCCCAGGTCGCCGTGCACGAACGTCACTGGCTTCAAGATTGGTTTTGTTCCGCGAACCATTGAAGAAGCACTTGACAACCAAAAATGGCGAGCGAAGCATCAACAACAACACAACCTCCGGTCAAGATTGGCACACGCAAGTCTGTCCTCGCAAGAGTGCAGACAGACATTGTGTGCAAGGAGCTGCGCAAAGCATGGCCCGACCGACAGTATGAGATCCACGCCATGAGCACCATGGGCGACAACAACCAGACCACTGCTCTGCACGAGTTCAATGCAAAGGCCCTGTGGACCCACGAGCTCGAGGCTCTGCTCGAGAAGGGCGACTTGGATCTCATTGTCCACAGTCTGAAGGGTACATGATGTACACTATGATCCATACCAAACTGGTGCTGACGCCAACCCAGACATGCCCACTCAGCTCCCTCCTTCAATGAGCATTGGCTGCATCTTCCCTCGCGAAGACCCTCGCGACGCCCTTGTCGTCAAGCCTACCCTTCCCTACAAGTCCCTCTCCCAACTGCCCGCTGGCTCTGTTATTGGAACCTCGTCCGTCCGCCGCTCTGCGCAGCTCAAGCGCCTATACCCAGACCTCAAGTTCGCCGATGTTCGTGGCAACGTCGGCACTCGTCTTGCCAAGCTCGACAACCCCGAAGGCGAATACACTGCCCTTATCCTGGCTGCAGCAGGCCTTTCGCGTCTCGGCATGTCCGACCGCATTACCAGCTACCTCGACAGTGCAACAGGCGGCATTCTACACGCAGTAGGCCAAGGTGCTTTGGGCATTGAAGTTCGCTCTGACGATGAGGACGTCAAGAAATTGCTTTCAGCTGTTGGCTGCGAGTGGACCACCCGTGCCTGTCTCGCTGAGCGCAGTCTGATGCGCACTCTCGAGGGCGGCTGTAGTGTACCCATCGGCGTTGAGACCGAATGGGTGCGCAAGAAGTCCTCTCTGGGCACCACCATCGGCACCGGTGTCGGTGTTGGCGCAAAGCCTGCCGCCGAGTACGACAAGATGAGCGGTGTTGCCGTGACTGGTCGCACTACAGAGGACGACGGCGAACACCAGGACAGCGGCTCCGAGTTCACAGAAAACCTGATCATGCGTGCGTTGGTCGTCAGTCTGGATGGTCAAAGACACGTCGAGACCGAGATGCAGAGACGTATCACTAGCAGAGAAGAGGCCGACGAGTTCGGCTGGGACGTTGCAAAGAAGCTGGTCGAACTGGGCGCCGAGTCCATTCTTCATGATATCAACCTGAACAGAAAGATCATCGAGGAGCAGGGTGACGCATAAATGAAGATGGTAGAGTAAACTTCTAAAAACATATGCATCGCAAACCAATTGAAGATACCCACGAAAAGTCATCCATGCAGTATTTTGACACCACTCTTGAGATTGAAGAACCAGAGAATCTGCGTGTACGAGGGAAGCACATTGTTCCTCGATTATAATAGATACGGTAACCCCATGCGGATTCCAAGAATCTAGGTGAAAAGAACACCAATCTATTTTTTCCTCAGCCGTCATACAATGAACCAAAAGGAAAACGCCTCATGCCGAAAAAAAAAATGCAGCAACATAATCGCATCTATGAAACCTGGTTGATCTTGCAAGACCAGCCACTTTCCTGACTGAGAAGAGGAAGACTAAAAACACGTTAGTATCAATTTCCTGACTTTCTTGTAAGTGTGAACATACCTGGCACCCAAACACCAACCCAACTCGTTACCCTTGATCTTCTTGGCAATCTTGACCTCACGATCAATGGGCATCTCATATCCAGTGTGCAAAAGTGCAACCATGAAATTCAAATCCAGGCAAGTCTCAGGGCGACCTTGAAGCTCCTTGATAGCACCGGAAATGGGCTTGAAGACGTCCCAGGCCTTGGTCTCGCTCTTGGGGCCTTCGCAGACACGAGCGGTCAAGTCCTTGAGCTCAGAGAGAGTGAATGACTCGGGCATACCAAGGGGCTGGGCACGATCGTAGAAGTAACTGAAGAGGTAGACATCTTCGCGGGCGAAAGTCTTGGAGAGCGAAGGCTGGTGGACACCGTTGAAGGCGCAAGGGGAGATCTTGCACTCTTCTTCCTTCTTGAGAGTTTGCTCGGCAATGGCGCGGCACTGAGGGGCAGAGCCAGTAGTAGGACCGGTCATGTTGACGGTGACAGATGCACCAAGAGGATGTCCCTCACCAAGAGGGACCTTGATCTCGCGGCTACTGCCAGGGATCAAGCAAGGGTTGAGGACAGGCTTGCTGAGCCAGGCAGTGGAGTCGGGGTTCGCCTTGTGCATGTTGTCGATGACGACCTTGTGCAGGTTCTCACGAGCAGCCATGAGACCGTAGCCCAGGTATGAGTGCTGATACAGAGTAAAATCGCGACCACCGAAAGAGAGCTTGTACTTGTGGTCGCCCTCTGCAAGCTCCTCGGGCATGCCGCCATCCTTGGCCTGAGCAAAGGTAGGCTCGAAGACAATTTGAGTGCTGCCACCACCAAGATCGAAGACGGCAGCAGTGGGGGTCTTGTCAGGGCCACCGATCTTGCCCAGAAGATAGTTTGTTGTGATCCAGGCGTAGACACCCTCATCCTTGCCATCCATGACCTCGACACCTCCGTTGGCCTCGCTGACGACGGGGAAAGGGTATTGAGTCTCAAGACGGTTGCGTACAGCCTTGAGGATGGCGTTGCTCTTCTCTGGACCCAGCTTACGCAGACCAGCAGTGGCCTTGACGGCGATGGGAGTGCAGCCTTTGAGCTTGTCAGGGACGTTCTTCATGGCAACGTCAAGCAGAACATCCAAGCTCTTTGCGGCACCCTCGGCGTCCGAATCGTAGGAGCTCAGTCCAGAACCACCCTCTTTCTTCTCGGTCATCTTGAAGTCTTCTTTCTCGAGTTCGGGTGTAGGGCCGCAGTTGTTGAAACGGTAGACGTGGATGCGCGAGCCAGTGCTGCCGGCGTCGACCATAAGAGCATATTGAATCAATGGCTTGCTGGACGAGTATGGGCGGGTGCATTTGGTGGTGCCGAGCGAAGGGTCAGAGGCGACATCGCCGCTGGGGAAGGATGCTGGTGTGCCTGACGAGCCTGGCAGTAGGTAGTACAGTACGAACAAGACGAGGGCGACGATGCCGCCCGTCTTGATGTACCGCGATCGCTGACCTTGATTCATCCAGCCGGCCTTTTCCTGCATTGAACCAGATTTTGTGGTGGGCGCGAAAGGGTCGTAGTTGGACGAAGCTAGGGGTATGGATTGGCTGTGGTTGCGGGAATGCGACGAGACTGACTTGCGTCGCCGCGGCGAGGAGGAGAAGCTGATATAGGACCAGAGGCTGGGTCGTTGTTTCACGTCGCTCCTATTCGACATGTGGAAGTTTTGGTCAAGTACAGGTACTCGCCCTCAGAGTACACCGGCCAATGTTTTTGTGGGGATCCTTCCGACTGACGATTCGGGCCAGATACACAGCAACTATTTTGGGACCTTAAGATGGGTTGGAAAAATCCTTGTTGTTTGCAACTTGCAGCACGATATTCCTGACAAAGTTGAGAGATGGATTCGAATTCTCGCTCACCGAAGGACCAAAGGGAGGAAAATTAACATGTTTCCTTCATGACTACTGCCTTCCCCTTTCTCACTCGTCGTCAACCTTGCAGGGAGACCCCTGATCCCTGGATCCCTTTGGCGTCGCTGTCGCATTCAACACTCTTGGCTTGACCCGCCATCTGCTTGCCCACTATCTACAGTATGGTGTCGATGGCTCTCCTGAATATATATCTATAGTAGATTGCTTGAACCTTTGTTTATTAAAGCTGTGCTCGTAGCTTGGAGTGTCAAGACCTGCAGACTCTCGCCGATGCATGCGGAGACCTTCCACACCAGAACTTGCTTGCCCGTGTCCTAGCTGCATCAACCACGTCCCTGACTTGGTGAATTTTTCTCATCGTTCCTTGGAAAAAGAAACTATTGTGATGCAAGACAGCAATCGACAATTCACTTGTGTCTCTGGAGATATCTTGTCCGGTGACACGGACCAGAACCGGCGACTTGAGCGCGACGTGCCAGGCTCCTGTCTGATGACGCCGCCTCCTAGAAGTTCCAACAACATCCAGCATTTTCCATGTCTCTGTTCTTAAAGTCTACATAGTCGCCCTCAACTTTCCTGAATATTACTCTTGTTCTACCACAAGTCTCTTGCATCTATCTCACAACCTTACAAACTTACCACCGTTCCCTCAGTAAATCGCCTCATATCGACTTGACGATGGATGTCGAGTTATATGTATACGACCTAAGTCAGGGTCTTGCGAGGATGATGTCGCAAGGGCTGCTCGGCATCCACATCGATGCGGTTTATCACACTTCTCTGGTCTTTGGTGGTGTCGAATACTTCTACGGTGCTGGCGTGCAGACTTGCTACCCTGGATCAACCCATCATGGCCAACCTATGGAGAAGATCAAGCTCGGCAAGACTGAAATTCCTCTGGATGATATCCTCGAATACCTCGATTCCTTGAAAGAGACATATACAGCAGAGTCATACGACTTGTTCAAACACAACTGCAACAATTTCTCTAACGACTTCTCCATGTTCCTGGTCGGTAAAGGTATTCCGGACCACATCACTGCTTTACCTGAAACAGTACTCAACACTCCTTTCGGAGCTATGATGAAGCAACGACTTGACGCAGAGATGAGACACATCACACAGGCTGCTGTACCTCCGGAGAACAACCCTATGATTCAGCGTGAACGCAAGGAGCAGAGAGATGAGGCCAACCACAGTAGCCAGAATGGCACTTCTGCTTCAGCCTCTAGTGCCGCACAGCAGAACGGATCAGAGCAAACTCCACCCAAAAAGAAGCCTAAGAAGCTCGAAGTTCGTAGTGCTGGAAATGACGATCAGACGAATGGCAATGCTCAGGCTCAGGCTCAGGCTCAGGCTCAGGCTCAGGCTCAGTCATCTCCACAAGCAGCAAAGAAACAACCCAAGAAGCTCGAAGTCCGCGACGGCGCTGCTGCAAAAGCAGACGGCGTGCATGGCTCCGTTTATAACGTGACGCAGCCATCTTCTGTTGATAACCTTCTCTCTGTCGCAAAAGACAAATGTGCTATTATCTTTTTCACGTCGAGCACTTGCGGCCCCTGCAAGATGGCATATCCCACATACGATTCTCTGGCAGCTGAGCACACTAAGGTTCCTTTCATCAAGATCGACATCAATGAGGCTCACGCACTTGCATCAAAGTACCAAATTCGAGCAACACCAACATTCATGACGTTCTTACACGGCAAGAAGGACAACGAGTGGACTGGAGCGAACCCTGCACAGCTGAAGGCAAACGTGGAGGCTCTTCTTCAACAAGCTTTCCCTCCTCACCCTCACCTCCAAGTTCGTGTGCCTACTCTGCAATTTGGCAGGCTCAGTCCCATCACGTATTCGAAGGTCCCGCCTCTGGACAAGGTTTTGGCTAAGATGGGTGATCAGTCGAAGGACAAGTCTGTGGTTGCCATGAAGAACTTCATCTCTTCTCGATCGTCCAGTGCATCAGACCTTCCGGCTCTGCCAGATCTTCCCGCCTTTGCAAGCTGGCTTCGCCAATCGCCCAGTAAGCTTTCCTCAGATGTGTTGTTCACGGCTTACGATGTCCTGCGTTGTGCACTCATCGATCAACGAGTCAGTGGATGGTTCACTGAAGAATCTTCTCCTGGGGACTCGGAGACACTTACGTACTTGATCAACCACGTCTTGACGCTCGTAAACGACGATGCTTGTCCGTACAATTTAAGACTTGTCACAATCCAATTAGCCTGCAATCTGTTCACGTCTGATCTTTTCGTCAAGTCAGCGTTCAGTGGCGAACACAACAGTGGTTTGCCTGCAATGCTCGTACAAGTAGCAACCGCAAGTTTGCTCGCCGAGCCTGACAAGCCAGCCGTTCGCGCTGCTGCTTCCTCGCTCGCTTTCAACATTGCTGCAACAGTCTACCGTATCAGAAGAGAGGAGGATCTTGAAGCATTGCAGGAGTCTTCACAGGTTGAGATGGCTGCTAGCTTACTCGAGATGATGACGACAGAACTTGAGAGCAGAGAACAGAAGAAGGACGCGACCGGAACAGATATGCTTAAGACGGCAATCTTCGCTTTTGCTTACTTGATCTACTGTGCCCCTCAAGGTGGCGAGTTGCATGATCTCTGCAGTGCAATGGATGCTAAGGCTTCAGTTTTGAGGTTGAAGGAAGTCAAAGAGTTGGCAAAAGTTTCAAGTGAAGTTGGCGAACAGCTTTTGGGAAAGAACTGGTGACTTAGCATTTCTGATCCAGCTTGACCCATACAATATTAGATCCTCTATGATAGATTTGACCATGAGAAACGACATTCGATGCTACAAAGTTCATCCTTACGAGTTTTCATGGTCATCTGATATTTCTGAGTTGGATGGTCAACTTCACTTTGCTTCAGGCCGCCCTCCAACGCTCCTGCCACAACCCGGCTCGAGTGTCTGAGCGTCACTTCCCAGACATCACCTGGCATTGATGATTGGGCAGCAAGCGAATTTTGTTAGTCGTCGCATGGCAACGACTGAACAACAGATAGATTGGCCCTTTGGTACAAGAAGGTTTGTATTCTGGAAAATGATCATGCCTGACAGGTGCATTGAGCACCCATGTATCCGATTGCTTTCGAAACTACAGTAACGGCAAAGCATGACATCGTCTACGAACAATACCTGCCATGGCCTTTGATAAGGCATGACGAGAAGGCACTGGCTCTTGCTACCGTACATATAAACCATGACCTTCGATGCCGGGCTTGACACTGTACCACAAACTTCAGTCATCACTCACATTCTTGAATCACAGACCACAATGTCAGCAGCAAGACGTCCAGGCAGACTCGGCACTCGCTCTACCTCTTGGAACTACTCCAATGCAGAAGCATTCAACGACGACATGTATTCAAACATGACATTTTACGACACACGCATGCTGGCATCCAAGACACATTACGCAACCCTTCCTAGAAACTTCAGAGACGCGAACCCCAAAAAGAGGCAATGCAGACCTGAAGTGCCACCTCCATACAAGAGGACGGAGAGGTTCTTGGAAGACTTCAACACCAGTGACTCTGGTTACAGCTCCACCGGTACCACATCTCCAGAGCCACCAGAAACCTGGCATCCACCCACCCGCCAAAACACACTTCTGAGACATCCCACCAACGATCGCCGCTGCAGGTCAGACTACTACTTCATCCAACGACCATCACCAGACGGTATCATGCAAGCTAGTATCGAGCACGGCATAGCTTCAGATCCCACCAACCCATCCATTTCTTTCGTCTGCGCAATGAAGCCTCTATCTCTGTTTCCTCCAGACACATCAAGCAACAAGAAAAAACGCCGTCGCATCACCAACAACGATTTCTCGAAACCGGATGCGGATCCTTTGACCTATATTCGTGATAACTGCGAGAATGCAACTAGAGCTCTGAACAGCCATCGCAAGTTGCACAACTGTGACTGCGATTTTGCATATCTGGATAATAGGAAGAGAGGTACGGGAACCGTGTGGAGACAAGGGGAAGCCGATGAAGGCCAGGTCGTTGTCACCAGAGCAGATCTTGGGCCTTCAAGGCCGTGCAAGAAGACGTGGTTTACCGGATGGTTTGTCAGGCAGCATCTAGCATATCACGATCGCTATTGTGTGTGCGGATGTTTTGGTGTCAAGCGTTGATGTCGATATTCCTTGAGGAAGTGCTATTGTTGTATGTAAAGTGAAAAAGAAGATTCTTCTCGGCTGCGTAGAAGCTCGACAAATCGTTTGTGAATGTTCGAAACTTGACCCAGAACATGCTTGTGGGTTGCTGTTGCCAATTCGATGGCTGAAGTTTCCTGCTGATTGAGCGAGGGACATGAAAAAGTCTGAGAGACATTCGTGCTTTTTAATTTACATGATTTTACTGTACAGGGACCGGCGAAAGAAGAAGCAGAAGCATCGAGGGCAGATGCCTTAGTTCTTGCTTGTCCTTCTCTTGCCTTGGTTGCGCTCGCGCTCTTGCACAACGTGCTTGTTGGGGTTGCGCTTTGCACGAGTCTTGTAACCACCCTTGGCTGGAGTGCCCCAGATAGAGACGGGGTGGACGTTACCCTTTGATTTACCTCTACCACCACCGTGAGGATGGTCGGCTGGAAAGAAATAGGAGTTAGCTGTGAAGATCTAGTAGCATCAGAAGAACGGTTGAACTTACCAGCGTTCATAGCCAGACCACGAACGGTAGGACGGATGTTGAGCCATCTGCTACGACCGGCCTTACCGAGCGTCCTGAAGTGGTGATGAGGGTTGCTAGCAACACCAATGGTGGCGCAAGCATCGGGGCTAACTCTTCTGACTTCACCACTCTGCAGGCGGACTACGACCTCCTTGACCTTCTTGCCAACCTCCTCTTTTGAGACGACAGTAGCAAAAGTACCGGCGCTGCGACAGAAGACGGCTCCCTTGCCTGTGGTAGAGCCAACAGCGTAGACCTGAGTTCCGAGAGGAATCATGCGTACGGGCAGACAGTTGCCACGAAAAGCGGTCTTCGCGGCAAGCATACCGGGATCCATCACACCACCCATGCTCTTCAAAAGTTCGCCAGGAATTCCAGCACGGTAACTCTCGATGACGTCTCCAGCGCGCATACCATCGGCAGCAAGAATGTAACTCTTCTCTCCAGTCTTCTGCCTTGTGAGAAGGGCCAAGTGAGTGCTGCGGTTGGGGTCGTACTCGATGCGCTCAACAGTGTGCTTTCCAGGCTCCATACGCTTGAAGTCGACGGTACGGATACGTCTTCTGTGACCACCACCACGGTGTCGCACAGTCACGCGACCTGTGCAATTACGACCTCCCTTTCCGTGACCGACTTTGGCGAATGTGAGCTTGGCCAGAGGCTTTCCCTTCCACAGATGATCGTTGACAGGGCGGCGCAAATGTCGGACACCGGGTGTGCGAGGCTTGTATGTTCTGAGTTCGAAGCCACCACGTCTTCGGCTTGGGGCGGCGGTAGGAGGGTTGAAGGCAACGGCATCGGTCGTCGTCTCACGGGTTGTCGTCGCTACTCGCGGAGTCTCTGTAGCGGTGGCATATGTGCGGCGGGCGAAGGCGTTGGTTGAGGCGCGGAACAGGCATTGAGCTTGCCTCCAGGGCTGCTGTTGCCATAGCCGTGGCTGTAGCATGTTTTCTGCTCAAGTTGGCAGAGCACAAGAGCACGTCGAGAAAGATATGAATTGTTCCAACGCCTGGTCCGACACTCTACAATCCGGACCCTAAGTGGTGCCAAGACATTAACATTTCTAGGAAGGAACGGCTAAAGTCCGGTCTTTCTCTCATCCGTTGTCCTTGTTGCCTGCCTTCGACCCGCGCTTTCCTTTTTCTCTCGCGCCTCTCGCGCCTGCGCCAGACGTGTGTTTCCCAGACGATGATACCTTGAGCTAAAATGTTCTTTCCTGGCCTGTCGTTGTCTAAGGCATTCTGCGGCCTGATTTCCCTGATTTTCTATATAACACACAGTATCCGCGAATGAAACACTGCAACTTGACTTCAGATTGTAAAAGTGCATTGTTTTATGTTGTGTTGTGAAGACGTTTTGGTCGGTGATTAAAGCGAGGCTGGGATTTGTGCTCTTACACGCCAGTCGTCATCTGCATTGCATGTCTGGGCCAAAATCGCGAGACGTGGAGCGCGAAGTGTCCGAGCTTTTGATGTTCAAAGCCAAAGCAAACAACATCTCTTCCAGTTCTCTTCAAATCCCTCTCCTCAGCATCCGCCCTCGTCGTCAACGACATCTCTAATACACCCAACGACCGGTCGACGCAACAGAGCAGCCGTGACACCGAGTCCCTGCCGAATTGACTGCACCCGCCCTCGCCGACCTGGTCCCAACCCGTGACAACTCCTAACTGGCGCGTCAATTGTTTCAAGAGCATCAGTATCCAGCAGTCCGCCTTCTTTGCTTCACCTGCGCTGCCATTGCTTTCACCGTATCCTCCACCCACGCATCTTCTGCCTGCCGGCTCTGAAAGGTGTGTTCTCTCGCGTGTCCGAACGCCCATTACCCGATTCGGACGTGTTTGTTGTGCCCGCCCAGCCTGACTCGACCAAACCAAAGCAGCCGCTCCACCACTTCTTCACCAAGACCTTGACCAAGTCTTGACCATCTCATTCTCATATCAACATGCCTCCAGTAAGTATCACCTCACTTACCCTCACTGTCGCCGGCGCTCCTTCTCTTCAGTCATGCCAAGCCTCCCTTGCTGCTCTGCCTTGACGCGTCCACAACTAACCCGATATCTTCCAGGCCAGAGCTGTTCGACGCGCCGTGACGAACGAGAATGACGAGAACGCTGCCACCACTCGTCTGACACGCGCAAAGGCCGCTGCTCTGTCTCAGCCCGACGCGCTCGCCGCTGCTGACCCTCCTAAGAAGGCCGCTCTCGGTGTCAAGCGTGCCACTACCACCAACACTACTGCTGCTGCCACCCAGCCTGCCAGAAGACGCGCTGCCCTCGGCGATGTCAGCAACGTGACCAAGAACGAGACCATCGATACAAAGGCTGCTCCTGCCAAGGGTGGTAAGCTCAGAGATGCACAGAAGCCCACTGGCATCACCAAGCCTTCAACCCGTACCGCTTCGACCCGTTCTGCCGCTTCCATCAAGAGCGATGGTGCTGAGCCCAAGGCCAAGAGGCCCATGCCTCTTTCAGGAACTTCGGGTAACGTCCCCAAGGCCAAGAGACATATGGCAACCAAGATCCCCAAGGTGGATGAAGACTTCGTGAAGGATGCTGTCAAGATTGAGGCCATCGAGGAAGAAGAGGAGAGCACAACTCCCAAGGAGGAGGAGGAGATGGATGAGCCTCTGCACAAGACCCTGGAGCAGCTGGCTGCCGAGGCCAAGGACCTGGACTCTGAGGACCTTGACGACCCTCTCATGGTTGCCGAATACGTTCACGAAATCTTCGACTACATGAAGGAGCTTGAGATCACAACATTGCCCAACGCCGATTACATGGACAGCCAAGGCGAACTCGAGTGGAAGATGCGCGGTATCTTGGTCGACTGGTTGCTCGAGGTGCACACCCGTTTCCGTCTTCTGCCCGAGACTCTGTTCCTTGCCGTCAACATCATCGACCGCTTCCTCTCAACCAAGGTTGTCCAGCTCGACCGTCTTCAACTGGTTGGTGTCACTGCCATGTTCATCGCTTCCAAGTACGAAGAGGTTCTGTCTCCTCACGTCCAGAACTTCCGTCACGTTGCCGACGACGGCTTCACCGAGCAGGAAATCCTTAGCGCAGAGCGATTCATCCTTGCCGCTCTTGACTACGACCTGAGCTACCCCAACCCCATGAACTTCCTTCGCAGAATCTCCAAGGCCGACAACTACGATATCCAGACCCGCACTCTTGGCAAGTACCTTCTTGAGATTGGCTGCCTCGACCACCGCTTCATCAAGTACCCTCCCAGCCATGTCGCCGCTGCTGCCATGTACCTCGCCCGTCTCGTCCTCGACCGTGGTGAATGGGTAAGCATAGTCTACCCCAACATGTCACGTCATGTATGCTAATCATCACACAGGATGCCACCCTGGCCACCTATGCTGGCTACACTGAACAAGAAATCGAACCTGTCTTCAAGCTCATGGTTGACTACCTCCACGGCCCCGTCCAGCACGATGCCTTCTTCCGCAAGTACGCTAGCAAGAAGTTCCTGAAGGGTATGTCCCTCCACCTCTCATCCATCACATCATCGCTTGCTAACATACTTCAGCCTCCATCGTCCTTCGCCAGTGGGCCAAGAAGTTTGCCCCCATGTACCTCCTCGACTGCGATCGTGACGGCAGCGCAACCCCTCAGATCTAGGACTTTGAGGGCTTTCCCATGGCTGCTTTCGGCTTTCCCCTGTGGCAACCCCTGCCAAGAAGCACCAAATGATCATCTTGTCTTTTCAACTTGCTTTACACATGGTCCGGCGTTCCTCGACTTGCGGCACTTTGCACCGCAAATGGCATGGCGTTCACGGCGTTCAAAGCGATTCTCCATTCTGGATAATGTTGTCATCCTGCACCAGCTTCATTACGTCCACATGCAACAAGAGACACCGTTCACATCATCGACTGTGCTACTTTTCCTTTTTCTTTTCACGAAGCACCGCGTTCAGATACGAACCTTGTTCTTGGACATTATGGCTCTCAGACCGTTGCACCATGGGTCTCTATCCCAGCAACACATCGCCGTCGTCAAGACATACAATGGACTTCTACTCTAGAAGGTCCTCTTTGCTGATTTTTACACACGGATGGCTTCTCGCGGCTGTCTTGTTCTTTTACATTTCTGCTGCTCTGTTTGTTCTTCTTCTTACAAGTATCAAATAGCTTTTTTTATGCTACAGCTTCTCATCGCTTATGCGCTGCTGGGAACACGTAGAATGATATCCAAGGGTAGCCTTGCTGGTGTGCATGGGAAATGGCAATGAAATCAAGGGGAGGAAGATGTTGGATGAGAAGGAGTGGTCAAATTGTATTGGTTGTTTCTTCTACTGTTCAACCCTTGTCTTTGTTTTTTCCAGACTTGTAGTAGTGCGAATAGCGATGAGCTTGTTGAACGAAAAGAGTCAGTTATACCAAGTCGACGTTCTCATTTTGGTGCGTATTTCTCGACGAGGCCCGACGATGCACATGAGTCCGCGGGTACGCAGTGACTACTGGCAACCACGCTTGATGGCGATGAAGACCAAAGTGTGGCTTTGCACACTTGCAGACCCCTTTTGGTAATGTTGCCAAAACATATGCTGCTTTCTTGATTCGGCGACACATTTGCGCCAATGAGATAAGAATCGGTCGAAAACATGCAGATGCTTCTGACGATGATATTCAGGGTCTACCAACAGCGAATGAGCAAGATCTGGAACCTCACGCACCATCATTGAAAACAATGCAGTCGATGCAATGGTTGTTACGGCTTTGACAATTGCCGTCGAGACTTGAAAGCGAAAGAACAAGCAATAACAAAGAAAGCCTTTCATGCAAGAATGTCGATCTGCCGCGGCCACTGACCCGAAAGAGTGTCATCATCATTGTGCATTTTATTTTTTTCTCCATTCTGCTATTGATTGATAATCTTTGGTACTGCTTCTCCAGAGCACGTTGCTTGGATTTTCAAAGATTATTGGACGTGGTGGGTGCAGCGGCAAGGAGGTGTAGAAGGTGCAAGTTGCCCATTACTGCCGCGCATGCTTCCACGGCGCTCATCTTTTGGCAATCTTGGTCGTCATGGACGGCAGAGATGGCAATTGGAATTGGAATGTCGCGCTGTTTTAAATAGTCGGGCTTGCAGGTGTAAGGTTGTCGACATTCAGACATTTTTGAAACAGATCCATCCGCTTTCATCAAGAGAACTACAGTCCTCGCTCAGACTTCATCATGCGTGCTTTTACCACCTTCTTCACCCTTCTTCTCGCTCTCCTCTTTACCTCTCAAGTTGTCGCAGGCCCTGTTCTAGAGGTTAGTATGATCGATGCGTCGTCTCAGCGAACCATGGTATTGACATAAATCCTCAGGCTCGTCAGAACTCTAGCAGCTCCACTGCTGCCACATCCTCGTCTTCAAAGTCTTCTAGTACTTCGCCATCTTCGTCTGCTTCTGCAAGCACTGGCGGTGGCTACCCAGCTGGTGTTGGAACCGGCTCATCTGGCTCCGGCGAGGGCTCTTCAGGACAGAACAGCAACAGCAACCCTAGTCAGAATGCTGCTGCAGCAAGATATGGTAGGTCTCCTCTTACTTACGAGTGTATATCTGGTGCTGATCGTATGCAGCTGTTCCCGGAAGCGTGCTGAGCGTTGGAAGCTTCGCTGCTGTGCTCCTTGCGATGTAAGAGATGTACTACTACAATGATTCAGGGGTCGGGGGAAAGAGTAGACGTCGTCGACAATAGGAATGCTGGAGCCGTGATATATATAAAGGGGTGTCTAGATTATGAATATATGTATGATGAAGTGATTTTCTGCTTCATGGCAGAGTGTAACCGCCATCAATGACCATATTTGCGCCTGTCATGTAGCCTGTCTATGTCAATTGTATTCTGGAAAGACTCTGAAGAAATGGCGGTGGGATAACTCACAACAAGCGTCAGATGCTAGGAAAACGTATGCCTAGAATGCAACTGTCAGCTTTGATCCACGAGAACAGTTTCTCAATATGATTACTGATTTAAGCTCTGCGGCTTTCGTCATACGGGCGCCAGGAATCATGTCGAACCATTTCTTCCTCCATTCTCCAGGATGAATCGAGAGTATGTCAGTCTCGACGAATCCAGGTGAGATGCAGTTTACGCGAGCAAAATCGGTCCACTCAACAGCCAATGACTTGGCCAGATGTACCAGGGCGGCCTTGGATGCATTGTATGCGGCCTGCTTCTGCGGTATATTGACCAGAATAGCGCTGACTGAGGCCGTAAATATCATCGAATTACTGCCTCCTTGTTTTTCAAAGATCTTGCCGGCAGCTTGGGCAGTGTACATGGCGCCGTCGAGGTTGACGTTCATGATGTCGCGCCATTGGTCTTCGGAGTATTCGAGTCCTGGGACCTGCGATGCAACACCAGCATTGGCAACACATACATCTAGTTTGCCGAAGTCTTTGGCAATCTGATTGATGGTATCTGTAATCTCTTTCTTGTTGGTGACGTCGGCCTTGTAGGCGGAGACCTGATCACGGATAGTCAGCATGATTGGGGCTGGTGAGTGCTTATTGATTTGATTTCTTAGTCCTCTCCTTCATACCTGCGAGCCGGTCTCTTTGGCAATCTTAGCAGCGGTTTCTGGGGCGGATTTGCTGGTGGTGTAGATAAGAGCAACCGATGCGCCGGCTTCTGCGAGACCACGAACAACTTCGAGTCCTATGCCTCGAGCGCCTCCGGTCACAGCAGCGACCTTTCCTTTCAAGGAGAACTGTGAAAGGACAGGCGCATCAACATTGTCTGGCCGATACAGAGGCATCTTGCAGGTTGAGAATTGATTTGAATGTATGTTCTATTGCGAGCAGGAAAGGAGAGAAAGGAAGGAGCTGCGAAGGAGGAAATTCGAGTTGGATTCCCATTGTAGCTGATTCAACATTGAGAACATGTGATGGTAGTCGCGAGTTCATGTTTGACAGCACACCTGCCTGCGGAGATCCCACACCCCCCACTTGCCTCTGAAGTGGAGTAGAGGAGGAAGGTGCGATGGACATGGTTTCGGCAGCCGGTACACAGTCACCCTGGCCAAGCATTTTAGCCATGCGGATCATTTTCCGATCCGTTCCTGCGTGTAAACATTCGTATCTCATTAAAAGTATCATCGCGACAATCACTTCAGTGATTGGGATACTATACTAATAGCCTGATCCCGAGGAACTTCGCCGGTCCTTGCTTTTGACCGTCACGTCTCTTCCTTTACTCGTCCGATTGATGAATTCTGCGTTAAAGACATCGTTCTCGTCATATCTCGTACAAGCGGCCTCGTAGTCTTTCTCAAATCCAGTATCGAGAAATCGCTTGACGACCCGTTGTCTGCCCACTTCAGGTTCGACTTCGACAAACCATCGCTCATTGACCATGTCCTGGATCCTCGCCCAAGGCAAATCTTCGCAAAGCATATAGAGACCCTCGAAAATGACTATGGAGGCGTCGCCAGCGACGTTCAACTTGTGAGACTCCACATCCTCCACGTGTATCGTGTAAGGTGATTTGATGTCGTTCGGTTCTGTCGTCTGTCTTTGGATCTGCTGAACGAGGTCGACGGCCGCTGCTCCTTTAAAGGTCCAGGATGGACTTTTTGGCAATATGCTGCTTGTATCGTTGTGAGAGTCTTGAGAGCATCCATCTATTGAGATTACGGAGCAAGAGACACCGCTCTGATTGACGATTTTGGCAACTTTCGAGGCGATTCGTCCTTTGCCTGACCCTGGCGGGCCGGCGAGCGCTATGAGGAGGCGTTTGCTTTGATTTCTGGTTGAATCTGGTTCTGGTAGAGCCTGGTAGCAAGCCAGGGCACGTGTTGCCAGATCGTAGTAGCTATGACCCATGTAGTGAATGGCCGAAGCGTAGTAGAAGTGCCGGGATTTGTCGGTCCAAGTCAGGTAGGATGTACACCCTTGTGTAGAGATGATCGAAAGTAGAAAAAAAATGAAAATCAACGTTACCATAGTGCAGTCTAAAGATCGGCCCAAAGGCCTTTTAAACAAGTCCAAAACAATAATGACGCCTCGCACTGTTCTGTACGGCCAGGAAATTACAACCCTGCTTATTTTCGCGATGCTCCAGTTTTCCCCCATCTCTCGCGAGGGGTGTGGGGTCGAAAACCCGGGCGATGACACCAAAATATCCTACATAGGCATGTGCCAATGTTTGTTACTCGGACTCTGCTCCCGGCAATCGCTACTTTGGTGTGCATAGAGCGCTTGATGTTTCGAAAGAACCAACAGTCTACTGGGAACAGATGCCTGCTCACGAATGTGTCCCTGAGCATACTTTCCGACGGCTTTGTGATTGGCAAAGTTTAGCACACCAAAGGGACGTACTTGCCGGAAGATCTCGTCCCACGACTGGCTCTGGGCAGCGGCCCGACTAGCGACGCAGATGTGTCAAGCAACGTCGGGGTCTGCGCTTGGTCTGACCAAGAGAAACAGGTGACGGTGTGCACCACCCCGATAGGAGGGGCATTCTCTGCCTGGTCATCATGCGTAGGTACACATCAGACATGTACAAGCATGGAATAAAGCTCGCTGCGTCTCCGCCGATAGTTCCTGAGCATTAAAACATCGAGCGAGTAGAGTAACATTTTCTCCTCAGTCATGTCTGTGAGTAGAGGCTTCCAAGTTCCAAGTGCCGTGTTTTCTACGGATACAATACGTCTGCCAAGCCTCGTCCAAGCAATCCTCGGGTCTGTTCCGAATCGCTGACTGCCTTGATCATCAGAATCCATCCTTCGTATTGCGAGCAGTAAAAGATGTCGCATTTGAAGATAGAGACATTCCGGAACTTCGTGATGAACATGAAGTAAGAGTCCGGATCGCGCAGACCGGAATTTGTGGAAGTGATGTGAGCTTGAAGTTTTTGACCACTAGTGCTTTGCATACTGAGTATTGCAGGTACACTAGTAGGGGAACCCACGACTACGTTTCTCGAAACCCACGTTTTAATATGTGTTCAGCTGGCAAAGAGGCCGTATCGGAGACTTCGTGTTGAAAAGTCCTATCGTGCTTGGTCACGAATCATCCGGCACTGTTGTTGAAGTTGGTCGAGCAGTCAAAAATCTGAAGCAGGGTGACCGTGTCGCCATCGAACCCGGTGTCCCATGCCGAAGATGTGACTATTGCCGCGGCGGCGGTGAGTGTTTTTATTAACCACAGACCTATGAAGTGGGATTCTAATGGTATCGCAGAATACAACTTATGCAACGACACCATCTTTGCAGCCACGCCGCCTTGGAACGGTAAGCCTTGCAGAATCCACGAGAGCGAGGTTAAGCTAACCACAAACAGGAACTCTTGCAAAGTTTTATACGGTAGCAAGCGACTACTGTTACAAAATTCCTGACTCTATGAGTATGGAAGAAGCTGCCATGGTTGAGCCAACTGCTGTTGCTGTGCAAATAGCAAAGGTTGCCGATCTGAGAGCCAATCAAACTGTGCTCGTCTTTGGATGCGGACCTATCGGTGTTCTTTGTCAAGCGGTAGCAAAGGCATACGGTGCTCGAAAAGTCATCGGAGTGGATGTCGTCAAGTCACGACTCGATTTTGCCAAGTCATACGGCGCCGATGCCGTTTTTCAACCACCCAGGCCCGACCAAAATGTCGAACCCGTGGAGCACTCCGAGAAGGTCGCGGCTATGATCAAGAAAGAGTTCGAGCTCGGTGAGGGAGCAGATGTGGTTCTAGAGTGTACTGGAGCAGAGCCTTGTATCCAGGCTGGCGTCTTTGCTGCAAAGAAAGGTGGCACCTACGTACAGGCCGGCATGGGCAAGGAAAACGTGCTCTTTCCCATCACAACGGCTTGTATCAGAGCACTCAATATTCGAGGCTCGATCAGATACACTAAAGGCTGCTATCCAGATGCAGTTGAGCTAGTAGGCTCAGGAAAGATTGACGTCAAGAGACTGATCACTAACAGATTCAAATTTGAAGAGGCAGAGCAAGCTTTTGAGCTTGTCAAAGCTGGCAGGGAAGATGTTCTGAAGGTTATCATCGAGGGTGTCCGGGACTAGCGGTCGTAGAGACATATCGTCAACATCGCAGAATCACTGACATCGTGTTTCCATAAGATGCCATACTTTCTCTCTCCATGGTACCATTGGAATGTGACAGCCTAAGAGTAGACAAGCAATGTCGTAACACGGCGCCTTACTCACGAAAGTGTTGTATAGCCAGGATCGCAGATTAGCGCATGTATCCGTGGGCGGGTCAGACGACGCATCACCTGTCGAGAGGGTTTCAAACGAAGAGGTAGTGACTTCCCGCTCAACGTGTGCGATTCATGCAATATGCAGGACAGGAAGAGGTGGACTGTACACCGGCTCACGTGTGACAATCGCGTCAGAGGCCTGCTTGCGGGGTCTCCGTGGGGACGATGATCCCAAAGGCTCCACTTTGCTCAAGGCGTGCGGGTTAGCGTGCGGGATGTATTGACGGCAGCGGAACACCTTATAGAGATGTTAGAGGCGCGGATCATTATAAGTAGAAGAGAACATCTCCTCTGCATGACGAATGGTCCAAGTAAAGCATTTAGTTCACCATTTTGAATCTAGCAACACCATGAAGGACGCAGACATTGTTGGCCAGTCATTGGCCGAGGTCTTGCCTCAGACCAACAAGTATTGGTTCCAGCACAAGCATCTACTCCAACTGAACCTCCTCCTTCTAGTCCCTCTTATTTCGTCTTCAGTTGCGGGCTACGATGGTGAGACCTCAATTCCAACCGCAATGTCCTGCATTAGAGTAGCTAACAGATACAAGGATCGCTTATGAACGGTCTTCAATCCCTTCCACAATGGCGCGACTACTTCGGCAACCCAGTAGGAACCAAACTTGGATTGGTCAATGCCGCCCAATCGATGGGCTCAGTTGTTGTATTGCCCGTTGTTGGCTGGGCAAGCGACCGCTGGGGCAGAAAACTAGTCCTTCTGGCAGGTATAATAGGTGTAGTGTTGGCAACCATCATCCAGGCCACTTCAACAACACTAGCTCAACTTGTTGTCTCTCGACTGATAGTCGGTGCCGCGGGTATGCTTGTCGTTCAACCAGCGCCCATGCTCATCGCCGAACTTGCATACCCGACTCATCGAGGAAAATACACTAGCGCCTTCTGGACGATGTACTATCTCGGAGCAATCCTTGCCAGTTGGACATGCTTCGGTTGCGAAAGTATTCAGAGCAACTGGGCCTGGCGTATTCCTACCATCATGCAAGCAGCATATCCCCTGATCCAGGCAGCCTTCTGGGTTTGGGTACCTGAATCTCCTCGTTGGTTGGTGGCACAAGATCGCACACCAGAAGCTATGGCAATCCTAGCCAAGTACCATGCTGGTGGAGACCTCAATAGTCCCTTGGTCGTTCGCGAGATGGGTGAGATTGTTGATGCCATTCGGTTGGAGAAAGAAACGAAGACACCAGGTTGGGGGGCACTGGTTGAGACTCCTGGAAATCGCAAGAGACTGTTTATTGCCGTGTTTCTTGGTGCTGCTGCTCAATGGAACGGCATTGGCGTTGTGTCGTATTACCTCACGCTCGTGCTCGACAGCGTTGGCATCACCGATTCGTTCACACAGACCCTCATCAATGGCTTACTTCAGATCTTCAACTTCGGAGCCGCACTTTCCGCAGCCTTCCTTGTCGATCGTCTCGGTCGCCGGACATTATTTATCTGGTCGGGATTCGGAATGTTGATTTCCTACATTGTGTGGACTGCATGCTCAGCAGTCAATAGCATCGACGGAAGCAAGCCGGCAGGTATCGTCGTGATTATCTGTCTTTTCACCTTGTAAGTATTGTCCTGCATCCATTTGGGATATCTTGACTAACGCGGCTAGCTATTACCACTATGACATTGCTTATACGCCACTACTGATGTCGTATCCAGTAAGTGAAGTATCCAGGCTTGCTTGCAAAGACAAAGCTGACCAGACTTGTTAGACTGAGATCTTCCCATACAGCTTGCGCAGCAAGGGACTGACCTGCGAACTCCTGTCGATCTACGCATCCCTCGTCATCGCTGCCTTCACCAATCCGATAGGCCTCGAAAATCTTGGGTGGAAGTACTATATAGTGTTCTGTTGTTTCCTTGTTGTGATTCTTGCCGTCACTTTCATCACATTTCCTGAAACAAAGGGCTTCTCGTTGGAAGAAATTGTCCAGATCTTTGATGGTCCACAGGCGGTGAGAGATGTGGAGGAGTCGGAGAAGGAAGTCAAGAAAGGCTTCGCGGTCGAGGCTACTGAGAAGATCGAGCGAGTTTGATGATCGTTCTTCCACGCAGCTTTGCGATCGAATAATACGCAAGCGTACCAAAATCACTAGGTCCAGTCCCAATTCTGTGGCATTGACTCAAGATCAATGTGTTCTTGATCCGTGATAAAGCCCCATTGTGGATCGCTCATAAGGAAGTCAGCGCTCGCAGGACTAGTGTTTGGCCACATCATGGAGTACACATTATTGATTTGAGTCTGTGGGCTCTCTTCCGTGGCTATCAGAGGAGCACAACTGGGTATTGACGCAGATGTCGTACTGAGAAAATGACCGCATAGGCGCATGATCACAGACTGGCATTCGATGCTGCTCGGATTGATATCGTTCATCTCAGTCATGACAGAGAGAGTCTGCTGAATCTGTGAACGCCAGTCTGAGGCCAATGGAGCATTTGGCTGGTTACGAAGACACAAGCATGGGATCAAGGAAGCCTGGAAAACGAAATAGCTGGTCGTCGTCAGTGCTGGTCGCAAGTAAGATTGATCACATGACCTACAGAGAATACCAAGCGGCCAACCTGTTGTGAACACCAGCAGACCAGTATGTGCGGATTGAAGAGACGGTCGATTTTGCTTCAGAGAGGCAGCGGTCAATTACGGTCTGCTCCGTGGGAGACGGACCAAGTCCATCCAATCCCTTGGCTGAGCTTAAAATACTGCGGATCACAAATGGGCGATACATGATGATCCGGAAATTTCGAGCCCTGTTGTGCATGATATGATGGCCCAATGCGAATTTCGCAGGCACTTGAGCATCTTCCGCGAACCATGGGCCAAGTTCCTGGAGCCAGCTGCCTAGCATCTTTTCATCGAGACTTAAGAGCTCAGAAGCCGATGGATACGGCATAGTGATCACTCGTGTATATATACTAGCCGTCGCCTGATGAAACTTGGCTTGAGCGAGCATAAAAGTGTATGTTGTGATAGTCTGTCGACTATCAGGCCAGGATTTGGTGATGCTAGTAAGGTCTCGATCGTGTATGTTTAGAGGCAAGGATATTTCAATGCCTTTGTCTGGCCAAGACCACGGACGGCCGAAAGTGACAAGGGCGCCTGCGAACAGATTGTATAATGTCCACCACACACGGCGCCTGTTTTCGATGGCTAAGGGTGGCAGCTTCCAATTCGCAAACTCCTTGTGCAAACCGAGACCCATGGCCATATGTAGGGTAAGTCCCAAATAGTTGTATCCACTGTACCGTATGAGTTAGTATAGTGTATATGAGACGCATGTATACAACTTGAACTTTAGATTTCCAGACCGCTTGTCGAGTTTGCATACCTATTTGGCTTCCCCCTTTTCTGTAAATAATTGGACATCAAGGCCAGCACCTGCAGTAGAGTGATATTGCCTTTCTCCAGCACGTCAATCTTGATATTCAGCTTGGCAGCCTCGAAGAGTCTTAGGTCATCGTTGTTTTTCTCAGTTGATGGAGTTGCTATTGAGAAAAGTCCGATAGCACCTAGCATATAGACTAGTGCCTCGAAAGCCAATCCGTTCGGTCGAGGTATTATAGAAGAGTATTGCGCCCTGAACGTAGGCTCGTGTACCAAGGGATATTGTAGATGGTAAGATGCGAAGTATGCGTCTATGGCCGAGTCGAGATCGATATCAGCTAGACCAAGCTCTTCGTAAGCGAGATCTTTGTTGTCGTCAACACTGTGTTCATCTGCATTGGTTTTCCGCCGTTGTCTGGCAGCGTCTCGCGAATCCGCGTCAGGCATCAGCAACCGCAGCATGGCAGCCCCAGACGCCGTTCCGAGATAGCCAGCTCCTCGTTCTTCTACGATTAGTGATGCCATGCCATCTACAATCTCTTCGTCTTTGACGTTGGCTATGACTTCGTGTTGCTTTGCGGTATCTTCATGGCGATTTGTGGTTCGAGATATCTCATCCCAATTGAAATCATCAACTTCCGAAGGGGGTTCTTCTGGCAGGCCATGGCAGCCATCATCCAGTTGATGATCGTCGCTGAAGGAAACGAGTTGTTGCTCCAGTATATCAGGATGAAGGGAAGCTTCTGAAACTGCGCATGCATTTGGATCGACAGAGGGCATATAGTTTGCATTGCCATTGATCGGAGGTGGAGGTTCAGGCACATTACCAAGACTACTCGTGCGCACAAGAGAAGCCAATTTTTCTTCGGCTGCGATAGCTCTGCGTTCAGCCGTCCTTGCTCTTATTTCAACACGCCGTAGCTTCTCCTCAGCTTCTGTAAGATTCTTTCTTGTCAATGGCGTCCGACCAGCGGCCTTCTCGTACAGACAGTGACGTCGATTACGAGAGCATGAAGTGCATTCTGGCAATACACGATCACACTTTCCTTTCCTACGTCGACATTCATTGCAATTTGTCTCACTGGTACCGAGACTTGTCGACATCGAAGGCAAATTAAGTCAACTCAATGACCTTGCGCAAAGGTTGTAGTGCGAGGTTGCCAATAGAGCGACCCGTGTTGATCGTCGGTGCACGGACCTTGCAGGTGGCTGGTCGACTTCACCTTCTCGACATTGACCCACCACAACCTGCTTTTCATCGTTCTGTTCACAGCCCAGAAATGTCAACTATCCTAAGCCAAGGGTCAAAGAGAGTGTGTGGCGATCTGACTTTTGAGAATGTCCCATAGTTCGCTTCCCTTCCTTGAAATGGGCATACCACAGATCATCGCTTCATTGAGCTGTTATTCTTGTACAATTCTTTGCAACTATGCACCAACACACCAAGCTATGATTAGTCGTTGGGAACATTTCACGAAAAGGCTGAATGGAATCGATATCAGGAGCTGTGTGAACAAAGGTATTTAGGTCACCAAGATAGCTTTGATTCTCGGTCCAAGTCATTGCTCAGGTCAAACAAGCGCTTCTTAGTATGCATCATGCATCTATTCCTGCAAACCGTGCATGTGGCGATAGACTCTTCTCAACTGCTCAAGAGTGACAAAAGTGATGATGGTAGAAGGTGCCCTGCTGATCAAGGCAGGTGTGAGACCTTTGAACATCCAAGTATAGCCTTCATTCTTGAAGGTACGCTCAAGCATGACGGCCATACTGTGAGCTGAAGATTTTCGAGTCATAAACCGGGCCTTGAAAACGTCCAGAGGACTGCAGATGAAGGTGGACAAAAAGCCTGCCAAGCAACTGGCCGTGATATGGGTGGGTACATTGTCGCCCATTAAGGTTCTCTTCATCAATTCACGTTTGATGATGTCGTATCCAGCCAGTTGAGTAGCAGTACCAATCGCTGCCCTGCCTGCTCCAAGCCAAACACCAGTCCAGATGCTGTTCCATCCTTCTGTACGCACCATCTTTTGTAGACCATCGGCAATGTTCTTGTAATTACGACGCAGCTCCGGTGGTAACCCAGGATCGGCCTGCATGCGAAGGCACACCACATCGGCGAAGTTGCTGCACACGCTGCCGGTAAAGCCCGAGGATGCAGCCATCATAGCGAGGGCGAGACCAGATGGTGCATGAGTGGAAGTGCTCCCCAGCTCCTTGAGCTTCTCGTACATGCCGAAGCGGACGCCCGAGTAGAAGAAAGTTCGTGTGAGTGATGCGCTCAACTACAAGATCTCAGTAACGGCTGCGTTCAATAGAGAAAGTCCACTCACGCCTTTCTACAGTCCGAGGAAACGTTCATGCAGCCACACTTGGTGCCAGATTTGGAGCATGCCCAGCTGAGGTGCATCGTGATGGAGTGTCTGCAAACGGAGCTACATTGTGTGAGCATAATTTATGCGGCGCTGCATGCTACAAAATCTTACTCCTGCTGTAATTGTGTCAGGCTCGGCCCAGCTCGTAATCTCATGCAAGAATGCTTACCGACTCCTAGAGGCTGTGTGCAAACACTTGAAACACAGCTTGCCAATCCTCCAAACCAGAATGGGTAGTGAATAACACCATGCTCGGGATGGATAGAGTTGTCTTTCTCAATGACGGTGGGATGGAGTTCGATGAAGAGCTTCTGGGTGATCGGAGGAGGAGGTACGGGTGCCCCATCAAGATGGTTTGCGGTCATTGTCACAATCCCTCCAGTGCTGCCGCTCATGATGAAGAGATAAAGTGATCGAGATGGTAAGGATGAAAGAGATGCAAAGTGGTGCCCGCGATTCGTAGATGAATGATGAAGGTTGAAATGTTTGACGAAGCTTGGTTGCTTACCACTTGTTTTCTATGAGGAAGGAGCGATGTTCGCTGCTGAAGCAAGATGCACTCTGGCAACCGATTGAACACGCAATTTTGAAAATTTAACTTCAAATGTGATCTTGATTTCCTTCGATTGTGCGCTTTTGCTAGTCCTTCATATAGAGGTTTTGCCAGAATTGAAATTCGTACCGCAGCATACGTTTGCAAGTGCGCACCTCGTTTATTTTCGCCTACCAAAATGCACGATACTTTTGTAGGTCGGGAGATGGTCCACTGAGATATGCTCGTTCGATAGCCCTTGCTGCAGGCTATCAAAATTTGAGTACAGAAGTGCTATCTCCCGAGTGCGGAAGTTTATGAACTTCGACTATCGGACTGCACAAGTTCTTTTATGAATCATGAGATGGTCCAAAGAGACGTACACCTCCTGGGTGCGAAGGTCTATCAACTTTCAACACAGACATGCTATTTCCTGAGTGCGGACGTCTATTTCTTACACCGACTCTTTTCTGAATGTCCTCAGGGCGCTTGTCCAGGAACAGTGGTACGACGCGTCAACCTACACCCTTGAGCTTGATCGTTTAGGACAACTCAGTTTCTCTGGTCGCAATCATCCTCGGACGATGGGTAGAAGTCAAACGATGTGGCTTTGCTGCTGCGGTCGGAAGACCTACGGCGGACTTCGGCTTTCTGCCAGCTTCCTTCTGTTACCGCCATCGTCTGTTCCCGGCGTCGTCTTGCATCCCGGTGTCGGAGATCGTTGCCGTCAATGCGCGCGACCGGTTTTCGCACGGCGCGAGCGTGTCTCGCGCGTGGTAGCACGCTGTATAGATGGGCTCAGTCTACACAGCCCTGTTGACGTCGACATTCCACCGTTCTTCATCTGTCGCCGATCGCATGCTGCAATGACAAGAGCCAGCCGCTTGTTGATCCTGCCGATTCCTACACGATGTTGTCCCCATGGGGAGAATGAGGAGAAAGAAAAAGATGTGTCAGAGTATCGTATATGGGAGATTTTATGTGTCACTCGAGCGGGGTTGAACATTGAGTTTCGACATGCCTTGATTCCTGGGGTCGCTAGCTCATCAACGACGACATCACATCGTCGGCAAGCTGTCACGAGGATGGTAGGGAGACGGTGAGAGCATGTTCCTCAGTCCAGGAGAAGGGTTGCAAAGAGGTAGAAATGTGTTATTCTGTTGAGAAAGAGGATCGATCCGACCGCCACATCTAGAGCTCTTATCGCTTGAATTTAGTCGACGTAAGTCGCATACGTGCAAGTTTGGTCGCAGTTGTCTTGGCTGTAAGATAGGGAGGATCGATCTCATGAGCCCTGACACAGGGACACATCCTTCGTTAATTATTGCCACAACTAAAAGGGTGAGACTCCATCGTGCTGAATTGGCGCCGGGTTGACTCGCGAGAACGATAAGGCGGGTTCACGCTCAAGCGCTCGTCGTTGCCTTCGAACGGCTGTCCTTTTGGTACGGTTACTGCATATGTATTGCATGGTTCAACGGAGTGGCCGAAATGGTCCATTGTGAATGACGCCAGAAGCACCGAGTCACTCACCCACAAAAGTCAACGACAGAATACCATGTGCTGCTGAACATTTGATCCATGACAAAGTCGCAAGTCTCAAGGTACAGTAATATCTGTGGTTAAACATTTCAGCAAAACAAGATGCGACTTCGACGCTGCCGTGCGAAGCTTACAGCGTGCTGCACAAGACAATTGGCTGGCCAAGCGAGCTTCGCGTGCTTGTGGCTTGCGCGATACTCGGACAAGCCCTCGAACAAGCCACAAAAAACTAAAAAGGTAAAAGGGAACAACGGACTTCCACAAAAGTACCTTTTACAACCAAGACCGCATCGGACGACAATTTGGGAATTTGGGATAGCGTGACAGCACGAGCCAACAAAGTCGAGTTTTCATTACCCCTTCGAATCGTGAAATGCGAAGGTAATGGATTGCTCGTTATCCGGGGGTTCTCGTGGACGCTCAGATGGGGTCGGCCTGATCTCCTAGATGGGCTCCACTCGCAGGCCATCCAGAATCTCGTCCTAGCAAGACGGTCGCGACTACCGGATCGTCGAAAACATAGATGAAAAATCGTGATATTCGGATGTGTGTGTGCCTGGGCAGTTTTCTAGAATTCTTCCACTGCGGTAGAGGCGACGCTGTCAAGAAAGCATAACCAAAATCATGACAGCGACGATAAGCCAATTTCCAGTCAGCGGACCAAGATCCTTGATACCAACAATAAGCAAAGATTGAATGGCGCGCTCTGAGTGGTCTGTTGTTAGTACCACTATCAATCATGTTGCGGCCAAGAAGTAGCTAGAGTGTTTTGAGTTTGAGTCGAGACCCAGGGCCGGTAGAGTTTGGGGACAGCGCCGAGAACAACATGTGGAGGCGAGCACGCGAGCCCTCAATGAGTGCCACCCATCTACACATATAAGAGCATGTCTACTTCCTCCTCAATGGCGTTTCTGTTTCTCATCAGCAATCGTTGGATTTTCCCCTCGTCCTTCTTTACCTACAAGGGACCTGAGAGCATCGACTCTCCACCCTTTACCTACCTCTCATTCTTCTCTCTTCATTCGTTCTTAGAGAGTCTCAAGAAAAATGTCTTCCGAGAAGCCTGCATACATCGTCGAGTCCGGCGATGCCACCTCGGACGAGAAGGTACCTCGCCGTGGCTCAACAGCCGTTGGTGAGGCTGCCGACCTCTACGGCGATATCGAGACTGCCGAGCAGCTTGGTTACGTCTCTCGTGGTCTGAAGTCGCGTCACATCCAGTTCATCGCCCTCGGTGGAACCATCGGTACTGGACTGTTCCTCGGTATCGGCAAGGCCTTTGCTCACTCTGGTCCTCTTTCGGTTCTCCTTGGTTACACCTTTACTGGTATTGCCATCTGGGGTATGATGCAGTGTCTTGGTGAGATGGCCACCTGGTTGCCTTTGCCTGGTGCCATTCCCCAATACTGTGCCAGATACTGTGATCCTGCTATGGGCTTTGCTGTCGGATGGAACAACTGGTACAACTCTGCCATCACCCTGTGTGCTGAAATCTCGGCCGCAGCTGTCGTCATCGGGTACTGGAACGATACCATCAACCAAGCCGCTTGGATCACCATCATCATCGTCGTCGTTCTCGCTCTGAACATCTTCGCCGTCTCCATTTACGGAGAAGCTGAATTCATTTTTGCATCGGTGAAAATCGTTACAATTGTTGGTCTGTTGCTTGTCGCCCTTGTCATCGACCTCGGTGGTGCTCCTAAGCAGGGTCGTCTTGGTTTCCGCTACTGGGTTGTCCCTGATGCTGGTGGTATGAAGGAGTACATTGCCAAGGGTGACACTGGTCGCTTCCTCGGTCTCTTCGCTACTCTGATCAACGCTACTTTCTCGTACGGTGGTGTTGAGATGGTCGCCGTCGCTGCTGGTGAGGCCGAGAACCCAAGAAAGAACATTCCCAAGGCCGTCCGTCGTGTCTTCTGGCGTATCCTTTTCTTCTACGTTCTCGGTTCTCTCGCTATCGGTGTTACTGTGAAGTCGAACAACCCTCAGCTTACTGCTGGCGGAGTCGGAGCAAAGTCCTCTCCTTGGGTCATCGCTATCCAGTCTGCTGGTATCCCCGCCCTGCCTTCCATCATCAACGCCGTCATCTTGACTTCTGCTTCGTCGTCAGCCAACGCCTTCTTGTTCAGCGGTTCACGTTACCTGTTTGCTCTGGCTCAGAACGGCCAAGCCCCCAAGGTCTTCCTCAAGTGTTCCAAGAGCGGTGTGCCATATTACGCCGTTCTGCTCACCGCATCGATTTCTCTGCTCACCTACATGAGTGTCAGCTCTGGAGCTAGCACAGTATTCAACTGGTTCCAAAATTTGTGCTCAATTGCGAATCTTATCACCTGGATCAGCATCTTGATCGCATACATCCAGTTCCGCAAAGCCCTGGTCGCCCAAGGTGTTGACCGCAACAGCCTCGTTTTCAAGAGCAAGTGGCAGCCATACACTGCATACGCCTCCCTGGCCTACTTCTGCATGATCCTTCTTTTCAATGGATTTGCCGTTTTCACCAAAGGGCGCTGGTCGATCGACGATTTCATCACTGCTTACATTGGTATCCCCATCTACATCGCCCTCTACCTCTTCTGGAAGGTCTTCAAGCGTGAGCCCTTCGTCAAGCCTGCTCAGGCTGATATCTGGACCGGCAAGGCCGCTATGGATGCCGAGTACTGGCCCGAGCAGAAGCCCAAAAACTTCATTGAGAAGATCTGGTTCTGGATTGCTTGAACGAGTCAGTCGCTCTTGGTTATGTCATTGATGAAAATATATCCCCTCACTTTCCTGTCCATAGATAATGAGACAATAATTTCAACGTTCTTCATGCAACTTTCATTTTCCAGTGTTTGGTTCCTGAGTTCTAGTCCTTTGTATCGAGTCCAGTCCCAGCGGCTGTCTAGATGAGGTTAAAGGTACTCGCTCGTGATCTCCGCTGTACCAGCAGCAACACAGCCGATGTCACATGTCCATCCATGGGTAGTTCGCAAATCCATAGTCGTGAAGCTTCGTGAAGCTAGATTCCAAGAATGTCGTTCGCCGTCACAAAACATGCATTGAAGCCTAGATTTGTTTGCCCAGCTCAGATGTTGATGTTCAATGATCAGCAAGATGTTGCATTTATATACTGAGGTTGAAATGCAGGAAGCGTTGACTCACTTGTCGTCGGCAGGGCGCGGAAGGAGGTTTTCCGACTGTGTCCTTCGAAAATAATGGCAAAGCTTTCGGGAAACCGTGCCACGGAGACAAAGCGGAAAATGAAGTCAATGACACGAGTTTGCCGACAACCCCAGACTTTCGCCGCACCATCTCAACTCTTCGACATACAAGCATTCATCATCTAGTAAAAACAATTCGATGTTCACAGACGGCGTTACAAACTCGATACGAAGAGTTGATTCCAATGACAACGTTTCTCTCGGCTACTGAGGTAGGTGCATGACAACACAGCACCAACAAGTGCAGACCGACGATATCTATTCAATCATACGGCTCAATTACATCAAAGTCATCACTCGGTACTGATCACATCTACGAAAAGCGCAGCGCATCTCTTCTACTACTTGAAGCAGGGTCAAGGAACGGCTTCTCGCCCAACGAGCAAACACGGTCACCCGCTCTTGCAGCTTCGTAATCGTACGTTGCTGTGTGCCAGGTAGATCTGTTATCCCAAATCGCAAGATCATTCTTGTTCCACTTGAAACGGACTTGTGCATCGTGGTTTTGCGTTACAAGCTGGTCTTATCAGCAAAGCTAACTCACAAGCGTATAGTTGTATCATCGACTTACGTTGAAAAGATACTGGAGCAACATGTCAGATTCGTCTTTGGTAACGCCATTGATACGACGCGTGAAGCCACGATTCACGTAGACGCTCTTCCATCCTGTCACTGGGTTGGTTCGAATGATGGGATGTACAGCCTCCAACGATGGTCCTTGGTTGAGAGGAGAGCCTCGGATCGTTGTGCGAAGTGGGTTGCCGAGCCTTGCAGCTTCTTCATGGAAGAATTTTGCCTCATGGGTTGCTGTGAGTCCCTCGAGGAACTGTGCCAAAGCAGGCGAGAGGCGATCGTAGACCTCATAGCCTGACGCCCAAAGTGTCTGGGAATATTCGTCAGCTCATGTCATCATGAAAGAACCTTCTAACTTACATCGCCGCCGGTCTGTGGTAGCGTGTGGATCTTGAGCATAGCATAGTCTGAGGGCACTGGCTCAAAGGTAATGTCTGAGTGCCATCCGGCACTAGCAAAGCGGGTAGTATCACTGAGCTGATGGGTGAGACCACCGCCCTTCTTCTGCTTCTCCGAGCTGATCACGCTGATCTGGTCGCCCAACTCACTGCCCTCTTCGGTCAAAGGGTGGACGTGAAGGCCAGATGATTCAGGCTTCACTACAATTAGTCAAGGCACCCATGGAACCCGAGATTGATACTCACACAACCTGATAGAGTTGTCAGACGTTCCATGAATGCTTGCATCTGCTGCGGCGTAACATCCTGGCTACGCAAGAAGACTACACCACGCTGAGAGACTTTTCCGAGGTGTCAGAACGCGGCGTGTTCATGTGTTGTATGGGTATAGACTGACCAGTAACAGCAATGTCTCGGATTAAAGCATCACTGTTCTTTGCAGCAAGCACGTCTGCCACTTGGAGCCCATAGTATTCACGACCAATCACAGGAGTCAAATCCGAGCTCTGGTATGAATCCAATAGACCGCTGTATTCCAAAGGCTTTGCGAGACGGGTGCGAGCCTCACTCGGCGACGACACGTCAGCCAGCTCTGGAATGATGTTGCCAGGCATGTTCTATGATCTTCTGTTGTTGATTGGTTCACAAGAGGCGTTCCTGCAAAAAATGGATGGATTCAAGCCAAACAAGATTAACCGGGAAGCTTTTATAGCTACAAACAAGTCTATGCTCGGATGCTGCGAACGGAGACCATCACCTGGAAGGGTAAGAAATATTCCGGGTAATGCTGCCCCACTCGTGGATAGCATACAATAGCCGGTAGCGCAGCGTGTGATTGCGGAACATCTTGGTATGTGACCGGAAACGAGCAAGACAAGCGACAATCTACGATGCCCTGATCTTGGAACTCGTGCGCTCCTGTTCATTGGAGGAAGTAGCATGTTTGCGATGATCCTGCCTGACTGGTCGATGGCGACATCAGTAGGAAGGAGCACGACAAAGCGCCAAGCCATACCATTTCCCCTCACGAAATCCACCAACCGCGCCACGATTTACTCATGAGCATTGCCGAACAGCTGCAAATGCTCTGAGAAGCGAGATCCAGTTGCTTTTCTGGAGTGGCGGAGTGCAGTTTCTCGCGTTGGACCCGCCCGGTCGTCTCGTTTACGAACTTACGTGATTCAAGTCAGGCATTTCGTTAGGCCGGTCGAGGCCGTACCTGATGCTTGATGCAACTTTATTGTATAAAGAGTGTACTTGCACCCTAAGACTAGTAGGTTACAGTCCTCTTGAGCCGCCAATTGTGATTTCTCGTTGCCGCAATGGACGACACTGCTATCAAGCCGGCTCTCTATCCTGCTTTCACTGAGGAAACGGACCTGAAGCCTAGCGTTCAGGTAGGCAGGGATCACATTGATCTCCGTCCACATGAGTCTTACGAGGGCGCACACAGCTGGGACCCTCTAGCAGAGTGGTCTTCGGAGGAAGAGGCTCGGGTTGTGCGGAAAGTTGATTTTTATCTTCTTTCTTGGATCTGCCTGATGTTCTTTGGGCTGCAGCTTGATCGAGGCAATATTTCGAACGCTTTGACGGATAACATGCTACCGGATCTGGGTCTGAACACCAATGACTACAACAATGTAAGGCACTTTTTGAAAGTCCAGGACCGCACATACTCACACCTTCTAGGGTACCACAGTGCAGCTTCTCTGCTTCCTTGCGGCAGAGTTTCCAGTTCAACTCTTGATCAAACGCTTTGGCTTCAAGCAAATTTTGCCCTTGATGATGATGGGATGGGGTACTGTCTCGTGGGGTCAAGCATTCATGACCAACAAGACTGGCTTCTATATCACAAGAGCTTTAATCGGTCTCTTCGAGGGTGGATTCATTCCAGGAACGATCTTGTTCGCGTCTTACTTCTACAAATCCGCCGAACTATCGGTACGATTGGCATGTTTCTGGTCAACACTCAATGTCGCCCGTGTAATCTCTGCTCTTTTGGCAGCGGGTATCTTGAAGATGCGCGGTATCCATGGTCGTCCTGGATGGTGTAAGTTGATCTTCGATCATTTGAGAGACATAGCTAATTTTCTACAGTCTGGTTGTTCCTGCTTGAAGGTTTATTGACTTTCATCATTGGTCTTGTAAGCTACTTTTACCTGCCTTACTCGCCTACACGAACCAAGAGTGTGTTGTGGCGTAAAGGATGGTTCAACGAGCGTGAAGAAACCATTCTCGTCAACCGTATCCTCAGAGACGATCCTGCCAAAGGATTGACAGCGATCCAAGAACCAGCTACCATGCGCGACATCATCAACACCTGGAAGGATAGCTCAACATGGGGTCTATACCTCATTGGCCTTATTGCATATATTCCCGCAGCGCCCGTCTCTGGCTACCTCTCCCTAACGCTAAAACGTCTTGGTTTCTCGACCTTCGACTCGAATATGCTCACCATCCCTTCTGCTGTTCTGCAAATCATTCTGATGCTTGCTCTGGCATACAGCAGTAACTACTTCCTCGAACGTACATGGCACTGCATCTTTGGCGAGTTCTTCATCATGCCATTGCTCATCGCCCTGCTCGCTCTACCCTCTGGCGGCTACAATTGGGGCCGCTTCTCCATCTCAACACTGATTAGTGGATATCCCTACTTCCATCCCATCGTTGTAGCATGGATCAGTGAAAACACTTTCGACGTCAAGAAACGTGCCATTTCCGCTGCCACATACAACGTTATTGTGCAAATCGGCTCGGTAATCAGCTCTCAAATATACCGCAAGGACGACAGTCCTTACTACTATCGCGGCAACAAGGTACTCGTCTCCATCTGCGCATTGTCGCTTGTCACTTTCGTTGTGCAGCGCGAGTATCTGCGATATCTGAATCGCCGCAAGGAGAAGGAGTGGTCTCAGATGAGCAAGGAGGAGCAGCTGGCTTACCAGTCTGACCAAACGGAGAGAGAGAAGGATGGCAACAAGAGACTGGACTTCAGATTCCAGTACTGATATCTTCATTAATGACGATGAACGCTCGTCGAAATGAATATACATAAATACCTGCCATAGTTGACATGTGATTGAGGAAATTCAATCTCTCAAATTCACACTATCCGATGCACCTTAATCACTGTAGAAACACGTGGTCATCAACCAATTGCAAAGCCTGTGTAGAGAACTGAATTATATTTATGTTGGGACTTTTGATTTTCCCGCGCATACCTCACGCGGTTGAATGAGACTGCTCACTCATAGGCGAATGGATCCCACTCCCCAATATTGCCCTTCTGTCCCTCATCCAACTTCTCAATCTCAGACATGTCCTCACTATCAAGTGACCAGCCGAAGACGTCCGAATTTTCAGCAATGCGGGCATCACGGTCACTCTTGGGAATGATGGAGATGCCCATTTGCAAACACCAACGCAGAACAATCTGAGCAGCAGTCTTGCCATGCTTTTCAGCGATCTTCTTGATAACAGGGTCACCGAGACGCTTTCCCTGGGTCAATGGCGAGTATGCTGTCACCACGATGCCTTTCGAGCGGCAGTAGTCCGTGATTACGCGCTGTTGGTTCCAAGGATGAAATTCAATCTGGTTCACAGCGGGCAAGACATCGACATCAGAGTGTGCCATAAGATTCTCAATATGCTTGGGAGACCAGTTGCTGACACCAATGGCCTTTGTCTTGCCAGATTTGAGTGCCTCTTGGAGTCCGAGCCAGGCTTGATGGCGTGCTTTAGCACCAGGACGAGGGTTATGAAGGAGGTAGAGGTCGAGGTAGTCAAGTCCAGAGGTTTTGAGACTCTTGTTGATGCCTTCGAGTGCTGCTTCCTTTGAGTATGTGGTGTGGCCGGCTTCGAGACTGTTCAATGGCCATGGTCCAGCATTGCACAGCTCGTCAAATGAGGTTGGCATATCAGATCTCGAGAGGTCTACCTCCCATAGCTTGGAGCATACGAAGATATCCGAACGCTTGACTGAAGGGTTCTGGGACAAGAATTTGTTTACGGCACTGCCAGTCTCGCGTTCATTGTAGTAGATCTGGGCAGTATCGACACTGCGATATCCCTGCTTGAGTGCAGACAGGACGGATTCTTCACATCTGGACGACACACAAACTCCGAGACCAAGGACGGGTATTTGAGCGTCACTCGATGGCAGAGGCAGTCTCGACTCCAAGGTAAGCTCGGCTGACATGGTGAGTTGATTGAGTTATGGTTTTCTGACAAACGTGGCTTCCTTGAACAGCTACGGAGGAAATGAAAAGTATGTGAGTCAAACGCCTGAGGCAGAGTAGGCACGATTGGTCGACATGACAAGGTCGGTTATGTGTTCCTGCAATTTAGCCGCGATATTGGTTGAACAAGTTCGGTGATGGCGTGCTTGTGCTGCGGATTGACGTTGGTTGGCACAGATCCACCTTGCGCTTGCCATTTCCCCATTCGTCCATTCCATCTATATCGCATAACAACACGTTCGACTCTTGTCATTTTGAGATTGAGCGACTCTGTGTTGAATTTGAATTTATCGAGACAGTTCTCGAGAGTGTTTGAGTGTTGTTTTGACCCTACAACGTGAAGTGAATCGAATGCAAGTCACGTGGAAAATATCAAATTCATCCCTGGAAAATATCATCATCTCTTCACACACTTCATTCTCGACAACATGATACCATCATACCAATAATGATTCCATTACCTGACGAGATATACTTGTACATTCTAGAGAGTCTACCGGATCTGGCCACCTTCACGCATAAAAAGGACTTCGAAGACTACAGACAAATCTCCGCCACGCTCGCGTCGGCGTGTCATGTAAACAGGGCCTTTCGCGCATTCGCTGAGCCTCTGTTGTATCGAGCGTACATCGAGGACAAAGAAGATGACAGTCGACGCAGAAGTAGCGAAGCAGGTGAATGCACAAGGCTCCAATTATATCTGCGGACTTTGATCCACAGGCCAGATCTAGCCGCAAAGGTTGAATACTTGAGGTTGGCAGACTGCATAGACTACCCGGATATCAAGCCATATGCTGTCTTGTTTGCCGAAGCTGTCCGGAACCTTTGCACTTTGCCTCACAACAAGTCCGGATCGCAGCGCAACCTCGAGTGGCAAAGTGACTGGAAAGATGGTCTACGTGGGCATAGGGTTCATCAAGATGCAGAGGTCGCATTATTACTCGCGCTACTTCCGAACATTGGCAACCTTGATATATATGCTTCGCGGAGAAACTACGGACGGTTCGTAGGTCTACTTTGCAAAAGTATAGAGGACCCAGAATCATGGATTAAAGAGACACAAACCGAGGATGACAAGCAAGTCTTGGTTTTCAAGGCTCCGAAAGTGTCTTCCGCTCTCAAGCTGCCTTTCTTTGCCCGGCTGAGCATGTTGACCCTTGAAGGTGCGAAGCACTGGACCATAGGCTTCCTCAGAGATATCGCGTGTCTTCCATCTCTCGAATCTCTTTGCCTCTACGGCGTCCATGTTCCTCTGATTCTAGAGGGAGTGACTCCATTCCGCTTGCCGCTACAAAACATTCGCAACTTAATACTTAAGGATTGCATCATCCTTGACATACATATGCAGTCCATCATCAACTCCTGTGGAAGTCTGAGATCTCTCCGCATCAAACGCTCGCCTAACCTGGACGAGACGAGCATAGGGCTGAATATGGACGCGCTGATCAAGTGCCTCGTCTCAAGCTCCGACACCTTGGAAGAACTACAAATATACATGCCAAAACCATCTCCCGGATACAATGGCACAACACGAGCAGAGACATTCGACCTTCGATCTTTCACTCGTCTCAGGACGATAGAAATCAATATGGAATTTCTATTCCCTCCAACATCAGATACGGAGCCCTCTTTTATCGCATTATTACCCACTTCGATCGATGACCTCTATTTGCACATGGCAGACAAGCGATTTGCGAAACATCTTCGTGTGCTGGCCGAAGAGTTCAAAGATTTTCCAAAGTTGAAAACCGTAGATATTGGTATTGACGACATGCCAAGTATCCACGCCATGGACCAGGCCGAGGTGGATTGGAAGTTGGCACTAAATGATTGTGCGACTAAACTCAGAAATGGCGGGATTGAGTGCAGTGTACCGGTGGAAGGCACTCATTTCAATCTTTCCTGCGGCAATGACTAGGGACGCACTTTCGCATGTGGGCAGCGTTTCAACGACGCAAATCGCAATGGCAGTGTTGACAGCAAGAAGGCGAAGAGAGGATGCCAGCAGACCAGATAGCCAGGAACGACTGGTCTTGACTGAAGACTGCCAGCAACCAAACCGGGACTTTATAAGGTGACGCCAAAAGAAGGGCACAAGCATGTATGACGAGATATACCAAAAAATATACCGTAGCTGTCTATTGTTCCAAAATCAACCTCACAACCTTTGTGGATGCCGTTCTAGCTTGCCTTGTGGCTTGTCCTTCATAATCGTGCAAGTGGAAGAGTGATTGAGCTTACCCTATGCTTGTAGCAGCAGAGGATGATGCCACAAACAAGAGCGTTAGATTTTGGAAGATACCATATAACGCAGTAGATTGTATTGCTCGTCTATGATCAGCACCGCTGTGACAGTCAAAAGCAGAGACAAAGAAATCAAGCCAACGCTCTTGTTTTACCGAAACAGAAAATGGTGCAATGACAGGCCCAGTAACGATATGACCTGAGCGTGTAGACAAGAGAAAAGAGAAGAAAAAAGGAAAACAAAAGAATCATGCGTGTAATTTGTTTCTCATTAGGCTATAAGGATGAAAGTTTCATGAAGAGAGAACAAATCTACACGTGCTGCTTGATGGCGGCCTCGAGAGCAGTGGGGTTGGCACCAACAACGGTAGCGACCTCCTGGCCGTCCTTGAAGAGGACGAAAGTGGGCATGGCGCGAATGCTGAGCTCCTGGGCGACCTCGGGGACCTCGTCGACGTCGATCTTGTAGAAGCGGGCGCTGGGGTAGGTCGAGGACATCCTGGTGCTATTAGCTCGTTGTTCGACAAAGAAAGCGGGGTGGTTTTGCGGCAGGACTCACTTGACGACCTGAGGGGCGATGGCCTTGCAGGGACCGCACCAGGTGGCGAAGAAGTCGACGACCATCAAGGTGCCGGTCTCAGCGCGAGCGGCATCGAAGTCGGCCTTACTGTTGTGTTTGTTAGTCGCGGCTCTTGAATGTACAGCTTCGCTGATTTTGTCCCAAGCTTCGTTTGCATGGCCGGGCGCATGAGGCTGCAGCATGGCCATATGCGCAGCCCGTCACAGAACCAAAGCTGGACAGCGACGAAGAGAGGCTACTCACGCCTGGAGGTTGTGGACACCGGAAGAAGCCATTGAAGCGGTGAAAGATCTGGTTGCGGCGGGCTTGAAGAAAGCGGGTTTGAGGAGATGTTGCGAAAGAGCAGCGGGTCTGGTTGAAGTTCTGGCGACGGTAAAGGTCGAAGTGTTTCTTGCGGTGGTGCGAAGAAGGTTGCGGCGGATACTCGAAGCAAGGGACATATAGCAACTTGTTGTGAACTTGTGGTGCAAGATAGGTATCCTTTAACAATGGCATGCTTGATATGTAAGCAAGCCCCTCCGCCGCCCTCTGTGCCAAGAAGTGGCGCGTGCGTCATCTTCGCGCTCCAGATCAAACTGCTGATTACGACCATCTGGTGGTGCAATCCTGCTCACACAGTCCATCACTAATCAGCTTCGCGATACTTCTAGTACCTCGTGCTTTTTGTAATCGAACAGCCTCACTAATCTTGCTTGATCATCTTTGCAACTTTCCACCAACTGCTAGAAGCATGACAAAGAATGCTGCAAGCAGTCAAACGCATTGTCATTGGGAACCCAGTGTGAAGCTCTAATCCTTTTGAACAAACGAAATCATGGCTTTTTGTAGTTGTCTCCACGCTGTATCTCTTCTGTAACATCTACTGTACTGTACAAGTCGCTGCTAGCCTTCCACCATAGCCTTAGCTGCGACAAATCTGCTCTCGAACCATGCATAGAGCCAAAACCATTGCTCTTAAATTCATGCCAGCAATTCAAATAGGGTATCAAAACATCTCCAAACTGTGAATGGGAGTCATAAGACGAAAACTGCAACAAACAACGCAAATTGATGCCATGTATCATCATCATCTGGCGTTCCAAAAACAAATGAGATGGTCTAAAGGATGGTGTGAGAGGAAAGCCTCTTATTCTTGCGCGATTCGAGGCGACGAGCGAGGACTGCCTTGACCAAGAAGGGTCGAGACACTCTTGCTTCTTTTCGGCGCGATTTCGAGCATTTTGGCGCTACCTGCGCTGAGAGTTTTGCCGTGGCCGTGCATCCGACCATAGTTGACGCTCTGCGCTTTGTGCAACTCCACCGGCGAGTGTTCAATCGACTCGCCACTCAGACTGCCTTCGCGAGATGGAGTCACTGGCTCTGCTGCTTGATATTCTGTAAGGAGCCCTTCGCGAGACTTGAAGCGGGGATCATTGTGTACAACCGTCGGTCTACGACGTGCTGTTGCCTGTCTGAGTGGTGCAGCCTCTTCAGGGGAAGGCTCTGCTGTCGGTGTTGTTTCGATCGCGTGTTCTGCTGACGCACGACGACTGCCATTCTCTGGGGTCAAGGCAGCGAAAAATTCATGTTCCGGAACGGGAAGTCGATCGAAGCTTCCACTGAACTCGGGCTTCGCCTTTCTAAGCGAGCCCAAGCTACTGTGAGGATGTGATGTATGAGATGTGCGTTTTCCTAAACGTCCGCTGATCCAGCTGCCCTCGGAGTCGACTGAGCCGTATGATTGAGACAAAATTGTTGATTCTTCATCTTCAACAATGGCGGGTGAGTCATTTCGGATCAGGCCCGGCTGATCTGCCATCTTCATCTGCGTATCAGCAGTACGTTGGGCACGTCTTGCTGCCACAACTCCAGCTGTGATCACGCTCAGCTCAGGCGACTGGACGCGAGATGCTGGAGGAGAGATTGGTAGTTCAGGAAGGTCCTCGCGGAACTTGCTCTGAGTGCGAGTGGGAACGCCAGCTTGACGTGATGAGGGCGGTCCTACCAGGTGAGCTGGTATAGGCTGCTTAGACATGGATTCTCGTGAGGTATTGACAAAGGAAAATTCGGATGGTGGCTTGTCCTCTGACGTGCGATTTGAACTAAGACCCCGACGGAAGATGTTTGTCCAGGCGCTGGGTCCTACACGTCGACTGCCACTCTCAGACGGTCTGCGTCGACTTGACTCGAAAGAGCTGGCGGGGTGACTAGAAGTTCTCTGCGATTGAGGATAAGAAGCTTCAGGCAAGACTGGTGACGGCTGGATTTCGCGTTGGACAATTGGAATTGGAGAAGCAGGAGGGGACATGTGACCGGCAGATAATCTGACGGCTCTCGCAGTTTGCAAGACTGGCTCGTCCAACGGAGTGTGGACGGGGGACCATTCTGCGCCTGCAGCAGTGAAGGGATTCTCAGGCTCTGGGTCCACGAATGGATTTTGAGGTATGTCTTCGCGTGGCGGGTATCGTAGATAGGTGCCTCCCTTGATGGGAGTCTCTTGCATCTCAGGAACTGGCTGTTTGCCCTGCTTTCTGAGCGAGGTGGATGTGATGAATTCAGCATCAGGCTGTTGTTCGCGGAAGGCAGGATGAATGGCGGTGGGGGGAGTTGCTGTCAAGCGAGCATCACGAGCTCTACGTTCGTCTTCTTCACGCTGTTTTTCTGCCCGCCTGCGCAACTTGCGATCAAGACGCTCATGTTGCTCCAAGGCCTTTTGCTCCTTTCTTCGCTGGTCACGCTCCATTAGAATACGCAGCTCGGTAGAATTGAGGTCGTCAGCCAGATCAGCGACCTTCCTTCGATCCTTCCTTCCACTTGATGCACGAGCAAGCTCCGGCAGCTTGCCCATCTTGTCTGGACGTTTTCCAAATGGCGAGGGTGGACTAGTAAAGGTACCCGAGACACGGACGGTAGGGCGTGGGTTGAGGATAGACATGCCGCCAATCTCCCAAGCGCGCTGCTCAGACATGTGCGACCTGTTGGAGTAAATGGATTCCGGCAGCGGTAGAGAGACATTGGAGGAACGGGAGTCGTCAGCGGGGCGTTTGGTCAGGGTCCTGCGAGCCTTTTTGCTGTCGCGGCGGAGCAGGTCGTGACCAGAATTGGCAGCTGGTCTCTTTGGAATCTGCATGGGAGCACTCATTTGACGAATCTCTTCTTCGCGCAGAGCCTGGTCCTTTGTTCTCTTGTTTGAGAGACGGCGAGCTGGGGCTTGCTTGTCATGCGACACAGGATGGGCCAGGGTGTGGGAGCGTGAGCGGGCAGAGGACGGGCGGTCGAGGGTGTAGGGGTGGACGGGCTTGATGACATTTGCAGGCCTGAGATGGGGGCTCTGCTCGAGTTCGGATAATTCAGGAAGGGCCGTTAAATCATGCTGCACGCTTCCCTGACGCTCGAGGACGTTTGGGGTAATTATGTGGGTGGAGCTGTCATTGGGCGGGCGAGCGATGGCCTGTGCCGGAATATCTGAAACATCTGCAGGGCGGGCCTGAGTCTGTTGTTGCTGTTGCTGTTGTGGTAGTTGGCGTGCTGTTGTTGTAGGCGTTGGTGCTGTTTGTGCTGGCGTGGTCGCAGCAGTTGGAGATGTTGTCGACGTTGTTGTTACGGCGGTCGATGCGCTCAGACGTCGTCGCTTCTGCCTTCCAAAGGGCCATAGTGGCATGGCGATAGAGACACGGAGGAGTGTGGACTGGGCAGCTGCATATGCGACACTGGACGACGTGTAGTAGGACCAACGGATAGACGGGGGTCGGAGAGGAGAAGGGAGCACAAGGCCAAGTAGGTAAAAAATCCGTGGCGATTACGGCGCTCCAGAAGCAAACCAAAAAGGTGCATTTACGACAAGCTGCAAAACGACATCACGAGCAAGAACAAGCAAAGCGACTCCATTGTCCACTTGCAGGTCCACCTCGTTTCCGTCCTCTTTATTTGGCATCAACCCAAGCACAAGGGTCAACCAAAGAGCCCTGTCAATCAATCCTGCCAATCCCTGCCGCCACGAGCATCGATTTAATTTGATTCGATTTTTCTATCAGCGAGTCTGATCTGACTATTGCAGACTTCACCTCGTTGTCTTCCTGATCTTGCTTGTGTTCCTGCCTTTGCTGCAACATGTTGACGCGCGCATCTGTCATGCCGCGGCAGCTGCCACCAGAGGCTAGAGCCCCGGACTTCCTGATCCCCTTCCAGACCCCTACGCCTAGAGCGAATCGGGCTAAGAGTGACCCCTTTGGACCACGCTAAAGAGGCCACATATCCACACAGCATGCGCCACTTACTACAAGGTTCCGCTCTGGTTCCTGCTCCCTCGCAGCGTTCTTTTGTGCTATGCTCGTTGTGCGCCGGTCACAGGCTTGACATGCCCTATGCAACACTGATCTCCCAGACCTGTCGCGATTTTCAATTTGTTTCCAAAAAAACCATGCTGGTCCATCACTGTTGACCCTGCCACTTCAGCTCTCTTATCTCTGTCAAGAGCGGCAGCTTTTACTGCAGTACCGATCTGCAACTTCTTGCGCCGGCTCCTAGGACTTCAGCTGCCTTCGTTCTCAGCCTCCGGCCATCAATTCTCCGTTATCCGGGCATAATCCGGTTGCAGCGCATCTCAACAGCATACTCTGTGTTGCCCCGACACGGTTGTGTTGACATGTCTTATCCACCGAGTACGACCTGGACGGATATCCTTGATGCCAAGGATGTCGACTGCGAGCTTCTGCCACTTTATTAATGGCTACGAAGGTCCTTCAACACAGGCCTATCTGCAGGCCAGAGATAGGCGACAGATAGGCGACGTCTCGCAGTAGCCACTCCGATAGACACCTCAATACAGCAGCTCCATGCGGACGGCGTCCGTTCCTGTATGGCATCTGGGCTAAGGTGATGCATACCGCTCCTGGCCAAGATGGAGAGGCTGGGCAAGAGATAAGAGCAGCACGACAATGTCAAGTATAAAGTAGAGAGGTAGGTGTCATGATTGCAAGTCTTTGCAAGATCATCTATACATCATGAAGTTTTCTTCGAGTCTTCTGCTCGTTGGTTTCGTTCTCCACGCCAACGACGTCTTGTCGGCTCCAAACCCCGATCCAAAGGCCGCATGGGTCCGTCAGAGCAGGGCAAGGAAAGCTGCGTCGAAAATTGGAAAACGCTGGTCGAACGGGACTTCAGCACATCCACCTGTCACCTCGTGTTCGGAGAACAACTATACCCAAATTTTGGCCCCTAAGGTCAATGTCTGGGGAGGCTTGACGGATGTTGAAGCCGCTTCTGTAACCCAGTGGTTGTTCGCTCAGCCAGAGTTCAATCTCACCGTCAGCGATGAAGCTGGAGAATGGGACAACACCATGTACGCCAGTCGAGCCATAGCCTGTTTTTATTGCTAACCATGTTCAAGTCTTTTGGTCGAGCTAATGCACCCAAACAAGACAGACGTCTTGAACTATCTCGACAATGCAGGACCGATCCCCGACCGTTATGCTCATGTTGTGCTGGACCATCGAGCTTGTGAGGAACCCTACTACGAGGATATTCTGGTCGGTCCAATCGAACCTTATGGTATCAAGAACGGCACAACTGGGTGGGAGTCTCTACAATATCCTTACACTCGCAAAACAGCTGGTCGTGTACGTAATCTTGACGCTGATGCTGATGATACACTCTACTCCCGATGGATATACAAGATCAGTGCTACCATCTCAGATATCACACTCGACCTTTGGGGAGGAACAGCTCTTGGCCTTGATAATGACACGTTGTCTATTTGGGGCATTGACCCTCTTTGGCAAGATGACGGACGCGTCGTTCGATGGGATGCATTCTGGTCTAACACGGTCGACAACTTTGACACTCAGACACTTCTGCCGCTTGGTCTCTACTTTAGAAGTGATGTGACTGGTCGTGATCCCAGTCAGTGGAAATTTGAAGGCTGGTATTATAACGGTTTGTTCTACGAAACTACTGAAGCGTTTAGATCTGCATATTATACACCTGGATTTGCCAAGCTGGGGGCCAATGTCGAGGGTGACTGGGCTCGGACTGACCAGATTGGACCTGTACTCCCACTGGACACCGCTTCCCCACCTGCGTCTATCACACCGAGTGGTGCTAGATTCGCAGTCGATGCTGAGAGCAAGTGGATTCAGTGGATGGACTTTTCCTTCTTTGTTGGCTACCAGCGAGACACCGGCCTCAGTCTATGGGACATTCGCTATAAAGGCGAAAGAGTTTTGTACGAACTAGGTCTTCAAGAAGCACTAGCTCACTATGCTGGACAAGACCCTCTCCAAAGCGGCACTGCCTATCTGGACAGTTATTATGGATTTGGTCCTTACGCCTTCGAACTTGTCAAAGGCTATGACTGTCCGGCATATGCCACTTACCTTAACACCTCTTTTTATGTGTCGGAGACGACGCACACGCACCTGAACAGTCTGTGCCTCTTTGAGTACACTGCCGATTATCCTTTACAACGACACAGCACCTCAAATTATGTCAGTGTTACGAAGAACACCTATTTCACCATCAGGTCTGTCAGCACCGTTGGTAACTACGACTACATGTTCTCGTATTCCTTCTATATGGGTATGCTTCTGTTTATATACGCAGCTTCAGATAGAAAAGCTAACTTTGATGCAGACGGTAGCATCAACGTCGAAGTTCGTGCTTCAGGATACATACAGAGCGCTTACTACGCCAACAACGAAGAGTATGGCTATAAGATCCATGACAACCTCTCGGGCAGTATGCACGATCATGTCTTGAACTTCAAAGCAGACTTCGATATCCAAGGCATCAACAATACGGTCGCTGTGGTAAACCAGGTACCCGTCTCGGCGACTTATCCCTGGTCGAAGGGCAAAGCACGTAACACGATGAAACTTGAAAAGTCCTACATTGAAACAGAGGAGTCCAGTCGCCTGTTCTGGGGGCCCAATAGCGCAACTCAGTACAGCGTGATCAATAAAGATGCAGTAAATAAGTACGGAGAGTATCGAGGTTACCGCATCTCTCCTTCTCTGGGAGCTATCCACCTCACAGTCGAAGACTCGAGCAACTTGGCCAATGCAGCCCGCTGGGCAAACCACGACATTCAGGTTACCAAGCAACATGACACGGAACCTCGAGCCGCCCACGCCTACAACAATCAAGATGTGCACAACCCACCCATCAATTTCGATGCCTTCTTCAATGGCGAGAATCTTACTCAAACTGACCTCGTCCTTTGGCTGAATCTGGGTATGCATCACATCCCTCATACTGGCGATCTACCCAACACAGTCTTCTCGACAGCCCATGCAGGTCTTTCCTTCTCACCTCTGAACTATCTTGATGGTGACCCAAGTCGACAGACTGTCAACCAAGTCCGTATCGACTATGGAGGCGGCAACGTCAGTGCTGTAGAGACTTTTGGGCAAGAACAAGGTAGTTGTGCTGTTGAATACAGCCCCGTGGAAGTGGATCTTTGGGGTTACAAGGGTGATGTTGTGGTTAGAAAGTTTCCTTTCGATCCTAACAATCCATACTATGAGACGGATGCCATTGTGTAAGAGTTTCTTTGATGCCCTGGATGCACAATAGCGCAAACCTAGGCGATGGTAGCGGCGGCAATAACTTATAACTCTAAAAACTACCGGATCTATTTCGTTCAAGGAAGTGTTAATAAGCACCTTCAATATTGCGCTTGCTTCTTTATACATATTATTCGCGCCTGCCTTACTATGTTAGTTACATCTGATTAGCTGCATTTACAAATATATCGAAAGCCATATTCCTGGTTCTTCAAGAATCGTTTGTGACACTTGGATCTAGTCTATATCATATATCAATACATATTAGAATTAATAGAAAGTAGGATAGCCAGCAGAGAAGATAGAAAGGCGGTTGATGCCACCACATATCTCGGCAGTGTTTCCAGGGCATGGAGACTTGCACTGCATATCAACAGTGAGAGTGGCAGATGCAGAGCTCATCTCGTTGCCGCACCAACACTTGGTTGCATCGGACATGCCAGCGACCTTGTAACCCAAGTTTACACAGCTAGAGGTGCACCCTTCAATTGTGTTGTTGGAGTTATCGTACAGAAGAGTTGACAGTGCCTCTGGTGTCGTTGGGGCTTGGTTGGTCCAGCAGCCTTGGTAGGTCAAACCGCCGGCATAGGTGTTGTAGTTGGTTACGCCGGAAGTGCCGGCCTGGCTAGGGTCAGGGAAGGGGTCGTCGCCCTGTTGCTTGCGAGGGTAACCAAAGTCGTAGGCACGGCTCTTGTTGCCGTAGAAATTGTCCTCAAAGAGACGAGCAAGACCTGCTGCAGAGTGGAACATCTGGCCGTTGTCGTGAGGAGCATCAACAAGGTCGACGGTATCGCAGTTGGTGCCGGATGGATCAGGGCAGCTAGGCTGGAACCATTTGATAAAGTAGAAGAAACGCTCGTTTCTGTCTTGGCCAGTGGTTTCGGGTGCGCAGCTCGAAGCATGGTTACCAAAGTCTTGCAGAGCACGAGCCCAAGCGATCTGCTTGCTGTTGAAGTTTGCTCTGATAGCATCGAGACCCTGAGCGACCAAGTTGGCACCATAAGTCATACCGTATTCAACAAAATTGGCGAAGCCTTCACGGTAGTCGTTGTAGATCGAGCAGTTGGGCACGTTCAGAGGGCGGTATTCGCTGAGCCATGCCCAAGAATCTCCGTTGGCAATCCACAAGACAACGGGCGACTCAGTCTCGAGCTGATCACCGATTGCGGCATAGCGCTGCAACATCTGACCGCCCATTGAGTGTCCAGCAAGGACGATCTGCTTCATATTGGGGAAGAGCGTCTTGTTGTCAAAGTAGTGGATCAGCTCATCGAGAACGTAGTAACTCGATGTGTTTCTGCTGTTGTGAGGATATTGGTTGTTGGCACCAGCAGACCATTGAGAACCAGACCAGACAAGTGCATTCGTTGTAGATCCACGGCCTGCCTTCTGGCCATCAGTCCACGGGTAGGCGAATCCCTTGTCGGCGCCACTGGGGAAGTATGGCGCCATGACAGCCACAGAGTCACGATTGATGTTGGTGTCTTGGACCATCGCAAGAGCATTGAGCATCTGTCAATCTTGTCAGTCCGTGTTAAGTCAATCGGCACTGAGATACACACGTCGTTCTCATAGTTCCAAGGGTCTCTCAAGAGACCGTGAATGACGATCACGGCTCTCTGAATCTTGCTTTCAACAATACGATTTCCATCAGTACCATGAGAGTAATAGTTGATCAAAGTGAGTGCATCGTTCTTGCCACTGGGATCATCAATCTTGAAGAACGCGACCTCTGCGTTGTTAATAGTTGGCAAATATGCGCTGATCACATCGCCTGCATATTGTTGTGCGAGTACAGAAGTGCTGCTGCACAGGAAAAGGAGTGGAGTAAGGAAACGCATGGTTGTGAAACGAATGAACGTGCTTACAAAAAGCACAACGGAACGGACGAAAAAGAGAGACAGGTGAGACAGATCAGAAGACGCAATAGCAAGGGCATCACCAACTTATATGAGAAAGAAGGAAAAGACTGGCATTAGGGCATTCGTACGACGCATCCTACTGCATTTTCCAGGATGCGAAATAATTTCGGGTCGGGAAAGACAATGCATGGATGATCGAAAAGATCTTCAGGCAATAGCGCGTCGCCCAGCTGGATCCGTCGACCTGTTCCTGGAAATCTGCAGTGCGCGCATGTCCATCAAGGATTACGCTTCGGAGTCAGGACATGTCTAGCTGGTTTCGAGAAGGGCTACAGGCCTTTAAATGATCAATCCGCAGGGAATGACGACGATCTTATATTTTTGTGGAACCTCAATTCAGCTTGTTGGCAACACTTTACAGCGATCGGCGGTCCACGATGGCAACAACGCTTCACCAAAAGATTGTTTTGATTCGCAACACCTTGATAACGAAAATACAGGCATCCTGACTCGTTGAAGATTAGGTGTTCACGTTCAAATGTTCGCTCTTCCCTGTTGTCGTTTCCTGATCTGTTGGCCCCACTTTAGTTTCGCGAACAATACTGATCATGGATGCGGTCTGGTATCGCAGTGATTGCACAGCCTCTACAATCATTGAAACGGACATTTTTGTACGGCATAGACAATGACAAGGACTCTTGCTTCGCAGACTGCATTTTTCTATTTACGTACCTTAGCTTCAAGCCACTCTGCCATAGCCTGATTGACTTCCTCGTGCTTCTCTACAGGCACAAAGTGACCCGCAGCAATGCTGACATAGGTCAAATCCTCGCAGAGCTTCTTCTGTGGTTCTGCCAGTGTCGAATTGACAGTCTCACATACTGTGTCGTACTTGGCCTCGATGAACAGCACCGGGAACTTGAGGCGACCCTCGTTCTTGCTGTTTTCCAGGTTGTAGGCACGGTTTGCCTTGTGGTTGAGGTACCAAGCATCGCCGGGCCAAAAGCCGGTCTTCTCCATTGCGGCCACGAGCTCCTCGAAGGTTTCCTTGTCGATGCAAGCGTATTCATCAGGGATCGCGCTAGCAGGCATAGGTCTCTCGGAACCGCCCATCCAACCTCCGTCTTGCACAGCTCGAGACATTGGAGCCGGCTTGCCAACAGCAGCAGGGTTGCCCTTTGTGAAGGCGGCTCTCAAGAAGCCACGAGGGTCCTTGTCGAACCACTCTGTAGCTTTTTCGAAGTTTTGCTCATAATAGGCTTGATAACTCCACTGACCATACGGGTACTCGTCTTCGGGGTAGATGTTGCGATCGACATGCTTGAGCGCTTCCTCCAGACCGAGCTCTAGAACACCGTATGGCACGGTCATTCCACAAGCTCCCTTGAAGACCTCCGGATGGGTTCGTGCGAGGGTCCAGAGCGTGCCGCATCCCCAGTCATGAGCTACCCAAATAGCTTGGTCATATCCGAGGTCCTTCAATAGTGCCAGCATAGCTTTGACGATTTGTTCTTGAGCATAGTCGCTAGCGACCTTGCGAGCAGTAGATCCACCATAGCCTGGCATATCGGGCGCGACGACCTTATAGCCTCGCTTCGAGAACTCGGTGAGCTGGTCGTGCCATGTTTTGCCGATACCAGGCCAACCGTGCATAAAGATCATAAGGTCTCCACCATCGGGGCCGGCGGAGAGGTAGTGCAGCGTCTTGCTGCCGTCGTCGTAGACCAGATCGTGTTCAGAAAATGAAGGCATTATTGTTCAACGATATGGCACGAATACAAGAATAAACAGCAGTGATGACTTGTGTTTATATAGATGTCAGAAGTTACGATGTCCAAGCTCGGGCAATCATGCCATGCCCGCTTGTTTCTGGTCCTCTGAAGCGACGACGGCTGGGCGGCCAGTAAGCATCAACCACCAAGACACAAGACAATATATTATGCTCCGCGTTCAATGATGGTACGCCCGTATAACAATGCCAAGGACAGAACATCCTAACTCAGACTGCTGCCTGGCGTCAGCACGATATAATCATCGACTATGCGACGGAGGAACACGTACGGCGAACCGGTCAATCAAAGTACCCGAGCAGGAGCATACCCATGCCGAATCCTACAGGGACGAAGGACCAATGCTTCCACTCGCCTCCGCCGGTGCCTTTCTTCTGTATAATGCCGTCGCCAATCGCGACAAGTATATCGGTCATGAGGACCCAGCCCAACGTCCTACTGTCTGCGAAAGTCCTGACAGCTAGGATCATAAGCCCGAGCGCGACATTTCTAATGCCGTAGAGTTGCTGCAAGCATTCGATGAGCACCTGCTCCTGGCCGGGCTTCGTGGGAGGCTTGAAGCCCCAAATCTCTTGAAGCATGACCTGAGGCCGAAAGACGCCGATGAGTCCAAGCGTGAGCTGGAAGACGCCGGCTGCAGCTCCAGCATTCAGCGAGACAGGAGAGCGCGACGATAAACCGAGAAAAGACATGATAAGTTGGATATTAGGTGAGACCGAGATACAAGGTATGCAGTCAAGAAGTCAGCAGCTTGGGTCGACCATGTTCAAAAGCGGTGATCGGCCAGTCACGATACAAGGAATCCTACCAATCAGCCACACAGCAGAACGATAACGGAACTATCACCAAAAAATTGCCAGTCCAATCTCAGTAATGATTGAATGAAATTTCTACATAATATTTCCTGAGCAACTGATCATAATCATTCCCAAGGATGCTTGACCTCATCTTCAAGAGGCAACACTCCCTTTCTCTGCATCCAAGTAGCGATGGCATCAGCATCGGCCCAGACTCTCAAGATATTCCTGCCAACAACTTTGCCAGCATCCCACTCGCTGATACCTTGCTTCAGCATTTCAGCTACGAGATCAGGGAACTTGGACACATCCTCGAAGCCCTTTGGTGTGCTTTCGATGCCATCGAAATCGGTGCCGATGCCCACATGATCATAACCAATCATATCTCCAATGTGTTTGATATGCTTCACCACCTGCTGCAGAGTCGAGGTTTCGGGTACAAACTCAGGTAAGCCAGAGGAGCTGTTTGAAGCACGACAGCTGATGAAATCCGGGTTCGCGTTTACCATCACGATACCACGCGCAGCTTTGACGTGCGGCAGTAGGTGATCAGGGACGTTGCGAGGATGAGGGCAGATCGAGTATGCGCTGGAATGACTGAAGATTGGCGGAGCCATGCTGCCTTGCCAGCCATCTTCACCTAGACCCAAGACATGTGCCATGGTGTTTTGGCTCACATGGCTGAGGTCGACCAGCATGCCCAATCTGTTCATTTCCTGGATCAACTTCTTGCCCGCAGCCGAGACGCCGCCCCATAGTGGAGGTGCAACAACGATCTGGCCGTCAGAGTTGGTGATGAGAGCAGCATCGGCATACTTGTTGTGGCAGTTCCAAGTCAGAGTTGCGTAGCGGACTCCGAGTTTGTGGTAAAGACGAAGAGTCGAGATGGAATTTCCGATCTGGTGCAGACCTTCGATACCCATGGGGGAGATCAGTTGGTGCGAAGCAAAGGCACGCAGAGCTGCGGCAGAGTCGCTAGCAAGAGTAAAATAGCGTGGATACATCTCCGTGAGGCGGTTGAAGAGGTCAATCTGCTCGAGTGTTGTCTTGACATAGGGAGCATAGGCAGCGTCAGAGAAATCGGATCCATTGGCCGGGCAAGGCACAAAAGCGCTCCAGAATGCACCGCCGAGTTTGCCTTTGTTCATGCGAGGAATGTCAACTTCACCCGGCAAACCACCACTTTCCATCTTGTCGGTGAACTCAGGAGAGTAGATGTGGTTCCCATACTCAACCCTCATCCTGATCAAGAGGTCGTTGTGACCATCTTTGAGGTGTTAGTCGATGGGCTCAGAGAATAGACTTTGAGTTGAACGGAAAGCGATCATGAGAAGGAAACAAGAATGTGCGTACCGATCAATGGATTGCGAATGAGAACTCTCTCGGCTGGCGAGTACACAAGATAGTCAAGAGGCCAATAGCCAGTGTAAGCATAGCATGCAGCAAATGAGGCAGCAAAGCCAATTGCAAGCACGCGTATAGCAGCAAGCCAGCGGCGTGACTTGGGTGCCGCAGCCTCACGAGGCAAACCGCCACCAAGCAAAGGCTCCTTCTCCATCTTAGGTGTATGTAGGCAAAGAATGATTATGATCAAGAGGCAGATGGGCAAGAACGATAGATAGCGATTTAGCGCGGCGTAGGTCACCGCCTGCCGCGATAGGAAAGCGACCCTGGCAGAACGGGCAACGTCACCATGCCGGGATTAATTCGGATGTCTCGTCCATAGAGAGCAATAATCTCAGAGCCCCTCGACCTTAACATCGCGACACGAATCTACCAGTAAGCAATTGTCAAGATACGGATCAGGATGGGCTTCAGAATCTCATCATATACGCTCATCAAGGGTGTGTCGCTGGCTCACATCACAGCGGCATACCTCCTGCTCTACAGGCCTCAAGTCCTGGCCGAGCAGAACATTGTTGTCATCCTGGGCGAGTCGATGCAAGTGGTAAGTGCTCCTAGTCTCCAGCTGCTATCACTTCTAGCTGACAAGACACGCAGCCTCCAACTTCCGCCTTCAGCAAGCCTACAGAGATCACTGCTCTCGCGTCCATTTTCATGGCTTTCCTCGGCGTCAGCGACCTGATCGCAGCCAGCCTTCCCGAACGCTCATGCCTCGAATACTGGTCCAACGTCCTGCCTTTCCGCCTCTTCATGCTGTTTGCTGGTACTGGTTTCATCTACCTTACACGAGGTGACGACACCACTACTTCAACTCTCCGAGCTCTCAAGGGTGACTCAAACCCTCTCGACCTCGTCAAGAACTCGTTTGTTTTCACCTTCATGTTCTTGGAGACGCTCCACTGGTTCTGGGTCTTTGTCGCCATGAAGGAAGATAGACGCGAATGGATGGTCCGTGAGGCAACTGCTCAGCTCCGCGAAGAGGAGGAAAAGAAGTTTAGAATGTAAAAGAGCCAGGAACTTGAGAAGGGCCGACAACTCAATCAAGTCAATCAGTTGAACACGTCCGAGAACTTGAAGCCTGCAGAAGCTGTAATCATGCTGTCCCAAAGCTATTGAGCAAGCCTCGTTGCATGTCGCACATAACATATCGTGTCGCGATCGTCAGAATCAAAATTCTGCGCTCAAGCTCCGAACGATCAGCGTGAATCGGACATAGATCTTACGCATTCGAGAAGATAAAGTACAGCATAGCACATCATTCGATGTTTCAAAAGGCCAGCTCTGCCTGACACTTCAGTTCCACTACCACGGGCGGAGGCCAAAGCATGCGTAACATGATCGATTTCCGTAATATAAACAGGTATTCGAAACCCAGGACTCGCAAAAATCAATCAGATCACACCGTTGCTGCAGACCCTTTATTTTCCTTACTCATGTCCACCATCCTTCTTGTCTTCACAACCAGCAGTCATTGAATGAAGCCAGTTTCATGCTCACATAGGAGGTGGAGGAGGAGGAGGAATCATTTCAAGGGGGCTCGCATCTCTCTTGTCGTGTTGCCCCTTCAACTTGTTCTCCGCCTTGAGGGCATCTTCCAACATGGTCTCGGTCTTGTATTCTGTTTTCTTGCCCACGTACTTGCCAAAGAAGTTCGTTTCCTCGATGAGGTCTTCGATCCAGCCGCGGGGCTGGAGTGTGGCTGCGGAGTTGGGTGGTTCTGGGAGTAGTGGTGCTGCTGCTACGGATGTGATGGCGAGAGCTGCGAGGGCAAAGTGTGAGACTGGTGCCATGTTGGTTGGTGGTTGAGGATAAGTGTTTGGGTAGGCTAGGAGGGATGGTTGTTAAAGCTTGGTGAAGGACTTGTTTCATTGGGAGTATTGTACTTACTTTGTAATGCCTTGGTTTTGAAACGAGAAACTGAGTGTGAGAACAAGGAAAAACAGGTTCAATACAAGACGTTGTTGATATATGCTGTGCAAGGTGGATTGATGTTCTGTGGTCGTGAGATGCGTCGAAAGTTTATCATTGGATCTCTTAAGTTTCTGAGGCATTTCCACTAGGTCTTTCCACCTTTATGTTGATATGGTTTGGGATTCGTGTATAGCTGCTTACGCCACCAAGCCGACATGCTGTTATACACACCACCTTCAAGTAGTGCTGCTGCGTTATCACGGTTTGGTCAAATCAGACATGTCTGTACAGCTTGTTATTCGGATTTGGTTTCTCTCACAGTAGTCCTCAAAAATATGGTGAAGATGCACAAGATCCGAATTCTTCATTCGAGTCACCTCAAAATACAATCTATCTCTCCACCCAAAACTCTCCACGTCCTCCAATTGTCAAACTCAGACAAACCCAAGCTTAAACAGTACCTTCCGCGATAGCCTCCATGGGCCCACCCATACCTTGAATAGCCTCGTTGAGACACTTTCTCTTGATCTTCTTGACCTCACCCTCGGCATAAAAGTCCCAACCTTGTTTCTTGAGCTGCATATCGTGATCCTTTTTCTGAGTGTAAAACTTCCAATCCTTGACTTTGGAGCAGTCTTCAAACTTATGCTTGAGTTGTTCGCCAGAATCTTTGTCTTTGGCAAAGCCTTTGCCGTACAAGGTGAAGTGCTTATCGGTAAATGCGATTTGAGCTTGGACTCCTGCTGTGTCGGCACCGTCGCCCTTGTTGTCGCTCTTGTCATCTGTCTTGTCGACACCCTCAGTCTCGCTGATCAGGTTTTCAGGTCCGTTGGCTTCTTTGATGACTTTATTCAGACATCTCACATCAGCGGCAGTCTTGCGAACAAGTTCTCCCTTGGCGTAGAAACTCCAGTCTGACGTCTTGATCTCTGGCTTGTCGGCTGCATATGAGAATTCCCAATCTTTGATTTCCATACCACAGGACTCCATATTGGAGCGCAGTTTGTCGGCGTCGTGTTTACCGCGTGCCCAGTCTTTGCCGTAGAGTTCAAACTTGTGGGAGTGTTTGCCGTGGAAGGTTATTTCGGCGTCGTGTTGCTTGTGGTGGACCGTTGGTTCTGGTGTTTTGGTTGTTGTTGTCGAGGTAGAAGTTGATTTTGTGGTCGACGAAGAAGTAGTCTTTGTTGTCGAGGTAGGAGTGGCCTTTCTTGTGAAAGAAGACTTGGTGGTAGAGATGGCTGAGTGTTTGGCGGTTGTCGATGATGTCTTGGACTTTTTCTTGTCCTCTGCAGCCTGTTGTTCCTCCTTGTCGTGCTTCTTTTGCTCCTTGGCATGCTTCTTTTGCTCCTGCTCCTTTTTCTTCTTCTCTTGCTTTCTCTTCTCTTCTCTCTTGGCCTCTTTCTCTTGCTCCTCCTCCAACTTCTTCTTGGCTTCCTCAACCTTCTTCTCCTGCTTCTTGATAGCTTTAGGGTCCTTCTTCTTGCTATGCGTCAGATGCCAGAGTCCTTCAGCAGCGTCTTTGAGAACTCCGGCTAACCCTTGAAGAGCCTTGGTCGGTGCAGTGACGTCTCCGTAGCCAGGGATAGGGATCACAGGTGGTGGGGGAGGAGGCACCACCCCAGGAGGGACGATGGCTCCGCCACCTGGAGCAGGCACGTCGATCTCAACGCCTCCATCGCCATCAGAAGAACCATCGCTCTTGGAACCCTCGTCGACCTCATTAGGCTCATCAACCTCGGTAGGTTCGTCCACCTCGCTTGGGCCCTCGGCCTCTGTAGACCCTGGTGCAGAGGGCTCATCAACCTCAGTAGGCTCGTCGTTCTCTCCGACGTCCTCCCGATGGTCATCAGACCCGTCCAACCCGTTATAGTAGTCATCCTCGCCGATAGTGTCATCTGGTTCTGATGGCTCGACAGCGTCATCTGGCTTTGACGGCTCGTCATTGCCAGTATCGTATGGGTTGTCCTGCTCGCCATCGACAGGATCATCTGGAAACTGTACCTTGAGCTCACCCTTTGCCTTCTTAAGAGCTCTATCCGCAATCCTCAACTCCTTTTTGAGCTTGGCCATGTGTTCCAATGTCGACTGCTTCAAGTTTTGTAGATTTTTCAGACCCTCTTCGTACGTTTCGACTGCCTCTGGTGATGTCCCTTCCTCTGGTGGATTGTCAAGCATGTTCTGGATATCCTCATCCAGTGACTCGGCTTTTTGTGCATCTTGGCCGCTGGCTTCCTTGAGTTCATCAACCTTCTTCTGAGCCTTTGCGACCTCCTCTTGGTCGATTGCTTTGGCGGGTTGAGCAGCGTCAGCATCATTAGCGGTTGGGTCGGCGGCGCCAGGATCATCGACAGGAAGACGATGGTCGCGGATAGCTTTTCTAATCACTTTCAACTCTTTCTTGGCTTCGAGCCAATCCTGTCTGCGAAGCCATTTGTCCGCACTTGAGGCGTCAGGGTTGTTCTTGACTTCTTGATAGTCCTTGTAGGTTTCGCGGACTTGTTCAAGGGCTTTTTCGAGCTCTCGCGTTGCGGTGGCGGTTTCTTCTTCGATGGATGGAGGTGGTTGCATTGGATCCTCCGGCACAGTACTCTCGTCGGGTGCTTCTGTTGGGTCCTCTGGCAAAATATCCTCATTTGAATCCTCTGGCACATTATCCTCTGGGTCCTCTGGCACAATATCCTCATTGGGGTCCTTTGGCACACGATAATCATCGGGAAGATCTGTTGCCATATTCTCTTGAACCATTTTCAACAGCTCTTCTGCTTCGACGAGATCTTCTTCGGCTGCTCTGACTTCGGTTTCATCCCCCCACTTCTTGACTGTCTCGAGGTGGTCTTTGGCTTCCTCGACGTCAAGTTCGGCTTCGCGAAGTATATCAGAGTCGAACGGACCTTCATATGGAGTGTCATCAACTTCATATGGTTCGTCTTCGAATGGATCGCTGTCAGATGGATCGCTGTCGAATGGCTCGATTTCAGATGGAAAGTCTGGAGTATCCACCGGTGGGTGGGTCAAGAGCTCCTTGATAGAGTGTCTCACAGAAGACCAGTCAAACCAGTCAGTAGAAAGACGGTTACGAACTTGCTGCAGCTGAGTAGTAAGCCACTCAACAACAGCAGTCTGGGTAGCTGGACTACTGCTCCACAATCCGTGGTTGTTCAAGATAGTAGGCAGTAGTCCACCAGCAATTCCGCTTTCAATCACGACAGCAGGAATGACCTTCTTGAGATCCTTGCGACATTTGTCATCGCAAGGCAAGAGGTACCAGGTCTCCATGTTTGCCAAGGCTGTGCAGTTGACAGTGTCAATAACATTGCCATTTTCGTCCGTGTGTGTGAAGATCTCATCTTCGGTGTTGATACATTCGTCAATGGAAGTAGGCATGTCGGGATACTTTTCTTGCAGGTCGGATGCAATGGTCTCGGCTGAGGCTGCTGTACCTGCAACTGCGACAGGCTCAGAAGCGTCATCGACATCTTCAGAGTCGTTATCCTTGGTAGTCCCGTCATTGCTGCCGTCCTCACCGTTCTGTGATTCATTGTCGTTGTTGGACTCATCGGTGATCTCGTCACCATCATCGCCAGCAGTCTGCCAGTCACCGCTGTTTTCATCGTCGATAGGAGTCTCATCAACACTGGTCTCATCACCAGCGTCGACGCCATCTCCCTCAATAGGACTCGAAGACTCATCCACATATTCGACTTCCGATCCGGAATTCTCAGGCTCTTGGCGCGTCACCAATATAGAGACATACTCGACAGTAGAGGTAGGTACGGCATTAACCCAGTTTGTTGGAACTGGGAGGTCGTTGTTCCACATAGTGGGAACGGGTTGATGGTCACACGCTGTAGACATGGCCATGTTGAGTGGCATGGCGACAGTATGGGTACTCAGCATATCACCAGTGACGGTGAGAGCTGCGTTGAGTCGGTATGGTAGTGGTGCCATCTTGAGATGTAGATGCAAATTTTACAGTTAATGTATGTAGAAGTGGTATGTGTTCGTGTATGTAAAAGTGTTGATCAGCTTGTGTTACCTTTATTCGTGGTGAAGAAAAGAATATTGCAGAGAAAGAGTGCACAGATTATATACCTGCCTACGATGGCGATATCACTCATCGCAGCTCTGAAGAGTCATACCGATTTTGCGAGTCACAGCTATTTTCTTTTTGTCAACGCATAAGACCTCAAACGTACCAAAGCCAAGACATGAAGATATAGTGGGATTGAAATCTAAGATGAGAGACGCCATTATTATGACTGCCAGTCGAGCAAAACCTCTGACAGTAAGGAAATGGTGCTTTCTTGTGGTTCACATGTCACTGTATACCTAGAACGATGTTGCAGTTGAGCTTGAGCAAAGTAGGGGGTGTTGTGCGAGATGGCGGGGTTTGCGTTAATTATGTTTTTGGAGACCCCTATGTTGACTTGATGACTTATTAGGCTAGGCGTCGGAGCCCTCTGATATTGCGCTGCTCGCCAGGTCAATATGGAAGGCCTATGCTATCGAAGGCACGACCGCCGCAGCTGTTCCAAGCCGAATTGTTGACTCGCTGGGACAAGTAGGCCATCTCTACACTAAGGAATCAATATTCCGCCAAATTTGAGATCGGTTGAACCATCGTTAGTGCAAACCTCGTATCACGCAGTTCTACACGCCTATAGTGCTTTGACCTACTGATGTGACTATGGCATTATTCTGGCCGGGCTTACAAATCTAATTGCTGGTACGACTCGTTCATACTGAGAGGTTGAATGACAGATCTCGTCTCTCTATCATTCTTTGAGGGCATAGCCATGAATATACGAACCACACGATAGCAAAGGCTCTTTTTTATGAGCGACAGCAACTTTTGCAGCCTACAACGCTCGAACATGTACTTCTTCCGGGTCATCTCTACATTATGTCAAGGCCGGCCAAGAGCAACTCGACATTGAGCGATTGGTTGTCCTCGAGAGTAGAAGAGAGTAGTCGAGACAAGTGCGCCATCTTCCTTCTGTTTGCTTCTTCTTCCATTTGTGTGCTTTTGATTGCTGCGATGTCAAGCACATCTTTCGGCAGTCCAGCAAGTCTTGCCACGTTGAGACCATAGCTGCGATGTGCGACACCTTCGCCAACCTCGTACAGGAATGTGATATCCGTATGATCATCGCCAGCAACTTCTTCGGTAAAGCGCATGTGGACATTACGAAGTTCGCGCGCTTCGTATTGCTCAGCCATTCTCGAAAGTGCCTGGTAATGAGTGATGAACAGAGTGAGTGCCTTGGTCTCACGCACAACATAGTCCAAAACAGCTTGCGCAATTGCCACACCATCGTGAGTGCTCGTACCGCGACCCAATTCGTCCAAGATGATGAGAGATCGAGGCGTAGCTTGCTTCAGGATATCTGAAGTTTCGGACAATTCCACCATGAAAGTACTTTCACCCTTGAGCATGTTGTCAAATGCACCCATACGTGTGAAGACAGCATCGAGGGGAGTCAGCCTTGCCTGCGAAGCAGGAACCCAGCTTCCTATCTGTGCCATGATGCTTATCAAGGCTACTGATCTGACATAGGATGACTTGCCGCCCATGTTCGGACCGGTAATGAGTAGGGCTCTCTCTTTCGAAGACATCTCAATGTCGTTCGGCACATATGAATCAAGAAGCAGTTGCTCAACCATCGGATGACGGCCTTCTTTGACTTCGATACGGACCTCATCACTGTCGATGATGAATTCGGGCTTTGTGTATCCGGGCTGACTCGCAATGTCAGCTAGCGAAAGCAGACAGTCCAGAGTCGCCAGCGACTGGATGCAATCGCGGAACGTCTGATACTTGGTGCCAATCTCGGTTAGCAGTTCAGTGAAGGCCGAATCACATGCGTTGGCAAGAGCTTCTTTGAGTTGATCACGCTCGCGTATAAACTTGACGACCTCTGGCGTGTGGAAACGCGATACTTTCTTGGTTCCACTGATCTTGATCCATGAAGCTGGCACTCTTTTGAGATGGATGTTCTCAATCTCAATCAGATACTCGATGCCGGAGACAGTCACATAATTGACTTTGCCTGGCTTGTTAAGCGTCTTTGCAGCCTGAGTACGATGTTCGTCCAGATCATGCTCGACACAGACAATCCCGACTTTATGGTCAGTGATTTCTTCGGTCTCGTACTGGTCACGGAAGAATGAATACTTGTCATCGTCTTTTGCCGCCTGAAGATCAATTCGCTCAAGGAAAGAGATGACGTCTTCTGAGATTAGCGGTAAGGATGCGATGGCTTCTGCTAACAACGGAGACTTGAAACCAGAATCTTCTGGAGATTTTACATGCGCATACTCGTTCGAGATAGTTTGTAATGTCTGAAGAACAGACACAAGCTCTGGACGGGCGCACTTTTTGTAGTAGATTCTGATCAACGACTTCTCCAAGTCTCCTCGGACATGAGCGAGGAGATTTTTTATACGATCAGTAGGGATAGCACGATCACTGTCGAGAAGTTCTTCCACAGCACCAATGCGGATCTGCAGCTGTTGCTGATCGAGCAGTGGGCGCCCAACCCATTTGCGAAGGAGACGCTGACCAAATCGAGTCTGTGTTCGGTTGAGAATGAAGAATAGGCTGCCTTTCTCGGTGTAGTCTGTTTGATTCTGATAAATCTCGAGTGATGATAAAGTGTTACCATTGAGAAGCATATGAGACCGTGCGCTGAAAGACTGGAAGTTCTTAGTGAGGTCAAAGACATGTTCGAGACCATAGTCAGTCAGATGAGTGATCATGGCGGAAAGGCACATTGTGACAAGTTCAGACAGTTGATGGACCTTGTCAAGCATGGCCGACTTCTCTTCTGATGCATCGTCCGACTGCATCTTACCGGCGTAGAAATCGGATACATGAGTGTATGCTTGAGCAGCAAACGTCTTTGCCTTTTCGGTGCGCTCCACACGTGCGCGGTCTCCGAAGACATTCGTTCTGCTGCCAGAAAGATGTTCGACCAATTTCTCGGTTGCCTTGGATACCGAGCCGACAATGAGAAATTCGCAGGGTGCAATATGAAGTAGACGAGTTTCAAGCTCGCTTCGCATGAAGCCATCGTAGAAATCATCATAGATAATATCGCCTGTTGTGGGTTGAACAGCGACTATACCAAGACGCACCTTCTCGTCGGTGCCTGAGCCTCCAGCGTTGGTTTCAGTCAGACAGAGAAGGTGGCCAGTTGCAGGAGCGCCACCAGCTGGAGCAGCCACAGGACCATCTAGGCCTTCTACATCATCAATATAGGTACCCTTTGTATACAAGTTGGTGAGCTTGCGAACGAATGGAGTATTGCGATTGTCGCCAGCCTTCTTCAGGGCGGCTGTTTCTAGTTGCCGTACAACGCCAACTTTGTGACCGGCAGAAACAAGGCGTTTGACATGGACATGTAAACGATGGGTGGGAAAGCTTGCCCCGGCAAATCTGTCAAGGTGTGCTTCGGAAGGATGTTCATCGAATCTCATTTTTCCAGGCACGCACATGATCTGCAACTCTTTTGCGGCGACGCGAGCATCATCACCGAAGAAACGAAACTTGTAACCCACTTCAACGGCTAGAAGCGTGTCCATGTGTTTCTTCTTGATATCAATGACTTGCTTCTCCATAGGCGTGAGTTTGCTGGCAGACTTCCGAGCAGCAGGGCCTTTTCTACCTTTTGCAGGTTTCTGAACTTCATCCTCTTCGTCGTCAAGATCCTCATCACCTTCAGCTTGATCCTCGTCAACGAAGTGATTACGACGCTTAATGTCGGCAAGACTGTCAGGTCTGCCAAGTTTCTTCACAAATGCTCGGTGCAAACGCTCTTTCTGCCTACGAGCAGCCTCGTCGTCTCGGTTGTGTTGAAGAGGTTGATGAGGTTGAGAACTCGAGAAGATATACTTCGTTGTCCGGTCGGAAACAGATGCAGGCAGATTGGCAATCGCGGTCTCATGTGGCTGTGCCTCGCTTTCTGGAAGCTCGGCATCCTGACGCGTTCTTTTGGAATCCGGCAAGTCATGCTCGTCGTCACTGTACTCCTCGAAAGGGCGTTTCGGTTTGAGAGGACTGCTGTTCAGCAATGCATGTCCAGCATCGTCATTGGTATCAGGCGCGTTGGAAATTGATGGTCTCTTGGTTGTGGATGGCGCAGGCGCGGTCGCCTTCTTCGCAGCGGGTTGCTTGGGTGTGAAGAAGCTTGAGATGGACTGCTGCTTCTTAGCTGAGGATTGAGAAGGCGGCGGACTGCTTCTTCCAAAAGCCATGTTCATGCAACTGGTCGACGAGTCTAGATTCTGAACGAATTGTCGCGGTGTAGCACGTCAATGGAGTGGACGTGTAACCAAGTCCGTGCACCGACCTCTTTCCGCGCCAAAATTGCACTTTACGCGCCTCGCGTCGAACGCGCTCCTTCCCAATCCTTGGACATTGACCGTTGAACATTGCTCATATCACTTGCACCTTCTTCAATTCATATCATCATATTCACAGTCGCGAGTCCAAAGTGTCAGCGGTAATGGCAGCATCAGTCCTAGGAAAGCGTACCAGGAGTTCAACAAATGGTACGAACAACTAAGACTACCCGACGCGTGCTTAGACATTGACAATATGAACAGCATCAGACACCGGTATTCAGACCAGGGCGAAGCGCCGCGAGACATTGGTCCTAGGAAATGACGAGAACGACAACCCATTCTTCAAACCAATTTCTTCTTCTGCAACACAATCACAACCCACATCCACACCCTCGAAACGCCCAACGTCGTCGCCGAATAAGATCAGTGCACACTTCTCTGTTTCGAAAACTACCAAATCATCTACTGTCGTCAAGTCAAGTCCACTTGCTACACCACAAACACCACGACACCGCGATGCCCTTGCATCAAAGATCACAATCACCCCAAGACATCGCCATCTCATTACTAGCAGTCCCGACACTCCTCGCAGTCCATACTCTCCCTGCAGTGCTGCCAACAATGTATACAACCAAGCTCGCCAAATCTTCTCAAGATGTACGGATCCTGGTGTATTGGTTGGAAGAGAGGAAGAGAAGGAACAACTGTCCACATTCATATCAGAACGCCTTGCCTCGAGCGAAGGTGGATGTCTGTACATCTCAGGGCCGCCAGGGACCGGAAAGAGTGCTTTTGTTGGCCAAGTTTGTCAAGGTCTTGCTTCAGACTCGGATCGTGAAATGTCCATGTCGACTGTTAATTGTATGAGTATCAAAACTGCCAAAGACCTCGCCAACACTTTGTCCAAGGATCTGCATCTCAACAGCCTTTCTGGACGCGCTGCCGACTTCGACTTTTTGCGCGCAAACTTCTTCGAGCAAGAAAGGAAGTACATCGTCATCCTGGACGAAATTGATCGCCTTGTTGATCTTGACCTCAAACTGCTGTACAGCCTTTTCGAATGGTCTATGGAGCCTTCTTCGAGTCTTATTCTTATTGGCATTGCTAATGCTCTTGATTTGACTGACCGTTTCCTGCCTCGCCTCAAGTCACGTAATCTCAAGCCGGATCTGCTGCCGTTCATGCCATACACTGCACCTCAAATCGCCAATATTATCACATCAAAACTCAAGGGATTGGATGCTTCAATGACAGACCCCAATTTCATTCCATTCTTACACCCTGCAGCAATCCAGTTCTGCTCCAAGAAGGTCGCGTCTCAAACTGGTGACCTCAGAAAAGCCTTTGATATCTGCAAAAGAGCTGTCGACATGATCGAGTCGGAGACCAAGGTTGAGCAGGCACGCATTCGTCTACAAGACAGCCCGTCTAAGACGCCACTCAAGGAGAACCTAAACCTGGCTTCTCCTGCCGTTAAGTTGGCAGCCTTCCAGAAGTCGGCTCTGAAGGACCCTCGTCAGACTACTCTTTTCCCTTCGATCGGCCATTTGACTCTCGAGACCGCGCCGAGAGCGACAATCGCCCACGTCGCCAAAGTCACAGCCGCTGTATTCAGCAATGGAGCATCTCAACGCCTAGCATCTCTCAATCTGCAGCAGAAGGCTGTGCTCTGTGCACTATCAGCACTCGAGAAGAAGAAACGCGAGGCGCCTAGCGTGGTCACTTTCCCAATGACGCCTTCAAAGCATGCCAACACTGCACCCACCATCAAGCAGCTGTATGAAGCCTATTGCACATTATGCAGCCGCGAGAATCTTCTGCAGGCTCTGACCAGCATCGAGTTCAGAGATGTGGTCAGTGGTCTGGAGACACTATCACTTGTCTCTGCTGTTGAAGCTAAGGGCGCTTCTTCCTTCTCAATGCCGTTGACACCTTCCCGCACACCCAGCAGAAAGTCCAAATCGGGATTCACCGGTGCAGCAATGGGCGATGATAGAAGAATGGCTGCTTGTGTTGGTCATGCCGAATTGATCTCTGCTCTCAAAGGACCTGGCAGTGACATTCTCAAGGAGATGATCGAAGGTGATGGCATCGTGGCATGATTCTGTTTTTGTTGTTTACTGGTTTCTGTTTTTTGTCATTGGCATCTTTGCATGTCTTGTTCTCATCATTGTTGCTTGCTTCTCATTTTTAGTATTAGCGTTTGCATGGCGAAGCCTACGGGCTGGATGTTTATTTTCTCATGATGTGGTTGTTATGGCTTATAGGAAGAAGAAGGAAAGGAAATACTTTAGCTGGACTGAAGAGTGGAGGACCATAGCTGGGATGGCTTTTTGTGATATCGGGATGAACGACCAGATAGATATAGTAGAGCTCTCAGAGCATAAGAAAGAATCAAAAGAACCAAAGATCCAAATTTTGATGAAGACATGGACGCAAATGTTATCGAATCGAAAGGCCACCGTTGTTATTCGCTATCAAATGCATAAGCAAAGGAAGTCTACCTAGCACCCACAGCACCATGCGGTACACCCTGCCTCCTCCTGGCAATAGCCTCACCCATAGCATTCCTGACCTCTGCATTACTCCTCACCGTATTGTCTACCAAGAACCTCTTCATCCTTCCCCTCATCTCCCTCATCGCACCCTCATCGTTTGCAAACGGCGTCATCTCCAATCCCATAAGCATATTAGCTTCATTCTCCAAAACGTGGCCCAACGCCCCCAATCTCTGCAACTGCTGTTGAGAAACCTGATCATTTTCCTCTGCCACTTTAGCAGCTTCACGGTTTGAAATCAAAGGTCCGATCTGTGAGAACGCGATAAAAGCCGTCAAGACCAATTTCCTGAGTAATGAAATAAGCTGAAAAGGCAAGAAAGGTCCATGATGAGGTATGACCCCGAACACAGGATTTGCGACCTTTGTCAACAAACGAGGAAAAGTTGGGTTAGTCAAGCAATGCACTTCAAACACGCCCAACGCAACCAAAGCGAGAAATCTCCACAAGGCGGCTTGTTTGATGTAGCCCAAGAAACCGAGTAGAGTCAAAACGCCAGCAGTGCCTGTGTAGTACATGAAGATGTGTCGAAGACCTATAGACAGGAAATCAGGGACTGTGGTTGCTTTTTGCCAGAAGAGGGTTTCGGGGCCGAGACGGTCGTAGGCGAAGCGGCGGACTGGATCGATCAAGATGTCGCGGCAAAGTTTCAGATGGACGTAGTAGGATTCTGCTGTGCTGCGGTCGGAGTCGGAAGATACTTTGTCTGGGTGATGGAGAAGGGTTCTTGCGCGCCGTCAGCTTCTTCTTAGAGATGGAAAGTTGTAGGCAGAATCTAAACATACAATCTTCTGAAGCGACTGTTGATTCCTCGTTCATCGACTGCCAATCCTACACCCAGGTCTTGATAGAAGTTTCCGGCCATGCGAAGTTGAAAGTCTGCTTCGTAGATTGTGTAGAGGAGATAGGCCACAATGACTATGATGTTGATTCGTCTGCGATGCTGCACAAATGTTCTTGTCCCAGGTTGAGGTTTGGGGTCACCTGCGCGTATCCAGACAGCATAGAAGGCTGATTGGGCCCATCCTGTCACCAGCTGCAGAGTCGAAAGTCAGTCAATTTGTTTTTGTCCCAGCTTGATGTGAATGGAAATAAATCTGACAAGGTCGAAGAGATAGAAACCGAATCTTGAGCATAGTGATTTTATTATGGTCAAGCTCAATGATTCTATGGCATCCAAGGGATAGTCTTCCATTTTGGTTGTGAGATATTGAGAAAGGATGAAAACACGAAACAAGACTTACATTGGGCAGGATATACCAACCAGCTAGAGAAAGCAAATTATCAGACATTTTGCTGGTCTGAGGTGGATTGCGAGCTAGATGCTCGATAGTTTGGCGATGTGTACTCGTTCGAGAGGTGTCAATGAAAGCTTGCCAAAAGTCATGGTTCAAGGGTTGCTTGGAGGTGGTCGGTCCTTGATCTCCGGGGGTCTTCGCAGTGCACGGACGGAAACCGCGTCTGCGCATAAACCTTCTTGTGAACGCCGACATTTTTTTGACAGTCCTATAGATTCTCAGTTGGTGGAACAACACACCTGCACAATGTCAACAGAAACCATGGCAAACACACCGAAATCTGCAAAGACGAAAAAGACAAAGGACGACAAGTCGGCAAAGAAGCGACGACACGATGAACAAGCCACAGCAGCTACACCAGCAGCAGCAGAAGAAACATCAGAGACGACAATCGAGAGTCTACCAAAGCGTCCGCGCATTGCTTCGCCAGCTGCAGATGCATCCACCACATCTCCTTTCGTCAAGCAAACCTCATCCTTCTATCTTCCTCTGTCGCCAATCTACCACGCCTTCCCCGTCGATGGCCTCTGCGCCGAACACATCTCTCCCCTTCTACTCACCTACCACCCACCTCTGCGCGGCGTAATCCTCTCCTACGAAAACCCCCGCCTCTCAAACAGTCCCGCCGACGCTCCATCCTCGCGCGACGGCCCCGATGCCGCTCCCACAGTCCTCGCAAAGTCAATCGACGAATACGCAGTCTCGTTTGTATGGCTAACCGTCGATTTCACGCTTTTGCGTCCCACTCCCGGTGCCGTCATCGAAGGCTTTGTCAGTCTCCAAAACGAATCCTATCTCGGTCTGGTGTGTTGGAATTTCTTCAACGCAGGCGTGGACCGCAAGCGCATCCCTTCAAACTGGAAATGGGTGCCCAACCACAACGCCAATGCCGGCACCAAGAGCGCAACAGACTGGATGAGAGGCCTACGCAACAAGAGCGATGAAAGCAGTGGTCACTACGTCGACGAAAACGGCAAGAAGATTGAAGGAAAGATCAAGTTCACAGTCAAAGATTTTGAATCTGCGCCTAGCACGGATCGCGAAAGAGGCTTTTTGAGTATTGAGGGTACTTTGTTGAGTCCAGAGGATGACAGAGCGTACGATAAGGAGCTCAAGGCTGCAAGAAGGGTGCCGAAAAAGAAGAGAGTGCCTGCTTTGAATGTCAACCCGGAATGGTAGAGGGTGTGCTGGCTTGCTCCTTCTTATCTTCTTTTTTTTTCCTCATGTTTTCCATCGTACATAAGCGTTCCCTTGTATTTCACCCATACCCATCCAGTTCCTTGGAAAAAGGCTGAAAAAACTTCTCTCTTACAACTTCCTTGCTTGCTCGTGTCTTTCAAGGCCCCCATCAGTATCTGGGAAGGAACATACGAATGGATCTGAAATCGATGAAATCGTCACAACTGCTCGAACAGAAATCGTTCAGCAATGGACGTAATTCGAGAACAATGAATAGAATAAAATGTTGGAAACGGCAAGATTCGATAGATTTTCTATGCTATGAAAAGGACAATGCTACTCTACAACTCTTCATGCTCGATAGGCTTTTCAGGCTCCTCAACCACAACAGAAGGGCTTGCAGAAGCAGACTCTGACGCCGACGACGTCTCACTGCTCGACTTTGCCTTCTTGCTCTTAGTAGCCTTAGGCTTCTTAGAGCTGCTGCTAGTGCTGCGCTTAGGCATCTGCATTTTCTTGGTCACCACGTCCATGAGTGCCTTGTTGAGCTCCTTAGCCTTGGTTTCGATTTCCTTGACTGTAAAGGCGGGGTCCTCAAAGGCTTGGAGCTTGTCTTGCTCGGCCACCTTGGTCTTGACCCATTCGGCGACGCTGTCGTAGACCTTGCTAATGGATGTAAGGTCTTCTTCGGTATAAGTGTAGAAGTAAGGTGACTCGCTGGCCTTGGCTGATGAGGAAGTCGATGAAGCATCAGGTTCTTCGAGATCGTCCAAATCGTCAGCAGAGCTAGGGCTAGGGCTGGCTTCGGCGGTTGTGCTGCTCGACAAAGCAGCTTCGGAGGCAGAGGAAACCGACTCAGCAATCTGCTTGCGGATGAGGTCGACCATTGACTTGGTCTGGTCGAGCGAGCTCTGCAACGTCTTGAGGATCTCGGGACGTGCTGAAGCTTCCTCTCTACGCTTCTGGACGGGGTCGACAATGGCCTTGAGGTCATTCAGCTTGCTCTTGAAAGCCTCGGCCTTTGCGGAAGAGCCTTCGCCATACAGCCAGTCGCTAGTGCTGCTGAGCAAAGAGGTCAACTGATCTCTGACAGCCTCGGTCGAGGCACCAATGAAGTCAGAGTTTTCGAGCAAATCTCTGGTGCGGTAAGTGTATGCTTCGAGAACGTTCAAGGCCTCTTCTCTCTGGATGCGAGACATGTCTGAACGGTCAAAGGCAGCGAGACGCTCCTTCATGCGCTTGATCTCTTCAGGTGCAGGTTGAGGAAGACCCTTGACAACAGTGGTGAACTTGACAGGGATGGTCTCGGTGCGCTTCTTCTTGCTGTCGGCTTCAGGAGTGGCCGAACCACTTGATTTGGCGTTGGCGGTACTGGAGGAAGAGCTGGCAGACGATGAGCTGGATTCTTTGACAGTCTCGACTTCCTCATCTTCGACAAGAGGTTCTTGATCGCCCTTCTTAGATCCAAATCCGAAGAGACCCTTAACTGAATCTCCAAGACCAGCGGCCTTGCCGCCCTCGACTTCACAGCTGACAGAAGCAGCAACAAGCTCAGGGATGCTATCGACAGGGCTGATACGGAGCTTGAGCTTGGTCGAAATCTCATCCTTAGCACAGCCAAACTTGGTGGTCAGAGCCTCGACAGAAGCGGTCAAGTTCTGGGTCTGCACCTCGGTGACCGGACGCTCAACACTGCCAACGGTCTGGAAGATGTTGAAGGTGAAGTCGTCAAGGTTCTTGATGGTGATCTCTTTGGCGGATCCAGCCTGAGATGTAGGAACGAACAGCTTTTGCTGTCTCTCCTTGCCGTCTGAAGGATACTTAATACCAGCGGGGTAGACAGCGGCTTCAAGGTCTCTAATCTCCTTGACACGGAAGCTAGGGCTGAGTCCAGCAGCTTTGAATGCGGCACCGAAAGCGGCCGATTCATCGGAGTTGACGTTGCTGCGAACTTCGGTGTTCTTGCCAGTCATGGACTCGAGCTTCTTCTGAACAAATGGTGTTCTGATAGCTCCGCCGTGAAGAATGACAGAGTCAAGATCCTTGAAAGACAGTTTAGCAGCATCCAGAGCCTGTTGAACAGGTGCCTCAATACGGTCAGCTTGAGAGGCGGCCATCTTCTCAAACTCGGCTCTGGTGAGCTTGGTAGCAAAGTCGATGTCCTTGTACAAGCCCTCGAAGCTCGATCTAACGTCAGAGTTGGCACTGAGAACCTGTCTTGCGCGCTCGGCTTCACGCCAAATCTTGGAAGCTGTTCTACCGTGGCTCTTGACCTCTTCGGCAGTGATGCCAGCCTTGACAGCCTGGGGTTTAGCGACAAAACTGTCGACGAGGTAGTCCACAATAAGTGCATTGAGCTCGTCTCCTCCAAGAGTCCTGTCCCAGCCAGCACCCATGACGGCGACCTCTTGAATAGTCTTGTTGAAGCGACCAATGTCCTTGACGTCCTTGGAAGAGAATCTGAGTACAGTAGCAGTCGTCGAACCGGCACCCATGTCAAAGACCATGTGGTACTCGGGCTTCTCGCCCTTGCTGACACTAGGGAAAGTGCGCTTGACGGCGTAATCGATACCAACAGCCAGTCCGTCGCTGACAAGACTCATAATGTTGATGCCAGCCAGATCAGCGGCACGTTCGATGGCACGTCTCTCATCGGCAGTCCAGTGGACGGGAACAGTGATGACGGCGTCTGTGACAGAGCCTCCCTTGCCGCCAGACATGGCCTCGGCATTTGTGCGAATGTTCTTGAGCTCCATGGCCAGCAGCTCGTCGAGGCTCCATGGTGCTTCAGATGAGCTGAAGGCACTGGGAACGAACGAGACTGCTCCCTTCTCTTCCTCAAAGTTTGACTTGATTGCGGGGTGGCGTGCGTGGTAGTTTTTGATCATGTTGTCGGCGTGTTCGCCAGGAACGAGGCCGAGGAGGGACTTGAGGTTTGTGAAGACATCGCTAGGGAAGCGACCACCAAGGGCTAGAGCATCTCCGCCGTAAAGTCTTTCCGGGTATGAGCCAAATTCGAGAGCGGAACCAGATACAGGCTTGAAACCAACAACAGCGGCCTCTTTGCGTTTTGAGTCCTTGGTGGGAACGATATCGAGGGGAACTCCGGGCTTTACGATTGCTGCTTTGATGTATGTACCGCCGAGATCAATTCCTAGCACTGCCGATGCTGCAGATGCCGTCGAGGCAAATGCGACGAACAGAAAAGCGAATAGCATAAAGGGGTGGGCGATGCCTCCCATCTTGGCCATGGTCATGAGGCTGAGAGGACTATAAAATAGTCGTTAGGTAGCTCCTTTAATGTGATTGAGGAGCTCAGTCGACAAGAAGGATGGAGGAACTCGGTTCAAAGTCTAGTTCAGGACAGCACTCGACATGACTCTTGCCAAAGTGACAGGTGTTTGAATGACTCTTCTATCATCAACTTTTTTGAAACGTGTACTGCCACTTGTCTCTTCCCCGAGCTGTCGCGCAATCGCCGCATCTAGGATCTAATCTTATCTCGCAGTCACCGTCGCTGAGTCTGTGCACTGACGGCAGCCACGGAGGATCATCGGAAGTCAGCACACAACGCCAAGCCGCACGACGCGAATTTGGCAATTCGTGGAGCATACTCACAGTCTGTCTGAAGATTCGATCCCAGTAGTCGACGCCTTTTTTCCTTCGCCCTCGCCCATTTCACAGAAGAAGCTATCTCAGCTCATCACACAAGACTTCAAAATGGAATCCGCCAAGGTCCCCGTCAAGCTCGTCAAGGTCACCCGCGTCCTCGGCCGTACCGGTACGTTCACGCATAAGAACGACGACAATCCTCCATTGCCCGCCGCCGAGAAAGAGTCTACTGGAAAGAGGAGGACTGCGCATACCGAAGAAGACACTCTGGACGACTCGGACACGGCCATGGAGGATTGCACAAACTGCAGGACAAATTGCTGACGGTTTTTTGCGACACAGGCTCTCGCGGTGGTGTTACCCAGGTTCGCGTTGAGTTCATGGACGACACTACCCGTTCCATCATCCGTAACGTCAAGGGTCCCGGTACGATTCTCTCGCCTTGACCGCCGCCGTGCGATTCTCGAAAGACTAACACCGCATCTTCAGTCCGTGAGGACGACATCCTCTGCCTGCTCGAGTCCGAGCGTGAGGCCCGCCGTCTCCGATAAGCGACCAACGCATCGCCCCCTTCCAAAACCGTCAACCGCAACACTTTCTATTCCAAAGATCGATCGACTGTTCCACCCTCTCGTCGATGTTGACTTCTCTCACCTCAACCCTCTTCTATGATACCGCTGGCTTGGGGAGATGTTGAAGGGGAGTCTCGTTGCGGGCGCAAAAGTGCAAAGTTCTCTGATTACGATGATGTCGCCTGGGGGTCTTTTATGATGGGTCGGGAGCTGCTGCGTAGTTTCTTCTAGCAAGGAGCCGGACAAGAAAAAAAGGAAATACGAAAACAAAAAGCTTCGACGACAATTCATATCTTCCTCTTTTTCACCTGGGCTTGTCAAGTTCTGCGCGTTTGTTGTGCTGACAGGAAAAGGATGATTTATGCGACACAAAAAAGTCTTGGGCGTTCTGGTCTGGTCTGGTCTGGTTTCGGTAGGCAATGCAGTTTTGTTCATCTCTAACGCCATCCATCTGCCGCGTCACATTCGCTCGAACCAGATATCTGTCGACCACGAAGACCTCGGCTTTGGCTTGTCTGGCTTGATCCCATCACCTTGCGCCCAGACATGCCTCACCACACTTGGACTGCGATTCGACTTTTGGCAACTGCTCACGACTCCCAATATACCAACCACGCCACACACAGCTGAACGCCTTGAACGTAATATTTTGTCACTTCGTCGTTCCTCCTCTCGTATTGATCAAGGCAGTGGCAAGTATGTCGAATGTCGTGTGCCACCAAGGTAGGTCTGAAACTGGTGGTGATTCGCCGAAACAAACTCATGTTGCTGCCTCGGCATTCTTAGTAAGCTGCTCCATGTCCTATAGGTATATATTCTTCGTTCCCCCTCTCATTTCTCCTTTTCTTTCCTTCTCATACTCCTTTCTCTGCTTTGCAGTGTTACTGGATCACTCGCTACTTCTGTGGCTCTGGTGGTGTTTGGCGAGGCGAGCATTCTTCGTGCTTAGCACACGGTGGAGGACGGCTTCGGCCCTCTCTCTCACCTTTTTGAGGCAGTCTCATCAACCATCATCATCCACAGGGGGGATCCAGCCTCCACACAGACAGGAAGTGATGGCGCGGCCAGCACTCTCGTGCTTTGCACATGGTAGCGGAGCGGCTTCGTGCCCCTTCGTCTTATCATTCTGAGGCCGTCGCGTCACACCACTCTTGTCAAAAACATGGCTGGTATCTAGAGTGTTCAAAAGGGCTCTGCCTTCAGTGGAAGGTGTTACTTGATCAAGTACAATCAATCTTTGGAAACTAGGTTGCCTGGTAACAGGTTCGGAACTTCTCCGATTTCTTTACTTTTTTGTATTTTTTTCATCTGTTCTCTGGCTTGCGAGCTGGGTGCCGAAGAAGAAGATATCAGGTGTTGGCGTCGTTAGTATAGGCTTCATTCGATGGTGTGTTTTTGCAGTACAAGCATATCGGCTATAGGCCCTTCTGCTTTGTCTCCCAGCCTACAACTTGCTGTCGCGCGCGACGAAGCTTTGTCCTCTCTTCAACATGTTAACTGCCTCTCTAACCATATCTTCAACGATGTCCTTTGCAGGCTTCACGTCGCCGATCACACCAGCTACTGTACCCATCAAGAATGGCAAGTCGACGTCTCTATCGTCGTCCATGTCTTTCTGCATCGGCACTATGCCTTGCTCGGTCAGTCGCTTGATTTCCTCTGGTCTGTTCTCCCATGACTGGATATAGTCGTTCATGCGAACGCGAAGGGGCCGACCGCTGACGACCAACGTACGCAATGTGTCCTCGAACTTGGCCGATACTACTGCTTCTTTATGCAGCTTCGAGCATCCGGCTTCGACACTTGCAACGAACCTGTCACCGCAGAGTCAGCTCTCGAAACTTCAGGTAGCTTGAGAATCTTCTTACCTCGTTCCAACCCATACACCAGCAGCTCCCTGCATCAAGGCAGCTGCTAGACTTCTTCCATTGTATATACCCCCTGCTGCTACCACTAGAGTAGGCTCACCAGTCAATGGACTCTTGTACCTGCTGGCGGTATCCACAACAGCTGGAATCAGGATATTGCCAGGAATGTCACCTGTATGACCTCCACCCTCTCCACCTTGCGCGCAAACACAATCGACACCAGCCTCTAGTGCTTTGATTGCATGTTTAGGATGCCCGACCATATTCATAACCAGAATACCATTTTCATGCAAGCGGTCGATGACTCGTTTCGGCGGCACACCCACAGCACTGATAAACAACTTCGCTCCTTCCTCGATAACGACATCAATCAACTGATCCAGTTGCCCATGAGTATAGTCATGATTAGTCTTTCGCGCCGAGCCACCTACTTGAGGCAAAGCAAGGTCAACGCCAAAAGGTAGATCTGGAGAAGCGAGATGTGACTTCAGATCCGTGATGATGTCTCGTAGTTGCTGAGGATTGTATCCTAGACCACCGATGGTGCCTAGGCCGCCTGCATTTGAGACTGCAGCGGCGAGGGGCCCGGAAGATGTGCGAGCCATGCCTGCAAGTAAGATCGGATATTTGATGCCGAGCAGGGTGGTCAGAGGTGTGGTAAGCGTGGGCATGGTGGCCATGATAATTTTGCAGTTTACGTTATGAACTTGGAGTTGGAACAAGTAGCTACCTAAAACACCGCGTCGTCTTCTTTTCTAATATATAACTACTATCACGGATCCTCTGCCGGCCTGAAAAGAGGTCAAGTGATGCGGAGAGAGAAGTTGAAGCGGGGGACCATGCCGAGGCTCGCCAGCGATGATCGTCGACCACACTTGCTGCTCCTTCCTTCCTCACCTGACAACGTGGCTCGGATTGCTGACTGCGCTTGAAGTCAGAAGGAGTCAATGTCCATGGTTGTCTAAGCCGTGATGCTTGATCCTACGAGTTGCCGGTGCAGCCGGCAGACCATTCTCGATACCAAGTATCATGTACTACATGGATAGAAGCCTCAGATGTAGTAAGCAATCCGACAAGGATTCCATTCAAAAGCCATGAACATGGCCAGCAATGCCCTTTGTCTTGGGCCAGCATCAAGATCATCCCTAGACCCAGAAAATGGCAGCTGTACAGGGTCCCACTTTCCCAACGCCAGTAATAACCAGCGACCAGCTCAAGGGCAACTTACCCACCGTCACAATCGACGAGAATGTCGATTGTGCTGCAATAGCCACCTCATGCATTGCCCGTCTCCAAAACCTGCAGCAAAGCGACCTGACCGACGATGCATTATGGAGAGACTCTCTGAGCATCACTGAACACCAGCGAACCTTCAACAGTGCAACATCCATAATTGCTGTCTGGAATGAGTTGAAGGCCAGATGCCAACCTCACAACTTTCGACTTGTACCAAACACGGCGATGGTATTTAGACTGGGACCCCGTCCAGCTTGGCTTACTGCTGCTTTCACATTTGAGACCGATGGATCTCATCCTGCTGAATGCTCAGGCCGATTGAACATGGTTCCTGACGACAGCAGCGACTATAAGATCTGGGTCTTCTGCACAATCATTGAGGCACTCAAGGATCATGATGGACATGGAAACCCAGACAGCCTCCCCGATCCAAAGTTCGCGCCAGCTGCCAACCTCGAAGTTGGCGGTAAAATTGATTGCATCATTGCAGGAGGCGGTATGGCTGGTCTCTGTGCTGCAGGAAGACTGCACGCACTTCGCATTCCCTATCTCGTCGTCGAACGCAATGCTTCAGTTGGCGACAACTGGACTAAGCGATATGACTCTATGCATCTACACCTCTCAAACAGCTATAGCGAGATGCCATTTCAACGTGTGTATCTTGACAAGCCATACAATCTCAGCAGTCGAGACTTGGCCGACGGCATGCAGAAATACGTCGACATGCACAATATCCAAATCTGGCTGTCAAGTTCGGTAGACCAAGCACGCTGGGACGAAAACACCAAGAGCTGGACCGTGACTGTAAGCAAACAAGGACAACTTTGCAAGTTCAGGGCAAAACACCTCGTCATGGCCATTGGAGGCGGCTTGGATGTACCGAGACTCCCTAAAGAATATGCCAATCGCGACGAGTACCAGGGTACCGTGCTACATTCCATAGACTGGAAAAACGCAGACGCTTTTACTGGCAAAAAGGGTGTAATCATCGGGTCGGCCAACAGCGCCTTCGACATAGCCAAAAACATGGTCGACAGCAACATGTCAGAGATCACCATGGTTCAACGCAGCACAACCCACGTCATCTCAACCAAAGTGTTCTACCCCTTGATCGATCCTCTCTACAATCCAGAAACCGACGTAGGGCTCTCGGATAGATTGATGCTGACACCACCCTACGCAGTAGGCAGATTAGCAATCATGGCAGGGGCAACAGCTCTTCAATCTCAAGATCCAGACCACTACTCCTACCTCCAAGCAGCAGGTTTCAAATACCACCAAAGCCCAGATCTGCTCGCCGACGCACTCGAAAGATTCGGCGGTCATGTATTGGATCACGGTACTGTGTCTTCAGTCTTCAACTCTGGAAAATTCAAAGTCAAATCTGGCATTTTACCTGTTTCATTCACGAGAACTGGCTTGCGCTTTCAGGATGGCAGTGAAGTCGATGCAGATGTAATAGTCCTAGCCACAGGCTTCAGAAGCAACTTGCGCGAAAGTGTTGCCGCCATAGTCGGTTCTTCTACCGCCAACTGCCTCGACGATTTCTTCGGTCTCGATGCCGAAGGAGAGATTAGAGGATTGGCTAAACCTATTGGTCGTGAGTGTGCAGCTCAGAGGATTAGACAAGAACGTTTTGAGCTGACGACAGAAACACAGATCCAGGGATTTGGTATCTCGGAGGCGGTACCGCCAATGCTCGTTTCCATTCTAGAGTGCTGGCCATGCAGATTGCTGCTGATGTTAGAGGGAGGCCTTTTGTACCCTATACTGCTACTCCTTGAGAGAGGTTGCATCATTCTTCAGAATCGACCAAAGATGCGTATGTGGAATCTGTTCTCTTTTGACTTGGTGGGAAGCAAGTACAAGCCAAAACAAAACACAAAGACATTGTTCGCACCCGAGAGTACTTCTCTAAAGTTTCAGCTTTTGAACAAACTTATGACCTTGCTCGTATCGCTGTTGCATGTACTCTTGTTTGCTAGAGCTCGATGAGAGGGCCCTTAAATACAAGCAGGGTCATACATTCAGCAACAATGATTTGACTTTCTATGAGCTCAATGAAGAACAACGATAGCTGTCACACTAAAGGACGTTATTTGAAGTTCTGTTAACCTCCATTGAGAAATTTGTACTACGTTGCTGCGATTCTGGGTCAACGACCGGTGCTGCCATTCCCAAAGCAAAATCCAAAATCCTGGAGGGTCGATCACGGTGCTCGAGTAAGCAAACCTGACCTTATTTGCACTGGACAGCAAACAATCAGAGAAAGCAAAAGCATCGTTGATGGTATCTAGGTACAAGCAATACACGACTTCCTCGTTCTGTGATTCCGTAGTTCACACTTCTTGTCTCATCATCGTCTTCCTCATGAGCAATTGAACGTAATCCTCGTGTCTCTCTTCAATTTTGCATGCTCAAACGCAGCATCTCAGCCTCAGAGATCACGGTAAAGCCAGTCTTCTTCGATCTAGCGATGGTTTTTGCAGGGTGGTAATCAGTAGCGGTGCCGACCCTTTTGCAAATTCTGGGGGCCCTTGTAGGAATAGCAACGGCTTTACGAGGCACATGAAGCACATCTTTGCCATCAGGAGCATCCACAACGCATGCAGGATATTGGTCGCATGCAGTGTGCATACTGACGTCGGAGACGTTCCTCATAGAGCCATGGTCAGGTGGTGGAGTGTCTGAAGAGCCATCGAGCATGGCAATACCACGTTCAATGAGTTCAGGGACGATGGCGTTGGCAATTTCTCTGACTTGATCGCTCGGAAGTCTTGTCATCTGAGTTTGCTGACTACCAGACTGAGGTGCATGGATGAAATTCGACAGAGGGGCTCCAAAGGTGTAACCTGACGAGAAGTCAGAAGGTGTAGTCAAGTCACTGAAATCCAGGTGGTCACTATCAGTAAAGACCTGATCGAAAGTCTGGAGAGGCGCTGTGCTCGATGGATGAGAGATTGGTCCATCGATACCAGAAGCAGCTACAGAGTGCGGAAGTATGAATTTGCTGTCTTCAGAGCTAGTGGCTTGATCACCGACGGGACAAGACACGTGAGGCACATTGCCACATCCGAGAGAGTCTTCTGATTTGATGAAAAGTCGAGGATCTGGCCATGCAACTCCGGCCTTGCGCAGAAGATCTGATGACGGTGTGTCAGCAGGATGAGGACAACAAGAACATGTCACTCACTCTGAGGAGCATGTATCCATTTGAAGGTGATGATGTCTTTGACAGGACTAAAGTGATGCTTGCCAGTGCTAGCTGCTTCGTAGAAGTAACCTTCAGACAGGCAAACTGTGATGCGTCCAACGTTATCGGCAATGTGGAGCTGGAGCTGATCGCGCATGGCTTGGTGGAAGGGAGGGAAGAGCAGTCTGCTAGCTGCCGAGTGGAAGACCTGGTGAGGGAAGTTGCCATCTGGGTTGATTTTCTGAACTCTGTGTCATATTTTTAGTACTGGCGTAGTTTGTAACACCGGACTGGTCACACGAGAGTAACTAACGCAACTGATTTGCCGTCAATGGCAACGTGCATTGCCAGGATGATGCGGTTGCCTCTCACAAACTGGGGAGACGATATGACTGGCTTGGACCACGAGTGTAAGGAGATCTTGAAAGGAGTTCCGCGAGGCAACGAAGGAATGTAAGCGTTGAGTGTTGGAGACAAGCCAATTGCTAGAAATAGTTGTCAGCATGGGGTCTTGAAGAAGAGACAGGGTTAGACGTACGAGTAACAATGCCGAAGCACTCAGTACGAAACTCCTGGATGGGTGTGCTAGACACCTGCGGAAAGAGCAGGATGTCCCAGTTCTCGAAGCGCATGATGAAAGATTCAAAGTAATACGCTATCGATGCTTTGAGGCTTGTCGGAAGGCAGATTCGACGCGCGAATCAACACGACGGAGTTGGTTGTTGAGATGATGAAGAAGAATGAATGTAGCAGAAGAAAGCTACTGATGTCAACAATGATGCGTGGCCCAACGTATGTCAGAAGGAAAGAACGACCAAACGCCAAAGCCTTGTCAAGCGAACGGAGTTAAGTACCTTAAGTATGCTCCTTCCAGCTGTGAAGTTGGTTCCTCTCTGGGCTTTCGTCGAGCATTACGTCGAGTTTATTGGGCTCGACGAAAACTGGCGAAGGAGTTTCCATGTCCATATACCTTTTGTATCTTGACTGTTCCCTCACTTATCGTCCTTTATTTTCACTTAGCTCGCATTGAGGGGTTAGTAGCTTGCGAGCAGACGTACTACCATCCTCCGAGTGTGTCAGTCTGACCCGAGGCTTTGACTGTTTATATCAATATCAGAGCCTGTTATCCATGTGCCCTCCTGCGACCCAGCTCACTTGTCACTTCACTGAGCTCACACTTCTTCACCACCTGCACAACACTAAATCAGCTGTGTTTCCTCTGTTATGCTTGCCCTTGAGCCTGTACCGCTTACACAGAAGTTAGCCATGAGCCCTTGGAGTATTGTCTTGTTGGCTACAAGTGATCCGGTTGTGAACCCGTGGTGTACCGATGTTGAAGCTTCTGTATAGAAGCTGTCGTTTGTCTAGATGTTGCCGATACGATTGCCTCTCGGAAGTGGATTATAGCCATCCAATGCTTCTTGATGGCCTATTATGCGCCCTCTAAAGCAAAGACTTGACAATAACTTCCTTCATGAAGATTCAAGATAAGTGATTCATCCATTCGTGGCTGTCCGTTTGAGCCACTTGTCTAAGAGATAGGTCCTCAGCTACATAACTCGACCAATTCCTGTCTACGACTTGTAAGCAAAAATACTTGACAGATTTTCGCACCACCTGCGTATACCTCTGATGCCTCCTAAAAGTGCATTGAACGCCACAACAAGTGCTCATGGCATTTCAAGATTGCCAACCACATTCAAGCAAGACCGTACACAAACATTGGAAAAATCAGAACTCATACCATTTTGGCCCTCCTTTTGGGTAGTAAGAAACTGTAAAACGCAAGGGTAATAGTAAACGAGCAAATAACTACATTGAGATGGGCCATCGAGGCGAAGCATAGACATTCCTATGCTTGCACCATCGATGAACCAAAAAAAGAATAGGAGAGATAAGAAATAGAGAAAAGACTGAACCAGGCCAACGTCGAGTTCAGAGAGCTTGCAACTTTTAAAAAAAAGAGCCCCATCCATCCTTCGCCGCATGACTGTGTTGAATTCGTGTGATTGCTGAAAGGACTGACGCCGAGAGGGGGAAAAAGAACAAGGAGGTCGTGAGGGGGCATGCAATAAGCAGGATAGATTCGTCGAAGTAAAGCCAGTCACATGAACCTGTCCAACTCCCGCTAAAAAACCACTCAAGGCTCAAGGAAAAACTGCTTACTGTTGATGGTTAGAGGCATCTGGGGACCAGAACTGCTGTTGCTGCTGCTGTTGTCCACTCACTTTCATAGGGGCGAAGCCACCGTAAGGGTGTTGAGGAGGCATGCCCATCGAAGGGTAAACCGGTGGTGGGGGAGCGGGGCGGTAAGGAGTGCCGGCAGGGCCAGAGTTGTTCTGGCTGCGACCCCAGCTGAGACGGACACGCGAGTTACCGATGGGGTAGCCCTGCATCTGGTTGATGGCCATCTCGGCAGCGTGGCGCTGAACGAACTGGACGAAACCGCAGCCCTTGCCGGGAGGGATCTTGACGTATGTGATTTCACCGAAGCCCTGGAAGAAGGAGCGGAGCTCATCCTCGGTGACGTAGCCACTAAGACCGCCGACGAAGACGGTGGTGTTGTTAGGGTCGGTGAACTGGTTCATTGGCTGAGGAGCACCGTAGAAACCAAGAGGAGGGGCACCCATGCCGTACATGCCAACGGGACCACCGGGCATACCTCCCATGCCTCCAGGACCGGCGTGCTGGTTCTTGTTCTTGGGAGTAGCAGTGCTGATGCGCATGGGTCTGTTGCCGCAGTAAACGCCCTGCATCTCGGTAAGGGCACGCTGTTGGTCTGCCTCATCGGAGAAGCGGACGAAACCGTAGCCGCGAGAAAGGCCGCTGATCGGGTCTGACATTATCTTGGCCGACTTGCAGCTGGGGAAGCGGTTCTGGAAAATGCTGACGAGAACGTACTCGTTGACCTCAGGGCCGAGATCGCCAACAAAGATGGAGTACTCGGGGCCACGGTCATCACGGCTGCGGTCAGCAAGACCACCACCCGAAGCCCAGTTGAGCTTGAAGGGACGGTTTGAGTTGGGGATGAGAGTGCCGTTGAGCTGAAGAGCCTTGGTGGCAGCGTCAGGAGATTCAAAATCGACGAAGCAGTATCCAGCATTACTTCTAGCCGAGTATGGTTAGCATTCCATTCTTTCCGAGGCATGTTCAAGCTACTCACCCGGAGAATTTGTCGCGGATCATCTTGACGTTGACCTGGTAGCCCATGCCGAACCAGACGCTTCTGACGAAGTTCTCATCGATCCAGGGCTCGAGCTCACCCATCCTGTATTTTGTCTTAGTTGATGCTCGTTGTTCCGCTCAGATTCAAAGTTCAACATACCACAAGGTGGTCTTGGGCTCGCCGCCGGACTGAGAGCCAGGGCCGGGTGCGGATCCAGGTGCGCCAGAAGGAGTAGGAGGGAATTGGCCCTGTTGAGACTCAATGGGCTGGCCCATGGGAGTTTGCTGAGGCTGAGCGGCGGGAGCGCCAGATTCTTCGGGTTGCTGACCCTGGAAAGAGTCGCCGAATTGTTGGAAACTCATTTTCGATGGTGATGATGTTATCGCAAAAGTCGAGATAAATTAAGAACACCGAGATCTGAATGAGACAGTCAGTGACAGGTCTCAGGACAAGGGATGAAGCGGGTTGTCGCGTACTCAAAAATCGTGCGGCGTAGTGAGTAAGATATGCTTGTCGCGATTGGAGATCGACGCAAGTTATAGGGAAGCTTGATAAAGCTGGTGTTGTATCGCTCGGAAAGACAGGTAAAGAATCGAAGACGTTGGGTGTTGTTCGATGCAATTCCTGAATGTGACGGTGAAAGCTCAGACGAGTCGTACTTTGGCCAAAGGAATGTCCGTTGACAATAGTTCACTTGCAAGCTGTCACTTCAGTTAGCGCGAGTTGGGCCAGATGCGCGACAATGAGCCAAGCAAGATGAAGTGCAATGATGTGGCGATGGGAGTAAGGAGATGGTTGTGACAAGTGTGGTGAAAAGCCAGCTCGGCAGCCTCGGCGGGGTCGAGGATTCGCGGCAGCGACGCGAAAGCTTTAAGTGCTCACGAGCTCAATAGCGACAATGCTGAGAACGTGGTTCGAGGGCCCGGACGGAGCGGCCGAGACAGCGTGGAAGATGGGATACGGGATCGGACAGATGCAACTCCTCATGGCGACACCAGAGAGGATGGCGAAAGCCATTGGTCATGAAGATCGGCTACCAGGGTGTCGGGAGGGAGATGACTGTGGATGAGCAAAATGAAAAGCGACATACCGGCAGCACGGGTGCAAATAGAGCAGGAGCGGGAAGCAAAGGACGAGACGAAAGACGACGAAAGAACCGCGGGAATAGCACAAGGAAAAGATGCTGTTTGCGCGCGACAGGGAGTCAGGGAGGAGCTTTGATCGAGCAACGTCGAGACACTGAGAACTGCCAAGTTGACCGTTGTTGCCCCAATGGAATCACGTGTACAGGCAGATCGCTCCTGCCTGACGCAACCTCGAAGATCCTGTGGGGATAGGGGCGGAACCGGCATTCGGGTTCATCAATCTCGAATCGCCTTGAAGGCATCATTCCTATCTTTATATTGCTGCCAAGTTTAGCCGCACGATTGCGCATTCAGGAGGAGAGGCAGATGCTGCTCATTCGGCTGGCTTTGTGAGCACGGAGCCTCTCGCACGGTATCGTCCAGCAAGGTGACACTGACATCTAAGCTTCAGGAGCTTCAAACATGGACATAAAAACTGGTATTCATTCATTCATTCGCTAAATTGATAATCGACCCTGGCCCAGCCGGGCTCCATGCAAAAGGTATAGTCACTCATATTGAGTCTTTTCCCAGGCAATCTATGCCTGCTCGGGGATGCCTGGTGCAATCAATGTCAGTCATCAGGTCATACGAGGACGTAAGTAAAGTGCGGACTTACCAGCAGCCTGCTTGGCCTCGCCGAAAGAATCTCTGCCACTGGCAAAGACCTTGTCAAAGTCGTACTCGAACCAACGAATGTCAGGGCTCAATCCAGCGAACTTCCACTCGCCGTTGATCTTCTTGTACCAGTGCTTGTTGGTGCTGTGAGCGTGGCCCTTGACAGCAACCTTTGCTCTGGACTCATCAGTGTACTTCTGGTGAGGAACACGAAGCTGGTGCCAGCCAATGATCTCAGTGTCAGAGACCTTCTCCCATCTAGTGCCACCGATAAAGTGCTGGGTCTTGAGGAGAGGGTCGCCGAGCACGTTAGGGTCAGATGCCATCTTGATGAACTCGTCGGCAGGCATGGCCTCCCAGATCTTGTCGAGGAACGAACGGTAGTCGATGATAAGTTCGGGCGCAATAACGGTCTCGAGTCTCTTCCAGTCCTGCAGTAAAATGTCAATCCTTTTGATCCTTGAACCAACGATCAGTCTAGGATGCTCACCTTGGTGTCGTAGCTGTCTGCCCAGTTGAAGCAGGCGGCCATGCAGCCAAGCATTTCTACAGGTTATTAGCATTTCTGATCAAATCGAAAACCGCTTGCTCGGAACACAGGCTGTGCCTGAAGATCTTGTTCTTCAAACAGCATGCGCGTGTCTGCAAGGGTTTGCGATGTTTGGATTTAGCATACCCTCGTGTGATGGGTAGTTGGTCATGGTGATGGTGATGAATGTGCGATGATAACTCTGGAATCACGATCACAGCGAACAGCTCTGTATCTATATACCTGCCTCTGTCAAAGCATTTCTATCCCGGGAGTCTCAAACATTAGATATGTTGTTGCCCCACCATGTCCGAACGGAGTTGTTTGAGGGGCCGAAAGTCTGGCTGTACCTGATGCAAGCAATCCTCAGGTACCAGCTAAACCATCGACATGTGCACACTACAGGTTTGCTCGAAACTTTCAGTCGCTCCAAGCAGCAACATTTTGGTACTACAAGTAAAACGCGCTGATTTCTGCTTCTGTTTTAATAGAGTCGAGCTTTCAGGATGCGATTTGACAGAGCATAGAAATGTAACAGCAGACTGCCAAGCTGGTAAAGATCAAGGTGCCGCAGGGCCCAAGCCGGACGGCATTTTTAGCAACCCCCACTCTCGACGCTTCGGACATTTTTCTGAATCGCAGGCGTCATTGGGTCGATGAGCGCGAAGGCCGAGCAGCGAGACGTGAGATGTCGCAGAATGCGTTGACCACAAATAGTTCGGAGAATTTCATGTCTGACCTGAGTTTGAGCTAGCCGACACGGGCCTCTGTAGAAGCAAGAGCATGGATTGTTGCTTATGGCAGCGAGTTGGGAGGAAAAGGATGATTGCATGAGTGCAAGGCTGGAGATGGAGATGAGAGATCATGATCCTGGCAACGGTATTTTCCCGAAGCGGCAATCTGTTGATGGGCGTCGTCACAACCAAACAGCAAATTCAGACATGTCATTCACATCAATGTAAAGTGTCCGGCCCACATAAACATCTGGGAACCACCATCGTGCACAATGGACCATGACACGCTTAACACGGCGTCGACATACCTGAACAATCTCCTGTTGGCTCGAGGTCTGCTCCGAGACAGCAAGTCTCTCGACTTCGCCAAACCGACTCGAGAAACACGAGCTCAGATTATCAACCTTGTCCACGATCTCCTCTTGCGCCGCGACCGGGACCAGGAGAACCGCGAGCAGATTGCCTTGACTCTTCGCACTCTCCGAATTGACCAGACTCGCAAAGATGGCGACCTCGAACGACTACAAACTCGACTCGATGTCCAAGAGCGCTCCCTGCAGCAAGCACAAACAGAAGCCAGGAACGCCAAGATCGAAATGCGCAAACTCGAGTCGACTTCCAAAGCACTGAACGACCAACTTGGACGATTGAAGGCGTCCGTCTCGCAGATCAAAACACAATGTGCCAACGATGTACGGAAACGCGACATGCACATCGAGCGCCTCAAATCACATCTCCAAGGCCAACAGAGGGGCAACAAAGGCGGTCTTGTTGCTCCCACAATCTCTGTCGGCGGCAGAGGTCCACACTCGTTCAACGCCTCAGTACGAGACATCTCGGATCCCGAATACAACCTGAAGCAAGAGACGACCGACTTCCTTACACAACTAAGCTCTGGTCTGAGCGACGAGAACGACGCTCTAATCGAGATGATCCGTGGAACATTGGCCACGTTGAGAGAACTACTCGGAGTACCAGAGCAGAACTTGGACAGCACTATTGACGGCATCGAAAACGAAGATGGCTTTGCACATGGGTCTCTCGCTGAAGAGCTTGAATCAATGCTCAATATGCTCAAGACTGTCTTGACAAACCCCAACTTCGTCTCTATGGATGAGGTCGAAGCAAGAGATGACGAGATAGCACGACTGAGAGAAGGCTGGGACCAGATGGAGGCAAGGTGGAGAGATCTGCTCTTCATGATGAACGGCTGGTGCACAAGGCTGGAGAAGAGCGGCGACACAATCAATCTCGACGAACTTAAGAAGGGTCTCGGTTTGGGTGTCGGTCTCGAGGCCCCTCCGACTGCTCAGAAGCTCCGCGCCAGTCAACATGCTCGCTCCAACAGTGACCATGATAGCGGCATCCACACCCTAAGTCCGACTCCTTCAGAAAGCCACGCCGCTCCACCAAGTACTGCAAAATCGCAGAGAAGCATAGACCCACCAGAGTTCTTCAACCTCAATCCTCGAGGACAGCGTACTACGCTCAATAAAACGAGCCACAATATCCAATCACCGCGTAAAGTCGCATTTGCCATGGATGCCTCCGAGAACACCGACCCGGCCGAGCCAGCCCCAGGCACTCTCGATACGCCCGTCTTCGTCAAGGCTTCTGCGACCAGATCTTCGCTTCCCACACGCCGCCAACTAGACCTCACCCCATCCGCTGGCTCACATGACAGACTTGTGAGTACCATTGCCTAGCCGCATCTGTACAGTACTTTGAGTTAACGAAAGTATAGAGTTCTCAATCACGCGGCTCTTCACCGCCACGAAGACCTGTGGATTCTCCATCCGAGCACTTGCCGCAAGGGGAGGATGAAGAGTGTCGGGAAGAAGGTAATTCTCGATTGTCGGTCGAGGAAAAGCTGCGCCTTGCACAAGCTGAAGCTGAGGCTGCAGGTGGAGCACCAACCAAGGGTCCAGATGAGGACTCGCAATTTGACATCGACCTCGATGAGGAGATGAGCAAGCTTCGGAGTCCCGCGAAGAAGACCAAGATTCAAGGCAGGCCGAAGCGCAGGAAGAGTACGCTTAGTCCGGAAGAATTGGAGGATCTTCTGGGACTCGAGTAACGAAGAAAACGACTCATCACCAACCTTAGTTGAAAGCTTACGGATTGTTCACGACCCATGAGATACCATTATCACAATCATCACTCTTAGCTTGTTCGTCTTGACAGGCCGCTCTCACATTGCGCAGGTCGATTTCCAGCCTCTCTATGCATGCATCAAGGATCAGAAGATCTACCGAGTGTCTGACGGCAAACTGTCATTTGTCGAGAGTCAGTAAATGATAAGCGGTAGGTTGACCAGACCATGTCGGTATTCATGCAACTCGATTGTGCGTGTCCCTGCCCACATTGTGCATTGGCGAAGTCGTGAAGCTTGATTGGAGCGACGCGTGAATCCACAAATCCAATCAGCTTCACCACAGAACCGCCCTTCGATTCTGCTTCCATTCACCATCTCCTCTCAAGCGCTGCGACCGAGTAAGCTCTCCCAAAGATGCGCAGTCACACATGCGGCTTGCCAATAGTGCCAGAGCAATGATTATGCGAGCCCCCGCCCCGCCTTTATGATTTTCCCTGTTCGGTACACTTTGAAGTCATGGTGTTCGCGATTCGGCATGGCGTGCGTGTTTGTGTGCCTTGTGTGCCTTGCGTGCAAAAGTCAAGGACCGGTGACTGGCATCAAGTATAATTGCGTTCGTTCTCCTCGACTTCTCCTTTCTCTTTTTTCTTTCAGCGAGACCTGTCAAGCCTGGAGCTGACTATTAGTTTGATTTATTTTACTCCTTTTTTTCTTCTTTATTTTCCTTATCCCACTAATCGAGCGAGCCTGGTGCTCTTTAATCCACAGAAACTCATACTATCAATTATCCTTTGCCCATACCATACCCTATCCACTAATCACTTTGTTTTTACATTTATTCTATTCACCTTTTGATCTTTTTTCTTTGTCGCTGGTCGACTAGAGAAAATCACCAAACTAATACTCAGCTCTTCTTGCTCAAAGCCTGTCCATTCACATTCGGTATTCTGCTACTACCGACCATTATATTCAGGAAAGGAAACAGAAACAGTAAACCAGACATATTACAACAATGGCAGCCGTCCAGCTGAACTTTACACTCAGGACGTCGTCCAACTGCAAGACGGTCCATCTCATTGGTTCATGGGATAGCTACAAGAGTCAACTTCCTCTTTCCAAGGACTCTACGAAACAAGGTGGTTGGAAAGGTACTTTTAGATTCCAGGGCTCGACGTTGAAGCCTGGCTCGAGATACTGGTATTACGTATGTTCTCCTTTTCTTAAACTTCAGCACACAAGGCAGCAGTTTCTAACGGATTGAAAAACAGTACATCATCGATGGCTACCACGTCTCTCACGACCCAGCCCGCGAATCCACAACCGAACCAACCACAGGCCGCAAACTCAACATCCTCGACATTCCATCTGGGAGATCGCCAGGACTTGCCGCAGCCCCAGCACCATCTTCAAAGTCGCATTCAAGCAGCAAACACACCCGCCGCACCAGCGAACATATCCCCAAAGGCCGCTCCTTGTCACCCTCACAAATCAAATGCCCACGTCCTAATCGTCCGCACGAGACCCGCACGATAACTCGCGAACAATACAATGCCTCTTCTGTGGACCGCCTTGCCAGTCGACTCGGGAAAGCTCGACTCGAGTCCGACAGCGAGAGCGACAGTGATTCCGACAGCGATGTACCTTCGCTTACGTCTTCACGCAGCAGTGCTTCTTCGTCGCCTTCATCTACAAGTGCGTCGTCGAGGTCTTCGTCAACGAGCGCGTGCACTTGCAACAGATATGGCATTACCAGGTCTGGTGCGAGGGTTAAGCTTGACTGTGGCGGTGATGTGTGTGGGCATGATGAAGGCAGTGATTGTTCCTCTGAAAGCGAGGATGAGAAGCAATATCGTGCGCGTACGACAAGACGACAGGGGATGATTGTGCGTCGTTGAAAAGCTTGCCGACTCTTCCTGATGAGAAGTCCATCACGCTCCTTTACGCCACGCCACTTTGAGACAGGTGTTCACGTTCATTTAGACGACTAGCCATTGTTCTTGCCCAAACCTGGTCTGGTTTTACCTTCTGTTCTTTTTCTGAGAGGATGCGGCTTGCCCAGAAGGTTGGTGTCACTTCAGGCTGGTCCTTTTGTGCTACTGCAGCAACCTTTTCGTACAGCCTTGCTTCCTCCTCCCTTTTGTGTCGCCTCATTCTGGTGCGACACTACTGACTTACTGATGCATCACGACACAGATTGAAATTCTGAGTCGTGACCAGCACTTAAGGTGGAAGAGGAAGGAAGAGGAGAGAGATGTCTTGGAAGAAGACGTCAGGGGTGTGAGAGAAAGGATGAAGAGAGAAGGGAATTGTATGGACGCAGGCAATGAATTGCTTGACCTGTCCTGTTCCAACGATCACGATGACTTGCTCTATCGAGAGCACAGATGAAGTTTATAGCTTGGCAACTAAATAATCCAAAAGCTAAATATTCATCTTTATCATAATCTCCTTATCATTCATCTCGTAAAGCATTGCAAGTAGTCATAATATCATAAACAAGCATACCTTGATCCTCAAACCCAAGTCCTACTCCAAACTCTCCTTGGCATAAAACAAATAATCATTCCCATATTCATCCACATTAGCCGACCCCTGCACACCATCCCACAACATGATCCCTCCAAGATTAGTCGTATACAGTTCTCTTGCGAGACTAATCTGATGACCCAACGCATCACCCTCAACATATCCACTTCCCGCACTTGCGCTCGCCCCAGCACCGACAAAGATTTTGGTCTCATTGTTGACAGCGAACAAATCATCACTCCAATTCGCAAATGAGGTCGCAAATCCGTCAGAGGAAAGGTCGCAAGAGGGATTGTTGTAGAATTGGACAAAGACGAAATCGCAGAGTGCCATGGTTGGAACAGGGATGGATGCGTCAGGGCGAGGACACTGGGGCGCAGCACTTAGATAATACTTCTTGCTAGTGTCGGATGCGAATAGTGTACGCAGAGCGTGAGCGAAAGTGGTGTAAGAGGTGGGATCTTTGGATTCGTTGTCGAGGTCGAAGCCATCAATTACAATGGAACCAAAAGGACGTAACGAAGCGTCCAAGCCATTCCCTGCGCCAAACAAATCCCAAAGATTCTGAGCTAGTTGGATGGCTTCGTTGTCGGAAGTGAAAGTCACATTGGAGTAGTAGCCGCCCAAAGATACCAGTACGGGCTTGCCTAGTTGTTGGCAGCTTACGATCTCTGGAGCGAGGTCGGTGCAGTTTTGCAGTCCGGGAGCATGAAGCTGTTGAGCGGCGGTACTGCCTTGGCAAGCAGGACCGAAGTTGGCAGACGGGAAGCCTTCATTTGTGAAGAAGGATGTGACAAAGGCTAGGACTACAATGTCGACGTTGCTGCTTTGACAGAGTTCCATGAGGTCACCAGTCTTTGTGTTCGGCGTCTGGCCATAGTATACAGCGACGTTGTTTTGTCGGCTGGTCTCGAAGACGTAGCCGGTGCTTGTAGGTGTTGCGACGGAGCTCCAGACTTGTGAGTCTACAGAGGTCGTGGTCGCGCTTGCGCTCGGGTAATCGCCATTTGAAGAGCTATACACCGAGGGCATAGGCAACACAGGTATATACGACGTGGATGACGTCCCTTGCGCTGCCACATTAGATGCTTTAGTGTTCGAGATGGGTGTGGGCTGAACGATAGTCGAGGGCGGCACCGGCACATAAGTTGTTCTCGTCAAAGTACGAGTAACGCGAGATTCTGGAGTCGACGAGGTTGCAGCCAAGTCTGACGAAGAGACTTGGTCGGGTAACGAATAAGAGGTCGTTATGGCTGCTGGGCTCGAGGTTTGGATACTCGTGCTAGAGGGCACAGACACATCGGTCGTTGTTGCATTGTTGATGGCCAACGTGGTTGTCAGCGATGCTGCAGCTGATGCAGTTGCAAAAACAGCCATTAGACTTGCTATCAACGCCTCTTGTGCATGCAGACGGTCATCAACTGCCTCAAGAAACTCGAGGACGTCTTGCGGTAGATTCGAAAAGCCTTGCTCAATGGACGTGACAATCTCCGTCAAGTCAGCAGCATCTGTCTCTGCTGCTGGGCTAGGTTCGCTCTGCAGCGGAATAGTCGTGGCATCACGCCGACCGAGTCCATGTTTGTGATGACGATGTATGTGTAGGGATCGTACAGTGCAAACAAAATATATGAGTGAGATGAAGACGCGGAAAGTGCTTAACGAGAGCATGATAGCGAATGACTGTGTTTGCAAACCTACCTTTTGAAGGCCATAGCAAAAGGTATATATCCATGGCGCCGAGACAATAGCCTAGACATAGGAGGCTGTCGAAGAATGGATTTACTTACCTGGGACCAAGGAGAACAGGCATGGTCACGCAGAAATGCAGGATACTGTAAGAGCGAAGACGTGAAGAAAAGAGGTGGATGGCATTCCTGGGCAGCGTCGCGTGGAGTCACGGAAAGTGGGTTGGAGCGCTGGATCATGCCCTGAAGAAAATTGGACAGCTGACAGAAGGAATTTGCGTTGCTGACCCGAAAACGGGGAGGCTGTTGCAAAGTGTGCATTCCCTAAAGCGCCCGTCGAGACCCCGAGCATGTATACACACCTTCCTTGGCGCTGCAGCGAGCTTTGCATGACAGGTTGCATCGACGAGACATGTTTGAAAAGCTGTGAGGTCTGTTCGCGTTGGGAGGCCTGTATGACGAGAAGATCGAGGTGGATTGAGAACAAATGGCCCCTTGGTTCGTTCTCGGAAGCGCGGATGTCAAATTGAAGGAAGCTATCAAAGGGTGTGATTCGCGTAGCCGTACGGAGAAAGTTCGCTTGCGTCAGAAGTTAGAACAAAGACGCGCGGGTGCAGCGCGAGGGAACCCAAGTGAGCCCATGTACAAGCGACTATGTAGAGCAAATGATTACACTTGTGCAGAAACTGTGGTGAATTATATTGAATGGCCTGATAATAATTGATGAACTATTGGAAAACAGTGTTGGAGCTGAGGAAGGATATACGGAGAGTAGGAGGAAGGGTGTTTCCTGATTGGGTGGAGAGCTGGTCGAGAACGCTACGGCTGTCCTTTCCTCACAAATAATGAGCGCGCGACCTTCACTCAAGACCAAGAAATGGCGAAGGCCAACGCCTCACACACGGCCGGCAAAATGCTCGCCCAGCGCACAACAGAGTCAAACTACCTTGCACTCTGCATCCCTTTCCCATCCATCCTAACTTCCCATACACATAACCACCACCACCCATCGATTTCTTGATATACCGCCGCCGACGGCCAAAAGCTCCCACACTCTACAAGCCTGCCACTGATCCACTCCCAAATCCGACGAGACAAAGCCAGCCGCACCACCGACCACGGGCGCAATCCAAGTCGTCGCTCCCAACCAGTCACCCACATTCATCACAATGGCAACCACGCCGTCGCAAAAACCATCAGCTAAATCATCCCTCAAGCCTAACAAGATCGTCATTCTTCGTTTAGCTCCTCATCTGCTTAAGAAGGTCATCTCACCATCTGAAGACGCTTCTGAGCCATCAGCCACTGCCTCTCCTGCACCAGCTTCAACCCCCATCATCAACGCTCCTGCACCAGAAGCCTCGGAAACGAATGGCACCCCTGCACCTGGCACCGATGCCGCTGCCACAGACAACAACTCATTAGCTCCTCCTACAGCAGTCAACGGCAAGAAGAAGGGCGTCCCTGGCCCCAAACCTGGAACAAAGAGAACTGCTGCTCAGGCAGAGGCAGGCCCGAATGCAAAGCCTAGGGGAAAGCCCGGTCCCAAGAAGAAGCCTCGTCTGTACGTAACCTGCACTAAACTCACACTCCAAACTCCTTGTGCATACTGACACTCAATCTCAGGGCTGACGGAACCATTGACAGAACTGCTGAGGGCACAAAGAAGGGTCCATTCGGCGGTGTGAATCCCATAGCTACACACAAGCTAGGCCCCAAAGCCAATACGGGTGCCATCAACGCTGGTCTTCGCGCTCTGGACAGATCAGGCAAGCCATGCCGAAGATGGGAACGCAAGGGTCTTCAACTCAAGAGCATATCCGGTGTTGCTTGGACGGTTGGATCATGGGCCGCACCGCTCAAGGACACTTCGTCGTTCAGCGGCGATGTCAAGAGTGAGAACTCGTCCAGCAGTCAAGCAGATAATGCTAGGCTTGCCAGCAGTGCACTCCCTAGCGAAAGGAGCAACAGTGGTGAAGGAGCCAAAGCAGACAACACTCTCGAGAGCTCACCAGCACCGGCATTGGCTGTTGAGGCATGAACGACTTAGTTTAGACAGTATTTGTAAGTCAAGGTGATTACACGTCGTCTTCTTTATGATTACTAACATGTTCCAGTCCTTTTCTTCTCTCAGAACATCACCTCCGATACCCAATAACGATGTACACAAGGTCATGTACACTACCGAGCAATTTTGGCTGCAGACACAAGCATTCGAGCAATGCATCTCCTTTGTTTTTCTTGGAAGAGGACAGTATGGCGTTATCCGGGTCAGAGGATAGCGTGATAGTTTGGCTATGTAAGCTTGGTCAGAATGGCTGAACAGACTGACGGTGGGGCGATGATGACTTTTTGTCAGACTACAGAGTGCTTGACGATAGTATAGCTATGGATACCCCTTGCAAGACAGCACAAGACAAATGTATTTCTTTCCATGTCTGAGGTGGCCGGTTGGTCGCATGTGATTCTGGTCAGGAGCTCCTTGGCATTTTGGCGGAGACTCTGGCAGCGTCATCGGCAGCGCGCTTGTACGGGACTCATTGGGCATTGTCAAGCTGTATCTTCCAACAAGAGAGGCATTGATCTCTCCTTCTTCCGACTTGAGACACACGGCCGAAAGAGCTGCACCAGGATTCATAGACATTTGTGTAATACGTTGTGCATCCAACCAGATCAGAGTGGTGGACAGAATGCTAGCAGGAGCGTCATGATTGCTCGCTCTATCTTTCTACCTTGATCATCCTCGACAGCTGCTGCAACCCCAAGACCCCGTTCTGGCACTGCCCGACCTCGACGTGCCCTTTACTGCCTCGCACTCCATTATGAGCGATCCTTACCCGCATTCTCAATCTTATCGTCGCCTGAACCAACCTTTCACATCGTCATCGTCGTACGCTTCGGTCGCTGCTGGCGCGGGCTCCCACTCGTCGACCGCCCGTTTCGGCGCCCTCTCACACCTTCTCCACCCTGAAGACGACCCTCCTACCCGCAGCAACATGGCCTCAACCAAGTCTCAAGACTTGTGGTCTACCAGACCTTATCTCTCCACCAAGGTCCCTGACCAGGACTCCCCGCCATCGCCCCCGCTATTCATTCGCCCTTCCTACCTTCGCAACTCGCGTCACCTCGAGAGGCTCGAAAAACACCACAACCTAGAACTCGCAGACTTTGAAGAATTGCGACGACATCCCCAGGCTGCCTCGTCGTCTCAGGATCTCTCTGCCAACATCGGCAGTGCCACAATTCACAGATCGAGGAAGGATATCATTCAAGATTATATTGCTCGCAACCCTCTCAGGAATGGCGGCCCAAAGAAATTGCCTACCTCGTGGAGCGACATAGACAAGTGGCCTGGACTCGAGTTATCGGCAGGAGGTACCGAGGTCAAATTCACTGGCTCTACCAAGACCAGCGATGAGGCTGCCGCTATACGCAGTGATCACCCCATGCCGAAAGAGGTGGGCATATACTACTTTGAGGTCACTGTGTTGTCCCGAGGGAAAGAAGGGTATGTTGTCTCTACCACTTTCGCTCACAACATGCTGATCGTCATCTTCTAGTCTGATAGGTATCGGTTTTTCTGGTCCTAAGGCTAGTCTCAATCGCTTGCCAGGATGGGAGCCTGAGTCATGGGCATATCATGGCGACGACGGCTTCAGCTTCTCTTGCACTGCTAGTGGCAAGCCATATGGTCCCAAGTTTGCTGCTTGGGACGTCGTGGGTTGTGGTGTCAACTTCGAGACAGGCAGCGCCTTTTTCACCAAGAATGGTGTCTTCTTAGGTGCGTAATATCCCTCGTTCTATTGTCCAGTGCTAACATATTGCATCAGGCGAAGCTTTTCACAACGTGAGGGGTGACAAATTATACCCATCCGTGGGTATGAAAAAGAATAACGAACATCTTCGAGTAAACTTCGGTGATGCTCCGTTCGTGTTTGATATCGACTCTCTGATCGAGGTACGTCTCCTTCTGCATCCCAACGACATTTTTGCTGACCAGGCCCAGAATCAAAGAAACAGAGTGAAAGCAGACATCAACAAGACATCAGCAGACACATTAGAAACTGCTCGTGATGAGACAATGTTGGTGCAGGAGCTTGTGGCGCAATACCTCGCTCATGATGGCTATGTCGAGACTGCTCGAGCCTTTAACCGCGAAGTTCGAGATGAGCGAAAACCATTGAACATGGACTCTGATGGCGTGGAATTGTTCGATCCTTCACAAGATCTCCATGCCATTCAGCGACAAAGTACGTGCTCTCGATTCTCATCCAATACAGGCCTCTGTTGCTGACAAGTTTCCAGGTATACGTTCAGCCATCCTGGAAGGAGAAATCGACAAGGCCTTGAAATACATAAGCACATACTACCCTCATGTTCTGGAGCGGGAAGAGAACAGAGATGTCTACTTCAAGCTTCGTTGTCGGAAGTTTATCGAGATGATCTGTCGAGTTAACGACCTTTCGACCAAGGACCCATTGCAGATCGCACCCAAAGCAGCTGGCAAGCTACCTTCAAAACTGGCCGAATCCAATGGCACGACATTTGATCAACAAATGGAGCTCGATGACCAACTACACCGAGAATCACACGCGCCAATTATCCCGCCAATGCCCGTTCCATCGCCTTTCAACCCCGGCCTCCGCTTCGGTGACGGTGCTAATGGCGACAGTACGAACGGTGACGGCGCGAACGGTGATGATGGGAAAGACGACAAAATGGATACAGGGCCCGACAATTATCAGCTGATGTCCTCGTCCACGGATAGCGAGCAACTACTTGTGGACGCACTCGAGTTTGGTCAAGAGCTAAAGGCTGAATTTAACGATGATCCTCGCCCTGATGTGAAAAAAGCCCTAGACGACACCTTTGCTCTGATCGCTTACCAAGATGCTCGAGAGTCTGTTGTAGGTGGGCTGATGGAAGGCAAGGGTCGGGTAGAGATTGCCGAAGAGGTCAACAGCGCAATACTAGGCAAGTATTCCTCTGTCTCAACGTCGTCAAGACTATACTAACAGACCGCAGTGTCACTCGGCAAGCCATCATCCGCTGCATTAGAAAAGGTCGTGGCGCAAGCTGAAGTCCTGGTAGACATGCTGAGTTCGGAAGGCGGAGCTGGCGCATTTGTCAATGTAAGAAGGGATTGCCTACAATGAGGGCGCGATTGGCGTGAGTGAAACTGCATTGTTCTTTGTTTCTTTCTGATCCGGTTCGGGCGCAAGTCATGGCCATGCATTTGGCTGGAGTTTTAGGAGACGGAGCGGATTTCTGTTTTTCTTTCTCAGAGGAGTCTTACGGCATGCTCTTTGGCCTTTTTTTCTGTACATGTCAGGACATAACACACAGCTCCGATTCAATCAACCCATTCATCTCCATTTGAGTATGACCCTCCCTAGCTTTCGACCATCTCATCGTTATCTTATCTGTCTCGGGGTGACCTATTGAATTCAGACCTGTATTGATGCTTTCGGCCTATCGACCGAAGTTGACGAAGCTAGGTATCGGCCTATCGATCGCGCCTTCCAGTAACCGAGAAGATATCAATTCGAAAGTCATAGCAAGCCCCCCAAACACCAACTTTCCACGTGCGCAAAATAACTCAAAACTTGGGATATTAAGAAAAGCGACTCACAAAGCACAGTATACAGGGACATCTTGACTCATCCTTATGAGTCGTCTATGCTGAAAAGTATATATTAAGGCGATGGATCCCTGCTCTGATGAACCTCTCTTCTCTTCAAATACCACTGACATAGTCAAAGAGAACCTACCTGCTCAACTGACTATATCAACGAAACCTACCACAACAACACTTCTCGTCAACTGCCTTTCACGATGAAGTTGCTAGCCTTGCTCCTCGTCACAATCAGCTTCGGTCTTCTGGCCGCAGCCAACCCAGATCCTGATGCCTGTGGCGATCCAGTCATGCCTCGACCCGTCGACAAAATTTCGTGTGGCGATTTCTTGAGCGATCTCGGGTGTAAATGGGACAGCGACTTCATCAGTTGTGTCCAAAGATGTCGTCGTGAGAAGGGTCTGGACAGACTGATCTACCACAATCACCGTTACTACGATATTACAGTCGAGGAGTATGATAGGATCATGGCTGCTGAGGAAAAGGCCGCTGCTTGTAGGAGTAAGACTGCTCTTAAGACCAAGACTACGAAGAAGGCTGATGCTTCTTCTACTGGCAAGAAAACTGGTGCTTCCACCACTAGCAAGAAATCTGGATTCAAGACTGTTACCAGAACTATTACTCATGTTGCTCGTTGGCCTACTGAGCTTCAGGCTGAGGGTGCTGGTACCAAGACATTTGCTACTGTCTGGAGGAATGGCACTCCCACTGTCGCTTCTAAGACTTCTAACTTGGCCGCCACTCAAACATCTAAGCCCGAAGACGAGGACGAACGCGAGACTCACCATCCACATCTCGATCACTTCTGCCAAAAGACCAGCCAAGTCGCCAAATGCAGAGTCAAATGCGGGTAAGTTTTTGATTGTTTTCTTCAACCTTTTCCATCGTAGCTACCTATTATATTGTTTCTGGGCTAGGCTAACACCCAATCAACAGTATCCACATTCTCGGCGGTTTCCAAAAGTGCATGAAGAAGTGCCATGCCAAGTGTCACAAGAAGCATCCTGTGCACCCTGATGGCGAGATGGTCAAGAGAGATGACAGCACACAGACATTCTCTACTTCTTTCAGAATTACCACTCCCACTGTCACAAAGGCTGTTGAAGCTTCTGCTACTGAAATTGCTGGGCCTAAGGAAGAGCATCACCATCCACGCATCGACCACTACTGCTCGAGTGAACTCCAAATGTACAAGTGCAGACAAAAATGCGCGTAAGTGTTTTTTCGTTACTCTTGCTAGCTATCTTTGAATGTTGACGCTGACATATGCAACTCACAGCCATCATGACTTGATTTTCGGAATTGGAAAGAAAAAGTGCGAGCACAAGTGTCATGAAAAATGTCACAAGAAACATCCTCTTTTCCCGGATGGCGAGGATAAGGGTATGGTAAAGAGAGCTGACGATGACACTGTGCCTGATGACGCTGCTCTGAACCAAGCCATCAACGATGTGATCGATACTGCCATCGACACTATTCGCAACCAAACCTCTGTCATCGCCAACGCCGCCAACTTGAATCTCACAGAGAGATCGGAGGGTCACAAGAGGCCTTACTGTTCAAGCGACAATGTCATAATGGGTTGCAAAGCCTTGGCTCAGTAAGTAAACTCATCCGTGGTTATCCAAAGGTGCATCGGGCTGACTGTGGGCTTATTAGGCTTTGGGCTCCTTCCTACGACAAAATCTACGACAAGTGCATCAAAAGATGTCTTAAAAGACACGGCCCTGACTCATAGGTTACCACCTGATGAATTGCAAAGAGTGATGGACAAGGAAATGAGAAAGGAGATAGGGAATTTGGAATAAGAGGATTGAAGATAGAGGAATACATAATGAAACAGGGATAGGCAATGATATGCAGACAGAAAAGAGACAGAAGTCTGGGCAGACAACACAGAAGCTGCTCAACTATAGAGACTAGAAGAACAGAGTTCGCAATCCCCTTTGCTTTTTATAGGTTTGTAAATACTTCTAGTATGGGTTAAATCTATCCTTCTTCTTCTTGTCCTTGCGCTTTTTCTTTTTGTCAATGTCCATGGCGTCCGCTGATGCTGCCTGTGGTTGTGCTTCTTGTGCCCATAGGCGGACTTGGCCGTCCTCGCCACAGGTGATGACTCGTTGGTTCTGTGATCATGAGTCAGTTTCGCAACCTTCAAGAGTTATAGAATATGACATACATGGTTGTCGATAAGGAAGTCGCGAACGATTTCGTCTCCATGAGCTCCAGGAAACTCCATCGTGCCAGTCATATCGAATGACCAGCTAGGGTTTAGTGGAACCAGAGTAAGGCGAGACGAACTGTAAAAACATATCAGCAACGATCTTTCGAAAGTTTCGCCATACTAGAACTCACGTGGTGTCTCCAGCAGCAATATAAGCTGAGGGCGAGTTGGGGAAAACGTCAACGACATAACTACTCTTCAACTGTTCTCTGACATCTCCAAATGCAGTTACGGGCAGAGTGGCATCTTCGGCGTCAGTAGGATTGCTCAAGGTATACACTGAGAGCTGTTCATCTGTGCTGACGGCGTAAACTTCTTCAGCATTCAGGAAACCAGCACAGTGCACAGCACCGTAATGGTTCAGCACTTGAACCAGAGCATCATCTTCATCCGAGATCGTTGTATCGAATAGTGATACTAGACCATCGGTAGATCCCGAAAGCAAGGTGTTTTGTTGTGTTGGGTGGAAAGCAATTTGGGTGACTGTATCGGTGTGACTCTCGGTATATGCCTGCAGTGGCTTGGAAGTATTCCGTGTGTCCCTGAAAGTTCTCAGTAAGACTTCATCGTGAAGAATGATGGACCTACCACAAAAGCACGCTAACATCACCCAATCCTTCCTTGGTACTTTCGGTGCCTGCAGCAACGAATGTGTCACGGCAAGCCAACGCAGAGATACCGGCTCCGCGAGCTGAATAGAATCAGTCATCGTGCTGTAGGAGCTAGGCAGCAACAAATGGAAGAAGAGAACTTACGGTCAGCCATCTTCACTCCAGCAGATTTTGCCCTCTCATCCCAGCATCTGACTGTGCCATCTCTCCCCGCCGTCACCAGCCCTTTGCCATCCGACGTCGCTTTCAAACATGTGATTCCCTCGTGAGCCTTAGAAACGGTATGCACAAGCGAGAGGTTCGTAGGATCGAAGTAGCGAAGCGAATCATCGGATGTGATGGCAGCACAAGATGTCGCTAAGCGAGCCAATGAGTAGATGTACGTGTCGCTAGGCAGCGAGAGTCCTGAAGAAGCCAGTTGTTTTGCAGTGGCGGGCGACATCTTTGTCGTTTGTTTCTGATTCTTGTGAGATATTGAATCTATAAAGTCGATTTTTTGGTCGGAGATGCTTTGGAGAAGTCGGGCCGACGAAAATCCTAGGATTGATGGAAAGTGCACCCTGCCCTTTTTTCTCCCTACAACTACTTTGTCTTTGCGAGACAACCACGACCTCTCATGCTCTCAGTCTTCCTGTCTCAGTATCCATGTTCGACACGTGAATGTGTCAAACCACGGAAACAGCAATCGTATAGTATGACTCGACGAGTAAGGAAGGCAGCAGAGATGGCGTTACTACCTGCTTCCATCGCCATGAACGATGATGACAAACAAACGCCATGACTACCACTGACCGGTACTCCCAAAAAGATGACTCTACAAATGGTATACCCAGGCAGCAGCTCGATACAAACATCCCAAGACCATCGTCTTGGTTGGAGAAATCGCCAGAACACTCTTAGGTGGTCTGTGCGGAACCCCAGAGAAGACTCCAGACTCTGGAGGAATGAGTCACTGCACTGGCGTGCTATCTCGCGACGTCTTGCGAAAAGTGGTTTGTTGCGGTTGGTTGCGGCCCAAAGGTTCTCTAGGCTTCCATACAGGTGGCGATCAGCGACTTCGGGATGACTGGAACAACATTTCCTCTAGGAAAAATGATATGTATAAGACTCAGGTAGTAGTCATGAGTAGTAGACCTATCCTTTCTTTTTGAACCTCTACCTTTTTCTTTTCTTCTTCTTTTCCTCGTATCACACCTCTTACCTCGATCGATATTTGAGAATGGGCAAACTACACAATAGACGTCGAACCAGACTGAGAGCGAACAAGAGAACTCACCATCAAGCCCTCGCTATGCCACCTCTTTCTACTCCACTCATGCCTGTTCAAAGTGTGTTCGACGACAATATGACTTTCGCTTACCAGCAATCTGCCTTTTGCAATTCGAAATACAACAGCCTCCCCTACCACTCGAGCGAGCAGCACGGAACCAGGCACACACAATACTATGGTGCCGAGGAGGGCGACGAGTCTGGAGACCTCTGCCCTCTGATGCTTCAGGTTGTCCTGGACCTCTTTGATGGAGTCGACTACGAAGACCCATGAACAATTCACAGGCATGAAATCTTGAGCCACTCAATTTTTGGACCCAACCCGTTTTTCATATGAAAAGGACCACGCAAGGAAGATCCATGCAATCGAAGCACAGTCAAGCTGAGAGAACAGAGGCATGACCGCGACGTTGCAAGAAGGACGTCTGCATGTCACATGGAAAACCTCACGGGCGACAACCGACCGATGCTAAAACCGTTTCCCATGTCACGAGTCTGCTCAGCATCACGAGTTCTGACTCTCCAAGCTCGGACTCGAAAAGGCTCCCAGCAAGGAGGCTGAGGTGCTAAAGATGCCGAACTTGCAAGTCGTACGACAACTGGGTCTTTGCCACCAGCGATATGTCTGCCTAAAGGCTGCTTACCGTTTGCCACTGCTGGACATGACAATGACACCTTCTTGGTTGGATGACCCACTTTGTCAGTCGTTACGATGTTGCATTCACCAAGATCTTCAGTGTGATCTCTCAGAGCATGACGCGTCGATGATATGGCCTACCTACAGTGTGTTCTGAGGAAATGCTGTTGTCATGCAACAATAGTGAAGAATAGATGTATCTACGTTGACGGGATGCCCGGCAGATTTGTTTCGGCGGTTTACCTTGTTGCTGTGGGAATGACCCTGTTCTCAAATAAGAGATCAACCAGCAAGTCTGGTAGACCATACCACTTGCGATATATGCTGGTGCAGGGAGGATTCTCGCAACGTTAATGGATTAATGTCTTGATGATGGATGATGATGATTATGAGCGAAGTCCTGATGCCCCTATACTATATCGGTATAAATAGAACAGAGTTTGTTTTATGATGGGTTCGCTTTGACTGTTGTTGTCATCAGCAATAACCACTCACTCAATCATCCTTGCCATCTTGCGTGTTGTGTATCAGTCAAAAGATTGTTAATGAACCTTGGTCATCCGCGGCATGAGTATTACGGCAATAATATCGCGAGTGCATCATTCGTGGTTCCGAGGTTCCGATTTTGTAATTTGACAACTGAACAGCCACACCAAGAATGGAAGCTTTACATGGAACTTGCTCCGAGGGAATAGAAACGAAAGTAGATGTGTACGCGTCGCTTGCCATTTCAGGATTTCCTCATCCCCAGGAAAGACGATCTGGATCCCGGATGAGGTTCAGGGGCTATTCAAGGAAAGGGAGATTTGATCGTGACACCGGTGATTTCGGGTTTCGCTCGTGCAGAGAACTGCGCCATTGCACATGACGAAAAAAGCTGGGGTATGCAATTTGCGGGCTGTTATTGTTGTTTGCTAAAGATGCAAGCTCCATACCATGCCACTTGCTCTCTTGCACGTAGGTCATTCCGCGGGCTTTGCGATCTTGCGATAATGTTGTTCCTCACACATCCTGGATATTTTCGTAGCGATATTTGTCTCCTGAGCTGAAGCTGTGATAAACATGTTGCTTACAGTGCGGCTTTGGTCCGCATATACAACAGCGCAATTGTACACGGTCCCCGTCACGGAGACATTTTCCTGGGGGAGGCTTGCTTCAGCCACATCTGGATCGCACGGGAGCCCTGGCGCTGCTTGTGCTTTGGCGGCGGTTCAGCTGTACGATCGTTCCATGATGGTCTTTCTGTCAATGTCAGGCCGCCAACATCAAATATATAGATCTCGATGGAGGCATTTGAAAGTTGGCATGGTAAAAACGGCGGATGGCGGTATTCTCGCGTTCAAGGAAACGTTGGAACTTGTGTATCACCAAGTTTGCGGTCGTCGCTTGATGTTCGGTCCGAGGAAGCACAAGAGCTGAATTTGCGGTTGCTTCGGCTGACCACTGAAAACAGCTCGGAGCTGAAGCCGCTACTTCCAAATAGCGGTATTGAACAATGAGTAGCATACTTCATCGATGTCGACATTATCTTGCGAGATCCCGCCCCAATAAGGCGCAATCGTCGTAGCTGAAGCGGCTAGATGCCCGTGGGGGAACACTTCAAGCAGAGTATTGTAAGGGATGGTTTGCGCCGTGTCACTGCAGTGGGTGATCTTGCCGTAGACCTTGCTCTCGTCTTAACCGGACGAAAGTTTGACCACACCTAAAACATGTCCTCGTCTATGACGACTACCACCATCGTTCTTTGGTCAAAGTGTGGCAGCTCAGTATTCAGAGAATTTAGGCAAGGCATGGCAGAATGGAGAGACTCAAAGCCACTGTCGCAAGTCTGTCTCGGTTGCCAACCCTGAGACCGCCGATTGAAAAACATGGCAACCGTTTCTGAATCCGGACTTGAACGGTCAAGCCGGGTACGGCGCGCACGCGTTTCCATGACATCTTATCGTGCTTGCTTGGCCGTTTTGACGTTCTGGAATATTGCCTTGAAAGTCGTCCTGTTGTCTCGACGACTGGGAAATTGGAAAGAGGTGGCCACGATCTATTCAATCACGTGTAGGGCTCACTCAAATGGACATGACCCTGAGCAGAGGACCAAGATGCAGCTCCTGACTTGGTATTGAAGCTCGGCTACAAAGCCCGGTTTTGAGTTTACCCTATGTCCTCATGAACGTCGTTCGCTTCTTGCAAAGATGATGATCAGCAAAGAGGGGTGAGAAAGTTTTTCTGCGGACAGGCAGCTCCGAAGTGGTGGAGCGGCGGTGAAAAGAGACAAGGAGAATTGACATTTGAGTCATGTCTACAGGCTCTTACTTCGGCGCGAAACGGAATCGGGCGGCGGAAACGCGGAGCGCAACAAGACCAAAACGAAGCCTTATGAGGACTGATCGACATACAAACCTGAACGACGAACGTGGTTGCAGATGAGGTTGTGACAGACAACGAAATGGAAGCTTGGCACACGTCTGACAAGATGTGAGGAGAGTTCGATGGAATTGATGCGTGATATCCAAAAAAAAAGGTTGTCGGAAAGGAACGCGAAGACGGCGTTCGAGGAAGCGCCGTTGGTGGAAGAGCGTTGACGGGGCTTTTCTGAGAGAGAGGGTCACCTTCCAACAATCGAGTGAAACAGCAGACGTAGTCACGTAGTAGCCAAGGAGCAGAGTTGATTGAACCAATCTCGCGACTCGCATGTGTCAATATCTGTAAGAAGCAGAGAGGGTACAGCCAAGCCGGCAGCACACATCGGGTCCGTAAAGAGTGGAGTTGATTGAACGAGGGCAAGGTGGTAGACGGTCCGAGAGGACTCAGTATCTGCGGGTCAGCGACAGAAATCAAGGACGATCCTGTGTCGTGGCCCTTTGTTCACGCGGACGATTTGAGGCAAAGTCATGACATTTCTATGGCACAAATTCAGGTTCAGATGAACCCTGGATAGAGGATAGGCAAGGCCGCGGGGAGCATGAATCAGCCGGCGGCAGGTTGGGGGCACTGTGTTGCAATGGGGTGTGGTCAGGGAGGGCAGATCTTTATCGGATGCTACTGCACAGGATGGCAGATCAGCATGACAAGGCCTGTAAGCTCTGGCGCTTCCTGCTTGCGCGACCAACACAGGGGAGCGGGTCGCGTTATACAGAGTTGCCGGTGTGCGAGTACGGTATTGACAATTGCAGACTCTAGAGCACGCCCGGCAGGGGATTCCAAATTTCTCAGCTGACTGGGGCCGTTGATTGTGTTCATCTGACAGGGCCAGATGGACTGGATGGAGCTGGCTCGCAGGCAGGGAGAGATGGGATTTGAGGCTAAGGGCTCACGGACCCGCATATATGACGACGGGTCTTGTTCGCAGTAGCCGAGCTTGGGCGCTCATCGCTCTTGGTCCCGCGACTCGTCCAATTGTCTTTTCAACGAAGCATCTGCTTTTGACAGTTCCACTTCCTTTTCCTTGCTCACTCTTCGGCCTCTACCGACTGCCAGCTGAGCCTCCTTCTCTCCGCCGCCTTGCACATCAATACTTCTCCCGACTACATCCCTCAAGGAAGACATGGTGTTTCACGCGCTACGAATCTCCTCTTAGCGCCGACCTCTCCGAAATCCGCCATCTCACTCATCTAATCAAACACTACACACCGCTGTAAACACCACCACTACTGCTCATCGTCACTTGTGTCATCTCGATCCATTGTCTGCACTTTGTCGTACAAGTCAGACATCATCTACTACAAACGACCCTTCCACCACAATATGACATCGCTTGCATACGCACAATACACTGTCGACTCTGCTCCCATCGAGGCTCTAAGTGAACCTCCTTCAAACCACTCTATCTCCCCACCTCTTTCAACTACGTCATCCGACAACGATATACCTACTCGCGGTCGCTTAGACGCCACCAGACCTAAACTTGGAAGTCGTAAAAGCAGCGGCACCATGATTATCCCTAGAGACAGCCCGCGTGTCGAGATGGCACCTGGCGAAGAAGAATACGAGCCTGATGATGTTCGAAGCATGAGCCCCAGACGAACGAGCGAAGTCATCGAGAAGCTGGGCGAGGATGCTCGACGGAATCTCATCGAGTATGTCGCAAATCCGGAACCTTGTACAAGCTTAGTATCGCCATGCTAACAATGCGTTCCTCAGGCAAGCACAAGCACTCAGAGCAAGTCTCATGGCAATTGTCGACCGTGTCGAAGCTGTCAAGATTGAGCACGAAAAGCTCGAAGGCGGCAACAAATTCCTCCAATCGTGAGTACTCTTCGCTACATACATCTCTGCCTTTGCTAATATTCCATCAGGTACATTGGCGAATTAATACAGACCAGCAAAATCACATCAGCGGCTCCACCTAAAAAGGGCAAGAGTCGCAATGTGAAGTAACGACCATGATCTTTCACCTTTTACACACTTGTCTTTCAATTAGCGGCATTCGACACACGGCGTTTCGGCAAATCTGGATTACCATTGGCATGGCAGGGGTTTACTCGAATAGGCAAATGCAGGATCATCGGCGCATGGTTCGGTTTCACGGCGTCCGCCATCGATTTTCGATGTGTTCTCTTCACTATTATTATCATTATTGCTGCATTTCGAAGATACCAAGGACCAAGCAAGGGTTCAGAGCTGGCAAGGTGTGCACATGATGCACACCATTCGAGACATGCCAAAAAGAGCCCAAAGGCCGGCCATTCCTCGCATGACTTTTTATTAACTTCTTGTATCATCAAATTCCAAGACATTCTTAATACCCACGCAGACGTTCTGATTCCTTTTCGGATGTTTACGAGTACTCTCCCCCTGATCGTGATCAGAGACCATCTTGTCTGCACACCCAGTGCGACTATTGAGAGTTACATAGAGACGAAGGATGTAGGTGGGTCCACCCACCTAGTTTCTAGAGCATTACCGAAATGGGCGATGGACGATTAGGTTCAGGAGGTCAGGAGCGACTCCGCGAGTGGTTCTGCAAGCTACAATAGGCGTGTTCAGCCAGCCCACGCTGACTCTTCAGCCTCACAGAGCCCCACGAACTTGACAGCGCTTGGTTATGGAAGCGTTGCCAAGGCCCAGAGAGGAGTGCTCGATAGGGGCGACGGTTTGACGAAAACCGATTGCTGAAAGATGTGCTTGTGTCCGTTTGCTCTGTGCTGTGTCGCGCAAACAGGGAAGGAAAGATCCATCACAAAGTTGTTGACTTTCTTTTCTACTTCTCAAGTCGAGGGCGGAAAACACACGTCTTGGATCGTTCGTAAGCATGCCGCAAGCACGGACGATGGCTGCACGCGTGGGAGCTCAGGGTAAGCAACTCGATTATCATTTTCTGTGTCGAGACTTTGTATCACACAGCATTGCTGACAGCAAAATGCAGTATTTGACCCAGCAGAGTAATGCTGCTTCTGCGACATGTCGACTAATCACATGAATAGTGTCGCCTATTGGCTCTGGTCGTCCTCATCTCATTAGGGGTAATAACTTTGCTGCAATCGCTGCAGAGAACCCCTAGCATACATGATATTCCACTTTCAATCCGCGGACACAGATTTGGAAGTTCTTCAGGACCGAAACGCTCTCCGTCAATTCGCATCAAGAAGGTATCGGCACTTTTCGGCGAACCGAATTATCTTTATGAAGCTGCTCTTGCGACCCACGAACGGCACAATGCCTTGCATGGATATCAGATGCAGGTACTACGAGAACGTATCCATGCAAGCTTTTTGGCCAAGCCAGCGTATCTGATGTCTGTTCTCGTTGAAGAATTGGCCAAGCCGTGGGATGAGCGTGCGCAGTGGCTGGCGTAAGTTGTTTCGGCTTTCCTGACCAGAGAGTATGGACTGACTTGAGCAGCTGGGTTGATCCGGACACACTCGTGTTGAATCAGCAAATTCCGCTGGAGCTCTTCATGCCCCCTCCGGATGAGGAGATCAACTTGATCGCAACTCATGACGATGATGGCTACTTCAACGGCGGTGTTTTCTTCTTGAAGGTCGATAGCTGGTCTCTGGAGTTTTTGATACAAGTGCTTGCAGTGCCTCTTACAGACAGGAAGCATCACGTCTCACTGAACAAGGATCACGCGGCCCTTGAACAAATCATGGAGAACCAAAGATTCCGCAGCAGGGTAACTTACCAGCCTAGACTCTGGTACAACGCCTTCGATTACAACAAGACGTACGAAGGTGAATCTGGAAACCTGATGGTGCATCTTCTCGACCTCGGCGGAGACAAATGGGCTAGGATGGACAAGTACCTGGGCAACGTGACAAGCAAAGTCAACCCGCATGAAGTGCCGCTTGAGCAGACGACGTATGAGAAGCAAGTTCAGAGTTTCTGGAAGAGAATGGCAGATTCACGTAAGATTCTCAAGGAAGCAAAGTTAAAGGAAAAGGGTCACGATGGCATTAAGGAAGCAGCGAGAAGATTGAAATTCGCATTGGATTTTGAGACGGACAATGAGGTGGTGATCAGAGGAGCATACGATTCGTTGCTCAAGGCTTTGTACGAGAACAAGTAAGGGGCTGGTCTTTTGGTGGTGATGTAATTCCCTAGAGCGCAGGCGTAACGGAAGGAGAGTGTTGAAGCAGACAAAGATACCCAATCGAGAGACATGATTCTGGAGCCTTGAATACGAACGACTGTGTAAACGGTGTGAGTCTTAGATGGACAGGAATGAGATACATGGAGGGTGATGGAAGGTGATGGGCGCCAAGGATGATGCGGGCGTTGGTGAGTTTCGAAGTTGGCAAGAAGACACGAATCGCAATTGCATGTGCTCTGCTGTCTCCAGCTGCGAATCACCTCTAAGAACCCTCCTTTATTTTTCCTATAAACTCGACCTGGTCAGGACGCAGCGCGTTTGACCCCGGATCTCGACTACTTTCTTTTTCGTGCTGTCAACCAGCAATACCAAGTTCGCAGCTTGGCCGACTCGGACCCGAATACAGTAGCAAGGCGCCGCCGCCGCCATGTCGACCGAATACAACTATGACGAGCAGGGCCAGTTCTTCCCCTTCTTCTTTGTCACAGTAGCTGGTCTGGTCACGCTACCAGTGACATACTCTCTTCTCAAACCCAGCAAAGGTGCGCCTCAATTCAAATCCCCAAATCTAGCCAGCTACTTATTGAGTATTCAGACCTTGAAAACACAGCGACGCGAATCGAGTCGTCCTACACGCCCGAACATGCAGACCTCATCGACGGACACAGGAGACGGCAAAAGAGGAGGGAGCGCAAGATCAAGCGAATGATTGTGGCTGGTCTCGGATGGACCACAATTGCTCTGATGGTCTACCTTATGGCAGTGACACAACGCAGCGCACCCAAGATCTGGGATCCATATGAGATTCTGGGCATCCCAATGTCATCAACCGAGAAGCAAATCCAGAGTCGCTACCGCCGATTGTCAGTCACCATGCATCCGGACAAGGCCGTGCCTGACCCGGCAAAGAACGAGACCGTCGATACTGTCAATGAGCGCTGGGTCGAGGTTATCAAGGCCTACAAAGCCCTCACGGATGAGGATGTGCGCAGGAACTTTATCGAATACGGAAACCCAGACGGCAAGCAGAGCACCAGCTTCGGCATTGCTCTGCCTCAATTCTTGATCACCGAGGGCAACGGAAAGTACATTTTGCTCGTCTACGGCGCTCTGTTGGGTATCCTGCTGCCATACTTTGTGGGCAGCTGGTGGTACGGATCGCAAAAGGTTACACGCGAGAAGATTTTGGTCAGCAGTGCTGGCAACATGTTCAAGGAGTTCTCGGAGCGCATCGACGACCACGGTGTTGTCAACTTGCTCAGCTCGGGTACCGAGTTTGAGGCGCTGCTTCACGGCCACAAGGCTGATGCTGGAACTGGACAGCTCGAGAAGCGTCTGCTTCAAGAGGGTCGCGTTTTGACTGAGAAGGACCGTCACTTCTTGCAGGACATGGATGACACTGTGCGTCGCAAGACTCTTGCACTACTCTGGGCTTACCTAGCTCGCGTTGAGCTTGACGACCAGACTCTGAACGACGAAAAATACCAGCTCGCCCCTACCGCTCTCACACTGAACGAGGCTTTTGTTTCTGTCTGTCTCGCCTATGGCTTTACCAACCCCGTCCTCGCATCCTACCGCACCTCGCAGAACCTGATCCAAGCCGTTGCTCCCGAATCGCCTCCTCTTCTACAACTTCCTCACTTCAACGAGAAGGTCGTCAAGGCTCTCGAAGACCAACTCGACCAACGCAGCCACCTGACCATCCAATCCTTTATGAACTTCCCCGACGCTCGTCGTCGTGAACTCGCAACTTCTGCCGGTCTCTCCAAGGCTCAGCTCGACACTGCCATCAGCGTTGCCTCTCAGCTTCCCCGTCTGGTCATCGAGCGTACTTTCTTCAAGGTTACTGGCGAGAAGCACATTATCCCCAACTCTCTTGTCCAATTTGTCGTCAAGGCCCGCTTCATCCCTCCTGGTACCCGTAACATCCCCGACGTCCACCCTTCAGACCTCGAAGACATTGACCCCGACGAGACCGACACCAAAGCCAACTCGCGACCCGACCCTGCCGAGCAGAAGCAACACCAACCTCCTCTCGCACATGCCCCTCACTTCTCTCGCGACCACTCTCCCCGCTGGCACCTGTTCCTCGCCGACGCGCGACAAGGAAAGGTTGCCGTGCCGCCCTTCACCTTTACCACTTTCGACAAGCCCATCCTCGATGAGTCTGGCAAGCCCACGTTCAACGTCCAGACTTTGAAGATGCAGTTCCAAGCACCGCCCCAACCCGCCCACTACAAGTTCCAGATGCACCTTGCGTGCGACAGCTACATTGGCTTCGACGACAAGAGAGATGTGATTCTCTCTGTTGAGGACCCGAGTTCGATCGAGGAGGCTGAGTGGGAGGATGAGGATATCTCAGAGCCTGAAGAGGGTAAGTTTTTCACCCTGTCTTTACTATACCATTGCGTGATCTTGATGCTAATGTTTGTCAAACAGACTCGATTGCAGGACAAATGGCTACTCTGCGCGGCGGACCTACCAAGAAGACCACAAGCCCAAAGATCAAGCAGGCCAATGACGATAGTGATGAAGAGAGTGGAACAGACGAGGAGGAAGAGACGGAGAGTGAGACGGATACCGACACTGATACCGATGAAGAGTAGAAGAGGACAAAACGGTGCATTGTGTACTCGTGTGTGTTTCTATCTTGATAGCATTATTTCTCCAACCAACCCTTCTGAATGGTGGTTGTTTCTCTGTTCTTTCTAGCTTTTGCCTTCAAAACACAATCATGGCTTGTCCGCAATTTTGCAACAATTTCAATGATCATGAACATTCGATTGGGGAGACTTGACTTTCAAGTCATAGATCAAGTAACCCTGACCCCCAAGCCAACACTCCCCGTCCTGAAACACTCTACCCCTCCACTACCCAAACATTCTTCGAGGATCCACTCAAACCTCGCTCCATAGAACGCCTTCCACTTTTTGGTCTTGCCAGGCAGCACACCATTCCACTCGCCTCTAGCTCTCTTGGCTCTACTCTGCGCGTCTTCCAACGGTATCCCTCCATCCCACCTCTCCCTCAACATTTCCCTCGTGCTTTCTTTGTACTTTGGAGATGATTTTGTGAGGAGAGAGAAGAGGTGTGTCCGTGCTTCTGTTACGAGACGGAGATATGCTCCTGTGTATGGAAGGGAGAATGTCAGGGTTTGTGGTTGTTGAGAGGGAGATTTTGGGGTTGAGGGTGTGAGGTTTAGTCCTTTGCCGCCGCCGCCGTTGAGGTGAACTGCAGAGGCTCCTCCCGTGGCTGCTAGGGTTCCTGTTGCTGCTGTGGACCATGAGTTTGCTAGTGATGAGGAGCCTGGAGAAGATGCCTGGCCGGGAAGCGAGAAAAGGTCGCCGCTGAGTACACTTGTAGACGTCATAAATCCAGCTGCTATGAGTTCTTGAACTTCTTCTGGCTGGAATAGGCTTGCTGGTACGGTGTATGAGGACGTATTCTCTTCCAGCACTTTTGCATATTTCTGTTTTAGTTGTTGAGATAGAGCTGAGTGTTGTTGTATGGTATTTATCCAATCCTCGACTAGGATGACACCTTCGCCAATTGCAAAACCACCTTTTCCTCTTCCTGGTATGTTTATCTTCTTGACGGTGCCGGAGTGGATCAGGGTTGCTAGTTGGCGCTCAGTCGCTGTGGTCGAGGTAGAGACTGCGTGTAGATGTGCTATTGAGACTATTGGCGGCATGTTCTTTCGAAAGTTGAGGACTTCGGCTATTCGTGTGCTGTTCATACCCGCTGCTCTTTCTGGTATGTCGGTCCATGTGTGCTGTTGAATGTGTCGAATGAGGCTAACCACATCTTGTGGTACTTTCGGTGGCGGTAATGTCGTAACAATGCCAGTGTTGTCTAGAGGTTGCTCGCTACTGGGGTTTGCCTCGGACTGACTTCTCTTGACCCCAGCTTGCGGTGTGGTCGCGGCTTTCCGTCGCGGATGATTGCCAAAGGGTGAAGAAGCCGAGCGGAGTAGTTGAATAGGCGATTTTTTGGGTCGCGATTGTAGTGGCTTTGGTACACCAGTCGCACTGAAAGACATGACGACGGTGTGGAATTGTAGGCAACTGCGCTGTACAGTGTCTGCTGAGATAAGTAATGGAATGTCTGCCTTGTGGCAAGAGAAGTACACGTGATCACATGAGCAGGCGAAGTGAGAAAAAGAGGTATACTTAGTTCTGAACAGGCAGACGACTGTGATAGACAGGTCCAAAACTTGTGAAGAAGGAACTACTGAGCGCCTACATGGTACGCGAAGATGTTTGGACGCACTTGCTTTGACTTCGTGAAGGGGAACGGAAGGAGAAAGCGCGAAGTGAACTTGCTCGGGATCGACAAACGTGGCTGCCGAGAGACTTGGTCCTGCAGCTACTTGCTAACCACCACTCGTTCCTTCTCTGACCACTTCCTCCTTCTTGGAAACCAAAGAAGGAACTTGAGATTCGCAACAGATACCAGAATGAAGTAGAGAAGTTGTTCGTCCGATCGAGGTTGCCTCGATCGCCATATCTCACCTAATCGGCCAGACACGTGGAACTGGGTCACAAACCTACCTTCCATACCTGGACAACTGAAAAAAATATTCTTCTGGATATCGGCATTCTGGACTTGGCTGCTTGACCATCAACAGACTCTTTCCACACGGATGTCTTCCGACCCAAGATTCGTTATCAGTTGACAATGAGAGCCTCACGTCGGGTAAAGGCCCGTGAATACCCGCATTTCTTATCGTGAATTTTTTTATTTTGTGCACGCCCTACAACACAGACACTTCACGCCCAACCCCCAAACACGCCTTGCGCCCTAGGGAGTCTGTATCAAAGTCTTTTCTCGATCATGGGAGCATGTTTGGTCGCGATGGACAAAACCCCTGCTTGTCCCAGGGTTATTCTATGTAGGAGTCTATATTTTGAAATACAACAACTTTTCTTCCCAGGCCTGAACACTTGATCCGCTTGCCACAGTTCCATAACAAACATGTCTCAACTCGACGAGAAGAAGACAATGCGAGAAACCGTCTACGAGGAGACTGAGAAGAGTTCCGCCTCTTCAAGTCCGGATCTCACACCAACACCTTCGTCATGGTCAGAGAAGAGCATACGAGAGCCTCTCGAGGAGGTGATATTCGAGCCAGATACATGCCCACAATCTACAGATCTGGAAAGAACACCGACAAACGTTCTCAACAGGATTGCATCACGAGTAACAACGCATTCTCTCAAGGAACCTGGCCCACCACCCGACGGCGGCTTCAAGGCATGGTTGCAATGCGCTATGGCATGGCTTGTCGTCTTCAACACTTGGGGGTTCTGCAATAGTTTTGGAACCTTCCAGACGTACTACACTCAAATCCTTGGAGAGACGCCTGCAACCATATCATGGATCGGTTCAATACAAGTGTGGGTGCTGTTCTTCCTTGGGACCTTTGCTGGCCGTGCGATGGATGCTGGATACTTTGTGCCTACCTTCGCTGTGGGTACCGTTTTTCAGCTTGTGGGCATCTTCATGACATCTCTATCCACGAAGTACTGGCAGCTTTTCCTCGCCCAGGGTGTGTGTACTGGCATTGGTTCTGGAATTCTGTTCACGCCTTCCATGGCACTGCTCAGTACCTACTTCTCCAGTCACAAAGGTCTTGCTGTGGCGCTGGCAACTACTGGTAACTCTGCCGGTGGTGCTCTGTATCCTCTCATCGCTCGTCAGCTTCTGCCTCAGATAGGTTTTGGGTGGACCATTCGCGTGTTGGGCTTGATCAACCTCGTCTTTTTGTGCACTGCTGGTCTTGCTATGAAGCCTAGACTCCCACCTCGCAAATCTGGACCTTTGGTCGACTTTTCTGCTTTCAAGGAGATTGATTATATGCTTGTCAGCATTGGCCTGTGCTTCCACATGTCGAGCTTGTACTTTACGAATTGGTACATTGCGTCCTACGGCCGCGATATGCTCGGCTTCTCCTACTCAAACTCTGTCATTCTCCTAATCATTCTCAATGGTGTGGGCATTCCCGCTCGTGTCCTGGCAGGTCATGTCGCAGATCGCTACCTGGGTGCTCTGAACACTCTTGTCCCCGTTCTGCTCTACGTCAACATCCTTGCCTTCTGCTGGATGGGTGTCTCTTCCCAAACCTCACTTTACGTCTTTGTCTCTTTCTACGGACTTGGTCTAGCAGCCTTCCAATCCCTGATCCCTACCACCATCGCAAGAATGACCAAGGACATTAGCAAAGTCGGCACCAGAATGGGTATGGTGTTTACCTTTTTGTCGTTCGCTTCATTGGTTGGTCCGCCCATTGGCGGTGCTTTGCTCTCAGCAGGTAGTGGATCTTACATTTATGCTCAAGCTTGGTCTGGCGCTTCGGCTGCTATTGGAACTGCTCTTGTTGTTGGTGCGAGAGTTTATGCTTTTGGCTGGGCAAAGGTCAAGTGCTAGAGCCATGGTTCTTGTTCTGTTTTAGAGGATCTCAAAAGTTTTGGAGTCTTTTTAGGCCTAATGAAAATGAAAAATGAAGCATATAGAATACATGATAGAAATAGATGAATAATGAGTATCTTTTAATGTCCTAAGACTGGAACATTCCAGAACCACGATGCAACGTGTTTACACTCTCTCGAGTGCCTGTTGTGGTGAAATGTTGGGACGTTCATATCTTTCGTTTTCTAAAACTATGTGAGAACTACTTGCTGCTCTCAGCATACTTTGCGTACATCAAGTCATACAACTTGAGTTCGTTGATGGCATCCTCAGCACTAGTCTTGATCTCCTTGCCATTGACCAAGCAATCATGCATATCCAGGAACTCGGAAGCAAATGCGTCTTCAAACGTGCTGATAATCTCTCTTGTCTGGACTTCGCCAGCATCATTGACTTCCTGGACTTTGACCATGACAGGTTTTTGCGTCTTGATGTAGGGCGAGTCGTAGAAGATGGTGACGCGCTTGTTTTCGCCATAGACAGCCAAGTGGGCATCAAACTCTGGCACACCATCGATTCCCGATTCGTAGGTTACGAAGAAAGGATCTTTTGAGCCTGACTTGTTGCGGCATTTGAAGATGGCGGAGTAGAAAGGTTCGTTGACGGTAACGGCAGTGACATCCTCGGGGAAGCCGAGAGATTCTCTCATGAGAGATATGTCGTGGCTTCCCAAGCTACCTAGGAAGCGGGCATACTTTACCTGCTCTGGGGTTGGTTCTTTGCCAAAGGCTTCTTTGAGGAGAGCGTCTACTCTTCTGTTACGCTCTTCTCCTGCCGAGGGAGGGAAGTCGGTGTTCTTGACAGGGAAAGTGCCTGATTGCGATGTGAACTTGCCGTTTGCTGTCGAACTATTAGTAAAGCTACGTCCGGATGAACAAAGCCGTTCGAGACAGATGAATCTGACTTACGTCCCGAGAAGTCACGAGATCTGGCATAGAGAATCTTCGGTATGGAGTCAAGTTCGCGCTTGAAGGCTTCTGTGAAGGTGCGGCTGTGGCGACGCATGTATCCCACCCATACGCGGCCTCTGGACTTCTTCTCAGCGTCGATTATACGCTGAGCGGATTGCATTGACAGGGTGATGGGCTTCTCGATGAACACGTTCTTCTGAGCCTCCAGAGCCGCAACGGCGTAGGGCTCGTGAAACTCATCAGAGACGGATATGAAGACGATGTCTACATCCGCACTGCTGAAGATATCCTTTGGATCCGTGGTCGCCTTAGGAATGTGGTACTTTGCGGCGCAATGCTCTGCATTCTTGAAGGATGATGCTTGTCAGCCATGCCGTTGGATTATAGCGGTGGCTAAACATATGCAAACCTTTTTGGACAGATCGCAGATTGCAGTGATATCGTAAAGATGTGAGAGCTGGCATAGTGTAGGAAGATGGATGATTTGAGTTACTGATATTCACATGTCAACATCAAGAGCTCTTTCCATATCATGTTCCTTCCACTGCATACCTTCGCCAGCACCAATGATACCAATGCGCAAACGTTGTGATGAATCAGCCATGTTTTGTAGTATACTGAACTTCGAGTCGGGTTCTTGCCTGCAAGACGACCGTTGTAAAAGTGTTCAAAGAAAATGTGTTTCTCGGTCACATTGTGTTGAGTTCTTGCCAGGAAGATGCGGGTCACTGACGTAGCTATGTGTTGCCAGGGTCGCGAGTCATGCTGGGCTGCCTCCTTGAACGTTCTTATATCGAATGGAAACGGCATCTAGATTTCTTTAGCCATTGTGTATTCGTACGAGTGAGCCCTAAGGAGGATTTGCGGCCCGGCATGAAAGGAAGCCATATCGAAAGAGCTATAGCTTCGAAAGAGCGATGGACTGGAAGTGTGCTACAGTGCTTTCGGATCTTGACCAGGACTTTTGGCCTCAATGTCATCCAGTGATGTGTGATGATAATGATGCCAAGCATAAGATCAGGATCAAGACAAACATCTTCGTTCGCTGTGACGCTTGTCTTCTCACAGATCACTGGAGTAGTTCTATGTCCTTTCCATCTGCAGGAAGAGTCACATTCGCATTTCGGCGTGTCACCAGAGGAGCTTTTGATGAGAAAGCCATGCGACAAATCTGGCAAGGCCTTCCGGACGGGTATTCCTTCAAGACAAACGTTGTGCCTTCCTACAGTCTCGACCAAGCCGCTGCACCTAGCATTGTCTCTGCCCTACGCTGCAAATGGCCGAACGACTCATGAATATAGTTACACGGGTCAAACACAGATGCCAATTACCTACTCTAGGTTAGATTGCCGAGAGGCTGATTTCAACGTCGTTCTCAATTGCCGTACAACCATACAATCTTCGATCCTGCCCACGGGAAATACCCACAATCATGCAGCGTTGCGACCATTCGGCCGACTGCCTGGCCTGACCAACACTCGTAGACATAGGAACTAACGTCCAGCAGTACCTTGAACAGTTCTCGAATCCTTCTGGTGCCCGTTGTGATTATTGACCTACCATACACAGTCCTTTTCATCGATTTCCTGTGAATAGCAGAGGATCTGTGGCGTTGCGATGTCTTATATGTGCCATCGAGTTCTTGATCCCGAGTTCTATAACGGATCTCGTGAAGTCCATATATGACTTTATTTTACCCTCTTTGCATTCTCTCGTTCTGAAGTGTCTGGTTTGTTGCTTTCCATCTTGACGTTCGTTCCTTCGTTTTTTTAAGCGGCTTTGAGCCGACTGTCAGCCAGCAAGATGCGTCCTTCCTTTGCTCTTCCAGCACTTCTTCTCGCTCCTTTCGCCCTCGCGGCAACTACTGCGGTCAAGACTACTTGTAAGATTCCATCTCATATAATTCTGTCTCGCGAGGACGCTAACCATTTCCAGCTTGCTCTGCTATTGATCTAAAGACCTTCAATGGCGATGTCAAATATGGTCAGGCATTCTGCGAGTTCTGGCTCATCGTCAGCCGCAACACATCACCTCTTCCCGACCTCGCTGCTAGCTCTCTTACCAATGTTTGCCAGTGTGTTGTCAGTACCCAATCTTCGACAAGCAGCACATCTACCCGCTCCGTCGTCAGAGGAGCAAAGTTGGCCTCGACATCCTCCAAATCCACAAGTACCACAAAGAGCACCGAAAAGATTTCGAAAAGAGCTGTGACAACCAGTAAAACCACCAGCACCAAGCTCGTTTGTGTCAGCCAGAACGTTACCGCTGTACAGAATGATATCACCCACCCCATTCCTTTCTGCAATTGGTGGGCTACAGACTCGCGAACCAACTCGCCTATTCCTGGCCTCTCTGCTTCTCAGGTAACAAATGCATGTCAGTGCATTCTGAATTCGGCAACGAGCACATCAAGCACGCGAGCATCAACAGTCAAGATTGTGTCAACGTCAGCAAAGTCATCGGTGACATCCTCTTCAAAGCTTTCGAGCAGTTCGAGCAAGAAGTCGTCTTCCAGCGTCAAAAGCTCGAGCACGAAAACTTCGGTCACAGCCACTCGTGGTCAGGCTTCATCCTCGACGCCGAAAAGCTCGACGTCGAAGCAGCTCAGCTCATCGACTGCAACATTATCTAAACAAGTGTCTTCCAGCATCACCCAGACGAGAGAAGCACCTGCCATAAAGTCTTCATCAACTGTCTCGTCTTCGAGTGTGGCAGACGGAGCGAGCTCAAAGACATCTTCATCGACCACTGTACAGTCGTCCTCATCGTCGACTAGTACTACGCCGATTGTGACACGCACGAGAGGTATGGCGATAGTGGCACCTGCCAGCTCCAGTACTGCTCAGGCGGCTGTGGCATCGCAGAGCGCTTTGAGTAGCTCATTGGGAAGTGCATCCGGATCCTTGGCCAAGAACGCGGGCACTGCAGGATCATCTTCGAGTTCTTCCAGCAGTTCTGGTTCACAACAATCTTCGTCACAGGCCACCACAACTTCGACCACCAGCCAGGTTCGCATTCGTGGTAGCAAGGTTTCTGTCACTACTGTATCGACAAGTTCGACTTTAACGGCTCAATCCACTTCCTCCACTGCGTCGAGTCAGTCTGCATCTTTGTCTCAAGCCACTTCTAGTTTGGCTCAGTCTGCATCTGCATCTCAAACTCTCTCGGCTCCACAGACAAATGTCCCTGAACCTACCACTTTGTCTACTGGTAGCTTGCTTACAGATGTCAGCTCGAGTTCGCAATCCATTATCAGTAGCTCGAGTGCCTTTGTCTCGCCAAGTCAGAGCTCGAATAGTATCGGGAGCGCATCTCAAGCGTCTCCAAGCAGTAGCACATATGCATCTGTTGCCAATTCTATTGCCAGCGAGAGCACTACAGGTTTGACAGAATCCTCTCTGGCCACCGAGACAGGCAGTTCGACGGTATCGTTAGCCTCCACCTCTACTGATGCCATTTCGCAACCTTCATCAGAAGCCGAGTCGTCCTCTCTGATTGCTCCTGAACAAGCATCGGCAACTGACAGCGGAAGTGTCTCCACACCGACTCTTGTGAGCACATCAGTGGCTTCCAGCTCAGATGATCAAACCGCAATGTCCACAGACAGTATTTCGTCGTCGTCGCAGAGTATGACTGCCGGCCCTATAACAAGCACTATTTCCGGGTCGTCCAACAGCCCAGCAGCTACTCCCGAGAGTCGAATCGCTGGTGTTTATGCTTCTCACTCCGACACCTCGGCTGATAACACGGCTTTGCAGAGCAATGGTACGACTTCTGGTTTCAACTGGGGATGGGAGAGTGCTCAGCTTTTCGTCAACAGTATGGGTTGGCTAGTAGACTCAAATGGAAACTACCAAGTTTTCCAGGTCGACAATCAAACGACATTGGATATGGCATCAGGTCCCGTCCTTGCGATATCAGAGGATCAAGTCCCCAGCTATGCTTATCTTGGCCCTTGTAGCGTCAGCTCCGACAAATACTTGTCATGTAAAGCTACCGAATCAGGTGTGCAGACTTACGTCGACTTTTTCCTCGTTGCAGGTGAAATGACTGGTTCTTGGATTTTGTACGCTGGTTTCCATGACCTTGGTCATCACGATGTTGACTTGCAGTTGATCACGCCATCCGACGAGTCCGCATCTTCCACTCTCCTTGCAGGAGTATCTTCCACATCTAATGGCTATGTATCAAATACCGATATCGCGAGTATCGAGTCCTCGACACAAGCTACAACCAATGCTCCTACCAGTTCGCAAGAAGCTGAAGTATCACCCACCAGCTCGCAAGAGGTTGAAGTTCCGTCCACCAGCTTGCAAAACGCCGAAGCTACCGCAACCAGCTCGCAAGACGCTGTGACTACTTCCGTCAGCTCGCAAGTCTCCGAGTCTATCTCTACCGATGTGAGCCTTTCCAGTGACAACGCCGGGCCCACTAGCACTCAGTCTGGAGATGCTCCTGAGACCACTGAGGTAGGATCTATGCCCACAGCTTCGTCCAGCAATGCTCCGCAGACGACTGCAATAGATGCCCTGGAGAGCAGTCCCGTCAGCACTAGCACTAGCGACAACATGTCTAGCGGTGGCCAAAGCATTCGAGCGACAGCTTCTGCTACAGACATGTCGTCTTCCACCGCTGCAGACGAATCTGCAAGTGCCACTGGTGTGGTCTCACGATTCTACATCTACGTGACCAATTCATCGTCATCTGCCGATGAGACTAATGTCGAGACCGAATCCAACTCTGGCTTCTTGGGTTTCAACATGGCTGCGGATACTTATGAAGTCCGCAACTATACTTTGGACTCATCGTCTGGTTACATGTACGATGGTCAGACGTCAAACATGTTGGTAGTTTGGCCTAGACATGGAACCAACATCATGCTAGCATCTTCCGAAGACATGAAGACTAACGGCTACGTGCCTATTACTTGTACGATCAACTTTGATGAAACCTTATCTTGCTCGTACCAACAGGCTGGAATCACTTTCTCGGAGTTCTATGTTGAGACTGAAGGCTCTAATCAGTACCTGAACATTGGTCAATCGGAGTTGAACACTGCTTCAAGGTCCAGCTACCACGGCAATTCTTCCTACGTATCTCCAGTCACCACAGGCGCTTCTGTCAGTGGCTCGTCTAGCTCATCGAGCTCTCATCAGACTGTCGTCTTGAGAGTCTCTTCTGAGCCAAAAACTGAACAAACTTCGTCTTCCATGGACAGCAGTATTTCCACCACCGAAGCATCCAGCAGCACGATTACGTCTGCTGGTGTGGATGGCGACTATACCATCACGACTCAGTCTACCGTAACGCCTGCATCAAACAGTGCGATCACGACGACCGATGCTCAGATTCCAGTAGCCACATCTTCCCCCACTGGATCCAGTGTGGATGAAACCACGTCAGTCAGTGAGGTCAATTCTAGTCAGACCTCTCTTAGAGGCGAAGCTGCATCCGCGACAATCTCAAGCTACTCTAGTTCGACAATCTCAAGCTACTCTAGTTCGACAACGACAAGCTACTCTAATCTGACGAAGTCAAGCTACTCCAATCTGACCACGTCAAGCTACTCCAATCTGACCACGTCAAGCTACTCCAATCTGACCACGTCAAGCTACTCCAATCTGACCACGTCAAGCTATTCTAATTCGACAATACCGAGCTATGCTATTTCGTCAAGTACCACCGAGCTTCAGACAGAGTCCACCGATACCACGTCAAGCAGTACGATCGTTCAGAGCAGCAACATTTCCTCGACGTTGATCTCTTCTGCAACCTCCACTCCTGTTCCATTCTATATCACAGACACTCACAACAACTTTGTTGCTGTGTCTCCAGGACAAGATGAGGCTAGTACTTTCGTTGTTGGTCAAGATTCTGCCACATCATTCTATATTGACGAAACTACTGGATATCTTGTCGAGTCAGGCTTGAATACAACCTACGCTGCCAACCGCAATCCTAGCGATACCCCCGAGATTGTTTACTTCAGCACTGTTGTAGATTCACACAGTTATATCTCTTGTTCGCAGAACGATGCGACTGGAGAATTGCAGTGTGACTCGGACAATGTCTTGCAACACGCAATGACTTGTAACAACGACAGTATGCTATACTTTGCTCCTAAAGTTCCACCACAATGCATACTAGTGCCTTTGTACTACGTGGCTGTCACAAGTATCGACCAAAGCACGGCTGCCACAAGCAACAGTGTCCCTGCAAGCGTATTGGCATCTGTTACCAGTGATTCGTCGCTGGCAAGTCAGACTTCCAGCGAGACCGGTATTTCCAGCGATCTGACATCGAGTGCTGATGTCAGTAGCACCTCCGCAAGCGCCACCATTCCTCCTAAAGCTACCTCTCAATCGGCTTTCAATGTCTCATCAGCGTTCAATGCTTCGGTGACCACCAGTACCGACTCAGGAGTTGCTACTTCGTCTGGTGTACTATCGAGTAACACATCGCTTGCTGGCCAGGTTCCCAGTCAGACTGGTACTTCGAGTGATATGACTTCGAGTGCTGATATTAGCAGCACCTCTGAAAGTGTCACCAGTTCTCCCGAGCCTACATACCAGACGATTTCGAATTCCTCATTCGCCTTCAAAGCTTCGACGACCATCAGTGCCGACTCAGCAATTGCTACTTCGTCTGATTCTTCGTCGAGCATTGAGACAACTCAGAGTTCTGGTGCATTTATTTCTAGCATCTATGTTCAGGCCAACGTGTCGTCGTCCCAGTATTTGAATAGCGAGAGTGTCACATCCTCCAGTGTTGAGGTTTCGTCGACACAGGTCAGTTCTGATGCTTCTCAATCCACCGACTCGGCCTCAAGCAGCATTTCCGTGGGATCCACCACAGCCACCAATTCGCAAAGCAGTATGAGTTCAAGTCAGACTACCTCGGCAATCGTTTCATCTGTCGATAGCCAGACAACACTCAATCCAAGCAGTACGATCACTTCAAGCACAGCTTCTGCTGCAAGTGCTTCTGGACTGTCCACAGCTACTCTTTGTCCTTCCGCCGATGGCCAAAATATCACAGATTCTTACAGCAACAACTATACCGTTCATTGCTTCTCTGACTCTACTGTCAACTCTTATTCATCTGCACAGGCCGCAGTAAACTACCTCGATTGTATGACTGCTTGTGACAATGCTTCAGCAAAGGGTTGCACAGGCTTCACATACGTCGGTGGTGCGAATGGTAACGCTAGCGGTATCTGTTATCTCAAGACATCTTCTGGCAGGTTCACCACAGCTGGTTCGAACTACATCTCTGGTCAGTTGTCTTCTGTCAACTCCACCAGGTTTGACAGTTCTGCAGGCGCAAGCCCTTCAGGCATTCTTAGCAGTCCTAATGCAGCAAATACCTCTTCTGCTATTAGTAGCACTGTATACACAAGCTCAGCAATGCTGACGGCTTCTTCGTCTGCTTCGGACAGTTCCTCGACAGCCATTGCTTCGAATAGCACCATTGTCGCGAATGGTAACAATGCTGTAAACGATAACAATGGTACTTCATCGGCACTGTCCATGAACAACGGTCCAGCTAGCACTTCTGCGTTGACCACGAGTAGCCTGAGCGTTCAAGCTACTTCGACGAGCAGTGACATAATTGCTAGCTCCAGCACGTCTGATGTAACTCAGTCAGCTTTGGCATCGTCCATTACCACGACTGACAGTTCCATGGCACCAATTATATCCAGCGTTGTTTTGAGTTCTGATACGACTCAGTCAATCTTGACATCGTCATCCACTACGACTGACAGTTCCGTGGCATCTAGCACTGCCAGCATTCTTTCGAGTTCCGGGTCCTCGGCGCCTGACAGCGTATCATACTCTGCCGGGATGCCTAGTCCCACTTGGGCACCCTCATCTTCAAGCATTCAAGCTATCAGTACATCCTCGGTCTCGACCAGCGAGACAGTCGTTGCTTCTTCTGCTTCTAGTCAGAGTCCCAGCACTTCTTTAGTGACTTCGAGCCAGAGTGGCATTGTTTCCTCAACCGTCTCTAGTCAGAGTGCTGTTATTTCCTCCTTCTCGTCCAGCGAGACCACCATCAGTCTCACATCGAGCAGCAGTCAAGGTTTCTCGTCAAGCATTAGCCTTTCTGCATCATCTTCGCCAAGCAGTAGTTCGATCAGCTCCTCGATCTCCTCGAATAGTGCTTCGAGTAGTTCATCGATGAGCACATCTACTAGCCAAAGCTCATCCACTAGCTCTGTGACCTCGATTGCAGTTGTTTCGGTCGTCAGTAGTACTTCAGCAAGCTCAAGCCGTTCGACATCGTCCCAGACAAGCACCAGCTCTTACAACTCTGTCTCAGCCGCCAAGTCTATTATCGAAGCTTCAAGCTATCAGCCTTTCTGTTCGACATATCTTGGATACAGTTCTTCCACTAAGACAGTCACGTCGACAAGCACGTATGAGATCGTTGCCACTACAACAACTACAACCACGTCTCTTGTTGCCCAGACCAAGCAGTACAAAAAGCGTGATGTTGAGGAGCCTAGAGCCACTTGCGACTGTGAGATGCACACGCATGAGCTTAGATCTACAAGCTCCGCCGAAATCATCTCCACATCAATCCTTCGCCGCAGAAGTGGTTCATACTCTCAGATGCCGACAACTCAACTTCAGCGTCGTGCTACTACAACCAGCTCGAACACCACGCCAACCCCTCTCAGGACCTTCTCATCGACAGATCTCAGTTCGGCATGTAGCTCAGAAGTCACCTCTCCAGCAGTCTCCACTACCACCCTTTCGAGCACTGTCACAGCATCGACCACCACCACCCTCACGCAGACGGCAACATCTACAACAGTCATCTCCGTGGCATCAAGCGCTCCAACTGGTGTGGTTGGATACATGTCTTTCAGAAATCCTGTCAACCCTGGCGGTCAATACGCTCTTTCAGATCCCGCTACGCACATGACGGATAACTACTATGCCAACAGTACTCGCGAGACTTTCATCATTACCAACACCAGCCAGCTTTACTCTGTCACACACAATGCATACTACTATTACCAGACACCGGCTGGAGCTGACAAGCTTTTCTGGAGCACGAACAATGCAACTGGCAGTTCCAACTGGGTACCTGGCAACACCACGTCCGATGGGTACACACAGCTTCTCATGGTAGACACGCGCTATACCGCACGCACCTACTACAAGTTCTGCTTGATGAAGCTTGGATCTAATGATGCCAACTCGGCCACAGGATACCATGTCTACTATTACAACAGCACAGCAACGTTCCCATCGAACTGTGGTGCTACACAGCTCTGGTTCGCGCCTTCCTAGTCGGGTCCAAAACCTCACTACCTTCTTCTTTCCTTTGTCATCATCACAATCATTACACTTTCAGATTTTACTGCCAGCATACACGACGGAGATCTCGCAGACTACACTGCACGTCATCATTGATACTTTTTGTATAATCTTTAGTACACAGTCCAAACATAATACAAACATACAGCGAAACACGTCAAATCCATGTTCCTAAATCCGTCACCTCTTTTCTCATCTCACTTTCCAAAAGGTCCAGATGTTTCATTTCCATGTCCCAGACAGGGCAAGGGCTCGCGATAATCCTTGGCTCCTTCCCCTTTGGTCGTTGATCATTTGCCAGAGACACCCACTTTTGCATCAGATATCCTCGCTACCACTTCGGGCAGGTTTTGACGGGGCAGACTCCGCGGGAAGAGCTGCCAAAGCTTCTCACACGAGTCATTGACGCGCGCTTGCGAATACGACCGAAGATACACTTCTTGCTCTTGCCGCAAGCCAATGAAAAACGGCGGAACCATATTCCTCCCTTGCAATATAAATGATCGGCGCTTGGCTAACGTTTCCACCAACGTCGAATCTTCGAAAAGGCAAGGGAAGACGTCAAAGGCTGCAAACGGCTATATATACTCTACCACTATTTCAATGTGCTTGTTTGGGATCTGATGATTTTCTTTTCTTCTTTTAGGTCTCTCGCTCCGACTGCGAGATGTTGTTCTTGCCCTACCTGATCGGCATAATGCACTGGAACTTCGCTTACAGGCGAAAAGATAGGTATGAGAAAGAAGATATGATATGAGTGTCTCGGTCTGTCATCTGGCCGTTTCATTGGCAACGTGAAAGAGATCGAACCATATTCAATACTGCGGCGCCTAGACAATGTACTTTTGAGATCTTAACGCATGAGGATCAGATAAAAATTGGTTCGACAAAGTAAATACGAGATTCTATGAAAGCTAAATGAGTGTCTAGTTCGTGAACAGGGATGGATGCATGCTGTGTGATCTACAATGAGGTGCAACTGTGGTTGGTTCCGATGGAGATTAATTCCTGTTTTCTGTAGTCCTCCATGCCATGCTGGGTATATGCAATTCGTGATAGTCGTAAAGAGCTGAGTATTGCCCGGACCAGCCAGGTCGATCTCCCGGACTCGATTAGGATGATTAATATATTTGATGTGGAGAGGAGCCGCAACAATATCATATCCAGCCAGCTTTGACGCCTTTGCTTACGCGCCAGTCTGTGTTGTAGTTGCCGGTCTCTATGTCAGGTCCAGTGCCGAATTTTCGTGGTAGCATTTGGATTTCTGAGACGTGGTCATCGTTCTCGCTCTCCGCTCGACTGTCCCAACTTGACATTGCGCTGCCATTGCGGGGCGGAAGCATATTGCGTTGACTCGATGCGCCTGAGGCAGAACGTTGGGGCCGCGATACGGTAGAGTGCGATGCAGGCATACTGATGGCATGGTAGTGATCACTGGACTCGTTGCTGTCGTCGCTCACACGACCGTCCGCAACAATGGTGTGCATTGGTATCTTGTCGCTTTCCACGTCTCGCGTAGACTTCTTGCGGTGGTGCTGCGAAATAACGGTAGAACGGGTAATGGTGGTGTCATGAAGTTTAGTGCCGCGAGATGAGTTGCTGCCACTTCCAGTCACGGTGCTGATCATTTCACTGACATGTGCCATCATTGGAGCAAAGAGAGGCTTGAGTGCGGGTGCGCATCCGCAGAGGATAGCCAGGTCGACTTCCACAGTTGCGCAGATGTAGAGGGGCATTGAGTCCCAAGTTTCGTCGTAGGTGCCCATTAGTGTTCTCCAGATGAAGTAGGTGCGGACAACACCAGCGATGGTGACAACCAGGCCCAGGGATAACAGACCAGCTACTCCAAGTCGTTGCTTGAACGGCATGTTGAGCCCCATGATGATAGGGATGGGCAGCAGGGTGACTGTCAAGTCCGAGATGCAATTCAGTACTCCAGCGACCAGTGTCACAGGACCTTCATCCAAGCATCTGGCGTTCTTCATCATTGGGAAGACCCAGTAAGCCTCGACTGGCCTTTTGAGATGTTAGAGAGAAGTTTAGAAAAGGTGCGGCCACAAGACTTACGTGCAAAGGAATACAGCGAGAATAACGAATGTAACGCCAATTGCAATGTTGTACGTGAAAGCTGCCCAGAGGACGTACTTGAAGATACTGTACCCGGTGTCTTTCATGAGGCGGAAGTAGAAACAGATGAGCGAAGCACGCGCGAAAGAGCCGGCGAGTGTGAACAGTAGCTTCGAGGCGAGTGCTACAATAGATGCGGATTGGAACATTGTGAATTCGACATCCCACAGATGGCGGTTCCATTGATAGCGGACATTGGCGAGGATAACGACAATGCCGAGGGCCATACCAAAAACCTGCGTCTATGTGTCAGCCAGTTTCCAAGAACGTTAGACTGGATCAGCGATACATATGCGATTGCCATGTTGAAGTCGTCCCAGCCCAATCGTCCTTTGTTTGTGTATCGCCCGTAGAGACGTAGTGGCACGGCCAGGCTTATAAGTGCCATGAAGATGACATTGACGATGACAAGAGGTAGCCCTTGAGTTGGAGGGTTTTCATAGTTCGGGGTTGGCCAGTTAGCCAACACTCTAGCTGGCGGCAACTGCATATTTGCGTCTCGCGAGACTACACTTCTCGGATGTCTGTTATAGCTTCTCGGCGGCGTAAGGAAGAGAGCAGGGAAAGAAAAATCAAAATCGAAGAACAGGATACAACAAGAGACAGAAATCTACAGGATGAGGCGGCCTTACATCTTAAAGCTGGGAACTACGACAACGTCCAGTGGAAGGTCAATGCCGTGCTGAGGTTTTTGGTTAAGGTTATCGCACAGGCCTGTAACACCGGCTAGGGACGATCCCACCGTGGGGGTCGAGATGAGAACGGCTATATGCAAGGTCATAGCACACAAACTTCGCTTGTCTGAGTAAATGATTGGTGTTTGAGTAAGTAGCGCGAATACTCAGCAGTCCGACATGACCGGGCCCTATGAGGCAAGGGCGTGCTGAGTGGCGCCTCTGGGGGATCTGCTCGTTACACCAGGTATTGGTTTACCAACTGCAGAGCATGGCGCGGGACTGGAGAACGCTCCAGCCAGGGGTGACGCCCAAAAAAGAAGTTCCGACGTCCCTTGTAGTCAATTAAGAGTAAACAAGGTTTGGAAGCAAGCAATTTTTCACGAGAGTTCGTACGTTGAAGAGCTTGGTAAGAGTCAGTTTGCCGTTCTTGACGAACGTTGTTGGCCATGCTAACGGTGCACGTACATGGTCGTCGAGTCCTGCGACAGCAGTCATGGCTGGTGTGCTGCCAGCCTTGATGCTGCAAGCCGTCAGCACGTCCCAGCGGTGATCGGCATTGTCGACAGTCGCATGAACAGTGGCCTTGGTTGTTTCACAGAGCATGGCTCCATACTTCGATGTGATATGTCGATTGTGACATGAAGCGCAAGCAGTGGCACGTCGTTTTTGAAGTGGAGAAGATCAGATCTCTTCCCAATTGCTGGGACAGTGCCGAAGTCAAGATAAATTGAAGCCATGTGGCTGGAACTTCAAAAGAGGGGCCGGTTGCACCTGCTCATTCTACGGCGAAATCGTACAAGGCAAATTCTATACGTTTTCCACTGACAGCTTGAATAAGAGGCGTTCGTCTTCAATTTTGTCAACTGTCGCTGTTGTGAGTCAGAAAATGGTTCTCTTGTTGAGTGTTGGTAGGGACTTTTTCAGGGCCGAAGGGATCATGGCTGAGAACATAAGAATTGGGCGAATGATTCGTCAAGATTGGCTATGGTCCGCGGGACTGCCGGCGGTGGATAATCGACGCGGATCAAAGCGAGTCATGTCACAACCATCCATGAACCTTGGCCGCCATGTGATAACATCAACAACTACTGCATCTCGTATACCACATGATTTTTACGTTATCTTGAGCTAGAAGTTCAAGCGCATTGTGACTATGGAATCTGGCAGCGCTGCTGAGCTTGCATTCCGCTTCGCTCCGGCTGCAAAACATCGACTGGCATTTTCAAGCCGGCTTAGAGCGGACGAGCCCTGAGATACTCCTATGTGCCGCGCGTGGTTCAGCTCATCAATAGTCAGACTGGTACATTGAGAAGCTGATATCTTCTGGCTCTAGTGCAGTTGGTGCGATGTCTGGTGGATTGTTACAATGAATCGCGTGAAATGAAGCGGAGTTGAGACTTTGAAGCCACTGATTCAGCTCTGTAACCAGCATACGGCGCTTCGTAAGACGTACAATGGTCAGATGCCCTATGTTACATCCTAGCTGTATACAAGTGGTATGCGATGGGTCTCGAACTTCTCATGGTGCGAACCACTCCAATGTGACACCTCGACAGCTCCGTGGACAATTGTTTGAGACGTCGGCTTTACGAACTCGCGTGCGACAGGACATGTCGTGTAAGGGTCCACGAACTGAAGTGCCTTGATGGCACGCCCCATGTGGAATCGGGGATGATTCTGGGTAGGAGAACCAAGAGACCATCATCTTGCCCCTTTGCCACAATCTTACCATACGCTGAGAAGCCGTGAGCTGTGCACAGAGCTTCGGTAAGCATAGATTACCTTTCTTGCAAAAGATAGTTAGAACGCACTGCCAATATTGACCCGGCTTTCGCACTGGTTGATTCTCACCCTCACATCCATATGTCCGAAATGCTTCGCTGATCTGTCTAATATTAAGTGAACGCAGTCGATTTTGGCCTGAGAGCGCAAGGCAACAGGTCTTGTCGGTCCGCATTTGTCTGTATGTCATCCTGCATTGGGAAAGCAAACCAAATTCCAGGCACGATGCTTGCCAATAGGGAGTTGTCCAGTAGATCATCTGCAAGCTAGTGAGTTTTGACCTTCTATGGGAGTCTTCCTTCTGGGCATTCCCCTGATATATGGCTTTCAGCTCAATCTCATCCTCGCTAAAGACTCTAGAGAAGAGTCATAAGGATGCTTGCCATGTGCGGCACTGATTTTCATGGTGTTTCGAGAAACGATTCTTTGAGAATCTAGATGCTCCTTTCGTCAGTTGGTCAATCACGCCGAGACCAGCGTCCAACTCAATCGCAATTCAACATTCTAAAAATTGATGCAAAGTTAAGTCTCGAAACGCGTTTGATCAACGTGTTTCATGTGCTTGAAGTGGATATGGTCCATGCACTGAGCGTGCCAAGAACTTCGGCTTGGCTTTCCCTCTCTAAGGTAGACTTCATCTCTTATTCGCACCTTCCCTATACCAACCTCTGTCACGCTTTTGCAAGACTCAACTGTGGATGCAGATACAGTAGAATCTCGATGATACTGTCTGTCATAAAATGTGTATGACGCGTAAAGGCGCCAAAATCGCAACACCAGGTCCGAAGTCAGCTGTGTAGTGAATCAGTCTTATGATTACACGCTCGATGATGCCACAACTTCATTATTGTTCGGAGCAGGAGACGACATTGAAGTCGATTGCGAACTACGCCTTTGTGATCATTGTGGCTCGACGTGTGTGTACTTTGCAGCATAGTGAATCGCTCACAGTGAATAACATCACTTCTTGTCTTGCAGCAAAACCCGCTGACTGCTAGTCGAGTTGCATCGTCGTTTCCTCTTTTTCCCTCGACATGATGAAAAACCATTGTCACATATCTTTCACCTCACTACGATTTGCCTCTCACTCTCACAAGCAGTTTGACAATACTTCCAACATTCTTCTGTTACTAAACTCAATCCTCCCATTTCTATTCCCTTGTTCTCCCTTCTCTCTATTACACTAATCATACGTCAACAACATACATCGAGGTTACACGTCAACAACACACATCGAATACACATACAACATCACAAGTCGAATGCACTTCAACACACACGTCAACAACAGATCACGCTAAAAAAGAAATGATACTTCAACTCCCCAACGAACTTCTCTCGCGCATCGCCGACTTCTCGCAAGACGAAGATCTTCTATCATTGCGCGTCACCTGCAAACTTCTAGAGCAAAACACCCGCAGACGCTTCATATCTGCATTCATCACGGAGACTACCTTCCATGCCTCTCTCTTGGGCATTCGACGCCTCAAAATATTGCTCGTGAACCCAAAGTTCGGCCCGTATGTCGAGAGGTGCATGGCTCTGATTGATCGAGGTCCGTTCTTTGATAAAGACAAATGCGAGGCGCTCTTGACCGAGATCTTCTTACAACTATCACGCGATGGCCATGGCTTCAAATTCGGCATTGTCTACCGCCCTCATGCCGATGATTTAGATTTCGCCTCGTGCGAGCAACTTCTCAATCGAAGTCGAGATTTTGCGCGTCTGATGGTTGACGCTTACCCTTCCGAGTCACCTGTGCAAGACTTCATAGTCGACCAGCGAAACCTATCCTTCAACCATCGCTACACTGGAGTATATCTGAGGAGCTTGGCAAGGACATTGTCGCCGCCTTGCAATGGTCTTGCATTCAAGTACAGAGACGTGGAGGTGCGCATGAGAGATCGTGATGAGAACTTCAAAGGTTCTTCTATGTTTCGCCTCTCATTCTCGCAGAAGGCAAGCTGTGTCAAGTTAGATGGTGTGGAACGCACAAACTGCTTGCACCTCAACGTGATGGACACGACCCATATTAAGGAGGCTCATATCGTCAACTGCAAGATCTCGACACTTGCTCTGCGGAAATTGTTCTGCAGTATCTATAGCCCATCCTGGCGACTGGAGATCAAGAACTGCCAGTTCACATATCGTCACGGATGGACTGCGGACAACTCTCGCCGCTTCAGAAATGTCCTCTGTGCCAAAGCCAGCAAGCTCAGCTCTTGCTCGTTAAGCAATCTCACAAACTCAACATCGGGGCCGATCTTCACAGGAGACTTTGAGGCTACCGGCTCCTCTCAAATCCGCTACCGCATCAACGCGTTGAAATTCATTGAGCAAACCCCCGATAGAGCCGGCTCAGATGATTCAGACTAGGGAGACAGCGTGGACGTTCGTGATACTGAGGAATTGGAGAAAGGTGGAAATCAAACACTATACTCAAAGAAGCAGTCACCTTATAGTAAAAATTTGTGCTTAGGTCATAAGGGTTTTTCATTCGGAAAATGTGCTTCAGACGAGCATACAGAAACCCCCGAGTGTAAAAAAGAAAAACAGACATACAACAAAGACTCGATGCAAACATGATCCTTGAGCCAGTCAGACCATAAATTCTTGTTTCGGGGCTAACGAGCGCCGTTGCACTCGACCAGACGAAGTGGATGAAAACTGAACGATCTGACTTGAGTCCTTCGTGGTTGACCAGACCTTAAAATAACTCAACTCCAACAACATCACGCAATCTCATATGCACAGTAAGAATCAAACACAATCAAACAGTCCTGCTAGCACACACTTGGAATCAGAACGAATTCCAAAAAGATGAGACAAAACGTACAGCAGCAGGGATTCCCACGTGGTCACCCACCGTAGTACTAATCTGCCGTTCAACTGCTTATGTATGGCAGAGCGGACGGGATGCCCAGTTTTCAGCTGACTGTGGCCGTACGTGCATGAATTGCTTTCTCGAAAGTATATAACTCACAAACGCAAATCGATTGTTTCGCCGAGACGGACGACTAGCAATCTGATAAAAGCCCATGAGAGATTGAGGTGAGATCATCAGATGCTATCGCTCTACAGTCCAGTAAGTGCGAGTCTTGATCTGCGATCGGTGGTCATGTAATACCGGAACCGCAGCACAAAGAATGACCCATTGAGAATCAGATCTCAACTGCCACTAGATAATAGTACCTAGGATTCTCTGATAGCCTTCCAATGCCAGTGTTGTCACTGTTGGAGAGCATAACTTCTAGACATCTTAGGCATGGACTGAGCTTCCTGAGCTTCGAGCGAGCAATGTCTCAGGCTATGTGAGTTGGGACTGTCTGCCATATGTCTCGCCAAGTTTGTCTCTCCCAGTGTCTTTGCTATTCTCGGGGTCTGTCGCAGGCATCAAAATGTCCAGCATACAGATTCACAAGCAGTATCAGCATATATCACTCATAGAATGTAACAGCAATTGTCTGCATCATCTCAACAAGCAAAAGTCCATAACTCATTCGACGAAAGAATCATGAGTGTCACGCAACAGCAAGTCCCAGCATCTCGTACGCAAGCAGCGAAGAACGACGGCGATGTTCTTTCCTCAGCCACGAACTCGAGTCTCGTCAGCGACAACAATCCATCTCTTTCCTCGCGATGCATGACTTTCCAAACTCGTATCGACTCGGTAAGGATTTCCACTCTATACACTACATCCTTGGAAACTCTAACCTGACTGTTGTTTTGCAGTACACCATCGAACTTGACCGTCTGGAAGCAATGAATAAAGCCATCCACAAGAAATACGACAAGCGCAAGCAAGAGCAACAACGCGACCGTCTAATCGACAGCGCATCTCCAGAGCCAGATCGAGGAAGTGCGACTGTGCGCAAAGACAAACACAAGATGGTCTTGAAGAAGTTGAGACAAAGAAGAAGACGACTGACTCGAGGTCTTGCGGTGATGAAAGAGAAGATGGAGAAGTTGAAGACAGAGATCGAGAGTGTTTCTCAGGAAATGAATGTCGGTGATCTGTGAGGAGCCTGTTGCTTTGACACAAGAGAATGGGTGGGGATGGACAGGGGACTGAAGAAAGGCAAACAGAGGTTGAACGATCAAGTCGACAAGAGAAAGGAGGGAACACTCAATGATGAGACGATCGACAGATGAGATAAACAAGCAGAAGAACGAAAGGCTCAGGCGAGGCTTTATGGTGCAGGCAGACTTACAAATCCGGAACACAGCAGATAGTTGCAACCATGTCTTTACTTTAATCCGTTTGTTGGCGCTGTGGCGGTTATGAGGGAAGCAACGATGAACATCAGGGGAAGATCCAGATCGGACATGTCCAATAGGACGTTGTTCTTGAGAGACGTCGGGAGTGAGTTGAAACGAGTGTTTTCCGAAAAAGGTTGTTGTTCAGATCGTAGGGTTTGGATGTGAGCTCCAGTATGCGGAAGTGTGTTGTCAACGTGCCTGAGCAAAAACAAGTGCACAAGCAAGGAGTTGTCAGCTAGAACTGCGAGTGATCAGTAGCAGAGGTCACTGAAGACGGAATGCATCGAAGAGACGAAGTCATGAACGAAGCGGGACCAATTTTCTCATTTTCATTTCGAGAAGATAGTCTTTCTTTTTTTTTCCTTCATCCACCCTAGCAACGTGCAGCGTGCGGGTCAAAGCCGTCATGAATTTCTTGCAGTGTCTCCTTCGCTTGCAGGGTATTCGGAAAAAAAGGAACATGGTGTTGCCCATTGCACATAGCATTGCGTGCCCGTAAAAAAGTAAGAACTAACTCCTCATTTTGACTTTACAACCAGCGTTCACCCAGGTTGATAAGCTTAGTGACCAGCGCGACGGGACTCGGCGATGTAGTTGGTCATCTCGTCGACCTTTCTCTTGGCGCGGCCGAAGGTACCGAGCTGCGGTTTGCGTTAGCGAGGATGTTTCCAGGAGGAGGCTGTTTAGTCATGGCGTACTCTTCTCTTTGCGAGCTTGCGGGCACGCTTGTCCTTGGAGTTGCGGAGAAGTTCAACAACGCGGCGCTCGTAGGGGGCGAGACTTTGAGTATGTTAGTTTGATGTCGCTGAGGTCAGGTAGGACGAGGTCGAAGAGGTCTTCGAGCTCAATGGACGAGAAACGTACCCGGCAACCTCCTTGACAACGTCACGGACGAAAGCGGTGCGCTTGCTGAGGTGACCCTTGGTGCGCGAAACGCGGGCAGCGGGCTGGCGGGGGGTGACCTTCTGTAGAAAGGAAAGACATGTCAGTCAAGTGATTCTGCGGGACTGCTCATGTATCGAGGTAGGGTGTGCGTAAGTCTCTGATGCGAATGCGGTGTCGAATGCGTGTGGTTGCCCATCCCGTTCAGATTCTCCCAGCTCTTGTCGAGTGTGTCGTGCTTGTCGGTGCAGAAAATTCATCGTCCTCCTCTTGATCGCATTTCGCATCATCGACGGCGGCGGTGGGTGCAGTGTCTCCGGGACATGGTGGGTATAGGAATCAACGTACGTGGCCGGCGTTGATGCCGCGAGCGAGACCGCTCTTCTGCTTGACTTCCTTGGGCATTTTTGCTGTGGTGTTAGTCGACGACGTCCGCTGCAGGAAAGAGTGTCAAAATCGAGCCAAAGCGGCAGGCAAGCTTGCGAATTTCGAAAGTGCGGCAATCCCCGTGTGCGTGCCTTGGCGAAGAACTCGCTTTGCAAGCCCGCGCCTCGATTCTGGAACATCTGATCACAGCACGAAGCTCACATCACGGCTTGCTTTGCGACTGCCACTTTTGGCTCTTGCTGTTGTTGTTGCTCGTCGCTCTCTCAAAAGTGAAACTGTTGCTGCCGCTGACGTTCCTGTCGTCGGTCAAAACTTGATTGACTATACGCTTTCAAGTGAGAATGTCAAACGATGGCACGCTTTTCACATGCGTTTGTGCCTCTACATCCCAATGTTAATATGCTCGCATGACCTGCCTGACCAGTGACCACTCGAATCAATCCACCTCAGGCTCGTTTGGCTTCTTCTTCGTTCCTGTGCCTTGACAGCCACAACCGCCTCGCATTCAGCCTTCCGACGAACTACATCTCTACTGCTTCCTTAGACTGAAAACTCACATACAAATGCTTTTGTAGCATACGATCTTGACAGAATGTATCATCTCAACGTGCCGCTCTTCAGGCCGTGACTATTAGATCGCAATTTCCCCCCATGCGGACGACGGTTGATCTCTGAGCCGTGCTCCGAGGGAAGGCGGTACGCGCCTATGACGTTTTTACTGCTTTTCCAGTGTGGCTTTGCGACCTCTGACGCTGCCTTTTGCCCTTTTTCTACATCATCCAAGATCAGCCCTCTCATTTAACTTGAATCGTGCCCTCTCATCGCTACCGCTGACCTAGACGACGACTTTCTCCCTGTCACGACGACTGTCTCGCCATCCGCTTCCTATAGCACTTTCTGCTGTCAACTGTCACCTGTGCATCAATTTCACCGCACAACGGTCCCAGCCACGAACGAGCATTTCTTCATTAAACTTCGCGCGACAACTTCCAAACTTCTACGACCATACACCTACTTCAACCTGATTGAATAAAGATATAGAGACTCACAATCATGTTCAAAATCTTCTCATATTGGATGCTGCCAATCATCGCAGCATGTTGCTGGCTAGGTATGCTGGACGCCGCATCAGCTATTCGCAATCTCAGAGTCTGACTGGTCATTATAGGAACTCTCCTCGGCATGCTGGGTTGGTGGCTCGCAAGCGGTTCCCCTCATCTGCAGGGCATGGAGACTGGTCAGACAATCGCATACATCTCTGACATTGGCGCAACACACCTCCAGCCTCTCTTCATCGCTGGTTCTGCCGTTACTGTTATCGTCTTTGATGTGTGCTTCATCTCAGAACGCTATCTGCGCCACAAAGGTCGTCTTGCCCACAACACGTCGCTGACTCAGAAGGTCCTGTCGGTCCTGTCTTCCGTCTTCGCTATCATCGGTGCTATCGGTCTGATCCTCCTCACTTGTTTGAAGGATACAAAGTTTGGTACTGCCCACGACACCTGTCTTGTCATCTTCATGTAAGTTGGTTCAGTGCCTCATTGTCATCATTTCTGACAAGATCTTCAGTGTTGGCTATATCATCTCTGCCATTTTTGCATGCGCTGAATACCAACGTCTTGGAATTCACTTCCGCCAGTACCGCATCTTGCGTGCCTCATTCTGGATCAAACTGTTCTTCATCTTGACTGAGATTGCTCTTGCCATCGGTGAGTAGTCTGGACTTTCTTTGCGCGATACCTATGCTAATCCAATCTTAGCTTTTGCTGTTCTGGGTCGCCACAACAACACACGCAACACTGCTGCCGTCCTTGAATGGACTATCTCACTCATTTACATCATCTACGTTGGTCATTACTTCATGGATTTCCTGCCCGCTGTCCACAGCAAGGATCATCTCTTCCCTACTGTCGAAGAGATGATGGAGAACGGCAACGGTCCATCCTACTCCGGCGGTCCTACCTTCTCCGAGAGCGCATCGTATGCCAGCGAGAACCCTATGCGCGCCAACGGCCAGACCGTCGAGCCCAGCAGAAACTTCTAAGCTGTCTCCAAACGCAGAGACAACACAAATCACTACTACTAATAAACTAACCTTCATGTATTTTTATTGATATGACGACGACAACGATTTTTATAATGTCAAGGGAGAGGATTGCAGGGGGAGGATCCCAGGGATATGAATTGGTAAAAAGAGGGCAGAAACCAAGGATCATGGAGTTTCTTTCTCAGGCGTGGCTAGCGTTGCCATACGCATGTTTGCCCATATGCACTGTACTTTTATCAGCAACAAGGGTTGAATCAATAGATACGAGACAATCAGATGATATCCTGGTATGCAAAACAGCACGAAGATTTAATCCTTTTTTCGTCCCAAACTGCTCCCTATTGTGTACATTGACGCCGGTGTCTCTTGAGCTCTTACGGTCTGCTCAGCTCAGCAAAGGGGATTTTTTCATGACGGAAATCCAGCCTGTCAAGTTTCTTCCGCATTTCCGAAGATGCTCTTTTTGGGTTCTGATTTCTTTTCTTTTGTTTTTCTCCCTTTCCTTCACGAATACCTCAAGGCGAAGATTGAGCGCTTCTATTCCTTCCTTCTGACATCGAGAGAAAAACACCAAAAGTGACGTTTGCATAGGATATAAGTGTTCCAAAACGTTGAAGTGTGGCTATTGTCATTCGTCTCGTCATAATAAATAAAGGAAAAAAGAAAGAGCTTTGACTATAATAAAAACTCTTTGAGCAAACATCGAATCTCTCCTTTTTTTTTGGATTCCTCCCAGTTCCTGCAAAATGTACATTCCCTTTCTATATGCCAGTCGGTTGGTTTGTGTGTGTTGAGACGCGATCAAGCGGGAGCGTGGCCGATGTTCTATTTCTTTTTGTTTTCTGTTCTGCGGAGGTGTAGATCTCCTCTAGTGGTGGAACAGACGGATGTGCTGCTCGACAAAGGTGATGTTCAACTTCTCGGCGGTGGTGAAGACAGCCTGGTCGTTCTGGCTGCCGGTGGGGGCAGCAATGTACTTGACACCAGAGCGAGCAGCGCGGAAGACGTTGTCGATGAAGGGGAAGAAGGCGTCGGAGCTAACGGCGACCTCGGAGAGCTTGCTCAACCATGCCTGACGCTCCTCGGCGGAGAAGGGAGTGGGTACCTCCTCGAACATCTTCTCGTACTCGTGCTCCTCCTCGTCCGAGGCGGGCAGAACGCCACTGCAGAGCATGTCAATGGCATTGCTTTTGTCGGGACGCTTGGTGCCCTTCTTCCACTTGATGTTGAGAGCACGCTCGTGGAAGCGCATGAACCAGTTGTCGGCCTTGTCACCAGCAAGACGTGTGCAGTGAATGCGGCTCTGCTGACCAGCACCAAGACCAATGACCTGGCCGTTAAGAGCGTAGCAGACAGAGTTGGACTGGGTGTACTTGAGTGCGATAGTAGCAACAGTCAGATCGCGAAGAGCAGACTCGGGGAGGGCGGCAGAGTCCTTGGGGGTGATGACGGTACCGAAGCTCTCGGAGGGGGTGATGTGAGCGTCGTTGCGACCTTGGGTAAGGTTGATGCCGTAGACGGTACGGTACTCTTGGGCAGCGGGCTCGAACTCGGGGTCCATCTGGAGGACGAGGTAGCGACCGGCCTTCTTCTTGCTAAGGATCTCAAGAGCCTCCTTGGTGTATGAAGGAGCAATGACACCGTCAGAGACCTCACGCGAGATGATCTTAGCGGTAGGGATATCGACTTCGTGCGACAAGGCGATCATGTCACCGAAAGAGGACATGCGGTCAGCACCACGGGCTCTGGCGTAAGCCTGGGCAAGGCCGGAGCTTTCGATACCCTCAATGTCGTCAACCATGTAGACCTTGCGCTCGACCTCGTTGAGAGGAACACCAATGGCAGCACCAGCGGGCGAGACGTGCTTGAAGCTGGCGGCAGCGGGGAACTTGAGAGCAGCGCTGAGCTCCTTAACCAAAGGCCATGCGTTCAGGGCATCGAGCAAGTTGACGTAGCCGGGAGCGCCGCACAGAACCTTGAAGGGGAGCTTCTGGTCCTTCATGAAGGCAGCGGCAGACTTCTGGTGGGGGTTGGTACCGTAGCGGAGCGAGACGTGCTGGTTGCCGTTGCCAGCATACTTCTTGCGGAAGAACTCGGAGATGGCAGTGTCGTAGTCGGCAGTGTGCTCGAAGGCCTTGAGGGCGAACATCTGGCGGGTGGCGTCGGTGACATCGCCCTTCTCGAGCTCGGAGAGGAAGTCGTGGTAGTCGTTGGGGTCTGAGAGGATGGTGACACGCGAGTGGTTCTTTGCGGCGGCACGGATCAAGGTAACACCACCAATGTCAATCTCCTCGACGGCCTCGGGGATGGTGACATTGATCTTGGCGACAGTGTCCTTGAAGGGGTACAGGTTGCAGATGACATAGTCAACCTTGTTGATGTTCTGCTCGGCCAAGTCCTTCTCGTCCGAGGCGAGGTCGCGGGCAAGGATACCGGCGTGGACTGAAGGGTGAAGGGTCTTGACACGGCCACCGAGCATCTCGGGAGCCTTTGTGATGGCCGAAACATCTCTGCGCCTCGGTCAGTTCTGACGACTTGGATCGCTGGTCGCAGAAGACTCACTCGACGGGGAAGTTGGCCTCACGGATCATCTTGGCGGTACCGCCAGATGCGAGCAGACGGACATTGTTCTTGACGAGGCCCTTGGCCAGGTCGAGCAGGCCGGTCTTGTCGTAGACGGACAAGATGGCTGAGCATTGCGTGAGCGCGTGCCTCGCGGCCAGAGGGGTAGCTATCAATCCTGCTTCTTACCAATCTTTTGCGAGTTGTTGGCGGCCATTGTGAAGATGGGTAGACCAGAAATCTGTCTTGGACAAAGAACTGGCTGAGGAAAGAGCGCAGATGATGTGCGACGGGATTTTTCTTGTATCCATTGCGCTGCCCGCAATCGGCGGGGCAGCTCGCATCTCCCATCACCCTCCGTCATGCTCATTGGCTAGCGTCGCGGGGAATCTTTACTATGTTTGTCGTGACTTTTGGTCACCTCGCCGCTGGGTGCTGATATAAATGACTCGATGCTCTCAACCAATTGATCTCAGTTCTTGTATGCCCTCGAAGCCTGTCCTCGATGCTGAAACATCTGCTCTGTTGTTGACAAGTCAAATATCGAGTCGCTCTTGTATGCGGGACCAAAGCAGGCTAGGCACTGGAGCTCTGTCTGCTTTCCATATGTCGTTCCAATACAAAATGCACAATGTCTTTGCTACATGCCAGAGCATTGGTGGTTACCTCCACCATGGTTCGCTGGAAGAATAGCTGTAGTCCACAGGTAGTTGTGTACGAGTGGTTCTGTGTCTAGGTTACAATAACGTTGCATGGCTGCCGTGGCATCGACTGAACCGGACCTCAACGTGGGGAAGTCGCGGTTGAACAACCAGGTTCTTTAAACCTCGAAATCCTTGGATCGAACCCAGTGACTAGCCCCTACTCTGTATACTGTCCTCGTCAGACTTCTCACAGCACAGAGGTGTTTCTCAAGTCCACAGCGACCCGAGAAAACATATTCCAGTCAAGATCATCGAGTTGTCGATTTCCAAAACTTTGCTTGTGGAGCGACCCTGGTGGAACCAAGGGCAGAAACGGGTATGATTGTGGCACAGTATGCCCTGACCGATCCTAGTGAATACACGAGGCATGGTCGTAGCAGGCAGTCAATGGATCGCCTCAAGAGCGGTCTCTCTCTACTTGGTCAAAGTCATGCCATGTTCAATGCTGGTATGGAGCAGGAGAAAAGCGACAAAGTTCAGACGTCAGGGTCCCGGCAAACAGGACGAGGGTCGGGGCGGAGCGGTCCTCAGACCCTTCAACGGTCCTGGCGTTAATTTATCCAGGTTGGAGTCTGGCGGTCACCAGCCTCTTCTGCAATGACGAAGGGAAGAAGATGTTTGGTGTAATATTACATGTCAGGCACAGGTGCATGGATTGCGCTGGCGCGTCTAGAGTGACAAGGCCGCTTTGTTAGCCGCCGCAATTCTGCCCAACTCCAGTCTTGTCCCACAGGGTGGAGAGAGCTCATCAGGGTAGCTGCTGCCGCAATTCACACTCGCATCGCCCCTGCCTCTTGAGCTGCTGCAATTCAGCATGCCTTCCTCTCGCGAAGAAGAGCCTCGCCGGCGCAAAAAATCTTACGACCGCGACTCTCCCAAACCATCAACCAGAGATAAAGATACCAAGGAACGACATAGATCATCGGCCAGAAAGACAACCACTCGCCGACGCAGTGACGCAAGCAGGGAATATAGCCCTTCACGACCCGATAGATCCACCTTGTCAGAACGCTCGTCAAAGAAAGTCACCATGTCGATACCGGAGATGGAGCGTCGTTCGTCAATCGGCGACAAGCGGCCGCAGTCGTATCCGAACTTCTCCAAAGCACACAGCAGAGAAGCTGTCGCCCCAGGCTCGGAACCCGCCATCGATAGTCAACGACCTCGCACTCCAGCAGATATGCCACACAGCCCGAGCCCTCCCCTTGCCGCTGACGACGCAGACCTTCGACGAGCAAAAAGTGGGAACAATATGAGGAGTCACGCGGACAGAGTCAAGTCCGAGGCTGGTCTTAATTCTAGAAGAAGTATGGACAATGGCCTGCGTGTGAACATGACAGGCTCTGCAGCGAGTAGTCGCCGTCCTTCTCCCTCGAGCGTCTCCGAGACATCTGCGCCAAGCACTGGTTCGACCAAGTACAACAAGGCCCCTTCTCAGCCCACCTCAACTGTCAGCCAGACTACTATAGACTCCCAGGCAACATCCATTGCTCCTGAACGCAAACCACCAGCCAGACCTCCGCCGGTCTCTGTTGCACAACACTGTTCTCCTCAATCACGACCCGACTCATCACCACGTACCCCAACCCCACAAGATCCTGCTTTCCCTTCTTACGGTCAACAACCGAAGTCCACTCCCGGCATCGATGTCTTCCCTGGTGGCTACTCTCCTCGGTCCACTCATCCAGACTCCGTCGCTATGCCTCCCCCACCACCACCTCCGCCAATGGTCTTTTCTCAAGATAGCCCTCGTGTCGACTATTTGCTGCAAAATGGGGGATTGCCGTACCTCATCTCAAAATCTATCGTTCCACCTGCTCATGATCAACCTGTTCAATCCTACGCTCAGTATCAATCACCTCGCATACCTTCCGCAATCGATGCCCAGCACATCTTTGCTCCCGTGAGCGGACGACTCGAAGATATTGGCAAGGTTCTGTCAAAAAGTGGGTCACTGGCTGTTGCAACAGGGTATCGCTCAGTCGCTAGGAGACTGCTGGACCGTCTCGAGGCAGTATTTGCTCGCAGCATCTCGCACGAGCGGTGTAGATGCGTTTTGTGCCTGAGAACTGCTCAAACAACTCTGTCCGACGACGAGGATACTGGAATCAGTTGGGGCGAGATTTTGGAGTATGTTGCTGGCCGTAGAGAGCTTCCTCAGTGGCCCCCTTTCTCTCTGTCCCCTGACACGCCGGGGTTCAGCCTTTCGGGTGTCGAACCAATGCAAAAACTCGATCCCGATGTACCGGAAGAATATCGTGCTCACTACATCAAGCAAAATGCAAAGACTAAGCGATCTGTTCAAGACTGGCTTGGTCGACAACCAGATGCTCCATCTAGCCCTCCACAGGAGGTTGACGACGAGACTCTGACTTTTGCTATGCTCACACACATTGAACCTGAACGGAGACCGCTTTTCACAGCTCTTATGAAGGGTCTCTCGACTGTGCCTTCTTCCAGAGCGCCGACACCCGCTAATGAGCCCAAAAATGAAGTTTTGGCCAAGACTGCTACCGCTCTACAACGTCTATATCGTCTACCACACCTACCACGAGATCCAGAGTGCACCATTTACTTACTCAACAATCTTCATTTGCATAGTATGCTTGCCACGCTGGCCGCAGTGAGTGCTGGCGAGTGGGATATTCTGGTGTCTGGTCGATTCGATGGTTTCTTATGGAGCGGAGCAGAGACAGTACCACCTTCTGTGGCTTATGGGTCGACGATGGCGCCCATGTCTAGAACAACGACCCCTTTTAGCGGAGGCTTGCCATCTCGCAACACAACTCCCTTCTCACCACTGCGAAATGTCATGTCTCCGGACCACACAGCAAACATGTTTCCTTCTCGTGGCACGACGCCCGCTCCTGGTATGCCTGGCGGTGCTCCAGCGCCTGTTCAGATGGATGAAGAGACCGAGATTGCCGTTTTGGCCCAGATGGAGCGCGAGATCTACCGCGGCATGGAAGCATTGGAAGATCAATTTGAAGTTCTGCACAGGCAAGCCGAGACTGTCAGACAAAGACTACGCGAGCGGAGTGCTGGACTTGCAATGGCCGCCAAAGCACGCAGAGGCTCCATGGCGTCCGACATTGGTGTGAGAATTGGCACGCCTGGCGGGCCATGGGATGACGAGCAGCAGTCTATCTTTGATGACGGAAGATCGGAGTTAGCACCTGACGACTCTGCCAGCAACATTGACTTTGGAAGGAAGAGAAGGTCAAAGCGTCACGACCGTCGGACACCTGCTGTACCAGAGGAGAACGAGGACGTCGAGCGCGACTCTGGCAAGAGACGAAGATGAGATATGGGCACCTCGCTACCAGGGAAGGAATACGTGCACACACTCTTCACTGAGGCAAACCGCCAACCTTGACACAACAAAACGAACAACCTACAAGATGAGAACACCAAACGAATAGATATACCCACACCTGACGACCACTTGTATTTTTCGACGCGCGACACTGAAGAAGAGTCCAATAGCAAATCATCAGATACCGCCATGACATTCTTCACTGCAACCCGCGACTTTTGAATCGGAACGATTATTTTACATATTTTTCTCATATGCATAGCGGCAGTTGGAGCAAAAGGAGAGCATTTGTGATTTGGATATTGACATCTACCGTTCTAAGACTAGGTATCGCAGCAACTACAAGTTCTTGACGAAATTTGGATTCTCCTTGTTTACCAGATTCACACAATCCAGTGAATATTGTTTCTTCATGATCCCTCTAATGCTTCAAATCAGTTCTAGCTAGAAGGAAGATTATTGTTCGCCCATACAGAAACAAGATCATGCGGCGGTCGATTGTCTAGTAGTCTGAAGGAAACACCAGTCAACAAACAGGAGAGACCACAGTATAGCAAGACCTGAAAGGTCTAGTATCACACGTTCGACTTTTGGGTCAGGTTGGCATTAAAGGTCATTAATAGGCCTGTGGATTGGCGATTGTTCAGCGTTGAAGATTGTCTTTGATCCTTAACTAGCTTTTGTATAACAGAATTTTGTGCAGCAACATAAGCAACTGTTGGTTTTGCCGTTCATCTCGGTCTTGAATGTTCGATCATCTTTGCGATCCCACCGTACTCAACTCAACGGTATCATGCAGGGAATCTGTTGCTCCTCTCTTTATATCTTGCTGAATGCTTCAGTCAGTTCCTTGACTAGCGCATCCTTCATCTTGCGGATGAAGAAGTCAGATATGATCTTTCTGGCACGGATCTCAAACTCCTGGATGAAGTTAGGGTCTGCGCTCATGGCCTCATTGACAACAGAAAGAATGCCGTCGTCATATGGATCCCAGCTGTCGATGAAATCTGCAATGCGAGTGGAAGTTTCGTTCTTTTGAGCATCGAGCTGGTCGATCATGTGTGATGCGACGACACGGATACCGGAACGAAGAAGAAAGGGGTCTGTCTCTGGAGCAGGTCTGTCAGAATCGAGAACAGAGCCGGAGTCGGAAGACTCGGGAGTGATTCTGAAAAGTGAATCCGTCAGTTCATGCTAGCACAACCCCTAGGTACGACATACAGATTCTCAGAAGCGGGCTCAGCCTCTGCGATAGATGCCTTGAGGGCTTCGAACTCCTGTAGGACAGGATCGAGGTGCGCGCCCAGGCGGCTCTTCATGGCCTCAAGATTGTGCTTCATCATGAGCATCTCTTCGGAAGTGATCTTGTAGAAAGCCGGCTTGATCTCATCATGAGAATTATCTGAGGTGGAATCGTTCATCTGTTCTATCACTCAGTCGTGTGGATAAGTGATGAAAATCAAGTGGGTCATACCTTGATTCACTGCGTAGATAGAAGAGGTTGAAAAGACGAAGGAACAAGAACACGCGGGAGGCAGAGTGAAACTCGAGAGAAATCAGGCTCACTTCCAGCGGACCGTCACTCAAGCCGAAAATCGGCAGACCTCAAGTGTTGTTTGCACTGGACGATGGGTTTTCAGCGGCCTTCCTTGACTTTGGAAGATATATCGTGCCGAGCTTCAAGGATACGTCCCGAGAGAGCTGCATTTTGAGAGCTTATATCTATATCTCGGAGAGCTTTCGTGTCATCTTTCAGTTCTCAAATATCGAAAACTTATTTGAACCAGGCACAATGATAGCTAAGTGCCGAAATGCGTCGCGTCGAGAAGAATCCAAGTTCAAACGCGATGGGATAATCGACTCTGAGAGTTATCTGCCTCTGCGAGCTCATTGCAGTCGACGTGGCTGCTAACGCCATCACCGTCCATGACTTCATACAAACGCATTGCCTTCTCTCGTGATTACGAATCTGGATGTCGGCGTCACATGTCAACATAACAACAGGCAGTCGCGCCTCCCTCATTCAAACTGAAGAACACTATCAAGACAGCTGCCTTGCCGTCATCCATTTTTCGTCATTGCACATCACTCACTTTCGTCTGATCTCATCTGACCTGCCATCCACGGCTCACGTTGGCAATGCCTCCAGCCCCTAAATCTATCAGATTCAGATCCCAGCTCGTCGAACCATCTCCCAAACGCCAGAGGATGAGCAGCGACACATCCGAGTCCACGCTTGCTAGTGATGATCCCGTCGCCGCAGTCATTGATCCAGGTGCTTGTTGGGTTGCCTCGGATGATCTCTCCAGCATGGTATTCCAGACAGCCTACCTCCAGAGAATCATCAGCTCGTGGAACGGATACGTTCCCCTGGTCTACGGTGAGACTCTCATGAAGAGCTCTTTCAAGAAATGTCAAGACACGGTCAACAGCCTTCGCAACACACTTGAGAGTCTGGAAGTCAAGGCTGCCAAAGATGCTCAGTCTCCCATGAAAGACTTCATCGCTAGCTGGCACCGCAAGCTCGAAGACCAGCAAGTTAAAGACGAGAAAGAAGCTAAGTCAGTGTTGCCTGATATCATACGTGAAACCTAGGCACTGACATCCCGGTAGATCGGCAGCGACCATGGAGTTTCTCATCCTGTCCGGTATCGAGAAAATCGTCAATGCTGAATTCTCGCGCTTGTGCAATCTCGATGAGGTCTTCTTCGACATTACCTACAAGTCTTGGAATGAGGAAGAGGGTGAAAAAGGAACATTCAGACATGCTATCAAGAAAGCCCTGGATAAAGATCCGGATCCGCTTGCAGACTTCGAGACCAAGGTCAAAAGGCACTTCAAGCGCGAAATGCTCGACCGTGCTGCAAGTGACTTCAAGCGCGAATTGCAAAAGCAGTATGAAGAGTATGGTGGATGAAGCAGATTAATCTTTGCGAGAAGTGAAGTAAAATAGAGATTCGACGGAGGACAGTGGAATGCTTGATGGAGGCGACTAGCTGTGAAGTGGGACTAGCACCATTAGCTTGATCACAGAATCAGAGTTGAAAGAGCATAGTTACGCTGATCATGAATAAACTCAACACGACATACCCTCTGCAACACCTTTGTGCCGTTCCAACACGTTCTGCGCCACTAAGCTCGTCGAATGAAACTCCACCATGACCAACTCTCCTTCAACCTTTCATCCTCGCCCAATCGTCAACGAACCACCTCGCAAGCGCGCCAAAAGCGGTCACGACGGTTGCAGCTACCTCATCAGAGACACACTCCCGAAAGTCTCACTACCACCCGCTGTCATGGCGCAATCAACAGCCACCCTCAACACATACATCCCACACACCTCCCTCGAAACCATCTCGAACAAGATCAAAAAACTGCAAAGCGACCTCAGCGAAGCGGCAAACGGTCAATGCTTTGGACCAGGCAAACAAAAGGTTCTCGACTGTAAACATGATGTCGATGTCTTGGCAGGTATGGTGAAGGGACTAGATGTCCATAGTGCCGCGTGAGTCTACCTTGGTCTCCTCAGATTTTCAATTGGATGTGCTCAATGGCTGATAACTTCTCAGACGCAAGAAATCTCTCGACATGTTAGTGGAAGCAAGCATCGACCAGCTATTCGACAAACACGTCGGCAAAGCCAAGAAAGCAGTCGATGGAGACACCAAGCAACTCATCAGAGAGATGCTTTGTAGCACCGCTGATGAGAAGGTCGCCAAAGCTGCCATCAAGGAAGGCCTCAACAATGAATCCGACGTGCTTCTGAACTTCGAAGCCAAATTCAGGCAACACTTCAGGGAAGTCCTAGCTGACGCAGTAGCGAGCCTGATGGCAGAAAGACACAGACAGATCGTCTTGGAGCAACTCATGAAGACTTGAATGTTTGCAGTGTGTTAATGAGGAGAATGATGACGGAAGAGGACATGGGCAAAACCAAGAGGTATCATCTCAACAGGGGATGTTGCAAAGACAGCAAGATGACAAATATGGTGGTGCGAACATACCTAACAGCAGCACGCAGCCCTTCTTCTATTCAGGCCACAAGACAGAAATTACAATCGCACCAACAAGCAGCGCAGGCAACAAAGACAAATAGAAAGCAGGCTTGAATCAAGAAAAGTGTTCTCTTATTACTCTTGTCTCTTGTCGACTCAATTGCACATTCGCATTCGATCTTCTCATGTTTTTGGCAGAAGTCTGATCTCGCTCCAAGAAACCTCCATACATTCATTTCCTTCTTCGCTGCTCCATTTTGAGGGGTTGTAAATGCAAGAAAATGAAAGACCGACGCCATAATAATGGAACAAAAGAAATAACAAGAGTTGGGTGACGTGCGAGTATAACGTAGAAATAGTAATCTCCAAGGAAAGCCGTCGTGGTGAAAAAAGGAAAAGACAAGAAGTACTAGGGTGATGGAAGTGAAAAAAGAAAGGAAGTCTATAGACAGGGTTGCCGAAAAGAGGTTCCAGCATCCGGGATAAAAATGGTACTTTTGAAAAGTCCTGGTTCACAAGCAGCCAAACTTCAAGATACTAGTTGAAGTCCTGGTACAGCTCTTCCAGAGTCTGCTCCTGGGTTTTGCTGGCAGTGCCGCGCTTCTTACGCTCCTCCCTCTTCTTGCGCAGTTGTGCCCAACCTTCGTCGTCGTCCTCTTCGTCAGGTCTGGGTTGAGGCATTCTCGGTGAGCCTTTAGGCTTATCAATAACCTTGATGGTGTTTCGTGGTACGTTGTTGCCGTTGCTTGCAGGGATGTTGTTGGGGTTCAAGAATGAGCCAGTCGAAGCGTTCTTTTTAGCGAAATTCTGGATACCAGACTGTGAAGTCATGCTTGCTGTGCGGCTAGTGGAACCTTCCATAGTCACAGGGCGGTAGCGAGATGGCATACCGACGTTGCTACGCTCGCTAGGCGCGATGGAGGGAGTGTAGCCTCCGCGAGGTGCGCTAAGGCTATAGTCATACATTGATCCAGCATAGCCCGGAGGCTTCAAGTTGGTCATTGTGCTCGATCTCTGTTGTTGAGGGTGCATGGGACCCTGGGGCCCAAGCATACCAGGTTGCTGTCCATTAGGCCCACCCATAGACACAGGTCGTTGCATTCCGTTTGGCAACATATTGGGGAAGCCATTGTTCATCTGAGGCATTTGGGGCATTTGCTGCATTTGACCATTCTGCATCGCCATCATCTGCTGCATCATCTGGGTCTGTTGGAACATCAACTGCATCATTTGCTGCTGGTTTTGATCTGCGCCCATCATCGGAGGCATCTGGGGCATTTGAGGCATTGGTGGCATAAATCCACCCATACCCATTTGTGGTGCAGCCATACTCATCATCGAGTTTGATCGTGGCATCATCGGAGGCATGTTACTGTGCATGTTTCCAGGGAGAGGAAGTCCATTCGCGTTGAAGGCAGGACCGCCGTTGTGATTGACACGTCTAGCAGCGCGAGCACGCTCTTCACCAGCAATGACGCCAACGAGGCCACCTCCCGCTTGAGGCATGCCGGGCATTTGCGGTGGAGGCATCATCTGAGGCATCTGAGGCATCTGAGGCAGTTGGTGCATGGAAGGAGAGGCTCCACCATACACTGAGCCGCCAGAACCGAAAGCGAGTGGCTCGCGGTTGGCAGGGTTGACGAGACCAGCTCCGAAGTAGGGATCTGCAGGAAGATTGCGAGCAAAGACAGGAAGGTTACCACCTCCCATACCGCCATTAACAACCGATCCGGCACCCCCAGGAGTTGGAGGAGCGCTTGCAAGGCGAGTAGGGGGACGGTTCTTGTTAGGGAAACCGTGAGCCTGAAGGATACCTAGAGGGACTTCGTCGTCCTCGTCCTCTTGCTCTGCACCAAGACTGACATTGGAAAAGTCCCTAGTGAGACCAGGTGCGCTGTACGAGGCACGATCCAGGCTTGGGCGGCTGGTTTGCGATGGAAGCTCAGATGGATTTCCTCCTGCGACCTTCTTCATCTGCTGCCTGTAGACTGACATGTTAGCCTCCTGCTTGCGCCTCTGGCGAGCAAGCTCTGCTTGACGTTCAGCCTCATCATCGTCGTCGTAGCCTTCGTCCTCGGACACTTCGGAGTCTTCACTCTCTTCAGGACTAATGACTTTGCGTTGAGCCTCAAACTCCTTTCTTGTCATTCTCTTAGTAGGAGAGAACTGTGCAGACTGGCTTCTGGGAGCAACCGGAGCAGCTGCAGGGTGCACGGCTCTGCTAGTAGGTCCATTAGGAGAGTGGTCATACATGCCATCTGAAGTGTTGCTTGTGGGACGTAGATTGTTGGCCCGAGGAGTTGTGTGCTGAGATTCGCCTGTTGAGATGGAATTCGAGTCATCCCTACTGACTGTCGCGATCGTTGGGTTTCGGTTCGCTGGTGTGGCTTTCTGTGGGGAAGTCGTTGCTGTGTACGACTCAACTAGAGGCGATCTTGCTCTTGAAATAGGATGAGAAACATCATCGTCACTAGAATAGCTATTCCGTCTCTCGTGCTCGGGTTCGTTGGCGGGGGAGCCGTAGCGGTCAGGCACGGCTTGGTAACCAGGTCTGAAACGAGAAAAGGTCGAGGGAGGATTCAGAGGAGGAGACGAGATATCAGAGCCCATGGCTGGCGACATCAATCCGTCGTTTGAAGTTCGGCTGGCCCATGAATAACGGTTTGCTGATGCAGCAGACAGATTTGCCGGTCTGCGGCGAGTCTCAGGCTCGGCCTCAGATTCAGGTTCGGCCTCGGGTGATGGAGAAGGTTCAGGACGCGCGACAGGAGGGGTCGGTAGGGGCTGAGATGCCTGTTGAAATGAATGATGCTGGTAAGCGTTGTTGTAATTGTTGAAGCCTGGTGATTGTTGGCGACGTACCGATCTGCCGTAGGTTTCGTATGCAGGTTGCGGCGGTGCTACCTTCTTGGGCGAGTTCAATCCTTCGAACATGTTCATGCCAAAGTCGCTGCCAAAGTCTGACATGGAACCCAGGTTGGCATCGAGCCTCGGTGGTACGGCAGTGCTGGCATTGCTGCTCATTGTTGTTGCGCGATCACGAATCAGACTATTCTCAGGCAGGTCAGGCATGTGAGCTGTGGCAGCAGTCATGGTGCCGGGGCTAGCGCTTTGCTTGCTTCTCAAACCAAAGGACATAGCCCTGCCAGCGCGGGCTGTAAATGACGGTGGCTCTGGAAGTGCGTTGGATGCTGCTGAAGAACGATTGCTGCTTAGGTTGCTGTTGCCGTTGGCAGCTGTTTTTCGGGGGAAGAGGTCTTCGTTGTCTGCTTCGTGTTCTGCCTCAATTGACGAGGGAAGAGTGGACGAAGAGCTGTAGCGTGCAGAGGACGACGAGTTGTCAAAGTAGCCTGAAGAACCCGAAAGGGCTGTTCCGCCACTGCCCCTGCCCAGATTTAGCAACCCATCGACTGTGTGTGGTCGAGCGTGGCTCTTTTCAAGGACCGACCTGTTTGCGCTTGCGAGCAGATCCTCCTGCGACTTGTCTGATCTTCTGTTCAGGAGGATGCTCGATGCTGGCCGCCCGCCGCTTGTCCGTTTCACAGGACCTCCAGGGTATCCACCGTTACCCGCTGTAGCTGCCTTGTCGGGTCTCTCGAGGACACGGAAGCTAGACGAGGCGGGTGGGGGCGATGTGGACTCTGAAGGGAGGTCGAGAATGTTTCCAGACGATTTGCGACGGGCAAAGTTCTTGAGCGGATTCTTAGGCATATAGAAGGTTGTGCTGTGTAGTTTGCGAGGAGGTAAAGCAGGTGCCGTTGTCGTCTCCGACAATGCCTGCAAGGCAATGGATTGAGCGAAGGGAGTCGAGTTGGTTGAGCGAGTGAATTAAAGTCCTGTTGGTAGACTGTGGGAGATGCGAAAGAGCAGAGCTAAACGAGAGCGCCTCTGGAGCCGATATGTACGAGATAATGTAACACAGAATTATCTGGGTCGAGGTTAGCAACGAGGCTGGCTGGGCTCGGCGGTTCCTGGCAGCGAGAGAGTTGATCGAAGGTGATTCGTCAAGCAAAAAAGAGAGACGAAAGGCGTTCTCCAGGGGAACGAGATCAGCACCGTGCAACAACAAGTGCCAAGTGTCGCTGGGACTTTCTCAAAACCAACGACCAAAATCACCGTCTGACGTGCGCTGCGGCGATGTTGTGGAAGATGAACCTCCGGATCGCAGACAGACTCCCGCTGGACGTTTATTTTCGTTTCGCTGGGAGGAACGGTTGCGCCTCTCCTTGAATGCTGCTAAGAAAAGCGTCGGAACGTCACTGACCGATGATTGGGGCAGGCTGTGGCCTTGCAATAATGGTACTGCCGAAGAGTTGTATGAAATTAATTGAACCAACGAGGGAGAGGCGTATTGGCAGGAGCAGCGACAGAGAACGGGATTGCACTGGCGCAATTCACAATGTCAGAGAAAAAGAGAAAAGAAAGAGCTGGCCTGGTCTCTCGTATTTCGAGTAGGTGCAGGAGTACTAAGGTAACCCACGCTGGTCCAGCACGGAAACCACGCTAGTCTGGTAGCTCCCTCCCGCTCAACCTGATGTGGCTTTCAGCGAGATGAAAAGAATATGATGTCTTCCACTCAGCCTCCAACCATGCTGAACGCGTCAACCATGATCCATCGCTACTGCAACCGTTCCTTTACCTCTGAAGTTTACATTGACGTCTGGCGTTTTTGATATATTGATCTATCGGGCCCTCACCATGGATCGCTGATGCTCGTACTCGAATCTCAGCAAAGTCAACAACCACTCCAGAGGTCTCCACACTACGTGCATTTCATCTCCTCTTCTCCCAATTGACTCCCTTTCGAATTGCCAAGTCTTGTTCCAAAATAGCAACTCGAGAAAGGCCCGTCGTCCGTCAGCCAATAGCCTGCCCATGCTTTTTCTCAATCATTTGCTGTGCCTTTGTGGTCTTCGTTCTGCACGAGTCACTGTTTCTCTACTCCTTTGTGTCTACTCGCAGTATCATGATGCACTGTCAATAATGTCTACGACGCGCTTGCGATCCTTCTGACCCGGCTGTGGCGCCATCCTACTGCCCATTGATCACAATTCGGATCTGCCTCTGCATCTGTGACACGCTCCACCAGTCGAAGCATAGAGAAGCTTTCATTGAAGAAAATTTGCCGTTTGTCTGCCTGCCGCACGCGCCTCATTCTGTAACAATAGCCAGGGGGAGCACTGTCCTTTTTTTCTTTTCTTTTTATTTTTCTCCCCTTGCCTGTCGTTTGATACCCACTATTATTCTTTGGGCTTCATCTGGACACTGTCTCATCTCGTCAAGACGTTGCAGCGATCACCCGAGGAAGGTCTCACATTTCGGACTTTCCTGCTGCAGGGGACGAGCTGCGCGTGAGATGCATACTAGCTACTTGCCTTGAGTACATCTTACGACGCCTTCCCAGTAGAGAGTAATGCCGTGGATGCATTGCATTGAATCACACCTCAAAGGGTATGTCCACCGCACGTTCGCAGGTGGTTGGTGTGGCTGTGATGTGTTTATGCAGCCATCTCGAATACAAACCCCGGTCGCCCATCTCCCGTGCTGTGTTCTCCACTTCCAACCCGCGCACATCATGATGCTGGTGATGCTTTGCTTTGACGTCGAACGATCGCGACGACCTTGATTTTCTCAACCACTGCACCCGGTTGACAACTTTTACTTCTCGCTTACCGGTTTATCGCAATCAAACCCTGTGCTCGTTCTTTTGAAAGTCGTCTTCGGAGTATTCTTCTCTGGTACTGTACATACAGAAAAAGATCATCATGACGTCCATTCCCTCTGGCCGTCTCAACCCCTCAGCGCAGAACGGCTTCAGCAATGCCGCCCTGTATGACAAGCATCGCCCTTCGTTCCCCGCCCACAGCGTTTCTGTCCTGCTCGACGGCGTGCGCGTCAAAGACAGTCCTCAAGCCACAGTAGTGGATCTTGCGGCGGGCACCGGCAAGTTCACTGAGCTCTTGGCCGCCAGAGATGAGGGGTACAAGATCATCGCGATTGAGCCGCACGCCGACATGCGCAAGGTGTTAGAAGACAAGCACCTCAAAGGCGTCAGCGTCCAGGATGGTCTCTCTACCGATATGAAGTTCTTGAAGGATGAGAGTGTCGATGCTGTTATAGCTGCCCAGGTAGGACATTGCTCTTGCCCTTTCCGTCTGATTTCCGTATTTATCCAGCCTTGCATTTCCTCTTCCGGTACCCGATGTCAACCCCCACCGTCTCCATCAAGAAGAACCTTAAATGGTTTAGGTCAATGACATGCCTCAAACTTTCGTTCCCAGAGCAAAATCATGAGACGCTACTTTGATCAGGTAGGCTGACAGTGACATTCACCATCCGGTTAGGCATTCCACTGGTTCGCCAACATCGAATCTCTGGAAGAGATCAATCGTGTACTACAGCCTCACGGCGTCTTCGGCATGATTTGGAACATCGAAGATTGTAAGTGTGAAACCTTCCCAGCCTCCTCCACCATGCACATCATATTAGCCCTTCCATAAAGATGCACACCATCTTGCTTGCATGTGATCACTATTTGCCCGAAGAACCCTTGCTTCAAAGAAATCTGCAGTCAATTCCCCGACACAGAAGCCACATCCAAACTTCAAAGCATCAAAGACAAAACTCTAAAAGCTCTTATAGACAATGCACCAAAATCCCATGCCGCAACCACCACCTGGGAGCAAAAGCTCCAGGACATGATCCTTTCTTTCGACGACAACCAGCCTCGTTTCCGCCACGAAACTTGGCGTTCAGTCTTTGACTCCCAGTTGTCTTCTAACCCCCTGTCAATCACCTCATCTGCTGAGCCTCTTTTCGCGCTGCCTCTTGCTGAGAATACGGAGAAGTGGAGTGTTTGGTTGAGCGAGGAGGCGCTTTGGGATAGACTTAGTACATTGAGCCAGATTGCTGTGTTGGAGGGTGAGGAGAGGCAGAAGGTGAGGAAGGTACTTGAGGATGCACTGAAGGAAGATGATGTGCAGAGAAATGAGAAGGGGGAGGTAGAGTTGCACGGTATGACTGTCGCAGCATGGACGACCAAGATCCCGCAGAAGGGCGCCGAGAGTCTGTTGACTACAGTCAAGGATGCTCTGGCTGGCAGAACTTGATTGGTTCGGAGAGGTTACACTGAAGTTGTATTGATATTCGTGTCGTGGTGTGGATAAAAAGTACTAAGCGCAAGCCTCGTGAGTTCAATCTCAAGGGCATGGCTGTCTGTGAGTGTCTTTCTCTGACTGTTTCCTCCAGCCGTGTCCATTTCTTGAGCGCGGTATAAAAGTCAGCTGTCTCAGGATGGATCGTCACATCCTCAAGCTCCCATGATATCCCGTGATATTCCATCTCCATAGAGTATGTTACCACAATCTTGCTCCGAGCAATCTGTGCACTCTTTGGGCTTTAATGTTTGAACTGCGATTCGAGCTTCGGCGACTTCTATGAGTCGGCGGAGATGTACATGACTGCGATGTCACAAATATCAGTATCTCGATTCTCTGACAAGCAGGCGCAAGGCGGGCAAAGCGCATACCATTGTTTCCTCTCACGAAAGCATCTCCGTAATTCCTTCTGACCTTGCCGTCCACGATCTCATTTGTTTGTTCGAGCGCAATGTTCATGTAGCCGTCGACAGACTGCAGTTCACCTGTTCCATCACTTCCGCATCAGCAAATGTGTCCTCGGTGCCATTCCTCTCTCTTTCATCTCGGTCTCCCTGCGCAACATGCGCGAGCTAGGGCCGGTGTCACGCACCTCTGTAGACGACTCCAGAGTTCAACTTGACAGTGACGGGTGCGCCGATGATCTCGCTCAAGAATCCAGAAGGGTCGCGCGCTTCGTTGACTGATGTGGGAGCTGCTGCGCCATTCGAGCCGTTGTTGACGGGTGATGCGCTCATTGTGTATGTGTGATTCCTGCTCTTCCGTTGCTTCTTCTCAGAGCCCTGTCGTGGGTATGTTCGTCTGTGCAAAAGCGGTGCCGTTACTTGAATTGTTCGAATAATGCCGGATTGACGATGATGGCAGCGCAGCTTCCACTTGCACAAGTCGACCGATGTCAATTTCTTGGCAAGAGAGTGAAGCTTGAACAAAGTGCGCGGAGATCATCGGTTCGGTCCGTCTATCCGAACGAGGCGTTCCCACTTCCCGGACGTGACTAGCCCTCCAGCCTCTCACAAACCTTGCGTGTCTGACAATCCTCATCCCGCTTCTCGTGTTACAGATTCGATGGATGCCGCATGGACGCGTGTCGATTGTCTGACGCTGATCTTTTTCCGAGACGTCTCGTTGCTTTTGCTCTCTGACCTTGTCGTGTTCCTGGTCGCATCGCAAATCGTTATCTCGCAAGCTTGGGGGAGCCCTGCAAGCTCGAAGCTCCATGTGCTCCTTCACTGGCTCAAATCCGTGTGCTCCGACGTTCCTACCACCGCCACATGCACCATGCCCAAGTACCGGTCCTATGGATTGGGTACCCATGCTAGGGTCCTCGATTACCTCTCACCCAGTTATCGGGCACACATGCACAGCACATCAACCACTGTTGGAACTGCATCACCGTTGCAATCTTGAAACCGTCCGAGGTCATGAGTTCGTCAGCACGCTCATCCGTATCTGCTGTATCTAGGGTATCGGTAGTATAAACAATTAGGTGACCGCCGCCGTTGCTTTATCAGCCATCCTTCTACGCCCTTTTCCCAACTTTTTGAATTGTTCCAACTGCTGTGCGCAAACGCTCCTGCTTCCGCCAGTATACCAGTTTACAAGGCGTTGTACTCGCTGGCATCCTGGTACAAGTCGATCAGGCAACTAGCAGACCAAGCTTGAGTGGGGCACTGTAATCCATGTTAGTCTTCCTGGTATTTGATACATCATTTGAACAATCACTTACCGAATCATGGCACATGGATCCCTTCTCGTTGGTGAGCTCAGTAAGTCCAGCCCAAGGAGAGTCGTGAATCATGTGTCTGCAGCCTGCAAGCCTGGTAGTGACCTGTTGGAAAGCCTCGACCTTGGCCTCCTTTGTCTCGCGGCGCATCAAGTCGAACTTGAGCAGTGCGCGCAAGAAGAAACCGCGAGGCCAGACCCATTCGGGTCCTTGGTGGTAGTTGCGTCCTCTGGCAGTGTGGAAATCGTTCGAGTCGTCGCTGTTGATGTAGTTGGGACGGTACTCCATGTCCGAAGGGTCCAGGGTAGCCATGCCAGTAGGGCCAAGGAGAGCCTCATCAGCGACGATCAAAGCTCCAAGTGCGTGCTTAGGGTCAAAGAGATCAGGTGCAACTGTCATTGCGATGGGGAAGTTAGGACGGAGTTGGTAGTCGCGGTACTCCTTGTTGCACTTGTAGACGTCCTTGTAGATGCCACGGCGGTTGACAATCTTGCTGTCGACATCATATTTGGAGTCCTCGGCAGGATCGGCAGGAACATAGTAGCAGTGCTCGAAGTTGTCGCGAATCTTTTGTGCCCACTCCTTGAAGGTAATGACCTTGTCGCCCTTGGTGCTGACGCCCGAGTATTTGAATTGGCTGTTCTTGTTGAGACCGTCAACCCACTTGAGACAGCTGTAAAGAAGGCCAGTGATCTCGACAGGAGCACCATCACGGGAAGTACCAGGGACACCCTTGTTGCCAGCGTGGTCGCTAGAGCCCATCTTGTCCATCCAAGTACCGCAGTTCCACTCGTTTCCACCGAAGATGATACCAGTGTTCCAGTCGGTCTCGATGTCAATGTTGAAACCAGCATCCTTCATCTGGTCGTCAATGCTAGGACCAGCGTTGGCTTCACGGAAGTGCATGCCAGTAGCGTGGCGCTGAAGACACTCCTGGACAACGTCCTCAATCGTCGAGGTCTGGGAGTAGGCACGAGAGTCTTCCCACGAGAACCAGGTGTCGTCGTAAGGCAAGAAGCGTCTGGCAACCTTTTCCTTGAGGATGTCGTGGCCATTGGGGACCATGTTGCAGTAGTCTTGAATGTTTTGCAAGAAGAACCACACAGAGTCACGAGAGTTGTATCTAGGGATCTTGCCAGAGCCGAGCAGGTTGGGAATCATACCGTGCTTGACAACGCTGGCAAATGCCTTGATGTGCTCCTTGGCATCCTCGAAACGACCAGTGGCGAGCAAAAGACCACGAAGAGAGATGAAGACGTCACGTCCCCAGCATCTTGCCCAGTCTTGGGCAAAGTGAGGCAGACCGGCTGCCAGGGAAGGAACGAGCTTGTCAGGCCAAAGAGAAGCGTTCTTCATGAATCCTTCGCACTGAACACTGACAAGAGCCAAACTCTTGAGGAAACGTTGTCCTTGGCGGATGTTGGTGCTCATCTGCTCGATGGCGCGCTCTGTGGATGCCTTGTATGCAGTCTGGATAACAAGTGCAAAGTAACGAGGCAAAAGGAAGCTGGGAAGTTTGCGAATAGCATCGAAGCGGTCCTTGAGCCATCCGGCAGGGGCAGCAAGGCGAGTGTAGCCGTCACGAGAGACAAGCTTCTCCAGACGGTTGACAATGAAGTCGAGAGCCCACTGACCCTGTCTGAGGTGGTCACAAATGGGGTGGCCAAGGTTGTTGTCCTTGATGACATCTCTCAAGATACTCCACCAACCTTGAAGACCGCAGTAGACAAGCGGGCTAAGGTTAGGGATATTGTAGACGCCATCAGAGCCGTTTGAAGTAGCCTTCTCCTCAGCGTCGGCGCGGTAAAGAATAGCGTTCAGGTCGTTGAGGTCACATTCTCTGAATGCATCTCTGGCCCCGGAAGTGACGTACTTGTCGAGACCTTCTGAGTGCTCTGCGCTGGGGATCCAGGTCTCAAAGACTGCGATACTGCCAGGAGGAAACTTCTCTGGAATAGTGATGACGGCAGTGTCGCCGTGGTTGTCGACCTTCACACCGCGGATGTCCTTGGTGTTTGCCTTCAAGCCTCTCAACACCTTGTCGTTGATGGCAGCATGCTTAGCCTCTTGGCTCTGGTCGACTTCGAGGTTCCAAGCGCCCAACAGGGAGGCCTTGGATCCGGTCAGACGTACAGGCTGGAAGCCAGCGTTGCCATTGCCATAACCAGGGAAAGCAGTGTGGGCGATCAAGTAGTATCCCTTACGCGACTTGGGGTGCATGCGGTGAACAGTGATGTACTCGCCCTCGTGATGAATGTGAGTTTCATCATAGTGGTCCTTGCCCATAATGGTGTGAAGCTGGTTCAACAGGCGCTTGACGTGTCCAATACCAGGACCCTCTCCAACCTTGAGGTTCGACATGGTAGAGTAGGGTGAGTTGTATGGACGCTTCTCGTGCACAAGCTCAATAAGTTGAGGGTAGACCTCGTCGTATCCGAAGACACTGCCGATGGATGCGGCGCACATGGCGACCAAAGCAGAGTTGGAAAGAGTGTCTCTGGCGTCTCTGCGCTGCGCAGGCAACTCGTTGTCGTGAGTGCAGTCCATAAGCAGGGCATGAACGGTAGCAGGGCGAATCTTGTGAACAACCTCCTTGACAGAAGGAGCCGGCTCGGTGCCAGAGTTGCGCTTCTGGGCATCTGAGATCTCGTCGAGCTCGAAACTGCCAATTGGACGACCGCAGTTCTCGTGAACAAGTTTGCTGACCTCTGCAGTGCTCCAGCATTGCATGGCCTCACGGATCAAGCAGGACAATCCAAGACGTTCAACGTAGACGTAGTCCATCTTCTCGTCGCCAGAGAAAAGCTCGGCCATGACCACGAGATTAGGTCGAACACTTCTTGCAGCGTCAAGCATGTACTCGGCAAGGTGAAGGGGAGTGGAGTGGCAGTTGTCGATGCGGAAACCGTGGAAGTGCTTGGCCATCAGACGGGTGTATTCGGCCATGAAGTCCCACAGGAAAGGACTGTCCTCGGGCTTAGCACCGTAGCGCAGCTTCACGCAATCACCCCAAGGAATGAGCTCTCTACGAAGGTAAGCCTTCGAATCGGGACCGGCGTTGTCGATGAGCACGTTGGCGGCCCAAACCCATCCGTTGTTGGCCAAGGCCAGCTCGCCCGCCTCGTGCTTCTTTGTCGTCTCGTTGGCAGGAAGTCTTGTGAAGTATGACTCAACCAATGGGTAGTCCTTGTTGATGGGCTTGCCCACCATGGGACCGCCTTCGATGCGCATGTACTTTGTGCGGCCATAGACCTGTTCCAAGATGGCCTTGGTGTCTTTGTTGAATTCTTCGTAGAAGATTGCGTTGATCTCTTCGAGGAAGTGAGTCATGGCGCCCATGGCGCTGCGCTCGTCTCTTGTACTGCCAGTCTTGGTGTCGTACTTGCCGAACAGTGATTGGAGGAAGGCGGCAGCATGTTGAGGGATGATCTTGCGACGGAATCTCTCACCAAGGTGGTCAGTGCCGGACAGAGCATACTGTTGGAGCCAATCGGTCTTTTGTTTTGAGGACCAGCTATCGACACCAACGAGATCGGGAGTCTTCTCAGGGAAATCGACCTGGCTCTCCATCCATGCTGAAACAGCAGCCTGGGCATCACGCTTGACATCAATGACGTAAAACTCCCAAAGCTTGATGGCGTTGACGACTTCGGTTTTGAGGGGTTCCGTGATGCGAACGAGGTCTTGTTCGTTGTTGATCTGAGTAGGAAGGCCACGCTGCTCAAGCTCGGAGCCAAACTTGAGAAGCTGGGTATCCAGTTCAAAGGCGGCCTGTAACCAAGGAGCAGTCTTCATGTTGTAACCAGCTTCGGGGTGCTCTTCCAACCACTTGCTGTTGTTGGCCGTGTGGTTCCAGACGACATCAGTCAGAGACAGAAGACCGTAGTTCTTCTCCATCTTGGTGGTCAATCCCTCAATGTCCTTCTCTCCATTAGCAAAGATCTGCTTGTCGAACTTGAGCTGATCGTAGATGCTGTAAGGAGAATTTGAATCACCACGCATCATAAGCGGAGTAAAGTGGACCATGTTGTAACCTCTCTCGCTCATGCCGTGCAAGTGCTTGTCCCAATCGCTGGAGAGGTCACCCATAAACTTGGACAGACATGAGATGATGGATAGACTCTTGAGCGGCAAAGTCGAATCCTGTACGGACAAGCGCGGGCTAACATCAAGGTACCAGACCTTTGTCTTTGTAGCCTCAGGGACATTGCTCTTGCCAGTTGTGAGCTTGGGTAGAGGGGTGTAGGTGATGTAGTAGGAGAACGGGCCGGCGTGGGGGATCTCGATGTCAATCTCAATGTTGCGGTTGAAGTCGGGAGTCAATCTGTAGGAGAAGGTCAGTGATAGTCATGATCAAGAGTGTAAATGGAGACTTACTTGTACTCAGTGTAGTTCTTGCGCACAAACTTCTCGCCCTTGGGTGGGATGTTCACCCAGAGGCTGCCTTCCCGGCAGATGGAGCTGGTGCCCTCAATGACAAAGCGGATCTTGTAGGCAGGATCGCTGGGTGGTGGCAGGTAGATGTACTCGCCGGCTACGTCCGGTGAGCCGTCATCTCTGAGAGGTAGAAGGTAGATGGCCTGCGTCTGCTGTAGAGTTGGAGCCATTGTCGCGGGAAATTAGAAGGTGATGAGCGAATAATAGTGGCTGCGTAGTCTTCGACTGAATGCTAGATGATAGGAGGAGGTAGATAATGCAAGTGAATAGCCGAGGGGATGAATGTGATGATGGAGACGAGCTGATGAGCGTCGAGACTCGAGCAAAGCAGCGAAAGTGGTGGTGAGGATATGAATTAGGGCTAAGTGACAGCAAGAGCAAGCCAATTGTTGACTGTCTCGAGTCTAGCAATGAAGAGGCAGGAGCAACGAGGGGCCGGTATGGACGCAAAGGAAGAAAGTGCAGGCGTGTGGTAGAAGTTTGCTGCAGCTGCTACTCGGTACCTGTTGATCTCGGCGATCGACCATCGACCTCTTCCTCTTGCCTACTTTTGCATGCGGGACTCGATAGCTAAAAGCCGCCAACGTCATTGACCTATCCCGCATCCAAGCTAACGCTATTTTGACACTTGCATTTCTCAACCAACACCTGTGCTTTTCAGCGGCTCACCAAAACATCAAGATATTTCGCTTGCCCGTCCGCTCTCTGGTTAGCGGGTGCGTTTATATTGCTCTCTGCCCTTGTGCAATACTCCTGCAGAGGCCGTGCTACAATGAGCTTTGCAGAACGACTCAAAGACAAGGCTTCGCTTGACAGGCTCTCTCCACGCTCTCCGCGGCCAACACCCTCAGACTTCAAATCGAGCCGGGCGGCTAGTTGCCGACACTGCGCGCTGTCGCTTTCCGAACACATGGAGGGCCGAAGAAACGCCAGTTATGTGCTGTGGAGAGCGAGGAGATCGAGAAAATGGAGGCGGAGACGACCGGATCGCATCCAACAACATACTGGCTTGAAAACTTGACGTCGTAGCCGTTTAACAGCCATCGTCTATCTAATCCATTAAAACCGGTTGCCAGCATTGACAAACTTGTTGGAGTACAGCACAACACGGACTTCACCAGAATACCTATCCTCTGCTCGATTTCATGACTACCCTCAAAAGGTCAACTTGTTGAGCATGCCCTCCATGCGTGAGGAGCCTGGTCAATGAACAAACTGTGCCTTCTGATGACTTTACGTTTTAATATATATCGAGCGACGAAACGATCAACAGCTCTGGTCAAATCACACATGAACACTGGGCGCTTCACACATAATAGACACAGAAAGTTTCAGCAGTAAGTGTATTTTGAGTCGACTTAAAGTCGACCAGGAAGCTTTTTCATTGTATTCGATGATAGAAAGTGATTGGTAAAAAGCCAGGTGCTGGAAGGTTTCTGAATGGTCGTTGAAGGGGTCAAATGGCCGTCAATGAGGGGGTTCTGTCCTTGTCGCCTGTCAGGCCCTCCATCCTTTCCTCAGCGGGAAGTCCAGGCGCGAAGAGGGTTGCCCAGACCTTCCTCAAGCTTGTCGTTGATCTTGGTCATGATGGCCTCAGTGATGCGGTTCTTGATGTCGCGGGTGTTGCTAAGGATGCCTTCGCCCTGAGCAGCAACTCTGTCTCTGATCTCGGATGTGATCTCATCGCGAATGGTCTGACCGCCGGCACCAAAATCTTCCTCGACAACGCTCTGCCAGATCGTAGCTGCGACGCCGTGAGCGCGCTCGTGGGCGGTGTTGAAGACCTCATCGATGAGGTTGTCGATGCGAGCCTTAGCAATGGAGGAGATCATTGTGCTGCGCAGGTCTGTGAGCAAGGAGACATCAGAGGATACTTAATAAACAGCAGACCTACTTTGGTGTTGAATGGTTGTGATCGACAGTTTCTTGTTGATGTGGATGTAGATAGGGGGTGTGGTGGTTGGTTCGTTGTTTAGGAGAGGAGAGGAAAGGAAGGCAGTCCCTCTGAATAAGTCCACAGCCCCTTATATACCCAGGAGTACGGATAATTCACGTCGACTTCGGCTGTGCCTGCTTTCACTCTCATCTGAAACCTGGAGATGAGGTCGTCAGGTCACCAGTCGACTGTCACTCAGGTTCGTTCGTTGTACATGAGAGACAGCAGACCACTGGCTCCTTGTCTTTCTCTCCTCGTTTCTACATCACCACCCTACGCGAGCACCACAACAACAAGATGTGGCACCAAATCAAGATGCTGTTCTGCTCTTGCTTCGGCGAGCGCGAGACCATCGAGCAGCCTGCTCGCCCTCGAAACCCAACCAGACCTGCTCTTCGTCGCTCCTCCTTCTCCTGATGCCGCTCCTTCACTCCACCCTGGCGTAGGGATAGGCAACTGTAGTAAACCAGTAAGCAGCACTGGTCCTGACACCTTCCAAGGAGAGCGTGGCACAACAGGCGCGGCGAAGGCTCTCACAGTGGATATCGACGGCACGATCTGATCTCGTGTGGTTCCACAGAAGCAATTGCACACAGTACGAGAGACGAGAAGAACCATGTTCATCATATTCCAAGTTCAAACGAAGGTCAGTACACAACTATAGAAATGCAAAGAGTAGTCGACTAAATCCAACTAGGCCACAGAGAGAGACTCAACTAGTCCATGCAGTCCATACTGCTGCGAAGCAGAGCATTGATGACGCTCAGGTCGACATAACTTTCTCTTCCTTTTAGTCCCTCAGGATCAAAATTACTTGCCTTCTGCTCGAACCAATTCATTTTCTCTTTCTGCTCCTTAGTCGGGTTTGCAGCTCTATAAGCATTCTTCAACTCCTCCCAGCCAGGCATGCTTCCAGCGTCCTCAGCAATACCATGACCATTTCCATCAGTGCACTTGAAAGTGTCATCAACGTTACCACGTCCAATGATTTCAATCTCGTGACCCCAGTTATCGCCGAAATCGTACATGTATTCCCACTCTGCGTTCTTCCACTCCTTTTTGCTGAATTGCTCGCCGACGTAGACTTTGTCCGCCTTCTTCTCAGGAGTTTGAGAATGCTTGCGGTCGCATGAGTGCAGCGAATCAATCATTTTGTTGTCGTTTGGATTGACGATGCGTATAAAGTTCTGGCGAGGTCCAAAGTCCCTCTGTTCGCCATTGTCTTGAGCCATGCGACGCTGTATCAGAGCCTTGATGTCCTCGACAGAGCGCTCTTCGGCAGTGGGATCACGGGCAACAAAGTCATAGCTGTGTGCTGCTGCCCAGCCGAAAGCGACCTGGATGGCGTAATGCAACTCCTGGAAGGTTGCGCCATCAGGGCAGACCAGGGTGCGCCAGATCTGAGGATCTCTAGAGTCAGGAATGGTGATCTTGAGGATCCATGAGGGTTGTTTCTTGGGCTGGCATGAGTGCTTGTGGGTGGACCAGTCCTTTCTTTGACAAGCAACACCTGGAGTTGGGTCAGCTTGGCCATCTGGCAACGTGGTAATTCGGGGATGCCTACCGCAGTACTTGCGATTGCCGCAGCGACCGCAAGTGACGAGCTTGGGTTTCTCCTCGAGGCAAACTTCACACTTTCCGGCACTCATGGTTGTGGTTGAGGAATTAGTCGTCAGGAAGATGGAAATGGAAAATTTTTCTTCGTAACTTGAGATTAGGAAAAGCGGGGTCAAGCGGACGCTGCTGCTCGAGCGTGTGCTTTGAGCGTGTGCTTGAACAGTGATCAAGTGTGTGCTCGAGCAGAAAAAGATGGAGTAGTGCTTGAGACTCGAGATTCGAGAACTTGGGGCAATGATAATCAGTCTCTGTCAGGGAACGAGGATTGGTGAATGGAAAGACGGGCCAGGCAAAATTTTTGTGTCCAAGCAAGTGATAAACAGGGTTCAAGCATAGTTCTATCATGCTGGTATCAAGGTCCAAACATGGTTTGAACAGTGTTTAAACAGTGTTCAAATAGACCTTGAGTAGATGAGGAATGGCTGTACAAAGTTCTCAACCTACTGAGAATAGGTCTCCTTACCTCCTGAGATAATGTGAAGACGAGTTTCGCGAGGGATTGAGAGGAATGGTATATCATGGTATACCACCTGGTGTAATTTGGGTCAAAGCTTTGCTAAAGTGCTACACGTGGAGGCGCAATGTTCGTGGTTGCTACCTAGAGCATTGCATCGCGCCTTGTCTCCTCCCGAGCGACTTTACTTATTCAAATTTTCACAGCTTACGATGAGATGCCTCCAAAGCGTAAAAACGTCTTTCTTGTGCCGTTCATAGCTTTTGCTGATGGAGAATTACAGGCCGAACTGGTGATGAGAACGCGTGGGTCGGAAGACAACTCCGACTTCTCCCCAGCACCCTCAAAGCGCGCCCGTGTCAGCGAGAAAGGTGACTATTACATGCCTAATTACACCAGCAAAGCGCAGCAACGAAGTATCGCAAGCACCGAAAGAGGCAAAGCGTCCTCGCCGCATACAGTCTGAGCAAGTCGAGAGCTTCAACCTTGAGGCGGCCAAATGGACGCGAAGTTAGGAGTGAATGAAACGAAGGCCTCGTTTCTCTTCAGAGGCAAGCAACCACTATAGCAAGATAATGCAGCAAACTATCAACACTCTTAACAATATCTCGTGGCTGCTCGACGTTTGTATTCATCTCGAGATCTTTGCCAAGGCCGCTTATGACTTGTCCCGGATCTCGTTCTTATGAGTATAGAAAGAATTGCAGTCTTTCTCTTCTTGGGCCATATGACAAAGGTCGTCCTCACAGTGATGGCTAGGAGCAAAAGAGAAATGCAAAACATACAGCAGCAGGGATTCCCACGTGGTCACCCACCGTAGTACTAATCTGCCGTTCAACTGCTTATGTATGGCAGAGCGGACGGGATGCCCAGTTTTCAGCTGACTGTGGCCGTATGTATCCGGACTCAAATCTTTTTTGTATATATCCTATCAAACAGACAGGCTAGCCATCGTCTTGCCGTCTTGTACGCCCAGGTCATCTTGTGATGTCCTTAAGCAACGCCATCACACGTACGTATACCACGCTTCGATCAGCGCAAGCCACCATACTATCAGGTGGCCGAGAAACTGTTGTCACATCATACACAACAGAACACCCTGAGAGTCAGGTAACCTCTCGAAATGTGACTCATGACAAGAAAGTATTCCCGCCTGGTCGCAGTCTTCGGACGTATACCTCGAGCTTGGAGACAATCGGTTGTTCGGCGATCAGACTCTCCAACATGACATCACATCTGAATCCTTTCGTATTGCTGCCTGGTATTGCTAATGTTACAAAGACTCATGATGTCGCTCGCGAAGCTGAAAAATGACTTCAATCCTGACACTAGACAACGAAAATGAGCGACCCCAAACAACAAGCGACATCTGAACCACAGCCGGGAACGGAAGCCACGAGTGTTTCTTCCAGACAACAAACACATGTAAAACCACCACCTACTTTAGCATGGATTCAAAGTCGCGTACACGACATATACTCTGCTGCGAAACATCTTCCGCCAGATAGCAAGTCTGTGACTATCTCTAAGAGCGCCTACACCGAACTTTACACTGCAATTTTTGACTATCTCGTTTTTGATAAACAGAGCTCAGCACACCTGAAAGGCGAAGACCTCTACCGCGGCTTAGAGCGAGAGATACGAATCTATTGCTCAGATATCCGCCACGTATTTTCTTCGAAGGAGACTCAAGAAAATGATAAGGATGAAAATGCTGCCGAGAGGTTGTTGACGGCGTATGTGGTTCAGTATGAGAGATTTTTGAGCCTGACCAACCTCGTCAGGAACATTCTTGGGTTCGTGAAAAGACATTGGATCAAGAGAGAGCTTGACGAGAAGAGGAAAGATGTTTACACTATTGAAGATCTGCATAGGAAGCTTTGGAAAGAGGAGACTCTTCAGATCCAAAAAGATGAGCCATTATCGCAGGAGCTGCAGGCTCTCACAGCTGCTGCGACGGTACTTCGTGGGAAAGCTGGAGGGAAGACTGCGGAAGAGAAGGATCAAGTCGAAGGTGTCGTCAAGTCTCTTTCGTCCCTCGGCCTTAGTATTGATGGTCATCTTGAAGCGACATAACAAGCGATGCTAACGCGAACATCACATATAAACAACGTCCAATAATCATTTAGAGAAATCATTTTCGCAATTGTAGGTTTTGAGTCTACTTGAGCTCCTTGTAGACATTCTGACTAAAGCTATGCAGTCCGTCGCTGATTCTCAATACGCGCAAACCACGTTCGATTTAAAAGTTGCATTCGGCAGCATCCTCTCTCAGCTTGAATTCGATGCAAGTGCTCAGATCAGGGATCAACACATCGTACATGCTCGTGTTCGATGGTCTCTGTGTCGATCCACCTGGGAAGCGGAGGTGATACCTGAGAATAATGTTGCTGACAATCATCTTCATGGAGTGGTCGGCGAAGAACCTGCCAGGACAAACAATCTTGCCGTGGCCGAAGTGCAGGTTGTTCTCGCTCGTGGTGGTGAACTCTGTTCATCGATGTTAGCATATAGTAAGAGATTGGACATATCTATATCTTCATACGATGCCAGTTGCTCTCGCCGGGGCGCTTCCTGTTATTGTACTGTCGCAGCCCATCGAATTTCTCGGGGTCTTCAACTCGCTCGGGATCTGTGCCGATTGCATATGTTGCCATCTGGATGTGGGCGCCATCGGGTAGGACAGTGCCGTCGTGAAGTGTGAGAGGTTGACGCACGATGGCATTGAATCCCACTGGTGGTTTGGTCAGCATCATCAACTGCGGCTCATGAGAAGACGACTATACGTACGAAGGATAGGTGGACTGAGTCTCTGAGACTCGCGCATGAAGCTGTCCATCTGTTACATATCGGCTAAAGCTTGCTTGGTGTAGCCCTTCTCGCGAAGTACGCTCAAGGCTTCTTGTCTCAGTGGCTCAACATATTCCGGGTGGGCACAGAGATCGAACAAGACTTGAGCTACAGCAATCACGGTCGATGGGCCGGCGCCAAGGTATGTGACCATCAAACGCTGTACTGTAGTCTCTGGGCTGTCGTTGAGCTCGACACCGCCATCCATCAGATTTTGCAAGAAATCTTCAGGTTTCTCATACTTTCGGTCGTCTTGTTCGCGCCTTCTGCGCTCGGCGATGATCGGGATGATCATACGTCTTGCTCTTTTGAGTGCTCTGTCCACACCCCAGCTTGTAGGAAGGAACCAGGCAACGAAAGGCTTGGCCAAATCAGGAAATACGCGCAACATGAAGTTGTGCAGGAATCCATTCTCCGAGTAATCAATGGCAGTCTTCAGATAGGCCTCGTCTTCTGCCAGGTCAATGACAAACTGGGTAGCCACACCTCTGTGGACCATGCGGCGGGCGAGGTTCAATGCATTCATGCTTGTCCATCTGGTCTCTGTTGCTGGCAGCTCGGTTGGCAGGTATTTGCGGAACTGCTCTTGAACAAAGGGAACATGCACTCCGAGTTTCGGTGTAAGACGTGACACGATCATGCGTGTCTGCAGACTGTGATCAGTGATTACAGCGGTAATTGAATGAAGACGCTGGAAAGCATCAACAATCGCAGTGTTGAGACTGAGTTTCTCCGGAGGCATGCTTGCAAGCTCGGGCAAGTATTTGTTGGGAACTATGAGGAGATCGTTGCCCGAAACCTTGAAAAAGTTATCTTTGTACTTCGCGTATCCCTCACGAATAAGTGCTGGACCGTTTCGAAAGAATTGCCATCTGCCCAGTAACATGTTGGTGGAACCGACGGTAGTCGTAGTTGCCGTAAATGTAGGGTCGACTCTTTCTGCCGAGAGTGACTAGATACCAGTATAGAGCAATGGCACCAACAAACACAGTGAGGGCAGAAGTAGACGATGGCAGAAGAAAATATGAGAAGGGCATAGAAGGGCCAGAGAGGTGAGAGGTAGTGAAGCCCTCAAGGGCTTCTGTCGCGTTGAAAGTTGTTGCTTCCATGATTGCACCACAGACAAATTCAAGTAGTGTCAGCTGGATTGTTCGAGAGAGCTTATGACGAAGGGTTGCTCGATTTATATACCAGTACCTCCTTGGAAAGTGGAGGATTCATCAAGCGAGCATAAAGTGAATCGGCAACCATTATCACATGAAGCTAAGGTTGTCAAACTCTGGCTGCCTGGACTTGTGATAAGCCAGGCACAGCGCAGGGATAGCGAGCATGCATGGGACCAACCAAGACCCATGCCATCAAATCCTCTAGGTGGATCGAAGTTGGAGACTTATGCTGCATCCACTCCATAGAGACAATGGTGTCGACTCTTGCCGCGTTGCAAAGACAATCACGATGTCACAATAGGCTGTTTCTCTCACGGCGGAACTTGCAAGATGCACAATCTACTAGAATGGTAAATGAAGACATCTCCTCAAAAGATATTCTCTCCTTGGATTTTACTCGCTTCCAGAAGATACAGTCCATTCTATAGATACCTCGTGACATTCTGCAGCTCGCAGGAAAGATCGGCAGTGCCCATAGATGTATTTCGTCGGATCTTGTTTCCTGACGGTCTGCCTGCCTCGTGTCAATTAATGCACCTACCAGGGTCGAACACGGCCAAAAATTGCAATAGAGTGCTCATCTAAAAGCGTAGGGACTTCTCGGACTTCTCATTGGGCTTCATGGGCGAGCAAGCCTCGCTTCAGTGCTGCGATTGATATACAAAGCGGCTTGACTTCTCGAAGCATAAGGCAGGCCGTCAGATACCGGGGACTTCGGGGACGTCGGGGATGTGGATCGCTCTTTCTTTCATATTCTACAACCGCACGACGTGTGTAAGCCACCACTTTCCTGTGAAAGCCTGAACAGGCTGTTGTCAAATGGAGCTCGCTCGCGTGCGTCAGCATACCTGGCTGAAGCTCTTGAGGTCCATTGGATAGCGATGACCTTATGCGTCGATGGTCCCACGATGGTAGAGTGAGTTCGGGTTGGCGAAGCAGTCTCGAAACCATACACTGCCCAACGCATGCCTTGACAGCCTTGTCTTGACAAGGGAAATGGTTGAAAGCTCGGGCGTTCATAACGAGGTGATCGTGTGAATCCACTTTTACCGGTGAGATATTTCCTCTCAATGATGATTGGCCTTGCTTTATTTCCACCTTGAAGGGAACAGAGTTGGTTCAGCTGCTCTGTCCATACTGTGAATCAATTCAGTTAATCAGTCGTTGGGCGCGAAGGAGCGGCTCCACTAAGGTGCAGAGATGCGAAGAGTCGAGAGTCTCGTAATATGAAAGACCTGGTGCCACGAAGGATTCTTTATATTGCTCGAAGGATTGATGGTATTGAAGAAGGCCACGCACGCAAGATGGAAGGTCACAAGCATGGACCAGGGCTCCCCAAACCCACCCCACTTTCCAATTCGGGGAACCAAAGCGCCTGCAGATTAGCCGTACACGCGCCGAACCATAGGATCGTGGCTGAACATGTTTGTGTATTGTTGGCAACTAACTAGATATCTGTGCTTATGTCTAGTCAAGTTACAGAGTCCGGTGAGATGCAATGTTTATATCTATGCATCTGGTACTGCTCTCGACAGTGCCACTCTTTCTGCATGATTAGAAATGATATACGAATTTGGTTATTGTTTGCTTGCGCTGATCCTGTTCACATATACAGCAGAGTACCTGCTCGGGCTAACAGACAATGTACAAGAGCCGCCTCGACTGAGATCCAACATGCCACTTATCGGCCACATCGTTGGGATACTCCGTTATGGACCATCGTATCATAGTCAATTGAGGTAAGACGAGTCTGAGCCCAAAGATTGTTGGGTCTATGGTGGCCGCTGATCATCAAGATAGGGTTGCCTCCAGTTCAGAGATATTCACTCTAGGTATTCTCAATTTCAAGCTCTACACAAGCGTTTCGACCAGACTCTTGCCCGCCATACAAAGACAGTCCAAGACCCTATCTTTCCGGCCAATGATGCAGCACGTTGCACGTCGATGGGGCGATGCGAGTGACGAGACCAACAGAGCCTTCGGTGGACCCTTGTTAGAAGATTTCAGCCATGCTATGAGGATGAGTCTTGCACCAGGACCTCTCCTTGATGAACAAAACAAGAGGATGGCCGAAAGAGCACTCTCGGATATCGATGCTTTGGCCAGCTCCTCGAAGACAGAGGGGAGCAAGATCATGCTGTTGGCCTGGGCCCGCCATGTTGTTACGCAAGCATCGAGCTGTGGAGTGTACGGAAACGAGCATCCTTTGATAGATCCAGAAGTCGAGCAAGCATTCTGGTATCTATACTAGCCTTTTAGTGCAATTGAGCGATATTTGCTGACGATAGAGCACACAGGACTTGGCATAGTCATCTTTCTGCACATATCTCAGGCTTGGGTTTTGACATCTTCCGAAGAGGCTACGCAGCACGACAGAAAGTCTTCGACGCACATGCCAGATACTGCAGTGACATTCCTTCGGACGCATCTCTACTGTTCACAGAACGCTGGCGCGTCTTGTTGGAAGCCGGTATATCCGAGGCGGATTGCATTAAGCAGCAAGCAACACTGCCAATAGGAATGTTGAGCAACACGGTCCCAACTCTTCATTGGACCATCTGCGAACTGTACTCCAGACAAGATCTTCTGGCTGAGGTTCGGGAAGAGTTGGAAGCTCATGCGATCGTCGAGAAAGAAGACGGCTTCGCGCTCGACGTTGCTGCTTTGAAGACCGACTGCTCACTTCTTCTATCCGTGTTCCAAGAAACCCAAAGGACTCGCCACATCCATGCTGCTATCCGTAAAGTCATGAGCGATACGCTGCTGGATGGCAAGTATATACTCAAGAAGGGGAACTATCTTCAGATGCCTGGAAGTTCAATCCATTCGAACATTGAATTATGGGGTCCTTCAGCGACAGAGTTTGACCCCTACAGATTTTGCAACCAGGATTCGCACGCTAGCGGGTCCAAGCAAAGAGGTCGGGACTTTCTTGCATGGGGCGCACCACCGCATCTGTGTCCAGCACGACAATTCGCAGCTAAGGAGATCCTAATCTTGGTTGCACTCCTAGTGATGCGCGTAGATCTTCGACCTGTCAGAGGAATTTGGGAGAAGAGCCCAGCTCTCGATTTAAATGATCCAGCCACGGTCCTCAACCCAAAGACAGATGTCCAGGTACACGTTAGTGAAAGGGAGAAATGGGCTGGCAAATGGAGGTTGCACATGTTGCCCAGTACATGTCGGGTGCCTCTTGAATCAGGCTAGGCATACAGATATGCTCGTGAACGATGTTTATCTCACAATCGTGCTGTTCAGCAGGTGGTCCGTTTGATTCTCAGGCAACGCTGGTAAGTTCAAAGCGTTGAACACAGCATCCCAGTGTGGTCGGAAACCAGACTCACCAGGTGCCATACCAAACCATAGAATACTCTTGACGTGGCTGAAGACTTCGTCCCATGTACGCATCTGCATTGAGGCAGCAGTAGTTCTTGCTTTTCCTGATAGCCAAGGATAATGACTCGTGCCGATTGAAGCCACCATACCAATCGCAAGAAGCCATACTCGCAATGCATCTTGCGTGTATAATACTAGCTCGCTTTGTTCGTAATGTTTTACAAACTGTGCAAGGGCCTGGTTGAGTATAAGAGTGTGTGGGTAGTAGGTCGTTCCGTGGATGATGAGCATGTAAAGTACCAAAGCATAGCGCATGACTTCCGTGGTGGATGATAGCGTGGAGCATGAGAAATCCGAGTCTGTTGGCAGAAGCCTGTGTACCACAAAGCATGCGAGATCATGAAGTTTTGTGGTTGAGAGGGGTAGTTGTTGTGCTGTAAGTGACAAATGGCGAAGACGGTGAAGGATGTTCGCGACCGGTTCATCCACGTTGAGGTCTCCAGTGTCACTAGGCTCAGAGAGAGGTTGGATCAGACGCCATTCGTAAATAGGAGATATGCCGTCTCCAACACCAAAATCATCTTGAGTATCAAACTGCGCATAGCCTGTGAGAATCATTGAGACCCTTCACAACCCGTAAGTAGCGTGCTGGCAAGAAGGTTGTGTTGACTCACCAGCTAACCATGCGTGCAGTAAGAGGACTTGTCCGTTTTACTTCTTTGATGCCACCCCTCGCATGTACTATCCTCCTCACCCCTTGTATATGCATCTGGCTAACTTCAATATTTCCTTTACCGAACTAATGAGACTGAGTCAGTGATGAGACCAGATTAGGCTTAGACGCAGCTGAGCTCGGTTTCGACACGTACTTCGATGGCTGCTAGAGTGATGACAGAATTCATAGTGCTGTCTTGGACTGCCAAATCTTGGTCTTGAACTTTGCGTCGTAGCAAAGCCACTGAGTCTGCCATGAGAAGCTCCGATGTCTGGAAGCCTCTCTGTGCTAGGAGTTCCTCATCGAGGCATGCCGTTTGGAGCGAGACGTGGAAAAGGGCTGGGTCACTTAAAGCCAATGGCCACCATGAGACAATGAACGGGTTAGAGCACTCTTTTAAATCTAGAGGATAGTATTGGAAAGCAATCTTGGTTAGGACTGAATTGATTAGTTGGGATCCAATGACATTTTCGATCAATAGACGTACAGCTGTGTATAAGGCGTTGAACATGTTGACGACCAAGCCTTGTCTGTGGATACGAATCAAAGGGGTCCAGAGAGTTGAACCTGCTTATGTCTGCAGGAAGGAGCACAATTGACGACGGAGCAGCGTCTGACCTCGGGGTCGTCGGCGGAGCAGTCAAAGGCTCATTTGCATATTCACATTGTATGCGGCGTTTGATACAACGTGAGCAGGTTGGAGTGCGAAGATCGCAGCTGTACTTGGATCTGGCACAGGCTGCGCAAGAGCGGCGAAGCGTCCTTCGCATTATGTGGGAGATAAATTACAAGTGATTTGGCTTGCACAAGTCTCGTGTCTTGGTTCAACGTCGGGCGGTTCAGAACGCGTCAAGCGCAGCAACTCATATCGATGGTGTAACAGGGAAGTCAACATTCCCAAGGCGACCAAAGAAGAGGAAGTGCACATACACAAGCGCCCCAATGGCATGGTGCAAGCGAATGAAGTGGAGATACGGGCATGCGACGAGGCTCCTGGTGATGAACCCTTAGCACTAGATCAAAAAGGGACTAGACTCCGAATCGGAGTCTAGTCCCGATAGGGGAATTTCGCATCAATGCTGGTAGGTTTGGTACATCTTGTAGAGACCAGAATGATGAGTTCATGCTATTTCGCACTGAAATCGGCCCATGCCATGCATTCTGAAGAGATTCATGAGGGGGACTGCAACGGAATGATTGAGCCGGCTGCTTGGTCAGGGCGAAAATGACCGAGATGAGAAAGCGCGAGGTACCCACGCGTGGCAGTCTTGAACTTCTTCAAATGAAGGACATGCGCAGGTCTTGCTTTCTGCTCTTGTCCTTACGCATCTGCCAAAACAAACATCTCCATCTTGGGGTCCAGTATCCAGAATCGCTGCATCGATGGATAACAGCTCTTCAACCATGTCCAGTTGGAACACTGGCATGGTCAATGGCTCGACTTTGCAGCCTACTCTGCCAAAGAGCATTCTGCCTGCTGTCATTCTTGGATGGTCTATGTGGCAGTACCTTTTGAGTTTTCTTCTCGGAGTCATAGTCTACGACCAAGGTAAGCAGCAATGCCCGTCTGGATCTGCTCCATTGACCTAGCTGATATGCAACTCGCAGTCATGTACATCAAACGCAAAGGATCAATCGCCGGACCTGCCTTCAAGATTCCTCTCATGGGACCATTCCTCCAGGCTCTTGATCCAAAATTTGATGGGTATCTTGCACAATGGGCAAGTGGTCCTTTGAGCTGTGTGTCGGTCTTCCACAAGTATGTGTTTCTACTTCTCCCAACCTGCACCTTCCAAGCAGAATCACTCGTGGAGATGTCCAAAGCGCTCTTGGTAATCTCCATGATCTCCCTGACCAGAGGAGCAAGAAAAAGTTCAAGAACAAAAAGGCTTTCCCAGATCGGATGACTAACAATCCTCTTTGCAGATTCGTCGTTCTTGCTTCAGACCGTGACCTGGCGCACAAAGTCTTCAAATCGCCTGCATATGCAGAACCATGCATAGTTCCAGTCGCAAAGGACATCATCGGACATAAGGCTTGGGTCTTCCTCCAGGGTCGAGACCATGCAGAATACCGACGGGGATTGACTCCTTTATTCACCAACAAGGCCATGGCCACATATCTTCCTGTCCAGGAAAAGGTGCTGGCCGATTACTTTGACAAATTCGTGGCCACCAGCGAGGCAAATCAGAACAAGCCCATGCCTTTCATGACCATGTTCCGCGAGATCAACTGTGCTCTTTCATGTCGCACCTTCTTCGGCGATTACATCTCTCAGGACGCTGTCAAGAAAATCGCTGACGACTACTACCTTGCCACCGCTGCTCTTGAGCTTGTCAACGTACCACTCTCAATGTACATTCCTGGAACAAAAGTGTGGCGAGGTAAGCGTGTCGCTGATGCTGTTCATGTTGAATTTGCGAAGTGTGCAGCCGCGTGCAAAGCAAACATGGCGAGTGGTGCTGCTCCCACATGCACTGTTGACCATTGGGTGCTCCACATGATGCAGTCCAACCGTTATCGCGAGAGGATTGCAGCTGGAGAGGCCGACGTCGAGAAGCCGATCAACCTGATCCGCGAGTTCACTAACGAAGAGATCGGTGAGACGCTCTTCACCTTCCTCTTTGCCTCGCAGGATGCATCCAGCAGTGCCACGACCTGGCTGTTCCAAATTCTTGCACAGCGCCCCGACGTACTCGATCGCCTCAGACAGGAAAACCTTGACGCTCGCGGTGGAGACAAGAACAAGCCTTTCGATCAGCCCATGTTGGAGTCTCTGACCTACACCAACGCTGTCGTCAAGGAGCTTCTTCGCCACAGGCCGCCTGTCATCTTCGTCCCTTACCTTGCCACCAAGGACTTCCCGGTCACGCCGAATTACACTGTACCAAAAGGCTCCATGATCATCCCCTCCTGCTACCCAGCCTTGCACGATCCCCAAGTATACCCCGAGCCAGACGTCTTTGACCCTGACAGATGGATCACTGGTGATGCTGAGTCCAAGACCAAGAACTGGCTTGTCTTTGGTGCAGGTCCACATGATTGTCTTGCAAGAAGGTATGTGCCGCTATCCATGGCTGGCATGATCGGTAAGGCTGCTATGGAGCTCGACTGGAAGCACTACGAGACCGAGTTATCTGAAGAGATCAAGGTCTTCGCTACTCTGTTCCCCATGGTAAGCCAAATCTTGCCCAATTGTATGCCAGCCTTGGCTAACTCTTACATAGGATGGATGTCCTCTCGTCTTCTCTAAGCGCCGTTGATACAGTCTTCGATTGAAATCAGACGAGTCATTCATACATGACTTAGCCGCATAACAGGGCTTCTGAATGTAGAAATCTGCTCAATAAACAACAAAAGTAATACTTGTACCGATGTCCTACTTACAACCGTCGAAATAAAGCCACGCATAATAGATAGACCGCACTACGTGCAAACTCCGCTAAGAAACTGCCACTACAATCTAACTCCTTGAGTCCGAGTCGACCATACAAGTATGCCAGTCATCTCGAGATCCATAGCGACGATCATGAGGCCTGCGGCTCTGACTTGACGACTTCTATTGAGAACTCGGGCTTTTAAAAGTTTTGCGTCGTCCATGACATCTGCAGTCTCGCTTGAAATAAATAGCTGATTCTGCTTGACGGCATTAGTGGGTAGCAAAAAGAGCAAAGGCAAAACATACAGCAGCAGGGATTCCCACGTGGTCACCCACCGTAGTACTAATCTGCCGTTCAACTGCTTATGTATGGCAGAGCGGACGGGATGCCCAGTTTTCAGCTGACTGTGGCCGTATGTGCTGGATGCTTGATTTTGTTGGTCTATAATAAGAGCGTCAGACGACAGAGCAAAGACGCATGAGTTGATGACGCCAGAAATCAATTCTGTTCAAGGCATGGAAAGGTTGGAGCGATCACTCGGAAAGGCGCATTTAGAATGCAACACTTTAGGAACGAACCATAGCACTTGTGCGAGGGCACTGGCCACACCACGAAGCATGAGCGAATGAGCGCATGAGCGTATGAGGGTGACAAAGCCGAAGCAAGCTCTTAAGCAGCTTCTAGCGGCGAGAACCGCAAACGGATGTCTATTCCGGTGTAGTCGATATATGAACATTGAACAGAAAACGGAGTCTATCAAAATCTAGACAAGAACATAAAGAGGTCGTGGTAGTTCAGTGAACGCCGGGGCAGCCTTATGCTTGAGACCTATGTAGGCCTCGCGGCGAGCTGGGCTGCCCTTGGTGACTGACCACGTCTCTAGGCCATAATATGTCGCAATAGAATGTACGAGCCAGCGACTAACGGCTGTTAGCGAGCGGTTACTTTAAGAAGAGCAGAAGCATATACATACCCGAATGCAGCGCTACGATCATCGGCGAGACTCTCAAGGATCATCCGTTCCTTTGCTAGATCGTCACTGCTGATGCTCGTACTGCTGTCGTCACTGACGACGCTCTTTGAACGCTTGCGATCATCGCTCATCGCACCATTACGGCCAACAAAGACGATCTCCTCGTCCTCGCTGTCGCCATCGACCAAACCATCTTCAGCTAATTGGCGCTCCTTGGCGGACCACTGTTGTACGAAGCTTCTAACCTCCTCTTCTAGGTCCTGGAGCATGTTCTTTGCACCACGACTCTTCTTAAGCTTCTCGCGAAGCTCGCGCGGAACTCTAGCTGCAGCCTGCTCGTCCTTGGATCCGTGTGCGCGAGTATCGCCGACATTGTTTGCACGACGTGTGGGCACCTTAGCCTGTGCCTTGGCCTTGTACTCGGCATCCCAAAGCGGTGCCAGGAAGTATGGGACCTCGTGAATAGGATATGTAGGACGGACTTCCCAATCGCTGGGTAGAGGAGGTTGAGCGTAGGGGTTGTTGAGCAGGCGATCGTTCTCCCATCGCTGTCTGCGACGACTTCCCTCTTTGCCCTTGAGCAAGGCTTCGCGACGTTTCAGACTATCGCGGCGGACGGGCTCTCTCCTCTTGTAAACGGTATGGACTTCTTGCTTTGAGCGTGGCTTCGCGGTAGCCATGGCATTCGCGGCGGCGAGAGCATTCTCATCTAGCGGGATCTCAATTGTGACGTTGGCGCGGGGTCTAGGAGGGGTCGGCGTCGAGATGGTCGTTGCCTGTAGCGCCTCGGCTGCCTGTTCGACTGTCCAGGCCTCGACGTCGATGCCAGTTGGCGCTGCGGTGATAGGATCGTGCGAGATAGCCATGATGAGAGTGCGCCAATGAACCAAAGGAACTCGAAAGCAGTGTGCGAGAGTGAGGTGGGTGAAGGACGACGAGGGGCAGGAGACAAGGAGAAGCAATCATCATCAGCATCATTGATGGTCCTTATCGCCACTGACCAATCGAATTGCCCCGCACCCGCACACGCCTTAGTGCCGATGATCGACAGTCTTTATCTCGTTTTCTCTTTCCGATCCGCCTTCCGCCCTGCTTTCGCCGAAAGCATAAATCTTGCATAACATGACTTGTTCGCACCTCATGCAATCAGCATAATTTGATGAACACCATCGCGACAAAGCAGAGCTTCAAAGAATGAGGTGCCGCTAGACTTGGTGGATTCCTATGCAGGAGTCGGGCTAATTTCATTCTCTCCAAACGCTTTTACTAGGCTCTACAGACTCCGACTCAAAGCTCGTACCGCGAGTAAGGGGAGAGCTGGCAGGCAGAAGAAAACGACATCCTGTAGAGCAGCACCCATGCCTAGCCGAATCTCATGGCCACCGGTTTCTCCTTGGTCTGTTCTCTAAACAAGCAGGGAGTTGTAATCCCTGTCTTCGGGGCATGCGTATGTAGCACAAGACAGCAGATATGTTTGTTGTTGCTGATTGCAACCCGCGGTTGCAGCCTGGTCATCTTGAATACTTGTTGATGATCATCCGGGAAACCAAATCGGCCCTTGTGTTGTCATTCACCCCAATGTTCGAGAGTGGACTGTTCCTAGGGCTGGTTGGGCTGAGAGCGGGATGTCGAAATTGAGGTGCATCTGAAACAACAACTGTGTTGACGTGCGTTTGGTAGCAGACGTGATGCACTCCACGGGAGGTTTGAGCAATGGTTGTTTGCGCTTGGAGCTTGGCGGTTGACACAGTCTTGCAAAATCCTGATGTGTGCTACACAGGCATACTCATACTCAAGGAAGAAGAATCTATTGCTTGATCAGACAAAATTTCGCAGCGTCAACGAGTGACGTACGCTGTGACAGTAGACAGTGGCCTTTGTGTAGGTTGTATGCGCTTTCGGCGCGACATGCACCAAAAGTCGCACACTCTTATCACCACCACACAAAACACTCTTGTGGGTCTTCAGTCTAATCTCCTTATATACGGATACTCGGAGTCCGAATGGCACTGCCCTAGTAGGGTATGGGCATCAGGCGGGCAGATGTGCTAGCCGCTGAGTGTTTCCTCTCCACATGCAGATGTGTGTCAGAAACGTAACTGTGAAAATGATTGTCTCCCAGCCAGAGGCGTGTCCAGGAGATCATTACACCTGGCTGTGCCTCTGTGAAGCAAGCCTTGTCTGCTCGCGACCGTAATAGCAAACGAAGTCTTCGTTCTATGTCGTATGATACTATCTCTACCTCGACATGGTTCTGAAAGCCCGGCAATGGCGAACAGCTTCGCGGCTCCTGAAACGCTTCTGCATCTCATGCAGTCTTCTATATCTGATACAACAGGTGCGGGTCCTCCCGGTCGCTGTCTGCTGCACCAGTTCTGGAGCCTCCATCCCTCTCTCACTTCCGGACCAACCAGTTTGCGAGTAACGGCAGCGCAATCAAACTCGGGAGCATGGCATTTTTCACGTGTGAAGACTAGGTGTGGTCGCCTCCTTGGATTCTCTGTAGACTTCTTATATAGGCCCTTGTAGGTGTGCATCCCTTCCCTTGCTTTTGTACCTCTGTTCTCTTGGTCAGTCTGCCTTATACAGTCTTTCTTTTGGCGTTTTCGCCTTTCCATTCATTCAGTCGCTCCTTTGACATACCCTTTCACTGCTTTGATAGTAGTGTGCCACTCCTTTTGCTTCGTTCCCTTCACACAAATCGACATTTCAAGCGCTTGCGCCTTCCAAAACAACCACTTTTGTTGATTCAACTTTATCGTTCGCATTGAGCCATTCAACCACAAAGATGTTTTCCAAATTCTGGACTGCTTTGGCACTTGTTGCAATCAATATCCACCTGGTCGCCGCCAAGTCTGTTGTTGCGCATTTCATGCTCGACAACTCCTATGCCTACACCGTGGGACAGTGGGAGACTGACATGAAGGCTGCTCAGCAGGCCGGCATCGATGGCTTCTCTCTCAACTGGGTCCCTCCGGACTGCACCTCACCCAGCCGCAAGTGGCAGATCAGCCGTATCGATGATGCTTTCGAAGCTGCTGAGAACACCGGTTTCAAACTCATGTTCTCTTTCGACATGAGCTACACGACTTGCAACACTTTCTGGAACACGACTTTCATGACTGACATGATCACTAAGCATGCTGGCAGCTCTGCCGCTATGCGCTGGAACACCAACATTCTTGTCTCGACCTATGCTGGCGACAACAACGATGCGTATGGAAACCAATTCTTCCAGAACCTCAAGAACTCTTGCAAGGCCGCAGGCAACCCGATCTCCCTGGCTCCTGCTCTTGTCTCGTACGCACAAGCTGCTCAGACCAATGCTCAGCAGTCTGCCGCCAAGATGGTCAGCGACTACCCTTCTATCGATGGCTACTTCAACTGTAAGTAACTTCACAGAACTGTCTGTCGACTTTGACTAACAACTTTCAAGGGCAAGCATGGCCTCTGATGGACGCCAACATGACTTGCACCGCCGACGAAGCGTTCAAGGCTGCACTCACCCAGAACGGAAAGACTGGACCTTACATCATGGCCGTCTCTCCCTGGCAATACAAGGATCTCAACAACGGTATCGCTTCCGACTCTTGGGTCGCCTACTCAGACACCCTCTTCGCCCAGCGTCTGCACACTATTGCCAACAACCAGTTCTCTCCCGATATCATTGAAGTGCTGACTTGGAACGACTTCTGCGAATCACACTACCTACGCGATCTTCCTAGCATGACTAACACTAGCGCCACAGACTATGTTACCTACAGCAACGGCATGCAGAACTATGTCGAGGGTATGAACCACGCTCCCTGGCGTGTCATGGCCAAGTACTACCTCAACTGGTGGAAGAACGGCCAGGCCCCTGTCATCACCATGGACCAAGTCGTCTACTGGTACCGCGTGCACCCCAAGGCCGCTGCATGCTACGGCGGCTCCTCCAGCAAGATCAAGAACCAGAACTATCCCATTGATGCAGTGTTCGCATGGGCTCTGGTCAAGGACACTGCCACCATCTCCATCAGTGTGGGCGCCAATGAGTACTGGGAGTTCGAGGCCAACTCTTCTGGTCCTGCTCTTTCCATGGTACCTTTCCCTGAGGATCTTGGTTCCAGTGGAACTACCCCTCAGGTCAGCATCAACAGGAACAACAAGGTTGTTCAGTACTCACAGGGTAGCATGCCCATCACAGCTTCTTGCGTAAGTGATCTGTCTTTGTTCTGTCAATACTTTTACTGACGATTCGTTTTCTACAGAGCTGGAGCAACTTCAACGCCCACGTCGAGCTCTGCGGCGAGGGCATCAACAAAGGCCCCTCTACCTCCTGATATTGATTCGTCTACGAGAAAAACACCACGCTTCACATTCACACATACAGTACGAGAAAAAGACAAAACGAGACTTTGCTGGGACAGAGCTCGACATTACAACGAAATAGAAGGGAACATGACGGACACTTTCGATTCTTGGTTGGGGAAGACTTTATGATTGGGGTAAGGTTGGGATACGGGTGGTCAGGAGGTAAATGAGGGATGGATGGGTCATAACGAGATTACTCTTCTTTTCATAAAATGGACGATGGCTTTTAGATGATGAAGTCGACTTTTTTGCACATTCTCAATGGTCAGAAAAGTTTTGTTCTTTCAACAAATTTTGCATCCGCTCGCGGCTTCCTTTCTGATTATGTGTTTGCTGCTCATACCTTTGTGGCCATGCTCGGAAGTGACGAACTTGGGCACATGTGTACTTTCCTAAGTTGGCTGCTCTATTCCCAAGTATAGAAAACAGACTCGATGCCAAAGCGATCAGGATGGCGTGAATACACTTGACTTGGTATCATGTCTGTGACCTGTAAATTTTGTATACAATTGTAGATGTGATACTCGAGATTATGCAGACTTTTAGTCCCTCTTGCCTCCAGCGGAACCCAATGCATAGCTACTAGTGCCTACGGCATATCCATATCCGCCTAATCTGCCACTCTCCATACCACCGGTCATCCTGTCTTTGCCGTGGTTCCTGAGCCTTCTCGGAAGCTCGACGCCACGGAAGTAGACGATACAGATGGCAGCTGCGGCACCAGCACTCAAAAGACAGTATATCAGAGTGCTGGCGTAGATGTGGCCGCCAACGCCGGACCAGCCAGAAGGCAATTGCTGGCCAGAGTACCAGCGGATGGAGAAGGTGAAGGGCAGAGCGTCACCAATGACAATGCGCGTCGGCGGGCGAGTGGAGATTGAGTATGCGGTAGCGGCATCAATAACGCCAGGCGACACAGATTTGGGAGCAGCATGTAGCAGCATGTTGAGGTGTGATGAGACGTGTAGGTGTGAGAGTTGAAGTGTGCCTGTCAAGGCAATGATCAAGGGGATGTATTCATCGTCGAGACTGCCTTGGCCCTCAATCGAGGGGTCTTCTTTGGGAGCTTTGTAAGATGCGGGAAAGGGGCGAGTAGGGATGCGACAGGTCATGGGAGCGTCGTTGTGGACGTAGAACTCGAGGAGGTGGAACATGGGGTCCGAGATGAAGTCGATGGTGCAATTGATGTCCTTCTCGACACCAAAGTAGATCTCTAGCGGCCGACCAGTCTCATTGCATACCGGGAAGGGCACATATTGAAGCTGCCCTGAGGCATCTGTGACCTGTCACGCTGTCAGTCGGCTGTATCATTCACACCATGCTGTACCGCTTACATGCTCGCCAGTATCAGACGTCCTGTTGACTTGGCCATGTTAGTAGAAGCACATGTTGCAATAAATAAAAAGACATACGACACGTCACGGGGATGGCATCCCCTGCGCGATAGATAGGCTTCTCATCGACGAGCGGCTCCTGGGTCGCAGCTCTCGCCAAGGCAGTGAAGAAGACGAGACACAGCTGGACCAGCAATGAGATACGACTCGTCATTTTGGCCATGAGAAAGAGTCGACTTGGATTCTTCGAGTCCACTCGAGTCGTTGGCGGCTGCTGCTGCTGCTGCTACTTCTCCTTGAAGCCACGCGAGCAAGATCAAATCCCTTCCCCACAATTTCGACTCTGACGCTCTTGCCAGTTTCTGAAACACTCCCTCTGCGAAACATCACAGAGACCAAGCCGGCACCATGTATATTGCTCTCACATCTCCGAATACAGTCGATGGATAATCCTCCAACGAGCCTTCACTGGTACCGCTTAGATCGGAAATCATGCATCGGCAGGGACGCTCTTCACGAACCAGAGACATAACGAGGGCTGTAGGATTGCTTCGTCTACCTTCGGAATGGTCCCCTTTCAGATGAACCTTCTTCGCGGTCCTCGCTGCATTCGTCCCTTCCGCCTATCTTTTGACCCTGACTGTTGGTTGTCATGGCCATTTTGGTCTTGTAAAGTCTGCCAGCTTCATTCCAAAAAACGGAGCGAAACAAGTTAAGTTTACCACAATGCACCCGGGTAATAGCAATCACGAACCATGCCCCTTCATCGCCAGACCTACTCCAAGATCTGGTTCTCTTTCGGGAAAACCTTTGGGGCACGTCCGTCTTCTCGGCGACTGAAAGCTCTCGGAAGAACTCCAGCCTAAATTATGCACCAATAGCGGCAAAGGTTCATACAAAGCCGCTTGCTGGAGCCCCGGACCCGACCCCACTAGTGGGGGCGCTCTGACGCTCCATGAGAGGTTGCTCATCAGACAAAACCTGTCCCATTTCCCACTGTTAGGCATCGTGTGCTCTCTCCTGATTCTTCTCCCTGTTCTACTACTATCTTTCTGTACTCTTCATATCATACACCATGGTTACAATCACAAAGGCCACGACGAGGGATGTCAGATTCCCTGTGAGTAAACATGTTCATACTCTCGACTCGGCAACAATTGACCCGGGTGAATGTAGACGTCTCTTGACAAGACTGGCTCCGATGCCATGAACGCTGCTGGTGACTACTCGGCCGCTTATTGCATCTTGCACACCGACTCCGAGTTCTCTGGCCACGGCATGGTAAGTAATACTACACTTCCCCAGGTTCCATTCCCTATGTGTAAGTGCTGATCTCTCTGACAGACTTTCACAATTGGTCGCGGCAACGAGATCGTTTGCCAGGCTATCTCCCTTCTTGCTGCCCGTGTCGAGGGAAAGAAGCTCGAGGATCTCGTCTCCAACTGGGGTCAGACCTGGAGATACCTCGTCTCGGACAGTCAGCTTAGATGGATCGGCCCCGAGAAGGGTGTCATCCACCTTGCTCTTGGTGCCGTCGTCAACGCTATCTGGGACTTGTGGGCAAAGACACTAAACAAGCCCGTTTGGAGAATCGTTGCTGAGATGTCTCCCGAAGAGTTCGTCTCGTGTATTGACTTCAGATACATCACCGATGCCATCACCAAAGAGGAGGCCATTGAGATGCTGAAGAAGGAGGAGCCTGGCAAGGCTGAGCGTATCAAGCACGCCGAGGCCAACAGAGCGGTACCTGCCTACACAACCAGTGCTGGCTGGTTAGGTTATGGCAAGGACAAGATGAAGGGTCTGCTGCAGGAGACCCTCAACGCCGGCTACAAGCACTTTAAGCTGAAGGTCGGAACTAGCGTCGCCGAGGACAAGGAGAGACTGAGCATCGCCAGAGAGGTCATCGGCTACGACAGAGGCAACTTCCTCATGGTCGATGCCAACCAGGTTTGGTCAGTACCAGAAGCCATCGAGTACATGAAGCAACTTGCCGAGTTCAAGCCCTGGTTCATTGAGGAGCCTACCAGCCCCGATGATGTCTTTGGTCACAAAGCCATCCGCGAAGCCCTCAAGCCTTACAACATTGGTGTTGCTACTGGTGAGATGTGCCAAAACCGTGTCATCTTCAAGCAACTTCTACAACAGGGTGCCATCGATGTCTGCCAGATTGATGCTTGCCGCATGGGAGGTGTCAATGAGGTTCTTGCGGTCCTCCTCATCGCAAAGAAGTTCGGCGTGCCGATTGTCCCTCACTCTGGTGGTGTTGGTCTTCCCGAGTACACTCAGCACCTGAGTACCATCGACTATGTTGTTGTCAGTGGTAAGCTCAGTGTGCTTGAGTATGTCGACCATTTGCACGAGCACTTCTTCCACCCCAGTGTCATCAAGGATGGCTACTACACTACTCCTACCGAGGCTGGATACAGTGTGGAGATGAAGCCTGAGAGTATGGACAAGTTCGAGTACCCTGGCAAGGATGGTGTCAGTTGGTGGAAGAGCGAGGAGGCTAGACCTATCCTTGAGGGTGAGAGGATATAAATCTGCATTTTTCTTGAGTAAAGATATCCTGTTAATGACATGTAATGGCAATTCTGAACAAATGTCTCGAGTCACTGGGGTCCGACTTCTTCGTATGACTACAAAAGTATCAAATGTATAGCTATAAAAATGCACAATACTACCAGGATGCATTGGAGCAACCGCTGGAAAGCAGCAATTCATCGGTTCCCTATGGATACGCCTCTATTTCAAAGATACTTCTACCTTCTCGTAGTCTAAAGTTCACCATTTACTATAGTCTAGACAGGACTGAAGTTACACTGAAATTGCAGAGGGGACTAATTAAATTCAATGAGGCGAGAGCCTCGGCTATATAGCAGTCTTAGCGGTACTTGCCGTGAGATCTATAAAATAACATTCTCCCCTACTAAGACTTAAACCTCTAGTTTAAGAACTACTCTTGCTATCCTATTAATTTATAGTCTTTCTTCGAGGGATAACTCTTTAGGAATTTCTTAAAGAAGCTCGAGGGACGGCTTATAGAGCGGTTATCTAATAGTCTCTTAAGGCTTCTTATTAATACCTCCTAAAGTTAGGGATAGGCATAGTAGTACTTATGCCTACTATCGCTAACTCCTTATTATTAACGCTCTACCCTAGGGCACTAAGAGGTTCCTAACCCTCTAGTTAATGTCTCCTAAAAGTCGGAGCGTAAGTAAGTACTAATCTCTTAAGCCCTTACCTCTTATAAGGCCTCTTACTAGCTCGTTACTACCTTAATCGGTTAGTATAAGTATTTTCCATCTTTTCTTTCTAACCTCTTCCTCTTCCTTAATATTAGTAGGCTCTTATTTCTTTAGTAATAGCTTCTATTAGTCTTGCTTCTTCTTTTCTTATTAGCCTTCCTTATCTTATATTACTAGTATCTATCCTTCTACTTCTTGCACTTTAATTGCTTAAGCAATTTCTTATATAAGAAGTAGTAAGCTTTAGTAGTTCCTTACTTGCTATAGCTCTAAATCGCTCTTAGCATATTCGTACGGAATTTTAAGTTATATTACTTTGCTACGAGCTCTTATTATTTTACGCGCTTATAATAATAACTTACTTCGCTTCTTAGCACTACTACTTCTTCTTTATACCGGCGTTTCTTTACTTAATTAATAACATTACGCGCGCTTCTATAATAGCTACTCTTACTCCTTACTTCGCTATTACTAACTTCTCGCTAGGTAGCACCTTCTCTAGCCGCGGTAGTAGTAGTAGTAGTAGTAAGAGACCTTTAAATAATAATACTAGTCTTCTTAGTTACTATAATATAGACCCTAGCATAGATCTCTATGTCGCTAGTTTATTATTCCTAACTCTTTAGCTATAGTTTTACTACTTACTACGCTTCTTATAGGATACGATGCTAAGTAGATCGATCTTACCTAGCTCTACTCCTTCTACTATAGTTATATCGCTTAAGGTAAGCTAGTTCCTAGATTCGTTAGCACTTATAGCGCCATCTTCGCTAATTAGACTAACCCTCGCCTATACCTTAATAACGAATTGTCTTAGACTTATAAAGAGGTTAGCTAGTTCCATTTTCTAGCTTACTCGTACTATCCTAGAGCCGTTACTTAGTAGGCCGCTACTAGTTTAGTTTACTATTATAGTAAGAACGCTTACCGTCGCTACTATAAGAACGCCTACTTAACCTTCTTAACTTACTATACCTTAGATACTAGCTCTTATCTAGTTTACTAGGGAGCTTATAGTAACTACGCTATATCTAGTTATCCTAAGCTCTACGAGTTCTTTTATAAGGGTATGTTAAGGTTCCATTAGTTTATTAGTAACTTATCTAACATTAAGATAGATCTTTAGAATATTAACTACGTTAATAATACTCGTAACGTTACTAAGAAGAAGTCTATTACTACCCTTAAGGCTCGTAAGGGTTCGAACTCTTTACTTCCTAGCTCCCCTTCTCCTACTAAAGGTAGTAGCTATTAGTAGCCTTATCTTAACACTCCTTCTTACCGTCGTCCTACTACTAGTCCTTCTTCTCCTCTCCTTAGCTTTAGTAGCAACTCTTCGTCGCCTATTATCTTAGACGGTGCTACTACTACTCCTTCTACTTATGTTAAAAGAGAGTCTTCTATTATTATTAAGGTTAAGGGTTCTAGTAGTTCTAGTAAGAAGTCTTCGGCCGCTAAGGACGACGACGTTATCGTTATCTATATTAGTAAGGCTACTCCTATCGCTAGCCCTTTTACTACCTAGCTTAAGAAGAAGGATAATAATAAGAGTAGAAAGAATAAGGGTAAGGAACGTAAGAAGTAGTTACTTAGACATAAGGATTTAGCGTTCTTCTAGAGAGTCTTAGGCTTTCTTTTTAAGTAGTTTTTTATAGGCGTTTCGGCCTTCTTTTATAGGGAAATAGACTTACTAGATACTTATTAATAAAATGATAATAACTTTCTCTTTAGCCATCTATTAGTATTTAACCCTAGTAACTTTTTAATTATTTTTATAGCGAGATTGCTCGATAGGATTAGTAACGAGTTATTGCCTAGCTACCCTAGCTACTCTATTAGCTAAATCGAATAGTTTCTTTAGTAGAGTCCTTCTTAAAACTAGATTAAGGATTAATGGCTCCTCTAGATATAGCACATTAACCCTTTAAGCTCTATCCTCCCTATCTTATTATCTAGATAAGAGTAAGGCCTTTCTTCTTCTAGCCTACTCTATCTACTTTATAATATTATAGTCCTTAAGAGATTCCTCCTCTACTAAGAACGAGCGTGCTCTTATACCTATTTCTTATAGAGTCTTCTATTAAGTTTCTATTAATATAGACTTTAACTATATATCCAGAGTCGGCTTATTAATATCTAGAATCTTAAGGATCTCTAGTATCGGCTTTCTTACATCGAGCCTATTAGTAAGATCGTTAACTATCTTATTCTAAAACGTCGTTACTAAATTATATCTAGCCTTAATTAATCTATTACTATAGACTAGATGCTAAAGAATCCTCGTTAAATTAAGGTACTATAAAGCGTAGGTGCTAAACTAACTTGCCTTTATAATCTTATATAGTCCCGTCTATTTAGGTACTAACTTCTTAGGATTTAGATTCTCTATTAAGACCTACTCTCCTTCTTAGAATGCTAGGCCTTCTCTTGCTTCTAGCTTATTAGATAATATTAAGTTAGCCTTAATTACCTTATTAATAAGCTTCTTGTTAGCTAATTGCCTAGTATGTTTAACTATTAAGAGGCGCTTCTTAGGATTAGTAACTACTATCTCTAAGGGACAGATGTTATTCTTATCTTTAATAATTCTTAGACGTACCCTATATAGTAGGTAGAACGGCGAATACCTGCTATTAGTATAAATTCTAGTTCTTATGTAGTATAAAGCTTCTAGTAGGAAGCTATCCTATAAGACTATCTTATTTCTAAGAACCATCTTTATTAGCATACTACCTAATGTTCTATTAAGGTTCTTAACCTTACTATTTACTCTTAGATAGTATAGCGTTATTAGTTTATGCTCGGTCTTTAACTTATTATTAAGATAGTAGATAATTCTTACTAGGAAATTTGCTCTATTATCTAATAATAATTCCTTAGGAGCACTATATATATAGTAGATCTCTTTATAGAGAAATACTACTATAGCTTTATCGTCTGCTCTTATAATAGCTTTAGCAATAGGCTAGCCTATTACATAATTAATAGCTATAATAACCTGTCGGTTTCTATAGATAGATAAAGGAAAAGGGCTAATAACATCTATTACCTATCTCTTAAACGGTTAGAGCTCTACATCGACTTAAGAGAACCTTACCTCCCTATCTAAATCTAGCTTTCCTTTTTACATGATCTAACACGTCGGATAGGTACTAATAAACTTCCTTACATTAGTTTTTATGCTTAGCTACTAAGCTCTAGACTCTATATGTCCTATAAGGCCTAGGAGGCTAAAATAACTATAGTTCCGATAAATGTATTATATAAAGTCTACTCTTAGCCATTCCTTAAGGAAGGGAGTAAGGGATCTATTATCTAGTTTCTTATATAGCTTATTAATGCTATCGACTTCTTTTAAGGTAAACTCCTTTTGTTGTTTAAGTACTATAGTCTTAAGCCGTTCGTCTTTAGGTAATTAGTTAAGCATTAGATAGATGCCTATAGCATCTACGAATTCTTGTTTTTCGTCTAGTTTTAATCTTAAGGCATTAAGATGTTATACCGACCTAGCTTAGTAGGCTAGCGTTAATAATATAAAGTTAGGCCTTCTTAATATAGCATTAGGAATAATGGCCTTAGATCCCTTACGGTATCTAATCTTAATATTATACTTATAGAATTCCTTAAACTAGCGAGCTACTCTCTTACTAGGAGTCTTTATAGTCTAGAGGTACTTTAGGCTCTTATAATCCGTAAGAATAATAGTCTTATAGCCATTTTAGATGTAACTAGCCTACGTTCTTAAGGCTTCCTTAATAGCTAGCCCTTCCTTCTTATAGATTAGATAGTTAAGCTCTATAGCTTATATCTTCCTACCTCTAAAAGCTACTAGGTAGGGGTTTCCTTTAGGATTATCTTAGTATAGTACTAATCCGATGGCCTATTTAGATGCATCTATTTTAATGATATATAGCTTCGATAGATTAGGACTCTTTAAGATAGGGGCTTCTCCTAATCGTTTCTTAAGAGTCTCGAAGGCTATCTAGCATTAAGCATTCTAGAGGATAAGTCGTTATTTTATTGCTCTTATACTTACGTCTTCCTCTTTTAACAAATTAGAGAGAGGAGCAGCTAATTTAGCAAACCCTTAGATATATCGACAATAGAAACTAGTAAGACTAAGGAACTAATAAACATCGGTAGCTATCTATAGATAGGGCTAGTTCTTAATAACTTCTATCTTATTAGTAAGAGGTTAAGTCTTACTAGGCTAGATACGATGGCTATAGAAGGTAACTTCTTAAACACCGATCTTATACTTCTTAGCTAAGGCGAGAAGTTACGTCTTCTTAAGAGTCTTAAAGATAAGCTTAAGATATTAAGCGTATTCTTCCTTACTTCTTAAGAAGATAAGGATATTATCTAAGTATATAATAACGAATTTCTATAAGTATTTAGAGAGAATACTGTTTATTAAGGTCTAGAAAGAAGCTAGGGCATTAGCTAGTCTAAAGAGCATTACTAAGAACTTATACTTACTAGATCGTATGTTAAAGGCAGTCTTTTTAATAGAATTAGGAGTTATTAGGAGCTACTAGAAGCCTAATACTAAGTCGAGCTTCGTAAACTATATAGTAGTAGATACGACATTAAGGTAGTCCTAGATCCTAGGTAAGGGATAATTATTCCTCTTAGTAATAGCGTTAAGGCTACAGAAATTAACACATATGCGCCATTTACTTCTAGGCTTTAGCACGAATAGTACTAGACTTCCCTAGGCACTCGAGGACTTCCTAATAAGGCCTCTTTTTAATAGATCTTTAATCTACTTATCTTGCTTAGCTAGCTATTACAGGTTTAACTAGTAGGCTTATTAATTAATAGGGGAAGCATCTCCTATGTTAATGTAGTAGTTAGCCTCTTAGCTCTTAGGTAGTCTTACTAGTAAGGAACTAGAGAAGAGACGCTTAAAGCATTTAACTACTTATTAGAATAGCGTTTCCTTAGGCATTAATAGTTCTAGGGGCTTCTCCTTAATGTCTTAGAGAGTGGCTATTAACTAATACGACTTAGGTGCTCTAGTAGTCGGAGAGGGGCGTCTAGCAATTAGTTAACCTCGGGCCTCCTCTTCTTAGTTAAGCTAGAAGATTAGGGAAGGAGACTTTAACTAGTACTAACCGTTATGTATATCTATTATTACTATAGTACCGGTCTACTAATAAATTATTAGGTTATAGGTTATAAACTACTTAAGACTAAGGATAATATTATATCCTTCGATGTTAAGGATTCGTGCCTCTAGATAGTTACTCTATAAGCTAATCTAATAGGGAATAAAAAGGGCCCTAGTACTCTTAAGTACGTCTCTATTTAGTAGTACAATTCGTTTCTTATAAACTTCTTAGAGATAGCTCTTATAGTAGCGTTTAGCTATAGCTATTAATACATATATATTAGAGGTAGCCGAGTTAAGCGTAAATTAGACCTTCTTAATACGTTCTAGAGGACCGATAGTACTATTAAGTGTTAGGAGGTAATTATCTATTACGTTTAGGCGATATAACGTAGTGTCGATCCCTAGGTACTATTAGAGTAAGAAGTTTATTACTTATTAGGCTTATTCTTAGGAGCAATAATTAGCCTTATTATTGCTTCTTAGTAGTTTTTTATAATAGGGTAATTATAGGAGAAGTGCCCTAGTTTCTTATAGTTCTAGCACTCTATCGTCTTACTACTAGGCGTAAAGGACTAATTCTTTAACCTCTAAAAGAGAGTCCTCTTACTAGGAGGGCCTAACCTTCTTACTAGTTATAAGGAGGTCGGCATAGTAGCTATACGATTATCTCGTTGCTTATTAGTTTCTCCTTAAAGAGCTATAACTACTTAAGAAGGTTAAGTAGCTATAACATCGTAGCGATGTTAGGCGCGGTATAATTTCTTATTATAGTTACGTAAGATAGTAATATATTAGTTAAGGGAGACATTACTAGGGTTTATAGGTTTTAGATCCATATAATTATAGATAGCTAGCTTAAGGCCGTTACGGTATCGACGGGTAATAGCCTTCTTAGTAGGAGTCTCGTCTAATAGACGACTTAGGGTAATAAGTTTAAAAGCGAAGTTACTAGTAGAGCCTACTTACTTTATAGTTTCCTACTCGTAGAGCTTATGTTCGTAGTAACTAGCTTTAATGTATTAATGACGCATCTTAATAAGGGCTTTTTTAAAGAGTTGTTTAACGTTAACGTTAGTATAGTAGAGAAGGACCTTCTCTTACTACTAGTTAAATGGTTTACTAGTAAGGAACTAGGAGAACATAAGGATCTTATCTTTTCTAGTTAGAGAGTGTCTAAATTAGTACTTAGAGATAAGCGTAAGATAGTTATTTATCTTACCGAGCTAATGTAGAATTTAGTTATTCTTAGCTCCTTTAGGGAGAGTAGAAAGTTTCTTTAGAAAAACCTTAATAGAGGGTTCGTAAGGAATATCGTTATTATTACTAGTAAGGAAGTTATTAGCGCGGTATTCCTTAAAGCGCTACTTAAGGCGAGCACGCTCTTACTCGAACATCTATTAGAAATAGGT